AGATAGCGTGAGAGCTGTGTACAATATGCTGAAACACGCTTGAGTATGTGATTGCATGTTTTCGTTTTATTACGACAGGCTGTATGTGAATACGAACTATTTTGTGTGCAATGTTCAGTAAGATGTTTGAGACAAGAAGATTCATTGTATAAATTTGAGCCTTTTTTAAGTATATTTACTCCTAATAGTATTTCCTCATCTATATTTTTACAAGTAGTATTAAGTTCTCCACATAACTTTTTAGTAGATTGAAAATAAAATCCCAATTTATGACATTCTTTTTTATACTTTTTACACTTGTCATAGTCAGGATCCATGAGAGTATCTTTTAAGTTTTTTTCTAAATCTTTGGAGTTGCTGTTAACAAAAGCTGTTAAATTTTTACATGTTTCTTTTGGGTGCAGACAACTATATAGTATATAGTAACTATAATACATAAAATGTTCGCATTCTTGTACAAGAACTTTTTCGCAGTTTTTTTGATTGCTTGAAGACTCAGGACTATTTCCTAATGTTAATTTTCTATTTAACTTTTTCATTAGAGCCATATTAGCTGCTTTTTCCAAATCTGCTTGGTAACAAACGAGTCGTATATTTTTACAAACATCATAACCTGTCCAATAAGTAATAGTTTTATACATGAAATAACACATTGTCAGATACTCTTCGCATTTTTTTTCCGAAAGAGGGAGGTCTTGATACCACCAAAAGTTAATACCTTCTTTTAATTTTTTTATAAGAGAATAACAATAATCTCTAGTTCCAGCATACATATTATAACAAACATTATAGTTGCCTTTCCAATCTTTAGAAATGCACATGTGTTTAATTGATTCTAAATATTGTATTAAGGAACATTTTTTATTTAACGCATTTTTACATTCCAAGTATCCTGGATAATGTTCTTGAACCAAAAAGTTGGCCACTTGCAATTCTGAATATTTCTCTACTCCGGTAACACGGATACCTAAATCACACAATTTTTCATAGGTATGTTGAATACCGGTTTCATCTAGATCGGTAGATGGATTTTTAAAAAGATCAAAATTATGGCCTCTTGGATTATAGAAAAAGCCTTTTTCAGAACATTCCATTCGAAATGAACGACATAGACTGTGGAGATTTTGGCAATCAGGGATAACATAATAACATATTTCTAACCATTTTACACAATTTTCTTCTGTCATTATTCCCTGTTTTGATAAAAATTGAGTTCCAAAATTTTTACATTCTTCTTGAGAGTATGAAGTAAATTCATTACAAACTCTGGTATAATCCATACACAAAGTAAGCAATTCAGGGCTTTGTTGACTAAGTAATTGGCATACATTTTTTAATCTTCCTATGCAAGATTTTGAATCACTTGAAGTTCCTCTTAAAATATCATAGAGAAGTGTTCTTGCTACTTCCATACGGACTTTATTATAACAGCTCTCTTTAAGTTCTTTACACTTTTCATTAAGATACTGCATACCATGGCGTTCGAAAAGAAAACATCTCATTTGTAATTTGTTACACTTATCATGCTCAGTTATTCTCTTGTCTGAAAGTTCTTCATTAGTTTTTTTTATCCCCATCATTATTTCATTGTATGCATGATTACATATTGTTTTAGATGTACAAATTCCTTGAATTCTTTCATTCATATTCTTAATACCAGTACATATTTTATTCACGTCACTTTGACAATAAGATAATCGACCTGGAGCCAACATAGCAGCAACATAATAATAATCATGTTTATAATTGTACCAGAGATTTTCAAGTTCTAGTTTTTGCAATTGATATGCTAAACGAAGATCATAAAGTGCACTCCTATGAGTAAGGGGAAATAATGAATCGTCTTCATTTAGTGGAGAATAATTAATAAGATCTGAAAGATTAAAGTTGGAATTAAGTTAAATAAATATTACCCAAAAAATCTTCGTTTTTTGAAAAAACTGTTTTTATATCAATTAAATTCAGAAGAATGTATGCTTTTACAAAAAGTGACATAAACAAAAAAGAAACAGAAGAAACTAATTTTGAATTATATTATTGATTTAGAAATGCGGATAAAAAGGGGCAATATTAAAAAGGGGATTCGTAGAAAGAAAATTAGTTAAAATATACAATAAACAAATAATGCTATTTTTATATATTATATATTCATTTGTTTTAATATTTTTTGAAATATTTATTTTTATGAATCTATTTTATAAATCTATTTTAAAATGCTAATTTTTAAGTTATTTAATTTAGAAGACTACTTGAAAATTAGTTAAAAATTTTAATAATACTTTTATTTTGTTTGAATAGCTTTTTGCATATTAAGAGTGTATTTGATCTTCCAAGGATCTTCAGGTACACGATAAGTCTATGTTAGTGAGATTTACAATAATATTTTTCTGAATTTGTAAATTTTTGATTATTTAACTATTAGATAGTCGTTAGATAATTATTAGATAATTATTAGATTTATATGTTTTTTCTTTTAAATTTTTGCATATTATTTGATCTTTTTGAATATATTTTTTTATTTAGATTTGTTGATTTTTCAGTTTTTTTATTACATAATAATCGCACTAATTTTTAGTTTCGATTTTTATTTTTCAAATATTTAAGATTACTAATAGTTCTATTTTTATTATTTAATTTGTTTTAAACATATAAATGAACATATAAAAAATGAACATTAACGACTTTAAAAATTTGCATTGACTTATTTATTTTAGTGATTAGTAATTTTTTATTTTAAATATCTTTGCTAAACGTTTTTTGAAAGTGAGTATAACTATAAATATTAATAAATGTATTTTAGTGCAGTTCTAGTTTGATATAAATATTGTCAACTATTTAATCTTTGTTTCAAGGATTTTGAAAATTTTTATGTTATCGAAGAATTAAGTTTATTTTAAAATTTACAAAATGTTTTTTATTATGTTAGATATTAAAAAATATAAGTGTTAACACTCTTAGAGATTAGATGGTTGAATTTTCTGCTATATATATTGAATAAGAATTGCAATTGTAATTAAAAATATTTTTATTTAACAATATTTCTTTAATAGTTTTTTTATAACATGGCATTTTGAAAATAAAGATTTTTTATTTATGTTACATGAATTCTAAATTAAGTTGATAAATTTTTAAATTAGTTTATTATAGCTTCTGAAATATTATTATAAATTATGAAATAGTGTATACAATATTAATTTGCATTTTGATATAAGTTTTAAGCATTTAAAATGTTATTGAAGGCAGAATATATTAAAAATATTTTTTTGAAAAAAAAAAAATAATACTTTTATCTTTGGAATAATTAAATTCAACTTATTCATTTGCATGACTTTGAGATATTTTTTTAAATATAAATTTTAAATATTTTTAATAAATAAAATTATTCTGTGATAATTTAGTTCAATTGATAATAAATAAATTTTTATATGATTTTCTATTAAAAAATATTTTTTCACAATCTTCGTTTAGAAAATTTAGTATTTTGACAATTTTTAGATTATTATGATATTTTGTTTCTGTAATGAAATTTTTATCTCATTTATTAAATAGAAAAATATATAGGAATTCTTATGAATATTTATTATATTTGGTATTATTTAAATTTTTTATACTTTTGATAATGGGAATTTATACTCGTAATTATTGAATGGTATTTTAATTTTATAAAGATGAATAATAATACGATAAGTTATTAAAACGAAGTAGATATTTTAGACATATAGCATTTAAAATAGTAGAATTTTTATACTTATTAGATTAAAATGAATAAGTGACTTGTATATAATGTTAGTTGTCTTCAAATAGATTATAGTATTTCTGTTTTGTTTATTGTTTCTAGTTTTAAAATTAATATATAAAAAACTTGTTTTTATGCAACTATATGTATATTTTATTATTTACTCATGCGTTTTTAATACTTTTACATTTTTCTTATGACTTACGCATTTTTTATATTATCATAAGTATTTATGTTGATTTATGCTAAATTGATATACCATAAGAACAGTATAGTATATATTATTAAAAAGTATGTATTATTTTTTTTATTTTTAGTCATTTCTATTTAAAATTTTTTTTGTAAATTTTTAAGAAAAATAGTTTAATTGTATTTTAATTTTCTAAAATTTTTAAAAAAATTAATTAAATTTTAAGTATTTTAAAAATTATCAGTTTAATACTTTCTATAATCATTATTCATTGGTAATTGGTATTATTTGAATATTTTTGATTTTTTTAATTTTTTTGTGAGTTAATAGCACTTTAAGAATATTAGGAGCAAGTTCATTATTATTTTAGATTTATATTTGTTTTATTTACTTTATTTTAATGATATGTTTTTTCTGATTCTATTATTTTGTTTGGTTCTTGAGTTGGTTAGTGTAACTTGATAAATATCTTTTTTTGTTTTTTTCCAACTTTTTTACATTTTTAGTAAAAAAAATATTATTATTGGATATAATAATCATCAATGTTAGTCATAGCGATAAGTTTTATAATACTATGTTAATATTATTAATTTTTATACTTACTAAAAAAAATTGAAATTTAAAAAATATGATTTGGAAAGCAGATAACTATAAATGGGTATTAAATAATATGGAATAATAAACATATATTTCTTTATGTTTTTAATTTTTAATATTATTATTTATTTTAATATATTTTATTAATTTCATGAAATTTTTTAGATTTATATAAAAGTTTAAAATGAATATTTTAAAATAATATAATTTAAAAAATTTTAATATGAATTCACTTAATTTTTTAATGTAAAGCATACTTATTTTATTATTGACTTATATTTATTTTTAGGTTTTGTGATTTTGCCTTTTTGCTGAGTTAATTTTAAATATACTAGGAATCTCCTGAGTTAGGGTAAGGTTAACATATCGAATTTAGGATAAAGAATTATCTGTGATTTTAACGTTAAAATTTAGATTTTAATTTGCTTTTAATTTAAAATTCTATTTTGAGATAAATTAAAATAATTTTGAATTGAGATGAAAGCTCTTTTTGTCTCTTCTCCAGGAAAGATAATTCTTTTTGGGTAAATATAGAGATGATTATCTATTTACTAAACATCTTGAGTGAACATGCTGTTGTTTATGGAAAAGTTTGAAGACGTTTCTGTATTTGAAAGCATTAGCTTAGTAATCTTAGGCTGCAATTGCTGCGTCTGTTTCTCTGAGAACATATTTAATGATATTTTCTCATGAATCAGAAGAATCTATTGTGTGTATTAAGTTTCCTGATATTAATTTAGAGAAATCATGGAAACAAGATGATTTTCCTTGGAATGAGTTTTCTTTGCAAGGTTTTTGTTTCGTGTTTAATTTTAAATATATCTAAGATCTATTAGACCCTCTTTCACCCCCTTTAGAACTTAATAAAGCGCATATTTCTCGTTTAATGTATTTTGTTAAAGACCAATCATCATTTTGTTCCAAAGCAATTTTGGCGTTTCTGTATATGTATATGAATTTGTCAAAATATAATAAATCAAAATCTTTTACATTTATTTTAAGATCTGCAATACCTATAGGGTCTGGTCTTGGATCTAGTGCATCATTATCTGTTTGTTTAGCTACTGGTTTGCTTTTATTTAATGGGCATATTAATCCTCCTAATGGCACATTGTCAGATAAGAAAGCTTTGTTTATAATTAATTCATGGGCATTTAATGGTGAAATGTGTATTCATGAAAATCCAAGTGGGATTGACAATATTGTTTCAAGTGAAGGTAATGTTGTTTTTTTTCGAAAAATAAATACAAAACCTTCATTTATTTCCGAAATATTGCATGGGTAAATAATGCGTTGTTTTTATTTTGATACTTATCTAATTTTTAAAGTTTTCCTACTTTACCCTTATTATTAGTTAATACTTTACAAACTCGGTCAACATCTGATTTAGTTAATAATGTTAAAAGTCTTTATCAAAATTATAAAGATATTGTATCATGTATTTTTAATTCTATAGATCATATTTCTATGAATTTTAAATTGCTATATGAAGAGAGTCAGAAATATGGAAATTGTCATTTAGATCATCAACAAATTGGGACTTTAATGCGTATTAATCATAATCTTTTGTGCGCTCTTGGCGTAGGTCATGAAAAATTTGAAAAGATTGTTAAAATTGTGAATGACTATGATATTGGGTGGACTAAGTTAACAGGCGCAGGCGGGGGTGGTTGCGTTGTAATACTATTACGAGAAGGTAATGTTACTTTAAGTTATTTTTTTAATTATTTTAAGGTTTAAATGATTATGATATTCATAAATTTCAGTTAGAATTAGTTTCTAATGGGTTTGATGTATATAAAGTTACACTTGGTGATAAAGGCGTAGGGATGTTTAATTGCGATGATGATTTGTATAGAAAATTTATAGAGGTTAAAAATAGAAAAGAATTTATGGATTTTTTAGAACTTGAGGAAACAAAGCATTGGAAATATTGGACATAATGTTTGTAATTTATATTTATTTTTTTTATTGTTTTTTAAATATTTTTAATTCGTTTAAATTTTTAAAAATGGATAATTTAAATTCTTGGAAATTAGAATTGCAAAAAATATTGAATTTTGATAACGAGGATGGCCTTGATCCTGTTTTTCAGGACTATGATGTTAATACTATTGCACCTATTGCTTATCCTGCAGATTATTCTGAAGCAATGGCTTATTTAAAAGCAATAATGATTAAAGAAGAGATGTCTGAGCGTGCAATGAAACTTACTACGTATCTTATTAATATGAATCCTGCGCATTATACAGTATGGTTGTTTTAATAAAAACCTTTTTCTTTTATTAATGCTATTTAGGGCTTATAGGATGAAAGTTTTAATAAATCTTAAAAAAGATATTTTCCAAGAACTTTTATGGATTGAAAAATTGAGTAAGCTACATCCTAAAAGTTATCAGTTATGGTTATTGATTTTTTTTTTTTAATATCTTATTAAACTATAAAGGCATTATAGACAACTTCTTATGGATATGTATGGAGATCCATCAACAGAGTTAAAATTTTTGGCTCAAGTTTTAGAAAAGGATTCTAAGAATTATCATGCGTGGTCTTATCGGTTTTTATGTTTGCTAATATATTTATTATATTTATGTTTATTAGACAATGGTTAATAGAGCGATTCAATTTATGGGATATAGAATTATTTTATATTAATTCTCTTTTAAAACAAGACATTCGGAATAATTCTGCATGGAATCATAGGTTTTATATTGTTTTTAGGAATAATCAGTATGTTTCGAATGATATTTTAGAGAAAGAAATAAAGTAAGTTTAAATAGATTAATTGGTTATTTGATTTATAATTGTTTAAGGTATTGCAAAGATGCTATAGCATTTTCTCCTCAAAATCCTAGTCCATGGTTGTATCTTAGAGGGTATATTGGGTCATTTATTTATTATTTATAACTATATTAGAATATTTGAAAAATATGACCTAAATATTTCTCTTTTGGAATCATTTTGTCTTCAATATGCTTCCTTAGATCCAGAAGAGAATCAAAGAATGTCTTCTGAAGCATTAGAGTTTCTAGTTGATATATATTCTTTAAACAAAGCATCTATAGTAGATGCAAAAAAGGTGAAACTTATGATATTTTGGTATTGATTTAATTTTTAGGCTATACAGTTGTTGATTAATAAATATGATATTATTAGGAAAAATTATTGGGAATATAGAATATTATTACTTGATGAAAAAAATAGTATATAATTCTATTTTAAATTTAAATAGTATTTATAAATATGTTGCATATTAATGTTTTTTTGATAATTATTATGTATAATATTAAAAATAGTTGTTGATAATTGAAATTTATTTATAATAATTTTATAAAAAATATTAAGATTTTATGGAGTTAATATTTCTAACGAATCATGATATTAAATAAACCTAGTATCACATCTTTTATATGATGATAGATATTATTATTATTAAATTTTAATTTAAGTTGTTTTAATTATGTTTTTTTGTTTAATATTTGATAAATTATTTAACTTTATGAAAATTAAATTTATAAATATTGTAAAACATTTTAACATAATGTTGAAAAAAATAATGAATTCATTTTTTCTGAAATCATAAACAGAAAAATATTTCACAATACTTATAAATTTCTTTATGATTTAAAATTGATTTAAATAAGGTTTAAATATTAATTAGATCTTATTAAAATGTAATAGCAATAAATTAAAATTTCAATATATTTCATGTATAGCTAATTACAAAAATTAACTTAAATGAGTAAATGAGTAGTTAAATTATTTAAAATATATTTCTATAAAATATAAAACATAGCTATGATTTTAGTGATAAGATATATTAATTCGATAGATTTTTATTTTATTTAGCATATTTCTTTAAGAAAACTGTAAATGTGAAGTGTTACTGATATGAGATCATGTGCTGCCTATGAATATAGATCGTCACCTGTTTCTTCATTAAATACAGCTCCTCTAGGTAAATTTTCTGTCCCATTATTATTTATAGAATCATCAAACTTAAATGTACTAAAGCCTTGATTTTGTTGGAATTGATTTGCAAACATTTCATATTTTCTAAGATCTGAATCTAATACAGATCTATATTCATTAAATTATTTAAAAAGATGCGATTTATTAATAAATACCTTCGTGAATATCTCATTGACTCTTCAAAATGAGCTCTAGTGATTTCAGGAACAGGATCATCCATTTCTATATCTTCTATTTCATTTTCATTTTTTTCTTTTTGGGATTTTTCTCGTTCAATTTCAAAATATATAGATTCCTAAGGAAAAAATTAGATAAATTATAAATTAAAAAATATGAAATATAAACCTTAATTGCTAATTTTACTGCTCTCATGGTTAATCCTGCTAAGTCTGCCCCTGAAAACCCATGTGTTGCTTTTGCAATTGCAGAAAGATCAACATTTGCTGCAACAGGACTGTTACGAAGTTGAGCCTTAAGAATACTTAATCTTGATGCCATATCAGGAAGTGGGACGCTATTATATATCAATATTAATAAAAATGAAATATGTTATTTTACTAAATTAATTGATCTAAACGCCCAGGACGCATAAGAGCTGGATCGATCTCTGTAAAAATATAAGCAGTAGAGAACTCATAATAAATTACATACGATCTGGACGATTAGTAGCACCAATAACGAATACATTTTTTTTGGTTGTCATTCCATCCATTTCAGTAAGAAGTTGATTTACTACACGATCTGAAGCTCCCCCTGAATCGCCAATACTACCTCCTCGAGATTTTGCTATAGAATCCTATATATACTTTAATATATTGTAAAAAAATTGAAAAAAATATACGAGTTCGTCTAGAAATATAACACATGGTGCAGCAGCTCGTGCTTTGTCAAAAACCTATTTTTTTAAGTAATTTGAGAAGGAAGCAAGATATTTTACATCTCTTATGTTTGATTCACTTTCACCGAACCACATAGAAAGCAATTCTGGTCCTTTTACAGAAATAAAGTTTGCTGCGCATTCATTTGCAATGGCTTTTGCTAGTAAAGTTTTTCCAGTTCCTGGAGGTCCATAAAACAATATTCCTTTGCTTGGTGACATTCCAAATTTAATAAATTTCTCAGGATGTTCTACAGGGTATTGAATTGTTTCTCTAAGCTCTGCTTTAACATTTTCTAGTCCACCAATATCTTCCCATCGAACATTAGGTACTTCGACAACAGTTTCACGTAAAGCAGATGGATTTGAAACACTTAAAGCAAATCTAAAGTTTTCCATTGTAACTCCTAAAGAATCAAGAACTTCTGCATCGATAGTATCTTCTTCCAAATCTATAAGATCCATCTTCTCTCTAATTTGTTGCATAGCTGCTTCAGAACATAAAGATGCAATATCGCTACCAACGTAACCATGAGTTTCTGATGCGATTTGTTGAAGATCAACATCGTCCCCTAATTTCATATTTTTAGTATGGATTTGGAGGATTTCAAGTCTTCCAGTGGGATCTGGTATAGAAATATCGATTTCTCTATCGAATCTACCAAATCGACGAAGAGCAGGATCAATAGAATTAGGACCTATAATTGTTTAGTTAAAAAAGGACACAATGGAATATTTACGATTAGTTGCTGCCATTACGATCACATTTGAACGAGCTTTCATTCCATCCATTAAAGTAAGTAATTGTGAAACAACTCTACGCTCAACTTCCCCGTTTGTTTTTTCACGCTTAGGAGCTATAGAATCAATTTCGTCAATGAAAATAATAGATGGAGAGTTTTTTTCTGCTTCTTCAAATGCTTTTCGAAGATTGCTTTCTGATTCTCCTGCCATTTTACTCATTATCTCAGGGCCATTAATAAGAAAAAAGAAAGCACCAGTTTCGTTGGCAACAGCTCTTGCCATAAGTGTTTTTCCAGTTCCAGGAGGCCCATATAGAAGAATTCCTCTAGGCGGTTTAATACCAATACTTTTAAATAACTGTGGATGACGAAGAGGTAGTTCTACCAGTTCACGAATTTGCGCCATTTTTTTTCTACATCCACCAATATCATCGTATCCTACATCAGCGAGATTGTTTTCTTCTTCTCTACTAATAGGTTCCCCCTCACAGTGTATAATTGTATCTTGAGCAACAATACCATATTCAGAGGGATCAATTTCAATAACTTTAAATTCTACTTGTCGCATTCCCCCACGCACCTGGTACTAATAAGTTTTTAAAAATTGATAAAAATAGGTAATACAGTAAAAAGATCTCCCTTACGAACAGGTCTATAGGCTTCAACAAAATATGGTTTAAGATAAACTTCAAAGAGGGAACCAGTAAGACCTTCAACAGTATCTGCTAAAGGCAAGACGGATACTCTTAATGCATACTTGATATCAGGGCAGGGATGAATTGTAATAATATCTCCAAGACGAACACGAAGATTATTTCGAACAACTCGGTTAACTCGGGCAATGCCATCTTCCATATCATCATCAACAAGGACAATTAAGACTGTATCTTTTCTTTTTTTTCCCTATTAATTTATTAAATATTGATAATTGAATAAAGTAAAATACTTTAACTAATACAGTGTCTCCACGGAAGAGTTGTAATAGCTCCATTGTATTATTACTAAGACTAATTACGCTATTATCGTCGTTAATAGCATCGTCAACAATAAGGCAGTTATGTTTCTTTTTCTTCCGCAAGATAGACATTGCTGAAATATTTTTATTATCTAATTTTTCTAGGCTAAAATTTACGCATATTAACTGTTTTTGGCAATTAAAAAAGACTTATAGAAACTTACTGTTCCTCCATTTTTTCGTTTTTTGAATTTTCTCCTGACAATTCTCCTGACATCAATTTTTTTCTTTTAGTTTTTTTTCGTTTCTGTGATTTTTTAGAAATTTGGATTTAGTATCGATCTTTGGATTTTATAAAAAATAAGTTTTAAAAAGTTAAAATGATAATAAATTATGTAAAAAAAACTATTATATATATGTTCAATATCTAATAATTTTTATATAATAATTATTTTAAATATAATTAATTTCATTAAAAAATGATTTTATGTTCATATTTTAAAATGTTTTAGGTGTTTATTTGTTATGTGGACATATTATGTATTTATATAGTTAGATTTTGTAATTTTATTTTTTATATGAATATCTATCTTAGTATTATTATATCATATTCAAAAAATAAATATTGGAATTGAAGTTTGAAAATATCTTTGTTATTTGTTTTTTTGTCTTGGAAAATAATGAATGTTTTAAAAAGTTATTTTAAAAACATCATTTTAATGTTTAAAATATAAAGCTTAAAGATGTAATTTATAAAAATTGTTTTCATTGTATTTATGTTAATAAATACTATATAAAAAGTGTATTGTTAATTTTATATTTATTATTATATTTTCTATGAATGTTTTTATGAAAAAATATATGATAAAATTATACATAGAATATTGAAAACTTTTTTAAAGATTTATTAAATCGATATAAGTATTAAAATATAACATTTCTATGAAAAATAAGAATATTAAGAATTTAGAAATTTTTTTAATTTCAATTAATTTTTATTTTATATTATAAAATTAAAAATATATTACTTTTTATATGATTTTTGAGATATTTTCGTAAATGGTACTATGGCCGAGTTGGTCCAAGGCGTGAGATTTAAGCCTTTAATATCTCTCATCTCGAAAGAGGCCTGGGTTCGAACCCCAGTGGTACCAATTTCTTTTTTATTAAAAATGGCTGTTTTTACAGCTGATAAATTAGTATATCATCTATATTTTATAGTATTTATTCGTGTTAATTTTTAATTTTATGAATCAATATAATTTATTTTATAATATACAATAATTATTTTTAGAATATTATTATATTTTATAAAGAATAATATAAGATGATTAATGATTGATGAAATTTTAAATTTTATAATACTTTTTATTAAAATAGGAAATTACTTGTATAATGAATTATTTGTTATAGATGTTTTTGATTAAATTTTTGTAATAAAATTGTTTCGTTAATTAAAAATAGTAAATTTTAGTTAAAAGATAATTTAATAATTTTATAAAAAAATTAAAAAATGTTAAGAAAATTTAATATATTTATCGGACAACCTTATTTTTAATATTTAAGTATACAGTTTTTTAAAGTAAAAAATCTTAGAAGTGGAAATATTTATTTTTTTTAACTTCTAATTAAAATGTATTATAAAAAATATAAATGATTTCCTTTAATACGTTCTATATATTTAAATACGAAACCTAAAAATATAAAATTTAGATTTCTAAATTCAAATTGATTTTAAAATCAAAAGATTAAACATACGAGAAACTTAAATATTTAAATCCTATAAAAAATATCGATAAATAATATTAATTTCATAGATTGTATAAATTTTTAGAAATTAATTTTTTTGATATTAAATATGCAAAAATATGTATTATTAAATAAAAGATAAAAAAGATATTGCTAAATATTAGTATATTCTAATATTGGCTCTCCAATGTTAATTATTTCAGGTATAGTACATTTTAAGTCAAATGCTTTTGAAAGTACAATTTTAAAAATCTTAAATAATTTAATAAAAATGAAAAACTATATAATTTATTCATACTTTTTGTACATTAATAGAGTGTGATGTTGAACAAAAGATAAGTGATGCTTTCATAGCTCGAGCAAAACGTCTAGCCTTTCATATTATTAATAAAATATCATAGTAGTTATGGCTGTAAGATACTTGTTTAGTTATTTCTTCTTGATCCTCTTTAGGAAAATTCGCAAAATGGTCATATTTAGTACCAACGAGAAAAGGAATGGCAGTCTTTTAGAACTTAGTATTAAGTAATAAAGAAAGGAAACGATTTTTACTTTATTAAAGCCTCTTGCCTGTCGATACCATTCTTTTATACTGTTAAGTGTACTCTTACGTGTTAAATCGAACATAAATAAAATAGCAACTGCATCATTGCAGACTAATGGAAGCATATTAACAAATTCGCGTTGTCCTCCAAGATCCCATATAGAAAATGTAATTTCTGTATTCCGGATAGAAATTGTTTTTTCCATAAAGTTTACACCTATGGAAATTAATTTAGTACTCAGTTTAGTGGAAATTAAAAGACATACCAAGAGTTTGAATATAATCTTTTTAGATTCTGTAAGCGCTAACATAAACATATTGGAATTACGGCTCACCTTCATCAAAAGAGCCTTCTACATATTTCACCATAAGACTTGTTTTTCCTATTTGGGAGTCACCAATCATACCCACTAAAAGATAAATAATAAATGTTAAACACATTCTGAAAATGTTTTTACCTTTAATAACAACGCTTGTTTTTTTGCTATTAGATTCCCCTTGATTTATTGTCGTCGCATTTGACATAATTGTAAAATAATTCAAAATTCAATATCAAAATTAAGACTTCTTTTCTTATTCAAATAAAAATGCTAGATTTATAAGTGCAATTTTTTACGAATATAAAAAATTCTTAATCTCTTTTTTGTCTTTAGTAAAATATTTTTTTGTAATGTTTTGTTTTTCTAACCTTTTTTTAATTAATTTGTCGATGGCTTTTTTTAATCTTTAAAATAGATATGATTTAAACAGTATATGGAATTTCATTTGCATTGTAATTTTTTCTTGTAGTAATAACCTATGTATAAAAATATAATTACTAATAAATATTTGGTAAAATGAGTTTTTAATTTTGAATTAGAACTAAGAGTAAAGGTTAGGAAATATGACTAAATAAAATATAAAGAGTAAGATATAATAGATGCTTTACATTTAGAAAAACCTTTAAGTATTTTTATAGAAATGTTTATATCTTATTATATTTTGTCTTGGTTTTATATTGAAAATTGTGACTATTGTTATTTTGTATATAATATTATAATAACGAATAATTATATATTTCTTCTTGTAAAGAAAAATTTGTTTTCTTTTGTATAAAGATGGGTTTTAAGATACAATATTTGATGTTAGTCCAAAGATTATTATAAAAGTTAGTAACAATGAAAAATAGTAATCCTAATAAATATAAGTAGTATAATAGAATGACAAAGAAAGAATTACTGTAATTTAGTTGGTAACTTAGATATTATATTTTTAATTTTAATGTATTTTATTATTTTTTTGAAATTTAAGTTTTTGGTTAAACATAAGATTGAAAAAATAGATATTATAAAAATTTAAAAATTAGATATTATTTTAGAATATAAAAGGAATGATGTATGGTTATTTTCTTTTTTGGTGTTATATAGAATTAAATGTTAGTGTTTTTATAAACAGAAAGTGTTCATTTGTTGATCGATATTAGACATTTGATAACATCGATAAACAATTGTTTTTTTGTCTTTAGTTTATTTCTATACGCGCTTTTTTGTTTAAGAATATTATAATTTTAGTAAATTTCATTAGTGTTGTTTTCATTTTGGTTGTTGAATATATGGTATGGAATCAATTAGATATTTCAAAACCACATATTGCTTATGCAATTCTCGGTTGTTTTACGTCTCTTTTTATGCTTGTTTCACTTTTTATTAAGCAGAAATTGTATATTGGGGAAGCAAGTATTATTTTTTGATTTTTTTTTATTATTTTAATCTTTTTAGTGGTAGCAACAGTTATAGGTATTATTTTTGGACCCTATTCTATTAATATATTTGACCCTGGATCATGGGGAAATGTTGGTAAGATTATAAGTATAAAACTGTTACCTTATTAATTAATTAATAGATTATAACACTCTTGAGCTTTCTCGTATTGTTTTGATTGTTCAGGTTTTTGCTGTTGGTGTAGAATTACCTAAGGGATATGTATTGAAACATTGGAGGAGTCTTGTTATGCTATTATGTCCTGTTATGATTCTTGGATGGGTCATTACAAGTACTATTATGTATTTACTGATACCATATCTTTTTTTTGTACGTTTTTATAATTTTGTATTTTTCATTTATTTGATTTTAGGTTGAAGCTTTAATACTAGGCGCATGTGTTACTGCAACGGATCCTGTTCTTGCTTCTTCTATAGTAGGAAAAGGAGAATTTTCTAAAAGGATTCCTGGACATATTCGAAATATTTTATCATGTGAATCTGGATGTAATGATGGGTTTGCTGTTTGTTTTAATTATCGTTTTTAATAATTATTTAATTTAGAATAGCTTCCTTTTTTGTTTATTGGATTACAGTTGTTAATAGACTCTTTTGGAATAAAAACTATTAGTAATTTTTTTCTTGTAAAAATATTCTACGAAGTTGTTTTTGGTTGTATTTTAGGGTCTTTTATTGGAATTTTGGGTCGGAAAGCTGTAAGATTTGCAGAAAAGCATAATTTAATTGATAGAGAATCATTTCTTGTGTTTTATTTTGTGTTATCATTATTTTGTGCTGGAATTGGAACTTTAATAGGAATAGATGATTTGTTGGTTAGTTTTTCTGCTGGAACTGCATTTTCATGGGAGTATGTTTACTATTTTTTTCTTTTGTTAAATTTTTTAGTGGTTGGTTTTCAAAAAAAACAGAAGAATCTCATGTTTCTAATGTTATTGATTTGTTGCTTAATCTTGCATTTTTTGTATATTGGGGTGCTATAATACCATGGAAACAATATAATACACCTGAACTTGGAGTAACTCCATTAAAATTGTTCATTATTGCAACTTGTGTGTTACTTTTTCGACGTATTCCCGCTATTCTTTTATTAAAACCTTTAATTCCTGATCTTCATACTTGGAGGGAAGCTTGTAATGGTTTTTCTTTTTAAGATTACTTTTTAGTTAATATTTATAGTTTTTTGTGGACATTTTGGCCCAATGGGTGTAGGTGCTATATTCGTTTCTATTTTAGCTCGTGCAGAATTAGAAACTAGGACTAATGAGCCCTTGGATAAGCTTCCTACTGACCCAGTTACTCCTTATTATAGGTTAATACGGATAATTTGGCCTGTTACATCATTCTTAGTACTGTCATCGATAATTGTACATGGTTCTTCTGTTGCAATTTTTACTCTTGGGAAGCATTTGAATTCTTTTTCGTTTACAACAACATATACTCAAAATAACCAGGGTCCGAGTTGGATGAATTGTCTTTCAAAGTTTGAAATTGTGCGTCCTGGAATATTTAGAAGAAATTCAGAAAAATATATTGGATATAACATAAAAAGAAAATTAAACAAAGAAAGATCTAATAGTGATCCAACTAAGTTTTCTACTTTTGATAAGCTTGTATCACTTGAAAATGGATACATTTTTGATATAGATATTGAACAAAAGGATATATTTCTTTGTTCATCTTCACCTGTATTTGATGAAGCATTGCAGCAGAGTAATATCGGTTTTCAAAGATTGAATAATAATATATAGTTGCTTGATTATTATGTGATTAGAAGAAATATAAAGAGTATTAGGCTGTTAATAAAGTTTTAAAGTTTTGTGAATTTAATCTTCTAATTTTTAAAATATATTAAGATAATTTATGAAAACAGTAATAACTTTGAAATTGTAAATTGGATATTAATACCTGTGAAAATTTTATAGTTTAAAATAAAAAATGTACATGCTATAAATTTATTTGTGTTCTGGAATTCTTGAAATTGCAGATATATCAATAATGTATATATAATTGTTATGAATAAAACGGTTTGTTTTTTAAAAAAAATAATTGAATTATAATAAATTTAGGCTATGTAAAAAAAGCATATACTGAAAAATAAAGATATATTGTAGTTTTAGGCTTTTAAAAAGATGTTAGTTGTAATAGAAATGATCATGTAAAGTTATATATAGATGTATTTCAAGAGTTTTTTTATTAAATTTAATAAATATATTTTTATAGAATAGTTTTGGTAAGTTTTTTTTTAAATAAATATGAAAAATTTAATTATTTTTAAAACAAAATTATTTTATTAATTTATAAATCTATTTTTATTCTTGTTTTAGTAATAATTACATTAAGTATTTTGTGAAACTTTTTTTTATAATTTATTTTAAAAAATTTGTGTTTGACGATATTCAAGTCCATGATTTGAAAATAAGGTTTTTATTTTATTATTCTTTTTATTTTAAAAGGAACGTGTTATTTTTTGTTAGTAATTAGTTGCAAGTTTACTTTTTGTTATATGAGTGTCCCTGGTGAAACAATTGTTAATTTAAGAGCTCAAGTGAATCAAAAATTAGTTGAATCAGGAGCATATGAACGGTATAGTTTATTAATTCTAAAATAAATACCTTTCTTACTAATATGGGTTTAGTATTTCGTCGCATTTAGCTAAAAGACTTCACGAATGTGGATGGTATTCGGATATGAAAGACCATACTCTTTGTAATTAACAATGTTTATTGTTTTTTTACTAACTTTATTTTTAGTTAAAGTACGTCATCAGGAAAAACCTAATTTTGAAGCTTTAGTAAAAGAAATTGAGCCAAAGGGTTTGGGTAAATACAATATTTACAATAATTTTTTTTAATGCTAAAGCCACTGTTCCCGAGGATCTTAAAACAGAAGTTCTTGGAATGATTAGGAAATTTTTAGAAGAAGTTGTAACAGTAGATGACGTAGATAACTGTTAAGCTTCTTGAGTATATTATTATAAATTTGATAGTAATGTAAATATGTAAAATTTAATTTAACTATATAAAATATATAACTATATAAGACCTAAAATTGATGTAATACCAAATTTTATGTAGTTTTTGATTATAGTTCTAATTTTTCAATAGAGTATTTTTCAACAGAAAAATTTTTTTGATAACCTTTTGCTCTTTTTGTTTTCAAATGAATTTCTTGTAAAGTGGATATAGATAGTTGATTCGATAGTAATGTATTACGTAATTGGGGACTTGATCTTTTTTTGAGATTATCGATAGTATTATTTTTATTTAATTTACTAGATTTAAATTCTTGATATTTTTGATTAATATTTTTGTGGCCTCCTGCTCTACGAATAAGCTCATCTAATATATTAACTGTATTGTTTAAATCAATTATCTCAGTTATTGTTTCCTTTACAGTATTATAAATAGTATTAAAGAATGAAAGACTTGTATTCTGAATGGTTATTCCAGATATTCCTATAGTATCAAGAGAATTTTCCAACATTCTGTAAATAACTAATTTGTTTGAAATATAGGATGTTCTTTTAAATTTTTTATGTCTTTTTTTTAATGATATCTGTTTTCCTAATAAATTAATTAATTTTTCTATTTCATTTTTTGTAAGTCCTTTTTTTAATGCTAATACTATTTGTTCTCCAATATAATTGTCCATTGTTTTCAAGATTTTTCTGAAAATTTTTAAATTAATGGGATTATTATTTAATACATATTTTAATATAGATGTTAGTTCTCTTGGTGGTAATAAATCTGAATTTAAAAATAAGTTTAATAACAAAGATGAATCTATTCTTATGATTGCATTTATTAAATCCGAGTATTCTTCTTTTGTTAGTAACAGAGGTACTGTTTTGGTAAGATAATTAAGAGTTTTTTTTGGATAAAACAATGTTTCTAATTTTGATATTTTATTTGAATTATATATATTTTTTTTTAGTGGAATAAATATTATTTGAATAATTTTATCTAAAATTTGAGGTGATAGACGAATTTTTTTATTTTGAATGTATAACTTGTCATACTTGTTTTCTTTGTTAAAATCATTATTATATAATTTGTTAGTTAAATTTTTTGTATCAAAATATTTAAAAAAGATATTGTCAAACTTATTTCCATCTTTAAGTAAAGAATACTTCCTTAATTTTATTAAAAATGTTTTGACTAGTTTTTTTTGTTTATTAAGGTGTTTTTTTATTCTTAGGGGAGATTCAAGGATTAATTTATTGTTTTCCTTTTTTTCGAAATCTGTAATAGAGTTTATAGTTATGTAATTTGTTCTTCCCTTACTATTTGTTTTTGCAAACATATCAATTAAAAGACTTTTTTTTGATGATGAAATAGAAGATAAAATGAGAAATTTTGTATCCGATAAAACTAATAAAGCATTTTGGATTCTGGGTGATTCAGATGTATGTATAATTACTGGAGCAGTATTTATAGGTGTTATTTCTCTTGAAAAAAAAAATATTTGATGTGTAGTATCGAAAAGTAATATTTTATTTGTTGAACATATTATAATATGATAATTATGAATTATTTCTAGAAAAATTGGTGCTGATAAATCTTCTGTAAATTCTGTTTTTGATCTAAATTTAATGCTTGAAGATGTTAATATGTACGTAAAAAGATGAGTTGGTGTAAGATGATAAATAATATTTTTTTCAGTTAAAGTAATTTTGTGAGTTGTATCAAAGTCCTAGACGGTCATAAAAATATTTTAAGTAATAAATTAATAAATTACCTTGGTCAATATTCCACCTATGGTATTAAGTTTTTTGCATGTTGTTTCTCTTATTTGAAAAATATCAATAATGAGAATTCGTAAGTTTTCTATTGAAATTTTATATATAATATTTTTTTGGTCACTTTTTGTTGAAAAATTTCCATTAGATAAATTTTTAATTTGTCCGCATCCAATCATATTAGGAATACTAGTTACTGTTTCATAAATAACATTCAAAGTAAAGCTGTATTGAATAAGTTCTCCTGATTCTAAAAACGCAATAATACAGTTTTTCAGTAATTGGATGTTTATAATTTTGGATTTAGTATTTGTAAATTTAAATTGTAGTCCGTCTAAACTAGGTTTTTCATTCCATAAAAGTAATTTAGGAATCCTTGTGAATGCCTCTATTGATCCTACTATTGTTATTCGTTCTTTATTAATTCCAGTGTGAGTAGAAATAGGCGCGCAGGAAAATTGCGTGTTTCTATCTACTGGATAATTTGCAATTATTTGACCAGAACTTGCCTATGTCAAAAGTTAAAGTCATTTTTTGCAAAAAGTAAGAGACTGACACTGTATATGTTGATTCCTATTTCATTAATAGCTACTATTATTTCTTGGTAAGTTTCAGGAAAAACTTTTGCAATATAATATTGTTTTGTAAAGTTTGAATTTATAGGATGTGGAAGTTTTGCGAGAAAATAAGGCTCAGAAATAGATCCCATATACTACAACATAGTAATATATTTAAGGATTTATTTAATTTAGATAAACTTGTTTTTCAATCAAAAAAACTTTCGATTAAGATTGTTTTCAGAAGTTTTTTTGTTATAAATTATTTAAAAAAATTAGAAATAGTTTTTTTTTTATTTGGAAAAGTGTATTTGTTTCTATACTTTTGTATTACATTAGTATATAAAAATATATTATTGAAAAATTTTTAAATAGTGTTTTTAATAGCTAAAATTGATATGTAAAAATGATGTAAAATAATATATAATATTGATGTAATGAAAAAAATTAACAGTTTGTGTTATTTTAATTTCAAAAATTAGAATTTTTATATTTTGTTTTTTAGTTTATAATTAGTTTATAATTAGTTTATAATTTTTATTAAATATTTTATATTATTATTAGGAGTAATATAAATTTTATAGGTTTTTATTTTCTTAGAATTGATTTTTATATTTAATATGATTTAAAAATATATTTTAGAAATGTTAAAATTCTATAATATCAAATATACTATATATATATATGTTATAGATATTCAAAAGCCAACGTTATTTTATATATTTAACAGTAAAATAATATGAATAACAATGATTAAATCAACAATATAAATGATATGTTTATATGCTAATAGTCTTAAAAATTTGTATTCCTATAGAACTTGTACTTATAAGACATCCTGGAATTTGAGGGTGCCAGTGAGTTTCTTTGATATCTTTACCGCCCATATGTATAAACATTAGTTGACTAGGTATATGATCAAGACCTTCAGCCTCTTTTGTAAATTGATCTTCATCATCTATTTCTACTGATAAATCCCATAATGAGACATGACTATTGTCTGATACTGAAATAACTGATTTTTCTAATGGATGCCATTCTATAGATGTTATAGGAGCAGAGTGCCACGAAAACGAAGCAATAGAAGATGGTGTAGATGAGCTATATTAGTCAATTTAATATTTAAAAGGAAAAAGTACCTTTGAAATGTACGTAAATCCCATATATTAAACTTTCCGTCATCAGCACCACTTGCCATTAAATATGAAACATTTTTATTCCAACTAATAACATTTATATCTACATTAGTGTAAATATTAACACTTAAGGCTGGCTTATGTTCTTTATTTCGTATATCCCATATTTTTATAGTTCCATCGCTACTTGCACTAGCAAATACATTTTTTTCTGAAGGAGACCAGGCAAGATCTTCAACTGATGATGTATGTCCTAAAAATGGAGTTTTTTCTGTAAACCATGAAGTTTCTGAAAGAGATGTTAAATAAATGTATCCATTATTATCACCGGAAATGAGAAAGTTATATGATGATAATGTATTCCAATTAATTGCATAGCCTTCTGTTTTATGATTTGAAATAGTATAAATAGGAAAATTATTTTCTTTTGCAATACAAGTTCCTGGATTATTAATTGATGATATGTGAGGTGTAATGTTCCATATATGTACTTTTCCTGTTTCACTAAATGATGCTGTAAAATAATTTTCGTTTCTAGAAAATGCTCTAATACAATTTGTGGTCCCAAAAGTAGGTAAAGATCTATATTCAAGTATAGGGTCTTCGTCTATAATAGAATCATTTGAATCAATTGATGAATTTTCTATTAAAATATTAACTATAATTTTCTATGTATTTTTGTAAACTTACCATTATATTGAGTCTTGCATAGATGCGATAATTTTATAACATTAATTACATTGTTTTTTTTAGTATCTGCTTGACTACCTGATACAAGATACATAGTTACAGGATACTTTAAACTATAAATACTTTTATATATCACTAGATATTTAAAACTTACTCTAGTTCTTTCTATACCTAAATTATCTTCTAAAATATCAAAGCTTAAACATGGCCATTGAACACTGATAGAATGAAGCATTTCATATGCAGATTGATCTGGTTCAAGAATTTCGTCTTCTTTCAATGATCGAGATGAGGGAAGGTATACATTTGTTTTATCATGAAATAAGTCTATATTTGCTATCAGATATATTTTATTAGAAAAAATACCTTCGTTATCTTCTATATACTCTTGTTCGCTTTCTATTTCATCTTCCCATGGGTCTTCAAATTCGCCTATACTATTGTCGCTTTCTTTAGTTGTATCTTTAGAGAAAGTTTTTGAGAATTCGTTTTCTTTAAATGATCCTGATCCTTTTCGTTTGTGCATGATTATAAGTTTAAATTAAGATTTTTTTGAATATTTAATGTTTTCTAACAAAAAATTTACGATAATAACGAAATATTCATGTAAAAAGATTTTATGTTAATTAAAATAAATGGTCTAATAGATTGTATAGAATATAGGCTATTTATAGACTATTGGGGTATTTTTTTTAGAATTTCCGGCAATGGAGGATTTACAGTTTCAAAAATCATATATGAAACTGTTCAAGGGATATATAAAGACATATTTAAGATTTACAAAAAAATATACATTTATTGGGCTTTTGTTTCCTTTGGCATTATCATATGTGTCTTATTTTCTACGAGGAAAAGGTTCTGATGATTTTCTATATCCTTTTTTATTTTTATCATATCCTATTTCAAATACATTTCCATTACAATATGAAAAGGGATATAAAGATATGTTTTTTGTCCTCTTTCATATTATTACGTTTACATTTTTAAGAGATTTTCTGATGAATATGTTGATTAAACCTATTGCTGAGAGAATAAATGTTAAAAAAAATAAACTAAAACGTTTTATGGAGCAGGGGTATAGTCTATTCTATTTTTTTATGTCTTCGATCTTCGGAATTGTGAAGTCTAGCGTTCCTGGGATTGTTTTGTTGCTAATTTAAATAGTATATTATGTTTAAAACTCGAATTTGGTATTTTAATGTTGACGCCTTCTATGATGACTATCCACATAAAACACATACTGTATATTTTAAGGCATATTATCTTTTGCAGTTTTCTTATTGGGTCCAGCAAACAGTCATTTTGATTTTGAAACTTGAAAAACCAAGAAAAGATTATAAAAGATTTCTAGTCCATCATTTTATAACTCTTATGCTTATTGGTTTGAGCTATCGGTTTCATTTTACATATCTTGGACTAGCAGTGTTTATTACCATGGATACTTCTGACGTATTTTTGGCAGTAAGATCTGTATGTTTGTTTTATTGTATTTAATGTTTTAGTTAGTAAAGCTAATGAATTACACACAATGCAAAGGGCAAGGTCCTGTTTTTGGATTCTTTATTTTTCTATGGATTTATGGACGCCATTATTTGAATACTGTTTTTCTTTATTCTATTCTTACTAGTTTTAAAACAATTGGTCCATATGAACTTTCATGGGAAAAAGGGCATTATAAGTGTTGGATTAGTCAGATCATTATATTTGTGTTATTACTTGCATTACAAGTTGTGAATATCTGTTGGCTAGTTCTGATTTTGCGCATTGCATATTTTTTTGTTATACATGGTAAAGCTAAGGATGATAGAAGTGATGAGTAAGTTCTACCTTTTATTTTACTTGTTTAATATGTTTAGTGATGATGATGAGTTTTCAAAAAAAAAAGATGAGTAATTTTTTTTTACTTTTTTGGTATGTTTTCATATGTTTTCCTGTTATTTTGTTATCATTTTATTATTATTTCCGTTTATATAACATGATACTCTAATTTTTATATGTATTTTTATTGTAATTATTTCAGTGGGTTGTATTTTAATACTTAAATTTACATGATTTTATATAGTACATTTGTAGCGATCTTAACAAGTCTCCGTGGCGCAACCGGTTAGCGCGTTCGGCTGTTAAGATTCTATAACCGAGAGGCTGACAGTTCGAGCCTGTCCGGGGACGTATTTTTCGAAAATGATCTTTTAAAAAGGTGAATTTTATTTTTAATGTTGTTTAATATATCAGATATTTTTTTGATAGAAAAGCCGTTTTTCAAATGAATCATATAAATTTATATAATTTTTTAAACTATTAATATTGTTTATGTAATGTTTTTATAAATGCATTGTTGTATCTATTAGTGTATTATTAGTGTAAGATAATTAAAATAAAATAATATAATTAGTATTTAATAATTTTTTAAAGAACGTTCATATATTTTAAACATTTGTCTTTATAATAATATGAGTTTATTTTATAAGTAAATTATAAATGAATGTTTTATAAATTTAAAGTTGTAAGTGCATAAAGATATATGTTCATGGTATTCGTAGTTCTTAGATGAAATAAAGCAATATTATTAACTTATTGGTATGATAGCAATTTTTTAATCTTTTTTGTTATTTCTTATATAGATTTAAAGTTTAAGGTTGAACCCTCTCGGCACTTAAAGTGTTAAGTTTTGCAGAAATATAGATTAAAAGAAAAAAATTTATAAAAAGTAATGAAAATATTTTTATTTGTATTTTAATCATATAAGAAATGTTTATTGTTTAAAATGTCACTTTTATCAGAAAATGACTGTTTTGTGAAGACAATTAAGAATTTTAATAAAAGGCCTTATTTGTTTAGAAAGGCTTCTCTTGAAGATGAAGTAACTAAAAACGATGGAATGTTGCTATCATATGTTCAAAAAAAAAAAATTGATCAACAATCTAAGAAACATTTACTAGGCATATATCAAAATTAAATTATTATGATTTTAACAACTTTAACAGATGATAGAGATGTTCCTTTTGTCTATCATGAAATGTTTGATCTTCTTAATAAAAGTAATGGAATGACTTATAACACTTTACGCAAAACAGTTGAGTCTTCTGGACTTCCTCATCATGTAATAGAACGTATTATAAATATAATGTTTCTTAGGATCAATGAGGACACATTGATTTCTAGACATCATTTTTATTTAGTTTTTGCTTTAGTTGGGATTTCTCAAAATGGTGAATATCCAAGTATTGAAACATTGGAAAAATATAAAAATAGTAAGTATTTTTTTTTTTGTATATTTAAAAGATATGTTTTAGATCTTCCTATTCCGAAGTTTCAAAATATAAATAATAGTCAGCTTGTATTATCATATGATAAAATACTAGAAATTAATAATTTTTTATCTGAATTTATTTTAAATTCTAAGCAAATTCTTAGTTCTAGCCCTAGTTTAGAAGGAACAAATAATATTCAAGAACATATGTCAGTATACATTAATAATGTTAGTGGACCGAATGCTTATCCATTGGTTACATCTAATTTCTGGAATTTTAATTTTATTATTGATAACGTTTTTAAAGATAACAGAGAACGTTCTTTTTTATATAATATTTTTAATATTTTAAATCCCAAACAGGTTCTTTTTTCGGTTGATCGCATAAATATTCAATTAGTCTCTAAAAAAGAGGGTTTTCTTTTATTTAAACACATTAATTATATTCTTTTTAGTGTAATTCGTAATTCTCGTGTTATTCGTCGCTATAGTGATTTTTTATGGTTTATATCGATATATTTTGTTATTTTTTATTATTTTAATATATTTAGGCTTCAAGAATGTTTAATAAAAAAATATCCTTTTCGTCAAGTGCCTTTAATGCGTAATATTTATTTATTTGTATTGTAAATACTAATTACGCTTTAGCACCAAAATGTTTTTCTGGTACTATATTTGATCTTTTATATCTTAATGTTCATTTTATTTTTAGTAAATGGTCACTATTTATCGGTAGATTCTGCTTTTTTAGAAAGAAGACGTAGAGGGCTTTCTAGATTTATAAATGCAGTAGTTCGTCATCCTGTATTTAGGGATGATCCATTAGTAATAGCTTTTCTTACTGTTCCTAGCGTAATTTTTTTATATTTATCTTTTTAAGTTTATGTTAGTAGGAGCTTTCTTTATGGAAAAAACAATTTGTTTTAACCATTCGTGATGAATTTGAAGATAAGGTTATGGATGATGATTTAGGATTGAATTTTCCTTCAAGTTTTGATGAAATTATTGTGAATATTAGAAAAACAATAAATTTTCAGATTGATAATTATATGTGAGTAGTAATTGCCAATTACACTTTTTAATTTTTAAAGCCAATTATGTTTGATTGTGGAACGTTTGTTGAAATATCAAGAAGGTAGTTTTATAATATTGTTTTCGTTAATATTGATAAATATAGAATCTGCAACAGAAATGATGTTATTTTCATTATGTTTGAAGTAGTAATTAAATAAATATAATTTTATATTAAAAAAAATAGTGCTCTTTCTGAAAAAAATAAATTTTATTTTACTAATGGAGTAATTAATGATTTTATTTCACACATTAATCAAGGAATCTCAGTTGTGTCTAAACATTTTTTAACAGCACAAGAACTTCTAGAAGAAGAAGCTAAAGTTCTAAATGAGGAAATATTAGAAGATTTGAAGTGTCAAAGAGATGGTCTTATAGCAATTAAAGTAACTTATAATTTATCAATAACTTTTTTTTGATAATTTAAAGAATATGTTTGATAGGAAAGACAGATTAGATATTGATAATATTTCTTTCCTTGAAAAACGAGTAGATAACAATTTAGATAAACTTTCTAGTTTGAACGTAAAAGTAGGCATGAATTTGTTAGACAAGGAAAAAATTGAAAAATTTATTATGAAAGTAAGTTTATTTTTGTATCAGATTTTCCGTATTTTAAATAATTAAGGATAAAGAATTGATAGCTACTCAAAAATCTCGCCGTTTTCTCGTTAATAAATGTATTTTAACTGAAATAATTTACTTCCAGATTAGTCAAATTTATATAGGGAAATTATATAAAGATTATGCGCAGGAGCGTATAAAATATACTGAGTTACTTGCAGAAAATTGGCGGAGTATGGAAATTCAAATAGCATCTATGCCTTCTGCATTTATTTGAAATTTGTTTTGAAAGTTAGAACTAGTATTTACTTAATTTATATTGAATTCTATTGATTATATTTGGACTATATTCGCCTTATTATGTGCTTTAATGCTTAATAATATCTATTTGCATTCATAAATTAATAAAAATAAAAATAGGTTTAGAATAATTAAAAAATGTCGAATATAATTAATGACAAATTAATTCAACATTAATGTATTTACTGCTTACTATCAATATAAAATTATAAATGTTAAATCTATTTGCAAGGAAAAGTTGTTATGTTTTCTTATAATGTATTATCGAATGTATTGGGCGTATCAGACTCTGTTTTAATTTCTTGAATAGAATTAGAGAATTGATTTAAAGTAATAGGTTTCTTGATTTGTTTTAACATAAAAACTATTCTTTTTAGTATATAAAGAGAAGTTTTGGTTTATACTAGGTTTTTTTTCATTTTTTTGTAATTTTTGGAATAATAATAAAGGTTTTTCATTAAGTTCTATGTATCTCTCTAGAAAATATTAAGAAAAATGTAAAAGTAAATGAAATAATACCTTTATTATCATAATATAAAACTAATGCATATTCTTTCCAGTCTGAATTTATTTTATATTTCTTTAATGCAGCAAGTAAAACTTTTCGACATGGATCATTCAGCCCAACACGGAAAGATTTAAACATTTCCATACTTTCATGTGATTTTTGAGATGTAACTGGTGACTTGTTTTCTTCATCTACTGGATATTCTTCTTTAATTTTATCAGAGCTTTTCCGAGTTGCTTCGAGAACTTGATTATTTTGAATAGTTGATGTCAAAAATCGCTAAAGAGCTTAGTTAATAAATTATTCATTTTATTTACTTACATGACTTTGTGTTTTTCCTGTAAATATTGGTGAGTCGAGTTCAGAATCTATCTGTATAGGGGATATCTGAGAATGAGTAGGTATAGTTTTTAATTCTAAAGGGTTCTCATGGAATTTTTTATTTAATGATAATTTGTCATAATTGAGTGTTGAACTTTCTGATTTTTGAAAATGCTATTTTTTTTTAAGAATCTGAATATAAATATTTTTAGAAACTACTTTGAAATCTTTAATAATTTTAAAAATAGAAGCTATATCTTCTTGGACTTTAGATAAATTCTTTTTCAAAATTTTTATTTCCTCTTCAAAATTGTTTAAGTGTTTGTCTATGAATTATTAAAATATAACTGTTTTAGCAAATGAAAAATACTATGAGAACGGATAGCTTGTGTTAATCTTGAAATTTCACTAGATCCTAATCTATCGTATTCATTAAATTCGTCCATTTCTACTGCTTTAATTTTCTCGTATTTATATTTCAAAAAGTTATAGATACTTACAAATTGGTATATAATGCTCCGGCTCAATAAGAATATCTTGATTAACCTTGATACGATATATTGCTTTAAGGAAACTTAGTCGATGACCTGCACTCAAAATTCCTATTTCTTTGAGTGATTCATGATCTAAGTGTATTAGAATATCTCCTGATATATTGTTTTCTGTTAAATTTCAGATAAATACATGTATTATTTACTAAATAAACCTTGGAATTCCTTTTCATATTGAGAAAAATTTATATGTTTTAGCCACTGAACAACTTCTTCAACGCTCCATGATGTAATTGTTTTTTTTAGTAGTTTTAAAGATTCCATTTTTAATTTTAAGTTTTTAAAAAATATACGTATTTTATTTTTTAAAACAGTCCACAATAAATTTAAGATTTTTTATTTGAATATATTATTGGTTATTTAATATATTTTTTTTATTCTGTTTAAAATAATGATTTTTTGATTTTACTTTAAATTTGATTCATTGTTTAAAAAAAGGATTTTTTGCGTTCACGCAAAGTTTTTAAAATAACTTAAATCATAAAGAAATGAAAATATGAATTAAGATAACATTCATTAGTATTGGTGATTGTATAGATTTTAAAAAGAATATGATTTTTTACTTAATGTTTGAATGATTTTAGAAGACAAGTTAAGCTACATTTTGAAATCTGAAATTTCAAGTTTAGTTATTTTTTTTAAGTATTTGTTTTTTTTTGATCTTGAGATGTAATTATGAAGAAGCTAATTCTTTTGAGTTTTCTTCTAAAACATTATTGCAAACGAACGTTTTGTATTTATAATCTTAGTGTAATTTTATTTCAAAAGATATTAATTTAGATGCAATTGGACCTTTTCAAAATCAAAAGAGTTTAGAGACCTTTAATAATACTCGTTTTCTATTTGATTAGTTCAGTCAAGTTTTTATGGAATTAAATACCAAAAATAGTATATTAATTTTATGACATCAGAATCTAGATGACTTAGTTTTTAATTGTCTAAAAAAATGAGATAGGTAATATTTTTGAAAAATTTTTAAAATTATATTTTGTTATGGATATATGTTTTTCTTGTGAAATTAATGATTCCAACTGTTGCAATACGTCATATATATTACTTTATGTAGCGTCTGTTTTTGCATCCACTGAGTTTCGAAAAAAAACATAATTCTAAGGATCTTTTAGATTATAAAGGTTACTTTATTAAGATCGTAAAATTAAAAGTTGTATTGAGGCCTTTATGAAAATCATTATATCTTTCTTTTATTGAAAAATCAAAGTATTTTTTCATATTTTGGATAATATATTTATTGTTTTTAGATAAGAATTTTAGTAAAAAAGATGGAATAAATTTTTGTAATCAAGATATGGTTTATGGGAAAAAGATTATGGTAAACTATACTAGCATGTTTTGTATGTTTTTATGATATTTTTTATATTTTTTGATCATTGTTGTTAGATTCAAAATCAATTTATTCTTTTTTTATTAAAAATTTTAAATAATGTTTTAATCTCTACTTTAGTTAAGACAAGAACATCCAATACGTCTAGTTTTCTAAAATTATTTAATTTTGGATCTGTATTATGGTCTAGTATTGAAAATGTTTAAAGGTTTTTTTAGTGAAATAATTAAAAATATTTTTTTAAAGAAATGTATTAAAAAAAATGGTAATTTTTTTGAGGATTACTATTTAAAAGAATATGCTACTTTAGTATTTGATCAAGAAAAACTTATTTTAAGGATTCATTTTTTGTATTTTAATTAATTAGTTTATATTATAGAAAAAATTAAATTTTTAGTAACTTCTGTTGTTCCTTATAGTGATTTAAGGTGCCTTTGCTTTGATAAAATATATAAAAAAATGAATAATAGGTTTTCCTGTTTTAATGTTTTTGATACAAAATTCTGGATTTTGAAATATTTTTCAGCTAAAATCTACGAAGTTATTTCTTCAGAATACGAAGTTATGAAGTTTCCTGATTGGTTAGTTTCTTGTAAATTTAAATTTAATGTTACTAGGATATTATGTATGGATATTTCTTTTAAAAGATATATATTAGAAAAAAAATATGGACAAGTATATTTAGATGAGTTTAAAAATAATGGTGGTGATAATAAAGATTCATTGTTTCCTAATGAAGTCAATCGTATTTTGATCATAATGTATATAATTGATTTTTTATTTTTGATATTTTTAGAATTTAGGATATTATTAAAACGTCAAAAAAATCATAACAAGTTATAAATACCGTTCGTGTATTATATGTTGTTAATAGGTCTACATGGTAGTTGTAAAAGTGCTAGCGTATATGCTATAGCAGAAGAATTAGATTTTGAAATATTTGAAATTAATTCTGTTATAAGGAGTGGTAAAGATATTCTAAATAGTGTTGGTGAAATGAGTTAGAGTCACTTAGTTAATTGGAAAAAAGTTGTTAAATTTAATGAAATTTGTTTTAAAATTAAACTGGATTCTTCATTTCAAAAACAGAGTTTAATATTAATTGAAGTTGATATTCTTTATGAAGATAAAAACTTTTGGAACGCTGTTATGAATCTTGTTTATAAATCAGAACGATCTGTTATAATGACATGTATAGGTAATATTTTTTTATTTTATTAATTAGTCAGATATTAATACAATATCTGATGTTTTTTAATCTTAATCAATGATTTATTTTAAGGCTGTTTCAATAGGTCTTGCTGCTAATTATTTATATTTATTTTTCCTTTTTGAGGAATATATTTTTGATAAAGAGTATCTTTTGTTTTTGCATATAAAATAAAAAATGTGATTTGAGAGTATCAATTCTTTAGTTACAATTTTTTACTTAAATAAGGAATAATTGTGAAGTTCTGAATGTTTGTATGGTATTAATATATTTGCATCGGATGTTTGTGGTTCTAAGAAAGCTGCTTTTGAAAACGTATTTTGCCTTTTTATCGAATGGTCTTTTAACTTTTATTAAGTATTGGAAATAGTAATTATTACAGAAAATAATGAGTATTTGGATTTAGTTGATATATTTAAAGATAGTATCAAAAATGTTAAATAATTACGTACAAATTTTTGGGAAAATAGAGATGAATATATTGTTTTTAGATTTTCATTCGGATCTTTTAGAAATGATGTCATTCTGTGATAATTTGTCGATTAAAATTTTTTGATAATTATTTGAATATCTTATAAAGTTTTTTAATGAGTAATAATTAGTTCAAGACTTGTATTTATTTGATTCTAATTATGTATTTTTGGAGAGCTATTGTTATTATTCTGATAATGTTTTTGGTTACAATTCTTTGTTTTCATGAGTTTTATTTGAATGTTTATTAGATAAATTATATTTATATATTTTTAACTATTTTTGTTATTTCATGTTCTGTTTTTTTAGTAAATTTAATGACATTGATTTAGACACATTAAATATTTATTAATAGGTTTTTAATATTAAGTTTTCAAACATTATGTTAAGATTGTGTACCAAGCTGATATAAAAGAGTTAATTATTGATGCTTTAAAAAGTATTTTCTGTTCTTTCTTGTACTTAAAATTGTTAAATCATATCATTTTTGCTCAATTAATGTATTAAATAGTTTTTATTAAATGGTTTTTCTCTTTTCGTTGATATTGCACCATATAGAGATATATGATTTTATAAATCATATAGGAAAAATTATGAAGAATATATTATTGATTATAGTGATAAGAAAACAACTAGAAGCTTGTTAAATGTTTTAACAATTCATAATCTGAGAAAACTAATTAAATATAAAATAAAAGGTGAAAAAGTTATTCTTGATACATGGATAAAATGATTAGTGTTTATAAATTGTTTTGATATAAAATACATATTATTAAAAATTAAAAGGATTAATAGGTAGTCTATTAATGTACATATAATATGAGAAATACGTTCTTGGTGTGTTAATATTGTATAATATGTTAATAATTTTAAACATAAGCTAGAATTTATATAGGGGGGAGTCTGTAGTATGTTAAAATGGTATGGTTAGGGGAAAATTGTCTTACGAATGCCTACATACTAAAAACATTATTAAGTAGATTATTAAAGAGAATTCATACCTGGGCAGATCAAGCGGATTTTCATCCATTTCTCTAAACAGTTGGTGTGGAATAGATGTTTGCAAGGTGTGACCTTTATTAATTATTATGAGTTTGAAAAAATAGAAAATGTTACCATATATGTTCTTCTGGCTAAAACCATTGAAGTACTATTTGTAGTTGAATTTTTATTAATACGTGGTAAAGATATATTTTGAATGCATATAGAACAAATAATACGCCCATTAGAGTTAGAATATGATAACGGTGTTTCAGCGTCCTCAAAAAGGATTGGATGATAATCATATGTTGGATGCAGAAGCTAATATAAACATTATTATATAAAATAATTTTTAAGATTCTTACGTTAGAAGGGATAAAAAAGCGTGGACCAAAAAAATCTTGACTAGCCAGAATACAAATTTGAAACCATAACCAACCAAAAACTCCCCAAGCTATATATAAATTTGCTGGAATAAATAGTATATTTTTTTGATAAGAAAATAAATATATTATAGGAATGATTCTAGTTATGCTCATTCCAATTACGTATGACCAAAGAAATGGTTTTCTGTACCCTTTTAAGCTATTTCGTATGATTTGAGGCCACCAGAATGAAAATGCTATAAAAGTTATTGTATACACAATATATTGTCTTTTATTGGCTGGTAATAACATTATTTGTGGGAAAATCAATACTACCACTAGAAGAAAGAGATAAAATTGAGTATATATTGCACTAATATTATTGCTATTGTTATATTCGCTTTGCTGAGTCCTATTTGTTTGATGTATATGTTCTTGTTGATTTAATGGGATTGTTTCCTCGTTTGTTTCGTGACTAGGCCTTTCTATAGTAGTTATTCTAGTTTCAGGTTGCTGTATGCGATGAATAATAAGCAAATATCTCATTCCAAATATTGCAACAAGTGTAAATGAAAGAAATGAAGTAGTAATAGAAGAAAGAAATATACTGTTATGCGATATAGATGTAGATAAGAAAATTATACATGAATATCCATCTAAAGATGCTTGTATCCAAATGCTCCAAAATGATATTCTAGAAATACTCTAAATTTTATTATTAAGTATACTTTTTTAATAATATGAATTTACAGATGGGGTTGATGTCTCGTTCATTTGCTTTATGAGCAAATAAATTTGTATAATGATCAGAAGATTTTGCCAGAAAGCAATTTTGTTAATATCTGAATAATATTTCTCTTTTTTAATTCCAGTAATGTTGTTAAAATCTAGAGAAAATTTGCAATCAGGAGACATAATAATCCCAGATAATATAATAGGTGGTATTAAAGAGTAAGGAAGACCATTTGGCATTTGAAGATCTTTTTCTATTTCTCTTAATTTAGGCTCTTTATTGTTATGAATAGGAAGAAGCTGTAAATAAACTACAAATTCACAATATTCATTATTACTATCGTTATGAATTTGAATTTTTTTGTTTTTAGAGATACTGTTTTGTAATTGTTTTATTTGTTGTTCTAAAATTTGAGTTATTAATATAAGCGATTTTTGAAAAATGAAATTATTAAATGCAAAAAGAGGAATAGTTATAAGACTTGGAAATTTATATGATGAAGAAGTGAGTATCATTGATCCATTATCTTCGAAATGGATACCCTTAAGACTAATATTTTCATATAAATTTCCGGCTTCATCCTGAATTGATAGAGTTGCATCAGTTATTCGGTTCCCATTAAGTATGGATTCTTCAAAGAATATGCTTAGTAACCCTTTATTATATGACAGCAATTTTTCAAAACGCTTTGCATATTTGGGGATTAATGTACTATTTGAATGAGTAAGGAATTTATGCCATTCACCATGTACATAACCAGTAATGTTATGGTATAAACTTTCTTTTTCTCCAATTCCTTTAGAAAATAATGAACGTTTTTTTTCTAATATAGTGTCTGGAACAGTTGTATCAACCTATTTAAATAATTAGCAGTTGTTCTTGTTTTTTTTAATCAAACATTAGTAATATTTGCTTGAATTCCCAGTGTTAAATTTTTTATAGCCATACTTTATGCTTTAGTAATTTTTAACGTTTTTCTGAATGCACTTACAGATGTCTTTTCTTCTCCTTAAGAACTTCTTCAACTGCTACTTGATGATATGAATTTGTATAATTTGGTATTAATAAAATAAGGAAAATGATAAAAAACAGCCATCCAAGATAGTCTAAGTTTCTTAACATTATTAAAATAGACTAATGTTTTGTTGTTTTTGCATTCTATATAATATTTAATTATTAAAATAATAGTATTAATTTTTTGTAAAATTTATTTTTAAATTTTAAACTTACGGTTATTTATATTTTTATTTATATTTTAGTGTATTTTTGTCTTATAGTCTTTTTTATAAAGATTAATTACTATTTATAGTTTATTGTTAGTATATTGATATGATTTATAAAACTAAAGAAATAATGAATGTTTAATGATTAAAATTTGTATTTTTAAAATAAATGTTTATGTTATAAAATTTATTTTTAAGAATAATTCAAAATATTTTTTTTGATAATTTACAAATTAAAGATATTTTGTTTGAGATGTGTAATAAATGTTTATATGGAGTTTTTTTAGATAATTTTTTGGAGAAATATTATATTTGAAAATATCTTTTTTGATAACTTTTAGAGAGTATAAATGATAGAAACTTTATTAAATTATTAGTTATAATAAGTTTTTATAGAATAAAAGTATTTAATATTTTTTAGTTGTAATTTGTTTTTTTAAGAAAAAGTGTTAGTTAAAGTTTAATTTGAAGATATTATTAGATATTGTTTGTATTTTAAGTTAAATGTTTTTTTGAATATATTAGTAGAATTTTTAATTGAATATAATGATTTTTAGTTTTGATTTAAAAACTGTTTAATATAAAGAAGATGGTGATTTTATATTTTGATGTTTAATAAAGATTTCTTTAGAGGAAGGGCAGTAAGTTTATATTTTTTGTTGATTATTTTTATTATAAGAAACTAAATTTGTAAGGTATTTTTTTAGTTATAGATTTAAATATATTCATATTTTAATACTATAAAGAATTTTACTAATACTTTTAAATATAGTTTTTGATTTAGATTATTTTTGATGTTAAAATTATTTGTATAATTTTAAATTGTTTTTGATTGAAATTTTACGGTTTCTAATAATAATAAGTATAGTATTAATATATATTAAAAAAAATTATTAGTCTACTAATTGTTTTAGGATTTTAATTTTGATATGTTATATTGATTATATAATGAAATTATTATAGTTTTATGATAATATGTCATTATTTTTATGGATCGAGTTCTATAAATATTTTTATTTTAGCAATAAGACTATTTTAGAAGTTTTGGAAGAAACAATATAGAAAATAATTAATTGGTAATTTTAGTATCTGTTTTGAGGTTTTTGATATTAATAGGTTAATAGATTTGCTTATTTTGCATTTTTTAGAGATTAAGTTATTTATTAGTTATTTTTTATAAAATTAAGAGTAGGAATAATAAAGACATCAAATATTATTGTTGATTTTTTACAGATGAATTTTTTTTAAAATTTAGTAAAATAAATTGGTTATATGTTAAGGTTTTTAATTTACACGTTAAGGTTTTAAATCTGTAATTACTGGATATTTATTGATATATAAGGTTCTTTAGAAAACTTCTTATAAAATCTTATTTTTTTGTTTTTATAAAATGAATATTGATTTTAGTAATAGAGTTTATAAATTTATAATCTTTTTTTAGAAAGATGTTAAATTTTTTATTATTTCTGTCCAAATATTGTATATTTTTTAATGTTTTTGAATTTTTTGTATTTGTTTCGATGAGATTATAAATGGTTTTTAGAAATTAAAACGGAGTTTAGAAGACTTAACTTACAGTTTTACTTATCAAGGACGCGTCAAAATATTGATTTCTATTTAGAGGAGTTTGTTATATAGGTTTGTATTTAGTTTAATAACAGTGTATACAAAACAATTAAAAAGAACGTGTACAAATAGCTACACAAACTATTTGACATATTGTTTTATTAGGCCCTTGAAAATTGGATTTATTTTTTTTATGTATCAACAGACGCAGAAAAAACACGATCAAAAATTTACTTGTTCTTTTTCTGGATCACATACTTTAAAAATACCTAATTTTAAACAAACTACGTTGCAAAATATGGTAAATAATGTATCGTCTAATCGTATGATTTCAGAGCCTTTGAAATGTGTGGATGCATCTAGTCTTAATATTCGTTCTATATCTATAACTCGTGAATCTAATTCTGCTTTTAATAATATTTGTAATACCAAAAAAAATCAGAAACATGGTTCTTCAAGTATAAAGTTCCTTGAAACATTAAGCCGTCAGAGTAAAACGTTAAGTACTAGTATGTCTTTGCAGGATGCAAATGACGAGAATTCTGTTGATCGTATATATATCGGTAAAAATGATATTGATGATAATTTAAATTCGGATTCCGAATGTGATGAATCGTTTTATTCTTGGTCCCCTTCGTCATTGGAGTATCAGCATTTGATTCTACCTGAATTTAGAAATAAGTTTTGTAGTGATTGTCAGCTTCCTGATTCTATATCTCGATCTGAATTATCTATGACATCTTGTGAAAACTCTTCTTGTAAAACAAAAATGCATATTCCTTTGAATTTATTAGAAACGAGTTTAGGTAGTCCTGGTGATTCTGTGAAGGATATGAATTTAAAAGTTCAAGCTTTTCATGATAATGAGAATTGTACTTTATTTTCATCGGTTTCTGGAATCCACACTGCGTTGCAACTGGATGAGAAAAATGAAAAGCATCAAAGCTTTGGGAAAAGTTGTCATTTGGATAAAATTGAATGTTCTTCTTTGACTAGTGAATTTGAAATAAAAAATCGTAAAAGAATTGTTTCTGATATATCGAGTAATTCAGATACTTATGGTATTGATGGCATTCAGGATTGTAAATCTGATATTAGAAATGTTCAAAAAGGTTCTATAGGGCGAAATATTAATAGAAAATTTCCTGGTCTTTTTCTTTCTGAAGAACAAAAAACTGTTCTTAGGATTGTTGTTGAGGAACAAAAGAGTATTTTTTTTACTGGATCTGCTGGTTAGTTATTATTCCTTTATTGTTGTATTTAATGTTTCAGGCACTGGAAAATCTATTCTTTTGCGGGAGATTATTGCTTCACTTCGTAAGAAATATTCTAAAGAGCCTGATCGTGTTGCTATTACTGCTTCAACGGGTTTGGCTGCATGTAATATTGGTGGCGTTACTCTTCATTCGTATGCTGGTATTGGCTTAGGTAGAGATTCATCAGAAGATCTATGTAAGAAAATTAGAAGAAATAAGAAGTGTTTATCTAGATGGTTAAGAACAAAGGTTCTTGTTATAGATGAAAGTAAGTTAGGAATATCTTTTTTCGTTTTGTTTAATTTCATGAGTTTCAATGGTGGATGCTGAGTTATTTGATAAACTTGAAAATATTGCTAGAAAATTAAGAAATAATGAAAATTCATTCGGTGGAATTCAAGTACTAAATAGTATGTATATTTAATTGTTTTAATTTATGAAATTATAGGTAATTGTAACTGGTGATTTTTTTCAGCTTCCTCCTGTACCTGATCAAGGGAAAATGGCTAAATTTGCCTTTGAAGCTGAAAAGTGGAAAGATGTTATTTCTCATACCATAGCATTGACTCATGTTTTTCGTCAAAAGGATCAAGGTGTGTGTAAGCATAGCTTCTTTTGATGATTAGTTATGTTTAGATTTTGTTGAAATGCTTAATGAATTGCGTTTGGGACACTTGTCTCATAGTTCTATTAAGAAATTTCGTTCTTTAGATAGAGAACTCCAGTTTGATGATGGTCTTGAGCCTACAGAGCTGTAAGTGGGTTATTTAGTGATTTTTTTGCTCAGTTTAAAGGTTCCCTACACGCAGTGAGGTCGATAAGGCAAATGCAACTCGTATGCGTGCTCTTAGTGGTACTTTACGAACATTTGAAGCATTAGATTCTGGGACTGTTGTTGATAAAGTTCAAAGGGATAAACTGCTTTCTAATTGTATGGCACCAGCTCGAATAGATCTTAAAGAAGGTGCACAAGTAATGTTGATAAAAAATTTCGATGATCAGTTAGTAAATGGGTCATTGGGGAAAGTTATAGGATTTATGAATGAAAAAACATTTCAAATATGGCAAGAGGACGATCCTGATGATGATCTATTTAATTGTCATGAGCAAGCAGATGATTTTAATGTCGATGAGATAAAAAGACGTAAAAAGAGAAGAATAGCAAAAATGCAGTCTGCAGCTGCTACAGGGAAGCTTTGGCCTCTTGTTAGGTTTACTTTGTCTAATGGCTTAACCCGAGATATGTTAGTTCAGCCTGAACAGTGGAAAATAGAGCTTCCAAATGGTGAAGTGCAAGCAAGTCGTTCTCAGATACCACTTATTTTAGCCTATGCAATTAGTATTCATAAAGCTCAAGGTCAGACTTTAGAAAGAGTGAAAGTTGATTTAGGGAGAGTTTTTGAAAAAGGGCAAGCGTTAGTTTAAAAATTATTTTGTATTATTTACTAAAATTGTTTTTAGTTATGTTGCTTTGTCTCGTGCTACTTCTCAGAAAGGGCTCCAGGTTTTGCGTTTTGAAGCACGGAAAGTAATGGCACATCCTAAAGTGAGTTTGTTTTATAAAAGTAAATTATAAAAAAATGTTTTGTTTTATATTTCTAAATTTTTATTAGGCCTTGTAAACACTGTTGATTTAAAAAAAAAAGTGAATATAAGGTCTGATTTAAATAAAAAAACATAGATTATGGTTTTTTTAAAGTTTGTGAATTAAGAATATTTAAAAAAAGTTGTTTATGGATGATAATATTAGTTATTAAATTTATGGCATTTGGTTTAAATATTTTTTAAAGCAGAAGTAGAAAGTAAAAATATAAATTTAAAAATATAAATTTAAATGTTTTTTCAAAAATATATAATTTTTTATTGTTTTCGAATTACGATGTCTTGAATGATAAAATAATATTTCTGTAGAATCAAATACCAAGAATTGTGTTATTTATGCTAAATTTTCTAATGTTTAAAAAGGTTATTAGGAGAGGTAGTTTCAAAAAATTTTATGGACATGTTATAACAAAAAATGCAATTTTTACACAAGCTAATTTATCACTGGTACAAGGACGTTTTCCGCATTTGTTTTATAAATTTCAATATTGTAATCAAATAAGAATGATCTTTTATTTGAATCGGATTTCTCAAAGTAATTTTTTTTTGAAAAAGAATGATTTTTTGAAAAAAATTAAGAGGTTTATATACATCTTAGTAACTTCAGGTTTAATATATTTTGTTTATGGTGTTTATTATTGTAAATTTCTTGGGAATGCCTAAAGTATTTCTAGATGCTTATAAATTTCGTCATCCTTTGTTTTTAATAGAACCTGATTCTAATAAAAAAACTATAGTAATTCTTGGAAGTGGATGGGGAAGTATTTCTTTACTAAAAAATATTAAATCAAATGATTATAATATTGCTATTGTTTCACCTAGGAATTATTTTCTTTATACACGTAAGTTTTTTATTTTAAATTTCTTTTTTTTACATTTCAATAGCACTTCTTCCAAGCTGTACAACTGGAACTGTTGAATTTCGTTCTATTATGGAGCCTATTATATATATGATACGCCATAAAAAAACGAATGTCCGATTTTATGAGGCTAGTTGTACTAGTATTAACCCTGATAATAAAACTATTATAATAAGAGATTCTTCTGGTGTTTATGGTGATGTTAATGAAACTACGTTGTCTTATGACTATCTTGTTATTGGCGTTGGCGCTGAAAACCAAACCTTTGGAATTTCTGGTGTTAATCAATATGCTAATTTTTTAAAAGAAACATCTGATGCTAGAAAAATAAGAATAAAAATTATGGAGTGTATCAAGGCAGCATTGTTTGAAGGACAAACAGATGATGAAAAGCAACGTTTATTGAATATGATTGTTGTAGGAGGAGGGCCTACTGGTGTTGAATTTGCTGCTGAATTGCATGATTTTTTTGAGGCAGATTTAAAAAAATGGTTTCCAGGTATGTTAATAATTGATGGATTCAATAATTTAAAATGATATAGAAATATCAAATATATTTAAGGTTAAACTTATTGAAATGCTTCCATCTGTAGGTATATGTAGTATATTTATATTTATTTATATTGTTTAGGTTCTTCCTATGTTTCCTAAGACTTTAATAAATGTAATAATATTGTTTATTTTTTTATTGCTAAACTTATTTTAATAGTATACTGAAGCTGCTTTCAAGGGGCAAAATATTGAAATACTTACTAGGAGCATAGTAAAAGGCGTTACTGGTATTTATTTAGTCTTATAATAGTTTATATTTTTTAATTACGTAGATAAATATATTATTGTAGAAACGGTTGCTCCTGATAATAAAAAAATGATACAAAGAATTCCATATGGATTGCTTGTATGGGCTACAGGAAATTCTCCAAGAAATGGTTAATAATAAATTTTAAAAAATATTTTTTTTAATATTTTAGTTATTAAGGATTTGGTATCTAAGATTCCTGAGCAGAATGGTAGTTTTAGAGGTTTATTAGTTAATGATTACTTGGTTGTGAAAGGGACAGAAAATATTTGGTATTTGAGCAGAATAATGTTGTATTAGATTAATTTCTGTAGGGCTCTTGGTGATTGTACAGCTACTAAGTATGCTCCTACCGCTCAAGGTTCTTTTTTGTTTTGTTTTAATATTATTTTTAATAATTTATAGTTGCATCTCAACAAGGGGAATATCTTGCTAAATTATTTGATACATTAGCGGAATTTAGAAAAGTTAAAAAAGAAATACGATATCTTGAAAAATTATTAGAAACTGATAGTATTAATTTTGAAAATAAAGAAATGATAAAAAAAGATGTCAATATTAAAATAAAAAAAATGGAAAGATTATCTATTTTGCCTTTTGAGTTTTTATATAGGGGAAGTCTTGCGTAGGTTGATGTTTTATTTAAATTTGGGCTCATAATTTTAGATATATTGGGAATGATAAAGCAATTGCTGATCTTTCTTTTTCAAAAGGGAGTTTTTCCATGTTTGGAACTGTTGCATTTTTATTTTGGAGGTTTGTAGATATTTAACTGAAATTTATGTTTATTTTTTTAGATCTGTTTATGCAAGTATGCTTTTTTCTTGTAATTATTTATTTTTGATAATGTTTTTGTCTAAATTGTGGTAGTACGAAATAGAGTTCTGGTTTGTTTAGACTGGATTAAAGTTTCTATCTTCGGGAGGTAAGAAATCAAAATGCGTTTATTTATTTATTTAATATTTATTAGAGATGTAAGTAGATTTTAAGTTATTTGAAATAGTTCATTGAGATTTTTATTTTATGTTTTTAATATAATAGAAAGATAATAAAATTATGTTTATTAGATTCTGATTGTTTTTTTATGTGATTTTGTGTTATAATTGGATTATATTGTTATTTAATAATTATTTTTAAATTAAAATAATCATTGTTTTTATTAAAAAGAATTATTTATTACATTTAGATTGTTATATTTTTAACGACTTATTTTTTCGTAAGTATCAGTATTATTTTGTTTCTTTTGTTTTATTATCTTTATATGTATTTAGTGTATTAATTTGAAGTATTTTAAAAATAAATTTATCAATATTTGTAAAATTTTGAAAGTATATATGTTAAACAAAAGATGAAAATTATATGTCAAAATAGTGAAAAATTTAAATTTACATATATAATTTGATTTTTAGTTTTTTTTAAAAAATGTTTTATGAGAAAATACTATTAAAGTTGCAAATTATTAATAATTTAACAATAAAATATGTTTTTTATACTGTATTAGATAATATTTTTTGACAAAAAATGCTGAAAATATTCTTTAAGTATATTAAATATAAAATTGATAATTTTTCAATAATTAATATTTTTAAAAGTAATTATGTTTACATATAAGAATGTGAAATAATTGTCCAAAAAATAGAAATAAAAGTTATAATTTGGAATAATATTATAATATTAGTGTAGATTTGTAATTTTTTATCTTTTTGGTGGAGATATTAAAATTACTGAATCTCCTCGTACCTAAATATTGATATTTAATGATAAAAAATAAATAAAAGTACAACATACAAATATCATTTCGGAGTGTTTTTTTTTAGTCTGTCATAATTATTTTATGTATAATATAAAAAGTTATATACACTAATATGTTCTTCGGTTTCATCAATATCAACTATATAAACTGTTTCTTCCACATCGCTTAAAACCATATTAAGATGGCTATCGTAGGCCTAAGTAAAATAAATATATTATATTTCATAAATAATACATATTGTGCTTACATGTAATCTGCCTTTTATTTCTCTGTCTCCTCGTAATTTAACATAAACTCTTTCGTCTAAAGAAAGCCTAACAAGATCTAAAGGCTCTAAAACCTATAGATGTTACATTGTTTTTTCTATGAAAAAAATTTTACTGATGTATTATCTGTTTCAATTCCAATATCGCTCATACTTGGTTTTTTTCTAATTATCGATGAAAAACAATTAAAATATGGATTTTTAAAGAATTTTAGATTTTTAGAATAATTATTATGTTTTATCCTTTAAGGCTATTTCGAGCTTTGGGTTTTGGTAATAGATACGTTTCCTTTCTTGGGTCTTTTAATAATCCTTTAATTAAAAGAGTGATTTTTAAAATTTTTGTCAATTTTGAAATTTATATTTATGTTAGGCTAAAAGAGTTGGAAGAGGGCCATCTTCTGGGAAAGGGAAAACATGTGGAAGGGGTCATAAGGGTCAAAAGGCTAGAAGTGGAAACAATAGAGTTAAACCTGGTTTTGAAGGCGGTCAAACACCTATTACCAGATTATATCCTAAACGTGGATTTGTGAATATGTAGTGTTTAATTAATTCTATAAAATGTTTATTTGTATTAGGGATTCAAAAAAATTTTCTCCATTAAACCTTCAACGTCTCCAAGTTTGGATTGATAATGGAAGAATAGATGTAACGAAACCAATTACCATAAAACATCTTTATGATTCTAATATTATTCATGGAATAAAATCTGGAGTAAAATTACTGGCTAATGTATTTCTTTGCTAATATTTTTTATATACTGAATTATTATAGGGCAAAGAATTTTTTAATACACCTATAGAAATATATGTCTCAAAGGCTTCTAGAGAAGCTATTAAAAGAATTGAAGCGGTTGGAGGGAAAGTTACCTGTGTATACTACAACTATTTAGGGTTGAGAGCACATCTTCACCCAGAAACTTTTAAAATTATTCCTAAACAGGCTCTACCAATAAATAAATCTAACATTCAATATTATAGTAATAAGGTGAATTGTGGATATTTAGCATCCACTTAATATGCAAATAAGTATTTTTAAATGCGAATTGTGATTAATTAACGAATATTTTGATTATAATTATTACCAGTTATCGAAGTTTCCAAATTTTCCTCTTTTTTTTTGCAATTCAGATGCTATAGGTTTATTAATTGCTTCTGTAGTTTCTTTGTCTATTTTATTTATTAGGTTGTTTTGTTTTAGATACTTCCCTACGATTGAATTTTGCTGAATATTTTTATTTATGATTAAAGATTTACCTGTCCATGTTGTTGTGTTATGATCTTCTTTATAATTTATGCTTTTTTGTTTTTGTTCTTCTAAAAGTTGTGTTCTCTTAAATTCTTCAAAGGGATCTATGAAGACAATAATATCTGCTATTATTATATCTGAAATAGGCTTATTTGATGAATCTACCGGACTATTTTCCATTTTATCTAAAGTATCCATTCCACCAACTACTTTACCAAAAACAGTATGTTTACGGTCTAAACTTTTTGTTTCTTTATAAGTTATAAAACTAGAAATATTATTGGTATGTATTAATAACAGTAATGTATATAATATACAATTGTGATGAGTTTGTGTTTTTTCCTTTGTTAGCCATACTAAGTATTCCTCTTTCATTATGGCTTAACGGGCCTTGGATTTCATCATTGAAATCATGTCCCCAAAATGATTTTCCTCCTCTTCCTGTCCCTGTAGGATCTCCTCCTTGAATCTAATATATATTAGGATTTAATAATAAATAAATATGAATATAACCATAAAATTTTTGATATTCTTATGAAATATTACATTTTTATAATCACCACGTTTTGCGAGCATAATGAAATTATAAACAGCTTTAGGTGCCCATTTTGCATTTAATTCTACATTGATATTTCCTTTTAAAATTATTTGATTACATTTATATGGGAGAAAATTTTACCTAAATTTGTTTGAATTCTAGCATATCCTTTTGTTTTTATTTTTTTAGGTATTAGCATATAATCTTCATCATTATATAAAGCTCTTTCCAGAGATGTAACGGGTGTAAGAGATGTACTAGTAAAACTTGCAGCTGCAAGACCAGTAGTGTATGGTGCTAAATTATATAGTACTTTTTTTTGTTCAGAATATATTAAATTATTTTCTGATTCTTTAAGATTTAAACATATTTTTTTATTTTCTGGAATAAGGTTTATGTTATAACTATTTTCAAACACCGATTCTGAATTTACAGCCTATTGTAATTATTACTATTATTATAAAAAAGTTATAGGATACCCTTTTTGTAATGTGTATTTTGGACTCTGATCGTTTGTCATTATTTCTTTGAATTTTTATAGGATTAGTATCTTCATTAAAATGTTTTAATTCCGATACTTTATGATTCTGAAGATTATATGGATTCTAAAAGCTATTTAATGTATTTGAATTTATTTTTGCTATTAAACCTGAATAGTGATGATATCGTTTTTTGTAAATAATTCATTAGTTAGTAAATCATTCATGTTTTTAGTTTTAAGGTTCAGATTATCTACAGCATCCCATGAAAATACATTTCCAGATGTTCTTATTGCAATAATATGAGTATGGTTATTAAATATTTTATATGTGATTGGGCAGCAATACTCCCCTTTTTCATTTTTATAAAATTTCAATTTTAGAAGGGATTTCGTTTCTAGTTTTTCTCCTGTTATTGGATTTGTTTTATGTTTTTTTATATATGGAATTATGTGTCTTGAAATATGTTAGTTATTTTACTTTAATATAATTATATAATACAGTAATTCAAAAATAGTAGCTTCATTTGCTTCATTTATAGTGCATACAGGATTTTCAAATGGTTGCAATGATAAGTTGCAGTATTGAAAAGGTAATCGAGAAAAAGATTGAATTATTTTTCTTTTTGTAATCCCACTAGCTGCACTATGTTGTCCATCTATTCCAGACCATTCAGAATTTGTTATGTATAGCTTTTTTGTTAGTTTAATTTAAATAATTTTATATTAAATTACTTTATCTGTATTTTTTCCCATATTTTAAATATGATATTTTAAATTTTTTAGGTTATAAAATTATCGTTAAGAACAATGAACCAAGATATAAATAGCTTGTTTATCGCAAGTCGTAGATCCGAGCTTGCTATAATACAAGCTAAACACGTTTCTAAAGAGCTAAGCTTACTTAATAAAACATATCAATTTTCAATTGTTACTATTGATACTTTAGGCGATTTGGTAATATCAAAGCCTTTGTACCAATTCGATGGGAATTCTCTTTGGACAAAAGAATTAGAAAAATTAATGGTAGACAAAAGATGTTCTATGGCAGTTCATAGTTTGAAAGATTTGCCTACTAATCTTCCTGACGGTTTTGTAATTGGTGCTATATTAGAAAGATTAGATCCTAGAGGTTATTAAAACATTTATTTTATTGAATATTTATTTGGATCAGATGCTTTAGTTGTTAAAAAGGGATTAAATTATAAGTGTCTCAAAGATCTTCCTGAGAAATCTATTGTTGGTACTAGTAGTATTCGTAGAATTGCTCAGCTTAGAAGGAATTTTCCAATGTTACTTTTTAAGGATATAGTAAGGTATTATTTTAAGTAAGGATATACTGAATATTTTAGAGAGGTAATGTGTATGTATTTTTTGTGTTTTAGTTAGATTTATCATTTTAAATATAGCACTACTAGAATAAAGAAATTAGATGATCCTAAATCGCCATATACATGTCTTATTCTTGCATCTGCTGGATTGTTACGACTTGGTTTAGGGGATCGAATTGTCGAAAAGCTTGAATCGCCTATATTATTGCATGCTGCTGGACAAGGTGCTATTGGAGTAGAAGTCAGATGTGATGATATTATTGTGCAAGATTTATTGAAACCTTTAAATCATACGCCAACACTTTTATGTTGTTTAGCTGAAAGGTCGTTAATGAGTAGGTTAGAGGGAGGATGTAGTATTCCTATAGGAATTCAAACTAAATTTGATGGAAATTTACTTAAGATGGAGTCTATAATCGTAAGTTTAGATGGTACTGAATCAGTGAGTTCTAGTATGTCTATGGAAGTGTTGAAACATGATGATGCTGTAAAACTTGGAATTTTATTAGCAGATGATTTAATAAAAAAAGGTGCATTGGAAATATTATATAATATTAAAGGTTATGATCCTATAAAAGTATAAATGAATAGAGTTACAGTTATAAGCATTTGAATGTAGTATGTGTAATTTCTTGAAACTTTTTTATAAAATTAGGTTTATTAAATTTATTCAATAGTTTATTTTTTTAGAAATAACTTTTTATATTTTTCAATTAAACTGTTTTTATTTAATCCTATAGAGCTAATGCCCTATTATTGTATTAGTTATTGTATATCTAGTATGAAATTTAATATTTGTTTTAGAAAATTGATATTTTAGAGAAAAAACATTCACTAAATCTTTCAATTGATGTTCTTCTGAATTTCAAGATGGCGAAAATCTAATTTCAAAATTTTTTCAATGATTGGATTTAATTATAAAATTTAATTATAAAATATTAAAAAAATAATATAAAAAATTTTGGTACGTTTAAAAAATAAAGTTTTAAAATATAATTTAAAATATAAAGGTTTGATAATTTTTATAATTTTTAAATTTGAGTCTAGAACTTTAAATAATTTGATTTGAAGTTTTCATGAATAATTATTTTATAAGATTATTTAATTATTAAATTTTTTTTAAACTTTTAAAAGGTTTTTACGAGATTTTGAAGATATGGAAATTAAAATGACTGATGGAAATGTTCAGAAGAATTCTTTAACAAAAGAAATGAAAGTAAAATTGAAAATGGAAAAAAATCTTAGAAATTCTTGTAAAAATTTCCCTGAAGGCTTTGAAAAGAAAGATTTTCCTTATTCAATTAACAATAATGAAGACTCTAGTAAAAAACAGTTAAAAAGTTTTCAGTTAGCTCATAGTATGTTTTTTAAATTAATTAATATTTGTTTAAAATTATAACATAGACAATGAGATTGTGTTTAATAAGCAAGTTTTTTTATTTAACCATTTGGATGGGAATAGAAGAATTAATACCCAAGGGACATCTAAGGATATACATCCTATAATTCTAGCATTGGGTTTACAATATTCTGAATTCAAAATATGTGGGTCTAATGCCAGATGTATTTTTATGTTAAATTCATTTAAGCAGGTAATTTAGCTGTTGAATATATTTGGATATTAAGTAAATGAATATATTTAGGTAATTCAGGATTATCATACGCCGGCAGGAACTACATTACAGCGTCATTTGCAATCATACATTAATCTTCATATTGCCCATCTTGTTTTATCAAGACCTCTTAGTGTTAGTATGAGGAATGCTATAAGGTTTTTAAAGTTAGAAATATCAAATTCGAGTATAGATCTTGCAGAAGATGAGGTTTATATAACTATAAATGTAAATAAATTAATTATGAAAAAGGCAAAAAATCTTCTTATAAAACGTATAGATCGTTTTATTAGAGATAGAATTACTGTTGCAGATCAAGTTATTATTGCTGCTGGACAAAATAAAATTAATAATGGCGATGTTATTTTAATTTATTCAAGGTAGTATACTTTTTTTCTGTATCTCTAATATTTTAAATAGATCCTCTATTGTTGAGCAAGTACTTATAGAAGCTTATCAACGCCACAAGTTTTTTCGTGTGATCGTTGTAGACTCGCGTCCAGGTTTTGAAGGGAAAGAATGTGTTCATAGGCTTTCAAAAGTTGGTATAATTTCAACTTATTTAACTATTTCTTCTCTTTGTTATATTATGAGAGAGGTTACAAAAGTGTTTTTAGGTGCACATGCCATGTTATCCAATGGTGCTCTATATTCTCGAGTTGGTACATCTATTGTGGCTATGACAGCAAAAGATAATAATATACCGGTTATTGTATTTTGCGAATCTTATAAGTTTACAGATAGAGTTCAATTAGATTCTTTTGTAAATAATGAATTAGGTATTATATATACTGTATTTTTTATTTATTAAATATATACTAGGTCCAATTGATAATTTAATTGATATTTCTTGCGATAATTGTTCTAATTCAGGTCCTTTATCATCATGGTATGAGCTTGCTAATTTAAAACTTCTTAATTTAATGTATGATGTGACACCTGCAAAGTTTATAAATGTATGTGTTTCTGAAATGGGTTTATTACCTTCTACATCAGTATCAATTTTAGTTCATGAATTTAAATAGTTGAAAAATAATGAATACTGTGGAAATATTTTTGGTGTTATATTAAATATATATATGTTAATAATTGTAATATTTGGAATATTTTACAAGGAATGTAGAGGATATTTAGTTGACTAGTATGGTATTACTTTTTATATATTTAGTACATTTCTTAAAATAATAAATTACAAGTTTTAGGTGTTTAATTTATTTTTTCAGAAATTTCGTGAAGTCTATATTAATTAGTTTTTGGAAAAAGTTATTTTATCAATTAGTTTTTACTTGTTTCCCAATCTAATAATAGAATGACGAATTATTCTTGGGTCTAATTTTAATATTTTATTTACTTCAAATTGGGTTTGAGGGCTTGAATCGAATAGCATAGTCCAATGATGTCCTTCACAATGTGTTTGTTGATGTTTTTTGATTTTTTTCGGTAAAACTATATTTCCCCAATCTTCGAGATCTCGAATTATTCCTCCTTTATTTATTATGACACTTCCTGATGTTTTGACAAGTTCACGCAGACTTTTCTATTTGATTTTAATTGTTTAATAAGAAAAAATTAGAATATACCACTTTTAAATCTGCTCTTGAAATGCATAGTAATTCATATAAAACCATTTTGATAAAGGTTAATTTTGTTTTCAATAAAAATGATGTATGTAAAAGTTGTTTTTAAAATATAAATTTAAAAAAGATAAGGTATTTTTTGTTAGGAATATATTTTAAAACAATTGTTAATTTTTATAAAAAATTAAAGTTATGAATTTCCGATAAATTTGGATTTTTTTTTTAGAAAAAAGTTTATTGTTTAAGAAGCAGTTTTTAATGTTTTCCTTTTCAAAAATATCATCTTTCACTTTAACTTCCAAAGTTTTTATTAATTTGGTTTTTTTTCGTCAGCAATTTCGAAATTTTCATTATTCAACAGTATATTATAATATTAGTATATTAATTTTGTTTTTACAAAAATTTTAAATTTGATTTGTTTTTAGTAAAGAAATATACTAAAGAGCATGAATGGATTTCTTTTAATGATAATGGAGTTGGGGTAGTTGGTATAACAAATTATGCTCAGAAAGCTTTAGGTGATGTTGTTTTTGTGGAATTACCGGAACCTGGGTTAGCATTTGTTAAAGGAGGTAAGTTTATGTATTGTTTGTATGAATTTGATATTTATATTGTTTAAGATACTATTGGTGCAGTTGAAAGTGTTAAATCTGCAAGTGATATATATGCACCTTTATCTGGTCAGGTAATTGAATCTAATAAATCACTGTTGGAAAATCCAGGTTTGATTAATAAAGGTGCTGAGTCTAGTGGTATAATTAACGCTTTATTATTTTTTATATAATTTTGTTTATAGGATGGATATGTAAAGTAAAAATAGCTGATATTCAAGAAGGTGATGATCTTATGGATATTGATAGTTATAAAATGTATTGTGATGAATAAATATTTATGATATTTATTTGGATATTTTATCTGAAGATGTTTATATATTGTATTTATTTTGTAAACTACTTGAATAATTTAATGGTATAATTAAGATTTTAAGTAGTTATGATTTTTTTAAATAAATTTATATACGGATTATTTGAAAATATTGTTTTTTATTTAATCTATGACTGTCTAATGTTAATACTATTAAGTTCTTCGTACTGTTGTTCAACTTGCAAACTAAGTTTAGTAAAAAAATTACTAGCATGTTTTGAAATTTTGCTGCTTTTTAAAATTTCTTTTTTTCTAGAATATTGTTTTTTTATGGTTTTTTGAAATAGATAATGTAAATCTTTTTGAGGATATTTTAGAACTTTTCTGCATTCTGATGTAATTCTTAGTGAATTTTGATAAATAAAATTGGAATTTTTAAATTCTTGTTTGATTTTTTTTGCTATTTTTTTAGGAATTACTTTTGGTATGCTTAAAACAACATAGCTACATATACTAAAGACTTTAATTCATTAATAAAAACTATTGATAATTTTAGCTTAAGATACCTGCTAAACAAATAAAAGGAATAGTTAATTTTTTAAAATTTCTTAACCCAATAATATTAAATGTGTTAAGCACTGCGGTAATAATATTATGATATCCTACAACTCTTCCTCCTAAAATAGTACAGGCAGTTATAGTTAATGTTGTAGATATATGTTTATCTTGTTTAAAATCTATGAAATCGAAAAAATTAATATCAATAGGAATTGTTTTTAGAATATTTCTCTGTTTAGAAAACATATATTGTGGTTGAAAGATTTTTTTTTTAAAAGACTTCATATGTATTATTCCTAAATTATTAATTTTATTTATACCCTTGTTTGTGTTTATTTTTGCGAAATTTTCTGAATCGTTTATAGTTAATTCAATATAATTTAGCATTTTTTTTTTGGTTTTTATAGCATAATTATAAGCTTTAAGGAATCCTTGGTAGTCACACGGTTTAATATCTTCTATTTTTGCAATTGCAGCCGATAAATGCTCATATGTATACCTTGATGTTAAAGAACAAATATTTTCAATTATTTTTCTGACTTCATTTAATGCTTTTTTTTTTTCTTCTAATATTTGTTCATAGATAGGAATTATTTGTTTTAGTTCTTTTTTTAGATTTTGTAATTGAAAATTTGTTTCTTGTTTGTTTGTTTCACATAGTATTTTAATGTCAGCTAATAAGTTTTTTAAATAGATTTTCCCTGGTAAAAGTTTTGATTCTGTTCTTTTTTCTAAAATAAATGTTCTCAGATCTTTTTCAAGTTTTTCAAAATTACTGTTATCAAGTGTTTTATTTTCAGAAATAAGAATTGAGCTTACAAAATGTATTAGCTCTGATGCGTTATGATATGTTTCGGGAGAAAGTTCAATAATTTGATTCAAAAGTATATTTTTGCATCGTTGTTTGTCCTTAATATTATCAAATTTATTAACAACAATAAAAATTAATGCTTTTTCATTTGTAGCATTACATATAAATTCTTTTGCCTAAAAATTTTAGTTTAAAATATTAAAAATAGACAATTACAGATAGTGTAAAATGATTTTCTGCATTTACGACGAATATAATGATATCTATTTCTTCTTGTTTAGAAAATAGTGCTGTTGTTGTTATCGAGTTAAAATTAAGGCCAGGGCTATCGATTAAAGCTATATCTAAAGTTCCATTTCTTAAAATGCTTTCATTTTTTGTACGTTTGTCATTAATATAGATTTTTATATAAGACCATTTTTCTGAATCAATGACTATCTTATTAAGATCGTGAATTTTTAAAATTGTATATGTACTTGAATCTTGTTGGTTATATTTTATTCCATGTGGGATTGCATGTACTTCTTCTTTTCCAAAATTTCCGTATGAGTCAAGGATTTCACAAAAAACTTCTGTACAAGGTTGCTGATCTTCTGGAAGAATTTTTTGTCTTAAAAGAGCATTACAAAATGCTGACTTTCCTGAATTTAAATCACCTGTAACAAGTATCCTAGATGAATTATTTTTGATTCTTTTTATAAGCATTTCTATGTGTTTAATGTTTTCAATTATTTTTTTGTTTAATAATGGTCTAATAGTTGATTTTTCAAGTTGTGTTAATTCAACTGTAGCTATTCCACCAAATCTTAAGTCGAGTTTTAAAACATTAAGTTGATTGCAAAATATTTTAAAATTATATTTTTCTTGATTTTTATTATCTAATTATATTAGGATTATATCTATGTTTTTTTGAGTCTGTTACTGATAAAATAAATGTGTTCACAGCTCTTTGTTCTTATTAAAAAATCTAATTTTTTTTTAGATTTACTTTTTTCAATATCTTTTTTATTAATTTTATATAATTCGTTATTATTGTATGAAAGTGGGTAATGTATTATCCATTCATATTTATTGTTAAATTTAATAAGATTCTATAACTTTATTAGTAATATGTTTTCAGTGTTTTTAATTTAATTACATTTAATAATTTTCTTGTTTTTTCTGCACAATGTAATAACTGTATTTTATTATTATTGTATAATAATTCTTGACAATGAAGTTCTTGTAGATGATTTGATGATGACTGTTGTACATTAATTAATGGAATATTAGCTTTATGATTTTGTATATCTTTTGTTAAAAAGCTTTTGCATATTAAGTTACTTTTGATATTTGTATTTTTATGATTTAAGTTTTCAATAATCATCATTTTTTGTTATAGATTTATTGATATTTTCGAAATGTATAATATTTTAAATAATTTATATATAAAAATAAATTTTATATGACTAAAATTACAATTAAAATACAGAATAGTAATTTTCTATTTTTCCTAAATATTTTTTTAGAAATGTGTTTTTATTTTATTAAAGATTATTTAAAAAAATTATATTGAATTAAAATTATTATTATTAAAATATTTGTTTATAGATATATATTAAATTGTTTAATCTTTTTTTAATGTAATTAAAAATGTTTAAATATTTTAATGGTAAATTTAAGAATTTTTATTAAAAAAAGATTAATCGTATGAAATTTCTATTGTTCTATTTTATAAATAAAAACTATTCATATTTATAAATTAATTTTGTGTTAATTTTGGATTATTAAATGATTTATAAATTCAAAATTTCATGAATTTTTTTTATTTTAGAAATAATAGTTAATTTTTATGATTGAAAAATATACTAATTTTTACATTTGAATATTTTGAATAAATTAAATATTAAAAAGGTTATATTCTGTTTTTAAATTGATCTAATTAAATGCTTATAACGAAATTACATGTAAAATTTACAGAATCAATTTATGAATTAAAAATTATTCATACATAATAAATTTCATTTATTGTATCAATATTATATATTACATTTTTTTTATTTAATTAAAATGTAATAATACTTGGCTTTAATAAATTCTACATAATTTACATATTTATTTGTATATGTTTTAATTGATTTTTTATTAATAATGATATGATTGAAACCATTTGGAATTAAGGATATTTTCTATTGTCCATCTTTTTTTTGGATTAGGTTGCAGACATCCTAATATTAGATCAAAAGAGTCTTGATGGGCTATTTTTTTTAAAGTTTCAATATCCCAATCACCTTTAAGAATTTGCATTTGTAGTAATGGACTATACATATGAGTAAATGGTAAAGTCCCAGTTATTAGTGCATGAAGCAAGATTCCATATGACCAAATATCACTGCTAGCTTCTTTTATAGTTTTCCCTGATGATATTATTTCTGGTGATACATAGGGCAATGATCCTCTAGTGGTTGTAGAAATTAATTTTGAATTATTGTTTGAGGTCGAATTATGTGTATTATCTATAACTGTAGAAGATATAAATTCCGCCATTCCAAAGTCGCAAAGAAGTAAACGATTATTTTCTAATTCAGATGTATCTAAAAGACAATTTTCTAACTTAACATCCAAGTGAACTAAATGAATATCTTGGTGTAGATATCTTAATGCACTTGCAAGTTGGTATGAATATTTTTTTGCTTCAGAATTGGACAAACCATACCCTTTTTCTTTTTTTAAAATGTCGTATAAAGTGCCTCCGGAAAATTTAATCGTAAAACAAAACGTAGCAAACTGTGTATCTTCAATAGAAAATAAGGGCAGTATGTGAGGATGATCAAGTAGTTTCCAAATTTCTAGTTCTTTTTCTATTTCTGCCTGTACTATATCATTTTTTCCATTAATATTTTTTCTGACTATTTTTACAGCATGAACATTCTTGTGTCCATTTTCTATAGTTATGGCTTCTTTTACTATACTATAACTGCCATGTGCTATAGGTTTCCCGATTATATATTTCCCAATTTGTTGCCCTTCTTCATCTGGATATATATTTGGTGGTGTTGTAGAAAAAAGGCTTAAAAAATGACTAGCTGGACTTTCTTGCAAGTGTTCATAAGATGTTGATATTGCACTATTATTTTTATTTGGGATTATATGTTGAAAACTGTGTATATCTTCATTTGATAAACTTCGTGAATGTTGTTTAAGTGTATTAGGAACATATGAATATTGCTTTTTGTCACCATTATGTAAATAAAAATCTGATGGCCAAAATGTTGACATTTGAAAAAAATTAAAATCATATGTAGGTGGTGAATTAATTTCTGAACTCATTGATATAGAGAGCGTTTCACATGGTGAATGCTCGGAAATATATGAATAATTGTGATTTTTTTTACGATATTGATGATTCTCAAATTCTGCTAAAGTATTAAAATCTTCTTTTTGTGAAATATTAGCTAAATGATTCCATGGCTCATATTTTGAAAATGTATATGTTAGTGGATAGGTTTTCGTGTTAAGTGATTTACTATTCACAAAAGATGTTATAGATTCTTTAGGTGTTTGTTTATAGTTATTATTTGTTAAAATATCTTTAGATATATCTATAGGCAAATTAGATTGTTCTTCAGGTTTTGTTGTTTTTAACAATTCTGAGATATGTGTTGATTCTTGTAGTGAAGATAATTTCGGCTTTAGATTTATATTAATTAATTGAGTATGTTTTGAGTTTGATATAGGTATACATGACTCCTTTTTAGACGAAATGTTATTTTTTTGTTTCTCCATGTTTCTATTATTATATTCTGATGATAATAATGATACTTTTTGCGTAATTTTATTAATATGTTCCATTTTTATTTGTTTTAAATTAATTCCAAAACTACTTATAAATTTTGATATTTCAAAATACTTAAAATATATGAACAGTTATTAAATATTGATACATTCAATGGTAAATATAGTTTTTTTCTGGAAAACTTTTTTTCCTTTATATGAAATTAGTGAAGAATATACTATTTTTAGTAATTTCTTAAACCTGTTTAGAAAAAAATATAAATTGTTTTTACCAAAAATTTAATGCAACAAAATAAAAATTATGAAAACAATAAAGTTCAGGAGTTCACGTATATTGATGTATTTATGAATTTTCTTTTCTGATCTACTATGATTTTTACAATATGTTTAATTTTTTTTCAATTTATGTTTTTGTTAAATTTCGAGAGTTGTATATATTTTAAAAAAAAGTTTTATAAACTTTAAAGTAATTTCTTCGTTATTATTTAAACTTTTTCACATAAAACATTTGTAGAGTAAATGTTGAATGTTTTGGAATCATAATTTATGAATAAGACGTTGGATTTTAAAGAAACTTTTATTGATTATGATGATTATTTTGATGATGAATTAAGCTCTTCTCCTTCAATTACGGATGAGGTATATAGATTTCCTGTTTTTTATTTATATTCTTTGTTTATTTTTTAAGAATATTGATTTTAATTTTGTTTATGCATTACGTAGTTTTGTTGCTACTGTAGAAGGACAAGCAAATGTTATCAAAGGAGACATTCTTGTTCTTTTAGATGATTCTAATAGTTATTGGTGGTTAGTTCGTTTAGAAAGAGACCATACTGTTGGTAAGGAATTTATAATAATTATTATTTTTAATTTTGTAGGATATTTGCCTGCTGAGCATATTGAAACACCTTTAGAAAGACTTGCAAGATTAAATAAATATCGTAATGCTGAAATTTCTTCATTTGTTACTGATGAGCAAAAAATTCTTCCTGTTTTTTCTAAAAATAAGCAGATTTGTAATAAAGATAATAAATTGGTGGTATTTTCTGTACCAACTTACATTGAGTACTTAGAAGAATCTGAAGATAATAACAGATGCATTGAGGATGTTCTTGGGAAATATGAGGAGTGTGAGATATACAATTATGATAATCATGATGATGTTTATGAAGACGACAAATATATAGGTAAATAAATATTTTTGTTTCGATTTTAATTAATATTTGTATTTCTAAGACTTTAGTCCATATGACATGTATATGAGACATAATGAAACATATAAAATTGGTATTGATTTTATCGAAATGAAAAGGCATATAATTGATATTTTAGTTTTTTATAATGATTTTCAAAATGTTGTTGATGTTTCTGATTTAGAAGATGTACTAAAAGCTACTGAAAATCATAAAGAGTTGTATTTTTGAAATAAAACAACGTTTGGAATTGATATTATTTAGTAATGAAACACTGTATGAATTATGTAAAAATTGTCATAAACATATGTCAAAAAGAATGTCTAGTGAGGTTTTGAATGCTGGTAATAATGATAAAAAAGATTCATTGGAGTTCTTGTGTGAGAGTTGTGATAGTTTGGATAATATAGAATTGGGTAATATTTATCAGATATATAGTGGTTCTAGAATTTATGATATGGAATACAATAACCCACTTTTTTGCGATACAAACATCGATAATTCTTTGATTGCATCAAATACACAAATTAATATATTTAATGATTCTGAATTTTATAAAATTGAAGTATTTTGGCACAATATTTCTATCATCTGTTTACTAATAGTTATTATATTAAGAATAGTGCTGGTCATAATATATATACTGAGATCGAAGACGATAGTGGAATTTCACCTTTTGGTAATATTAAATATGATAGTGTATTGGAAACTTGTGGAATTTATAATAAAGATATATATTTATCTAAGGGTGCTCTTCGGTTGTATTTTGATGAGAAAAGTGACTCTGAATTATATTTTTTTGTCGATTCTGTGTTTTCTTTTAATAAAAATGATAATAACATTTATTCTGAGATTCATAACCTTTATGTTGATATAGAGTTTGAGTTAGAAAAAATATCGCAAGTATATAATATTTTTCTTATAAATTTTGCTGATTATTGGAAGCAATTAGATACAATGCTTATAAAATTTAGGGGTTAATATCTATAAATTTAATATAGATGTTATGAAATATAGTGCATTTTGTTTAGTAATGATCAAGATTCTGTATTTTATTCGATAACAGCTTTTGTGTTTTTATTTTTATATATTTTTGTGTTTTTTATAAATGTATTTTTTATTACTTATTGTTATTGTTTTATTTTTATATTTTTTAAATGTTCGATAAATTATTAAAAATATCATATATTTAAATATATAGTTTTATTGGAATATTTTATACTTTAAAAATTTGTTTTTTCATAATTCAGATAGTTAAGTATTTTGATTATGTTTAAAACTATATAAATATGGCTGTTTTAAATAGGGTTGTTCAGAGTTTAATTAAAAGCGTTGATAAGTTTATTTTATGTTGCTGTGGAAAATGTTATTCTGGTGCTATACCTGTTTCTCCTATTTGTACTATAAGAATTGAAAGAATAGATTATCTTTTGGATGAGGCAATACCGTCATGTTTATGTGTTCGAGGAGTTAATGATGTGATCTATCGTGAAATAATGGAACCCATTAAATGTATGGAGAAATTATGCATTACTGGAAAGAGATGGTTGAATATTTTTAATGCTAGGAAAAAATGTTATGATAATATTTTTCGTTTTCAGGATTATATTATTGAAAATGGTTTAAATATTGAAAATAGGCCAAATTCTTCTATAAGTTTTTTTAAAAAAAAAACATTATCTATACTTCATTATAGGCGATCATGGCCTAATAATCAGAAAAAAGTATAATTATTTTTTCTCTGAATTGTTAAATTTTATAAAATGTTATTTTTGATGTATTCCTTTATAAAATTCGTTTAGTAAATTTTTAATAATAATTATTAAATTATACTAATGTTTTAAATAGTTTTTGTTTTTAATATATTGATTATTTTATGAATTAGAGATATGTTAAATAGTTATATTTTATATTCGTATATATTTATATATATATATTTATATATATCTATAATATATATATATTTATATATATCTATAATATATATATATTTATATAATATGAAATATATTATATAATGATATACGCTTTCTAATTTTGTTTTTTATAAATAATACATAAATTATGTTTAAATATAAATATTTTATATTAGTATATATATATATAATAAATATTAAACTTCTTGAATAATATATATTGAATAGTATATGCAATATTTATTTAAAATATAGATATTTATATAATAATTTATTTAAAATTCTGTTATATTATTATTATATTATATAGTTTTTTATAAAGTTATTAAATGCATTATTATATTGCATGAAATTTTATGTTAAAGTAGTATGATTTTTGGTTTGAAAATAAAAAATAATTACATTAGTTAATTGACCTATTTGTAAAATTAATATATTTTAATTTCTTATTTAAATTATTTAAATCATTGAAATCTATCTCAAGTTATAAGTCATTAATACCTGTTATGTATAATGCTTTAATATTTATGATATATTTTAATATTATTTTTTTCTGTAAATTAAAATAAAATAGAAATATTAATATTAATAATATAATATCTTTAATTTGTCTATGAAGTAATTTTGCTAAAAAAATATGAGATTATTATTTACAATATTTTTTTAACTATAATTTAATATTATTTTATTTTATTAGAGATAATAAACATAATAATATATGTTTTGAAAAAATATATATAATATTTAGTATAATTTTATTGTACTTAGTTAATATTGTACTTAGTTAATATTGGATAAATATTATAGAATATAAAAATGGTCAGAATCTTTACTATTTAATATAAATTATAAATATATTATAATCTATTAATTAATATCTTGCTAAATAATACACATAATATAATATATATATTTTGTAATTTTATTATAATCTCGTTTATACTAAAAAAAAGATACTTTTGAAGAAATAAAATTAAAATAATAAATATATGTTTTTATTAATTATAATTATAATTATATAACTAAACATTAGTATATTGTATTAATAATATATTTTATTAGTATTAATATATGTAAATTAAAAAATTGTTTTAACCTATATATAATTTGAAAATGTTAACCAAATCTAAAACTAATAATTTATTATTAATTTTTAAAATTATTATAAAATATGCGTATAATATTAATGAATAAAAATTGAAATTCAAAAAAAAATGTCAATAAATTCCAATAAACTTAAAAATTTAATAAAACAATCAAATAAAATTATTAATTTTCATATATTTTAAATATAGAATTTATAATAGGCAATAGATTAAATTAATTATTTTTTGTATCTTAAAATAACACATGTATAATTATGTATAAATAAAATTCTGGCTTTTTCTATTTAAATTATAGAATTACAAAAAAATATATATTATAATTATAGCATATATATATTATAGCATAAAAACACATTTTTAAATACATTTTTTTTAAATTCAGTTTAAATAAATTCAATTTAAATATGTCAAAACGTCTATATCGGAGATATTTTACATTTAAAATAGATCATAATTAAAATAGAACTAGTTTATTTTTATCAATTATCAGTTCATTCTAAAATCATTATTTTTAATATCTTAAAAATAATTGATTATTTTAATGTTTCATGTAAATTAATTATATTACCATAATCATATCAACAAAAATTCAAAACATAAATTTTAAATTTTTATATGAATTTACATGAATATAATTTTTTTAATAGTTTTTTTTTTCTCAAAATATCAAAAATATTATTTTATTATTCATACTCACAAATTTATTTTTTTTTACTAAAAATAAAATTATCAATTTCTTATATATTAAACGCTCGATTACTATTAACATTTTTATAGTTCATTATTATCATATCATTCTATATAATTATTTTTAAAAAAATAAAAAATCTATTCTTGCTATTGAATTCAATTAGAATTAAAAAATTATGGAAGATATTATACAAGAATTGGTTATATATCTTTGAAAAATAATTTAAATACGTAATCTAACATTTTTTTATAGAATAAATCAATTTTCATTGCAAAACAAAGACTTAATTATGAAATATTAAAAACAACAACAACAAAAATTCATATGCAAGAGGAAAATAGATATACCCGTTTGAAAATAATGACATTAAATAACGAAAAAAACGAATTATTACAGTCTGAGATGAAGTTTAAAAACATTGCCAAAGATCTGACAGTAATTTACTGTTTAAAATCATATATTTAAAGTAACAAAAAAAGGAAAAAAATCAAGCGTTGCAAAATCATTTTTTTTTAATAGAACAAGAAAACAAAAAACTAAAGTCCAAAATATTGGAATATCAAAAGAAATTAGATAATTTTAAAGTATAGTTATATCAACATTTATACAATTCTAATTTAAATAAGAAAAATACATCAGATATTGACTCAATCATATCAAAGAATGAAGCATTGCACCAAAAAATAAATTTTTTAAAAGCATGATTCACTCTTTGTTTCTAAAAAATTAACTTATTTTTATATAGATAGAGTTAAAAAAAGAAAAAAATAAATTACAATTGCTGCAAAACAATTTACTAGAAAAAACGACATTAGAACATGAGAAAAACATGCGTAAAGTAATATAATGTATTATTCAAACTTTTTGTTCTAATTTTTTTAGTCAAATTTAAAAAACAAAAAAAAAATATCAAATCAAATAATTAAAACCATTAATGAAAATACTAACAGTTCAAACACTCATATTATCGAGGAAACCAAAGTAAAGAAAATATTTTATAATACTACATAATACTAATAAAATAGTCAAAGTCAATAAAATCAAAAATAAAGAAAAAATCAGATCAAATATCAAAAATTGAAAATAATCAAATTACAGGTATTTATATAATAAATAAACATTTAAGAAATTTACATTAAAAAACAGAAAACCTTTCAGATAAATATCAAGAACTGAAAGATACATATATTCATGATATAAATTCATCTACACTCTCACTAAAAACAATTAAGGAATTAAAATCAGATCCTACATTATCTACATTTTCCATAACACCATTTTTAGATCGTACCAATATAAATACCAAAAACCCATTTTTTTCTCCTTTACAATCTAATAATTCAATAAAATCAAGCACATTAAAAAAAGATAAATCAAAGATACAAAAACTTATTTCCAGAAAAAAAAGGAAATTAGGAACAATTGGGAAAACACTATTTGATGAAACACCTAAAGGATTAACAAATATAGGATTTTTGCAAAATATAAGCCCTTTAAAACATGGTGGAAAAATGACAATTCAGCCTCTTACTATTAAAGAAAACCAATAAACATATATATGACAATTTCATATAAATTTTTATTTACTTTCCATTTATTTTATTATTTGTATTTCTAACGTATTTATATTTTTACTAAATTAACTATTTTCAAATTTTATCAGCTATATAGTTCGTATCAAAAAAATTCGCAATATAATGAGTATTCCAAAATTGAAAATGCCTAAAGCCAGAAAACTAAATTATATTTTTATTTATATACAAGAATTTCATAATTTTAATGAATCTACCTCAAACTCTTCAAAAAAATGGATTGAAAGACATAAAAATGATTTCTTTACACGAGAAGCACGTGTATTACGATATAAATCAAGAGCAGCATTTAAATTACTAGAGGTTTAACCATTTTCCACTTTCTTATTTAATTTTTAGATAAATGAAAAATATAAAATTTTTAGACCAGGAAACACAGTCATTGATTTAGTAGTATATAAGCATAAATAAAGTTATATTTTAATATTAATTAAGGGTTTTTCTCCAGGATCATGGACTCAAGTTGCAGTTGAAAAGGTGGGTTCTAAAGGTCGCGTTTTAGGAGTAGATATTATCCCCTCACAACCACCTGATGGCGCATCATCTATGCAAGGAAACTTTCTTTCAAAAGCAACTCAAAAAGCTATTATAAAATATCTTTCTGACCCAAATCGCGGTTGTCAAAACTCAATTTCTTTTAATTCCGAAAATGGAGAAGAGTTATCATATCTAGACTTAGAAAGACGACTAGAACGGAATAATTACGAAGATTCTAATGAAGAGGTAGCAGATGTTATTTTAAGTGACATGTTAGAACCTTTGCCACAAATCGATGGCTTTTATAAGCGAAGCCTAAGTGACCCTTATTATAGGTTAGAAAATGTTTCAGGAATTGGAGTTAAAGATCATGGAGCAAGCATGGTAAAACATAAAAAAATAATAAATTTTAATAACATACATAAGGATCTTTGTGATTCAGCATTATTATTCTGTATAGATGCATTACGCGTTGGAGGGAATTTTATATGCAAATTCTACTCAGGTAGAGAAGATAAACTACTATTCAAAAAAATGGAAAAGGTATTTCAAAAGGTCAAAAGAGAAAAACCAAATGCATCTCGCAGTGAGTCTCGAGAAGCATATTTTGTGGGACTCAAAAAACGCGCATCAATTAGTAAAAAAGATATTGAAAACATGTAATTATATCAATATAATTATATATGCATATTTTTTTATATATATCAATAATCAAGCAAAAGAATTATCAATAATAGTTTTAGATCACACTTCTCAATAAATATAAAAAAAATTTAGCTCAAATTTTATCAATTTAAAAAGTTTTTCCTATAAAACAGTTATTTCCTAAAAATAGTTTTTTTATTATATTTTCATATTCTTTCATTTCATTTACAAAAAATTACAGCTTCAAATCTCCAATAATTTCCTTTAATTCACTTTTAAGTGAATCTTCAAGAACACCATTATCTCGTAAATATATCCATTTCCCATCTTTTTCACCTTCTGAAGGTATCCAATCGTATCTTTTTGGGCCAGATATTGGAGAAGAAACCCATATCTGCTTATTAGGAGACTGTTTATTCAAAACATAAGTTCCATAATGTCCAAGATCAAGTGTAAGGACACCTTGCTATTAAAATTAATTATTATATCAACATTTTTTTAAGAATACAGAATATTCGATATCCATTGTTTTCTCTGGATACTCGTCCTGCATTCGTTCTAATGCATATAAGATTTTCTCTATAGTATTATCAGCTAATTGATGATATTTTCGATTTGTAAGTTCAGATGAATATTTTCTAGAAAGCAAAAAATTTGCATTATCCATAAAAGTGAGCATAGAAAACCTTTGAGGCATTTTATTTTGCACAATATTTTCTAAATGTTTTGATTTGATTAAATTTGAAATTTGAGCAAAAGTAGCAGTACATATAAATCTACATTCCATATCAAGAAAAAATATTCGAAATTCAGACTCATTCATGAAAAACCGTTTAATACAATTTCTCATATCTAAAGAATTCCAGAAGTTAAATCTTAATCTTAAAAAACCCTTACTACTTTTTCAAAATAAACCAAAAAAATTAAAATATAATCGAAAACATAAAACCCGAATATTTTAAAAATAAATTCATATTTTTATCATAATTTTAATTAACACATTAAGGAATTATATTCTTAATTTAATTCTTATATAAGTCATATAAATCACTTACTTCTATAAATCAAAATGAACAAGAAAAAGTCATATCCAATGGTCTTAATTACACCATTAAAACAAAATAAAAACGTAAAAACAACGTCAGTTAAAAGTCATATACCTATGATTATAAACATTCTTGGAAACCATGAATTAATTCTATTAGAAATACAAGGGACTATTGAACATGATAATAATAATGATACCAATAAACACATTGGTAAAATGTGGTATGATTCAGCTGTAAGATCTTATTAACAAATACTATTTTGCGCATTACTAACATAAATAATTAGAGAGAACGAGTTTATTTAACAATTGGATATCATCGTCTTGAAGGAAAAATTGAAACTCTTAAACGACCTTTTGCAATTTTGCGTCGTCAAAACGAAAAAAATATACAATCTAATGATAAAGAATCATATCAAGATGAAATTATTGATGTTTTAGAAATAATTCATAAAAGAGTAATATTTAACCTTCGACCAGAACCTGTTACCTAAGATTTTATTATGTAATTAACATATATATTACTATATATTACTATTTTGACATTTTATCTATAAATTTCAATAAAATTATAAATTCTAACACAGAACATAAGATATGAATTTCATAATTCATTTATTTTCAATAGATTAAGGACTAATTTTTATTAATCATTATTTCAAATATATCAATATATAAAAACATCTTAAAATATCAATATGAAATTAACACATTATTAGATAAAATTTATATAAAATCAATATAAAATCAATACAAGTTATCAATAAAATATACAAAAAACATCATTACTACATCTATCAAACATCTATTAAATCTATTAAATCTATTAATTTTAAATTATTTTATTACTAATATTATTTTATTAATATTAGCTTAGCAGAAATCAAACTAGAGATTTCAATAAAATTATTATAAAGAATCGCTAATTAAAAAACCTAAAAATATTCATAAAATTTAAAAATAAACATATTTTTTTTCTAATCAATAAATACTACATAAATATATTACTTTTTAATATATTTATTTTTAATTATTTCTTTTCAATATAATCATATACTAGATATATTTTTTCATAAACTTTATTATTAAAAAATTTTAATATTTTTTTTATAATTAATTTTAACATTTATTATTTTACCTCAAAATTACATAATTTTTTTTAAACACATTAGAAATCTTAAATATTTTTAAATTATGATAAAATATTAATAGGAAAAAATAGTACTAATCTTGTAAAAAGATATAAATCATTAATAAATAATCATATAAAATGAAGTTATTAAATAAAATATTCTACAGGAAATCATATATAAGAATTAATAAATGCTGGACACATAACAGTATATATAAAGCATTAGATTCATTGGAAAAACGTCATTTAGGTGTTAATGGACCCAAAGAGGAAAAACATCTCCTTAAACAATTAGGATTAAACGATCTTGACACATTTATCAAAAAGACAATCCCTAATAATATTTTAATAACTGATAAAGAAATTGAAAATACTTTAGATAAAGGACTAAGCGAAAGCGAATTACTTTTTCGTTTACATAAATATGCATCAAAAAATTCTCTTACTAAAAGTTTAATTGGAATGGGATATGTTGGAACAAATATTCCGACTGTTATCCAACGTAACATCCTTGAAAATCCTGCATGGTATACCAGTTATACTCCTTACCAGCCAGAAATGTCACAAGGTCGACTAGAATGTTTAATTAACTATCAAACTATGATTTCAGACCTTACAGAGCTTCCCATATCTAACGCTTCTTTGCTTGATGAAAGTACAGCAGCAGGAGAAGCTATGGTAATGGCATTCTCTATTCTGAATCAAAAACGAAAAACTTTTTACGTAGACATAAATGCACACCCACAAACCATAGCAGTTCTTGAGTTGCGTTCTTCTGGTTTTGGTATTAATATTGTTGTAGGGAAGCCTACAAAAGAAAATATAGAACCATTAAAAGATGACATTTTTGGGGTCTTATTACAATATCCCGATACTTTTGGAGGAATTCATGATTACACATTTCTTTCTCAGTACATTCATTCTCTTAATGCCCATATTATATGTGCTACTGATTTACTTGCCTTAACATTACTACAGTCTCCAAGTCAATGGGGTGCAGATATTATTGTTGGATCATCCCAAAGATTCGGAGTACCTATGGGTTTTGGCGGACCCCATGCAGCATTCATTGCATGTAAAGACATATATAAACGCAAAATTCCAGGGCGAATAGTCGGTATTAGCAAAGATCGTAATGGAAAGCTTGCATATCGTCTTGCTTTACAAACACGTGAGCAACATATTAGACGGGAAAAAGCTACTAGTAACATTTGTACATCACAAGTATTACTTGCAAACATGGTACTATTTCTATTTAAGTATTACATATATTTATTTTTTTAGGCATCTTTATATGCAGTATACCATGGTCCTATGGGACTTAGGAATATAGCAGAGAAAATTCTAAGTTTAACAAAAATACTCGGAGAATTTATTATTAAACAAGGACATTCTTTATATAGTAATATATATTTTGATACGATAACTATTAAATTAAAAAATCGCAATTCCGATCAATTTCTAAAAAAAGCATTATCAAAAGGCTATAATTTACGTCCTATTAATGAAGAAACAATTGGAGTAACTTTAGATGAAACAGTAACAGAAAACGATATGAAATATCTTTTTGAAATTTTTTCTACAAATACTTATAGCACAGAAACACCTATTTCTATGTCAAAAAAACTGAACATATCCTCAGAATCACCTGCTACATTACCAGAAAAATTTCAACGAAAAACAACATTTTTACAACAAAAAGTCTTTAATTCATATCATACCGAAACAGAAATACTTCGATATATACATCATCTCCAATCTAAAGACATATCTTTAGTATATTCCATGATACCTCTTGGAAGCTGTACTATGAAACTGAATGCGACCACTGAAATGTTGGGTATTACATGGCCTGAATTCAATTCTCTTCATCCATTTGTACCAAGTGATCAAGCCAAAGGCTATCATATGCTTATTAAAGAATTAGAAAATGATTTATTATTAATTACAGGATTTGATGCATGTACATTTCAACCAAATTCTGGAGCAAGTGGAGAATATACAGGGCTTCAAATTATATCTAAATATCATAAAGAAAATAAACAAAGTCATCGTAATATATGTCTTATTCCAATATCTGCTCATGGTACAAATCCTGCTTCTGCTGCGATGGCTGGAATGAAAGTTATCCCTATAAAATGTGACTCAAATGGAAATATTCAATTAGATGATCTTAAAATGAAAGCAAATTTACATAAAAATAATCTAGCTGTTTTCATGGTTACATATCCTAGTACACATGGTGTTTTCGAGCCTCATATTATAGAAGCATTAAAAATTGTTCATGATTTTGGTGGACAAGTATATTTTGACGGAGCAAACATGAATGCACAAATCGGATTATGCAATCCAGCAAAAATTGGTGCTGATATCTGTCATTTAAATTTACACAAAACGTAATATTTTAAAATTAGATTTAATCTTAATTAACTAGTATAGATTTTGCATACCTCATGGCGGAGGAGGACCAGGCGTTGGCGTATGTGCAATGAAAAATCATTTATCACATTACATTCCTGGTCATCCTGTAGTTAAGACAGGCGGGAAAAAAGCCATTCCTTCTGTCGCTTCAGCACCTTGGGGTTCTGCTAGCATTCTACCTATTTCATGGGCTTATATCAAAATGCTAGGTATTAATTCTACATAAAAATATATTTACTTAACTTTTAGGAGGAAAAGGTCTTGTTCATGCATCAAAAATTGCTCTTTTAAATGCAAATTATATGGCTTCTAAATTATCAAAACATTATAAAATATTATATACTAACTCAGAAGGAATGTGTGCTCATGAATTTATTTTAGATGTTCGTGATTTTAAAAAAACATCAGGAATTGAGGCCATAGATATTGCTAAACGTTTACAAGACTATTCATTCCATGCACCAACAATGTCATGGGTACTCGAAAAAATATATTTTCTATCACTAATTTTCAATAGCCAGTACCAAATACTTTAATGATAGAACCTACAGAGTCAGAAAGCATAGCAGAAATGGATAGATTTTGTGATGCATTAATCTCAATAAGACAAGAGATTAAAGAAATCGAAGAAGGAAAACAACCTAAAGAGAATAATTTACTTTCTAATGCTCCGCATCCATTAGATGATTTTATTTCTGAAAAATGGAATAGACCTTATACCAAAGAGAAAGCAGCCTATCCTTTAGAATACCTTAGAAAACGAAAATTCTGGCCTTCAACTGCAAGAATAGACGATACCTGGGGTGATTTAAACTTTTTTTGTAGCTGTGAACCATCTAATGATTTTTTAAATCACTGAAATTATAAATCTTTAAAGAAATTAATATATCTAACTTTTTACCAAAATTTAAACTATCATACAATTATATTTTTTTAACTATTTTATAAAAGTATATTATATATTTTATAAATCTAACTAAAATTAAAGCAATGCAATAAAATATATAATACAAAAATATAATACTAAAAAAAAGAAAAACATTCATATTATTTTTTTATATAAAATGCCAAACCTTCTATAAATTCAAAAAAAAAAACCATTAAAATATAAAAAATTACTAATATAATTCATATACGTATTACCGTCTAAAGATTAAAAGTAAATTATATATTTTTTCCTTAAAAATAATATAAATATATATATTTCTTTATCATCGCCATTTAAAATATAAAAAATAAGTGGCAAATCGTAATACTCTAATGATTAAAATATCACTATTTCCATCAATAAAAATACTTAAAAAATACTTATAAAAATTTAAATTAAATAAATTAAAATCAGATGAATTATGCAATATAGTATTTCTTCAATACTCTTAAAGTATGCAGAACAGGTCTGTATACAATATCATCATTATACATGTGTTATATACATAATAAAAAACAACATACCAATAGCTATTTCACATTTTTTGTTTATAATAATTAAGAATCCTAAAAATTTAGTATTATAATATCATTATAATTAAATCCATACCATAAAATATTAGTAATTAAAAATTTTAAAACTCCTAAATTTAGATCCATTAAAAATCCACAATAAATAATAATATTTTAAAAAAAATATAAAAATGGAAAGCAATAAAATAAAATATAGTATTAAATAGCAAAATTAAATCCCTGAAACGCATTTTTCAAACATATATGTAATTAAGAAAATAAAAATCTTAAAATCGAATTAAAATAATAAATATCGATATTTTTTATGCAAATAAATATATATTAAATTAACTAAAAAATATACAATAAATCTGATATATAAACTATCAAGAATAAACAAAAATCTTAAACATTCTGAAACAAAAAATTACATGAATATTTATTTAAAATAAAAAATCATAAAACAATAGCCTATATTAAATCAAAATTATCCTTAACTCACTTAAATTAAAACATTCTAAAGTATAATGTCTAAAAAATAAATTTTTGAACCATAAACAACTAAAGATTCGAAATTAACGTAAAAAAATAAATTCTAATGATCATATAAAATATTTAATTAAAATCATAAAAAATTACAATAGTGAAAAATAGTAAAAGCATTCAATCATTTATATATAATGTCAGCACTTGAATTTCAAAATGTAAAAATATAAAACTTTAAATATTTTTAAAAATTGACTTAATATTTAGACATTTAAACGAGATTTTTTAATTAATAATGAAAAACGCTTTCAAAATAAATGGAAAGAGGAACGCATTTTTGAGGTAGATGCGCCTTCTCTTGAAGATGAACCAACAAATAATATAAATATTTTACATGAAAAATACCCTAAATTTTTTGGGACTATGTAAAAAAAACCTTAATTTTTTTTTTTCTTAAAAAATACAGGGCTTATCCATATATGAATGGATCATTACACTTAGGACATGCTTTTACCATGACGAAAGTCGATTTTGCTATTGGCTTTGAACGTATGAGAGGAAAACGATGTCTTTTCCCTTTAGGAATGCATTGTACAGGAATGCCTATAAAGGTGTTGGATAGAACTTAAAGTTATTATATTACTAATGAATCTAGGCATGTGCTGATAGACTTAAGCAAGAAATAGAACTATTTGGGCAAGATTTTTCGGGATATACAGAAGCAAAAAATACGTTTGCACAATGTTCACCTAATAAAATCGATTTACCTAAATTTCATGCAAAAAAGGGAAAGGTAGCACTAAAAAAACATGATCAACAATATCAATTCCAAGTTATGCAACTTTTAGGTATACCTAATAAAGAAATATATAAATTTGCAGATGCAAAATACTGGTTAACATACTTTCCAGATATATGTAAAGAGGATGCAACAAATTTCGGTGCTCGTATTGATTGGAGAAGATCTTTTATTACTACTGATACCAACCCATATTATGATAGTTTTATACGTTGGCAAATGAATCGTTTAAAACAGTTACAAAAAATAAAATTTGGTGAACGATATACTATTTTTAGTGCAAAAGAAAATCAACCTTGTATGGATCATGACAGACAACATGGAGAAGGTATTAATCCTCAGGAATATACATGCATAAAGTTAAAAGTTATTTCATGGTCCGAAAACGTTAAATCTATCATTATTAACTCTAATCTCTTTGAAAAAAATATATATATGATTGCCGCAACATTAAGACCAGAAACAATATATGGACAAACATGCTGTTTTGTTAAACCCGATATTTCTTATGGAATATTTGAATCGAATGATCCTAATGAATATTTTCTTTGCACTTCAAGAGCTGCAAAAAATATGGCATTTCAAAAATTATCACCAGGGAGAGGAATTGTTAATAAAATAGTAAATTTAGTAGGTTCTTCAATGATTGGCACAAAAGTTAAAGCCCCTTTAAGCATATATGAAGAAGTATACGTTTTACCAATGGAAAACATACTTGTAGAAAAAGGAACAGGCATTGTTATATCTGTTCCCTCTGATTCTCCTGATGATTATGCAACAATTTTAGATTTAACTAAGAAAGCAGATTATTATAAAATCAAAAAAGAATGGATATCTTTTGAGCTATTACCTATAATTCATACCCCAGTATATGGTAACCTAGCAGCTCCTGAATTATATAAAAAAATGAAAATTCAGAGTCCAAAAGATTTTAAACAGCTAGCAGAAGCAAAAGAATTAATATACAAACAAAGCTATTATCATGGGACAATGCTTATAGGGAAATATAAAGGAGAAAAAATTGAAAAAGCTAAACCAAAAGTTCGCTCTGATTTAATTGCTAAAAAAGTTGCATTTATATACAGTGAGCCTGAAGGACTTGTTATAAGTAGAAGTGGCGATGAGTGCATTGTAGCTTTATGTGATCAATGGTACATAGATTATGGAGAAGAAAATTGGAAACATCAAGCAAAAAAATGCCTACATAAAATGGAAACATATGGAGATGAAACTAAACATGGGTTTGAAGGAACCCTTGAATGGCTAAATCAATGGGCATGTTCAAGATCTTATGGATTAGGATCACGCCTTCCATGGGATCCTCAATATCTTGTAGAAAGTTTGACAGACTCTACTATTTATATGTCTTACTATACTATTGCTCATTTTCTTCATGAAGATATTATGGGAGCAAAAAAAGGTCCAGCTGGTATAGAAGCAGAAGACATGACAGATGACGTATGGGATTATATTTTTTGTCGTGGTCCTATACCAAATACAAAAATACCAATTCTTACACTTGACAATTTAAAACGAGAATTTGAATATTTTTATCCTTTAGATCTTAGAGTTTCAGGAAAGGATTTAATTCCTAATCATCTTACTTTTTGGATATATATTCATACAGCAATATTTCAAGAAGAAATGTGGCCAAAAGCAGTGAGAGGAAATGGTCATTTATTGTTAAATGGAGAAAAAATGTCTAAATCCAAAGGAAATTTTTTAACATTAAAAGAAGTAGTAGAAAAATTTGGGGCAGATGCTACTAGACTAGCAATGGCAGATGCAGGAGACAGTCTCGATGATGCAAATTTTGAAGAAACAACAGCTAATTCAGCAATATTGCGTCTATACACATTAAGTGTATGGTGTGAGGTATGATTATTATGTCCAATAAAATTCTTACCAAATATAAGGAACAAATTAAAAAATTAGATAATTTTAGAACAGGAGAAATGAATTTTCACGATAATGCCTTTGAAAATGAAATGAATGAGCTAATTCAAATAACATATGATCATTATGCTAAGTAATAAAACTTTCTTTTATATTACTTATTAATTTTAAAGTACATCGTATAAATTAGCTCTAAAAGTTGGTTTTTATGATTTCCAAGCTGCTAGAGATTGGTATCGTGAAGTTTCTCATAGTCATGGAATGCATAAAAATCTAATAAAGAGATGGATTGAAATTCAAGCTTTATTGATGCTACCCTTTATTCCACATTTTAGTGAATTTATATGGCTAGACATTTTAAAAAATGTAAAACTGAGTCATAATTCAATATTTCTTTCTAATTGTTTTAAAGGAATCATGTATCCATCACGCCCATTTTCCAATAATTTCGAAACCCATTGATACTTCTATGTCTTCTAGCTTAACGTATCTTCGGTATATTGTACGAATAATTAGAGAAGAAGAAGGGCAATTGCTTAGAAGGCAAAAAAAAGTCAAAAATATACTATTTGATCCTAAAAAACCAAAGAAAATAACAATTCTTGTTGCTACTAAATTTCCAGAATGGCAACAAAAATATGTTAATCTTCTTCAAGAATGTTATAATAAAGTATTTCCATTTTATTATAATTTTTCTTAATATATATAGGAAACAAATTCATTTAATGATGAAGTTTTATTATTTAAAGCATCAGAAATGAAAGAGATGAGAAGATCTATACCATTTATACAGCAAATGAAATCATCGATATTAAATAGATCAAAAGAAGTAACTGCAGAAGAAGCATTTCAGAGAAGATTACCGTTTAACGAATTAAATGTATTATATAATAGTATATCTTTTTTAAAACAGAATCTCGGAATAACTATGCTTGAAATCTTTAAAATAATACGTAACAATAATGGAAAAATTACATCAATAGAATCAGTCTCAAGCAATAACGAAATTATTACAATTCCAGATAACATAGATAATGCCATACCTGGTCACCCAATTTTTTTATTTGAAAATATTTAATAAATCAGAATGACATAATTGTTAAAACATTAAATAATAAAAACAAAGCATTGATATACACATGAAGTAACCTTAATAAAATAAACTGCCGCATAAACAACATTATTCTTTATCAATAATATACGGTATAGCTCCTTATTATTGTAATGTAAATTAACAATATAAACACTATCGAATTTTTTCATTCCCTTCCCTATCAATCCCTTCAACCAATTCAACAATATCACTGCCAAATACCCCCTCCCATCGCACAGCCCTTCCGCCACCTCCACTTGCTATAGATCCTCTTTCATCTTCCCACATTTTATAAAATCTTACTGTTTCATCACTTGCTGCAACTACTATTGTTCCACCACCAACATTTTCACCGTTTTCATTTTTACATACAGTATTAACCGCATAAATAGCACGTAATTCAGGATGACCTGCAGGTATAGAAACTAAAAGCTTTAATGTTGGCCATGCATATACTGCAATTCTATGAGATATATCTGAAAAAGAATAGCCAAAAGTAGCACAGATCTCTCTATAAGTAGGTGACCAAGTAAGCGAAGTTACTTGACCCCCACAATCTATCATATTTATCAATGCCCCAGTATGAGTATGATAAAATCGTATACGCTTATCATGAGAACCACCTCCTATACAAATTTTACTTCTTATCATTTTTTATATGTTTAATAGAATTACCAGTAGCCAATAAAGATTTTTGCCATGGACAAAATGCAAGTGCTTTAACAGCAGCAAAATGCTGCCAAACAATTTTAGGTTTGTCCAAACGCAATGCATCAAACAAACAAACAAAATTATCATTTCCTCCTGTAGCAAATTGAGTACCATCAATATTCCATGCTAATCCACAAATTTGCTCTTGATGAGCATTCGAAATAATTTTTAATAAACGAGCATTAGCAGAAGAGCTAGTCCATTCTATTTCATAATAATATATCTTTCCATTATGTGCACCAACTAAAAGGTCATTTCTACTCTTTGAACGCAATGGATGCTTTGGTCTCCATGCCATACAACCTATATCACCTGCATGAGCCAATTCTAAACGAGGCGCATATTCCCCTTTAGACCAAAATTGAACCATCCCATCAACACGACCAATAGCCAAAATATCACCATGATAAGAAAAAGCAAGAGATGAAACAAACTGATCAGAAAAATCTTCAGGAACTTGAGTTGTTCCATCAATATTATTCCATAAATAAACATTATCAGCAAGCCCAACAGCTAAATCACCTCTACTACTCCAAGCAAGCAATGTAGTATAAAAATCATCTCGAAGATTAGGTGCATCTAAAACTTTTATAGGCTGCATTGATACAGGACGTTTTGGTATAGCTTTAGAAGTAGAAAAATTAAAAGAAAGATGAAATTGATCATCACTAAGCTTAGAGCGCGCTGAAAAAGGTGCCTTTTGATATATAAAAACATTTGCAGAACGATCAAAACCAAGAGCCTCAGCAATACGGGATTCATGAGTTTTTGGCATTATCTTAGATGTTCTTGGGGACCCATTATCATTATCTGCAGAAGCTTTCTTGGGACCTGGAGAAAGCATCCGAAATGTACTTACAGAATGACCTGTTGGAATAAACCTATCTGGACTAGAACGTGATGATTTAATAATTTTTGAAGGAGAAGTAGTTTGAACAGAAGATATTAGTTTTGTTGATTCTGAAATCGGAGCAGGCGCTGATAACAATAAACCTAAACTATTAAATGCATCTTCAGATGCAGAATATCTAATTTCAGTATTAGAAGGTATCATAGTACTTATCAAAACAAATGCTAATTTCTTTATGGATTATATGCAGTATAATTTATTGTTGTAAAATATAACTTTTAAAGAATATAAAACCTTGTAAAAGAAAAGCTAGCTATAATGTATAAAGCCAAAATAGATGTTTATTAATTTTATTAAAAACTTTATTAATTTTGCGAATTTTAAATTCTAATCGCAATCGAGAACCCCAGAACTTAAAATTTACAAAATGGTTTTTTAAACAAATTATATTATTCTTATAATAACAATAATGTTTTTCAGGAAAAGAATAACATCTCAAAAAAAAAAACTCTTGATGAAACAAAATTGCTTTTAGAAAACATTCAAAAGAATGTAAATATTTATTAATTTTTCAATTCACTAAAATATACATAGATTAAAAATGAAAACTATGACTATAAAATGCTAAATCTTACAACCGAGTTTTTAGAAGAAAATTTCGAAAGTTATAGTATATGGAATTATCGAAGAAATATTTTAAAAAATGGAGTTATCCTCCATCCGGAATATGATAAAACTACTATACATAACATTATTTTAAATGAACTACAATTTTTAAATGAATTAATGAAAAAGCAGCCAAAAATTTATTGTATTTGGTCTCATAGAAAATGGTGCTTTGAAAATGCACCTTTTCCTATTTGGGAAAAAGAGAAAACAGTTATTGATAATATATTAGCTAAAGATCTCAGGAATTGTAAGATAAATACATCATATATCTATTTATATACTAAATAACAAAATATAGTCCATATATGGAACTATCGGCAATATATAATTTCCAGAATTGAAGAACAAAATAAAATTTCATATGCAAAAAGCGAATTCGATTATACTATGAGTATTCTTAAAAAAGACTTTTGTAATTTTAGCGCCTTTCACTATAGAACAATATTAGTGCCTCGTATCATAGAAGAAGAATCTTATACTCATTTAGAAAGGAAATTTTTTTTCGATAAAGGTACAATAATATCAGTAATTTTATATTTGTTTAATTAATTAGAACTCTTTTTGACTAAATCTATTATTTATACATCACCCGATAACTCCAGTGCATGGCTTTATCATAATTGGTTATTATATAATATATCTAAATTAAATGATTCTCTTCTATTATCAAATATTATTACAATTAAGATAGATTATCTTAATCAAGAGATTACAATGATAAAGAATCTGATGGAACTAGAGGAAGATAAAATACGTATGTTTATATTTAAAACAGTTATTCTTTTAATTCATATAAAAAGATTTAATGAACGCGTATATTAACTATAATATATTACTATCAAAAATTTCTAAAAACCCATTAAATATACACCAAAAAAAAGAGTTAACGAAAATAGCTACAAGACTAAAAAAACTAGATTCCTTGCGAAAAGGACGCTATAACGACTTAAGTATGTGATTACTATTAGAAAAGTTTATTAATATACAATACCATAGTCTTAAGTCTTGAGAACTCATAAGCACCAAATATATTTATATTAGATAGTTTATTATAACAATAATAAATATTTTGAATTGATATTATATTAGAATGCCTTAATAGAAAATTAAGCAACAAATTAAAATAATCTTTTGTTTTTCAATATCTATAAATTATATTCTAAGATTTATGAAGGAGCTTGTGTAAATAAAACAGAAACGCTATGTTCTTAAATAAGATTAAAAAATGTTATAACTCACCTTTCACCATGATGTATTCGTCGAATACATTCTGCCAATACTGGTGCAATATCTATAGTTTCCAACTTGTCACATACAGCTTTTTTATCATCGTGAGGAATTGTATTTGTAACTACTACTTTTTCTAACTGACTTTCATTTATATACTGAATAGCATTTCCGCTTAGGATTCCATGTGTAACTACTGCCAAAACAGATAAGGCACCATTATTCATAAGAGTTTCAGCAGCATGAGATAATGTTCCACAAGTATCTACCATATCATCGACAAGAATAGCCACTTTTCCTTTAACATCTCCAACTAAAACCATCCTCGAAACTTCATTTACCTTTTGTCTCTCTTTATGAATAAGTGCAAAATCAAGATCAAGACGATCGGCAATAGCAGTAGCTCTAAAAACTATAAAACAAAACTTTTCAGACAAAAAATTATACCTTTTCGCACCACCTGCATCAGGAGAAACAATTACTGCATTTTTGTAATCAACTGTTTCTTGAATATATTTAAGCATTGACGGCTCAGCAAAAAGCTAATTAAATAAGTTAAAATATAAATTATATAATACTGTTTTACACTATAAAAATAAGCTTTAATAATCACTCTTTTAAATAAAAACATACTTATCAACAGGAACATCAAAAAATCCCTGAATTTGAGAAGCATGAAGATCCATAGTCTTTAAAAATCAATTAAGAAAATAAAAAAATATTATATACAATTATATGATTACAACCAACTGTTTGAAGCATATTTGCAACCAATTTCGCAGTTATAGGTGCTCGACTTTTATCTTTTTTATCTTGTCTTGAATAAGGAAAACATGGTATAACAGCTGTAATCTAAAAAAACATTATAATCACAAAAATATAAACTAATTTAAAATATACTCTACGAGCAGACGCTGTTTTACAAGCATTAATCATAATAAGTAATTCCATTAAATGATCATTAATAGAGTCACATCCTGTTTGAATAATAAAAACATCTTCATCTCTTACAGATTCTCCTTTTTAACAAACAATAAAAAAATAACAACATACGTATCAGATAATTACCTATTGATATAGCCATTTCCTGATTTGAATATTTTATAACATTTGTTTTGCCAACTGTAATACCAATTCTATAATAAAACAAGTCAAAACATATTCTTTAAAAAACGCATTTTTAACCTCCTAGCAACCTTTTCCGCTAACTCAGGATGACTGTTTCCTATTCAGTGTCAAGAAGAATTAAAAAAAAAAATCAATAAACCAGAAAAAATCTTAATTGAATTTGAAATCATGAAGAAAAAAATCTAAATAAATTATATAAAAAAAGGAATAAAAGTGAAAAACTTTCTAATCTCTAAAATGCTCTTACAGCTATTTTACTAACAATCCTTAAATATTAAAAACAGCTAAAAAACTCAATTCGTAATATAAAAAAAATAAGACATAAATTAAAAAATATAAAAAATATATTAAACTATTCCTAAACTACTTTTTTAAACTACGTCTTTTCTTAATTTCTGCCTTTTTAGCCTTTTTTTCAGAAATATACTTGCTAAGAAGTAAGGCATATTCAGCAGCAGCTTGTCTTTGTTTTTCAGCGATCTCTCGTTTATGTTTAAGACGCCTTCTTTTCCTTTGAAGCGTCACAGGCCTATAAACATATAAACATAAAATAAACAAATCCAAGAGAAACATACGTTACAAGACGTTGAATTTTAGGTGCTTTTGTATAAGATTTCTTACCCTCATTTTTACAAATCTCACGACGAATAACAAACTTCCGAACATCATCTTCCTTACTTAAATTAAAGAAACGCCGAATCTTAGACGCTCTTTTAGGTCCAAGTCTTTTAGGATTTGCAGTATCAGTTAATCCTGGAATATCATTTTCCCCTTGTTTTACAATAACCAAACTTAAAACAGAAAGATCACTTGCAACAATACATCCGCGAACGCTCTTTCTTGATCGTTCTCCATCACGCCTAGGCCTATAACAAGAATGACCCTTTGATAATAAAAGCCGAACTCTCGACGAAAGAAGCACACCTTGCTTCATTGGAAACCCTTGTTTATCATTCCCACCAGTAATTTTAAATATATACCCTTTAAATTGATCATCTACAGAATCACCAGGTACTTCCTGACCCATACGTTTTTCCATGAATACTCGACTACAAAAAAACGATTATTTTAAATTTCTTAGAAACTACTTAACATACAGCTTCCGCTCATCATCAATGTCAATAAGTTTCTGAGTTCCATTCGCAGGATAAGCAATGTTTAACTATCATTCTATTAATATTTCCCATTGAATTTCTTTTAATTCGTCAAACCTTCATTATTCGTTTTTTTTTTTTTAAAACTAGTGACTTAAAAATCAAGACAAAACCCTAGAATAATTATGAAAACTAAAATTAAAACAAAAACCAATCCTTAAAAATATCTATAATATACAAAAAAAATTATTCAGTTTTTCTTTAAAAAAGACTTAAGAGTCTCACAAAAACTATTTACATTTAAAAAATTTCAAAATCCTAAAATTTAATAAAATTTACAATCAAAACAATAAAAAATTTACATTTTAAATCCAATGTTATAAAAATTGATAGCATAGAATTCAAAAAAATAGAACAAAACTTAAGTATTTCCAAAAGAAAGATAATTATATAAAATAGTTAAACTATTACAGTGAATCTCAAAAAAAAAAAGCATAATATAAATTAATTAATGCGGTCATTTTGTACAATACAGATATATGAACATGTTATACAGTGACTTTTTAAATGCATATTACTCATTTAAAAAAGGTTTATGTATTGAAATAAAGCTCAAATACTTAATGATCTAAGGATCATCCTTTAGGAAGTCAGAATCTATTTTCCAAAACTAATACATCTTAATAATTATTACCATTACATTTCTATTCCTCTATGCATCAATATTCAATATTCCAGAAATGGTATTTCTTTTGAAGTCCTTAACATAAAAACATATTCAAAGCATCGTTTTTCATATAGTAACTTTTCCTAATATATTTATACACAAATAATTACATCAATTACTGTTTGTACATAGTCTTATATATAATAAGATTAAAAAAAAATAGGAATTCTTTAAAGCTAAAAAACATGAAATAAAAATGCAAATTATCAATAAATATTAGATTTTAACTCAGAAAAAACTCAAACTATAATAAAGAACATTTAAATTTTATTAAACTTTATTGAAAATACCCAAGACAATATAAAATAAGTTCACTTATTAAGTTCTAATGCTAATTTTCTAATTTATATAACTAATATTATTCAAATCCAGAACAAATTATTATTATATAAAATTATAATTATCCATATATTATTTATCATATATTAGCTTTCAATTCTAATTTTTTTTTATTCAAACATTCTTTAATTTATATTATCTAAAAAAACTTTTTTTCAACAACTTAAAGAATCCATTCAAATTTCAAAAAATTTTCAAAAAAATTATTTTTTTATATTAAAAATTATTAATTAATATATTTCATAGCATACAAAATAAAATTGCTCTCATACAAAGAAAACTCTAAAAATAATAAATAAATTCATAGTACTTATTAACTTTTCTATAAATAGTTTAATTTATTCAAAAAAAGAAAATATAAAACTATTAAAAAAATATTAAACTAAATAATTTGACCTTTTTGTTATTAATATAAAAAAGAATATAAAAATACAAATTAAATCCATAATAACAAAATATTTTTTAATATAAAATAAAAAAATATTGCACAAAAAAATTATAATCTCATTCTTTCTAATTCAACAAATCACATATAGTTATATTTTTTTTAATAATAATACAAAAAATATCAAATTCTTTAAACAGTAATTACAAAACTCTTATCATAACTAAAACTTTTTGCTATGTAAGATTTAAATTCTCCATTCACCTATATCTACTTTTACAAATATATAAAGTTAAAGATTCTTATAATCTTAAGAATACAAATACTCAAAATAGATAATCAACTACATATTATAAATCATATTGTAAAATTCCTTTAATAAATATAAAATCGAATATAGGCATTTGCTCCAAATTTATGCAAAATTTGATGTTTTATCTTTTTTTAATCATTTTTTTGACTTTTTTAACTGAAAATCGGAGCTACAACAAATATTTTAAAGATTTGCTAAAAAGAGAGATATAAAGAACAGAAAAGACTGTATATTATGAATAATTTACAAACAAGGAATTATGATTATTTAATCAAGGTGCGTTTTTTGAAAAGATCTACAAAAAACAGCACATTTATTTACATAAATAAGTGTGCAATAATATATATTATTAAAATAACTAAATTAATAAAAATACATTTTTTTATAAAACAAAAAAACTAATTTAGTGTGTTTTATAGTTACTTCTTATTGGTGATAGTGGTATGTTTTTTCAAACACAATTTTTCCTTTTATGAAAATACTTAATAAAATTTTTTAAAATATAATTATATATTATTCTTTTCTTTAGAATAAAATACTAACATTTTCTTTCTAATTTAGGTGTTGGAAAATCATGCCTTCTCCTTAGATTTAGTGAAGACTCTTTTACTCCAAGCTTTATTACAACTATCGGTATTGATTTTAAAATTCGAACCATTGAACTTGATGGAAAACGAATCAAGTTGCAAATATGGGATACTGCTGGTAAGTATACTTTGTTTTAAAAAAGTGTTTATATTTTATAAAAACTAATAATACTAGGACAGGAACGTTTCCGAACAATCACAACAGGTTTCTTCTGTGTCTTTTAATTAATAAATATTAACACTAGTTTCAGCCTATTACCGTGGTGCTATGGGGATTTTGCTCGTTTATGATGTGACTGATGAAAAATCTTTTAATAGTTCATTTTTAGTTTTTTATATTTATTTTACTAATTTTTATAGATGTTAGATCATGGGTTGCAAATATCCAACAATATGCTGCTGAAGACGTAAATAAGATTCTTATTGGAAACAAATGTGATTGGGAAGAACGAAGAGTTATTTCACATGAACAAGGACAGAATCTTGCTGAAGAATATGGAATGTTATTTTTAGAAGCAAGTGCAAAATCAAATGTTAATGTAGATAAAGCATTTTTTGTTCTTTCTCGGTATATCGCTTTTTTCTAGTTTATAATCTCATTTGTTTAGAGAAATTAAAAAACGATTAATAGATGTCGAACAAGGAAATAATGTTTTAGGAATAACCAATATTCGATTAGATAAAAAAAACAGTATTTCTAAAGGAAACTGTTGCTAAACATATTTTCCCCTTTTTTCTGAAACATATGCATTTTTCAATTATATACTAACTATATTAAATTTCAACATTAAAATAGGAGTTTAATGTTCATTGTAATTTCATTTATATAGTATAGCCGTTATTTATAAACAATGCTATGATATTATGCTCATTTTTAAAAATAACTTTTTTACTTTAATCTACATATTAATTCATATATTTATTTTTTTCTACTCTTCAATTTTAAAATTTAAATTTAAAAAAAAATCATTATTATTTTATTTTTTTTATAAATTATCTATTTTCAAAACAACAAATAAAATAAAATTTAATTTAAAATAATAATAATAATATCTTATTTTTTATAAAATTTAGTACAAATAAAATAATAAACTGTATAAAAGATTACATAAAATTTTATCTAACAATTAAAAATTATACAAAAATCTAACAAAAGATAAATCCTTAAAAGATTTAAAAATAAAAATCATAATAACAAATTTATAGCTTTATTAAATATTAAATTTCATATAAATCTATCGTTTATAAAGTATTCGTTTTATAATAGCAACTTTTCACAACTTCAAATTTATTTGAAATTTTTCTTTATAATTTTTATCTTGAATCATTTGTTTAAAACTTACAATATATAATACACAAAAGATGAAATATATATGGAATTGGTTTAAAAAAGTATTAATGTTTTTAAAAGAAAAAAAATTAACTTTTAGCAGGACTCAGCAAACTCATATGAACGAATTCTTTCACAACTAGCAATGGAAATAAATCATCATGAATCTCGTTTATCCACATTTAAACTTCGTTCTATACGTGTCAAAAGACTTTTTACTTTATATTGTACAATTTTATATCTCATTTATTTCTTAATATGGATTTTATTTTATATGCGGAAAACACAAGATATTGAAAAATGGCTTTTAAAGTTTTCTATTCTTATTATCTCTATTTTTGGGTGATTACAAAATTCTCTTCAAATATTATTTATCTTATTTTAGCATTTATTTTGGACGAATAATTTTCACTATTTATTATACAAAAATGATTTCTTCAGAAGGTAAAAAAATATAAATTTAAAATTATATTAATAAGCATATTGTAGAATCGAACTTAGAGCATTTGAGAACAAAACAGCGTGAAAAAGTAGAAGAACTTAAAACTAAAACAAATTTTTATTCAACACAATCATTAATTGATCGATATTCAAATTCTCAAAAAAATACACCAGAAAAATCTAATATATCTTTACTTGATTTTAGTGATTCAGAAAAAAAAACACCAAAGCATAACTATTTATCTTCAAATTTTGATTCTCCATTACGATCTACTTTTCAAAATTCAAACCAACAAAATCAAACTTCTACTCTTCGATTAAGACACATTAATAGTAATAATAATACAAATAATTCTTTCAACGAATCCTTTCCAATGACATCCAATGCATCATTTCCTATTGATAAATATTTCAAACCATCCCAAGATAATTCTTTTATTTCTCGAATTTTAAATTTTATCATTGGTCCAGATGAAACATCACCTGAAAATAGATATGCTTTAATATGTAAAAATTGTGGAATTCATAATGGATTAGCCCCATATGGAGAAAAATGGGAATCAATTAAATACATTTGCATGAACTGTGGATCATGGAATGGAAATATAAAGCAGGATATAAAAAATACGAAAGATAACTCAAATATACTTAAAGAAAATCTAAAACTAGAAGGAACATTTAAAAACAAAGAAGAAGCATTTAAAAACAAAGAAGAAACATTTAAAAATGAAGAAACCTGCCCTAAAATGCCAAAATAAGATAAAACTAAGGTGTTAAAAATCATTAGAACTAAATAATTGAAATATACCAAACATATAAAAACAATAAATTATTTTTCAAAAAACAACACAATAATATATAATCATATTTTTTTATAAAATGAGACTATATTATAACTTTTGATTCTTTAATCTAGTGCATACTAGATTATACATTTCTATAAAGACATTTTAGAGAACGAATTAGATCTCTTTAAAGGAATATTTATATCTATTAAAGTTTTTAAAGTAAGTATAAAAATATTTTCCTACAATTTATTAGAACATATATACAATAAAAACATTTTACTTTATTTGTTGTGAATGCTTTATATTTCTTCTGTTTTATACATGTTTCTAAATTCATTTCATTCAAAAACATTAAAAGAGGAGTTTCATGGTCATCTACTAAAACTTTGTTTACTATATTATAGTTAATCTTTTTCTTAAAAATATAATCTTTACCAGGCTTTAATAATTTTAAAATAAATTTATTCAAAGTAAACATAATTTTTTATTCAAAATATCTATTATTCTTCCTTATAAATTACTAAAATATTAGAAATATTTTTAAGGCATTTTATAAGCATTTTTTAATATAGCCTTTTAAATCATTTATTCAAAAGAATCTTTGTTATAGATAGCGATCTTTATATTTTTAATAATTATTATCAGTATGCTTATCTTTTTTCGTAACCCAAAATTTCCTAATTAAGCGATAAAACACAAAAAAGCATTTAACATTCTTGCAATTTTAGATACATAACTGCAATTATATATTTTAAATTACATTAAAATCAATAAAATATTTTTATTACAGATACAATTTAACAAAAAAAATTTTTTATTGTAAATTCTCAAAAAAATTAAAAATAAGGTAATTAAGATATTAAAAATATTTTAAAAAATAATATATTTTTTAACAAAAATACACATTTTACGTTAAACTTATTTTTTTTCTAAAAACATTTGATAATCTATAAGATTATAATATTTTACATTCATCTAACAATTCTCGTGTTTCTTATATAAGCAAAAAATGCAAGGTATGTGTAACTTACAATATTAATTTAATAATTTATTCAAAAAATGTAAAAAATAAATCAAGATATGTTATTATAAACAATTTCTATACTAGAAAGTTCATCAATCTTGAAAATTTATAAAAACAAAATAGCTTTCTATAAAAATTTATAACTATTAAAACAACGATTAATAAAAATTATTACTAAAAATTAAAATTAAATGTTATTTATTGAAATAGTGCAATTTATAATAATATCAATAATAAAATAAACATTTTTAATAGAAATTGATCACAATTCCTCTTTTTCTTGGGATTCAAAAAACTAAATCTTAGACAATACTATCTTTTTTATATGGAAAAAAAAGACATAGGATTATCATCGTACGCGTCCAAAGGAAGTTTTCGTACAGCAAATTCTCAAATATCAGAAAACGAATGTAATACAGATGATTCTCCTTTAGATATTTCAAATACATGCACAGGAAACCCTCATCATTATCATCAAACATCTTCCTTTGATTCTACGTCTACAATTAGATACTCATCATCAAACATAAGCCATCAACAAAATAGAAACACTAGTAATTTTGTATCTTCCTCAACGTTTCCATACGGAAACAGATATAATCAGCGTACTGTTTCTGCTGCTTCAACTACATCATCTAAACAAGCTAATTTAAGTAATCCTCGGTATAAAAGACATATTGTTAAAGTCATATCACATCCACAAAGAGGATATTTTTCAGCAGAAGATGGTGAAAACGAAATTGAAATAGACGAAGAAACAGGATTTTCAGAGTTTGATTCTGAATTTCGAAATAAAATATTAAAAAAAAAGAAGAGCTTTAAAGGAGATTACGGAAAAAGTAAAACAGTTATAAATGAAATTGATGAGGATGCTATTGGTGATGAATATGAAAGTTTTGAAAAGTTAATGTGTGATAATGATGAAAATACAAGTATTTCTCATAGTATTGACAGCGAAGGAAGTTTTACTCTAAAAGAAAGGCAAGGTTCGTATTATTTTTTCATATTTAAATTCTTTTTTAACTTATTTAAGATGCAATTAATAAAACTCATCCTTTTGGCATAAGACTTTGGAAACCAGCTTTATATAAAAAAACTCGCTCTGTACAAAAAACTGCGGAAGGAGATATTCATTCTACACCAGGTGGGCCAATTTTTTCCAAAGATATTATAGGTAATATTCTTTGGACATTATGCTTTGGATGGTGGTTAGCCTTAATTGCTTTAATAGCGTCATTCATTTGTTATATATTCATAGTTGGCCAGCCTGATAAAGATTACAGTAGAGTTCTTCGAGGGTTGTCTTGCTATGTCTTTTATCCTTTTGGGCAATATGTAGAATTAAAACCCGAAGAGGCATATGCAGAAGAAGATGAAGGAGAAGGTCATAGTATAAGCGAATATGCTGATTTAGAAATTGCTGAACATAGTAATTTACCTATTCAAGGAATTGTTGGTAGACAGAGAGAAAATATTGATAGTATATCAGATACAGAAAGTTTATTCAGTAGTTTTAATGAATCGAATAATAATGCCAAAAAGAAAGGACGCAGAAGATTATTTGGAAGAGGTCAATGGTCCTTTGGACGAATAGTATTTTTTTTACTTTTTTACTCAATAATAGGTATATTTTTAGCAATTTTTTTCAAATTTAACATCTACTAGCACCACTTCTTTTACTTATATCTGCATTCTGCTGGTTAATAGTTTTCACCATGCCAATGGCAAAAGTAACTTATCTATTATTTGATCATATGAGGCGACATCCCTTATCCATAGTTTTTCATTCAGATTTCCGACGAGGGGGATCATCCAATCCTACAATTTTAGTATGTACATATCGCGCCTTTGGTTTAAAATATTATCAATATACCGTTGACGGCGTAAACATATTTTTTATTAATTTAATGTTTATAGTTTTATTTACTATTTCAGATGAATATATCTTAGGAAATATTTTTGGACATAATTATTTCATTACATCTTCAGCAACAATATTTGTTCTTTCTCTTTTATCGATTGTATCTTTATCATATCTTGTTGGTATGGCTGTTGCATCAATTTCAGCACAATCATCTATTGGCATGGGTGCAGCTATTAATGCATTTTTTGGCTCTGTAGTAGAAGTTTATCTTTATTGTATTGCATTGAACCAAGGAAAAGCTAGATTAGTAGAAGGAAGTGTAGTTGGTAGCGTACTTGCAGGCGTTCTTTTAATGCCTGGTTTATCAATGTGCGCAGGAGCAATAAGAAGAAAAACACAAAGGTTTAATGCAAAATCAGCAGGAGTAACATCTACAATGTTATTATTTGCTGTAATTGGAGCATTTGCTCCTACATTATTTTATCAAATTTATGGAACGGTATAACTTTTATTCCTTTTTCATATTCTAATTTAATAAAAATAGTATGAATTAAAATGTTTACCATGTTTGAAAAACAACTATATACATAATTGTCAAAGATGCAAATTCGATCAATCGTATACACCCAATGATCCGTTTTATCAAAGTTCAGTAAAACCATTTACATATATTTGTGCATTAACATTAATTCTTTCATATTTAATTGGGCTATGGTTTACCTTAAGAACACATGCAGCAATGATATGGCAAACTCCTATTACAGCATCAGTTTTAGTCGCGCCCAGAGAAGGAATTACTTCTCGATTGATAAAAACACCTATTCGACAATCTCAAATTTTTAAAAAAATAATACCAAAAAGCTTTTTAGAATATCAATCTAACAAAAGATATAATACTGCATTTACATCATGTCATAATAATGATATATGTCATCAAAATATTATTTCAAATAATCTTCAACAAAATTCTATAATTTCATATATACAAGACTCTTTTAAACCAGAAGATATTATTCATAGTGAAACAAATGCTACTATCAATTCTATAGGTTTAACACTAGAAGCCCAAGAATCAATAATTCAAAATCAAAATACTAATGAATATGAACAATCTCAAAATGATAGATTTAGAAAAAATCTTTTAAATTCTCAAAGTTATATTCATGAATCTGAAGGAAATGAACATGAAAATAATGCAGGACATGGCGCACCTAGTTGGAGTCTGAAAAAAAGCACATTAATACTCTTAACATCAACATTATTATATTCAGTCGTAGCAGGTACTTTAAATTCTTTTATTATAATTTATTTGCTTTTTTTTAGAAATGTTAGTTAATACGGTGGATGTAGTTCTCCAAAATTTTCATATAGATGAAAAATTTCTAGGGTTCACATTATTTGCATTAGTACCAAATACTACTGAATTCATGGTCTTATACCTAGTTTTATTTTTTATATTCTTATAAAATATAGAATGCCATATCATTCGCAACGAATGGAAATATTGCTCTTAGGTAAAGAAATGACATAAGATAATTTAGTTTAATTATTATAGCATGGAAATTGGTTCAGCATATGCCCTTCAAGTGTGCTTATTACAAATACCATGTCTTGTTGCATACAGTGCTTTTAAAAACATAGGAAAACAAGAATTATTATCTTATACTTTCAGGTTTTAGATAAAAATAATAAAATACATTAATCTAACATATAAAGTTTGGTTTTCCCAAGATGGGATCTCATATGTGTAATTTTGTGCGTATTTCTTTTAGCTTATGTATACAGTGAAGGCAAAAGCAACTATTTTAAGGTATTTTTTTCTTTTAAAAAATATGTTAACTTTTTAGGGTTCTATTTTAATATTAAGTTACACAGTTCTTCTTATGGGTTACTATTTTACACCAATTAATATCCAGAGCTTTTCTTCATTTGTGATAGAAAACAAATATACCATATTACAGAAATTATAATTAAAACTATTATATAAAAATAAGCAGACAAAACATAGTTATTCATCGCATTTCTAGAATTATATATAAGAAATACACTAATTAATATGCTAAAAGTATTTTTATGCTAAAAATAAATTAATATTTGTTTAAACTTTGACACCAATAAAAACGATATTCATGCATCAGTTTCAAAAACAAAAATATCAATATAATCATCTCTTTTTTCATGATTAGCATAGAAATAACGATCATCATAAACATGTATTATTTCCTAAAAAATAAAACTATGAAATCATACATACCTTAAAAATTTTTTAATTAATCTTAAAATTATTTGCTCATAAATCAGAATGAATTATTTTCATCAAATTAACTATCAGAATTTGATAGTACGTAAATTCAATCATCATATTTTTTTAATCATACTACATAAAAAGAACATACAGATTCACTCATCCATGCCTATCTATTAATTAATATTTTTATAAAAATAGAATTATTTTAAAAATATTTAACAAATGCCTATATAAATATTTCAGAATCATTTGAAATTTTAACTCAACATCACAACAAAATCTCTGTCTGGGGCGACACATTTATCATCATATTGCTTTTTTAAACATAAAAATTTTATTATCATACCTTTCCGTAAACTAGCAAAATTAAAATTTAAAATATAACAAGCCATCCAATTTTCAATAATTAGAATTCCTAACTTAAATTCCAAACAATTAAAAATGAACACTTTCTTGCGCAAAAAATATATTCTTGATACAAACAAAACTTCTCAAAAAATAACACAAATCAATAAAACTCTTCAAAAATATCCATTTTTATTTGGGATACCTTTCATAATGATAATATTAAGCGGAGCCTATGTATTAAGCATATCTCAACAATTTCGATATGAATGTAGAGATCAAAAGATAAAACAAGTAACATCATCTGTCTTAAAAACCATTTTTAATAATAGATAGATTTTAGAAGAAAATACTTTAGGAACAAAAAAAAATCGACGAAAAATAAATATTAAAGATGAATATTATGTAAATTTTTATTTTGATAAAAACAAATGTCTTAAATTCTTTTTTAGAAACTTCAAATGAATGAATTACAATTTGATGATTGGGAACAGATTAGAGTAAAACGGCTTCCCGGAGAACCAGAAAATGTATTAGTTCCAGATTCTTAAAAAACGTCGTATTAATAAGTTACATATCTTAATATAAAAACTCAAACTTTTTTTAAAAAAGAAATTAATCAATATTTCGATATTCAGCCAATTCATCATCGTCATATCTAACAAGTCTTCCACTTAATTCCTTTTTTGCATGTAGACAGAGACTTGCAATAGTTTTTCCAACTTTTCTAGGAGGCATCAATAAACCTCTCTTATAAATATCTTTAAATCTTGTATATGTAACTTGATCTAACTTTGATGAATCTAAACAAGATTAAAAAGGTTATATTTATAAAAATATCATACAAACTTCTCTTAAAGATGTTTGCATCTGAGTATCTACCACCCCTGGTTGGATAGAAATAGAAGTAATTAATTTTTCTTCAGCTGCCTATTTTTTCTTAACTAAAGCTTAAACCTTCATTGCAAAAAATATTACCAAAACCGCAGACAAACTATTCATAGCACTTTTTGACCCACTATATGCACCCATACTCTATACCTATTTAATATTCGTTTTTATATGATCAAATACTCAACTTGATATGGCTTTATAGATGCACCAGAAGAAATAAAAAGTACTCTACCGCAAGACAACCGTAGATATGGAATTGCCCTTTTTAACTCCCTTATCTCAATAACATTACCAAGTTTACAATAATCTTACCATATATAAGAGAGAAAAATAATTCACATCAAACAATGCTTTCCAAGCATCGAGATCAGTATCTACAATATTCCCAACTGGCTCTATAATGCCCGCATTCAAAACCAACGAATCCAACCGTCCAAACCGCTCTATTGCAGTATCTACTGCTAAAATACATGTTTCTGGATCTTTAAGATCTCCTTCAACAATTACTATTCGAGACTTAAATTTCTCCTCTAAATCAAATATAGACTTTTTAAGCCGAACAACTGCAATAATAAAAGTGTCACTATAACACTCAAGCAACTCTTCTACTATCGCTTTCCCAATCTTTTAAAATAACAGTTAAAACATTCATTTATATCTAAAATATATACCCCTCGTGATGCACCTGTTACAAGTCTAATCCAAAAATTAAAAACATGTCTTTATATATAAATATGTTCATCTTTGTAAAAATACTTACATACTCTTATTTACCGTCATTTTTTTCAAAAATCCATACAACTTTGAAAACTGCAAGTTTTTAATATTGTTATCGAGATTGAATCTAACAACCTCAGTTAAATCACAATTTATTTAAAATGAACAAACCTATGCGTGGACTGATGATTTTCATCAGTGATTTAAGAAATGCAAAAGGATGGAAACTTGAGGAACAAAGAATTAATGAAGAATTAGCAAATATTCGACATAAATTTCAGGGTTTATTTTAATTTTTGAAAAAAATATTACATATACTAATATAAATAAGATGAACACTTAAGTAGTTATCAGAAGAAAAAATATGTTTGCAAGGTAAATGAAAAAAAATTTCAAAAAAGATAAATCAGTAACGTGAAAAGTTGTTATATATTTATATTCATGGATGGGGATTTGATTTTGGACATATGGAAGCAATACATCTTATTTCTAGCGACAAATATTCAGAAAAACAAATAGGATACCTTGCTATGATGCTACTACTGCATGAAAATCATGATTTAATACATCTTGTAGTTAACAGTATTAAACGAGACTTATTAGATTCAAATGAATATTATAATTGTCTAGCGTTACATGCAATTGCAAATATTGGAAGCAAAGTGATGGGAAAAGTTCTAGTTTCTGATGTCAAACAATTGCTTATGTCGCCGTAAGTATATATAGCTATATATATATAAAATTAATTATTTCTTAAGTATATCCAAAAATTTTGTTAGAAAGAAAGCAGCGCTAACCCTTTTACACTTACATCGTAAACATCCGGATATTATTGAACCAGAATGGACAGAAAGCATTATTTCTGCATTAGATGATTCAGATCTAGGAGTATCCTTATCTATAACAAACCTTTTGATATCTCTTGTTCAAAGCAATAGTATATTATATGAAGGGTGTTATCTTAAGGCTATTCATAAACTAAAAAGAGTATTAATATTTATTATTATATTCATTGTATTCATCATGTTTAGATCGTTATTGACGGAGAATATACCCATGATTATATATATTACAAAGTACCTGCTCCCTGGCTTCAAATTAAACTCTTGCGTCTTTTACAATATTATCCACCACCAGGTTTAATATTTCTCCATATTAGAAATAATCCTTATTTTATTTAGATGATAAAGATACTGAAGAATTAATATGCAAAATTTTGCAATTTATTATAACATCTATACTTCATGAGCCACCAAAAAGTGCTCAACAAAATAATATTCAAAATGCAGTTTTGTTTGAAGCAATCAATTTTTCTATCCATATCGATATTAATGATGTATTAACAAATCAAACCATCCATTTATTAACTAAATTCATATCATATAAAGAAACTAACACTCGATATCTTGGTTTAAAAGCATTGATCCGCCTAGCAAAACACCTAAATAAACTTGAACCATTTAAAAAGTACCATGATACTATCATACAATCTTTAGGAGACAAAGATTTGAGTATTCAAAAAAAAGCTCTTGAATTATTATATTGTATATGTGATTCCAGTAATGCAAAAACAACAGTGGAAAAGTTAATACATTATTTAGAAGAAGCAAATCCTCTAATAAAAGAAGAAATAGCTATTAGAACGGCTATTCTAGCGGAAAAATACATAACAGAATATCAATTGTATGTAAATATAATACTACAACTTATAAATATTTCCGGAGAATATATTGGTGATGAGATATGGTATAGATTTATCCAAGTTATAACAGATAACGAAGAAATGCAAGAATATACAGCAAAAACTGTTTTAGAGTATTTGAAAAAAAGCAATTCCAATGAAAATATGATTAAAGTTGGTGGATATATTTTGGGAGAATTCGGCTATCTAATATCAAATTCTTCTTACAGTAGTCCTATCGAGCAATTTATTTCTTTACATTCTAAATTTAATACATGTTCATCTAAAACTCAGGCATTACTTATGTCAACATATATTAAATTTGTTAACTTATTTCCTGAAATTAAGTTAGATATACAAACTGTTTTTGAACAGTATATAAACAACATTGATTCAGAATTACAACAACGGGCATGTGAATATTTGGAATTATGTTATGTTTCAAATAAAGATCTTTTACAAGTTCTATGTAAAAAAATGCCCCCTTTCTCGAAGAGACAATCACTTTTAATATTAAAATTGCAAAGCAAACAAAAAAATAAGAACAAAGAATTAGGAATTGTCAAGAGTAAGACAATATCAAAAGAAAGAGATAATACAAATGTTGAAAATCTATATAAATCAGTTAATAATAATAAAATTGCAACATTATCCGAAAATGATTTAATCGGATTAGAGATTTCAAACACTTTCAATTCGTTATCATCTGCACCATCTGCTTTTAAAACATTTAATCAATCTAACACTTTATCAGATTTTGTATCGTGTATAGAGAATATGTCGTTATCTCATGATTCTAATTTTTCTAAAAACTATAAGACTAACTTTATTGAACTATTATGGAATAACGAGGGAATACTTTGTGAAAACGAAGAAATACAGATCAATGTTTTATCTGAATATCATGGTTATCAAGGAAAAATGATACTTTTATATAAAAACAAATCATCATTAACATATACTTCTTTTACATCTTCTATTGATAATTCCAGCAAATCAAGTTTATCTATTACGAAAACAATAAATGCATCATGCACTTTAAATGCATATGAGGAGATACAACAAATACTAGAACTAGAAATTCTTGATATTTTTTCAGAATTACCAACCATATCTATATCCTATTTATCAACATCTCCGAAATCCTTGACATTAAAACTTCCAATCGTTCTTTCTAAATTTTCAGAAGGAGTAGAACTTGATTCAAATAGTTTCTTTCAAAGATGGAAACAAATCGGAAAATCTCGAGAATGCCAGAAAATCTTTGCTATTAAAAACAAAGAAAAAAAAATAGACTTTGAGTACAATGTAAAAATACTTAAAGGGTTCGGATGGGAAATTTTAAAGGAAATTGACACAAATGATCAAAATATAGTTGGTGCATCTGTATTATATACTAGTCAAAAAGGGAAATTCGGATGTTTATTAAGACTCGAACCTAATTATGAAACTAAGGTATTTAATAATCCAATTTAAGTTGCTTATATATTTTTAGATGTATCGGATTACTATTCGAAGCACAAAAGAAGGTATCGCAGATCATTTAGAATCTTTAATAGAAAAAAAACTATCAGAAAACAATCTTTAATCCTTGTAAATATACCAGAATTAGAATCATAAAAACAAATGCTATTTAAATTTATACAAAGAAAATACTTAAATTTATAATTTATACAAATTTGTAGGTCTTATTCCTATATTTTAACATTAAAACGATATATAAAATTAAAATGTGTCATACCAAAAATATTTGTTCCAACTCTTATATTTGTTGATCCCATTTTAATAGCTAGTTCAAAATCTCTACTCATACCCATACTTAATTCCAGTTTTATTCCAAGAGATTCAGTAATTTTATCTCGACATTTTACAAGGGTCTTAACAAATTTATTCGATGATAACAATCCTTATAAAAATACCTCAAAATCTTTATTGTATTCGCTATTGCTTTCAGATAATGAGCCAATAGTCATAAGTCCTTTAAGATGAAGTTCTTTACAATTATTTATTATATAACTACATAACTCTTCGGAATCACAGGGAGCAACACCGTTCTTCCCTAAATTATTAGAAAAAAGTACAGAATATCTTAAAACTAACCTTCTTCACAACTCGTATTTACTTGAACATAAACATTAAGTTTTCTATCATTATTATCTAGCATATTTGTAGATCTTTTTAAATTCATTAATGCCTTGTTTAAAGCAAATGCCTTTTTATAAGAATCTAAACTTTCAACTGCCCATAAATTAGATATAGACACTAAAGTTTTACACTTGTTGGTTTGAAGTCCTAAACATAAAAATAACTAATCATCATAAAAATTAGAACCAATTACCTCCAATAAAGTGCCATTGGCAATCTGAAGGAAGCAATTTGGCTTTTTCAACCATTTCTTGGACAAAATTTTCTCCAAACTAATATTTATAATTACTCATCAAAAAATATAAAATAAAAAAATACATGTCTTTGACCATAATCGTACGCAATTTTTATATCTTCTACAGAATTTAACTTTGAAACAGCCACTAAACGAACCTTAAATCATATTAATATAACCAAATTTAAAAAAAAAAATCATATTTACTTCAGTATTTTTAGAATAACGGAGAATAGTATCACGAACACTTTTAAGACCTAAAAATATTTCTTCAGAACGAGTCATTTTCTTTTTAATGAATATAAATTATTATAAAATGTATTTTTTTTTTATATTTTTATAAACTCTAAAATCATTTAAAATCTTACAATTTTAATAATTTATCAAATTTTATTTTTTTTAACTTTTAACTAATTAAAACATTAAAATTAATACAAATCTTAAACATTATTAAAAAACAATCTAAAAATTCATTTTTGAAATATCTATAAAGTCAAAAATTTATGTATAAAAATAACTAAAGTATTAAAATTACAAATATTTAAAAAAATATCAAAATTGCATAAAAACATTTCCTCTTAAAACAATAGATATCTATATTTAAGTAAATACATTTTAAAAAATGTATAATTTTATTAAAACAAATAGTTTCACATCTAATAAAAACAAAGCACTGATTAGAATAAAAAATAAAATACTATAGAATCATTGAAAATTCATTCAAATTGTTTTAAAATACTTTTTTATAATATATTTTTATAATCATACTTTTTTTATCAAACTTAGTGAGATTAATTTTTTTATAATGCAAAAAAACATTATAACACATATTTCTTTATTAGATATACTGTCTTAAAAATAATTCATATGATCTTTTATAAAATATTCAAATAAAAGCAAAATTAAATTTTAGTCTAGCTTTAGAATATAAAAATTAAATGTTTTTCAATATATTTTTGAAATATTTAAAGTATTCAAACAAACAAACAAAAAAAACTATATAACTTATTAATCTAAATATTACAGTAATTTAGTAATAAATATATATTCCTTAAAAATTTCAATTAATCATATACTCTAAAAATAATATATTCTAATTACCTTATATCGTCATAAACTATTAATTATAACATCAAATAAACACATAATTACAGATAAATTTTAGCATATAATTTTCTAAAAACAAAAATAAATATAATTCTTTAATTTTTATAATTTAACCCAAAAAGAAATATACCATGTATTTTAAATAAAACTATTTTTATTACAAACACGAATACAAAGATCTAAAAATATTTAAAACTTGATTAAATTTAAAGCATTTAGTTATTACAAATAGATACTTAAATTTCCAAAAACAAATACTCAATTCTTGAAAATGATAAAAGAACAATTTTTATAAATAAAAATTTAAATAAATATTAATTAATAATAATTTTATAATAAATTTAAAATGATTAATCCAGAAATATCATAAATATATTTAATATATATTTCATATAATTTATTGTCTATTTATTAAAATAATAAATACAAAAATAATTTTTAATATCATTTTCCTTACAAACTTTAACCTTAAAAAATTATGATTTTTTTAATAAAATCAGAAAGCTAACAAAAATAACTTTAATACTCGATAATATAGATTAAAATCTAATTTTTTAAACCATTACTCTTATATTTGAATATATATTAAAAACATTTTCATAAATATAAAAAATATTAAATATAACTTTTAAACAACTATAATATTTTTACAAAAGAAGAAAACCTCAAAACCAAACAATTGCAAAACGAGTTTTCATAAAACTAAGCTTTTTATAACTTTCAAAAACTTGTAAAATCCAGATTCAAAAAATAATCTAAAATATAACAAAAACATTATAAAAGAATTAATAAAGAATTAATAAATTCCCAAATCATTTATTAATTATATGCATATATTTAATAGAAACAATTATGGACAAACTATAAACAAAAATCAAAAACATAAAAACAATAATCTAAAAATTTTTAAATGTTTATCGTAATCTACATGTCTATTTCGATAATTTTATAACCTTATTTTTATAACCAACTAACGCTTTCTTTTTTCTGTTTGGGCTCTAAATCCTGTCTTTATTGCACTAACCGATCTTTTGCTTCCACAAGACTCACATGTCATAAAATATATACGATTTTCCTTAGTTAATAAAGTATCAGGAGATTTACAAATTTTACATGTAACATATTCAACTATAAACTATTAAACATAAAATATCAACGAAATCCTATATACCAATATATCGTTTAAGAACATTCTCAATCTGTTTTTGCTGAAATTTCCCCTTAATAACTAATCTAGCACTACCATCCACACTCCCACTTGTACCCAATTCAGCAAATAGAAATTGAATAACATGATCAGAATTTCGATGCATTCTTTTACAAATATCAATCACATTAGCAAAAATAGTTTTTTTATTTCCTTCTCGATAAATAGTTGGAGGCGCAATCGTATAACGTTTTTTTTCACTAGCCAATTCAGGGTTATTCTGACGTAAAACCTTAAAAACCTGAGCAAGAAGCTAAAAGTACATTAAAAAATACTATAAAAAATAACAATTAATACCTCAGCATATGTATAATCCCTATCTGTTTTAAGCCATGCCTGTTCATCCTGTTCTCGAGGACTAATAGAGCCAAGCACATGCTCAGTATGATCTTTCGTATTTGAATCACTCAACGAAGTCTCGAATGCTTCCATATTTACTTTTTTTTTCTTTTTTTTCTTCATCCCTTCACCCAAATCAAAAATATCATTCAAAAGCTCCTTTTCATCATTCTCTCCCAATTCTTTCAAATCTTCTTCACTATCCTCAAAATTCGAAAAAGACTTCTTCTTCTTCTTCAAATTTGCAAACATATTCGTCATTTCATCAACTTCTGCATCTCCATCTACAGTCCTCAAAATCAGAACCTAATATATATTTTTTTATTTTTTTTTCCGAATCTTTACCAGAAACTAACTTAACAACGTCCTCTGAACCATCTACACCATCCTCTAAAGAATCATTATCGCTACTAAAAGCAACTTTTTTGTTTTTCTTCTTTTTTTTTAAAATATCAAAATCAAACTAAACAAAAAACATCAATCTTTTTAAGAAAATTTCAAGACAAAAAACATACTTCTTCAGTCGAAGAATTATCTTTATTATCTGTTCCATCTATCATTCCTAAGATTTTTAAATTTTCTTAACTTTTTTTTAAAATATCTAACTCGATATACGTTACCGTTTTTTAAAGAACATCCGATTTTTTAACAATTAAACAAGGTAAATTCCTATGATTTTTACAAAAATTCGAAACCCTTATGAAACCATAAAAAGTTTTAAAGTTTTTTTGAAATTTCAGTGAAACATACATTTTTTTTTCAAAAAAAATTAACCCAATTTTATCATTCTCAAGATACATCAAAAATCCAAATATTTCAATTTTTAATATAATTTTTAACAAAAGAGAAACACAGGGAATATACTAGCTCATTTGAACATACAAAACTATCTTTTAATATAGTTCTTATTCTTCACATTTCTAAAGATACGGTTTTTAGAATAAAAAAAGGCATTTTTTTGACAAAAAATAATTTTTTGCAGAAAAGCGCTTTTTCCAAACAGGATTTATCATATTAAATCAAATCTTACGTGGAATGCTTAAAAAACTCATTTAAAGAAATCATAAAACATAAAGAAACAGGAAAAAATAACGTTAATATAAAAAGTAGCGTAATTATTTCATAATTATAATTATTAATTTTAGTCATAAAGAATGCATCATAAGGTTAGTATTACAAAAACATTTTTAACAACTAAAAAATGATAGAAATCAGACATAAAAAAAAATGAAAAAATAAAAAATAGCCCAAGGAAAGTATTATAAACTAAAATATGTTTTCCTAATGATTTCTAATACATTTCCAGCAACAAAAAAAGGGTATCAGATTCTTTTGTCTACGAGAAAAAGTCTACATCAAAACACTTTTATCAAAATAATTTACAAACAAACTCTTCTCATAAAGATAGCAAAAAAGATAGAAAATATTTTCTAAAAGATGATGAAAAACTTTCTGGGGAAGAAGACTTAGAAGATTATTGCAAAGGAGGATATCATCCTGTGAAAATTGGTGAAAAATTCAAAGATGGAAGATATGTAATTCTCAGAAAACTTGGGTGGGGACATTTTTCGACTGTTTGGCTTGTTAAAGATACATTGTAAGTTGTAAAAACATCTTTTGTATATTCTTAATACATTTCTAGAAAAGATTGTTATGTTGCATTAAAAATTGTTCGATCAGCCGCCCATTATACAGAAACAGCGCTCGATGAAATAAAACTACTAAAAAGAATCAACACAGCAAATCCTTGTCATCCAGGAGCAGCTCATGTTGTTTCTTTACTTGACGATTTTGAACATCGAGGCCCCAATGGGACTCATATTTGCATGGTATTTGAAGTATTAGGAGAAAATCTACTTAGTCTTATTAAAAGATATGATTATCGCGGAATACCAATGCCATTAGTAAAGCAAATCACTAAACAGGTTCTTTTAGGACTAGATTATTTACACAGAGATTGCGGGATAATACACACTGACCTAAAGCCAGAAAATGTCCTTATATGTATTAGTAATGAAGAAGCTATTGCTCAAGTAACTAATACATCTCAAGAATCCCCCCGAAGTAGCAGTCCTGATATACGAAAGTCAAAACGTAATAATTTCATAACAAATAGTCAGCCACTCTTAAATTCCGATATTTTATTATACAAATCAGATCTTACTATACACAACTTGAGAGAAGAAAGAAGTGATGAGCAGTCTTTGGAAAAAAGAGAGTTAGACTCTAGTGAAAATGGTTCTAGTAAATATGATAAAGAAGATGAAACACTTGAAAAGGATATTTCAGGAATCTCTTTAGAAACAAATATTGAAAAACAGTCAATGGCATCATTTTCATCTCCTGATAACATAGGTTACATAAATGTTAAAATTGCTGATTTAGGAAATGCATGTTGGACTCATCACCATTTTACAGACGATATTCAAACACGGCAATATCGTTCACCAGAAGTGCTACTGGGTGCTAAATGGGGCGCAAGTACAGATTGTTGGAGTATGTCTTGCATGGTAATTAATTTTTTATATATTTTATTTATAACATTACTAGGTATTTGAATTATTAACAGGCGACTATTTATTTGATCCTAAAAACGGACAAGATTATACAAAAAATGATGGTAAATATTTTCTATTTTTTTATTTATTTTAATAATTCTAGATCATATTGCACAAATTATAGAATTACTTGGAAAATTTCCTCGATTTCTTGCATCAAGTGGAAAATATTCCCATGAAATATTTAACAAAAAATGTAAAAAAAACATATATATATTTTAAATTAACTATTATTTTTAGGCGAACTGCGTCACATTTCAAAATTAAATTATTGGGGATTGCCAGAAGTACTTCATGATAAATATCATTTATCATGGAATGAATCTGACTTATTAAGTAATTTTCTACTTCCAATGTTAGAGATTGTTCCAGAAAAAAGAGCCAATGCAGGAGGAATGAGTAATCATCCATGGTTGAAAGATACACCTGGAATGAATAAAAAATACCTTAATATACCAATAGGTTCTCGAGGGGAAGGAATAAAAGGATGGGCATGCGAAGAAAATATATAAATATTTTTACAAGTTAAAAATATATAATGTATATAGAAAAATGCCAGGGTATAATTTATAAAATTTTGGAGCGTATACATTAATATTTTCATCATTTCTATAAAATACTTAAAATAGATTTATACAAATTCATATTCTAGTACAATTATATAAAAACAAAATTCTAAAATTCACAATATTAATAATTAATCAAATTGTAAAGAATCAATTTATGAAAAAAACATAGTCATAAATCAATAATGTAATCATTATTCATATGTCACCCTTTTTGAATTGCGTAGATTATTACTAAATTGTCTACGATATCTCCGAAGATTATAAATATTATCAAAATGTGGTGCAGCAGCAGCAATATATGGATGAGGATGATTTATACTTTTTGCCCTAAAAAACCCAAATGCAAAATTCGAAACAAAAACAGATCCAAATGTTATTAAAATACAAAATATCTAAAAGATCAGATTTTGTTTCATAATTTTATTACTTACCATAGTTTTATATGAAATAGGATCAATAAAACTATTAATAATTTCTGCAAAAGTTTCTGCAGAAACTTTTGCACGACCTACAACAGTAGGATCACGATTCATGCATCTTTCCCAAGTCGTACATGCACGTTCCATTGCAGGAACTCTATAATCCGGAGAACAACGATTTTCAGTATATTCTTTTGAGCATAAAGACATTTCTTGTAAAATTTCTTGAAAAAGTTAATCAAAAAAAAACCAAATTACAATATAACTTACCAGCAGAATACTCCTCTACCTTTTGATCAACATCTCTTTGAATAGTTCTTACAAAAGTTATAGCAAAATAAAATAAAATACCAACAAGAAATACATTAAAAAACAACTGTATATATCCAGACGCAATATAAGGAATATCTCGATGAGAATTAACAGACCAATTTGCAAAACAATTATTCGTTTGGGATGGAAGAATTGGCTCATCCTAGAAAAAATTAACATTAAAAATATTAAGCAAAATAAAAATACATCACTATCTGTTGTATTCCCAGAAAAAAATTTTTGCTCATTATGCTTTTTAGATATACGTTTTTTCTTTATTTTTCTTATAACACCTTGACTTATCTTATTATTTTTTACATCAAGAGAAAAAAAATTCTTCTTGGAAGCATCACAAGCATTATCAACAGGAGTATCACAAAGATCAGTGTTTGTCTCACAACTCGGTGTATTATCTAAACCCGAACTATCTGTTGGTGCAACATTCAAATGAGAATTCATAAATATTTTCCGAAAATTGGGAATTGTTTTTGGCGTAGAAAACAAAAATTGAGAACCATTTCCAGTAGATGTAAATGATGTTGTAAGTGGGGGCACATGTTTTTCTGAAGTTTCAAAAAAAGCGCCTAAATAAATCATTAACAAAAAGAATATTTAAAACCCCAAAAAAATACGCTTTTTTGACAATTCAGGATCCCCAAGATACTTAGAAATATTTGAAAGACTAAGAGGAGAATTCACATCATCAGCTAAACCAGGATTTTCATAAGTAAAATCCATAGGAGATTCTTCTGAACGCATCATAAACAAAAAACAAACCAGAAAAAAATAAATATTAAAATATAAAATAACCCAATTAATTTGAAGACAAAATTTTTATAAAATAAAAAACTTAAATCAATATTTCTTAATTATTTTAATATTTCAGAAGAAATATTAAAGTGAGGTTACTGATCGACATTGAAAGCTAAGAAATTAAAATATTCAAAAAAAACAAACAATACATTTATTTATTTGAAAAGCATTTTAGTTAATAAACGAACCACATCATTACTTGAGCATCCCAATACAGAAGAATCTATTTATAAAAAATCACATAAAACATTTTGAAATATCATAAAAATTAGCAAAGAAAAATACAAATTTTAATCATTTTAAAATAGTTTTTTCCTACTTTTCTAAACAATTAATACTATAAACATTAAACAATAACAAAAATAAAATTTTTATAAATAAACACCAAAACAATTAGTACCTTATATAAAAAAATAAATCAATACTATAAAATCCAGTATTTTTTCAACATAAATACTCATGCATAACTTTTATGTTTTAACATTACCCATTCCATGCTCCTTCATATATTCTGAGCCCATCTCTAAATATTCTTGTCTAGTTATAAAACTCTTTTTGTATTCTTCAGTATGACACCATTGTTGCATACCCTTCCATGCATCAATAAGAGGATCTTTAGCCTGTCGTACACAAATAGACCTATCTGCAGGCCATAAGGCTCGAAAATCCTTTTCTATTCTAAGACTAAAGTTTTTAAGCAAAGAGGCACCGCCCGTACAGAAAATGTTGTCTGCCATTCTTTGTGAATCACTTATATCAAAACGAGATAAAATATCACTTATGACTTCAACTATACTAGCTTGATCCAAACCAGCAATATTCGGTTCAAAATAAATCTCCGGAACTCTAATTCTTTCAACATTTAAATGCAATTGATATGATTGTTGAATATCATTAGGGTCAAATGGAGGATATACTCCTCTATAAAACATATGAATCCATGAATTAGCAGAATCTTTATCAGGATCTAATGCATCACTTTTAGCAAATGTTGGATCATATAACATCAACTGAGATTCTAAATATTGAAGATTATTATTATCTTCATCAGATTCTGAAGTATTAACAATATCACGATAAATAGCCCAATCTTCATCATTAGCACCAAAAGTATCTTCAACTAAATTCTAATTAAACCAGTTTAATTAAAGAATAATACTACCTTCAATAGCTTTTTTCCTCTTTCTTTTAGAAGATTGATCACTAGCCAAACTAGCAATATTTTTCATACGTATCTGACTAGCGATGCTTTTCCGATCATTAAGTTCAGCTTTTAATTTCCTTTTTTCTTTAATTTTTTCAAGAAGACAATTCCTAGCTTTTCTTTTCTCTTCAAGCCAATTTTCAAAATCATTCAAACGCTTTTCTTCATCTAACCTTTCTATTTCTTCATTCCGAGCCTTTTCTACTTGCTTTTCAGCCTTAATTCGCATTCTAGCTTCATAATTAGACTTCATTAATTTCTGATGCTTTTTTTGTTTAAGCCCTGCTTCATCCAATTCTGAATCAGGAACATCAAGTAAAGGAAAAGAAGGAGTTTCTGAATCATGGCCAGATTCTTTATTTTTTGCTCTTTTAATCGCAGTATCAAGCCTTTTTATCGTAGAAGCCAATTCTATTTCATCAGCAAAACCTTCTGATTCTAATTTTTCTATGATAAATTTTTTATCCTTAAATTTTATAGTTTCCTGAAGCTCAATATAATACGCCATATCCTTTTCTTTTTGAAGCAACTTCTCCAAACGTGTTTTCTGAGCCTGTTTTTGCAAGCGACGACCAGCTTCTCTTCTTTTTTCAGCTAATCGAGCAACTTCCTCCTCTGTTTTTAAATTAGAAATCATCTCTATACATGGAAACTGGATTATTCTATCTTTAACAATTAACACATCTGGATCTAAAAATGTTTTAATTTCATCATTATAAGACAAAGAAACATAAGCATGATCATGAAGTAAACATTGCGCCTGCGTAAACGTCATTTTTTGAGGAAAATTTGGATACTTCAATTGAAAAAGTTTAAGAAAATACTCTGTAGACTGTATACCCCCCCATGATATTCTATATTCAACATCACTCACACGCAAATATCCAAAGGACAAAAAACTACCTTTTCGATGCACTCAAATTACCAGAGCCATTCAATACAGGAATCACATGTGTAGTGTTATTTCCTACACTTACAATTATACCATCTACACCCCCATTGTAATAAAATGAAAAAAAACTATCAATCCCGTAACACACTGACGGCAAACAATAACATTCAAATAACAATTCCGACATCACTGGTATAACCAATCAATTTCATATCTATAAATAACACAGACGCACCTCCACGAGTATAGTTTGGATTACACACCGGCTCTGTCATCAACAACGGGTGTTCTACTTTTTCTGATCCTGATACTCCCATTTTCAAAAAAACATAATCAAGCAACGATTCCTTTATATTATCAGCCCATAAAATCATTCTTTCACAGATAAAGAGCAGCACAGCCACTCAATCACTGTGCTATAGATATTCCGCACCATTAAATCCCAATTTGCAACAACATTAAAATCAAAAGGACTTTTTGCCATCTGTCTCGCCATAGGCTCTACTAAAGTATCATTCCCCACTAAAGTATAGGTTCTCATTTGACGACGATCTCTGTAGGTCGATACAACGCTGTCAAAGACCATACGCGGCTCTTTCTCAGATGCATATCCTGCTCTACATTGCCAAGATCCTAATTATCAATTAGTAACCTCAAAATATGGTAAAAAAACGCAGAAAAAAGCCTATATAGATACCATTATCAATAAGAATAAGAGGATCTTCATATGCTTTTGAAAACACTATATTATCAGCCTCAAAAAGCACATCTCTAACATTATAAATTGTCTGCATCGGTTGTCGTTAAGAGGACGAGTCAGCGGAGATAAAACAAGTAAATATAAGAATACACAAAAAAGAAGTGAAAAGATGGATATGAGTTACTGAAAATCTATTGTACTGATAGCTCAAAATACAGAAGGTAGAAACAAGTATTAATGAAAAGATAGTACAGAAAGAAGTGAAGAAATTAACTGTTAGAATGTTGTTAAAAGCCCTTTTATCTATACAAATAACTGAGAACTATTTATTAATAAATGGTATGCTATTTTGGAATCCTAGAGAGGCTTTTCAAGCTGATTTGTTCCTTCCAAATGAAACCGAACATTGCGTCCGTAATTTGCCCACATTTGTGAAATTAGTTCAACATTCATATTGGCCATATTAATTTCCTGAACAATCAACAAAATCCAATACGCAGTAATGGATCTTTTACCTGAATACAACGGTTAAACTCCATAATAGCTTCGTTCAATTTCTCCTAGACGGAGTTAATGAGACAAAAATTAAAAAAAAAAAAACATACCACATTTGTTACAATGCGTGCCATCAATGCATTTTGTTGTTCTTCATGGGGATTCTCCATTATTATTTCACTAATTAAAAAATCCTTTATGTCTTATCCCGAGTGACTTGAGATTTTTCAAAAACGAAAAAATACAAATCAACAAGTATAAATGATCTAAAACATTAATAATGAATATTAATTCCACATAAAACGTAAAAAACTATCATTAAATGAAATAATAAAAAATCCATACCTTATTAGTAATACATTCATAACAAATGTTTATGTAACAAAAAACTGATAAAATAAAAATATAAAAAATAAGAATTCCATAAGAAAATATTTAAATACCATTATTCATAAACCAAACATCAAAAATCATGTTTTTGTATTTTGGAAATATATATCTTGATACCCATATTTAAAAAACAAAATAAAATTCATTATTTCCAATAATACAATACAATATCAATCACAAAAGATATCACTAATGTAAATAATATCGAAAAAAAACCAAATATACCAACCATCACTTATTTTTTGTATGTCTATATGTAAACCTAAATTATAAGAATAAAGACAAAAAAACAATCAAAATACTTTTTCCGTGTTGGTGAAAACTCTCCAAGCTTGTGACCAACCATCTAATAAATATGAATTAAAAAAATCAAATCATTATGGCAAAATCAACTTCTTCTGTTACAAGGACATTCACATAATTCTTTCCATTATGAACCAAAAAACGCAAACTAAACATTTAAAGAGAAAAAACAAAACAAATAAAAGATACCCAACGAAACTAGGAAGAATTGTACAGGATCTTTCTTGAGTTTTGATCGGCGGTGAATTTTTTGATGCTTTAGATAAAGACATGGAAAAAGAAGCAATATTAGGCCCTGAAAACTATTAACAAAATTTCAGCATACAAAATAATCTAAACCCTTCCACAAAGACCGTGCACAGTTTATACGAGTAACAAAAACCATTTGTAAGATAGTTCTTATACCAATGTTATCTAACGAGACTAAATTTAAAAAATCAAGATTTAGATAAATTTAAATATTTTATTCTTCTAAATAAAACAAAACAACTATGAGCATACAAACTTTATATGGTCTATGAATTTAAATTAAACTTAATAAGTAATATAACTCGTTATGCAAAACCAAATCCTTCAGAACCTTCATTTATAGCAGTAAGTAAAGCAGCACGAAGTGCCTCATAACTTTCATACACTGGAAGATCTATTTGATTATAACATGTGTGACCTAAAAAATTTCAATACTTTATTGAAAAAGAAAAAATTATACTTTGAGGTAGACGATCACTTGACGTAGGATCACGATGAATAGAAAATTTTTGAATACCTTGCATTCCTTCAAGTTCTTTAAAACCGTTTAAAGGAACTTTTGATGTCCCTGTTGCAAACTAACGAAATGTAAATTAACATAAAAAGAATGATATACAATACCTGAAGCAACTTTGCACGCTGCTCGTCATCAAACGAGCGAACAGCTCTCCAAAACCACTGTATTTGAGGCGATGATGCAGTATAATTATAATACCTAACAAATAAGTCTAAAAACAATATAAACATAAAACCTACTCCGTATTATGACGCCAATCATCAACATCTATGTCTGGTAGACCCGAAATAAGAAGCTCTAATTCCTGTTCATTAAATATTTGAATAAGATCAGGTGGTATAATATCATAAAACCCTAAAAAATGAATATAAAACAATATAATTAAATAAAATATTCACCAATAAGAAAATTATCCAGCTGATCTTTAACACTATTAATAAGCCGATATTCTATAACTGCCTTGACATATTCATGCTTATTTTCTTCAGTAACCAATATACTTCTCCCTCCAGGTATTAAATCAACTGTTTCTGTTGCACCATAATTTTCAGTTTCAACAGAAAAAGTTTCAGTAATAACATCAGTAATATCATTCTCAAGCATCTAAAAACATTATAGAGAGTAAAAAATCTAAAAAAAACTCTTACCCATACTAATGATTTATAATATTCCAAATCAAGTGTCTCAATATCCTTCAAAGACACAGGTTTTCCTAATATTTTCTATTCAAAATTAGTAAAATATATCAATAAAATAAAAATTACCTTATATACTGCACGACTAAAATGAGAGTCCAATAACCGATTATCATAAAGAGCTTTTCCAATAATACGGCCAATAAACTTTATTTCTTAAGAGAAAAAACATACAATAAAAAAACTAACCTTAAAAAATGAAAGATGATCTTGATTAACATCTGATCTTGTATTAGGATGAAATGTAGTTCGATCAGCAGCAACAGGAATAAACAATGCATAATCCTAATAAACAAATTATAAATAAATAAGAAAACAAAATTGTAATCTTACAGGATTAAACATTTGTCTAGCAAGGGCTTGATACCACTCACGCGTTAATCCACCTGCATCTACACCCTCTTCACCATGAAACCGAATATTTAATTTTGAATATTTCATTTCATCACCTGATTTAAAATATAAAGCCAAATATGAATCTAAAAATATCATTTCACGGCGAACATTCAATTGCAAAGGCGGATAATGTTCTCTAGTAGAACCACGATCATGCAACCTCCGATTAAAATAATTACGTTTATTATCAAAATCCAAAATTTTAGGATTTTTTACCAAAAGAGAAACAGAGCCACTCATCAATGAAGGATTATTCCGCACCATCTGATTAAGTATTTTCCTATGATTTTCAGTAAAAGAAAAAAATATAGACTCCATTGAATCCTCAGCAGGAGTAGGCTGACGAGATCCATGAGTTCGTTTAGATATATCCTTTAAAGCTGTATTTTTACATATAACCATAAGAGATTCTATCATTGGCAACAAAATTGTTGCAACATGCATCATATCTGGCCTTTCTTGAATCGCAGATAAACATATACTTAACTTTTTCCAAAGTGGCAAAAAAGTCAATGAATCATAAAGTCTAAATAAATCGTTATTACTATCATCATTCTCTAGAGACTCTGATTTTTCTTTCTGTTCAAAAAGATAACTAATAGCTTTAAGAATCCGCAATAATTTAGCCTGATCAGAACTAGCAGGAGAAAATTCAGATAAAGCAGTCCCTTGTAATTCTACTCCATAAGATGCATTTAAAATTTGTTGAATTAAATCATCTAATTGCCCTAATAACTTTGAACCAAATGCCTGAGCCTGATAAACAAGCTCATCTCCAAAAATATCTTTAGAACCTGGAATTATTGATAAATGTTGCATAGCAGTCAACGTATACTGAAAAGTTTTGCTCGAACAATCTCTAGAAATAAGAATATTCACAATAAGTCTTAAATTGCTTTCAGGAATATAAGGTGGCTGTACAATTTTGTTTTTATTTTTAACATCTTGGTCTTTATCGTTATTATCAACAGACCCTATATCAGCATCATCATGAGAATCAGCATTCTGTTCACTTCTTTCATCAACTGTATCATCATTTAATTCAGATTGAGGCTGAGAAGACTTTGAATTCTTATACGATTCTGACTCTTGTTTCCCTTTTTTCTTAAGAACTACTAATGGTCGAGTTATAATAGAAAGTAAATGAGAAAACTGGTCCATTATACTAGAATTCTGCAAAATAGAATTCCTATCAAGCAAACTTAACAGTATATTAATAGCATATTTAGATCCCTTAGTAGTCACGTCTTTCCCCTTATCTTTACGAGAATTAGATCGCCGTGGACGAATTATATGATCATGCTCATTTAAAAAATAAGAAGGTAAATGTTCGTTCCACTGAACAAGAAATTCAAGAGCCTCTATACATTGCTGAGTAACCAAATTTGGAGTATTTTCCCCATTTGACTGAAGAAAAGATGAAAGAGAGCATTTTGATGATGTTTTAGACTTAGGTGTTCCTTTTAAAACAGTATTTTTTGCTCTAAGAGACATTTGCGAGAAACTTTTGTCAACAGCATATAAATCATTAGTACCATCTTGTAATACAGAAAGAAGAAGATTTATTACTTCAATTCTATTTTGACGATTCTTACAAACACTTAATAATATATCATGCAACGGATTTTTGCCGTTAGGCTGCGGGATAAACAGAAGTCGAACCAAAGTAGCTATTCCTGCTTTATCAAGAAGCTGCACTACTTCATGTTTTGTTGAGGATTTTTTTGATATTGTATTACTAGCTTCTTGTTGATGAGATGACGATGCTGGTATTTGAAAGACCTGACCCAATCTTCCTGCAGACCTCTCTCGAAGCGAATTCACTTCTTCGGCAAGCGAAGGAGGAAGCTGCGATAAAAATTCATCATCCTGATCAAGAAGAACTTGCCTTCGAAGATAAGGATCAAGTGTAGCTAAAAATGTTACTGGATCTATCTCAACTGGCCCAGTAGTAACCGTATCAGTATTATTTCTTGAAGAATAAGACTGTTGTTCCCTCTCCCTTCTTCTTCTATCAGCTGCTTCTTGCTGTAACAATTCTTCCCTAATTTCTTCTGGTAAAGCATTTAAAAATTCTGGACTAATTTCAGATGACTGACTTGTCAATGCAGCAACTCTTTGATCTCTAATATGTTGAGTAAGAACATCTTCTCTCATATCTTCAGGCAATGCTTCAAGAAAAGTAGGATCGATATCCAATGAAGTAATATCAATTTCATTACCACGTAACATAACAGTAACACGCTGGGGAGGCCCTGCAGAAGAGTTTACAGAATGTCCTTGAGCTTGATCTGAAACATTTTCAACACCATCCATGAGAGAAGAATCAACTATAGTATGACCTATTTTATCTGATTCACTGCCAGATAATTCATTCTCAAGATGTTTTTCTTTATTATTTTTATCGTCAGACGTTTTTTCTGACATTTCTTGACTTTTCCTTGCCTCTTCTAGCATTCTTTCTTTCTCTTTACGAATCCTTTCATCTTTAACAGCCTGAGGAACAAGTACATTCATCAGCGAGTTCAACATCAATAATGCATTTTCTACAACAGCACTACCATAGATCAAACGTGCTTCATCAGACCATCTTTGACTAGTTGATGTCGGTGACCATGTAGCAACAGCAGTAATTGGATCTTCTCTAGAAGATCTTTGATTTTGTTGCACAGATTGAGAACGCTGACCAAACATTCTCTCCACCTCACGTGTTAACAAACTACCATTACTCGTATTAACTTCAACTCTAATAGCATGCTGAGAAGGACCTCTTATTTGACGACTTACTCTATTCATTACATCACCTAATACTTGAACAGCCCCTCCCCCTATCAACTGCTCTATAGAGTGAACCCAATCAGTAAAACTATCAGATCTTGAAAAACTATCGCGGCTTTGCAGTATATGTCTTTGTGATATATTTGTTGAATCTATTAACAAAGGATTAATACTATTTTCTACCCCATTATTAATCCTAGAACTTCGACGAAATACTTGAACATTTGGCTCACCTATTTAAATAGTAAGTACCAATAACAAACACATACAATCATATTACCAATAAAATGACAGCTTCCTGAAGTTATAGCATGCCATGATCTCCTATCTGAACGACCAATATCGTTGTCATCATCCTCATTTGTAATATCATCAATAGAACTCCAACCCCATTGACCGTTTGCCTCAATATCATCAATGTCATTAGGTAAAAGTTCTTCTTCTATTAAAGCTTCTTCAACGTCATCATCGTCATCGTCATCATCATCATCATCATCATCATCGTCATCATCATCATCATCATCCTCTCCTTGATCTTCTCTATCATCAATTAACACATCTGCATCAGCTTCGTTATTTCGCTGAACACTAGATAACGAACGCAACTGGTTGGATCTATCTTCAATATTACCCTGATCATCATGCTCCGATTCTGTTTGCCATCCAGATTCATCATCAATTTCAACATCGAAACCATCTTCAGATACCCTATCAGGATCAACAGGATCATTAGAACCCAATTCCGTCTGCTCATTAACATCATCTATATCTACTTGGTCATCAAGTATAATTTCAACCTTGATTCATTAGTTCTTTCTTCAAAAGAGATCATTACATACATCCATTTCCCCATTTTGCTGACCTCCTATATTAATATCATTATCTTCATCACTTAATACGCTCCCTGTCTCGGAATCTTCCTCATCAAAATCCATTTCATCGTAAATTTCTTCATCATCTGAATCAAATTCATTAGAATCCTCATTATCCTCCATTTCACCATGAAATATTCCCAAAGCAGAATTACGATATAAGTCGAGAGTTTCTTCTCTTTCATCCAACTGTTCTCGCTCAGATATAGATGCATCTGTCAAAGTTCCATCTTGTTTATCATTATTATCAGGTTTTTCAATTTCCGAGTTCTCATTTAACTCAACAGCTATTTGGGACAACTTTCTCAATGGTCTAAGTATCAATCTTACTAAACGTTTAGATGATGGGAAATTTAGGTCAATATCTGCCAATGCTCCTGTTAATATACTCATGAAATTCTTTTCCAGCATCAACTTTGCTATTTTTTTATGATCATCATTGGTATGATTACTAGTACCTTTTATATTTGCTCTTGCAACAAGTAATCTATAACAAAGTTCAGAGAGAGTAAGCAAGCGAGAATATCGCATTTCTAATGGCTCCAAAGAACAAGAAGAATCTTTAAAGGCTTTCGAAATACCCTCTAAAACATGTTTACGCACAAAAATCATGTCAGACTTAGTTTTTTCTTCGCTACTTTCAGATGTAGATGCACATAATGAAATTATAACAGATATAGCCCAATTTGAAGCACTAAACCTTTTCCTAATCTGTATGTTTTCAGAAGGATTAATAGTACCGTATGGAATAACTTCATATAATAAATAACTTAACATTGTCGACCGTATTTTTGATGGAACAACGGCTCCTCTAAAAATATACTTTCTTGAAAAATTAATAAATTCCAATTTACAATGTTTATATGATGATAATAACTCTGCAAGACACTGAAGCAAAAAACATCTATACATATACTGAGGATGTTCTTCAGCTTTAAATTCATTTTCTTTAGAAACAACATTGGAAGTTTTATTTTGCTCTATACTCGCTGTTATTACATTTGAAGCATCAGGGGCCACGTTAAACTCAGGTTGCTTTAATTCTTCACATCCTAGACTATCTTTACAATCCAACAATTCAGATAAAAGAAAAGAGACAACACTAGAATCCTCAGATCTATTTATTTCCAAGATCTCATCTTGACATATCGGTCTAGATGACGCAGGCAATATTTGATCATTAGATGCAGTCTCTTGTACAGAATCCTCAGTAGATTCCGAATCCTTTAAAGTAATTTGGTGTATCCTACTATGTGAATCATAACGCGGTAACTTACATTCTTTCTCAATAACATCTACAAATGTGTCAGGTTCTCTCAAAACAAGTTGTGTATTGCTTCTTAAAAAAGCACTAATATCCAATCCTCGAAAACGTGATTGACTAAAATATGATTTAACTTCAGTAATCATTATATTCCGAATAATATCTAAATCCTCAATAAGATGCCTTAAAATAGTTACTATCAAAATCTGCAAATGTTCGCTCTGATATTTCCCAGATATGGATTTTATAATAGAAAACAGCAATTGCATACCATCTTTTTGAAAAAAACGAATAACTATATCTTTTGAACGAGTTAAAATAACTAATATTCTAAGAAGAGAAAGTATATCATCAATTTTTTGAAGTTCTATTTTGAATAAATCTAATACAGCATCAAAAATACACTCTTTCTGAATCGAAAAAAATAAATTCGAAACGACTTTTGGAGGACTATCCTCAGTAGCTGGAAGAAGAGGCTGTTGCTTTGGCTGTATTGACGCTATTATAATCTGCTCAAACACTAAAAGTACAGGTGAAATCCAAGGAGAAGGCTTATCATTCTCACAAGTAAGAAAACAAATAAAAACAGGCTGAAAACTCAAGACCTTGTCTTTACATGATTCATAAAAAGAAGAATCATGAAGCAACAATCCAAGAAGGTGCAAAATTGAAGCAGCTTGTAAACCGTATGATTCTGACAATTTAATTCTACTCTCTAGCTCACCTATCTTACTAACAATAAACTGTACTACATATATACTCCAATTATTTTCATTAGAATATGAATATGCCTCTAATATTAATCCAGATAATTCAAAAACAAGATTATTATGTATATTCAACAATGACAAAACCCTTTCAATTAGACCAGACTTTATAGACTTGCGAATACTAGTAAGATTTACATCAGAATACATCTTAGAATCTATCTTTGAATTATCTTTTCCTTTACCCTTCGAAGACGATATATTAATTTCTGACTTTTTCATATTATCTGACCCAGAAACGGTCTCAATATTATCTTGGATAGAAGATACACCCTGGTCAGAAGAATTCAAAAGATTTGACGACGATATAAAAAAAGAATCTTGAACAGTATCGACATTAATATTTCTCGCAATATTATCATCAGTTTGCTCATTTTGAAGAGAAAGTGGATAGCTCGAAAATAAATTAGAATTACTATGAACTCTAGATGTTCCTGCATCTTGATTTAACTCAGGATGTGCCAAAAGATATTCCGTAGCAGTAGACAAATGATTACCACAACGAATTAAAGCTGTTTCAGCAGCATTTCTTGAAAAACCCATATCACAAAGCTGACGAATCCTCTCTTCACTAGGTCCAGATAATGTTCTATGAGTAGATGGTGTTAATGACGCATTACTTTCGGGTTTTTCATTCGTTTCTCCATCAGTTTTAAAAACCTGACTGAGAATTTGAACTATAGATTTCGCATTCAAATAAGGCATTTTATAAAGAATATCAGAAGCCCAAAGATCCCTAATAGATGGAAGAATAGACATCCTAAGTTGAGCAATAAAATCATTAGGATTGAAGTAATCAGGCTTATCTTTATCTTTCTCCCGAGACGATAAACCAGCAGTTTGAAGAGATGTTAATAATGCCTTAGGTAAAGTAATTACTTTAAAAAATTGAAGAATAATTTTAATTCCATCATACATTCGAAATGTAATAGAACAACTGTCTTTAGAAACCTCAGTTACAGAAGACAATTTGTCTACTTCTTGCCAAAATGCTTTTAAAATATGCAACGTAGCACTTACCCCTCCTGATTTATCAAATGCAACTAATACAATAGTCTGCACAGAAAGCTGTTGTTTTTCTAAAAAAAATTATATAAAATTTAATATTAAATAAAAATATACCCTCCAATATCACTGCTTGATTAAAACCGAGGATCATAATCCAATACATATATTTATCGTTTATAGAATCCACATTATCTAAAGCACGTTAAATTTATAAATCAAAGAATAATTATTCACCAAGTTTTTCCCATTTCAAATGCTGAGCTAAAATAGTTCCAACAATATTTGCAACTTTTAAAGCCATTTTTCGTTGCCCTGAATCAGAAAACCGATGCGTTATCAACATTTTTGTTAGACCTTTTTAAATTAATTAATAATTAAAATACAACACTAACTATACCTTGAAAAAAATTGTTCAAAGATGTCGGAATCTGCACAAGTAAATAACGTATCATTTTCACATTAAGAAATGCAGAAGAGCTTCTATCAACCTGCTGATCTAGTTTTAAATCTTTTTTTTCTTTGTCTGTAGCTTTAGTTTTCGAATCATCAGCAAATCTTGTAGCTTCCTCCAAATCGCTTGGTATTATATTCAAAAGTCTAATACTTTCCCATACAGAAACACGGATTAAATGCCCTATCTTCTCTAAAAGTCCATCTAAATCAGGATTCGATAAAAAAAGCTGAAAAAACGACAAAGCAGAACGCGCATGAGAAAATATTGGCAACTCATATATATCTGAAAGCAAAGAACCTAAAGCATGTATTTGTGATAAATTTCTTAAAAAACAATTGCCTTCAGAAATAAATTCTAATCCTGTTGGAAGTAACTTCAGATATTTCTCAAAAAAACTCCGAGAATCCTTATATTCTAACAATATATCTAACTTGCTTAAAGATTTCTGGAAATATTTCATAATATCTAGAAGAACAGTTTGCACATTCACTTCACTAATAATACGAAACAAATGTGATAAAGAATATGCTGCAGGTGTATCTATAAAATCATAAGGAAGACTAGGAAGTGAATAGTATTGCAAAAGAATATCAAGCCCATTATTCCTCAAAAATTCCCGACAATGAGCAGAATTTTGAAAAAAACCCTCAAGAAACTAAATTATTATAAATTTTTCTTTTTTTTCAAAAAAATAATTAATATTACCCTTGATACAAAATCAATATGCGAAATAATTACAGGCCGTTTTACACCATTTTCATCATCCTCTGTATAATCAAATCTTTCTTTCATAATTACGTCATCTTGCTGATTACGAGAATTTGATTCATTATCAGAAGCAGTAATTAACATATTCGTAACATCTATCATACTCGTCAATTCTGAACCTATTTGGAGAACCCGCTTAAGCATTGCAAGGACTTCATCAATAACTTCAGACTTAAGACTAGGATGATGCCGCACTAATTCGTCGAAGGATGTGCCTAAAATACTTGAAAGTTCACTCTCCTGTAATGCTTTACGATGCAAAGAAGATGTAAATATGCTAAAAAAAGAGGACAATGGTTTAATACTGCTAAAAAGCTCCATCCCTTGAGTATTCAAACATATTGCACCAAAAGCATTAGGTATTGCTGATATAACATCAGGTGATGGTAATATTGAGGATGATGTCATTTTCAAAAATGTTTCTGAAAGTTTCACTTCATGAATAATGCTATATGATGTTGGTTCATTATGAATAAAAGTAGATAAAATATTTATAGCTAAATAATATTAACAGATATAGAAAACAAACCAAATAAAAATCCTACACATAGCAATAATAGAAGACCCGAAATCTTCAAAATAAGTAAAAATCTTTTTCAAAGTCTCCAAAAGAGACGAATCAACAAGATTCCGCAACCCGTCTGAAGTCCCTGTAGACTGCATCATATGTAAAGTGAATTTTAACATAGTCTTTAAAATAATAAATCTTTCTTGAGACATTGAATGTTCTATTGGGCTAGTTTTTAATAACTTATCAAAGGAAGAAAACTGAGTAATATTATAATCAACTTCGTCCTTTATTCTTTCTACTAAAACGTCAAGTCCCCGTGCAGAACAAAATGCATTAAAAGTAGAAGGGAATCCATAAGTTAAATGATCCAGTAAGCTAGTAGCTTTAGTAACTGCCCTAATCGCTTTAGGTGTTTTGTTTTTTAATAGCCGAATGAGAGAAGAAATAATGCCTGCAGATGTTAACATATTTCCTCCTTGTTGCGTAGTTGTCAAATAATGAATAAGTAAAAATAAAGCATCAACATATTCTTTTAAAAAATCTTTCGCAAAATTCGGATTTTCCAATTCTATTATCATTGTTCTAAAAACATACATCAAAATACCATGATTCACAGACGCATTTAACGCCAAAAGAACATCCATTAGTTTCGGTCTATGGTGTGCCAATGCTTCAAGAGCATAAAATGAAGCTATCTCTACTTCCTTTGATATTTTATTATCAGGATGGATAAGTTGTGCGAGATTAGTTATAATATCTGGCTCAAAAATGAAAAAACGGGAATGTAACACATGTTCTTGTACAGTATATGCTTGAAGCAGAATTAGATAAATATAAAAATGAATATATAGTAATTACCCAGCACAGCTATAGCAAGAATTTTTATACAAACCAACTGTTGTCTCTTCTTTTTATCATAGACATATTTCGCAAACCTAATTCTTAACATTAAATCAAAATAATTAGTCATTGGAATATTGTATGTAGATACTGCATCACTAAGAATGTCTTCAACTTGCCTATTATAAAGCTTTTCGGAACTAATCTTTATTGCTGTCATACCCTCTATAGAATCATCCATGGGTTCTGTTACACAAGGAGATTGATTTTCTTTAACTTTAGCCTTATTTATCTGTGCAGATATCTGTGACTCTTTATCTCTACTATAGAATATTAATCACTTTCATGCAAAAACAAAGTAAATACCTAGAAGCAGTCAATGCCATTGCCTCAACTGGATTTAAATGACGATAAAAAGCATAATAAACATTCTTATACCCATCTGTTGAATGAGAATCCGAAAGAAGCTTAACCATATCAATTCCAGATGTACCACGCTCCTGAGATGACTGTTGCAAACTCATTGCAAGCTTTAAACATCTTTCCGAAGAAATAAAATAATTGGACCGATAATACCGCTGACTACTCACTCTCTGTGCAAGCCTCAAAGAAAGATACAAAGTATGCTCCACTACATCCACATCCGTACTGTATAATAGATCATTAAGATACTAAAACCAGATATTAGCTTCTGATCAACCAACACCATATTACGCTATCAAAAGAAAAAAGCAAACCCCAAAAAACATACATTGCATGAATTGTAAATGTTTCTATTTGAGCAATTATCTAAAAGAAGCGTCGAGAACCGCAGAATTGCTAAAAGAAGCTCCTTCGTCTTCGGTACAAAAACAACAATCTGAACACTCTTCAACACATATTCCTTGCAAATCCTCTCAAGTATCCCATCAAACCGATTCAAAACTGTCACCCAATGGAATAAATCTCCCCGTGCATATTTCCATTCGTCAAAACTATTCAACATTCCTGCAAGCTCCTCTTCCACCACCTCTGACGCACGATCAATCACTTCCTTTAATTCTGCCGGCTAAAACAGACCCTGTCAGCTCTTAATCATACAAAAAAAACGGAATATCGCCCAAATATCTCCGTTTTTTCCACTTACTGGCCGGGAAATTTTTTTCGGAACTGCTCTCTTTATCTTCATCGTCTCCTTTTACTCAACCAAAACCCAATATTTTTTCAATCTTTAAGATCACGGAAATAACGTGTTCATTCCAGTCTTATAAGCTGTTTTTTTTCAGTCTTTAAGACACGTCAAATCTTTGTCTTTGAATTATTCAAAATTTGAAGTTGCGTTGTCGCTTGTGCTTTATGAACACTCCGAGTGACGTGATTTCGATAGAGCCGACGACGACGACACAAGAAGGAAAGTAAAAAAAAAGCAGTAAATAGAAGGAAAAATGTGTTGAATAGATGAGTAAAGAACAGAAAGAAGTATATAAAGAGAAGAAGGAAAAAACCCTTTTTTTTTTGGAAAAAAACGATGTTTCTGGGGCAAAATATGAGGCGAAACAAGATGACAAAAATCTGAACAATTCAGAGAGAGGAAGAAAGAAAAATGGGAAAGAAAAAGTACGTATATATCTTATATAAAGGTAACACATACCTCATGGTGCCTTAGGAGAGTGAATTGGGGAAGAATGACGAGACAAAGAGCCATTCATTAAGCAATGATGTAGAAAACGAACAAAACACTACCTATCACTCAGCAGATGGAGTTCTCCAGGAAAAAGAAAGTGAATCGAATACTTCAATAGGGGATTTGTCTATTGAAACAATTTTGGAAAAACATTCAGATATGAGCAATTCAACGACACTAACAAACAAAAGCGAGGAGGAATACCCAATACATAACGAAAATGTATATCCTTTAGCAGCAGACAATTTTATACAGAAGCAGAAAATACATGTACACAGAGAGCCGCTTGAACCACTGTCAACTCATGAAACAGATACATTGCCGTTTATCCAGTCGCTTAATTTTAACACTACAAATCCACCAGATGTGTTTATTAACTCCTATGTCAGTACAAAGTTATCTTCTGAAGCCCAAGAGGCTCACCAACAACCTCTTTCAATACATGAACCTGCAATGACGTCTACAAATATTTTACAAGAAAAGTTTGAGGAAATATATCAACACGCGTCTAGCGACAAAACTATCGACTGGGGTATTCTCCTTTTTCCATCTTCTTTAATATTAAATCTTTATAGAATTTTTCAGACTCATTATCAGTGATTATAATTTTGTTGTCAAAGCACATAAAGAGGAATTCTCAAGTGTTATCTCTACGGGCATTCCATCCATACTACGTGGTATTCTTTGGCAAACTATAACTTCATCTAAAAACTCCGATATGGAACGTATATACCATACTCTCATCAATCAACCTGCACCCGCTGAAAAAAATATACAAAGAGACCTTTACAAAACATTTTCTAAAGCGACTCTTAAGGCAGTAAGTCAATATCCATATAATATTTAATATATATTTTTTCATTAAAAATCTTTTTCAATTTTATGTACCTTTTCGTTCTTTTTTTTTAACATTATTATTTCCATATAAAAACCAATATCCTATGGAGAGAATTTATAGAGTCCTTAAAGCATACAGTTTGTATGATCCAGAGGTGGGATATGTAGAGGGAATGGGTTTTTCTAATTATCTCTTAATAAAATTAAATTACTAACGTTAAAATAGGATTTTTGGCAAGTCCTTTGTTAGTTTATGTAACAAAGTAATTTTAAAAAGAAAAATACTTACATTGTTAAGATGTCAGAAGAAGAAGCATTTTGCATATTTATTAAGCTTATGAAAGACTATGATTTAAGAAGTTTTTATATACCAAATACTCCAGGGTTACATTTACGTTTATACCAATTTAATAAATTAATGGAAGAAATTGTGCCGACAGTTTACATTCATCTTCATAAGCATGGGATAGAACCGTCAATGTACGCATCTCAATGGTTTATGACGCTTTTTGCCTATAAATTCCCAATAAACATGGTAGTAAGAGTTTTTGATGTAATAATTGCAGAAGGCACAGAAGCAATTCTTAAATTCAGTATTGCATTGATGAAAAAGAACCAAGAGAAGATATTGTCTCTAAAATTTGATCAACTTTTAAGTTTTTTAAAAGAAAAAATGTTTCTCGTGTATAGTGTAATATATTTATATATATACAATACAGCTTTATTTAATTGTGGACTTAGATTCATAACAAAACAATAACAAAACTTGCATGGTCGACTACAATTACAGATTATCAAGTTGATGAATTTATAAATGATGCTTATTCTATAGAAATTACAGAGAGCATGCTTTCCAAATATGCTATAGAATATAAAAAGATGAAAGAAACAGAAATAGAAAAAGACAAAGAAATAGCTTTTCTAAAATCTGAAAATTCTTCTCTCTTTCATAAAATAAAAAGTCTCGAAGAATCGCTGGATATTTTGGTTTTTATTCTTTTTTTTTTTTTTTTCATATTCTAATATTTTTTAGAATAAAGAACATATCAAATTGGCGAATTCAATGGTCGAAAGTAAAATACATATAGCTTGCTTGCTCGATGAAAACGAAGGCTTAACTTCAGAAGTTTCTCAACTAAAACTAACAATCGAATCGCAACCAATTGAAATCGAAGAACGTATGAAAAGTGAAATGCAGAGCATTATGGATAAAAACATACAAGTAATGGATAAAAATCGTGTATTAGAAGACCAAATAACCAAAATGGAAAATGAACTTGCACAAACAAAAATACAGCTAGCTACAGTAAAAATCATACAATTTTAAAAACTATTTTAACCAAATAAGATCCACAATGAGCGAGATACACTAAAAAAAAAATGGAACGAAGTAAAAAAAGCACTCGAAAATTAATCACAATACAGTCAATTAGGTTCTATATACACTATATGTAATACTTCAAATATTAATTAAACATTTACTGATATAATATTCAATTTATTTCTTTAACTTTAGCGACTAAAAATCAAATTTAATATCTACAATTTTTAGGATAACGGGAAAACATAAAATATTAAAATAAAAACAATATACTTTTATCTGTGTACAAAATTACAACCTTTCAAAATAACATGTAAAATAAATAACTGTAAATTATATCATTATTTAAAAAGTTTTGACAAACTAACATTCGATGTACCAACTTTGTTCATTACTTTAGATACAGCAAGCTCAAAATCTTCTTCTCGCACAAATATCCTTCGTTCACGAAGGGCATACAAACCTGCTTCTATTAAAAAATAAGACAATATCAAATACATTGTCAATAAATTGTACCTGTACATACGCCTTTTACTTCAGCTCCAGAAAAACCATTCATTTTTTCAGCTATTTTTTGCAAATTAATTCCACGAGTTAAATTCATTGATCGAGAATGAATCCTTAATATATCTGTTCTAGCTTTCAATGTAGGTGGTGGAAACTCAATCTTCCGGTCAATTCTACCAGGACGGAGCAATGCAGGATCAAGAATATCAATCCTATTTGTCGCCATAATAACCTATTTTATATTAATTTATTTTGAATAAATATAAATAAATAATTCCCTTAATATTTTTCGTTGGTTCAAATCCATCAAGTTGATTCAACAACTCTAGCATTGTGCGCTGAACTTCCGAATCACCACCTCTATTGCCACTTTCACTCCTTGTAGACCCAATAGAATCAATCTCATCCATAAAGATGATGGATGGAGCATGTTCTCTTGCCATAACAAATAACTCTCTCACCATACGGCTCCCTTCACCAATATACTTTTGAACAAGCTCTGAACCACTGACTCGAATAAATTTACTATCTGTATGATGCGCTACAGCTCTAGCAAGTAAAGTCTTTCCTGTTCCTGGAGGACCATATAAAAGAACACCCTTAGGTTGTGCAATTCCAAGAGATTCAAAAAGTTCAGGATGTTTAACAGGCAATTCAATAACTTCCTTAATTTCTTTAATTTGCTGATCTAACCCACCAATCATTTCATAAGTGCTGTCTGGAACCTTTTCTACCATCATCAAAGATACAAGAGGATCAACCTTGCTTGGAAGTATAGAATTCAATGTATAAGAACTTGATAAAAGAGATACTCGAAGACCAACTGTAAGTTTTTTGATATCTATCCCATCTGCAACATCAACCACTATCATATATTAAAAAAAAGATTTTCTATAACAGAAAAAACCATATTTCCCCTCTGGCTGACACTTTACAAGGACTTTCTTCTTACCCATTGTCTTAACAACTTCTCCAACATAAGAAGCAGGTTCTTGAAGAAGCTGAAGCTCTTCACGTAGCAAACGTACTAGAAGATAAAAATAACGTATTTTTAAAGATAAAACACACCTTTTGCATTCAATTCATTACGCTGAGCCTCAAGTCTTCTTAAATTTTGTGTTTTTTCATTAATCTAAAGACAATTAATTACAAAAATATTCATATTTTTCTTTACTTGTAATTCTGCTTCTTCAATTTTTCGAATAAAAAATGAAGTTACATTTTCTTCTTCTTGGAAAGAAGATAATTCCATTGTATAAAGTGTACCAAACAGCTATACAAAGCTTATTTGACAGCAATATTTAATAAATATTTAATATAATATAAAATGGTTCACAAACGATAAGTTTTAAAAGAACTTTTAAAAATAATTTTTTTATTCTAATATATATATATATATAACCCAGGAAATATAATGTTTATAGATTTATTAAAAACAAGATGTTTTTTTCTATGCCTTTTTATATTTTTCAAAAGAATTCATAATTATAGTAGTTCCAGTTTCAATAACTTTTGTATAATTATGTCGTGCCTGAGAATCATTTTGAAAATCTTTAGGCAGATAATCCATTAATTTTGCCAAATATGCATCTCTTAAGACGTATTCATCCTTAAGAACATGCAAGTTTTCGTATTGCGTAAATCTAGTCACTTTTTTACAAATATTAAAAACAATTCTATATAAATAATCCACAAAAACAAGAAGTACTAAGATCTCAACAAAAAACTTATCATTCGGAAAATATTTATGAAAATAAATCAAAATAGACATAACGATACTTCCTAACCAAGACAAGAACATCAATTTCGAATACCATAAACCAATAGTATCTGTACGATACGGAATAGAACGTTTTGTAGCAAAAAAGAGCCTTATGAAATCCAAGACCACTTTAACCACATTATTTATAAAAATGCAAACAGATCCTAAAGGCCAAATAATAGAAAACAAAGAGATATATCCAAACTATCAATAATCAATTAAAAATAAAAATACAAAGAAACAAATACTTGCATAACCAATTCCAAATAATTATTTAAAAGAGGAAATTCAGGTAACTCTGCTTCACGACAAACTTTGGATAAAAGTTCGTTTTTTTCAGAATAATTATTTATATTTTTGTGAGTAAATTTTGAAGTCCTAATGTTACAAATCCTTTCAAGTATAACAAAAAAAAACTTAAAAACAAAAGGCAATATCCACTGTTTAAAAAAATTTATAACTTGACCTGTAATCATGTAATAAATAAATTGTCGACGCAATTTATCAGGATTCATAACAAATGGTTTAATTTTTATACTTTCTGAAGTCAAAAATATAGATTGAATGCCAATTATATTTATCCTTGGAATTATATAATAACCAAATGGTACTAAAAGTATAAAAATTAATAATTGTAATATATCAAAATTACCATAGAAACATGAAATCAGAAATAAAGCAGTATAACAAATAATAAAATTAATCACAAAGATTTTATGAATAAAAGCAGATTCGAGATCAATATCTGTTTCATAATCTTCATAGTAATTTATATAAGTTGATATTTTATTATATAAAGTAGAAAACACAGAAACAAACCCAGCAAGAAAAATTGTAGGAATAAAAACCTTACTTTATTAGATTCTTTTGAACTTTAAGTAATACACATTCTAACCAAATATTTTTGAAAAGGACCATCATAAATCTCCGAAAAATATAAATCCACAAAGAAAAACCCAATAAGTATAAAAACAACACCAGTAACCAATACTACCTGAAATACCATAAAAAAAATTTTTCTAAAAATTTTTTTCCAAAATGAAGAAACTAAAGCATTTTTCCTAGTTGTCATATATATTCCAATTTCATCTCCTACAAATCGTCTATGTTTTTGATATATTTTGCTAATACCATATACTCCCCAACGTATTGAAAGTCTTACCTCTATCTTCCTCCATTTCTGTATAAATAAAATACACCATAGATTCACAATAATAGCATATATTATAGAATATTTCGGTAAGAAAAAATGAGCAAAAAACCCAGTAACAATAGGAAATATAAGACACAAAAGGTAAAAACGAATAAATGAAAAATATATAGCAATCTAAGATTTTTAAAACTCAGACATCATTAAAAATGATTAATACCTTTTCCCCAAAATGATTCCTTATATCATCTAAATCAGATTCACTTATAAAACCTTTTTTAAAAATTTTATAAATATAATTCTAACTCATTTAAAATAAAAATACAAAAAATAATTTATACTCTATTAAAAATACGGTCATGAGGTGGAAAAATATATTTAACCATTTTCCATTCATTTAAATCTGGATAAATTCCTGCACCCCCTTCAGAAGCAGGAAAAGTAATAATGTCATGAATGAATTTTAGTCTTTCTGATGAAGAGATCTTCTTATCAATATATAAATCAGGTAGTCCACTTTTTACCCCATAGAGCCAATCCCTATGTCTATCTATCGTTACCATTATTCTAACAAAATAACACAAAAAATAACCGAGAAACAAGAGCAGCAGTCTGTAATCTAGCAGAACAGCAACGTATAAACAGAAAAAGAGACCCTATAGAGCCATTTAGATATTCAATATCCAACCCTGCTTCAGAAAGTCTCATAATCAAATTCTTAAACTGTTCCAAAGATTCTTTCAAAGTTTTATCATAATAAAAGCAAATTACATAATCAGGAGATATTATATTATCTTTTGAGGCCAATTCTTTCTTCTCATCAGTGTTATTCATCTTTTATAATCCTAAAATAATGGTTAAATGGACAAAAGTTAGAAAGTTGAAAATATTTCGAGATGAAAAGTATATTAATATATACTAATTTATATAAAATGAAAAAATAATTCTAATAAAAATAAACTAAGGAAAAACTTATATATATAAATAAGTGAAAAATTAAAAAGTTTTTGAAAAATTATCAGAAACAATACGTTCTTCACATAATTCATCACATATCTTGCTTTTTACTCTTGAACCAGATAATTTTGATGCACGAAAAAATTCACCTCGTATCATATGAGCACTTTGTCTGTTAACTGTTCTTCCAACATTATGTGTAATTTCAAAAGGATCTTCTATTGCGAGAACATAACGATCTTTAAATACATTATCTGAAGCAGAAACTCTCTCAACCTATTATAAATAAAAAACAATGCAAACTTAAATTACAGTGCTTACTGCTTGCGTCCATCCTTTATCTTTCTTTGTCAAAAGACCAGTTTGGCTCCTTATACTAACAACATGATCTCTCCAATTAAATTGATATGCATAATAATAAAAAAAACCATAAACGAGTTTCCCTAAACTATCCATATTACTGGAAAAAGGACGTGAGGTATCAATATCCTTAAAAAACCAAACATTAAAACCTAAATAGATAAATAAAAATTTAAAAGATAATTTCTAATACCATCGCATTCAATCTCTGATTGTACTAACAACTTCCCAGGAGTAGCTTTCATTCGTTGTAAATTTGGCAAAAGAGGAATAGAAATAATATTCATAAGATAATGCAAAACAAGTAAAACATAGCCATAGCTAAATAATTTCAATATTTATGTTTATTACTAAAAACATACCTCGAAAGAGTCCCATGATATGGATCATTTATTTTACGTCTCTTTGCCCAATACTTTATAAACAAAATTATCTTCCTTACACGATGATCACACTTGGAGTATGTAGTCAAAAGATTAGTATTATATATTGCAAGTTTATTATTAAACCCAATATCACAGGCAATTCCCTCTGGAAACATGGATGATCCTTTACTATTAACTTTTATTATAGAAACCCTTGTCCGAAAAAGTAACATTACTTCCATGTCTAACATCATTAGAATAAATCATACATATCAACAAAAAACCATATTTTTTAATTTCCTCAGCTAAAATCTTAGGAAATTCATGCGTATGCATATCCAAAGAATCATCAATTACACAAAAATCCATATCTGAGTTAACAGTTGCAAGGCCACTAGCAACACTCCCAAATAAAACTAACTTTGCTGCTATGTAAAATTAATCATAAAAGCTACCAAATTAAAATCATACATGGCCTGCAATTGTGAAGTATCCCACTCAAAAACAGCCTAAATTCCTCCTTCCGCAACAACTCCTCATAAGTACACATATTATGTTCTAATATATATAATACAAACATAGAAAGAATAGAATGCTCATCATAAACTTTCTTATAAATACATTCTCCATTGATCATACCGAAAAAATTGGGATCTGAATACTGACTACAGCTTGTATTATAAAAATTCTTTAGATTACTTTCATTAACATTTCTTATCGACGAAAAACGTAAATCATCATAATATCCTTGAATAAACATATCCTTATGGCCAAAATCAAACCTACAAGATGAATCTAGCAGATTCTTTTCATTAGATCCCGTATCTTCCCATGCCCTTTCATGCTCCAAAGTTATTTTATCAAATGACTCCTGAATATTTTCCATATTTACTTCTAATTTATTCTGATCTTTACTAAAACATACATTTTTAAAAGAACCATCCAAGTCCTGTTGAAACCTCAGAGAATCCAGCCCGAAAAGGCCTTTTAACGACCCAACAACTTCCCTTTCCTTCAGATAACCCAACTCAACAATATCCAATCAGTTTTTACACAAATAACAGAATTTTTATTTGAAATTTGATCCAAATTTTTTACTAAAACCTCTGCATCATCAAATTATTGACACAGAATTCATTAAAAGTAGAAAAAACAGATAAAGAGCACTATATTTTCTAAAATATATTTTTTTCCGTTCAGCACATTTTTTTTAAGGTTAATCGATCAACGAAGTAATATACGAACAACCTTAAAAGAAACATATCTTTTGCTAAATGCTTGAAAACGAGAAAATACATGGTTTATAAAAGAATTCAAAGATATTTTAAGATATATAATACTAATAAATATATATAGTCAAGCAGGAAACCCAAAACAACAATAATTTTTCAACATCGACATATATGGATTTCAAACTTACATCAGTGACAAAAAGCTTGCAGGGAATTAAGCATCATATTTTGAAGTTCCATTCTGCACGTACTATTGATCCTTTGGAAGATTTTACGCCTCCAGTTCTTTTACATAGAAAAGATCTGATGGCAGGACCAGAAACACAAGATTCTTTATCAGAAACAGGATCAAAAAATGCTAGCCAAGAAGCAGCAGGGAACAGTGCAGGACAAAACATGAAGTTAAATGCTTTTAAGAGAAAGACACGACAAGTTTATGCAATAAACGAAGCAGAATGGAAATTAAAGCAAGAAGAACGTATTCCATGGGTTTTGGAAGACTTTGACGGTCGGAATACATGGATTGGAACAATGGAAGGGGGGCAATCCCACAACTATGTTTTTTTTGTATTTGCTGTCCATACACTTTCAAAGTTGAGGAAATAAGCTTATTATAACCAGGAAAATGGATTTAAAGTTGTACCAGCGAGTAAATGTTATCGATTTAACCAAAAAAACCGGTACCAGACACTCTCAATTGATGAAGCAGAAGCAAAAGTATGAAATTTAAAAAAATAGTTGAAATTTTTATTTACATATTAAAGATGAATAAGCGTGTTCATATTCCTCGATGGTTTATGAAAAAAGAAGCAAAAGAGAATAATACAGACGGATGTAATTCAGTGCCTTTATATCGTTTAAAAACAGTAACATCTCAAGGAAAATATGAGCTAAATGTAGAGCATATTGAAAACATTAATTCATTCTATTACTAATATTTAAGGGCGATCATGATGGCGATGAAGAATTAGACTTTAATGAAGAATTTGCAGATGACGAAGAAACACCTTTCATTGAAGGAAATGAAGAAGATAACAAAGAATTAGAGGTGGATTTGCAATTATTATATATATAAGAATTAACATCACAAAGGAGAGAATTAAACGAGAAATACGATCTGCTAGTTCTTTAGGGGATGTGGATAAATTTGTGAACGAGAATATTTATAGTGAGAAAAGACGAATGAATAAAGAAGGGAGAAAAATAAGAAAATATTTAACTTCTCATGAAAAAAATCATATATATGAAACCGATGAGGACGATAATCCATATGCATCAGAAGTATGTGTTTTTTATATAAGTTGCGTATTAATTTATATACTGTAGGAAGATATTGACTCGGATATATCTAATTTCCAAAGAGAAGATGAAATAAAACAAGAAAAAATAATGAAAGACAAAAAAAAACAGCCACAAAACACTCCATTACAAGGAGATTCAAATATTAACAAAGATATGTCACCTCTTTCTAAAGCGTTATCTACGGAAGTGTCAAATAATTTATCAGCTGATTTCACAAAGCATTTAGCGTTATCTAATACTCTAAAAACACAAAAACAGGACTATCTTCGCTCCATTCGATCTATTAGACCATATCTTATTACTCTAAAATTACCAAAACATCACTTAATTACATATGCAAACTCTTTTGAACAATTCACACCAATTTTATCATCTTTGTCTAGAGAAACATCACCAGAACCTAATAAACGGCGAAAACTAGATACAGATATAAACAGTTCAGGTGAATCATCAAATCCTAATTCTAACGATCCTAAGAAAACAAAAATTCGAATCACAAATAATTCGCAAAATCATAATTTAAATGTTTTACCAACGCTAGATCAAAAAACAGATACAAGTAATACCGTGGATATAATTTCTAGTGGTTTTTTTTTTTTTTTAATCTTCAAAATCTAACATAATATAATAGATTCACATTTAGTAACAGAAGAAGAATTAAGAAATGCTATACATTCTAGAAAAATGAATGCAAAAGAACTTCTCAAGTCATTTAAACCAAAACTAGGAATGAATCCAAAAAACAGAGATCTTATACTTGAACTTGTAACACGAATAGCAAAAATGGAAAATGGATATCTTGTGCTTAAAAATTAAAGATTTATCAACAGCACATGTACATCAATGTTTTGAATTTTATGTAATATTAAACTTATACGTTTACTAATATTTTTCTTATTTTTTTATTTTTTTTTATTTTAAACTTTTTTAAAATAAAATTATTTAACAATCAATACATAATATATACTTTGTATTACAATACTCCTCTAAAATATTATAAAATACAATTAAACACTATAATTCTTAAATATAAAATAATTATAAATATTACAAAAAGAAATTTTAGAGAAATATTTAAAGCGAAATAATAAATAACTTAAAAAAGTAATATTTTACTCTTAAATATTACTTAAAACCAATGCCAAGTATCTAATAATATATATAATAATCTCATTTAAAAACTAATTATCAATAAAAATAAAACACAAAATCCAACTACTTAATATTACAATTTATTAATATTTTATTTCTATTAACTATCTAAAAAGACCTAAAACTTACATCTACATCAATATCTTTTGAAAGACTGACAATCTTACTAAAATGACATGCCTATATATGGAATTAAAAAATAGAAACTATTAAAGTTATAAAAACCTTATAAGCTGCTTCATCAAGATCTAAAAAAATTATTAGAACATGTTATATGTTACTCAATACTAACCAATAAAACAAAAAAACCGCAAACCGGAATTATTAATTATCTTTTGTGCTTCTTCATAATTTGTACCTTGCAAACGTGCCTTAATAATAATTATATCATATAAAAATAACACAATTATACTAACAACAACAGGAATGTTAAGATTCATATTCTTCATTACTGAAATAAGACCTCGTGCTATATCATCACATTTAACAATCCCACCTAAACCATTAATTATATATATAATTTCCAAATAATAATACCAAATATATTCACGAAAATTGTAGTAACTCTAGGATCTTTAGTGATAAGATCAAATGCTTCTCTAATTGATTCAGGACTAGCAGAACCTCCAACATCTTTATATAATTAAAAAAAAATATGACACTAGAAGATATTACCAAGAAAATTAGCAGGCTAATGACAAATTTATTTAAATAAATAAAGGAAATCAGAAACATACCTCTCCGCCATTGAGTTTTATAATATCCATAGTAGCCATGGCCAACCCTGCACCGTTTACTGTATAATTAAACAATCAAATACTAATTTACAATAAATCATACCCAAACATCCAATCGAACCATTGAGTTTAATAAAATTTAATCCATTTTCAGTGGCTTTAATTTCATCAGGATCTTCTTGCGACTTATCACGTAAAGAAAATATATCAGCTTGTCTAAATTCAGCATTATCATCAAAGTTAAATTTAGCATCCATAGCTAATATCTCATAATCTACTGATTCAGAAAGAGGATTTATTTCAATTTGTGTAGCGTCCTTTTCAATAAACAGTTTATATAACTTCAGTATCATATCAATAGCTTTATCATGACACCTTGGAGAAAACCCAAGCTTCTCAACAATGAAGAATGCAGTATCTTTACTAACTCCTTTGGTAATATCAATAGGAACCTTAAGAATTAAGTCAGGATTTTCTTTAGCAACAGTCTCAATATCAACGCCCCCTTGAGATGATGCAATAATTATAGGACCCTGAGATGTACGATCCATTAGTATTGCAAAATAAAATTCCTTTCTTGCATATTTCCGCTCACAAATATACACTGCATTGCATATTTTTCCAACAGACCCTGTTTGCTTTGTAACAAGCACATTTCCTAACATTTGATCTGCATAATAACCAATGTCTTCAGGTCTAATTCCTTCTTTAAAAAAATAGCTTCTATGTAAACAAACTTACGAAAATGCAGTTTTTACACCTCCTTTCAGTCCACTATTAAAAACTCCTTTACCTCTTCCTCCTGAAAGAACCTGTGCTTTAATTACTAAATCATCAACTCCTAAAGACATAATTATTCATAGAATTCATGATATTATTCAAAATACCCAACTCTCTTGCTATTTGAATAGCTTCTTGAGAAGTTCTAGCTACTTTTCCAGAGGGAACATTAATACCATACTTATTCATGTTAATATCTACAAAGACAAAAAATATACTATTTTAATACATCTTTTAAAAGATTTGCTGATAAATATTCATGAATAGAAAGATTTCTTTTCTGTTGAATCACAAATGTCTATAAATTTAAAGTCAGCCTATAATTGTCATTTTAAACAAATTCAAAAACACACATTTGCTGGAATTCTATTAATCCTTAAAAAATTACTACGAAAAACGTATTTTAGCATTAAAATCCTTAATATTTCTGCCACTTTTTTATTATTTCCAATAAATAGATATTCAACAAAGATTTCATGTTAATCTCAACGACATCGATTTTTATTATGGAAAAAACATGCAAAATGGCCCAGCAAAAAGGCCTATAAATAAGCTATTTAAAGAGCTATTTAAAGGATGAAAACAAATAAAAACATACAGGAAATATCAAAAAACTCTATTATTAAATCACAAATTGACATATCATTTAACGAGATCAAAAAGCTTGTTGCATCTTGGCTTGAACCAAAGGAGTCTATTTTTGAAGAAAAAGAAACAAGTTCTGGTGAAGAACATAATATATTTGAAACAAAAAGGCAAGGAAAGTAAGTATATTACTATTTTTCATGGCTTAAATAACGAAAATTTCCAAAAGATTAGGATTAGGTGCAAATGCAGAAGAGATAAAACAACGCGTTCAAATTTCAAAGGCAGAAATGTTATTAAAAAGAAAACTAATTAATACAAAAAAAAGAAAACAATGGGAAGACAAAAAAGAGTCTAAAATACTTAACGAAGATAACGAAAATAGCGATGATTTTGATAGTAAGAATATATATGTAAAAAAACTCTCGATATCAGGTCATTCAAAAAGCCATCCTTACTACGTTATTGGTGAAAATAAAAAAGAAAACAGGACAGTATCATTTTTTGATGTGTATAAGAATGAAAAACGAAAAAAAAAACGTTTATCATAACAATAAGTAAAAATAGTCTAGTTAAACAAAAAATTATTCAATTCTATTTATAGTGTTTTTGATCCCAAAAACAATTAAATATATAAAAAGGATTTTCTTATACCAAACATATCATTATATACTAAAATATCTAAATTTCAGAACTAGTGTTTAAAAGTCAATTATTTTTGCAAGATATCATACATAAATACATAGTATAATGTCAGTATCTTTAAGTATATACCAAGAAAGTTAATCCTTGTCGAAGCATATTCAAATTCTAAACATAAAATGTGTTCATTTTTCTAACAAATCATAAATATCTATATTATCTAAGACATTTATTTTCAACTAGGAGAAGTATAATAAAAAAGATTAATACTTTATGATAATTCTTAAACAATAAACAATTATTCAATAAGTCAAACAAAGCCTAAAAATTCTCAACTTTAAACTATAAACTATATTAATTAACATAGATATGAAAAATAAGTACAAAAACAGTAATTTCAAAAGACTTTTATGAGCCTACTAAAAAAATTAGGCTATCAAACTACCAAAAAAACATACTAACAATATCAAAAACTAATAAACATAGTTTACAAAAATTATTAAAAAATGTTTATAGTACTTTATACATATAATTATTCATCTTATCTATGTATTTATCAATTTAATAATATGTTCACATTTAATCGACAACTTTAAACTTATTTTGAAATGAAAATATTTTATTTATATATTTTCTTAAAATTATTTAATAAAATATTAGGATACCAAAATGATTTTTATCCAGAAAGCCTTCATTATGAAATATTTCATGAATTAGCACCAAAAATAGCACCAATATTACGAGGATCTATAAAATATAATTTCAAAGAAAAAACAGCAATTTATCATTCTCAAAGTTCTATTTATGAAATAGAAACACTGGGAAATAATATAGAAGAAGGTTTTTATAGAGTGGGTGTTTTTGATTCAGAAAAAAAATTTAGAAATGGATTTATACAATGGGTACTACTTTAAACATAATTTTTAACTAAAACTTATTAATTAAGGACCAATTAAAGAATTTATTAAAACTAAATATATCTATTCATGAAGAAATTTCTCTTTACCTAGATGATTTTAACAATGTTTGGCATGTAGATTATGTATTGAATATTTTGAACAAAAAAGTTTATACCAGAAAAAATCTCATTAAACTAATAGAATATAGGAAGATAAAGAAAGAAAGGTTAATACGAGTGTAAGAATAATATTTCCAGCATCAGAGAATGGAACAATGCCTATATTAAATAAACCAGTAATTTTAAGTCCAGATGGAAAACCGATACAAAACAAAGAAAAAACATTTTTTCAAAAATATTGGATGTATATAATTCCATTTATACTATTATTACTTGTAGGAAACAGAAATGTCGAAGCAGAATAAAATACACCATTTCTATATATAAATATTTTAGACATTTTATTTATATTTTAACATTAAAAAACCATACAATCCAGGTACTACCTAAATATTCAAACATATAATGTAAAGAATTATTTATGTAATATTATCATGAAAATTTTAATGAAAAAGTTCACTGTATAATGATTAAAAATTATCAAAGTATATTTAATTAATATATTTAATTATATGTTAGATAATTCTTTTTCTAAAATCTTAAATATACTTTTTATATGTTTAATAAAAATTCAAACATTATTGTTCAATAATCTATGTGTAAATTATATAAATATTAAAAAAATAAACAAATTATCTAAAACTTTTATAAATCAATATTTTAAATTTTAACATTAGATTTGACACTTATATCCTTTTAACATACAAAATATTAGAACATAATAAGTCCAAAACCTTTAATTCCTTTAATATATACATTAAAATATAAAAATATAATTACAGTTATTTAGACATGCATCATATACTTCAAATTATTAAAAATAATAGAGGAAACAAAAAAAATAGAAAATCTTAAAACACTTACAGTACAATCATAAATATAATTAAAACATTACATCAAGACGAGAAATATGTGAATAAATCTCGGAAGACATTCTGTATTGAATCATACCAGCATAAATCATAACAGATTTTGCACGTTTCCGTAATTCAATCAATTTCTAAAATAATGTCAAAAATTTATTCTTTTAACGTTAATATTTATTACAGCATTACGAGATGAATCAGAAAAAGGACTTAATTTGAGTTTATTGTTCAATTTATAAAGAGATTCCATACTCATAACGAGCAAACCTGCAACATTCCGTGCAATACTTTCATGAAGAGATGTAAAATCTTGCGCTTGTTTCTTAATAGCGCCAATATCAGCGTTACAATCAAGAGGAATAATATTAAGCTGCTCAATAACCTATAAATTAATAACATTAAAAATATGAAAATAGATACAATCAACGTACCATCAAACATTGCTCCCATTTTCCCTCCATATATGCAGAACGGGCATCCGTCATTTTCAAAAGAGCTTTACAAGCATCTCTATTTATAGAACTAATCTTAGAATATATCCTGACATTATTAAAATATACAGACATCATATTTTGTGCTAATTGCTTTGGATCTTCCATAGCTGTTAAAGATAAATTAGTCTTCAAAGAAGTATCGCCAGATTCAACATAATTATTAAAAACAGAACCACTTAAAGCTTCACCAAGAACTTTATTAATAATAGAAACTACAGTGTCAAAATCCTAATAAGATAAACATATATATTTAAAGAAAATCTATTTAACAAACTTCAGATAAATGATACAGAAGTATAGCATCAGCAGTACGCCCATCATCATCAGCTTGTAACGCAGCTTGTTCAGTAATCGTTTTTAGATATTCACTCTCACTTTGTAACTGTATTAATTCAAGCTTTTTTTCAATAATTCCAGGCTATTATATAATTAATGATTTATAATTAAAAAATATAAACTATATTACCTCTCTTGTCCCATCTGCTCTTACATCACCAAGTAATTGAGCAAATTCACGTGTATTTAAAACGAGTTCTTTTATTGCTTCATAACAAATATTTTTTTGAATATTTCCAATTGGAGAGGACAAGTCACTATTTAAACATATAAGACAAAGATAATCAATCGCAATTTTAGGATCAGATTTTTGAAACGTCTTTGCATATACACATAGGAGCCTCGAAAAATTCAAACATGCAATATTTTTATCATTAATAGATACTATTTATCATAATTAAAACCATTATATATAATATGTAAATCATACACAGTTCTGTTTCTAAACAATTGTCAATCGTAGGTATATGCAGTAGCCCATAATACGCAAGAGCTATTGCAAAATGAACGGCATCAACAGGGTGATAAGAATACAAATAATGCACAGCCTAAAAATAATTAAGCTTCAAAATAAATTAGTCATTAATTACTCGTTCAAACTGTCCACTTAATAAAAGTAACTGAAAATATACAATTGGATTAGCTCCTTTAGGATTAAAATGTTTAGCACCAAAACTCAAAAGAGTTTTTTGTACATCCTCTAAAGTATATCTTTCATGAATCGATTCACCAGAATCTTGTATACTACGAGCAAGACTTAATTGAAGCCACATATAATCTTCAGCAAGAGGCAAAACCTCAGGCAGTGACCGCTTAGATAGTTCACACCTGCCAATTATTTTATAAATAACATACTTATAAGGATCAGAAGTTTCTGTTACAAAACGTATACGCTGATTATATTCAGCATGTAACCTATCATTAAGTTGACGAGGAAGTTTCCCATTAGGAGACATAGAATATGCCTTTATATATATTGGAAACGTTTTTTCAATCTTTTGAAATAAATTTTCATGCTTCAAAGTATATTGTACTGCTTCTTCTAAATATCCACATCTAATAAAATAAAATAAAAAGGCCCAAATGGGTATATTGTTTACAATCTCAAGATTCTTTTTTGTCCATTTACCGTTTTTCATGAACTTTAGATTTAAATATGCTCGAATTTTATTTTCAACAGAAGGAACACCACCTAATTTTGCATCATGAGGATGTTTCGAAATTTCTTTTTCAATAAGAGAAAAAAATCTTTAAAACAGTTAATTAAAATAAAGATATACAAAGAACTTACTGTACTTCAAGAAACGATTTTGCTCCAGAAATAATTTTTTTAAACATTGTAGATTTAAGAGAAAAATCATCAATATATGAAACAAATTGCCTTTCATTAGTAACTTTAGCAGATGCATGATCGTTTAAATAATCATTTTCCTCCACAATTTTTGAAAGCAGTTTCCATGAATCAGAAAGCTGTTGAAACCGCTATAAACGCCTATTAGAAGTACATAAATTACTTTATTAACATACAACATCACCACGAAACAACCGAGCTACATCACCAAACGCATTAAAAATTCCAAATCCTTTTTTCCTTAATCTAAACTCATTCAACAAAACCACCACCTCTGCATATTTTTGCTGAATCGGTGAAATACTAGAGACTTGTTGCACTTTAGATTCCACATCGTCAAAATCCTTAAATGCAGTGCATCCTATCTTAGAATTCTTCAAAGCCGATGTCGAAAAAGACATTTCGGTCCGAAACTCTGATACATCCTTTGGTGCTTCTTTTTCTGGTTCTGAATATCCCATATTCAATACCTCCTTCGACTTCTGAACATCATTTAACATACTTGTCTTCTTTCTTTCCCATTTATTATTGATATTCCGTGCAACAAACGCATCAAAATCCCGTTCACTTTGTTTAATCATATCTTCTATTGCCAACAAAATATTCCGTTCTTTCTTATACCTCAAATAACCCTATGCAAAATTAGACCTTCTAAACTTCCTATCCCATCTTCTACATCAATATCTGTGTCTATCAATGGAGTAGATTCATAAAAAGGAAGCAATTGAATCGACATCAAGACTTGCAACGTTTCCTTTGCGTTCATTCCACTTCCAGCAAGCAAATAATGTCTAATAAGTCAGGAAAAACCCGTAAAAACAATTATTACTGACGCTTTTGTGTCACCATCTCTGGTACCTAAACTTGCTGCAGAATCCTCCAAAGACTGGCGGATCTGATCCAAATTTAACTCAAACTGTGGCAATTCCTGATGAAATAATTCATTTTGAAGCTTTTTAGAGCCTTCAAGTATATCTGGAAGCGTTGATGGCTTTAAAACAACCTCTTGAAGGTACATTTGTAGATTTTTGAAGTTATAGATTTTTGAAATTAAGATTATACGTTGAAAGCAACATCAAAAAAATAAATGATATATAAAAAAGATTTTTTAAGAAAAATTAAGAGGAATTAAAAGAAAAATAGTATGAATAAACCATGGTCAATGGCTCTAGGATGGGCCAGTTTGATAGCAAGTTTTTTTTGGCGTTTTTTAGAGTATTTTTTAACAAAATAGTTTAGCAGCAGGAATAGGATATTATTTTGCAAAAAAAGTATATATATAAGCAGAAAACAAGTTAAAAGATGATTTATAATACGTAGGATATAAATGCAAGACGTAGGGAACAAATGGCATACGGAAATATTATACAAGAAAAGCTTGACTGTGAGGTTTTTTGATGGCTAAAAGAAGAATCTAATGGATAAATTGAAGGGAAAGAAAGAATAGAATTAGACGAGAAAAGGATGAGAAAAGATAAAAAATCTATGGAAGAAATTCAAGAAAACGAAAATTTAACAAAGAATGCTACAAAGCATTCTTTAGAAAGTACTTCTAGCCAACCATATGTAAAATTAAAGCAAAAAGAAAATCGATAGTAGTATCTAACGGTTAGAAACAAGTAGTTATATTTATTAAGTACAAATTGTCTGCTTTTAGTTTAATATTTTTAATGATTTGGGTATTAAATCTAATTTTTTAACGTTATATACAATCATAGGAAATCGTTACATTATTTTCACTTAGAATTTCCTTCCCTTTTTTTTAAAACTAGATTCTAGAATACATAGAGCTTATTTATTAATGTCTAATTATAAATTGTTTTATCATTATATACCAAAGCCCTTAAAACTTAAAATCATGTATATTTAATTAATTAAAATGATAATTTTTCAAAATAAAATTTCAAATAAACATTAAAAAATATTTATAGAATATTAAAAGATTATCATAAATATTTTATATGCTTTTAAAGTAATAGTAAACTTAAAAACAACCATAAATCATTAAAATTTAGTATTTATAAAAAATTGATCATAAAAACAATGAAAATTTTTATTATTAAATTACAAAATTTTATATTTCAATAAAATGTAAAGAATTATTTATTGTCTATAAAACAAATGATTGTAAATTTTCAGAATAATAGATATAAAATTAGTAGATACAAATGTTCTAGATACAAATGTTCATTGCGAAATTTCTAATTTTTGATTAATTTTTTTTATTAATGCTTTTTTCATAAACTGTTCTTGTGCAAGATTCCGAGTATGCTGAATTATTATTAATAAAAGAATATTTTAAAAATATATACTTTAAGAAATGTATCCAAATCAATCCTCTCAGATTCTAACATTTTCCAAAGAACATAAATTGCATCTTCAATTGATTTTTGATCTGAAATCAATTCGTAAAATCTAAAAAATTAATAAATAAAAGTAACCAATACATTTACCTACTGCTCAGAAAGATGATTTTTTGGAATAACTACATCATCTATCGGATATTCTTCAATATTTTTATACTTTCTAATAAGAAATTCAGAAGCTTCAATCCTTTCCTTTAAAATAGATATATTTTTCTCACATTGCTCTTTAAAATAAACAAATTCTGTCTTCTCTCGCTCAATTTGAGCTTGAAAACGGAGAACTTTTCTTCTATCACTTTTTGCTTGAGAAAGTGACTGAGCTATTGTTTTTTGAACCTTTTTTGCGTTTTCTTGAAGAACGAATGCTATTTGTTTAATAAGCTGCAAATTAATAGGATTTAGAGGTTTTTGTATAGAATTAACAGCTAATGAAGACAAATCTTGTGCACATGCATTAATATCAGGAGAATCAAGTATATTAACAGGCTCTTTTTTTATAAATTCAGATGGTATATTCGTTCGTAATAAAGGTGCAGACTTAATCAAGAAATTTGAAGGCTTATCAGGTAAAGGAGGAGGAAATGAATATTCTATTAAGATTAGGGTTTAATTAAAAAAACTAAAGCTTTCGCACTAGAAGATTTCACAGGTAAATCATAATCATTCAATGAACTTTTTGGATATGTGGAACTAAATGATCGAGATATATGTTCAGATGCTGAAGAGACGATTGGGATATCCTTTGAAAATACTTTTCTAAGAAAAATACAAAGACGAATCAAATTACAATCCTATATCATAAATTTAATCAAAATTCTAATTTAAAATTAAGAAACATACACTCGAATGCTCATTCCAAAGTGTTAAATATGGGTAGTTACAACGACCATCAAAGTCAATATGGTTATTCTGTCTAATAACAGTACCTTCTTCTGAAACAATCAAAACAGCAGGTGCTTTTTGCGGATATAACAATGGAATCCATAAAACAACAGGTATATCATATGAGTTATCATGAAAAATAATAGAAAAAATGATCTTTATAGCAAGAACTTGTTGCTTCTGTTTTTCAAATTCTATATTTACAATTAATAATATTTTCTATAAAAATAACAAAAAAAAACAATATTTTACCATAATTTTCAATCCAAAAATCCATTGATGGATATGAATCAATCATATCCTTTACATCATTATAAGCACGTTCAGGAAATGCATAATTCTTATCTTTCTAAGTTCACTTATCAAAAAAAAAAAACTTACATCAAAAACAAATTTCTTAATCCAATTTAAAACATAAGAGCACATCTTTCAATAGAATATGAAAAATACAGCTAAAAAGTAATAAAATATAGTAACTTTCCTATAAATATAAAAATATATTTATAATTCTTTTTCCAAAAAATTTTTAGAATTTATAATAGTTAAAATAAAGAAAATAATTAAAATCCAAGAAAAAACAATGTTGTTTCAAGTAAATAAAAGCATTCAAATACCATTTTATAACTTTATATTTATATTATTTTTCTTTTAAATTAAATTATATTTTTTAGATAAGACTAACATGATCGTTAAAATATGAAGCAGATTTTAAAATTAACTAAAAACCTGTTTTTTTTTAGAAAAACAATTAATGTATATTTTAAACTAGAAACTAAATATGGATGATAATATTGTATTGTATAATTTACAACTAAAATTACAGAACATTTTAAAATATCTAAATACAACTAAAAATATGTTTAAAAATAAATGTTTAAACTAATGCCTATCATCAAAATTAAAACCTACTTCATCAAAATTCTTCAATCGAAAAGTCTTATTTCGAGGCGTAACAACTCTTCTTCTATAAAAAGCTACCCAATCCTGTAATAACCTTCTTATTTTTTTCCAATCAGTTTGCATAGCCGCACTTTAAATAAATTGAATATAAAAGTATTTATATAAATAGTACTTACTTTGTTAAATCCGTCAACAAACGTGTTCTTTCCTGAGAACTTATAGTTTCTGAAGGAAAAAGATCTAAAGTAACACCAATATTTTTTATTGAATCTTCAGAATAAGTTTCTATTAAAGAAAGTAATACTCCCGATGCATCTGGAACACAGTCACGCGGAAAAGAATATACTAAGCCATAAAAGATAGATGTTATTAATTGTTGATTGTACTTTTGCATCATATTTCTAACTATTGTTTGAAGTTGTAAAGATGTTTCAGAAAAAGTCAAAGCAGAAGAAACTGAATATGAAAGGAGATCTCTTAGAAAATGAAGAACAGAAATTAACGGATCGGGAAGTTCTAACGATAAAGAAACCAAAGATGCCTGAACAATAAGATCCAACAATGATGAAGTTATTAAACAAACAGAATGACCAAACAATGCATCAATAAGAAGTCTAAAGAAATCATCAACTACTAAAACAATGTTATTACTATTACTCTAACAAGTAAAAAACATTACCGTCAGGAATTTCCTTGGGATTAGTTCTATTCAAAATAGAAAACATAGCCAAACATTGCCTCTCAGTAAACTGCCAAATTGAAGCTCGAGTATTCTCAGAACATGTCTCTGCATTTGAAAATATTCGTATACATGCACCACTAACCCATAAAAAACAACCATACTCCGTTTTTTCAAAACACATAACCAACTTTTCAGCTAAAAGAGGAAGGAATACAAGCATATGCTCACGATAAGAATTAAACAATGCCTTAAGAAATTTACATATACTCTCAGAAATAATAAGTAATGATCCATAAACATCAAGTAAATGAGATATGACAGGCCAAAGTTCTTGAAATAATGTTATACAAGGATGTTGCTGTTCTAACGGAACATAAGGCGATACAACTTGAGCAAATATAGTAAGAAGTTCAACTTCATCTAAAAACAAAGTCAGGAAAATACAAAACCTTTTAAATAAAAATACCTGCTACAGAGTGATAAAATTTAGTATCAGTATCATGCTTTTGAAGCATAGACAGAAGATTTTTAGTAATAGGTTCACAAAAAAGTTTCAAGGTATCATATACTTGATGTATAGGTTGTGCAGAAACAAGATAAGCGACACCTTCAGTAACATCAAAAAGAGAATCTACGTCTAAAACAGGTGCCACTTTTTGATAAAACAATTGTAATTGAGTAATATGACTAACGAGAAGCTAATGAATAATTAAACAGATAAACAAAAAAAAAAAAACAATTTTAACCTTTCCACAATCTTGACAAAAATGCTTAAGTGCTTGTGATGCAGCACTCACAATATCTCTATTAGATGCTTGAAAACCATTACATATATAGTTCAATTGAAGCTCCAAATATTCTGGATGATTTGCTGTCCATTCAGTGTATCTTCCTAAAAGCAATGTAGCAGCATAAATAATTTTTTCATGATTAGGCAATTTTGTAAGAATTGACATAATCTCAGGAAGAATTTGATTATTACCTATATCAACTTCTCTAGCCATTGCTCTCATACTAAACAATGGGGCTTCTATTTCTTGCCATTTAACTAGTATACCGTTTTCACTATTATTTAAAAATTTTTTTACCTTTTCAAATGCTTTTTTCAAACAAACATCATCGCCTATAACTGCACAACAATCTTTTAAAACATCACCCATTTGATGCCTAAAACTCCGAAATTTTTCCTCACTTTCCCTATCACCACCAAATAAATCTTCAGGATTACCATCAGGATAATGCAAATCACGGATCATTATATCCACTAAATTAGAATATATATCTGAAAAAACTGTTCTTGCTTCGGCATATGCTTTCAAAACAAGAAACTGCTTTAAATCATACCAAAAATTAAATCCATATTTAACTATTTCCAATTCATCATCCATTTCAGCAAACAGTGCTATACATTCAACCAAAGACCTAAAATGTTGCGGTGAACGAGCAATTAAAACTACCCATGTTTCTCCAGCCTCACAAAATAATCGAGCATAACCCCTAAAAGCATCTGGATCATTTTTGCTTTGGATTATTTTAGGCCTTAACATCTGAAGACGCATATATAATTCTTCAATCATAACCAAACACTCATCAACATCAGATGTTTCACGGACAATAGAACACAATAAATCAATCACTGATTCAAATATATTATCCAAAGAAAGAGATGAAAAAATAAAATCCAACAGTGGTGTGGAGACAAGACTACTAAGGTGCGTTTCCTTTAACCACGAACTTATGCAATCAAATATCAAAGGGTTAATGGACAAATTGACATCAATATTTTGTACATAAAGCAACAGAAGCTCAATAACTTTATCCAAATTATCTGATAAAAGCTCTTTTGAACGAAATTTAAGCTCTTCTTCCTTCAATTGTTAATTTAGCTAAAACTAATAACAAAAACACATACAGAAAGCAAACATTTTTTATTATCAACTTCTTCAGGCAAAACGGAAATAAACTGTAATAAACAACCCCATGTACTTTTATCTTTTCCAAAAACTGAAACAACATCATTCATCACATCTTTCCATTCTAACATCTGCAATGCTAAACCCGCCAATGCAACACATAATTGAATCATAATCGATTTAGGTCCAGCACGATACAAAAGTATAAGCTGAAGAAGAGAGTCCCTTAACGAAGGAAGGCTTTCACTTGGAAGTTGGTGAAAATCAAAGTTAATCTTCAAACGTCAGAACTCTAAAACCTTCCATAAATTTTGTTTTTAATCAAAAAACCTTATTTCTCAATGTCTGTGCTGCAAAAAGCTTTGCTTCAACCGATGCCCTGCTATCCTGCAAAACTGCATGTGTTGTCGTCCATGCATCCTTCTAATGCACTCATTAGAATGCAATTTTCTTAAATTTAACACTTTTTTCTTACACTTTTTTGAAATTCTTCAAGAAAATTGTTTGCCTGTTCTTTCTCCTTACGGGACGAATTTGAGTACAGCGTTTGCAACGCCTCATAGAGCAATTTAAAAGGCTCTATAGAAGCTGTTGACATATTCCAACTACGCCTAGAACTCTAATAATTCTTCAATTTTTTTTTTTAATATTCCTAAGTATTTGATATTTCGAAAGACGTCAAGATTTTTTCAAGATAAAAAAATAAAAAATTGATCAAAACATAAAAAAAACATAAAAAATCATGTCAGGACGCACACAATCAGGAACAAAGCAGAAGGTGATGATACCACCAATTGTCCGTATAATTTGAAGTATTTTTTTATAAAAATTGATGAAAATCCAGAATTTTATTTTCAAGCTTTTACAGCAACATACTACAGTGTGTATCTGGCTTTATGAGCAAACTGAAATGAAAATTGAAGGGAAAATAAGGGTTACTTTTTCCAGAAATCAAGAGTACCGTTAATAATTATTCAGGGTTTTGATGAATTTATGAATTTAGTAATTGATGAAGCGGTAGAAATAGGCCAAAAAAAAAATTCCAGTAGATCACTCGGTAGGAATACATGTGTAATAAATGTATTTGCTGCATTCTAACACACTCAGGCCGTATCCTATTAAAAGGTGACAACATTACTTTAATCCAGGCAGCACAACTTTAATGTAATTTTATGTAAAAATCATAGTACTGATCGTATTACTTCGTCCCCAACTAGCAGAATATCAAGCTTTACATCAGAAGAATCCACTGGTACTGCATCCACAAGCTGTTCTTTCAAAGCAAGACCTACTATTAAAATTTTACCCTATGCCAAGTACAAGCTCTATCAACACATACCTTTTAATGGCATATGAAGATGATGTTTTCTACACCAATCCTCCATCCTAGCAAAATATGTATCATAGTATCTGTATTTGCAGTCAACTCTCCCTTGCCATCAAATTGTAATTTATAAACCCTTTTCCATGACCCAACCGATTTAGATTCCTATCAAATGCAACACCAGGAACAAGAATTAGGTCTAAACCTTGATTTTTCATCGCTTCTTCTCTCATTATTCCATTTGCATCATATCTATCGGGCTCAGGAATCCCCCATTTATTCCTGGCAAACATAAATGGATCTTCAGAATCCAAAAGCTGCAGCATATGCATGTTTGAGCCATCTATAAAAGGAACATAGATTTTTTTTCCTTTTTTTGTGTTATATACAATAATAAAGATGTTTTAAAAAATCAATACCCATACGACGAGATTCTTTTATTATATTACTTGTATTTATTTCTCCATGAGGCATTGATAGATAAACACTAATTGTTTTGCTTTGTTTAAACTCAGAAAGTATATTAAAAGAACGTGTAATAAGCATAGCTATAATTAATTAACATAAATAAAAGACTCTTATCAGCAAACATTGTTCTTCAATAAAGTGTTCAGGTAGATCCACAAGTATTTTCCAAAGCTGCCTCATTTTTGCTTTTGCATGTTGAATTTCCATAAGAATTGATAAAAAGTAATATATAGTAAAGATGTTATAAAATAGATTTTTTACAGAAAAATATATAAATCTTATATTCTCAAATCATATACTTGTCAACTTAAACCAATTAAAATACATAATAAAAACCAATGATTATAAGAACAGCGGAAAACTAAATAATTCAGATTTCCAATCTAATAAATATGACTTTTTTACTCAAATTAATCCTAAAAATATTGTTATATATTTTATCCTATAAATACAAATTAATATTTTTATAAGTTCAAAATAATTTAACAATAGAAAAAAACAATATACTCAATATTAACAATATTTACAAGAGATTTCCAAGAATTGTTTATTGATGACTATCCACACTTCAAAACAGAATGATATATAGAAAGCAAATAGATAAAATAGATATAATTTAATAGAATAAAGATATATAAAACCAAAAAAAAAAAACATAGAAAATCACTACATCTGTATTGAGATAAATATAACTTTAATAAACTAAAAAATTCATGGAATGACTCTAAAAAGTAAAAATACTTTATTAGATATTATAAAAAAATGTATTCTAGCCATCAAGCAGGAAAAAATAGTTTCCATATTATGAGTTAACAATATCATTAAAAATTTTTTAATGATTTCGCTTTTTCATCTATTTCCTGACAACTTTGCTTAGGGAGTCGTCTGTCCTTTCAAAACTAGCCATTTTCTCATGAGTATTCAACACAAATTGGCCTCTCATCAGAAGACAACTCATAAATCTCATAACTTTCATTAAAATAAGAGGAATTCCTAAGTATTACATGACATGAAGATGTAAAGCTGCCATATTCAAAAAAGTAATAAGAAAACCTAGAAAACTTGTCTGTCCAACAATTTTCTCATCCTGAATAGCAATGGCAGAAGAAAAAGCTCTAAATGCCTTTTCAACAACAGGTATTACTTTTTAAACTACAGAAAAAAGAGAAAAAATCTTAATTGCAATCAACAAGATAATATCCGTCTAATTAAATACTTCTGTGATTAACAAATCAAAAAGACGCATTACAGGTCGCGTAGAAATAACAAGAACATGATCAGGAAGCAAAAGCTTTGGATTTACTAATACCGTAACATTCTAAAATTGAATTAATGAATAAATTCTTAAGTGACCCATTCTACATTCTACTTGAACAGAAAAAAAACCTATTTAAAAACTAAAAAAGAGACAAAATAGATATCAGACTTTGATCCCATTAAATATTTTTAAAATTAGCCGTTATTCTTAAAAATCAATTAAATAATATTATATGATTATAATATGTAGAGAAACAAATTTCAGGAACATAAAATATAGGAATACGCTAATTATACATTAGCAAAAATTATAAACTATTTTAAAAAAATATATATAAAAATCCTGTTAAAAGATTATCTCAAATGTGGTTTAAAATTATTTTTATTAATAATATCTATATAAACTTCAAACACCAGAGTTAGCAAATCTGAACAATAACGTTTATCCTTAAAAAATTGCAGTAAAAACAGTAACCTAATAAAAATATTAAAAATTTATTATTTAGATACTTATCAAGTGGAAACCTTTCTCCCCTACTATAGGAGAAAAGATAAAACAATATTTTAATGATATTTCATATAAAAACTAGTACACAAACCTCAGTACCCAGGATGAAACAAATATAAAAAAAGATTTTATTCAACACCATTTACATAGTAAATATTGCCTTAATATAATACTCACTTATATAATCAAATACAATTTTACAATACTAAAGATTTAAAAAATATCTATATGTATTTAAGAATAAGATTCATACAAAAACATGAAATAAAACACTCTAAAGAGATTTTATTGACTTTCTTCCTCACATTTTTGAAAATAGCAATATATACAATTACAATATTCGAATCTCAGCAACAATTATATTGCATCTTTAATTCCAAATAAAACATTCTTATAAAAATGATATCTATTCACATTCTCTAACCTTCTGAATCAACCCGTACATTACTTTTATTAACAATTTTTTTACAAATTCTGTATACACAAAACTATGTATCTCTACAGCTCCCTAAAACTCTACAAAAAAAACAAGTTTTCATAAAAATATAATCATACTACAAACAAAAATATATTCTTTGCATATATTTTTTAATTTAGTCTATATCAAAATAATATTTAGCTTCTAAAAACAAAAATATAAGATTTTTTCAACATAAAAAAACATATCACTTCAATTACTCATAAAAACTACAAAAAATCACTCTAAAGCAGTATCTATTCATTGTTTTCCTACTTTTACCATCTTCTACCTGATAATTAATCTTATAAATATATCTTAACGTTAGCAAAAAACGATCTCAACGTCAATTATGAAAATACACAATGTTATCATAATTATAGTATTCTTTTACATAGATTTTATTAAAACAAGGATTATTATACATAAAGAAAGTATCATTTTAAAGAAATCACTTGTTTCTTTCTGTGAATTTACAGATCCAACAAAATATCTTTTTAAGTTAGAATCATTAATAATAACACCAAATCCCCCAATCCGAGGGAAAAACATGACAATTGAAGCATCAGGAACATTAAAAGAAGGATTTTGTGTTGGAAGCTATGCCAATTTAAAAATAAAATATCAATTCATACCACTTATTAATATTCAAGAAGATTTATGTACACAGGTTCATTATTAAAAGACGTAGTTACTATATGATGTAAAGATTAATTATAAAACTAGGCAGAAAAAGTTGGGTTTGAGTGCCCTATTAAGGAAGGCTACTATTCGTTAAAAAGAACATTCTATATTCCAGAAGAAATAATTTCAGTAAAAAACCGTTTTTAGAAAATATTATACGAATAACGCAAATATAGGGGAGATATATTATTTCATCAGACTTAATAACAGAAGGAAATCAAAGAATTGCATGTTTTTTGGTTGATATAGTATTTAAATCACAAACATTTATCAAAAATAACCATTAAATACATTTTATTTCAAAATAAACAGGATATCATAAAACATTTTAGTAAAATTAAGCTTGCATGTTATTAGCATATTATTTGGATTGAATGCATAAAAACCTCTATTTTTTTTGGATTTCATATATGATTTATTACATTGATAAACATTAGAGACTTTTATATAGCACTATATCTTTTTCAATCATTTTAAACTAAGTATTTTTCATTATAAAGCAAAACCATTTCTAAACCAGCATACAACCATCGATCATGACTCATCACCCATTAAACGTCTTACTCTTTTTAAAACAGAGTCTTTTTCCGGATCATAAGGATGTTCTTTAATTCTCAATACATAACTAGAGCTTATAAATAGTAAAGCCTACCTTTACTTGGAATTTCCAATAAAGAAGGTAGTGCTTGAGCATATGCTTCAATTTTAGGTCGAATACGATCTGCAATCTACAAAATATAAATCTTATTGAATCTTATGTTTCCAATGCACTTTCATACATGTTGGTTAATTAAGATAATCCCAATATCTGTACGAAAACCTGTCAATTCATCGAAAAACGTTTCAATTACTGAAGTTTCTGTTTCTACTGACAGTTAACCTATAAAAGTTTACCAATTCATTAAAAATAAAAGCTGACCCGTATTAACGACTAAAAAGTTCTTCTTATGTTCATTATCTACATGTCCTATTCCTGCTAAAAGAAATCCTGTTACTGAATCCTATATAATTTATCAATTTCATCCAAAATTAAGCAAAAATACAGTTTTTTCTCACTAACCTCATCTCCAATAATTCCTATAAGAGTTCTATCCCTAATAGAATTTGAATGGCTCATTATTATAGAAAACTGAGGCCAATTTGATATTTTTATATTAACTACGTTTTTCTGTAGTTAAAGGCAACGTAATAAAATTCAGAAAAATAATTTTTTAAGAATTGAATGAAATAAATTTAGATTTAGTGAAATGAAATACTGGAAATATATTGATATAACACAAACAAATCATCCTATGCTTTTTTCTGGGGAAAAAATTCTTTTTATACAGTCATCAGTTGGGCTTTATGATCCGTTTGTATATTTTGTAATATTTACAAAGATATTAATATAAAGAAGCAGTTTTTTCAAGAAAGATGTTCCTGAAGATGGAACAGTTTATCTTACAACTCATAGAATCTGTTATATACATCCATTTTCCTCTTGTATTGAGCCTTTAGGCTTAGATCTATCAGAAATCGAAAAACTTGATACATCAGTATAATTTCTTAAAAATACATGAAAATCTTCTTATTTTTTTAAACTAGAATAGATTATTCAAAACATCATTTAAAATAATTATTTACTACAAAAAACCGGACTCTACATATGAATCAGAAACACTTTCACCAGTGCCCTCTACAAATGCATGGATATGCACTGTTTGTAGCTTTTATAATAGTGTTCCTAAGTATCATCCATTTGGTCGGCCTTTTCCTCCATGTTTAGCATGCGGCGTCTCTACTTACAATATCTTAAACTACTCTAAACCCTCGTCAGCAGTAAATTTTAATTCAGCAAAAAATAAAATCTCTTCAGAATGTAAAAAATGTACTTTTTTAAATCATCCTGCTCTTAAAGAATGCGAAAGTTGTGGTGCTCACCTTATTTCTCAAGAAAAAGACACATTATCTCTTGATTCAAACCTTGATCTGAAATCTACAGATCCATCTACATTAAAACAAAATATTGTAAATGATTGTTGTACTCTAATATTTAAATCAGGCGGAGAGCAAATTTTTTATGAACGGCTAAAAGAAGCAATAAATCAAAAACTATGGACTACAGAAATTAATCCAATAGATCATAATGCGGATAAAAATTGGAAAATGGGAGGCATTAGTGTTTTACAATATACAAAAGAGAACAATAGATTGAATAATGCTCATATACTAAATCAAGGACTTTCAGACCTTAATACATTAATGTCCAAAGCTAAAGAATTGGTAATATTTTTTTAATATTTTTAATATAGCTAACATTATGTACAGGTTACTTTAGCCAATTCACTTAGACTAAAACTCCAAGCATCTCCTAATGTATCAGATAATGCACGAAATACACTTCAAACTTCTATACAAACAATGGGTTTGCAAGAGCAAATGTTATCACATGACCTTTCTAACTATCTTGTAACCAAAGCAATTACAAAAGATGATAATACATACTATAATGAACTTGCAAAACAAATTGCAGAATTTCTTGAAACTGGCGTTTTAAAAAGAGAGGGTGGTATAATGACCCTTGCTGATGTTTTTGCATTATACAATAGAGCTAGGGGTGTCGGTAAGTCCTTCATACTTATATTTAATCCCCTTTATTAATTTTATTAAAAATAAAGACCTTATTAGTCCAGAAGACTTACTTAAAGCTTGTCAATGCTACAAAACCCTGAATCTTTCTATCCAACTTAAACGTTTTCAAAGCGGTCTTTTGGTTTTACAAGAAAAAGAAAAAGATGATAAAAAAATAATAAACCAGATTAGCTCCTGGATCAAAAATATTGCACGTGGAGTCACTCCATTTGAAGTAGCCGATCAATTTCAATGGAGTATGGGCATTGCTTACGAAGCATTGAAAGTATAATCTCTTTTTTTTCAGCTCCAATTTACCTTCTATCAAAGACAGCAGAACATGCAGGGCTTTTGTGCCGTGACAAATGTTTTGAGGGCCTTTATTTCTGGGAAAACCGTATTGTGTCTTTATCGTAATATTAATTAAAGCATCACTACAAATTGACTCAAGATGTTTCAACACAAAGTGACTCTTCTGCTACATCGGCTAAATACATAGCATCCACTGCATCTTTGTCTACAGGCTCTGCATTATTGCGTTTATTAACAAGTCGAATACGTTCCATAACAAGCCGACGACGAGACAGACCCACCAGCTCAACAGATTTATCAAAAATAAGCTCTGTGCCAACCATATCCTCCCAATGTCCTCGATACATATATCGACCCCACTTAAGAAACGGTGTAGGAGTATCAAGTCCCTTTGATTTTCAGTAATTTTTTTACTATGTTTATCTTAATCATACTAACCACTAATTTTACAGTATCACTTAATGATGGATCTTTTGAAGCACTGAAAAATGACGTATCATTCATTACTAAATCAACAACTACCAACTCAGTTGATATAGATGAAGCAGGATCAACAGAAGGTCCTGGTAAAGTTGAAAATTCTGCAGATGGAATAGGTTCTTCAGATGAAAGACATTTCTGCTGTTCTTCAAACAAGTTAACTGATTTCTCTGTTGAAATATCATTTAATTTATTGTCTGACATCTTTTACTCAGCTATACCTACAAATGCTTATCAGTTTCTCGGATTCATTGACAGCCCTACCCTAATACAAGAAATAATACACAATCACAGCACTCAACAAGTGAATGACATTATCACCAGGTGGAAAACGTATAACAACTAAACGGCTTGTGCGTCATTCACCACTAGCACAACGTTTTCTAAGAAGTGCACGCAATGTTTTATGTAGAATATCACAAGGAGTATTTAATTTGTTTAAAAAGCGTTTAAGAAGAATTGCAAAAATTATACAGGCTATTCGTTTTTTAGGGAATGGTTTACCAGTTATTATATGTGAAATTGCTTTTATTGGAGTAAGAACAAGAAGAATTGGGAGTTATTCTACAGTAGAAGTTTTTTATAAGCATAGTGAAGATAACAAAAAGCTGAGATATGAAACAACAATAGATTCAATGGTGAGTTATAAAAGGAAATAATACAGAAAAGTAGTTTTATGAAATTTTAATTAAAAAAATAATCAAAACAATCAAATTATTCTAATATTAAATAGAGTAAATGGGTCGGAATAGGGCTTTTTATATGGAGTATTGTATGTACAGTGCGCTGTTTCACTGTTTCTCGCCGTTACCGCCTTTTTGAACGTAAAGTAAGTTGAAGAAAAGCAATAACATGAAATACAGAGTATAAATATTAGACAAAAATACTTAGTATTTAAATATACATTACTAACTATGAAGTACAAAATAAAGTATATGGCATAAGACAGTATAATGAAATATCATATAATACAGTATAGTACAGAATATTTAAATATAGCACAATAATACAATATAATAAAACATGTGAATAAAAATGATTAAATATCAACAGTCAATACTCTGTATTAAGTGCTTAAAATTTAGTATGTCTGATTAACGCTTTATACTAATAATCTAGGAACCTCCACGGAGTACAAGTGCACGCTGTGCAGTACGGGATGCACCAGATTCACCATCAACACCAGGATTTTTAATGCGTTTTTGGCGTAATAAACATGATAAATCGTTGGAAGAATCAACAATAGATACGACAATTACTAAATCAGTAAATGATACTCCGAACGAGCCTATAAATAGTAATACAAATGAACATGTTTGGGAATTGTCTGTTTGGAATCCTTCAAAACAATTAATATATTTTTTCTGGTATATTTTAACATAACAAATACAAATAGTTAATGAAAAAAAGCTTTTTTAATCCTGTTCATCTTATTTTATTATGGTATCATCCACTTAGTCTAAAGCATCTCATGTTAGCAGCAGCAATTGCTTTTCAGGTTTAATTATCTAGACTATATTACATATTTACTAATAAACATAAGCTTTTTCTTTTACACCAAGTTTACGCAGGCTATGTTACAGATAAATCCATTATTCATGGAGAAGTATTTAATGAATACTCTAAAAAGTTTGTGGAACCACGTTTATTTCCATATAAGCGAGATGTTGCAACATCAACACACCCGGATACAGTTCAGATTGACGTACATACGCCTCATGGAAAGCCAAGTAAAAACATGCACCAGGCTTCAGTACCAGTATCTAATAGGATCCGATCATTGATTGAAGATGAGTGGCATACACCAAGCAAAACCCAAAAAGGAACATTCAAAGGGTTTCCTATGTCACCTATAAAAAATATTCAGCCATCTCCTGCTAAAGGATTTCGTCCTGCCAATTCTTGGTCCATTAATACATCTACAAGCCACCTACGTTCTCATCCAAATACTAACCCTGGAACAAAACATTTTTAGAGTTTATCATGCTATTATAATATACCCATCATATTTGCATTTACAATTATATTTAATAATACAATACTTTTAATAATATAGAAAATGTCTTAGTTTATAAAACCGCTTGAAATTAAAAGTAACCATAGATCATTGATATTATATAAAGTATGTAATAGAAGCACATATACCAGTCTACTATATATATACAATAAAATATGTTATGTTATATAAACCAAAGATACGTATAACCCAAAAATCCCCAAGAATTTCCCAGCAACCCTTCTATTATCCTTTTTTCTTATAACTAATATAAATAACCAATCATAAACACATCATGAATTACGGCCAACATTATCAAAGTAGTAGTTAAATGTTAAAAAAATTCCGAAAACATTGAATATATCTATACGAATTTTTATATGCAAAAGATGAAATTAAAGTCCGAAAAATGATATTTTTCGATTCTTTGAGTTCAAAAAAATCAAAAATACATTTATAAATAAAAATTTTCCGAGTTAATCATGCTACTTGTTTTATAATTGCTCTTTGTCATAAGTTCCTAACAATGATCAATAGAAAGTGCATCTTCCTTAGGTGCTACAACTTCATTTGCATTTTTTCTTTTTCTATATTCACTAAGAGAGATTCTTTTGGGAAAAGATTCTAAAATAGAAGTAGGACTTGTAAATAATGTATTAGATTGAATAGGTTCCAATTCAGAAGTCAAAGGTGATGCAACTGTAAATGAAGACATATGAGATTCAGATGTTGAAGAAAACCCAATATCAGATTTTAAAAGGGATGGTGTTAACGATTTATCTGACAACTGAGACGGATCAGAAATAGCTACAGCGATAACAGGTTCTGGAGAAGTAAAATCAAGAGAGAGTTTATCCGATGACTCGATAGGAGGAAGTAATTGTCCCAATAAAGTCGTATCTAATGGCGGTGAACTTTCGTGTTTTACAGGATCAATTGTTTCCGAATGCTTAGGCATTCCGGAGTCGATATTAATCTGTAATTCAGTAATAACATTTTTCAACTTTTGTTTATCTTTTCTCATAATCTTTTCAGCATCGATTTTAAGATTCTCCTGCGTCCACCGTTTAATCCACATCTTTTTACATGGTAAAATATCATTTGTATCGACACTTTCCGAATATTCCTTTAAAATACTATTCGCAATTTTTCTATGTTTTTGCATTCGAGAAATTCTAGAAGGGACACGGCCAGGACGTTGTGAAAGTGTTTTAAGAGTCGGAAGACCTTCTTTAGGAGAGTCTGTAACAGAAACAGGAGGAGAAACAGACTGCTGAAAACCTTGTTTAATCAAAGCCGAGGAGAGTGTTTTACGATAACCATATGTCTTGTGGTTTTCATTGGATTTCGCTTCATTCCTTTGTTTCCTCTTTTTAGAAACTTGAGTCTCTTCTTGTTCTAATTTTTCTATACGAGCTAATATATCCTTAATTTTGCGTTCTTCCCTTGCTGACAATGCACCGTTTGACGGAGAATCTGCACTCGAAGATACTGCTCTAGTAAATAATTCAGACATTTCAGTAGCACTCTGAGACTTATTTATAACACTAGAACCATTCTCAAAACGAGTCATAGATCTATCTAAATCATCATTATCAACATAATTGATATTATTTAAAGGAGATGCATTTTTTTTCTTGCTAGGCTTAATATTGCTCTTAGAAATATTTGAAAACAGACGCTTTAATCTAAACAAAATACACTCCTTGCCTAATTCACATGCACACTCCGATCCATCAATAAAATAAATCAAATCTTGACTATATTTAATCTCATCTTCAGAAATATATTCATGACTTTCCAAAATATTAGCAGGATGATTCATATCCCAGTTCCAATCAATAGTAATTTCCGATCCAGCATGAATATGTGTCAGTGAATAAAGTACTACATGAATATACGAATCATCGTCTGATAGCACCGTAATCAATTTAGCATTAGGCTTACAACTCCGGCGAATAAATCTCGAATCAGTCCCATATTTCCTAGTATCAACACATAGTTTTGAATCCGAAATAAAGTAAACAAATGGCATAGGTGCAAGAACATATGAATACTTATTAATAGAATCATCCTTATATTCGTCCTGCAAATAAACCTCTCCCTTAAATTCCTTAATAATCTTCGAAGACTCTATGGACTGATCAGCGTACAAAGAAAAGCGTAGCATAGACGAAAATCCAAAGTTCAAACTAGATCGGATAGACGTTGCCGGAAGATTTTTCAATGTAAAATAGTCATTTGGAACTGTTTGCATTTGGGACTTGTCCTGAAACAACATCGAAATATAAGTCTGTGCACCCATAGACGTAACTAGATTATTTTCAATTGTTGAATACTCCGAATTGCAATTTAAATACGAATTCACATTCATATTCGACTCACCCACATCCTCCATCGCCTGAAACCGATTCTCAGCATCCTTGGCAAACGCCCGATGACTTGTCCGGGGCTTCCGTAAATTTTCTTGCTTCATAGAAGGACTTAACGGCTTCTTGATCCCCCCAATATTAACCTTAGATTTAACTGCTGTACACAAATGCCGGCGCCGCCGGGGATGAGAACTGCTTAATGACACATGCGTAGACTCCTGCTCTTTCCGCCGCCGCTGTTTCTCCACCGCTTTTTTAACATCCAGAGGACGAGGAAAACAAAGATCACATAGATACTCGTCTGGCACATGAAGCTGGTCAATACCAACACACACTGCATGCTGCCACACATAACATCTCTCACACTGCTCATTATCCTTGTTAAATCTTCATTTTTAACCCTTCTTTTTCTACCTGAATCGTAAATCCATCATCTTCTTCAACTCCACAAATACACCGTATAATTCCCGCATCCAAGTCATATTTAGCTACTTCTAATGCGTTTTTTGGCCCTAAAACGCTCTGCAAAGGCTCTGACATAACCTCTTTTTAAAAATCCTTATATTGTTGCTTTGCAACTTCTTTTTTTTCAAAAGGTTGCTGCGTACACTTAACGCTTTTTCGTTCATCAAAAGCACAGAAATCCTTCTTTATTCGTCCTGGAGGATCTTCCTGATACGAATATGACGTATCCTTAAGAATATATGGGCTTTTAATAGGTTTTTAAAGAGTTTTTTATCACAAAGCAATGAAGCGGTTTCTCGAGACAAAGTGCACGGTATTTCAAGATATCGGGGCAACCTTTGGGCGAGAACGTCAAAAAATAAGAAGAGGAGAAGAGGGGTAAGAAAGCGGCCCTAAAGGAAGAAAAAAGACCAAAAAACTAATATTTGTCCATAGATTTTGTGTATGTGTGTTTTTTTTTGGAAAAAAAGGCTTTTTTTTTGAAGAAATCAAGCTTTTTTTGGAACTAAAAACAAGGAAGTATTAAATGATATATTTAAATCAAGATTTTGCAAAAAAAAACGTAAAGATATCAGTATTTTTAGAGAAAATAGCGAATAAATGAGGCCAGGAAAAGATATAGTCGAAGAGGTGGATATTGATGAGCACTGTGCGGTGGAATTTTCGAATTTGAACAAAATAGAGAAAAAGGGTGGGTTTTGCAGCCAAATGAAAGTTTTTGAAAAGATAAAGGACTAGGACACTACTCACTGACAAGCTGTAAAGTTGTTCTTTCAGTTTTAGGGAAACAGATTACGGTTCGACAGAACCCAAATATGCTTTACTCTCATAAAGGGGAAACAGGAAGTATTGTGTGGAGGGCGTCAGTTGTTTGCTTGGAATACCTTCTTTCTCAAGAATGGTTCATTGATGATTTAGAAAATTACCAAGTAGTCGAGCTAGGAACTGGTATTTCGGGAATAGCAGCTATTATGTTGGGAGACAGGGTTGACAAATACATAGCTACAGACATGGAGCACATTTTGAAGTATTTGGATAAGAATATACATGAAAACATTATATCTAAGCCAGATGTTAAAAGAAAACAACCTGGAATTAAAAAAACAAATATGTCTATTATGGAGCTTAATTGGGCCGAACACCCAAAAACGTATTTAAAAAACCTCAGAGACTTATTAAATGGATCGTCTAAAAACCTTTGCATTTTAGCGTTTGACACAATTTATAATCCTCATGTTACAACACATTTTGTTAACACATTAATTTCGATTTTTAAACATTTTTACCAAGAATATGAAGACCTTGTTGCAATAATATGTCAAGAGCTCCGCTGTTATGATACCCTTTATGACTTTCTTGAAAAAATGCAATCATCCTTTTACATACAAACCATTCTTGATCAACAATTGCAAAAAGGATATCAAATATACATTGCACGACTAAGACAATAATGATATTTAACATACTTTACGGTAAATTGACTCTGCCGATACTATACCTATTTTTAATATATACACTTTGCATTTTTTTAGAAATGTTAACATTTTTTTTGGAAATGTTAAATATATAGATAAATAAAGTTGTATAAAAATTATGAAATAATATATTTATCTATTACTAATGTGTAATTTTAGTCGTTTTAAATAACGACAGTTAACATAATTCATTTAGTTAAAAAATATAAATAATGACAAAGTAGTATCATAAAAATTTATAATTAAATAACACATAAAACCTTGAAGATTGTATTATATTAGTCTCTATATAAAAAGTATTTTTAACAGAAAATCAAATTTAGTGATAACTATGAATCATAATAAACATTTTTTAAAAATACAAGAACCAACGTCTATTCTTCCTTTTCTTCATATTATAGAAAATCTTAAAGCAACACCAAGAACAGGGTGGTTGAACTTCAATATAGAAAATCCAGGTTTTAACAATTTATCCTTATATTTATATCTAATAAAAATAGAATCTATTGTATTTCAATTATAATGAAAAACATGATATATCTAATATTAAATAGGCAAGCCATATGTATAGAATGTCTATTATTTCAATGTTATGTACAACACCCTCTATTAATCGTGATAAGTAAGTTTTTATAGTCTTTGATTATAAAAAACAGATAAATAGATGTATAAAAATGGCACTTATACACGACATGGCAGAATCTATTGTTGGAGACATAACACCATTTGATCAGATATCACCGGGTAGTTGATTAAATTATAAAATATTCATTTTTAACTTTTTAGAGGAAAAACATAAACGCGAATTAGATGCCATGCTAACATTAACATCTAAAATTTTACCCAAAACACAATCAATGGCAGCTAAGGAAATGCTTGATTTGTTCCTTGAATATGAAGAAGGAAAAACAGAAGAAGCATTATTTGTTAAAGACATTGATAAATTTGAATTATTGGTACAGGCAATTGAATATGAAAAAAAAACGAAAAAAAATCTGCAGCAGTTTCTATGTGTTCTTCCAAAAATCAAAAATCCTCTTATTTTAGAATGGGTAGATGATGTTTTAAAAGAAAGAGACGAATTCTGGAAATCTATAGATCATTAAACCAAAATAATATTACGGGTAAGCTTTGCTCAAAAAAACATTTCTTAATATTTAATAACCAATAATACTTCCTTATAATTTTTTTGTTAATAATTATCATCAAGATAGATTAACTTTGCCATTTTATGTCTTATAAATAACCCTAACAAACCCATTATAGCCTGAATTACCATTATTATTATTGTTAATGTATCTTCTCTTTTAGGTCCTAATATAACCAGAAGAGAATTAATAATTGTAAGATTAGTTGTTCCTTGAATTTCTTTAGTATCTGGATGTATTTTCAGTCGTACGATGTGCAATTTTGCTAATATTTTAAGAATTATCCTAGATAACAGAGACGGCTTTTGCAAAAACATTATTGTTGAAGGCTCTAAAAAGCCAGTTGACAAATTAAGCCTATATCATGATCAAAAAACAATAACAATATAGAAAATATTACTTAGGCATCCTATGTCTAGGACACTCAACAATTCCAAACAATTGAGGTAATGACAAAATAAAATTAAATATTTGTGGGATAAAAAAAAGAAGTATTGTTTTTGAAAAATGCCCTATAATACCAACAACAGCAAATATCATTCCTGAAAAGTAACAATATGTATCACCAACAAAAACAGACGCAGGAAACCTAAAAATAATCAATTTAGTTAACTAAAATTTAAATATTCAACCAATTATGATATAACAAAGCTATTGATGTACCTATAAAAGGTAATAGAAAATAAAGTGAAAACAAATGAGAATCAACAGCAGGACTAGATAACCGAAAAACATAAAAAAGATCATTAATTATAATGCAAAGTGAAATTATAATAGACTGCCCAACTTCCACTCCATTTATTCCAGCAATTATGTTTATCGAATTAGGACAAAAAATGGACAAAGCTGCCATATAAAGATAGTACCACCATCCTTATAAAATGTTAAGTACAAAAATACAAATATGAATCCCGTATACCTATTTGAATAATGCCCCCCAAAAAAGATTGCAAAAACACGGGAACTAAGACATACGTAACATTAAAATCAACATAATACACAACAAGAATCGGAATAGCCGACAATGCGGGCATAAAAAGCTTATATCTCCAACGTATATCAAAAAGATCATCAGCAATTCCTAAAAGAACCATGCTTTGAAGAGACAAAATAGCAGACAAGTATTCTCCCAACTAACCAGAATAAATGTTAAAATCTAAAAGAGCCTTATATAAACCTTATTATGAGGAAATAGTTGATATTTTTCTCCATCTTTCAATAATTCATATGTATCTTTACCACTTCCAAAAGAAATAAAATACTTATAAAATGAGAAGGGAATAAACAAAAACATAGAAAAAATATAAATAACAGAACACACAATGCCCATGGCTTCAGCTCTATATAAATTAACAATGCTTCTCAACTCTTACTGATACTTCTACCGCAAAGGATTTCCTGGCTTATTTAAATCTTTTCCATGAAATCCTGCTTTAATAAAAAATGGAGAAAGCACTGGAATTATCTTAAATGTAATAAAACCAGATACAATTGAAAATTCAAGAGAAACAACCAGTGGATGTTCATTCTTATTTATCATATAATCCACTACAGCCACACAGATTGTAAATAAAAATGAATTCAAAAGCCATCCCATATAAATATATGATTATTTAAAAGATATTTTAACAGATACTTAAGAAAATTAGTCAAAAATATACTTTAATAATTGATATTTCATACATTTTTACTTTAAAAAAGCAGTTTTTTTAACATCGCGATAATCAAAATCCAAACTTCAAGATTTTTTTAAAAAAAAGATGTAAGTAAAAACAATTTTATATGATATAATATGATATATAATATATAAAAACAGTATCATTTTGAGATAATATTAAGATAAATCTTTTTTTTCCGAAAAAAATTACTCAATGGAATGGAAAACCATTAAAACAACCCACGAAGATCTTATTCATGATGTTACTTATGGTATTTAAAGACAATTATGAGAAATAACATATGAATATACATCTAAAATGATGAAGATTACTATGGGAGGAGAATAGCTACATGTTCTTCTGATTTACGAGTAAAGATATTTGATTATGATGACGTTACAGGAGAATGGCAAGAAAATGATTCATGGAAGTCAGCAGATGCACCGATTCTTAAAGTTATATGGGCAAATCCACAAGGCAATTACATCTTTTGAAAATGTAGCTTCTGATATCCTTGACAGTGGGCCAAGTTATAGCTACATGCTCTATAGATCGAACTGTAAGAATCTTTGAAGAACAAGAGCATGGTTTTTTGCAAAGATTTCTATTTTTAATGATTTAACAAAATGAATAGAGCCTAAAAATTCAGGAAAACGTTGGGCTGAAAAAGCACGTCTTGTAGATTCACGAGGAGCAGTTTTGGATATATGGTTTGCACCTATTCATTATGGACTTAAATTAGCATCTATATCAGCAGATGCAGTTATTCGTATATACGAAGCGCTTTCTCCAAACGATTTATCGCAGTGGACATTGATGGATGATATTTTGCTTTTACCAAACCCTCCTCCACGAGATACTGAAAGTTCTTTTTGTCTAACATGGTGTCCATCTCGATGGGACGATCAGCAATTGCTAGTTGGTGCAATGAACACTGTTAGCATTTACAGACAGAATTCGAATAACAAATGGAAAGCAGAAGAGTCTTTAGATGGACATACTGATTTAGTTCGTGATGTTGCTTGGGGAGCTAATATGGGAAGATCATACCATATTATTGCTACAGCTTGTAAAGATGGACACGTACGGATTTTTAAATTAACAAAAAAGCCATCTTGTATTTCTAACAATGATGTTTTATACAACTCAGATTCTACGCAAGGAACAAAGGGTTATATAATAGAGCTAGTTGGTGATTTTGACGATCATATGGCACAAGTATGGAGAGTAAGTTTTAACGTAACAGGCACAATATTATCAAGTGCAGGTGATGATGGAAGAGTAAGATTATGGAAAGCAAATTATGCTGGGGATTATCAATGTTTAAGTGTAATTTCTATGGAAAAGAATCAAAAAGATGTTATCGTTGAAGATTAGAAACATGAGCATTTTAATATATTAATTCCTTAAAAACATTCTAAACAAAATAACTGGAATTAAGAAAAAACTTTATTATAAATCCATACCCCAGAATGTACAAAAGAATGTATTATATTAGACCAAGTGTTGAATCCCATCTCAATCATATTAAGTACTCTATTGAGTTCATACAAAGCAAATGTAATGACAAACAATATCCACATATAGACAAACCATCTTATTATATTAGGTATATAAAATGTTAACCATAGCTTAATACAGTAACTAGAAGGGTATAACTTTTTTGGCAAATATAAATCTTTTTTTTGATCATTTTCAATTAATTTTAAAGAATTGCAACACGTTTTGTTTAACAATAAACCATATTTATTTTTATGTTTAGCATTTTGACTAAGATAATGCCGATTTGAAAAAAATTGATCAGAATCTCTTTGTTTCAATGCTAATAAGAAAAACAAGTAATCCTTCATTAATTTCTTAGAAAAAAAAAACTCATTCTTTATCCCAGAACACTCAGAACGCACTATATCTGTTGAAATATTAAAAGATGAACCTGATATCCTGTTCATAAAAAAAAGAGATTTTTTGAAAGATTTAGCAAAAAAATCCAAAACAGAAAACTTCTTCAAACGAAGAATATCTTCAGAGGCATAAGTCTCCTTATTAGAAACCTTATTCTTCTTATTTTTCAGCAAATTTCTGATCCATCCTTTTTTATTAAATCTATTTTGTAAATCTTGAGATTTACATGTTTGTTCTGCAAAACACTCTGTATTTACATTGTGCTTCAAATAATGAGAAGATATCATTCGGTTTTAAGAAATAAAGTGTTATTTGTTAGTTATTTTAATGGTTTTTACATTTTAAAGTTTTTTTAACTAAAAGCGAACATTAATATACTGATAAACGAGAAAACCAGCCATTTCTAATATATTTAAAAAAATATTTGAACATTAAACTATTAAAATATAAATCAATTTATTATATTATAAAATAAAAAACATAAGGATATTAATAAGGATATTAAAAGTACTTTAAGTACTTGATATAATTGAATTATTTTTCGTAATAACTTATAAAATTATACAGGACCAAACATTTGATTATATAATACAGGGAAATTTCGGCGAAGAACCTCTCTATCCTCAGACACTCCTACAAAAAGCGCAGCAACTCCAGATCGAATAGCAATTACTACTGTATTACATATATGAAAGCTGATGAAGAAAGAAACAAATATAACAACTAAATTGTAAGAACCTTCGCTGTTATATTGAGGATTAGTGAATTTCAAGTAAAGGAAGGACAGGAATGCTGAAATGCAGGCAACGAAAAGAGACCCACTTCAAAATTATAAGAATCTTACCAAAAAAGAAAAAACTTACAAGGATAGTACGTTGTCAATTAAGCAATCATTAATAAGGGCTGTAATTCCATTACGCTTAAACATCATCCATGTACTAAAATAAATTAATATGGAAGCTTAAGTGAGAAAAATTACTCTTTTGCAGCTTTCAAATATTTTTTACCATAAAGAGCAATTTGAGCATAACCTAAAGACAATCAATACAACTAATAATAATATGAAAAGCGATACAATAATGGTTAAAATACTGAATTAGCCAATCCAACAGTGAAACGATACATGAAGCAAAGCATGAAATTATCGTGCCTAAAATATCTCCTGAAGAAGATCTATCATACATCATTGATTCAAATATATCCCTTAGTATTTGAATAATAGAGGCTAATAAAGAACCAAAACAAACACTTCCAAAAGAATATGTTATAGTACGCCTAAAAGAAGAAATAGCGGCATGTTTTGGGATTCCCTCAGGAGTGTTGTATCCGTAATAATAAGATCCATATATACCACAAATAGTAGTATGAATAACATTTTTAATAACCTCTGCTGTCCAATAGGCATTGAAAACTAAAAATCATTAGAAACGTCTATGAAAATAAACTGCAACAACGTACATAGAACAAGCATGACTATTCCGAGATACTTAGAATCGCATCCATCTCCATTATCAAGACATGTAGGCTTTCTTTCCCCATTAAGTGAAAAATCCGAATATTTAAAAATGGCAGCAAGGAAAGTAACAAAAAACCTAAAAAAATGAATACTAATACACAAAATTTTAAAATAACCATGCAAAAAAGCCTACAGATGCAACTACTCCACAAAAACTAACAAAATATACACTAGTATAATATTTTGATACATCCATAGTAAATTGCAGATACGAAGTCGCTAAAGGAATGCGTGATCTCCAAGTATAAAAGCAAAATGCATAAAAAGCTGTGAATACCAGAAACACTAAACCCAAATTTAAAATTCTATCATTCAATAATATATACAACATACATACTGAGATCATATACAATCCTCTAATCAAGTAATACACACTAATTAACACACTTATCGCCTTCATCAAATTAGTATCTATACCATAAATCTATTATATTACAATGTGAATAATCCCTGTTGCCCATATAAATTGCTTTGTATAAATACGTGCAAGCAAAAAATACAAAAAAGAAAGAGTAGCAGCAGATCCTATCATAAAAGAAAAAAGAAAAACCGTATTTCTATATATCCAAAGGTTATTGAACATTTGCATCAGAAAACCTCTGTAAGCTTACGCATTCAATGTAAACGCTTTAGAAGACCCCAAAAACTTATATGCCTTGAATTCATCTAAATACACCACTGTCAAAATCCCACATACTATACTTCTATTGCCTTATAGGCCTCTGATTTACCTGTATTAACAAAAGCCTTGATCGACACCGCTGAAATATAAATAAACCCTGAAAAAGTAATCAAAAACATAATTGCCGCCCATATCTATGAAAGAAACAGTCAGAACCTTCCAGATCATGATGTTTTCTTGAGTTTTACTCACATCTTTCCATTTTCCATCTATTTTATATTTTTCTGAAAACTCAATATTTCCTTCTTTTTCTCCCGCTGAAACTTGTGGAGGATACTGATTTCTATCATAATCATAGGTCATCCCTATTTCTTGCATTTTTGTTGTATTTCCATCCATTATTAAGCCTTTTTTCTATCAAATTATCAAAATTAATTTACGTTGGTTATCGTTGGTCATAAACATCGATTTTTTCTTAAAATACATTAAACGGCCAACATCGAAAGACAACGGCATCTCCGCACAAAGTATTAAACATATTTCAGAATGTAAGCGGGTGAATTTAGAGGGATATTAGAAGAAAAATGAAGAGAATTACATAAAAAATCAAAGGGGATACAGTAGAAAAAGTATTATTGTTTTTGAAGTATTTTTTTTCGAAGAAAAACGAGTATTTAACAGAGATTTTTTATCTAAAACAAATATATAAATATTTTGGAAAAAAGGGAAACAGAATGAAGAAAAAGAAGCATCAGAAAGCTCAGGAGGGAGATATAGAACCATTTAATCATGCACGTCGACTGGGATCAACACTTCCTCTGACAAGATTTCATCAACATATAGAAAAGCCATCATCTGAAATGATACCGTCTTTTACGCTGGGAGACATGATTTTATCACTGAAAGAAGGAAGTGATGAGAGTGCTAGAGCAACACTTCATGAAGCATTTGGAGATTGCTACAGTTATGAGAAATTCCAAGAGAACAACTCTGACAAAATGGATGAAGTAGATAGTGATGTATGTATGAGTAGTGAAGGGGAATACAGGTATGAGAGTAGCTCTTATGGGAAAAATTGGGAGTTTTCGGTCTCTAGAAGTCTTAAACAACAAAAGCATCCGAAGCTTCAGTCTCACAATAACAAAGCATCATTTAGTCACAAAGAAAATACAAATCTTTCGCATCCAGTTATTTCAAACGGTGTATTGTTGCCTAATCATCATCCTCATGTTGTTAATGCATGTGTCTCGGAAGAAATTGTTTGTAAAGATTTCTCTTTTAGTAAAAAAACATCAAAAAAGCATTTATCATCATTGGTTGCAAAGTTTCATAGTTCTTTGAAAGAAAAAGATTTTCTTAGTGTTTCGGAAAGAAAAGAAAAAAAAAATAAAGTTTATATACCAAAAATATGTGAAGATAAAGTTATTGATAATGAGTTATTATCTGATTCAGATCTTTATGATAATGATGACGGTATATTTCATTTTGATAAAGAATATTCATCTTCTTTGCAGTCTATTAAAGGATTGAATGAAAAAAATAGAAGAAATACGATTGATAAAATCAAATCAGATGTCGAAGACGAAAAAACATGTACTATTATTATTGAAGAAAAAAATCCTCGAATATCTACTTGTTCTAAAATAGAAGTTTCTCCATATAGTGATAATGAAGAAGACTTATTTTTAACGGAAGATTTTCAAGATGAAAATCCTTATATACCATTATTTAAAACACAATCATATGAAAGATATAGTTCATCTGATGATATTTGGAACTGCTATAGTTCATCATTTGCATCATTTGTTTCTGATGCAAATGATATAACAGATATAGACCGAGTTCCAAATAAATATTTTTTTCACAATGATCCTAGCATATCAGATCAAAAAGGCGATACAACAGATGAAGATCAGAATTTTATAATGAAAAAAATTACTCAAAAAAAACAAAATGAATGTAATGCACCTAATGATGCCACAGAAAAAGAAATTTCATGTTTTGTAGAAGTTACTAACTGCACTTTACCTTCTCATGATCCTAAAACATCTATATTAACTAAGGAAAATAATTTAGAACCAAATCATGTTTTTACAACTGCATCTTCAACAATCTCAAAATCCACAACTCCTAACATAATAAATAAACCTCCATTATTGGGAACTTGGACTCGTGATTTAAGAAGGCCAATGGGTATTATTGATGGTACCTGCACTAATATAATCGATCCAACAACATCACCCTGTACTATCTTATCACCAGAATCAACTAATTTTTCTCCTTCATCTATTCCAAGTTTAAATGATATATTGGATACATCTGCATTTGTTCAGCTTTCGTCTTCAAACTCTTCTTCATCTTCTATTACTAAAAGTTATTTGTCAGATTTTTATCGCTGGGATAGAATTCCTATAGGGACATTTCGTCGTCATCAACAAAGATTTACAAATACACGTGAAGAACTTATAAAAGGAGAATGGTATGTACTAACAAGTAAATCAAGACGACAACAAAGCAATGTTCCAATTTTGGGGACTACTATTTGTCGCAAGAAAAAAAGACTACGAAAACAAAAATATAAAAATAAATTAAAAAACAACATTGAATTATTTGAAGAAGAAGAAGAAATCGGAAAAGAACAATGTGGTCTTGGTCTTGGCCCACAACTAAGCCCTCTTTTTAACGGATTATCTTGATTTTTTGAACACTATTCCATTTTTTGTACGGAAATATATTTAAAACATTTTATACATATATATGTATCTTTTAAAAATACATTTGGCTGCTTTTAAAAGATTTTGGTTTTTTATCAAAAAGGTGTATCTAAAATCAGAATTTTAATCAAAATATTTCAATATAAATACATAAAGTTTATTCTTTGCATAAAATTTAAAATGTATCGCATTTTGATGCTTTAATACATATTATATGTTATTTAAATCTTTTTTGATTTATTATTATCGTAAAACTTTTTAAGTCATTTAAAATTGTTTTTTTTAGATTATATTTTTATAATTAATTCACCAAAACTTTTATCTATACTAAGATGAAATTAAGAAAACTAAAAAGCAAAATACGATTTAAATACTTTTTCCGAATATTAAACATTTTTTAAGCTATTCAAAAGACGATAGTTTAATAATTGAAAAATAATAAAACTCATTTATACTTTAAGAAATATATTACAAAAATTTATCTAAAAATATCAGAAAGACAATCATACACCTTATGAATTAAATAAATTTAATGAAATAAAATAAAAAATTAATGTTTTTTTCTAGAAAACATAAAATTCAGATTCAGAAAAAAACAAAATATAAAAATATAAAGGCTTATTCTCTAGGTTTTGAAAATTCACACTAACATCAAAATCAAATAAAGTCATAAAATTGAATTTAGCAAACCCTCATTATTAAATTATCATATCCATATTTATCCATTTTTTCAATAGCTCTCGCAGCATCCGTTCTATCATAATAACTAATAAATGCAAAACCCTTTCCTCGCCCAGTATCCTTATCCTTAGCTAAATAAAGTCTAGAAATCCTTCCAAATCTTTCAAATAATTCACGAATATCTTCTTCATGAGCATCTTCAGAAACATTTGTAACCCTAACTGTAAAATGTTCATCTCTTTCGCGCCGAAACATAGAATCTCCAGGACCAGGTCTCTTTGTTCTTAAATGAGGAACAATATATCGTCCAGTCGTTTCTGTGCTAAGCTCAGGTGATCCCATAGATCCATTTGAAATGCCCACATTTGCTACATTATTCATCTCATCAAAAGGCTGAAGAGTATCTTTGTAAGGACAACGTGCAGTAAAATGATCTCCTTTACATAGACGACATGCCACTTTTTTATCTTTAAGTGGGTCTTTTACTATCTTATTAACCAACCGATCTTCCTCAAAATTCTTAGAAAGATTCTGAAGACATAAGATGATTTATAAAGAATAAAAACTAAATAAACCTTTGTCCATCCTACATGAAACTTAAAGAGTATATCTTCACCAACACTAGTCGTGCTTGGATCTGGTCCAGGACCACGATCTTTTTCTACACCAAACTTCTTCCAATATCTACGTTCTTCAACTGAGGGATTATCTTTTTCTTTAACAACAATAAATTTAACTTTTTTTGTAACTTTAAACTTTTTTCCATCTTCAACATAATATTCAACAATTGTTTTAATTTCTTCAGATCCATCAGCAATATTTGGAGACGTAATTAACTCTACAAAGCCACAGTCATTAAGTTTTCTATTTAAAAGCATCAAATACCAGAATATTCATCATCTGCCCAATCTAATGGTTTTTGTTGAGCTCTAAAGACAAAATCAGTCTTTTTTGTTGAAAAAAAAAAACAAAATCATATAACTTACACTGATAAATCCAATATTGACATGAAATTGATTTATTTTAATAAAAATAAGACTTATTTTTTTATTTTTTAATTTTTAAAAGTTGAAATAATGTCGTATTCTTGAAAAATTAACTATTCATCTTACGCAATTTACTATTTTATTTAAATATAGGAAAAAAATAATCTTTAACATTGTATAATTTATAATCTAATTTAAATACTTTAAAAATGATATTAAAATATTATAAATGACATTTTTAAAACTTTTTCAAAACACAAAACAATCTTCTGAAAAGACAATTTTAAACTATTAATAAACTTAAAATAGCTTTTACAAGGCTTTAAAAATATTATTACAAAGAAATCAATATTCCTATCTATATAAACAGATAAAATATAACAAAATACTAAAAAAAATAACTACCAAAATAAAATTATTAGAACTATATAGAAATATAAAAATAATTTAAGATGTTTCATAAGCTATAGCAATTTCTTTTTGATATTTAATTTGAATTTTCTTTCTTTGAAATTTCTGTGCAGCTGTTAATAGTTCCTAAAAGATAAGTAAAAAATAAAAAAAAAACATAAAAAACATACATTTTGGACACTAAAGTCTTCATCAATAAGAACTATATTCTGAAGTAACTCAATTTTAGCAAAATTATTTTGTTTTCCTAATTTTAATAACTCATTTAAAATGGCATGCCGAACCTCTTTATTTTGACAAAGTTCGTATAAAGTACCATCTTCAAATAAAATTTGTTTACTTTCAAGATACCTCCTAAGAGGAAGCTCAGAAGGAACAACAATAGCTACAGGTCTAACATGTTCCGGATCCGCGTAAACACAAATATTACTAATTATATCACAAGAACGATATACAGACTCCAACTTCCAGAAATTAGTAAAGCATCCCTAGATAAAAAAACTCAACATACTTTCTCAAGAGCAATATATTCCCCATTTTGTGTTTTTACTAGATTCTTTTTCCGATCAATTATCCGAAGCAATCCATTCTCTGTCCATTCACCAATATCTCCTGTTTTAAACCAACCACCATCTGCATATGCCTCTTTATTCTCTTGATCCCGATTATAATAACCTTGAGACACAGGCCCACCACGAATCCATATTTCTCCTTGTTGCGGAGAGGAATTTGTAAAATACCCGGCATCGGGAACATCGACAAGCTTAACTTCAACATTTGGTGATATAGATCCAACGGTTCCTAAACAAAATTGTTCAGGAGTCATAATTGTACAAGTTCTAAATAATTATTAAATAATTTACAAACAAAAATTATATAAACATACGCAGATGTTTCAGTAAGACCATAGCCAGTATACATAGGACAAAGAACAGTGCTTAAAAATTTTTGAGTATCCAGCGAAATAGAAGCACCACCATTAAAAATAACTCGAATACGACCACCCATGGCAGCACGTATGTGTTTAAAAACGAGAATATCAAAAATTTTGGTGCCCAGAAAACGATGCAATAAGAGACAAGATTTTATCTTATATGAAAACCAAAAAAGAGACCGCCTTAATTTTGAAACAGAATTTAATTTTTGAACTATGCCTTTCCGTACATTTTCCCAAACAGTAGGTACTCTAATTCAAATGAACAAAAAATTAAAAGAGAAAACAAAATATACCCTGTCATTACTGAAGGTTTAAATGTCTGAATATCACCCTTACAATTTCGACAATTGAGATCACTTAAAGTCTTTACAGTGCCATACCCAATAGTAATCCCATGATAAACACAAAACATTTCAAAAACAAACTCATAAATGTGTGCAAGCGGTAGATAAGATAACACAGTATCATCTTGAGTTAAATATGGACCAAACCCAGAAGTTATTCCTGAGACTTTTATTTTTAATATAAAATATCACATATAAAGATTTAAAAACCTGAAGCCACTACATTAGCGTGAGTTATAATAACCCCTTTAGGAGAATTTGTTGATCCAGATGTATACATAATGCATAAAAAATCATTTGGTGAAGGAAAAACAGGATCTACTGGATTCTCTTTGCCAAGATACTCTATCTCTTCATAAGAAACAAGAGTTATGTAACTAAAATCTTTCTTAATATGATTGATAATTTCATTATCTGGCTCCCCATAATATATTATGACTTTCAAAGTAATAATACTCTCTAAAGAATTAACAAAATTCGAAAGAAGTTTAGCATCACAGAATATTCCTTTGACTCCAGTTTCAATAAAAGACGGAACAAGACCACTTCTAAGAGTATCATATGCTGCAACAATCGTTAAAGATTGAGTAATGCAAGCTTTTACAAAAATAAGTATAAAATATCAACAAAAAATACATACAGAATGCCATAATAAGCCACTCCGCACTAAAAATCAAAAAATGCATAAAAAATACTCTTCCTACCTGGTTGCTGCATACATTGCCATTCTATCATTTTTACCAAGCCCTAATGCCCGAAGCCCTGATCCCATAACATGTGCTTTTCTATCAAGTTCTTTAAAATTAATATACTCATAATCACTAAGCTCATAATATGTCCAATCCTTCATCTCCTTCTCTTCTTTCCCATCAACAATCCTTATAAATACTTTTTCTTCAACATGAAGTTTAATCACTTTACGTGTTCCCAAAGCTCTTTTTGTCCCATAATCCTCTGATGCTTTCTTTAATATATCATAAACTGTATTAATCTTATCTGACGGCTTAATAATAAGGTTATTCATAGAAAGTACAGATCGTCTAATTCGACTTTCTCCTTGAACCGTCTCTGTACTATATTCTGTTGCAAAAAAACTTCAAACACTTATATTTAAATAAAAATTAAATATTTACCTTTAGAAAATACTTTTTTCATGTTCTTTTCTGCCTTAATTATCTTAAACTATTTATTTATATTTTATTTGTCTTGAGATTTCCTCAAGGATGGAGAACGGTAATCGTCAACCTTATTTTTATATTAATATTCCGTTTTTTTTTTTCAAAAGAAAGAATGATTTTAATTAAGTAAAAACAAATAAATATAAGAAATTTTAAAGGTTTTTCCATACTATTGGAGTTATTTTTTTTCAGATTTCAAAATACTCAAAAAACAGCTAAAATCAAAAAAAACTAAAAGCTCAAATATTTTGAAAAAACTATAGGAATATGAGAAGTGAATATTAGAGAAACATGTATGTACAGTAAGCAGGAGTTTAGAGATGGCGAGAATGTGGTGAAAAAAAAAAATTTTTAGTGGATTTTGATGCAAATAGTTGATTTTCAGAAATACCTGTTTACTTAAGAGTACATGTTTTGTATTTCATCTGATCACCACAGTTTTATTAATTTAGACGCTATTTATGAGGATATTATTAAAAAACAAGAAGAAAAATTGCCTGAATGGAAAAAACGAAAAATTGAGATCCGTAAAGAAGCAATTATTGTGCGTTTTAAAATGAAATTAGAAATTCTTAATGATGCATCATGGAAACGATTTGTTGAAGAATCAGGAGATTTATTAAAATCACTGGAATCTTATATTCTCTTCACCTTAGACGAGTCATTATTGTATTTAATAAATTATGAATCAAAATCGGTTCTTGCGATTTATGTTTGTTCTGAAAAAAATTTAGAAATACTTATGCCGATTTATGAACTGATTTCGGGAATAAGATCATCACAAAATGAATCATATGGGAAATTAATTAAACATTATTTTCAAACATATGAAACATTACAATTTATAGAGTCGGAAAATAAATGGTATTTTGTTGTAAAATTATCTATATCTATGAGATATGAAGACAATTTTTCTATTGAAAATTCAAAAATTCTTCAAAAACGCACAACATACGGCAAAAATTTAGTTTCAGAACTTATGCATTACGCCTTTCCATGTACACCAAAATCCCAAAATTCTATTAATCCTGCACTCTTTTATGATAATATTCATGGTGTGCCAGAATCAGAAACATCTGTTTCTATTTCCCCTCATGAAATAAATGCAAATTTATTGCCATTTCAGAAAAAAGCACTTGGATGGATGCTTAAAAGAGAAAAACATCTACTTGATATGTCGGATTCAGTTAATAGCAGTATCCCTCCTACATGGGAAGTTTCTGTAGATGCAGATGGGAAACAAGTTTATTATAATAAAATTTATGGGATAATTTGTTCTAATATTACTGATGTTAAAAATACATTTAAAGATGTTAGTGGTGGAATTCTTGCTGATGTATTATTATTATTTATTTTAAAACAATTTTCTAAATATTTCAGGAAATGGGTCTTGGAAAAACAGTAGAAATGATTGCTTTAATTTTAAAGTAAAAGTTACAATATCAAAATTATAATCTGAACCATGTTTAGAAATAAGAGAGAAGAAATTCCTAAATATAAAGTTTTTGATCCATATGCTGAAAAACACGTTGTTGCATCAAAAACAACTTTGATTATTACACCATCTTCAATATTACAGCAATGGATAACAGAATTTTCAAAATTTGCTCCTCACTTAAAAATTTTACACTATTTTGGATTAAAGAATTCCCCATTAGAACCATCTATCGAATATTTGATAGAATATGACGTAATTATTACTAGTTACAATATATTAAGGTAAGATATTTGAAACATATACATATATATATAAATTATCAGTTCTGAAATACATCATACAAAATTAATGCCAGAAAGATCATTAAGACATAATAAAAAATATATTCCTAAACTTTCTCCTCTGGTACAAATACAATTTTGGAGGATATGTGTTGATGAGGCCCAAATGATTGAAACAGGGGTATCAAATGCTTCTCGTATATAACTTTTATATTTTTACTTAATATTAATTTTCATAGTTACTGCCCTTTGTATTCCTAGAGTACATGCATGGTGCATTACCGGGACTCCTGTACGTAATTCTCTTTCTGATTTATATGGGCTCTTAGTATTTTTACGTCTTTATCCTTTTAACTACAGTAAAATATGGAAACGTCTTATTAATGATTCAAGAAATACATCTGCTTTTATATCTTTATTTAGCTCGATAACTTGTCGTCATACTAAAAAATATATTGGAGATCAAATAGTATTTCCTAAGCAAGAAAAAACAATCTTATTATTAGATTTTACTCCTATTGAGGAACACAATTATTCTTTTTTGCTAAAACAAGCATTAGAAGATATTGGTTTTAATGATCAGAAAGATCCTATAAATCTTAATTGGAATTTTGATGATTTTAAAGATAAAATGAAACAATGGTTATTAAGATTAAGACAAACCTGTTGCCATATGCAGGTTGGCTCTATTAATAAAATGAATTTAGGTGATCAATTAATGATGCTTTCTGAGGGTATTTAAGTAAAATTTGTGAATTACTGTTAAAATTATTTAGCCTTAGATGCAATGATAAAAAAGTTTTGTGATACAAATGATAATAATGAAAGATTACTTTATACATCAAAATTTACTATTGGAAGACTTTATGAAGGGAAAAAAGAACCGCAAAAGGCGTTAGATATATGGCTTCCTATTCTAGAAATTACTCAAAATAAAATAAATATGCTAGAGCAAAAAATAGAAAAAATCAAACAAAACAATTCATTATATTTAAAAGACGATCTTCAAGAGTCTATTCACATGAAAAATGAAGATTCTGTCTGTAACTATAATAATGTTGAAGAAAAAAAAGCATCTATAAAATTTATACAAACTCATTTAAGACATTGGTTGAGTCTTGCTCATAGACTTACATTTTTTATTGGAACAGCATATTTTCAACTTGGAAACAAAGACAAAGAAGATGAATATTACAAAAAAGCAGAACAAATTCGAAGAGAAGTAATATGTCTTTGTTAAAAATGTTTTTATTCATAAAATTAGATTTTGTTAGAAACAGAAAGTAAAGCTATTTTTTTAATGAATAAACTATCAGAAAAGGCTAAAAATAATAAATTTACGAATATTCCTAAACTAAATATTTCAGAGTTTATAGAAAATATTCATTCAAATCATATTATTAAGTCTTTAGGAGATCTTATTAAAAAGTTAAATGATCAAACAGAAAAGATTACTGAATGGCGCCAAAAAGTAATAGATCTATCGCTTTCTGATTTAGTAGATCACAACAAAGAAGATATTAATGGAGAAGAATATATTAAATCATTAGATATTATGGAAGATGCATATCAATATCAAGTTTTTATATCTTCTATATGGTATTTATTTTAACAAGTATTTAGGAAGCCCTTCGTAGTGCTGTTGCTTCAAGGGTCGAGACTATAAGTATAAATAATATATTTTATAATATTTTGGACTAATTTTAAGCTGGACAAAAGAGTCTTCTTACTATAGTAGAAACACAAGCTCGTCTTGCTAGTAAACAAACACAACTAAAACTTCAATTAGCTATTGTTACAGAAGAATTACGACCAAAGTCTAATTTGTCTTTAAAGTCGATAATAAATAATTTACGTCTTCCAAAACAAATAAATGATATAAATGGAGGAAATAAAAAAATAAGTCAAGAGAAAGATTCTTCAAATTTAGAAGTATATTTTTTATCAGAATTTTTAAAAAGTCAAACAAAAATTAGTTTTAATTTAGAAAAGTAGATTTATATAAAACTTTAAAAGTAACTAAATATAATAGAGAAATATCTGACTTGTCATACGTGCATAATGCACGAATTGAATATTATCGTCAACTTCAAATTATTTCAGATTACGTAGCAGAATTAGATGAAACACTTCTTGAACCTCAAAATTATATAAAAAAAATGAATGAATTAAATGAAAAAATAAAAAATCTTGAATCTATTATATTTTCAAATCAAGGAAGTTTACGTTATTTAAAACATCTTCGTAAAACATCCCAAAATGCATCTGAAATGGATAAAACGTGTGTTATATGTCAGAATATATTTAATTTTGGTAAACAAATTTCATTGTTTTAAATTTATTTATAATTTTATTTAGGTATTTTAACAAAATGTGGTAATAAATATTTCAGAAAAATATTCTCAGATTTAATATATCTAGGACACATATTCTGTAAATCTTGTATAACACAATGGCTCTCAGAACACCGAACGTGTCCATCATGCAAAGTAATCTTAAATGATTTTATATTTATCATTCTAATTGTTATAGACTGAAACTAAAAGAAAAGATTGCTATAATATAGCATATAACGATTCTAAAATGAATAATAAATATGAAGAATCTAATGTTTATTTCTTAAATTATGAAGATTCAAAAGAAAAATGCAGTAAAATTAATAATGAAATGTTTTTAGAGATTAAGAACATAAAATTAAAAAAATCATATGGTGCTAAAGTTGATATGATTATTAAACATTTGTTGGTAAATTCGTCATTTAGTTAGAATTCTTAATAACAGCACATATAGTGGATACGTAAAAGAAATCCTAGTACTCCAAAATCAGTTATTTTTAGTCAATGGAAAGAAATGTTAGATATTTTGCAACATGCTTTTAATAATAATGGGATTAAATATACTAGACTTGATAAAATTACAGCAAACTATAAAAAAAAAACTATGGAAAATGATCCAGTTGAAAAGTTTAAAAACGATCATTCCGTACATTATCTGTAAAATTTAATTAACAATTTCTTATACTAGTCTAGATTGAAGTTTTTATGCTTCATGCTCGTTCACAATCAGCCGGACTTACATTGACAAATGCAACAAATGTCTTTTTATGTGTGATGCTATATATATTTATATTTTATTTAATTGCTTTTAGGTGAACCTCTAATTAACACTGCTATTGAATTGCAAGCTGTAAATCGTGTTCATAGAATTGGTCAAAATAAACAGGTATTAATATAAAATAGTTTGAACTATATTATTAAGTTTTTAGACATACGTTTGGTTATATGTAATAAAAGGAACAGTTGAGGAAAAAATAATAAAACTAGTAGAAGAAAAAAAGCAAAATTTTACTAAAATACATAGCAATATATTAGATTCTTCTTACAATGTTTCTAATTTTAATAACTTAGTTGAAAAAGAATTACAAAAAAATATCCATAAACTTGTAAATACTACTGGCGAGATTATAGAAAACGATATTTTACTTTATCTTTGGGGAAAATAATAACTAATATTTTTCAAATATTTGCTAAAACATAATTTTTATACAACAAATTATAATCTAAAATAATCACTATTTTAATAACCTTTTTCATAAAATCAACCATCTAATCATTCTATTATTTTTTAAAAATATTTTCAAAATTTTATTCAATAAAATTGCTTAATATAAATCCATTAACATGGAAATATAATTAAATTTTTAGTAAAACTAAAATAAAAATTTAGCAAAATATCTAACAAAAGTAGATAAAAATACTATTTTGAAAATACATTAAATACATTGTGATTCAGAGACAACGATGTTGATTGCTTTAGCAACATATTCCACGTTATCAGATCTAATTTATAAGATATTTTTTTATTAATAATTATACAAACTTACCTTAATCCAGACATAGAAATTCTTCCAGTATAGAGTATATAAATATGAAATTCATCCATTAAACGCTGAATATGTTTCTTATTTAAACCTGTATATGAAAACATTCCTTTCTATGAGAATTAGCATATATAACTAAAAGTTAATATATTAACCTGATTTATTATATGTTCCCATGAACCCGGGGTACCAAGTCTTGTCAAATTATCATACAATAACATCCTCATTCTCTTAATCCTGGACGACATTTCCAAAAGATTGTTTTTCCATTCTTGAGTAAGTTGTTCATCATTTAAAATTAAAGAAACAATTTTTGCTCCATAAGAAGGAGGTGACTAATTATTATTATTAAAAGGAAAAAGAATATATGTATATACTGATATCTCACTCCTTTGCAATATAGATAATTGACTAGATATATTTTTTGCCACATCAGGTGATTTAGTTACTATATGAAGACAACCACACCGTTCACCATATAAGCCAAAATTTTTAGCAAACGATTGACACACACAAAACTCTAGTCCTTTACTAGCAAAATAACGAACAGGCCATGCATCTTCATCCACATTTCCTGATACAAACCCTTGATACGCAAAATCAAAAAAGGGAAATAAGTTTTTTTCCTACAAAATCAGATAATTGACAAGAATATATACTTAACTAAATACTTGTATCACATCACATATTTTTATCCATTGTTCATATGTTGGATCAACTCCAGTTGGGTTATGAGCTGAAACATGAAGAAGAATAATACTTTTTTCAGGTGCTTGTTGTATAGTAGATATCATGTTTTCAAAATCAATACCTAATGTCGAATTGTCAAAGTAGGGATATTCTACAATAGGGACTCCAACACAAGTCCAAATTCGTTTATGATTGACTATTTAAAGTTAAAATAATAATAAATAGTAGTACAAATTAATACTCCATGTAGGTTTACTAAGATAACAAACAGTACCTTTATTAAATAAAGACATAAAAAGAGCACCCATATGATTTGCGCCTGTTCCAGAAACTGTTTGAATTGATGATACCTTTATATCATTATTATTTCATAAAACTCAACCAATAAAATAATACACAGCCATTGTGAATCAAAGATGAATCTTCCCCAAAAATTAACTTTTTTGATGCTTCAATGAATGAAGGCAATCCTTCAATATCAAGATATTCATGATTATAATTTGGATCAGCTAATAATTTAGATTCTGCCTAATTTTATCAAAAAAAAATATTATTTTAATGAAAAATAACTATTTTAACTGATGAAAGAACCCATGGTTTTCCACAATCATCTCTATATGCCCCAATTCCTAAGTCCACTTTTTTTTCAGATTTATCTTCTTTATATAGCCTTTTTAATTCAAACAAGACATCTCGTTCTATAAATGGGACGTCCTTAAATAATGACTGCATCTTGGTATTATATAAATATTAAACAAGTCTCTTTTAAAATCCTTTAAATATGATATATTTCTTAAATTTTTTACTGAAAAATTAATATCATCAGTTAATAAAATTTTAAGTTTTTTAAAAGTATATATCAATAAATTTAAAATGATTTGAAATCAAAAAATTATAATACAATTAAGATTGAAATTTGAAGAACTTTAAACTTAAAAATTAATTTATAGAAAAAAAATAAAATTTATAATATATATAATTTGTTATGACAAAAAAAGATTATACATTTATTTCCTTTTATTAAAAATATTGTATTTCTTGAATATTGTAACATATTTTGATGTAAAAAATATAAATATTTTTTAAATTAATAACATTTAATTATATTGTAAATACTAAAATTTTTAAGTAGATAAATAAAGATAAAAGGAGAAATATAGATAAGAATAATTTTTATTATTAAATACAAGAACTGAGCAAAATATCATAATTTGATGCTAGAAAAAATATTTTTTTATCTTTTAAAAAACTCCCTAAAAATTTTACTTTACTTGTTTATTATTTTACATAAAAAAGATATATTTATAAAATATTTAGCTTTCTTTCGTTTATAACGTCTCTAAAATTACTTTATACATCAAAATAAAAAAACATTAGCAATAAATATAACTTAGACACTTAGTCATTTCATACAAAATATATAAAAAATAGAATGTTTTAAGGTAAAAGAAACCAAAAGAAACACATTATCTATTAATTATATTTATTTACATTACCAAATCTATATCAAATCATACAAAAAATTTTAATGAAAAAAGGCAAGAAAAATATAGACTTATATCAATTGATATGAATCTATCAAATATATAACATAAACATCAGCACTTAATTTAATCAAATATAATACTTTTAAAAAAGTCATTAAATATCGTCAAACAAATAGTCAGATATATTAAAAAAAAAGTTTTATATATGGTTAATGAAACAATTCAGTATTCAATCGTATATTTATGTAAAAACAAATGCTATTAGTTGTAGATATTAATGTTTAAGTAGATTAAGAATAATACATCTTTTTTTGATATTAAATTTTTTCCACAGAAAAACAGACAAAATGAAGATATTTTTGCAATTACAGGAAACAGAACAGTAATTTACTTTTTTATTGATTCTTTTTAATATACAAAGGTTGTCATAGCAAAAACAGACGGAAATCAGATATCTATTTTATCTACATATTATGATTTAAATGTATATATTAAGTTTGATAATATTTTTTTATTTAAAATAACATTAGGAAAAAGAAAATTTATGTTGTTGCACATGGTCTATAGAAAAAAATACAAACAAGCCTTTACTATGCGTAGCAGGTGCATCTGGCGTAATCAAAGTAATAGATATATATTCTGGCAAAATATTAAAGGTAAAGAAATTGAAAAAATTAAATAATATAAGCATATTAATTTTTGAAGTCATTAAAAGGACATGGTGATGTAATAAGCCTTTATATTTATAGTTTATATACTTAATTACTAGGAAATTTTAGATATTAAGGTATCTCCAGTAAATTCATCAGTCATTGCAACTGCATCTTTTGATCACACTGTACGCATATGGTCACTCATGGAAGAGAATACTATTCAACCTACATTGGTATTGTGTGGAGGAGAAGGAGGACATGAAGAACGTGTTTTAACTATTGTATTATATTTTTATCAAAATTACTTTCTCATTTTCTATAGGCATTTCACCATTCAGCACAATACATAGTTTCTGGAGGAATGGATAACTCTGTAAGAATGTGGGCAATCCCCAATTTTTCAGAAACAAATACGTCAAAAATATCTTATAAAAGTAAGGATAATATGATTTCTTTACCATATCCAGTAAAAAAAACATACGCCTAGAAAAAGGATTAACAAATATCAGCATTTTTCTACTACAGCAATACATACAAATTACGTAGACTGTGTAGAATTTTATGGGGATCTTATTTTTTCCAAGTCAGCAGAAGAAGGCAGAATTATCCTTTGGAAAATTCTCGGATTTGATAGCAATAAAGATCCGCCTCCTCTAGAATACGCACCAACAGCTCATGAGTGGTCAGAAACAAGAAGTTCGTTTGGAAATGGACTTCAAAAGCTATTACAATTTATGGTTTTGGATTGCAATCCATGGTACATGCGATTTGCCATATGGAATTCATATATAGGAGGTCATTTTCAAACATTTTTAGCAATTGGAAATCTTAAAGCAAAAATATTTATATGGGACATATCAGAAAATCTTAAATACAAGGACGCTTATACACTTATTAAACCTCATATTATATTAGCTATTCCCAAAAACTCTATAACTGTTCGACAACTCTCAATCAATCAAGATGGAACTTGTTTAATAGCAGTCGGAAGCATGGGGTTAATTGCCTTATTTAAAATTCAGGAATAAACATTATGCATACGAATTCCTGCATATTCATTAAAAGCATCTTTAAAAATTCATTTTTATGTTCATATAAAAAAAATTACACATGGAGCTAATCATAATTTTGACTCAAAAATTCACTGATAATTATTGTACTTTTTTGAAGGAATATCAAAACATTGAAAAACGAGTTTTTTTCTAAATTACAGCAATAAAAGTATGTTTTTATTTAAAAATTATTTTACATTTGATCTATTATATTTAAAAAATAGTTCAACAAAAAATAATCAAAACATCACAAAATATCCTTGAATACTAAAACTAACATTTTACAATAGAATCTAATATTTTGTTTAATTTAAAAATATAAAATCTCCATTTTCAAACATTTTATCATTTTCATGATTATACATAATTATACAAGAACATAATAAAAGATTATAACAAATTCCATTGAAAATACAAAAGCATACTTCATTAACCAATTTTTTATATATTTTTCTCTAAATCTCTAAGATTCATAACTTTCATTTAACCGAAAACCAACTTCTAAACTTTAAAAAAAGTTTTTTTTAATAAAAACATTCAGAAAGACAAATTATTGTCTATCTCATGATACTGAATTGTCTACTCATATCAAGGACTAGGCATCTTTATAAAATTGGATTCCGTAGTATTTCAGTTTGTTTTTTGTATATTTTTAATACTTTTTCTAACTTTATAGACATCAGAAAAAAAAGGCATATTAGGTTTTAAAACAGATCAAACTCTTAAAAAATATTTAAATAGCATTACATTTAACGGGTTTTTATACTTCTTTTTATTGCAACATCTTATTCTTAAGCAGGTTTACTTCATTATTGATCTGGGGAGGCACAGCTGCCTTAGGAAGTACATCTAATGCAATATACAACATACAAACAATGTTAATTTATCTATAGCACTTCTTTTTTCCCAAGGGATTCCACGTGTACGCAATCAAATCCATCAGGCATCTTTTCAATATTTTTTCACTTTTTTTGCTCATTTTTTCAGCAATTACCTATCTTTGGATCATCTTTTGATACAGAAGTTGATACTTCTGACTCATAACTTCGATTATACGTCTAGGTTTTTGATTTCTTGTTTTTACTATTTTGCTAAACACAATATTAGTTTTTTTTCCACAATCCTTTTCATACAACCATTAACATTAGCTAATTTCGAGCAAACTAGCACCATTTAATTTATTGATAAACTTATTTTGGGTCAATTACATTTTTTAACATTTTATTAATACAGAACATTTGTTATAAATTATTGTTACTGTATTTTTTGTATCTTATTCAACTAAATTAATTTTTACACTATCAACTCTGTCGGTTTACCAGTAATGCCACCACGGACCAAACACACTGAGCCAGAGCAACGATTAGAAGTACAGGACCGTTCAAGTTCTCGTCAAAAACGACTTCCAGGTGATAGACTAGAAGGTTATACCGTACGTGAAACAACACCAGCAAGTACTTGTTTTGTTCTAGAAAAAAACACTAAATAGTATAGATGTTTGATGTTAGTACACTCCCTATTGTTGCTCTTCGGCGATATCGGAATGTATATAAATTACAGGCATCCGGAGGAGATCGTCCAGGCGATATTGCACTTTTATCCGGGGGAGATGCACTGAAAAATGCCGTACGGAAGCATTTTAATGCTTTGCCAGTCAAAGAATATGATATGATTGTACAATTTTTGTATACAGTAAAGAATAAAGGTCGTAACATAAAAAAGATGTGCAAATGCTGATAAAACAAATAGACAAAGTTTTTCGGAGATACTTTCATGATGAAGTGATATAATACAATAAATAAATATTATTGAGGAATAGTTAGGGATGAATTGACATAGCTTTTAACAAATTACATACATAACACATGATATTTATATAATGTTTTTTCTTTTATTTTTCAGAAAACCTATATTTTATATTTTTCATATCCAAAATAAATATTAACAAGCGTAAGAGTAGTCAAACAACGACTGCTTAACCAACTGGTTTTGCTCCCATTAAAATATTTTTATATATAAATGCATTTTTTGTAACTCAAGAATCGTTAGAATACTGTAGTTTCCGAAACGTTCTTTTAAAAAAACCCTCTTGAGACTTTTTATCAGATTCTGTCTTTTGGTCTGCCCTAAAAAACTTAATCGACATAAAGACATAAAGCACTTCTTTACTGCGAGTTATCCTTTTTTGCAGTATGATCACCCATTGATGCAGCAAGTTGTTCAAGCAGTGTTCGTTCATAAGGAGATAATATTCTAAAATCATTAAGAAATAAATACGGAAAAACATATTATACTTTGGTATAGTGACTTTAAAATCATATTTTATATCTCCTTTCATGCCATTACTGTGCAAACGCTCTATACCCTTTCCATTCATAACGATTACATCACCTGTTGCTGTTCCAGAAGGAACTTTTAATTCAACATCATTATCTAGTGTAGGAACTTTAATTGTACCGCCTAATGCTGCAGTAGTCATAGGTATTGTCACTGTATGGAAAATATCCGAGCCTTTTCTTCGAAATATAGCATGAGGCATAACACGAATACGTACATATAAATCACCATTTTTGGTTTTTCTTGCTGAAATAGTAGCTTGAGGAGCATTACCTTCACCAGCAAGCCGAATACGCATACCATCTTCAATTCCTTTACAAATATAAAACAAGTCTACCACCATAATGTTAAATACTACCTGCTGGAATGTCCAATTTAATAGCTTTCTTTTCTCTAATTATACCATTCCCACTACAACTCCAACACTCCGATCCTGGTAAAATGGTGATTCCTGCACCCTTACAGTACTCGCAAGTACTAGCAACTTGGAATCCGCCATGCATAATATGTACTCTTGTACCTGTCCCTCCACAGCGTTGACACGCACTACGTTTTTGACCCGATTTCAAACCTGTTCCAGAACATGTTTTACATGTTGCCATAAGGTTTATATAAATCGACTTTGTTCCTCCTTTTGCCGCCTCCATAAATGAAATACTTGTTTGGACCTACAAAAGGATTAAAAAAAATCTAATAGTTTGAAAATTTTATCCACCTCAACATCATCACCTACTAATATTTCATTAACATTACTACGTGTACTTGATTTCCCTCCGAAACCAAATGCTCCAAACAAATCATCAAATGGAAACCCTTTCATATTGCTAAAACCCCCAAAATCTTCAAAATCTGATGACCCACTAGTGCTAAACTTTTCACCTTCAAAAGCAGATGTACCGTATTGATCATATTTACTTCGTTTTTTTGGATCACTTAAAATCTAAAACAAGATCAAGTCCATTTTCCACATAAAAACGCCAATATATACCTCATATGCCTGTTGAATCTCAAGAAACTTCTCTTGAGCACCTTTATCTTTATTTGTGTCTGGATGATACTGTTTTGCAAGCTAAAAACATTGTTAACCAATCTTAAAAGAAAAAAAAAGCACAAAAAACTTTAAAATACGCTTTTTTAATGTCAGCAGTAGTAGCATCCTTGGTTAAATTAAGTGTAGCATATGGATCTTTCATAGCCAAAATGATTTTTGATGTATGAAAAAACATCTAAAAATAAAAAAAATTTCATAAGCTATTACACACAAAGAATAAACAAAAATACATTTTTCATCATCTGAGGTCTCTTTTTCCCTCTTAGAAAGCCTCCTTCTTTCAAATTCAAAATTTGATCATTTTTCATTAAAACTGTTCTTGTGCATGGAAAAAAACCGCTCAAAAAATGAAATCCGCGTATAAATCCAAAAGAACGGATCCAACCAGAGTTCATAGCTTTTAAATCTTTCTTTTCTATGAACTTAGGCCACTTTATCAGTGACTTTTTAAGCTTAAATATTTTTTTGACGTTAATAATCGATATTGAACATCCAAAATTTCAAAAAAAAAGTATTTTAGATACTAAAAGTTGCTAAGCACTACTAACAGCATTAAAAGCAATGAATGACGGTGCACTTGTAGTTATAAGTTGTTTAGTTCTGTTTTTCTCTTTAAAATGGATTTTTTCGAACCATGAAACAACCAATACAAGGCGTTTAAGAACTCGGCGAGAGGTTTCTCAAAATATGGTTGAGGTATCCTATTTTATAGCCAATCAGCATACCAAGAAATTGAACTATTGCTTGTGTAGATTATTCATACAATGTTCCCAAATATCCCTATTGAATCGATAGAATATGACCTTGGAAGGACAGGATCGGTAGAAGCAACTACAGAGACACTTTTAACACATGGGCAACTTCCAAATGTAAAGCTATTTAGAAAAATAAATATTCAGTTTGAAGATTGCTGATATTATTTAGCCACCGCCATCTTTTATTCCGCGTATAAGCAACCTTATTTCAGCTCGTATTTCATCTTTCGACAAAAAACCAACAACATCTTCACACGATGATTTAATTAAACGCTATGATTTGTATGCTCGTATTAAAGCGGAAGAAGAACGATCCGTACAAAAACAAGAAGAAACATACCAATGGTATCCAGAAAAAGAACAACGAGAAGCACAACTTCGTCGAAAACGTGAAACAATGATCCTTAGAGCTCGACGTAGCTTGAAAGAAAAGGATAAAAATGAACAGAAAACATGCCTTTTAGATGAAAAGAATACAATGTCTTAAAAACCACATTAAATGTCATATTATCAAAGCCATCCACTACTATTCTATAATATTGATTCAAGCAAAACATAGACCAGAGTGTTTAAATTCATTATATATTATAAAATAAAAATTATGTCCTTTCTACAACTGATCCATATCCATGAACAAATTTTGTTGTAAATATTCTATTTGCATTTGAAAACATACCATCTTTCAATGATACAACAATAAATTGAGCCCTGTTGCATTACATTGATATCATATATTATAATTAAAAGAATTACCCTTTAAATTTTGTTTTAATAAGATGTCCAATATTTTGAGTATGACTTAAGTCAAGGGCAGCATCGACCTCATCTAGTATATACATTGGCGCTGGTCTAAACTGCAAAAGTGACATAATAAGAGATAAAGCAACAAGGGATCTATAGGAAAAATATGAGCTTTTTTCTTTTCAAAAATTTAAATTATATAATTTTACCTTTGACCACCACTTAATTCAGCCAAACTATCTTTCCAAACTTTACCTAAGCATACCTTTATTTCAAGGCCATCTGCTATAGTTTTTTTTTCAGGACACACTAGTTTTGCAAAACTTCCAGGAAGAAGATCTGAGAAAATCTTACCAAAATCACTTTATTGTTTAATACTAGGAAATAAAATAAATTCAAAACGTACCTATCAACTTTTTTCCATGTCTTTTGTAAAGCCTCCATTTTGTAATCTTCAAGACTTCTGATTGTTTCTTCAATTTTACGCTTATCTTTATAAATTGTCTTAACCATAGTTTTTAATGCATTTTCTTTTTTTTCAACACCATCAATCATATTAATTACTTTTGGATTAATTTTCTTCTTTAAAGTTTGAAATCTTTCAGAAAGATTACTTAATGATACTTTACATTTTTTTATATCATGATTAGAAAAGTCAAAAATTGTATTAGGTTTTCCAAAATTCCTTAAAAAAGTTATCATATATATACGTATTACCAACAAATTTACTCTTTTTCATCCAAAATCCATTCATGTTCTATTTCCATTTGTTTTAATAAATGAAGGATAGTTTGTTTATCTTTACTAAGCCTATTAATTTCATGACGAAGTGATTGTAATTCAAGATTTGTTTCAGAAATATAATTTGTCTTTATTTTCAAAGCATTTTCAAGAGAGTTAAATTCTTTATCGTATCCAGTTAACTTAGCTCGCTCATTTTCTAAGGCATTTTGAATTTCTTCATAATTTTCCTAATTATAATAAATATATTTAATGAATGATATTAATTACTACTTTAACTTGCGTTTGCTCACGTTTAAGAATAGATATTTCAGAAACTTGAGAAGAAATTGAGGAAGAATTATCTTTTAATTGCTTTTGAATGTTTATAAGATCTCCTTCAAGCTGTTCTAATAAAACACGTTAAACAAAACAAGATATAAAATAATCTTACCTATTTCTAGTTTTAAAGATTGATATTCTTTATATTTAAGTTTTACATTTCCAGATTGTTTTTCAACAATAACTTTCAATTTTTCTACTGTTTTCTATAATTTCTTAATGCATATATAGATATATATATAATAAAAAACCTGAAGTTGTAAGAGTTTAGAATCCTTATTATTTTTAAATTCTTCCATGTCTTTTTCTATTTCCTTAATATCTTTTTTATATTGTTCTTGTTTTAATTTTACTTCTACTATATTATTTTTATACAATTCAATATTAGATTCTAATTCTTTTACTTCATTAATAACCTATAACCTATAAGAATAAAATGTTTTCAATAAAAACGTTACTTTAGACGCTGAATTAGAACTAATTTGTTTTTCAGTCAATTTGATTTCATGCAATTTAAGATCAAATTGTTTCTTTAAAGATGAAATTTTTTCAAGTTTTTCTTTATTTTTTTCAAAAAACATATTAATTTCTAACAATTTATTGTTATAAGTATCTAGTTCATTTTTAAATTCATTTAATTTTTGCAATTGAACCAAAACACCATTTAAAGATGTACTGGAACCTCCAGAAAGCGTGCCAGAAGGATCATATACATCTCCATTTAGAGTTATACTTTTTAAAGATATATTAGGATTAAAAGTAATTTGTTTTGCGGTTTCAGCATCTTCACAAATAATTGTAGATCCAAATACATAGTCCATAGCCGCACCAACATCCTTTTTATAATTAATTAGATCTAATGCTAAATTCACTTTTCCAAGAGCCTGTTTCTGAGCCATAGAAATTTTCTAAAAAGTATTAGTTGCATTTTTTATATTAAAATGTTTACTTCTTGAGAAATCTTTATAGAAGATATTTTCGACAAGGGAATAATTGTAACTCTTTTTTTTAAACGACCATTTTGTAAGAGTTGAGCTGCAACAATTTCATCTTTAACTACAACCTTAAAATAGTTAATAATTTAGTATACTTTTTAAATAAATAATAACAAACATTATAAAGACGTCCGCTTGCACAGATTTCCAAAGCTGTAGATGCTTTATAATTTTTCTCATCAAGAGTAAATAACTGTGCTACAAATCCTAAAACTTTTGAATGATCAAATCCTGGACAAGGATCTGAATATGTAAAATCAATATTTGCAACTTTCCTTTTACAGTTTTCGTATTGAATAGTTAATTCATTTATTTTTGTTTCATAATCGCTCTTTTTCTCGTAGAAATTACTATCAATACTACTTTGTAAACCCAATGAAGATATTTTTTCTTCTACTATTTTTAATTCTTGTTTCATTTTTTCAAGACCATTTAATAAAACTTGATTTTCATTTTGAGCTTTCTTAACATTTGGTGCCATTTCTGCAATTCGTTTTTGAGAGTGATTCATCTTTAGTATAATTTGTTTTTCTTCTGTTATTGCTCGATTGAGATTATTTCTAACCTCTTTTAAACAATATAAATAAACGTGTAAAAAATATAGCGATAGTACCTTGTAACTGATCTGTATAATTATTTGTTTGACCTTCTCTAGCAGCAATACCAGTAGATAATGTTTGTAAAAGCTCTTCTTTTTTATTCATTTCATCATTTTTAACATCAAATTCCGCTTTTAATTTATTATAAGATTTTTCTATAGTATAAAAATCCTTTTTTTTTTCCTCCAAAGATACATGAAGCTATTTCAATAAGCAATTGTATCTGAATAACAACGAAATAATACATCTTGTACCGTTTCTTCTAATTTAGCCAATTTAGACTTTTCTTCTACTAAACTTCCTTCTTTAAGTTCAATAAGTGTGTTAAGTCGCACTAATTCGTGAGAACAATTCTTAAAATTGTTTTCTAACATCTGAAAATTTCCACCTTTTCTAAGCTGAATCTCTCTTTCCTCTTTTAATCTTTCTATATTTTCTTCAATACATGCTACTTCAGACTTAGTAACCTTAATATTAGATTCCAAATTTGTCAATCGAGTATTTTTATTTTGTAAGTCTGTTTCAAACTCGACTAATTTATCCTGGATTCATTAAACTTTTATTTTCACAGTAAAATAAACCAAACACTAGATTTTAAATAATCATATGCAGTAACTAATTTTGTAAAATGCTCGAAATCTGATTGAATTTGTTGGTATTCAAGAAATGCTTTCTTTTCCTGTCTAAGTTTTTCAAGTTTTGGCTCTATTTCTTCCGATAAAAGAGCGTTGATTTCTTCAACTTTTTTATCTTTCTTTGCAATTGTCCTAATCGCCTTGTCCTTCCGTTCCTCAAACATCCGTGTACCGGCCGCTTCTTCAATCATCGAAAGAATCTCCATACTTTTCATATTTAGAACTGGAGTAAAAGCAACAATCAGCCCACAAAAACAAGACACACAAAAATACCAACCCTTCGTGATCCTTCCTTGCATAATTAGGAAGTTTGGGTTGTTAATATTCAACTGGACAGAATGAAAAAGATTCTGAACTGTTTGTTGCTGTGCCCGGTGGCCATTAATAAGGTATTTGCTCATCCCACCCATAATAATCTGCTCAATCAGCCTCCAAAACGCTCAAAAACACCCCCAAAACACACCTGGCGTGTCACCGTGATCTGGCTTTGGTCTTCAAAGCTTAGCCTCCCATTAGCCTCTGAACACCTGTTTATACATATTCTATCCCTACCCAATAGGACTTTTCTTCGGATCCGAGTTGTCAAAAACAATACTCACTGTTGCCTTCGTCACGCCTGCTTGTCCACGCTTGTAAATAAGATCCTGAAGATTCTGTGCACGAACTGTTGTCATATTTGTAATCCCCAAAACAAAGCAAATTGCATCCAAAATATTCGATTTTCCACTCCCATTAGGTCCCTACATTACTTATAAAATACACCAAAACTTTTCTTCCTTCAAAAACCGTGATTGCATTAAAAGACGTATCAAATCCATCAATTACTGTTCTGTGGGCATAGCTCTGGATATATAAGCAAGAAGTACATGTATATCAACGAAAAACCTTGAATCCATCAATAATAATCTCTGAAAGGTGCATTCTGTCGGCAAATACACCGCAAATACGCACAATACTAGAGCTGACGTCGAGGCCCGCTAAATCTGAGGTTCTGGAAGTGGTTGCCCGGTAATAGTTGCTGTGGAAACATGTTGCTCCGGTAACCACTTCCAGGCAACCTGCGCTGAGGACATGAACGGATCGGCAGCAAAAGCAGCTGCAGGCAGCAGTGTTTTCTGCAGACGCCGCCTGGGGACTCTGCTGTGCCAGTGCGTGCTCCACCTACACTCTTTGGGCGATAGTGTTGCCATAGCAACCAGTGGCATGGCAACTTCACAGGTGCACTGAGATGCATGTTTGCGCGTGCGTTGCAGCTATTTGGCGAGGAACGGCCGAGACGTGTCTTTCTATGTCTCCTAAGTGCGCCTGTTGTGTATTTGTTGCACAAAAACAGCACTTGTCGCTCCACGAAAACACCTAAAAACAAAGCTGCTGCTCGAAAACACCCCAAACTACCCTTTCTGCTGTGATTCTGCTTCATATATCTGCTCTAATTCGTCTCTTTATTTTCTGCTTATTTTATTTTCTATATAAAAACGACCGTTGCTCTACCGACAGGCGTAAAACAGAACTACTCGGAACGGTGTCTCAGCAAAAATCTTGAAAAAAGAAGAAAAAGATAATATTGAGAGGAAGAAAGGGTGTTTTTCACGTAGAAAAGGATCTATAAAGAGATTGAAGAGATACTTGTGCAGCAGACGTTTTTTTTTTTTTTAAAAAGTAAAATTTAAAAAGAAATTAAAACAAAAACATTGTGGTTGATTGATTGGAAATTTTGAAGAGAATAAAAGCAATGGGACAGACATCATCACTGCCAAACAGAAGACATGAAGTTGTTTTACAGGGCACTGAAGGACCGGGGGCATTGCAGAGTAGCCATCATTACAATATGGGTGCAGAGGTGTCAACATCAGGGGAAAATAGCAATCACAGGGAAAGAAGTGATGGAGAAGGAACGGGGACGAGTGTATCAAGGGTAGGAAGGTTTCGGCGGCATTTGACGGCGTTTTCTCGGCTGAGTGGTCTTTCACCGAACAGACATCATACAACATCGGTTTCAAGGGTCCCGTATTCAATGGGTACAAGAAGGAGATCGATGTTTGGGACATCAGTTTTACGGAGGAACACGGTTTTTGAGTTACCACAAACGCATTTTTCAGTATCACCAAATCAACTCACGACAACAGAGCATTTAGATTTGCATGCATTAAATAGAAATGGATATACTTTTTCAGTTAGGGATTTTCCTTTGATTGATGTGCCTGGAGGGGAGAATTTTATTCCAGAGAGGCCAATAATGGATTTGCCGGCGAATACTGAACGCCCGCTTTTTAGAGGGATTATTCGGCGATCACAGCGTAACAACACGCTATCTAGAAATACAAGAAGGGCGCTTGAGATATCGGGGCGTATAAGGACAAATAATGATGCTATTATACAGCATTCGTTTAACGGAGGAGGACTTAACGCGATTTCTCTTCGTCCAGGAGAGGATCAGGCTGCTATGCTTTCTCGTTTGTTATCAGTGGCTGCGGCGGCTACAGCAGCATCTCTCGTTGGAAACAATGAACAAGCTATTGCAGAGGCGCACGATATTGCTTTATCACAGAATCCTACAGATGATAGAGATTCACATATCGTTGATGGAAGTTTTGAAAGTTTTTTAAGAGCATTACAAAATGGACGACTTGCAGCGGCATTGAGGAATGGTGGAAGTGAAAATGGAGGTGGTATACCGAATGAAGAGAATGCATCCGTTCAGCCTCTTAATTTTTTCCGTATGTTTCGTTTTGGGAATTCACAAGGAAACACTCAACAAGGGGAAGACGATTTGCAAAATCCAAGACTTGTGCCTATAATTATTGTTGGGATTAGGTCAGTGCCTCCGCGGGATATTGCAGACCCTAATACGCAACATACATCTCCCTTTTTTGACACTCTTGCAAATCTATCAGTTAATATGCCTCTTAATTATGAAACATCCTATCATAGAAATAATGAGAGTCGAGAACAAAGTGATCAAAGTTTTTTCCCACCAGGGCCATCTACTCATTCAATTCCAGTCTCAGAAAGACTTGGCTATAGTTCTGCAAATTTTATGAATGAAAATATACCTGGCAGTGAAGTGCCAAGTGGTCATTTAAATATAATGCGGCCTCTTTCGGTTCCTTCGGTTTCATCGGTTCCTGTTTCCGCTTCTCAAAATTCAAGATCAACTGCTCAAACTACACAACAATTTAACATAAATACGCAAACACCATCACACCCAAGAACACCTAATGTACAACGTCGCAGTCCTTCTTACCTTGAAAATTTATTTACTCAAAGATCTCAAAGTGCTAATGAACACGTTCCCGAAAATAGGAATTCAGTTGATAATAATGTTTCTGATCTTAATAATAATGCCACAGGAAGAACTACCAATCATAATGCCGATAGAACTAGTAATAGCGGGTCTAGTAGAACTGGAAGCAGTGATGCTAATATATCAGGAAATAACAACACTGATAATCGACATAACTCAACTAGGTCTTGGATTATATATGTTCTTGGTGGCTCTTATCCAGAAGATCACCCAATTCTTACTACTCCTAGTTTATTTACTGATGTAGGATTCTTCCGTCTTTTTTGATTATTCTAATATTCCATAGTCACCTACATATGAAGACATGCTATTATTATCATCCCTAATTGGGCCAGCTAAGTCTCCCGTTGCTACAAAGGACGAAATAGAGTCAGCAGGTGGTTTACATGTGTTATCGGTTAACTCATCGGCTGCCGATATTTATCTTGATGAGAGATGTGTTATATGTTTGAATAATTACCAAATTGGAGAAGAATGCCGTGAACTTAATAAATGCAAACATTTTTTTCACAAAGCTTGTATTGATGAAGTAAGCATTCATAATCCTCTAAATGTGTTTTAACATATTGCTTTTTAGTGGTTAATGACTGGTCGTAATACATGTCCCACATGCAGGGCAGAGGGCGTGAATTCACGAAAAAACGAGTCGTCTACATCCAACATTTCAACTGAAGGAACGAACACAAACATATCTATGACTGATATTTGATACAATAACAATTTTTCCTCCAGTATAAAGACTATCAATTTTATTGTCTACATATGCATGGTGTCGTTTATAGGTACACGAAATTTTTACTTTTTTTACTAGACCTTTATCATTTTTCTTTATAAAGTTAATATCCACATGTTGAAATAACCATATTTGGTATCAAAATAAAAATAAAAGCATTATCATTCATGTTGAAACATTCAATAATTTAGTTAATATATTGTATGGGTATGTTGTCAACAAATTGGATCAATAACTTAATTATCTCGTCACTTTTTCTTATTTTACATATTTTTTCGTTGAGTCTTTGTATATATTTATATATTTTATAGGATTAATATACAAAATTTTTACAACCATTTATATATTTGGTTTCATACACTTGAAATATTTTTATAAAAATATTTCAAGTAAAATATACTTCGTTTTTAAGGATTTTATTTAAATCAAATACTAAATATGTAATTTATGTAAAATCAACGTATTTTTGTTTTAAGAAATTAATAAACTTTTTACAATTAAATTATATTTTTTTAGTGTATGGACATTTAAAATCAATTAATGTTTTAAATTATTTTCTTAAAACAAGGACATATTGTCAATATGTAAGTTCATGTTTTTTAAAAAGATATTTATTTTTTAAAATAAAATACAAAAAAAAAACTTATATTAATTTATGTTAAATACCACTACTTAAATTTATAAATTTAAATAAACTTCCTTTATTAAAACAGTATAAAATATAACAAAAACTATTGTATATCAGTATTTAAAGCTCGAAAGTGTATTTGTTATACTTTTTATATGATTTTTCACATTTAAGATTAAAATATATTTACTTATTAATCAAAAATAATTTTTTTTGATATATAAAAAATCAAAAGCTAAGTAAATTTAACTATGGAAAAATATACAGGCCATATTGTTTTTCTTGAAACAAACCAATATATATTTCTTATACTATTTCCATAATTAAATGATTTATCATCTTTTCTTTCAATTCACAAAATAAAAATTGACTAAAAATGAATTTACAAAGTATTGGTAACAATTTCAGCACTCAAAAATCTGTATTTCCATTATTTATTCTAGATAAATAATCATAAGTTTCAGGAACTTAAAAAAAATGAAAATGAAAATAAATAGAAACAAAAACAACATATTTAAATAATTTACTAATTCAAAGCTATACAGTAATTATTTTTGCATTTTTCCGTATTTTTATAAAAAGTTTTTTAATCATTTTCATCAACTATTTTTAACTTATAAATAAAAATATCTGTTATTTTTTAACATAATAAAAGCAAAAATATTTTAAGAAATATCAAATAATTATTTATATCAAAACAAAAAGATAATATACAATAACTTTAGGTATATGTGGTGTCCCTAAGAGCAGGGAATTTGATTTCGTTTGATGAGGTAGTTTTTCAATTTTAAAAATATATAAATATTTTAAGGATGCAAAAAAATCTTGAGCATAATGAATTGTATAAAGAAAAAAATAAAAATTCAGAGAATATATATGATAGTCCATGGAGCTTTAAAAACTGGTATCGGAAAATCAATTGGATTAATAGTATTATAGTTATCGGGACACCAATTTTAGGAATTTATGGCATATTTACAACCAAATTATCTTACAACACATTTATATGGTCAGTTATATATTATTTTATGACAGGATTTGGGATTACAGGAGGATATCACCGCCTATGGTCTCATAGATCATATAGTGGGACATTAATTTTAAAAATTATTATGGCAATGCTTGGAGGAGGTGCAGTAGAAGGATCTATCCTTTGGTGGGCACGTAATCACCGTGCACATCATCGGTATACTGATACCAATAAAGATCCTTATTCAGTACAGAAAGGTCTTTTTTATTCTCACTTTGGATGGATGCTTATTAACCAAAATCCTAAAAACATTGGTTATTCCGACATTTCAGATCTCAAAGCAGATTCTGTAGTTATGTGGCAGCATAAGAATTATTTTAAAGTCGTTTTAATAATGGGATTTTTGCTTCCAATGTTTGTTGCAGGTCTTGGATGGGGAGATTGGCGTGGAGGTTTTTTCTTTTCAGGTATTTGTCGTCTTGTTTTTGTTCAGCATGCTACGTTTTGTGTAAATTCATTAGCTCATTGGGTTGGGGACCAGCCCTTTGACGATAAACATTCACCTCGAAACCATATACTTACTGCTTTTGCTACACTTGGTGAGGGTTATCATAATTTTCATCATGAATTCCCTATGGACTACAGGAATGCTATTTTTTGGTATCAATATGACCCTACCAAATGGCTAATTATTCTATTTAAAATCCTTGGAATAGCACATAATTTAAAAACATTCCCGTCAAATGAAGTTCAAAAAGGTATATTACAGCAAAAACAAAAAAAATTAGATCGGTTAAAGGAAAAACTTGATTGGGGCACTCCTCTTGATCAACTTCCTGTCATTGAATTCGAAGAATATCAAGAACAAGCTAAAACACGTCCACTTATATTGATTGCTGGTATTGTTCATGATGTTGGCAAATTTATTGATTCTCATCCTGGCGGACGTGCACTAATTATGTCTGCTATTGGAAAAGATTCAACAACAGCTTTTAATGGTGGTATTTACGATCATAGTAATGGCGCACATAATCTTTTGTCAACTATGCGTGTAGCTATTGTCCGTGGAGGAATGGAAGTAGAAGTATGGAAACAAAATACTCTCCATGATTCTACCTTTTATTCACTTCAAAATCCAAATCGTGTTTCTATTCTTAAAGATTGCGCACATGTTACTCGGATACCAAATAAAATATCAGATATAAAACAACGTACATCTTTAGTAGTTATTTAGTATAAGTCTATCTTATTTCGCCTAATAATAAATATAATGTTTTATTTTATAAATATATTTTATTTATAATATTATGTTATTTTTTACAGGATATATTTTTTATCTTATAAAGCAATATCGTCAAGTTTCATGAAAAATATAGATAAGTAAAATTGCTAAAATTTATAAAGTATTTTTGGTCTAAAACATGAAATATCCATTATATACAAGTCATACGAGCTCCCTTAAAGGTTTTGTATATCAACGGTTTTTTCAATCTCTTTGCAAAATGCAATCTTCTTATCATCCTAAACAACAAGAAAATCAGCAAGATTTTCCAAAGATTAACCCAAATCATGGACTTTGGGGCTTTTTCAGAGACTCAGAAGACTCTCCATCAAAAAAAGAAGTTCTTTCTACGCCAAAAAACGATATGAAACATGGTTTGTTCTTTTCTTTTTTTATTATGTTTTTTTCAAAAAATTTAGACTTATAATATATAATTGTAGGTCGTGCATGGATGGCATCAGAGCTTCGTCTTAAAAGCTTTGAAGATCTTCATCGTTTGTGGTATTTATGTCTCAAGGAACGAAATATCATTGCTACACAGAAACATGAACGCCGACGATTGCGTATTTTCACGGGTATTGAAGAATCTATGAAAAGAGATCGTCAGGTAGGTATTACCCGTATGTTCATTTGCACATTGAACTATTTGCACTTAAAAACTAATGATTAATTTCCAACACATTTACATAGGTACGTCTTACAATGGCACGCCTTAAGTTTGTCTTAAATGAAAGAATACGTGCATGGAAAGAAGCAAGAGATTTAGCAAAGAAAGACATATGCATGCAAGATGAATCCTCCTTTGTTTCTAGTGACACTTCAAATTTACAGTCTTCACAAACCAAGTTTTCAACAACCAATACACAAATGCCTAGTTCTTCTATACTTGTGCATTCTGAATCTTCTAATCTTAAAGAATGAATTAGGACCTTCTGGAACAGATTTATATATTCATTTATTTTTTAATTTTTGAATTTACATATGATTTGGATATTCGATTTTATTTATATTTACTATTTATTCTGCAACAAACAAAGTTATTTATTTAAAAATACATGTTTGTGAATTGTTTTAAAAAATATTTTTGAAAAATGATAATTTTAACATTTTCGGTCATCGCTATACAAACATTATTAATAAAAAAAGCGAAAAAAACGTCAGTAAATCAACTTTTTCTTATATTTAAATCTTTTTAAGAGACATTTTACATTCTTTTTAAATTTTTTAATTATTGGAAGTGTCTTATTAAAATGAATGAAACATATGATTATATTATACTTGGTAAGTCTACTTAAAATCTTTAAAATCTGGGCTAAAAAGAATTTATTGAAGGGACTGGGCTAACAGAATGCATTCTTTCAGGGCTACTTAGTGTAGAAGGGAAAAAAGTACTTCATCTTGATAGAAAGGATTACTATGGAGGGTTAAGAACAATAATTTATTTTTATTTTTACAACTAACAATATTCAGAGAAAGTGCTAGTTTATCACTTAGTCAGATTTACAGTAAATTTTTTCCTGGTCAAGATTTGCCCTCGCATTTAGGAAATGACCGTAGTTGGTCTATTGATTTAATTCCTAAATTTATTATTGCAAATGGTGAACTATCTCGTATACTATATGTATGTTTCAAATACTAGAATATTTTCTCTATAACACATTCTTATTTTCTATAGCATACTGGTGTTACACGTTATCTTGATTTTAAACTTATTGCTGGAAGTTTTGTGTATAAAGACAAAAAAATAGCTAAAATTCCAACTACAGATACAGAGGTATTTTCTTACGTTTTATAACTAAAATTTGACTTATATTTAAGGCTATACGTTCTTCTTTAATGAATATATTTGAAAAAAGAAGAATGAAGAAATTCTTGGAATTTATTTATAATTACAAAGATGACGACATTTCAACACATCAATGTAGGTTTTATTATTATCTTTTTTTTTGTTTTAATATTTGCAGCTCTTGATCTTGATAAACATTCTATGGATTATGTATATTCCAAATTTAATTTAGAAGAGAGTACAAGGGAATTTATTGGACATGCTATGGCGTTATATCTTGATAATAGGTGATTTCCTTATTTGGTTATTTACTAAACTTATATTTTAAAGCTATCTAACTCGACCTGCACGAGAGACGTATAAACGCATTCTTTTATATATTACTTCAGTTTCATTATATGGCAAATCACCTTATATCTACCCTGTTTATGGTTTGGGAGATCTTCCTCAAAGTTTTGCAAGGTAATTTTTTTTTTTTTTTTTTATATAATATATTCTAGATTATCAGCTGTTTATGGGGGAACTTATATGTTAAATAGACAAGTTGACGAAATCATATATGAAAATGGAGTTGCTGTTGGAATTAAATCAGAGGGAGAAATAGCTTATACATCAAAAATTATTGCTGATCCTTCTTATTTCCCAGATAGAGTCTATAAAACAGGAAAAGTTATTCGAGTTATTTGTATACTTAATCATCCTATTCCAAATACTAGTGATTTAGATTCTCTACAAATTGTAATGCCTCAGAGTCAGGTTAAACGGAAACATGGTACGTATTTATTTTTTTTATATTTGTAGTTTAAAATTTAGATATTTATATCGCTATGGTGTCGTCTACTCATAATGTTTGTCCAAAAGGCTACTTTCTTGCAATAGTTTCAACAATTGTTGAAACAGACAATCCTCATATAGAAGTAAAACCTGCTCTTGATTTACTTGGACCTATTGTTGAAAAGTTGTTTTCACCAATACATATTGTTTTTAACATATATTAGGTTTGTTAGTATTACAGATATTTTAGAACCTACCAATACCAATAAAGATAATATTTTTATTTCAAAAAGTTATGATGCTACTAGTCATTTTGAAACAGCTACTGCTGATGTTAAAAGAATTTATCTTGAAACCGAAGGGAAGGATTTAGTTATTACACAACAACCAACTGTTATAGAAAGAGAGTAAATACATAACTTATCAATAATTTTATATAATTCATATATATGTTTTAATTTAATACTCTAGATTAAAGCATGCTATAAAATTAATGTTATTTTGATATTTCTTTAGAATATAAAATTATTTATAATTTTATAACAAATGACAATTTTTAATATATAGGAATTATGTAAATGCTAAAAGTAAAAAAAAAAAAAAACAAAAATTTTGACTAATATACATATTTATATTAATGATATTAAAAGGATATACATTTAAGCTCCAAAATACTCAAATTAATCCTTCTTCCCTTCATTTGTAGTCGACTCAGTAGATTGTTGGTCTTGTGCTTCTTGTTTCTTTTTATATACATTTTCGAATAATTTCAAAGAAGCTTGTTGTAACTCCGAAGTTTTATTTTTTAATTCATCTGGAGAAACCGCTTCACCAGATTGTGCTTTAGCAATTAATTCTTTTAACTCCGTTATAAGGGATCGTATTTTATCAGCTTCTTCTTTATCAATTTGTGCTTCAAAATCAGTTAAAGACTTTTGTGTGTCATACACAATAGCATCCGCGCTAAATATAAGCATTAATATAAATATACAATACATATTAACTTTACCGATTGGCTGCTTCGATAGATTCTTTTCGAGATTTATCAGCTTCAGCATATTTTGAAGCTTCATCTATCATAGCTTGAATTTCTGATTCAGATAGTCCAGATGAACCAGCAACAACTATGGATTGATCTTTACCAGTTCCTCTATCTTTAGCAGAAACATTAACAATTCCATCAGCATCAATATCGAAGGTCACTTCAATCTGAGGTACTCCTTTAGGAGCAGGTGGAAGGCCACTTAATACAAAATTCCCAAGACATTTGTTATCCCGAACAAGTTCACGTTCACCTTGATATACTTTGATTTCCACAGCTAGACATAATTAGAAGTATTATAATTTTCAATATATTTACCTGTTTGTCCATCAGCAGCAGTAGAAAATACTTGAGATTTTCTTGTTGGAATAGTTGTATTACGAGTAATTAAACGAGTAAAAACACCACCTAAAGTCTCAATACCTAAAGACAAAGGTGTTACATCAAGAAGAATAATATCCTTAACCTCTCCAGAGAGAACCCCGCCTTGAATAGCAGCGCCCATAGCAACAGCTTATAAAAATTAATAAAAATGTAAATACTAATTAAAAAATGAACTTTACCCTCATCAGGATTCACAGCTTTTGAAGGTTCACGCCCAAATATATTTCGAACAGTTTCAATAACTTTAGGCATACGAGACATTCCTCCAACAAGAATAACTTCATTAATAGATGAAAATGGGATACCAGCATCTTTAACAGCTTTTTTACATGGCTCAATCGTTCTTTTAATAAGAGGCTCTACAAGATTCTCCAGTTGCGATCGAGTCATCTTAATATTAATATGTTTAGGTCCCGTAGCATCAGCAGTAATAAATGGTAAATTGATTTCTGTTGAAACAGTTGATGAAAGCTCAACTTTCGCCTTTTCAGCTGCCTCACGGATACGCTGGATAGCCATTCGATCCTTCGATAAATCCATGCCCTGTTCTTTTTTGAATTGATCAACAATATAACGAACTAAAGTAATATCAAAATCTTCGCCACCGAGATGTGTATCGCCATTTGTTGATTTTACTTCAAAAACACCTTGATTTAATTCCAAAATCGATATATCAAATGTGCCTCCTCCAAGATCAAAAACTGCAACAACTTTATCCGTTTCTTTATCAAGACCATAAGCAAGTGCAGCTGCAGTAGGTTCATTTACTACACGCTGAACGGTTAATCCAGCAATAGAGCCGGCATCCTACCAAAAAACTAATTACTCAAAGGAACAGATAACGGATTAACGTATCAACTACCTTTGTTGCCTGGCGTTGAGAATCATTAAAATATGCTGGTACTGTCACTACAGCGTTCTTAACAGGCTTTCCAAGATAACTCTCTGCAGTTTCCTTCATTTTATTCAATATAAACCCTCCTATTTGACTTGGGCTGTATTTTTCCCCACGTGCTTCAAGCCATGCATCTCCATTTGTATATTTGACAATTTTATATGGGACCTTTAAATCAAATTAACTTTTTTTACACACCTTTTACCCAAAATACCTGATCAATATCTTTCTTAACTTCAATATCATCATACCGTCTCCCAATAAGGCGTTTTGTTGCAAAAAATGTGTTTTCGGGGTTAACAATAGCTGAATTTTTTAAAATAACATTAACATATAAATTATAATACCTTGCCGCCTTGCAGCAACCCCTACTAAGCATTCACCCTCTTTAGTAAACGCTACTACAGATGGTGTCGTCCGAGACCCTTCTGAGTTCTCAATTACTCTAGGTGATTTGCCGTCCATGACAGCAACACATGAATTCGTTGTTCCTCAAAAACTATTAATCCAGAGAGAAACTTTGATTCCTATATTCATATATTACCTAAATCAATACCAATTACCTATTTATCTGTGTCAATTTACACTTTTTTTAATAAAACAATTTTACTACCTGTCCTTGAACTTTTTGAGAATTTTTTCGTACAAATTGAACACAGTTTTTTGCAATAATATTACTCCCTCTTTTCCAAAAAATAGTTTTCAAAAACATCTCCAAAATATGCTTAAATAATCCTTATTATAAATCCTTTAAAGCTATATTTAATTTTTTGACGTTAACTAATTAAAAATTTTTCGAAGAAAAATCCTAATAAATTATAGAACTCAAATATAAAGATATAATAGAATTCTCTATTAAATATAAAAACAGATAGAATGTATTGTATAAACGTTGTTTTTGTTTAGAAAATAATTACTGTGTGTATAAATATTTATTTTTACTTGAAACTTAGTTTTTTATCTTTCTATAAAAATCATTAAGTGTATTTTAATGACCTTCAATACAACAGTAGGTTGTATTATGATCTAAGATGCGCTTTCACTATTAGGTATAGCCAATAGAATATATTTTCGAAGTTGTTGAGCGGTGGCTTCATCTTTTAACTAAAAAGAATAAATATTTAGACAAAAATAAAACCTAATTAGGCCACAATAGTAATATGTACCTTAATAGCAAACTGTGTAGGTTTTTGATTTTCCATAACAATGATTTTTAGAAACTTGTCAAGACCCATTGAACCAAAAGTATTAGAGTTTCCTCCTTCAATCATCATTTCTTTAAATAAAGGAGTATTTAATATAACCTTATATACAGCATCTGTCCTCATAACTTCTAAATATCAAAAGATGTAAGTAAAAGACAAAAATAAATACCAAGTCGTGATCTAGTAATCACTCCTTTTATTTGCTCAGTATTCACACGCAACATCCCAACACCTCTTTCTTTCCAATCTTTTGTATCAGAATCCATCACATAAAGCCTAGCTCTCGTAGAATAAATTGTTTCTTCATGTTCTTCTCCTGTTTTCACTGTATAAATATAAGCCATTTAATAAAATACATATTTTTTCTTAATTGCCTTCCTGTTCTAATATAGCAGTTGACTTTTTTATTACGTGATCATCTTTTTGTGTATAATTATCTACTTCTTTTTCAAGAAGCATACTAAATGCTTCATTTGGTGTCTTTTTGTGTATTTCTGTTGAATTATTTAATGCCTTACTTTCACAAAAAATATTAGTATCTTCTGAACTATTTTTTGATGAAGGTACAAGTGAGTCAAATCCAGAACCTGAAATATTAGATCCAAATGTTTTTTTTGCAGAATGAGAAGACGAATTGAAAGGGAATGTAATGTTTCTGGGTTTCAAAGATGCAAAAGGTGAAACTGATGACTCTGATAACGACTTGAAAGATGAAAATGAAGGCTTTAGTAATTAGAATAGATAAATACATTTCTTAGACAACCTTTGTCTGATGACCTGAATTTTGATCATCATTTGAATGATTACTTTTTCCGTCATCCTTTTTAGGTCGTTTTTCATCTAAATTTTCAACAAGTGTCTCATTTCCATCTTCTACAGTGCGTTTTCTAATGAGGGTATCTTTTTCTCCGTTATTTTCTTGATTATTTTCATTTTTCTTCTAATTTTTTTATAAGCAAAACACATCATTTTTATTTATGAAAAACAAACATCATTTTTATAAGACTCCTCTGTTTGCACAGATAACATATTCTTCTTTTAATTCTTCATCAAAACTATAAAAACAATGGATTTAATGGTAAATATTTATAATTTTTTTTTTGATAAAATGTAAGAACTTAAAAGATAAAAATGTATAAAAATATCTATAAACAATTGACTATTATTCAAAATTCATAAATGTATTCAATGCATTTTGCAAAGGTATTTGAAAAAGCCCTTTGCCTATAAAAATAAGCTTTGGTGATACAGAATTTAAACTAATAGATTCAGGAATGAATTCATAAAGTTCTCGGACACCTTGTACCAACCATGAAGTATTTTGAACTATTACTCTACCCTTAAGTCTGTAAATTTCTACCAAGTATTGATCAGAACTACCAGATAAGACTTGCCCTTCCCATAACATTAATTGAATCCAATGTTCAAGCTTAGATTTCTGTTCTTCGTTTTCCAAAACTTTTAATTGAACAGTTGCGGTTGTAATATTCTATTAAATCATTATTTTTTTAAAAAAGCCAATTTTAAATAATTCTTACTGGATCATGATAAGATATTTCTCTTGATTCTATAGGAAAAACAGATTGATGATCATAAGCATGAAGGTCTAGAATGACTGATACTTCATCTATTTTGGAATATGTGGTAAAAATCATTTTAGCATCTGAATTTATGCCTTTTACTCGTTCTGTAATTATCCCAAGTTGTGTTTCATTTAATAAATCAGTTTTGTTCATAATCAAAACATCTGCATGTGAAATCTGAAGATGCGCAATAGTAATATTATTCTTTTTATCAGATACGTTATCAAGAATATGAATAATATTATAACAATCGATAACTGTAATTACTCCATCAAGGTAAATAGAAGATTCTAAGGGGCCATCTAACCAAAACATACGAACAATAGGTCCTGATTTTATAAATAATTGCTTATTTGTTATAAAAACAAATACCTATATCAGCAAGACCTGTAGTTTCTAATCTAATTATTGTTAGAAAAGTAAAATTCTTTTTTCTTCAAACAATATATAATCAAATACACCCTTTTTCATCATTAATTTTTCAATTGCAATAACAGCATTGTCTCTAATATCTATTAATCAATTTTTTTTTCAAAAAATTGATTTACTTTATCTAAAAATGTAAATTTTTCTCAAAAAAATTAAAAAAATCATACAGTGCAACAAAAACAGCCATTGTTTAATTCAAGCCATTCTTCTGAAATCTGGCCCCTAGAATTTATAGAAAGCGATTTTTCAATATCAGATGCTTATTACGCATTATTTTTTCATAAAAGAGAGAATTTCTTATTACCATTTCCAAATTCTATGCTCATAAGTGAATAAAATATCAGAAAAACATCTTGAAATAAACATACCATTCAATATTACTGCAATTTTCTTTGACTGCTGTTTTTCCAAAATATGATTAAGCAGTGTACTCTTCCCGGACCCCAAATATCCTTAAAAACAATATTTAATACTTACAAATCAAGAAATTTGTCATTTTCCTTGTATTTTTACCTGTTAAAATTGTCAAAGGCACTTTTTCCATAATAAAGAAATTTATTTTCTTATATTAGAATATAAAAGACAATATTTTGAAAAAAAATTCAAATAAAAACTTCAAATATAAAGATAATCCAATATATATTATCAAATAATTCACTGAATTTTTTGCTTAAAATCTTAATCAAAATTGTAATAGAAATAAAATACTATATAATTAGTATAAATTGTATACAATAGGGACTAGATACAACTTTCTAGTAGATATAAAGGCCCTTATTTTTTAGTATATATAAGTTTTATCTTTGTATATATTAATATTAATTTTTTGTACTTACGATCGATCAATATCTCTAAATCATTATAACAAAATAATTTTCAGTTGCAAATGTTATTGCAAACACACCATTAATAATATTCATTATGTTATAATTTTTTCTAAATATTTAGTATTTCCTTCCTATATTTGTTTTTTTTCAGATTTTAATCATCTTTTTTTTGAATGAAACTTATATTTTTTAGATCAAACAGTATTACTTTTATATAAAGTTATATCTGCAATCTTCTAAATAAAATGTACGCACAATTGCAAGAAAAAACACAAGGAAAACCTCTTGAAGAAGATCCAATGCATTTAAACATCCCTTCAACACTGAATAACTCTATTAAACTATCTACAAATACTATGGTTGATGATGAGATAAATCCAGAAATTCCAATTCAAGTATTACGTCTACGTCCAGGAACAAAGAAAGAAGTATGTTCAGTGTGTACATCTTTTAGCTGTTGCTGACAATGTGTTTTTCTATATATATAGGATATTTCGATTATTCCAATAGTACCATTAGATCTTTCTGAGCCATTTTCTTTAGAAATGTATTTATCAGGGCTTATTGCATCTGAAACATCACATCCAATTTCCGTAAAACGTGCCAAAGAAATTGCAGAAACCCCACCAGGTGTGGATCCATGGATATGGGTTTATGAATTAGTACGAAAATTAACTATTGATTTGAATGTTTTGGTTGTTGGTATGCTTGAAGATTCATGTTCTCCAAAGAAATGTCCTGAAATGAGAGCAAATGAATGGCAATATTTATGTGCATGTCATAATCCACCACAAGAATGTGCGGCAATCGATTATATTATACATACGCTTGATAATGCAACAACATTATTATGCTCAAATAAATATTTTCCGTCAAAGTGGGATACCATGTTATATAGTGACACCATTAACTAAAAATTCTTAGAATGTCTATCCCTATTTCATCAACTCGACACTTTTCATCTATTATGCGTCGTTTATATAGAATCTTTAGTCATGCGTGGTATAAGCATTATGATGTCTTCTGGAAAGTTGAGGTGTGTTTTTTCTAATATCTTTTACTAAATTAACAAAAGGTATTAGAACGAGATTTCTTTATATAGACGGTTCATGGCTGTTTCTGAGCATTATCATTTCAAATATGAACATTCTGCAATGGTTGACGAAGCATATTCCAAAGAAGCAAAATGTAATGATCATGACATAAATAAAGGACATAATATCGACAACGACAATCAACACTTTCTTGATAATTATAATAATTATGAAACTCCTACTCGTTTTTATAATCATGATAATAAGGATAATCATGATAATAAGGATAATCATGATAACAAGGAAAACATGGACAATATAAATACTCTGTTGTCTGTGTAAACAATATATTAGTATATAAAAATTTAGATAGTTTGTGTTTAAATGGTAAATAGTCCCTATAAATAATATACTGTTGGTACAAAAATTTGATGAGAAGTATTCATGTAATAAGGTAAATAATATGTTCATAATTTACAGTTTTGCAACTATTTCTTGCATCTTTTTATCTGAATAAACCTGAAACCCATGGTCGTGTGTTACACTTGCTAGCTGTACATTCTTTGCATCTAATGCTTCTTCCATAACATGTTTCAATACTCGAAGAATTAACATCTCTCCTTCTTCTAATGACATTGACTAAATACACCATTAATACTAATTAAATATTGAATCTGCATTTACAGGATGATATTCATTCTGAAGTTCTGTTTGAGCACCTTCACTTCCCGCACCAATTGCTTTAGCATTATATTGATAATACGTTCCTGATGGCTCTGCATGATACCTGAAAAATTCAGTCTTTTAACAGATGAATATTTTCTTCATACAGCTGCGGACCGTTCTCATCAATACCTGCTACAAGAAATGCTACACCAAACGGCCGAGACATAATAGCATCATCTGCATCTTCACCAAACTGCAACGCCCAATCACAGATCGACTGTGTGACAGATTCTACTCCAATAGGTTCATCATACGTAAATCGATGGTTTTGTGATTCAACACGTGCATGGTCCACAAGAATTCGAGCATCTGCTGTCAACCCTGACATAGAACAACCAATATGTGTATCAATCTCCATAATTTTTTCAGACAAAGGCTCCATAAGAGATGATGTAATTCGTTTTTCTGCACCCAATAACACTCCTTGTGGTGTAGCAAGACCCATTGTCGTTGCTCCAAGCTATATACATTAATACATTAATTGTAAAACAAATCATGCAAAGAATCATTAAAAAACATCCTATAGATAATATATATAAATAGCACTTTGTTTTCTACCTTTATAGCTTCAATTGCATATTCTACTTGGTATAATCGTCCTTCTGGTGAATATGCATGAGAATTTCGGTCGTATTCTGCCAAAAATTAGTCTTTTTTCTCCGTTTTTTCAATAAAAAAATAGAACCCAATTACCTGATCTTGTAAGAAACATTTTTTACTCAATATATAGTTCTTATATATGTCTATATTAATCAGATACTTGTACCGAAAATCGTTGACGTTGCAGTCTATTTAAAATCGATTTTAAAAACCTTATGTTTAGGGTTTAACCCTACTCAGTAGATATGAAAGTGACTGATAATTCAACGTCATCAAAAATTCTTGGTTAGAAACAATACGATAGAAAGGAATATTATAAGAGATATAGAGTAAGAAAGTATTTAAATATAATAAGAGGAGTATTTACATTCATAGTTCTCTTTTTTTCTTTTTTTTCAGATTTTTTTGAAGATTTTTTGACAATTTTTTATTTAATTTTTAATTAAAGGTTTTTATATAATTTTATATTATTTAGGAGTATTTAGAAGAATTTAGGAATATCAATTGCATTTTTACGTGTTTAGAAACGTTTCTATTCGTTTTAGTTAGTTTTCAAGTCTTAAATTAGAAGCTATGGACGAAAGAACTTTTATTGCAGGTAAAAACATCATATACAGCTATTTTAGCTAATATGTGTTAGTAAAACCAGGTAGATGCTTTCAATAAATAGGTTATCTCTCATGTTTTTAGATGGAGTCCAGCGGGGATTAATTGGTGCAATTATTACACGTTTTGAGCAACGTGGATATAAACTTGTTGCTATCAAACTTGTGACAGCATCACGCACTCTGTTAGAAAAACATTGTATGTGTCGATCATAGGAATATGGATAAAATATTAGTTATTTTTCTTTATGTAGATTAATATTTATAGATGTTGATCTTCAGGAAATGCCTTTTTTTAATAGGTAAATAATTTTTGTATCTATATTAACTCATTTATACAGCTTGGTATCATGTAAATGCCATAAACGTATATTTTTTTGTTAATTAGCTACAGATATGGAATCCGGGCCTGTATGTGCAATGGTTTGGCAGGGTAAAGATGTTGTAAAGACAGGTCGTGGTAAGTATACTTTAGATCAAGACTTAGACCAGCTGGTAATTATGTAGCAATTTTAGGTACAACAAATCCATTGAATTCGGCGCCTGGAACTATTAGAGGTATGTTTATCCATTTTTTTGATTTTACTTATTTCTATACAGGAGACTTTGCAATCGATGTTGGTCGTAATGTCTGTCACGGTTCAGATAGTATTAAGAATGCGCAAAGAGAAATTAATCTCTGGTTTTCTAGCAGTGAAATCCAAAACTGGTCTAGCCATAGCCAGTGCTGGGTAAGAAACAAAAAAGATGTTTAGTATAAGTTTTACCAATAGCGTAAAGTCTGTGATAAAAAAACAAAAACACATAAGAAATATATATGGATATATTCTAAAGCTATATGTATATTTTTATGGACTAAACATCTTTGTTTCACATGATTTTAATTAACTTATTCAGATTTATGAGTAAATACCAGGTTTAGGGCTTAAGACAAAGTTAGGGTTATGATTTCGATTTATGTTTTAGGAGTATATTTCGGTTAAGATTATTTTAAAAATTAAATGTATATTTATGATTTGGTTTATAAGGAACATTTATCTGTAAAAAGAATATTGTTGGTATCTTTTATATGTTTATGAGTATCTTTGAATTATTTCTGAAGTTTATAAAAGATTTGGTTTAAGAAAAATTTGCAGTATTTTGTAAAATGTAAGTAGAATGTTTAAAATAACCTTATATGATTAATATAATAATAGTAGACCAAGCCGTAGAAGGTTGTAAAAAAGTATTATTAAAAGTAGATAGCTTTAATCATATTTAAGTTTTACATGGAAAATTTATCAATTGAAACAGTTATAGAAATGCTACTTGATCGTTTCTCATCAACTGAATTGATGGAAAATACATCAGTTCCAGATCGCGGTGTGGCTATCTCACTCTACTGCCTTTTTAAAGATACATTTTTGCTTGCACTAGACTTAATTGATAAAAAACGTATTGTTGCATGTCATTGGGAGCCAACTATAGATCAACAATTGCAGTGCCTACGACGAATTTATTATGTTTTTGATGCTATTGATGACCAGGGCGCTACAGATACTTTTAAAGAAAATCAGAAACACCAATACGAAGTAAGAACATCAGCATGGCATTGTTCATGTCCAGAATTTGCATTTTCAGCATTCAATAATGATCATGATATTACATGGGACCGGGGTATTATAATACCTGGAAGTTTCTGGGGAGGATATATTCTTGGACATCCTATACCAGTTTGCAAGCATTTATTAGCATGTGTACTAATAGAGCGTGGATTCTGGATACGTCGCAAGATCTTAGAAAAGCCAATTAGTAAAGAAGAACTTATTTTGCGTTCCATGCAATAAAATCAAAGCAATAAATAAGCATTCGAAGAGGTACTCTTTTTCCTCAATGACCTGATTGAGGTGGTGTTTGATTCCATGAAAGATATCTATGATCGCCAAGCTTTCTATTTTAATCAATTAATTTAATACAAATTCAACGCTGCTATCAAACCTTGGCCGAATTAAATGACCAATTGTAAATAGCATTCCTACAACTATACTCACAGCACCAGTAGAAATATATGCAGTGCCAAGAAATGGGTTTCGCCCTCCAATTACCGAGCGGGTTGAGATAACTATCATTTTATTACCATTATATTTGGTTACTGGGAAATCTAGTTAAATTAGCCTTATATTAGTCTTAATGCTCAATTTCATACGCATCCCAATTCTAATTTCATAAATTCCTGCCTTCATTGTATCAACATCATTTCTTAAAGCCAATTTTTCAAATGTTGGTAGTCCCGCTGTTTTCATCCACACATGAAATTCTTCCCATTCATTAATATTTGGAAAATTCGTTTGATTATATCCATTTGGATACCGTAGTACCCAGTTAGGAGGAGGTACAACATCTAATGGTCGATATAATGTCTTTCTATATATATTTTTATCAGATGCCCATGAAATGCCCTTATTAGTCATAGGATAAGGCGTCCTGTGTTCTTGTGATTCAATTTTTGTTGGTATACCAATTGTATCTATGTATATAAGTTATGCTAGCATCAAATATATAACAAATGATACCATTAAAAAGAGAATTTGCTACTAAACCACATGGATAGATTGGCCGACCTTGTTCATCAACAACAAGCGGATTGCAATCATCTGAACGTAATAACTCTTCTGCAGTCTTTGGCAATCCAAGCAACTGATCCCGACTTACACTTTTCACATACCTCCGGTGATTTTGATAGAAATTCGTTAATCGATAATAAATAAAAACAGGCGGGCGGAGATCAACAGGCATTTCTAGACGAATCACACAAATATCCTCTTTTTCTGGATAAAATGAATTTTTATTTTTATATTTTTTCCATTGAATTGTTGGTTTCACTGTTGATGGAAATCCTGTTTGAACAAATTTGTCTGGGATTTGTGAAAAACTCTTTTGAGCAAGATTTTCACAATATGTATAATTAACTGATACTTCATGGACCTTTTCTACTATTAATAACAGGTTTAAAGTACCTTCTCTTACTTGAGATGAAAAATACAACAAAGCAACTCCTAATGGCGTAAAAAGAAAACCGAGAAAAAAGAAAATAGGTAAAACTGTTCTAGGCGTTAAAATAGGGTTCCATGCTCGTAATCTTTGCTGTCGCAGGCTTGTATCTGGTGGTTTTCTCATTTTTAGTTTTTTGATGACGTTGGAAGTGAATCGAAATCAAAGGTTTAAAAAATTGTTGGAAGTGGTTATATGAAAATATATAAAAAAGAGATTTTAGAAAAAGATCCACAAAATCTATAATTTAATTATAAATTTTCCATGAATCTAAAGAAGTTGATTATTCATTATTCATGTTTTAAAAAAATTCCAAAATAAATCCTTTAGTATATTAGTTTATGTTCAAAAAAGTAAAATTAAAGATACTCTTTGACTGATTTTAAATATTTTTGCTGTATTTTTTCTGTTTCTTTTATTAAAAATTGACTGGTTTGAAAATATTTCCGGGATCAAAAGTAAACTTGTTAATTTCAAGATTAGCCCAGGGTTTTGAAGAGTCTACGAGATATTTTATGAATCCCATATGAGATACAAGCATTATTTTTCGTTCATGCCTGTTAGAAACCCAGTCTCGTACCCAAGATGCTCTTTTTTCAATCATAATTGGATCATATGAAAAAAAACCAGTTTTTAAATGCCAATTTCCAACACAAAGACTAAAATCCAGGTATGGAAACTGAGACTGAAGGTCCTCTAAGGGTGAACATGTGTCACAATTCCGGTCAGAAATTTCTTGAAGCTCAGGAAGTATAATTAATGGAATTGACTTATGATGTATATTTATAGAATTTTTTAAAGACAAAAAACCATCAAATCCAATCAAAACTGTTTCAATTGCTCGACGCATTGGTGAAGAAATGATTAAATCAAGTTCTTTTAAGTGGTCATAATGCAATAAAAGCAATTTTGCTTGATCTTTGCCAAATTCTATTGAATTTTTTTTAAAAAAAAACAAAAAAAATCAAGTTTATAAAATAACCTGTTAATTCTGGGTCTTTTAAGTCATAGTTCTTACTTTTATTGTGCGCAGCTTGTGCATGACGAATAATATATATTTCTTTATCATTTGTCATTTTTACTTAATATTGAGTTTTAGAAAAGATAAAATAATTTAAAGTTAAAAAATCTTTTTCAAGTTGATGTTTATTTCAAATTTCAATAGTATTTATATTTTTAAATTAAAAAAATTCAACAAGTTAATCGAATATAAACGTACAAATGATAAAGGTTTTTATTTAAAGAAAAATTAAAAAAAAAATACATTAAAAATATTCTATATTTTTTACAGAAACCTTTACTTATTCTTTAAATAATGAAGATCATTAAAAAAATAAATATATATTATATTCGCTTCTTCCATCTTCCTCCTCTTTCTGCTTCAAACTTTCGTTCTTTAAGTCTTTCATACTTTTGTATTTCTGCTTGTTTTCTGTAATCTTGTTCTTGCTGTGTACTTGGGAAGTCGGATTCCCAGAACCCAGGAGGTGTTTTTGCTCGAAAAAAAGCTGCTCTATGTCTAGAAACTTGCTGAAGATTTTCATAAATATGTTTTTTGTCTGATTCTAAATACATTTTTTCTCTTGAAGGTGATCTCCATTTCGGCTTTGGAATTGTAGCAATGGGACCATGTGCTTCAAAAAACTAAATATATTAATATTATCATTTAAAAAAAAAAAATAAACCTTAATACAATTGTCACACGCACAAGCAGGAAGATGTTTTCTTAGCTCTTTTCCTCTAACTACCTCGTCATAAGCATATGGAATATTGTTATTTTTATCCAAATTGATAATATAATCACCTAAACATTCTTTTGTACCTTTAAAAGCTCTTTTAAAATATGTTAATGAATTAATAGTTACGCCCTTACTTCTATACAAACCTTGAATATCTTCCTAAACCTTTAGTACTGGAATTTAAATTAGAAATAAATTTAAAATTCTTATGTAATTTTTTATTTTCATCATATTCAAATGAAAATCGACGTTTTAAATCTGTTTTAATATCAACATTATCTTCCTTAATAATAGAATTGTCATGTGGGCTTTTTTTTTCTTCAAATAGTTTCGTTTGTATTGAATAATTTTTCTTTTCTAATAAGGATGATGTTAAATCGCTGATCTAAATAAGTTTAATTTGCATAGAATGCTACTTGAATAGATAATACATCTGTAGAGTTATTGCTTTTTTTAAAATCATTAGCATCGTCAACTAACAATTCAGTAATACTAAAAATTGAAGGTCGAGATTCATCAGAAATAGAAACAACTTTAAATGGAACATTTTCTTTGTCATCTTTAGTATTGTTAGTCTTAAAATATAAAAATATACTAAAAATTGATATATTAACCTTCTTTTTCATAGTATGGATTATTATTTTGACATATGGATTTAGAATTTTCTTTAAATGTTAATAAAAAATTAGATATATGTGATATTGTGCTTTGATTATTAATTAATAATGATTTTGTGTAAGAATTTTCAATTGCATTCTTAATATAATTAGATTAGAAATAAATTTTATGTAAAAATAAATAAATCTTACTTGAGAAAATTGAGTATCTTCTTTAGGAAAACATTTTGAAAGACTACTTTCATCTTTTTTAACACAAGATAAATTATCTTTCATTTTCAAAGTATTGTTAATTATAACAGGTTGAAATAAAGCATGTTTTTCTAATAATATTCTTATGAATATCAAAAATTTCTTATCTCTAAATACCTTCTTTTTTGTTTATTTTCAAATCATCGGTCTTTAATTCTTGATTTTTAGAATTAGGGCACAATTTTAGTACTTCATTTTCATCTTCTGTTGTTGAATCGTTATAATATGAATATTGAGTGATAGAAATATCTTCCTGATTATTCAAGATACATTTTTCAGAATCTTCAGATAAAGTTGGTGACAAAGGGCTTATATTAATTTTTGAAGAGTCTGTCAATTTTAAAAGTTCAGGACTTTTTAAAGGTATCTTTGATATACTTAAATTTATGCTATTCATTGGAGATAAAAGAAATGGATTCTGAATATTTGCTTCCTCTAAAGATATTTTTCTTCTTAGAGATAAGTTTTCATTTTTCAATAATTCTGAAATTTCTGGTTTTTTGTTTAATTCAGAATTTATATATTTTTTCCATAATTTTTTATCTTTTCTGTATTTCTTGGATAAGTACAACAAAGAATGTTTCATTTTTTCATATCTTTGAAGAAAAAATAATAATGCATTATATTGACAATTTTTTTCACAAAAAGTTTTGATATAAGTACTAGTATTTTTAATTACAAAAAGAATATTTAAAAAACTCACCTATAGTCCATTAATATACTTTCTTCTTTTTCAAAGCATAAGTTTTCAAGGGATACATTATGACATTGTAAATTTTTCAAGTAACTTTGATATTCATTAATTTTTTGAATTTCTTTGTGTCTCTAATTTTAAAAATAAGTTTTTTTTTTTAAAAAAAAAAAGAAAAAATAACTTCTTTAAGTAAATCTTGTATTATTTTGTTTTGATAATTTATAGTTCTTTGGTATTCTATGCAATATTCTGAGAGTTTCTGGAGTTTTTCATTTTGTAAGTTTGTGTCTTTAAATGATTAACTTTTTTTTTTAAAAAAAAAAAAACAATCTTTTACAATTGAATGTTAAGTTTAATAATTTTTCTTTAAAATCATTAATATCCGATGAAAAATCTATAATTATTTGTTCTTTATCCATCACAATTATTTAATATTATCGTGTATCGTGAATGATGGTTTTAAATATAGATATAAATTTTTTGTTAAAAATACATTTTTATTTTTTTAAATGTTCTTGTAAATATTATTAAATAACTTTTAAGAGTGATTTTTGTAAAAAATCCATAAAATTATTAATATAAAGATAAAAACATATTTAAGTTTTCTGAAAAAAGTTGCTAAAATTATAAAAATAATTTTAAATATCAAATAATATAGTATTTAAATATAATTTTTGGAATAATATTTATTAACAAAAATTGTAATAAAATTAGATTGAACATTATTCTTTATAATATTTTCTGTTAAATCTTATTTTTTACTATAAATTGTGAAAATATTTGATATCACAGTTAAAATATAAAAAATCTTTTGTATGTAAAAATATTGAATGGTAAAAAAAAGAAAATTTATTATGATCCTCAATTTAATATCATAAAAAAGTATAAAAATATCTTCTTTATTTCTATAAATATAAAATAGTGTAAAATAAATAATTAATACACTTCAGAAAAATAAGAAAAACAAATTTATATATGAAAATTTTATAAAACTAGTTATATATAATGAATTATTAAAAAATATCCATATAATTATATTTTAACCCATTAAAAATAAATATCAGTGTGTCCATATAGCTTTTTAAAAACAGAGTCTCAATATAAAATAAATAGAATGTATTTTAGAAATTTGGAAAACGGATGATGAATATATTGATATAGTAAAAAAATATTGTCTGATTTTGTAAAAAACAGATATACTATTATTGTATCAAAAAGTTACAAGATAGTTTTTTTTCCTTAGTAAAACATGTTATTAATTTAACATTTCAATATAAATTGAAGGGTTGGCTATAAAACAAAATCTAATTTTCTTCAAATATTTTTGTTTAACAGGGATATTATTATTATTTTTAGAATTAGCTACTAGACAAAATAACAGAGTGTAGAACTATCTTTTTATATAATATATTTAATAAATAAAAATTTTTATATGATATAATATTTTAAAAAATAAAGACTTTCAAATGTTATATATTTTATCCAATCTTCGAAAAAACATAGAAATAAATTATTCTATAAATTATCATTTTCTAATAAATATTTACTAAATGAGTAAAAATAAAAAACAATATTTACTTTTAGATCCTTTAAGAAATAATTTTTTCATTTCTGGTAATTTTAAGGGTTTTTAAGCCAATTTGTGATTATTTGTAATTTTACTTATATACATATGTTCATCAAAAATATTTAATCGCCTTCGCTTATCAAATACTTTTTCCTTTAAAAATAATACAAAATTATTTTTTAGTTTATAAATATCCTCATAGATTATTTTTAATAAATTTACTTATTATTTCAAGTTTACACTATATTAACTTAAATATAACAAAGTTGACAAAATGTATATATAAACCAAATCCCTTTTTTGTATTTAAAAATATCTTTCATGAACTATTCTATAAATATTTAATATTTGGATTTACATAGTGTCAAATTATTTATACGCAAATAATATTTATACCTTTTTAATTAATAAAAAATATTATTTTAATATTTTTTCAAGACAAAATTAGTATTCCCAGTAAAAGAATAAGTATTTTAACAAAGAATTACTATAATACAGATTAAATCTTTGTTTTTTAAATAATATCAGTATAAAATTAAAAAAATAAAAAATAATCTATTAAATATAAAGATTATAGATATATTCCTTATATAAAGTCATTATATATTTTTTTATTCCATGCATTCATTTCTTTTTCTGTTTATCTTTTATACAATCTATATTGCTTTCTGGTATCTAACAAGAATTTTAAATATGAATAAAAACTAAAAGTGATATATCTTACCTCTGGATATGTTTCAATAATGTAATTATATATTTCATCGATATAATCGCCTTGAACAATAAGTTCATCATATCCAGATGCGTTTTTAGTTACACTGCTTCCTGTAGCAAATTTTTTTCCAAATAATTTTGCAGCTTTTTTAATATCAATGTTAAAAAGCTCTAATCCTTGGATTGAAATAACATATTTTTTTTTATTTCTTTCAATCCTTTTAATAACTACTTTCGAAGACATACTTTTTTTCATCTTTTTCTCATCTTTTGCATCTTCTTTCGCATTCTTCTTTTTAATATCTTCCTCCATCTTCTTTTTCTCTTCAAGAGTCATATTTTCTTGTCTGATTAACATTATCTCTGTTTTTTATTTTTTCATTAAAAATCAATTAAAATTTTAAACAAATATAAAAACCTTCAGAATAAAGCTTATTATAGAAATCTATATAATTCTCTTCAAGCCATTTCATACATTTTTTACTAGAATCTCCATATTCACAGTACTAAAATTAAACATCATCAGGATTTTTTATAAGATATATCTTTAAAACCTCTGGAGGAAAAGAACATACTAATTTATTTATTATTAATAAAGCATACGGAAAATATCACACCTCCACAGTAAAGTACATCTTTAGCTTTTCTAATATTTTCATAGAGAATATCTACTTCAGTATCAATTTCTTGAGCCATTAATTTATGGTATTAAAATAATAAAAAATAAAAATGAAAATAAATAAATTCTTAAATAAATTGACAAATACTTTTTAATAATAAAATATATTTTTCAGGAATCTAACAAAAACTTAAGTATCCACAATAGCGGTATTAGATGCTAAAATATTACAAAGAAAATTAGATACTTTATTAAAAGAATCAGCAATTATTTTGCTCATTTCATTATTATCTTTTTTCATTAATAAAAATCAATAATAAAATTGAAAATAAACCTGATCTCATGACCTTTCCAAATTTCTTTTTCACTCGTTTAGAAAGACTCCATACAGGATGATCATTACTTGTTAATACAAGAGAATGCTTTGTATAATTTAGCCTTTTTTAAAAATACGAAGACATATTACTTTAAAATACCAATCAGAAATTTCATCATTTAATCCTGAAACAGCTTTTAAAGGATTATTACCATAAAATTGTATGATTGCATCGACACGATCATAAATATCTAAATAGAAAAGATTTTAAAAAGGATCCAGAAGGTAAAGTGGAGTAAAAAGATACCTCGATATTCCATTAAATGAATAAATCCTTGGCAACCTTGTCCAACGCCAATAAAAATTATATTTTTGGCATCCACCATTCTAAAAAATTAATTTTTTTTAAATTATCAAGTATTTTTTACTCTAAATGATTATCCCATATATAAATACAAAGTTCTCTAGTAATTGATGCTAAATTATATGGCTCATCCTAAAAATATTAAAACTAAATATTTTAGAATAAATTTATTTTTTACATTTAAATTATTTAAAGGAAAAATGTTAACATCCATAAGACCATAGTGATTTTTAATAGCCCAATCAATATACAAATTAAGAGAATCAATCTAACAAGATTAAAAAGAATTTAAATTAAAATCAACAATACTAAAAATGAGTTATGTAAATTTATTTTATTTACTGAAGCTTCAAAATATCCAATAACATCAAGACTATTAATTAGTTCATAAACTTATTTAAATTTATTTATAAAAAATACATACGTATCATGAACAATAACAACAAGAGTTTCTACTTTATAAAAATCTTTTCTAGATATTTATTAGAACATAATAAAGTTTATAAAAATATAATATACGTGCAGATTATTTGGTTTTCAAAAGATGAAATCGATTCTTTAATTACAGGTAATGCTATCATTTGCCACTTTTCAAACATTTTTTTTGTTTGATAACATCGAACAACATCTTATTTTAATTAGCATAATATTTTTTAACATAAGTATATTCTACCATCTAATCTCTTAACAATAGATGACTCTAAACCTAAAAAATTAATTTTAAGAATTATAGATTTATGAATTACTCAATTCTAAGTGCTTAGGAGTCATACAATTCCAATACTTTGAATGCTCTGATATAACTTTTTGTATAGTTTGAATACAAGCATCACTAGCTTTAGTTATCTTTAATTCTGGTGGAGGTTCTCCAATTAAAGTTTTTGTTACAGCTAAAGCAGATCTTGATATCGAATCAAGATTATAACCACCCTTATAGATATTAGAAAAAAATAACAGTAATATACATATATTAAATAACCTCTAGTACTGCTACTAATTTTCCTTGAGCCAATCCCATAAGCATCTGTGTCATATGAGCATATCCAACAGGAGTGACAAAACATTCGCCAATTTCATCCCCTATAGCAGCATCGAATCCGGAAGAAACTATAATATGTAAAAGATTTCCTTTATATATATATATATATACTTATAACCATATTAGGATTGTATTCATATGCAATAGGCAAAACTACTTTTTGAAAAGCATATATATAATCACTATCGCCCATTCCTTTGCATGGCCATGGGATATTAACAGTTCTGGGTTGTTATATTTAAATAAAAAAGTAAAATTTAACTAACTTTCCAAGTCCTTTTCCAGAACCAACTTTATCATAATTACCGTACTTGGTGCCAGGATAAAACCTTCCATCTTCATATCTATGCAAAGATATATAAAGTACTGAATCATCATCATAAAAAACTCTTTGTGTTCCATTTCCTTTGATATTTAGAAAAAAAAACATTTACGTTTAAATTACCATGATGGACATCCCTATTAAAACAATTAGAAATTAGTAAATTAAAAATATTTTAAAAACCAATCTAGAATTAAAATGCGTTGAATATTAGAAAATTTTTGAAAAATACATTTAGCTGCAATCGCTACATTACTGAATAAACAAAATCCCATAGCACAATCTGATTCTGCATGATGACCAGGTGGTCGTACTATTGCAATTGCATTTCGAACCTTTTCTTCTGCAACTGCTACACATGTTTCAATTGTTCCTCCAGCAGAAAGTCTAGCACAAAAAGCTGATTCATTATTGAAATAAACCGAATTATGAATACTTTCAAAATACATAAGCTCACTCAAAGACATCCCTTTAATATTTTAAAATAGCTTTGAAATTTAGAAATTAATTTTACCCTCTGTTTGAAGTAAAGTATCCCAGTGATTTTCTGTATGGACTAGCAGTGCTTCTTCACGAGTCAATTCTCTTGCAGAAATCCTGTGCATAATCTCATCTTTATTCGAGCCTGAACATGTCCATTTGTAATATTCAATAAGCCCAGCATCTGCTATTTCTTTATAGATCCGATAAATCCTTCGAGGATCTTCAGGATGAAAATCAATTGGATTAATTGTTGCATGAAACCGCATCCGTACATCGTAACATAGTCCCGTTTTCAATCTAAATTTATATTTATGCTTTTCTTTAACATATACATTCTTATTTATCGAATCTAAACTTATTTGCTCCATACTACTATTTTCCATCTCATACTCTTTCAATTGAGAAGATAGTTCTCTTTTTTCTTCATTTTCGGCTCCATATGAAACATTAACTTGATCATTTTGCAATTCTATTGTATTTTCTACTGATGTAGCTAATTTAAATGGTATATCTTCTACAACTGCTGTATCCACTGCAAAAACATTGTTCTGTTCTAAAAAGGCTGAATCCTGAACCGAATCAGATTCTTTTAAAGGTTCAGTTTCATTCATTGTCACAATATCTTTTTTTTCTTTCAAAAATCATAGAAAATCTCCTATATTTCTTTGTAATTTCTTTTTTATGTTTCTCTCTCAAATTAAGTTTTTAAAATATAAAAAAAAACTCTATGACAAAGAAAAATATTCTAAATACTATTCATTCTTCATTTGTCTAATATTTACTTATTCTATTCAAATTTGCTTCATTTTTATTTTTATTTGCATTTGAGACGTCTCCCCGTTGACGTTAGCTCTCATTCATCCATAAAGATATTAATATTAATGTCAAAAATTTTTTTTATTATATAAATAAATATTAATATATACATAAACAATTTATCCTGTATTCTTATATATTTTTGTTTATTCCTTTAAACTTGCATATTTTTTTTAACTCTTTCGTTTTGCACAAGCGGGTGTGTAGATCGCGAAAAAGAATCCCCACGATAGTTACCATCATATTTAGGCTTTTGGAACTCTATTTTAAACCTTTTAACACGTATTAACGTGCCAAAACAATGCATTGGAGTACACTGCGGTGTCTGTTGCGTGCACAGCCCGTTTCTAGTGGTCTATTATGTCGGTCTATGAAAACAGCACGTAAACTTTCAAAACCACTGCTGCTTGGTCTGTAAATACATAAAATGACAGTAAACCTTGTTAAAAATGCTTCAGACTTAGAGAAACGATGGGATAATATGTCTCCTGATGAACAAATGGATATTCAACGGCAGCTGAATGAGAGACAACGTGGACCGTGGTCTGAGCTTTCGATGGAGGAAAAAAAGGCGGGTATGTTTTAGATAAAATATATACATGGAAAGACACTGTGCAGAATCTGTTCAATATCTTGCTTTTCGTTATATGTTTTCAGTGTGTTTCCTGTATTTTTAAGTAGCAATGGATTAATTAGCCTCTACAGCGTATTTCATCGCTTTTGGGCCTTATGGATCTCGGTCAATCATTCACCCACCAGGATTTTTTAAAAAGGTAGCTTTAGGGACATTAAGCATGCTTGCAATATCAGGTGTTCTATTTTACTGTATTCGTTCGTTTGGTATATATTTTTATGTTTTTTATTTTGTCTTATATACTATATAGCGGAGCCACCTCCACCTACGATGACTAAAGAGTGGCAGGAGGCATCAAATGAGCTTCTTAAATCACAGAATATTGAGCCTATTACAGGCGTTAGTAGTGAAGGATATACAGGAAAAGGCATGGTCAGATCTAAATAAAACATAAATTTATATATATTATGTATGTATCTAATATTGAATATCTGCTACATCACTTAAAACTCGTTTAAAATATACCTAATTCTTCTTATTTAAAGTGTTTCTGAATAAATATCTTATTTTAATCTTTTTCTTTATATATTTTCATATTTTTTAAATAGTAGCATCTATTAACACGTGAATATTAAATGTTACTTACCCGAGTTTAAAAAGTTATAAAACTTTAGGTATTTTTAGTAATTATAAGGCGGTGTTTAGTGGATTTTGTCTCTTATTTTCTCGTATTACCCGAATTTCTTCACTTTTACGAATCACAATGGTCAAATCTTCATTGATTAAGCAATCAGTACTTGAGTAATATATTGCATGTATTTTTTGCATGTATTGATAAATAATAGGTCATTTTTGGAGAGAAAAACAGTTTCTTCTGTGAAAGATGCACAAATAAAAGGTTTAAATTGTGTTTTGTTGCTTTAGACATCATATTTATTAAGTTAGATGAACATTATCCTTTGATTAAGAAAAAAAGAACATATGACGAATTAACAGTTAATAAAGAGAATATTTCTAGAGATGAAAGCATTAAATTGTCTAAAGAAGATATTATGTTAAAGGTTTTATATAATAAAATTGAAAAAAAGTAAAAATAATCAGATCAAGCTGAAAAATGATAAAAACAATATACAAAATACAAATCAGCCTATCCCATATGCGTTGCTTTGTGAGACTTTTGAGAAGATTGAAAATACAACTAAAAGGCTGGATATTCTTTCTTATACAACCGATTTTTTGTTTTTAGTATTAACAAAATCTCCTGAAAGTTTATTACAATCAATATATTTAATGACAAACAAAGTAACTATGTTTATACTTATGAAATAATATTGAGTAGATAGGTATCATCAGATTACGAGGGTTTAGAGCTAGGTATTGGTGAATCTCTATTGATTAAAGCGATTGGAGAGTCAACGGGTCGAAGTATAACAAAAATAAAACAAGACTATAAAGAGCATGGTGATCTTGGACTTGTAGCAATGGTAATTTCTATATTAAAAAATTAAAAGGTCTAATAGAATTAGAATTCACGAAACAATCAACCTACAATGTTCAAGGGTTCTATGCTTACGGTACCTAGTGTGTTTAAATCTTTAAAGGAAATAGCAACAACATCAGGAAAAGATGTACTATATGTGTATATAATAAATTGTTTTAATTATTATAGTCACAAGTGAAGAAACTTGGAATTATAAAAAAGCTTTTATCAGTAGCTAATGGAAGCGAAACAAAATTTATTATAAGGTCATTAGAGGGAAAATTAAGAATAAGATTGGCAGAGAAGACAGTTATAATGTCTTTAGCGCATACAATGGTGAAAATACAAGCAGAGAAAGAAGGCACTATTGTAACTCCATCTTATCTTACAAATGGAGAAAATATTATTAGAGAAGTTTTTAGGTAATTATCATTATTTTTATTGGATTTATTTAATATATATTAGTCAAGTTCCTTCATACGATATAGTTATTTCAGCTCTTCTTAAAAATGGCATTCAGAATCTTCCTGAAAACTGTAAATTAACACCAGGTATTATGAATTTATATTAAATATTTATTAATTTTTTAGGAATTCCGCTAAAACCTATGTTAGCAAAGCCCACAAAAACAATATCTGAAATTTTTGATAGGTTTGAAAATCAAAATTTCACATGTGAATATAAATATGATGGTGAACGAACACAAATTCATCTTATACCTAACGGTGAAGTTAAAGTATTTTCTAGGAATTTAGAAAATATTTCAAATAAATATCCTGATATTGTAGGAGTTATACCAAAGGTACAATAATATAATTCTTTGATTTATATTAATTTATAAATATAGATTATTAAAGATGGAATAACAAGCTTTGTATTGGATTGTGAATCTGTTGCATGGGATGGAATCAATAAAGTTATTCAACCTTTTCAAATCTTGAGTACAAGAAAGAGAAAAGATGTTGACATTGAATCAATTAGAGTTAAAGTTTGTATATTCGCATTTGACCTACTCTATTTAAACGGAGAAGTTATTTTCAATATTTTTTAGATTTTTATTTTAATATATGTTAGTCCCTTATACATAAGTCGTTTCGTGAAAGAAGAGATTTATTAATTCAATCGTTTAAACCTTTAGAAGGAGAATTTTCTTTTGTTCAGTTTAATGATTTAAAGTCTTTAGAGGATATTCAGGTATTTTTAGAAAAAAGTATTCAAGATAGTTGTGAAGGTTTAATGATCAAAATGCTTGATGGAGAAGAATCTGGATATGAGCCTTCTAAAAGAAGTAGAAATTGGTTAAAGGTTATATTATTACTTTTTATATTTATTTTAATAAGATTAGTTAAAAAAAGACTATATGTCAAATATTGGTGATTCTTTAGATCTAGTTGTTTTAGGAGGATTTTATGGTCGAGGAAAGCGTACAAATACGTATGGAGCATATTTGCTTGGTTGCTATGAACCTGATAAAGGTGTTTATGAGAGTATTTGTAAACTTGGAACAGGATTTTCTGATGAAGTTTTGGAATCGTATACAACTTTTTTCAATAATCATATTTTGAAACATAAAAAATCTTACTATCATCATAGTGCAAAAGGAGAACAACCAGATGTATGGTTTGAGCCTGTTGCAGTATGGGAAGTTTTGGCTGCAGATTTAAGTATTAGTCCGAAATATTTAGCTGCTGTTGGAATGGTTTATAATATATAATCATTTAAACATATTAACAAAATTAGGTGGATTCTGATAAGGGTATATCATTAAGGTTTCCTAGGCATATTAGGGTTAGGGATGATAAAACCCCTGAAGAAGCTACAACTTCTGAGCAAGTTGCAGAAATGTATGAAGCTCAGTTATTTAGACAAAAAAATATATCTAAACTCGAGGAAAATGATGATGATTTTGATTACTGATTTTGATTACTAATTTTTTACATTGGTTTTTGTTTTAATTTTGGGTTTTCATATTATATTTTTTACATGACCAAAAGCATTTTAAAACTAATGAGATGTTTTTTTGTATTTCAAAATTAATTGTAGATATAAAATAGGGTTTTGAAAGATTTATACATTAGAATAATTGTCTTTATTTTTCATATTTTTTTAATTTTACATTAGTAGGAAATCACTAGTGTTTTAAATGTTCCAATATACTTGCAATGTATAAAACTTAATAAGACATAAAGTTATTAAAAAATATACTTCATTTATAAACATTCCGAATTAATAAATATACTTTAGACTTTTTTTACAATTTATTAATTATCTCTATATACGGGTGCTATTTTATACATGTTTGATAACCTATAGTATTTTTCTGAATAAAAAAGCTCCAAAATTAGTTGATAAATACATATTATAAATATATTTCTTAAAAAATAACAAAATATATCTTTCTCAATAAGAAAATTTTAAAATAACCTTCATTCACATATTTAAAGACCAAATAGCATTTTATATATATTAAATAACACCTAATTACAAAAAATTGCTAATAGATGAATTTAACCCATACTTCAGCCAAAACACTTCAATCTGTCTAAAATATATTCCAAAAATCTTTTTCTAAATTTTAACTAAATCGGTCTTTAAATTATATATTAATACTATTTTTGATATTTATCAAATAACATATTATTTAAATACGAACACTACAAATTTTAATAAAAAATAAAAATTTTTAAGAAAAAAATATAGACAACGACAAAACATCCTTCTGTTCAAAAAACTATCTTCTAAAAACAATAATCTATTTTTTAATACAACATGATTTTTAGGGTCTCCCCGGTGGGAAAAATCTAACCGTTAAAAAATTAAATCGATTAGAGATTTTCAGATTTTTGTGGAATTACTGTTAGAAATAAAAATAAGTATTTATAACATTATTATCTATGTTTTTTTAATTTTTCATTGAGACCTTGAAATATTTTTCTGTGAAAAAGTTTTAAAATACCAAAAAATTATAATACATGAAATTCGGCAGCTTTAAATCAGTTTGTCGCTCAAGTACTCTCCCGAGTATGTCTTAAGTTCTTTTTTCTTGTATTTTTGTATGTCTACTAATAGTATTTATTAGTATGCAATATATTTTTGGGGAATTTTGAACCATACTGTCTGTTGAGAGGGCTTGGACATGTATTTGGGATCCGAATAAAAAATCCATGTATTGTTTCTATAATTAATTTGTTTATATCTGATTTATTGATAAAGTGGATGTTTTTTTTGCTTCTATATCAGCATTGGTTGCACTATGGCTTATTATTCGGTCTCAGTCAAAATATGCAGCAGTTGGTAATTTTTTTATGATCTTTGATGAACGTTATTTGATCTGTATAATCCAGGCCGACGGGAGATGCAGATATTGATTTTAATCTATTTTTTCATTAGTATTTGCCAAATATTTACTATTGGGGGATTTATTACTGATGCCAAAGTATTTGGGGTAATTTAATGTGTATAATATTTTGAAATATTAATATTATTTTAAAGTATTTTACGGCTGCCCATATAAGTTTTATAGTAACGTTTTTCTGGGTTCTTTTATTAAATGCAATTGTTGGATATCAACTATTTGAAGATGGAACTATTTTTTCAATTTCAGTAAGACCTAATTGCTTTTAAAAAGCCTTTTTTATATTTCAATAGTTATTGGTTGTCCCTTCTATATTATTATTTGTTGGTTCTGGATATATTATTTTAGATTCAATGTTTTTTTGGAGCGATACTTTTATAGATAATTATTATGCGCTTCGAAATTATGGAGCGTATATTTTATACTTTTTGTGGCCTCTTGTTTCTATTGTTGGGTATTTTGTATTGGAGTTTATATTGGTTTTTAAAGTATTGGAAGAATGGAAGCCTTTATGTCAGTGTTTTCTTGATTTTCATTTGCTTATTTACTTGTGTTTAGTATTACTATCGGGTTCTTTAGTCTCATTCATAGTTGGTCAAATATTTAATTTTGTTGCAAGCAGACATATTTGTCACATTGTGCATGGAAAAATAGATGGCTCATTTATTGAAACAATTTTTCTCCTTATAAGTATGATTCTTTTATTTAAATTTTGGGATTCAATTACAGAAGGTATTCTGCACTGTAAACAGCTTTCTTCATTCTAAAGAATAACAGATGATTGGGAAGAGCCTATGTTTCAAGAAACTCAAATGAGTAGTGTTCCGAAATTCGATTTTTCTCCATAATTCAAAATAAAAATCAGGAGACTCCTTTATGACACCATCCTTAACTTATTAATATTAGATATTTATGTACTAGTGTTATGAGTATTTATATTATAATTTTTTAAATGATTATAATATATTAAATATATATTATTTTTTATGAAGATTTTATATAATTATTAATTTTCATGTTTATTAGTATTCCAAAATATTATATACAAGTATTTTTCCTTATATCTACTTTTAATATACTTGGCATTTTAAGTTCATTAATATCCTTAAAGTATGTTTCCATATATAAAAATAACAAGTTTACGCATTTAAAATACAGATCTGACAAAAAAGATTAATACTGTATCATTTATCCATATTTATGAATTTCTTATATAAAAAAGATATACTAATAAATATGTTTTTTAGAAGTTGAAAAAAATACATCAAACATAGGTGTTAAGGACTGTACAAGTGTAAATGAAAATACTAACTTAGGCCCCACTGTAAGAATTTTTGGTGTTAATCCTTTAAAGAATGAAAAAAAGCCTATTTCAGTTTATTTGTATTTATTTATATAAAGATTTAAATTACCTTCATTTTTAATCATACTTCGTAAAATTAAGATACCACTTTTTGGATAATGAAAATCCCGACTTTGTACACGAGTCTTGATAACATCCAATGGTGCACTAACCTATTTTAACCTGTCCTAAATACTAAAAAATGTAAGAAAAATGGAACTTACAGTAAGACTGGCAACTGCACCAGCAATAGATGCTACAAAATTTTGCATCCATGTAGCTTTGCTGTAATCTGAAAGACCAAAAAGATGATCCTTTACAAGAGCACTACCTCCAAAAAGCTATGCAAAATAAGCTTAAACATAAATATTTTTATTATTACAGAAAAACTCCCTGGAGCATTCCGAGCAGCTGTCCAGCCCCATCCTCGATATAATTTGAAATTTTCTTCAATAATAATATCAATTAATTTTCTTCCTTTAAATGCATCAGGATTCGTTTGATGTTTAATTTTTAATATATCAAGAGGAAGAAGCACAATTTCTCCTATCCCAATAAGACTTAAAAGATTTAGATTTCTTCTTTCTCTCCTTAATAAAATTGTACCTCCCAGCAGTAGCATGTATTATTGCTTTACTATTTTTTCCAAAAATATTTTGAAAATTTTTCCCATAATGAGTTGATAAATAGTCAGTGATCTATATAGAAAGGTGGTTAAAAGTATTACTTGACAAGTACAATATTTACAATAGGCTGACCAGAATATTTATATATACGTTGAAGAATTTTATATCCAGCTGCATATCCTAAGCCAGGAAACAATGATAAAAATTTTAAAGATAAGGAAGAAGAAACTTTTTCTTTAAAAATAACTTCATTTAAGTGTGACAGAGATGTTATTTTCCCATAATTACTCATAAGTCTTTTTGAAATTGTATCGGCCTGAATATGTTTATATATAAAAAATAAAATTAAACGCAAAAAAAACATACAGGATGGAAAACTGCCAATTCAAGTATTCCTGCTGCCATAGATCCAGATATACGTGCAACATTACTTTCTTTGTTGTAATTTAAACTTGACTTTGTAGATCTTGTAGAAAACATTTTTTTATCGTTTAAATTCTCCCAAAAAAAATAAACTTATAAGTAATACATTTTGAACAATAGTTTTTGAAAATACACTGTTTTTTGGCCTTTTAATTTCTGTTTTTCCTTTAATTCAATAAATTTTAGAAAATTTTGTCAAAAGTTTGATTCGATCATCGATTATCAATCATTTTCTGTATTATATATAAGAGTTTCAATAATAAGTAAAAAATGATTAAAATTGGCTCAAAATGAATAGAAATTTTTATATCATATTTTTTTAGAAAATTTCCATTTATTTTTATTAAATTTATTGCAAAATAAAATTTAAACTGTTTCTACGGAAAATATGAAACAGAAATATTTCTTTGATTCTTATAAGTTGAAAACAGCAGTTTAAGGTTTTATTTAGCAATTTTTATATAATAAATAATTTTTTGTTCTAAGCTAAAATTCGCACTATAAAATAGGGTAGATTCTAAACGTAAAATTTTATAAATTGTACATAAAAGGCATATTATTGTGTGTTCTTTATAAATTATCTATTTATTGAACTTCTATCAAATGCCTTAGAATAAAAAACTATTATGTTTTCTTTAAAATGTAACAGTTATATTCGGTGAAATGGGGAGATTAAGAGGAGAATAATGCTCCAAAGATCAATATTTCCTTATCGCATCGAAAACATTTATGTATTTTTCCTAAATAGAATTTATTTATTGCTTTTTCTATGAATCATAACAATATTTTTTATAGATTTTCTTAGAAGTATATTTAAATTTACTATATTTTTTTATTTGTATCTTTGTATCTAAGTTATTTAAACTTTGTAGAAGATATATAAATATGTTTTATAGTTAATTAAAAATATAACATGATATATTTTTATATATTTTTAAATTAGATTATTTAATCTTTTAAAAATACAAAATTAACAAAATTTTTAATTATTTTTATATCTTTGTGGTAAAGTTGATATATACTTCTATTTCTAAATATTGACAGTGATTAAAAGTTAGAAATTATTACAATTTTATCTTAAACCATTAATAATGTTGGAAAAAAAAAATATTTTATTATATAAAAAAAAACAATTTTTAAGTTATTAAGTATTTATTCATTGAATAATAAAGACTTAGTAGAAACATATATATATTTTTAGCTAAAAAATCTTTATAAAATTGAGTTTTATTATACTTTATTTCAAATGTCAAATGAATTTACAAAAAAAACAAATATTGAAATTTATGACAATTCTAAAAATAATATACACTTAAATCAAAAAGAATTTGCTTGTGATTTTTTTGATGAGTATTATTATGATGATGTTTTAATTCCTACTCAAGAAAGAATACTAATAAATGAAAAAAAATATACGAATATATCATTTGATTGCGAGGATTCTAAATGTACAAAATTAGGATATAATATTCCTTTTGAGCTTGTTGCTCCTTACAGAGATGATTTAAATTTATGTAGACCATATCTTAGTAAAAAAGCTCGTCAATTTCTTCGTCATGCAGGGTATTGGGAAGAACTTGAAAAATTAGAAAATCATATTATACATGTAGATTTTACAGGTTATGAAGCATTTATGTTGTCACGGCTTTTGTTTTTTTTAGACGATAAACAAATCGAAGAAAGAATTAATTCTTTTCTACCTGGACGAACTATTGATGACTGTAAAAGATTTTTAAATGATTATCCAGATTTCAAAACACCATATGATTCAATTGCTATCAAAGTCCTTCCTAAAGGTCCTGAAAGATCAGTACAGGATGATAGAGCTATAAAATCCAATTTGATGAATCTTTTTTTACAGCGTCAATGTGGTGGAAGGATTCATCCTAAATATGCAAAGAATATTTCAAACGATATAGATTCAAAAATAATTCATTTTTTACGACCCCACAAATTTTTTGATCGAACTAGTGGTGATGTAATTGATTTAGCCTTTGATTCTTTAGGTAAAAAATTTGCTTTTGGATGTTCCACAACCCAAGATGAATATAACCGTGAAGGGAATTTAGTTATATGTGATATGGAAAGCGAAACTTGCACTGTTTTAATGGATCATAAAATAATTACTAATGAAAATGTTTTCTATCCAACAGTATCTAATGTTAAATTTTCAGCTGATGGATTATTTCTTTTTTCTGGAGCTTTTGATTCCACTGTGAAAGTTTGGTCAAGATCAGGTCACTTGTTAAATTCTTTTAAAGGTATTAAAAATTTGTAATTTGTATAAAATAAATTAAATAAAAGTTAGATTCTGATGGAAAAATTGATATGATGGCAACTCATCCCACAAATCCTAGAATATTATCTGTATCTTCACATGATAGGTTGACTCATCATTTTTCGTTAATTAAAATTAATTCTTTTTTTAGCAATATTCATTTGTATAGGTTAAATGAAGATGGATTATCTACTTCATATACAAAATTAGGAACAATAAATCATAATTTTTATGGGTCTGCAATGACGTTTGGAAATCATGTACTGGATCATTTTCTTGTTGTTGGTTATGAAAATATAGATGAATCTAAATATTTAGGTACTGCAATTGTATTTGATATTACAAAAGAGACATTTTTAAAAGAGTTAAAAACAGAAGGCACTTCACATACATCTGTTTTTGCACATGAGTTTTCAAATTATTTCATTACAGGTAGTAATACATTTAAAGACGGAAGAATAAGAGTTTATACTGCAAAAGATTGGTCTATAGTTATTGAGTGTTATTCTCCCCAAAAAGATATTAATCAAGTTACTTTAAGGTTTGTATTTAATAATAGTAACAGTTTGTACTTATAAATTTTTAGCCCCTGCCTTCGATATTTGACTTCAAGTGGCACTGATTGCTGCACTTACATCTGGGATACAAGAAAACCTGATATACCGCTTCATATTTTACGCCATGGAAAAACAAAACTGGTATATTCAGATAGCGCTAATTCAGAAGATCTTGATTCAGGAACAACCGTCTCTTTATGGAGCCTTTACGCATTTGGTTTTATAACGGGTGGCTCTGATGGATATTTAAAACTATGGAATCTTGGTCATAACGAACCTTTTGTATCTGATATTATTGAAGTAGACTCTGCAATTACTGCAGCTTGCATGTCTCCTGATGAAGATATATTTGTTGTTGGTGAAAGCACAGGTCATATCACTGTTTTATCGACACAGAGTACAGGATCAATAACTTCTTTTTGTATTAATTCACAAACAAATTCTACTAGCAAAGAAAAAGCTACAAAATAAATAATATACCATTTTCAAAATACCTTTTTTAAACTTATTATTACATCTTCAGATTAATCATATTTCAAAAAATTTAAAAATATTTATCTATTTTCTATAAAATAGGCATATCAACCATTTTATCATTAATAACTCTTCTTTTATTCACAATTATTGCATTTTTTTCTTTCCTTACTTTCACTTGATTATCAACGTATAATCAACGTATAACCAACGTATCATTGCTGCACTTACCAACTTTTCTGCACATCAAATATCATATTAAATACCATTTAAAATATAAAAATGATAGTGCAGCGTCTTGTTCCACGGTATGCACATACTTCAGGTCTTACAAGAGTTGCATATTCTTTAGATGGGGTTTTTTTGATGACAGTTGGCTCTAATCAAGTAATTCGGAAATTTACAGTGGATTCAGATGATGAACCAGTAACAATTGAGCATCATCAGGATTCAATTACAGGAATTTCAATTTCTGTATGTATTTGATAGGTTTAATTGCAATTTTTTCTTATGAAATTAGAACAGACAATTTGCAACATGTTCAGAAGATGCAACAGTTAGTTTATTTTCTCTTAAAACAAATGAATGTTTAACAATGCTAACACGATGCTCTTTGCCAATAAGAGATATTGCTTTTAGTCCAGATGGGGATTGGCTTGCTGTTTGTAGCGAGTAATCAGTTTTGAATTGTGAAAAATGGTTAATTAGATCCAGCGAGATGCGGGTAAAAGTTGTTAATACAACGGACTATTTGCGTATTCTACATCTATCTGGATTTTCTAAACCAGCCAAACATGTATCGTTTAATCCTAGTAGTAAATTTGTCTCTGTCTCATGTACGGATGGTATTGTCTATATTTTTTCTTTTACTAGCGAAGAACCAAGTCTTATTCATACAATGGATCACGTTATTCCCATATGTGACTCAGATTCTGAAGTATGTTCAAAAGTGATATGGCATCCGGACTCTGAGTCGTTTGCTGTACCTACTCGTATCAATGATATTACGGTATTTTCTAAATCATGGAGAGAAAGAATGTCATTTAAGAGTGGACATTTAGATGCAATTACAGATATTGCATGGTCACCGAATGGTGCATATTTATGTAGTTCAGGAAAGGACGGCAAACTTTTAATATGGGAAGTAAAAACACAAACCATTATCATGAGGTTTATTTATGTTTTTTATAAAATATGTGATTAATATATAGAAGGCAAGAGTATAAGAATGTAATTTCACTTGCATGGCATCCAAGGGCTAATGTTTTATCATTTACTACTAATCAAGGCCAGTTATATACCTTTCCAAACGTTATTCCATCAAATTATCAAGAACCATATGGCCGGATCACTCATCTAACTCCTTTATTAAATGAAGAAAGCATAAAAAGTCCTATTAGCAAAAAAAGATATATTAATGATTTTAATAAAAGAGAATTAAGTGATGAGGAATTAGTTGATATTGGCCATGATACTAGTTGGATTGAAGATGATGATGGTGCAGGATATGTTTCAAAATATAAATATGACGAAAATGGATATAAGAAATCTATTGGTGATATTTCAGATGATGATTTTTATTACGATACAAAAAGAACTATGAATAGCTATAAAGCTAAAATACATACTCCTTTTCAACCAGGAAGTACTCCTTGGAGAGAGAAAAGGCGTTATCTTGGTATTTTTTAAATTTTTGTCATCTTATTGCTAAAAAAATAGTGCTTAACCTCATTGGATTTATTTGGACTGTTGATCAAGACACTCATAATACAGTTACCGTGGAATTTTTTGACAAAGAACTCTATCGTCAATACCATTTCACTGATATTTTTTTTTATGATAAGGCTTGTCTTAGTATTTATATATCTTTTAAAAATTTAAAATTAATATAATTAGATGATAATGGTGCACTGTTTGCTAGTTCAAATAAAAAAGGGAACTCTGCAGTTATATTTTTTCGACCTCATGAAAACTGGGCTGCTCACGCTGATTGGAAAATAGAATTTTCTTCTGACGAAGATATTTTATGTATATTTATTAATATTCATCATGTAATATTTCTAATTTCATTAGCTATTTCATTAAGTAGTTCAAATATTGTTGCATGTACTTCGAAGGGTTATTTAAGATCTTATACATTAAATGGAATTCCTCTTCGAATTTACCGTCAAAAGTATTTTCCTGTTGTAACATGTATATCATGGAAAAACTATGTGATGGTAGTTAATAATGGTCCATTAAATTCTAATGGTAAAAAGTTATTTTTTTAATAAAATATTTATTTTTCAAGGAACAATATCTTTGGTATATACTCTTGAACATATTTTACAAGATGATACATTACAATCAAATGATTTATTACCACTTCCACCAAATGGGCATTTGCAATCAATATTTTTTTCTGATCAGGGTGTAAGTTAATCACTTATTATTATTTTTTTAATGAATACTAGGATCCTATGATTTTTGATTCGGATGGAATATTACTTGTTTTGTTACACTGGAGAGTTCATGGTCAAGCAAAATGGGTTCCACTTCTTGATACAAATCTTATGGAAAGAAAAAAAGGAAAAAATGAATCGTATTGGCCTATTGCAGTAGCTAATCAAAAATTCTATTGTATTATATTAAAAGTAATATTCATATATTATAAATTTTCATATTTATTTGAGTCAGGGAAATGAACAATACCCACATTTTCCTCGTCCTATGTTTAGTGAATTTGATTTTTCTGTACCTTGTATTATACCAACTGATTCAGGAGAAATTAGCAACATATCTGCATTAGAAGAGAGACATGTCAGAGAGTCTATTTTATTAACTCTTTTAGAAGATACTATAGTTTCATCTGCTGGAAATTCGTTAAAATTAGAAATATCAAAAAGAGAGGCCTCAATTGATAAAATTCTTCTACAATTATTACAAATTGCATGTAAAGAAGATCGACAAGCTAAAGCATTAGAACTTGCAACACTTTTACGCCTTCCAGTAAGTCTTGAAGCAGCACGTAAAGTTGCCGCGCACTACATGAAAACAAACTTAACAGAACGAATTACTGCTTTAGCGGAAGAATCAATAACATAAAAATACAAATCTTAATGTCTAAAATTCATAATCGATAGAATTCATTTGATAAATAGAAATAAATACAAATATATAAAAAAGTAAAGAAAATATATGCTCAGAAAAAGATCTAATAAAAACATTTTACATGTTTATCAATGCTTTTTTTATAAATCATTTTAATAACTAATTTATTAGATTTAAATAAACTCCATACGTTATAGATTAAAATATAGGTCTTTTTTTCATGAATATTGGTTCTTCTCCCTGTGGTGCACCAGGAATAACTTTCTCAAGTTTCTAAACATTATTAATAAAACAGATATCAATTATGCATAAAATATACTAAATGATCAAAAACACACTTATTAAATTCTCTTTCATCAACTCTACATGCACGGAATTCATGATTATTGTTATCCAGACATTGCCAATATTTTTTAAAGCTGCTAGCACAATATGTATGTAAATCTTCTAATCTATAAAAGAAAAATATTAACACCTCTTTATAAAAGGAAAATATATAAAAAAGGGAACGAACACGCTAATAGAACACCGAGTAACACGACGGCCTTCTTTTAAACACGGCTCTTCTCCTTTTCCTTTATTTTCCGCCTTGCAAAGCATGTAATCTTCATTAAATGGTTTACAACGTGCTCCAATAAAATATGAAGCTGCTTTCAATGGTGCTGATGTTGCACCTACTTCATCAACAGCTGGAATTCCTTCAGGAAGAGGTGTTTTATCAATCTGTGGATTCTGATCAGTTTATAAAAAAGTAATATGTCAAAAAACCAAAACGTATTGATTTAAAACAGGTTCTTCAGAAGCCCTATAAGGACATATAGTAAATACTAATATAACTTATAAACATTTATTATACTTACATGTTTTATTTAGGTTTTTACTTTTTAAATATTAATAAATGTTTATCGTAACGTTTGGATATTTTAAATTTTTAATAATTTCTAAATATTGTTATAAATAGAATGAATTGTTAAGAATTGTTTCATTTTTTTGGATTAAACAGAAGTTTTATACGGTATTTATAGAATTGAACAATATGTCGTTTTTTCAAAGTATGTTTTTTCTAAGTTTAAAATCTCTTCTAATATTAAAGCTGGACAAACTGGAACAAGTGCAAATGGATTAAAAGGTAGTGATTATTCACGTATTTTCCTGTATTTCTTATTGGTTTTAAAGGCTTTGGTACAACCAGCACAACATCAACAACATCAATGACACTGGCAACTCCAACAAATACTATGTTAGGAGTCTCAACACCTTCAACAACTACAGGAGGCTTATTTGGGTCTCCTTTTAATACTTCTATTGCTTCTGCTACACCTACAATGCAGACAGCGCCAATGAATACAAATATTAGTGGAACATCAGGTGTATCAACAGGTACAATACCAGGTGTAGCTTCAGGCTCAATATTTGGTACACCAATATCTACTGGATTAAACACAGGAGCTGGAACACCATTAGGAATGACGCTGAATACTACACCTGGGGCGTTATCTAATGTTCCTGCTAATACAACGTTGGGTATGACTTCTGGTACAACATTAAATGCAACAAATACATTACAAGCACCATCTCAGCCATCTATGTTAACGTCTTTTGGTACTTTTTCTCAACAAAATACACAAAATACAAGTACATCTGGTTTAAGTAATTTACCATTGTATACATGGGGTGGGCCATCTCAAAAGATAGTATCTCGCTATAACCAGCTTCAAATTCAAACACCATCAGATACATTAGAGGTAGGCGGTTTGAAACGTGGAGCAGGTCAATCAGGAATGTTTGGTAGTGGTTCTATTCTTGGTCTTGATCAATTTCCATCGATTGTGGAACAGCTTCAAAGACTTAAGAATGCATGGGATCCAACACACCCTGATTGTGCATTCCAGCACTATTTTTACAACAGAGTCCCACCAGATGAAGTGGCTTTATATGTTAAACCTTTGCATCATAATCAACAAAAATGGGATGAAGCAGTTGCCAATCGTCCAGAAAATAGGTATAGTATTTTTTCTTTTCTTGGTTTAAATTTAGTATGATTTAGTGTTGTTCCTGCATTGGCAGTAGGATTTTCTGATATTCAAAAAAGAGTACAGCTTCAGGAACAACAAGTTATGGCATATCGTGTTCGTATGCATGAAATTGTTAATAAACTTGGAGAGTTGTCACAGAAACATGATCTTAGTACTACTATAAAGATATCAGAAGCAACACTAAGACATTTGGAGCTGGCCCGCCGTTCATTAGCGTTAGCAGCAAAAGTTCAGGTATTAAAAGGAAGAGGTTATGCCCTTCAATCAGAAGAAGAAAATTTAAAACAGCGATTGAAAGAACTGTCAATAAAAATAAACGACCCAAGCGTATTTGGAAGAATGAACGAGCTTTGGGCACGTATGACATTTATACGTGAAAAAGCAAAATCAATTGAAAAGGAAAGAGAAGGTGGAATTATGATTAGTATCAACTGGAGGAAAGATGAGGAACAATTAGAGAAAATTGCAAAAGTCCTTAGTGATCAGCATGCTGGGATTTCATATGTTATACATATTTTGAAAGGAGATTTAAGTGAGGTTGAAAAAACGTTAGAAATCATAGAAGAACGCAAAAAAGCACTTGAACGGCCTAAATCACGGGGATCCAGATAAATACCTATTATTCTAATGCACATCCGATAAACCTTCATGTATTCATATTTATTTGTTTGTTTATATAAGAAAATCGATAAAAATCATTTTTTTCAAAGATTTTCAGATAAATTTCATTGTTTACAACTTGTTTTAGTTTTGCAAAAACTTACGTTTGAAAACAGCTAAAGCGACTGGTGCTACCAAAAGTTATTTTTTTTTCAGTTTTTCTCAGGAAACAAACTGCAATATAATACAAAAATAATAAAAAGTGCTTTTTGTTGCTCAAATCTTGACTTTTTTACATATTTTTTAAAATTCTCTTCACTAGTAGGACAAGAAGGCCCATTAAACATCTTCCTTAAGCAAAACCAGTCTAATATTTGCAAAATACCTTCCTCTTATTTAAAAAATTAAAATATCAGAAGTTTGTCGGTTTTAAATCGTAGATGAATCTAGTCAAATAAGACTATTTATAAAGAAATTGATTTGTATAACTAAGAATAAAAAACAGTTTTCCTGGAAAAAATTAAATCAAATATTACTTTTGGCAATCTTTTTTTTATATTTTTGCTTTATATTTTTACACAAATCAAATTAACAAAAAAGACTTTTCAAAACTCTGATTCGTTTCAAATACAACTAAAACAAGCAAAATATTTAAAAATAACATCATTCTTATGCAACTGTATTTTTAATACTCATATTTCAACGATTCTTGTCAAAGCAATATTGTCGAAATATCGGTGATAACGTCATGTCAAGTTTTGAAGAAATAAATGTAAAATTTAGAGGAAAAAGTCTATATAATTGAGGCTAATTTGTGTATTTTAGGAAGAAATAAATAATGAAAAGGACTTGGAAGAACCAGATTTGAATTCTTCGAAAAAATTGGATGAATTTGATCTAGATACTGATGAAGAATTATCAGAGTTAGATGAAGAACAATTTAAAGATTTAAGAGAAGCACAAATAGATAAATCATACGTAAATGAATACAATGTACATGATCTTCCACGTTTTAAGAAAAAACGAGGGCTTTCAGAGGAAGGAACAAAGCCTAAGAAAGTTAAAAGTATTAAAAAGCGGCGGAGCGGGGTAAATATATTATCAGAGGAAAATGACATTGAACAAAAACATGATATGACCCCAGAAGAGTGTATGAGAGTATTTTTTCCTAGAAGTATGTAATTTTTGGTAGTAGCACGCCAGGAATTAGATCAAGCATTAAATGAAGCAATTATGTCTTCTCGAAAAAAAAAAAAGAAAGAAGAAGTAATACTGCTATGTTTTCTTAATTGAATTAAATTGTTTTAGGATCTGGAGGAGATGGCAGATGATGAGATTGTTGCTCTTCGTGAAAAAATGCGGCAGGCCGCGATTGAAGATATACAAGCAAATGAAGAAAAAAGGCCAGCAATACAGAAGCTTAAAATGTTGTCTGAAGTAGAAAATGCATTAAGAAAGTATTACATTTATTATTTTTTAAAAAATTCTTATATTAGAACATCTTTTACAGAATCAATTCTCGATAATAATCTTTTAGAGGTAGTTAGAATATGGCTTGAGCCGTTACCGGATCGGTCGCTTCCTGCTTTGAATATACAGAAAGTACTTTTTTCAGCACTGTCTCGGTTACCAATACAAACGGAACATTTACGTGAAAGTGGTGTTGGAAAAGTTGTTCTTTTTTATAAACAATCTAAAAAACCAGATTTGTTAATAAAAAGACAAGCAGATCGGTTGATTTGTAAGAATAATTGCATTTTTATTATTTTTATTGATCCTTTAGCTGAATGGAGTCGTCCTATTATTAAAAGAAGTTCAAATTATAGAGATCGTTCCATTTCTACAGTATTATATAATCCAGAGTAAGGATTTTTTAGAATAAAACAATTTATAACTAATTGGGAAAGCACTATTGTATATAACGACCAAAAGACGTCTGGTAATGATATTGATGATTCTAAAAAAGCATATAGGAAAACAATTATACCCGTGCCTATTAGTTCATCATATGAAATTGCCCCTAAAGTAAACTTAAAGATAAACTCTACTGCTTCAAAGACACGAAATGATGATCATATTCGGAAACTAAAGCAGAAAATGCAAAAAATGAAACAATTAGGAAAACGTAATGGTGTATCTATTGAAGGAAGAAGATTCATTTAATAAAATATTATTTTTCAAAATTTCTATAATATTTGAAACTAAAATATTCTTATCTAAAAACTTTTTATTTTGATATTAAGAAAATATTGTAATTAAATATTTTTAATAGCATTATTAATCCTATATTTGAATGTTTTATAGCAATTCTAAAAAAAATATTTTTGCAGTTACTTTGTCTCTTCCTATATTAATTGTCTGGATCCATGTTACTTGGATAGGTATATTGATTTTCTTGATCAGGAATTTCTGTTTTCTTTCTATCCTTACCTATTATAGCAATTGTTGTTCCAGTAATAATTAAAACAATTCCGCAGAAACTCCAAACATCAGGAATATTCCCCCATATTAATTTATCATAAATAAGAGAAAATATTATTTGTAAATATACAGTAGCTGATGCACGCCCAATTTTTTCTATTTGTAATCCTTTTGTAAGTAAAACTTGAGCTAAAAATCCTGAAATACCAATAATAGATAACGCAAATACTTGAGAATAATCTAAAGGTAAATAAAAAGGAAGTTTAAGGAAAAAAATAACTAAAAAGGCACCAATTGATGAAATCAATGAAAACCATAAAACCGATTCTAAAGCATCTATGTGATTACCTAAGCCTATATAATATTAGTCTCTACAAAAATAACATTTATTATATACCTTTAATAATTATATAAGAAAGACATGTTCCCAGAACGCCAACTAATGACGTAAGAACTGGTATTACGTTTGAATTTGTAGAAGACATTGTTGTGTCAGATGAAGAATCTTTATTAGTCAATTTATGTGAAAAACGACTATTCAAAATAAAATCAGGCTTTGTAACGCATAATACGCCAGAAAAGGATATCAATGCAGGATAAATATCAAAGAAATTAAAGGTTTTGTATAAAATAGGATGCGCTAATAAATTTATAAAAATAGGATTTAAAAAAAGAAGTGCAGTGACATCTGAAAGATTTAAATGGCTTGAAATTTCATTAGTTAAAACACGTTTAATTTGGTTAATTTACTGTATTGAATAGTAAACACCACAAAGTCCAATAAATCCAAAAAGACTTCGAAGAAGTAAAAAAATTTTGGTCTTAAGATCTGTATAACATCTGGATGATGTTTTTGAATATCTATAGTATATGATTCCCAAAACATAAGTTGGAACCATTCGAAAAAGAATAATTTGAAAGGTACTCCATGGTCGAATAGGATTTTGAGATAAAATTTTAACACAAACATTCATTGTTGAATACAATGGCTGAGAGAGTATTAGAACAGTAATTCCATAATATTTATTAAAAAATAATCGAATTTTATTGGAGTTTGTTTCAATAGTATTATTTCCATGATTTATAGCCATTTTTTGCATTTTTTTTGCAGAGAAAAAGGAAGTAAAACCGCTTCTTAATATTCTTAAAGTTTCTTTAGTTTTTCTGCCCTAAAAGTCCAAAATATTTACCTGTTGTTACTCATGAATTTTTTAATTTTTAGTAAGTTGATCGATCTGATATGAATTAGGTTTAAAGATAACGTGATAATTAAAATATACATAAAATATTAAAATGCGTATTTTTTATTACCAATATAAATATAAACATGTTATTGAATTAATAGTCTCTTAATATCATGACTATTCTATCAAGTCGGAATATTTGTATTAAAATTTTTTCTTCCATAGCTCTAACATTAATTAATTCTTGTTGTTCATTAAGTGGAAGAAGCTCTTTTTCATGTTCTTGTACATCTGTTCTTTCAATTTTCACTAATAATTTTTCTCGTTGTTTCAGCTCATTTTTTAAATGTCGATGACAATAAGATATTTCTTGATAAATATTATCTATCAGGATAGATTTTGCCCTACTGAACTTGTGAAACCATAATAGAAAAATACTAGAGGGTAGTCTTTCAGATTTACGAGGGATTTCTTGAATATCAAGAGCACCAACTTCTGTTAACCCCATAAGAATAGGACGAATATTTTGTTGTTTTAAAAAAGCAATAGAAGCAAGCTTGAAAATGTAAATAATAAAGAGTAAAAATAAAAGAAACATGCCTGTTTTTCGTCAACTTTTCCCTTTTCACGAATAATTCGAAGAAGTCTTGTAGCAACATAACCAAATCTATGTTCAATTACTTCTTCGTATTGTAATTCTTGAAGTAAATGAGACATTTGTTTATAGTCCACTTTCCATTTTCCAAAGTGCTTAGTTTCTACTTTCAAAAGAAATGCGTATGAATCTTTAGATAAAGCTTCAAGGTGCTGAATAATATGTCTTAAACGTTCTCTATAATTTATATCTTCAATTCTGTTAATATCATTTTCAAAAAAGTTATTAGAAAACTCATTGATATCAATCATTGTACTATCTGAAATCTTCTCTGAATAATAATTATTTAAAGATACATTTTCTTTTTTAGATACGTTTTCTATAGATTGAGTTTCATTATTTAGGACAGTAATGAATGTTTTAGATAGATCTATATCATTTGGTAATGTTTCTAAAATACTTATGGTTGCAATTGTATCCGCTTAAATAATATTTATAAATTTATTTATATATTAACAAAAACATACCTTCTTCACAACAATTATTACTTTGAATTTCAAGCTGCTCTAATATATGTTGATACACTTGCGCTGTCACTTTTCCTATACGATTTTCTACAAGATGTAAAAGATCTGCATTGCGATATATATTAACAAATTTTTCATGATTAACTCTTAGAATAGCTTTTTCCTAATTTAAATATAAGAAAATATAGTAGAAATATAATATATTTACATCTACAATATAAGTCAGTTCGTCTGTTTTTTTTTGTTTTTTAAATTTTCGCTCAGTAGAATTGATATCTTTTTTTACTAATCCTAACTTTGGGTCCATTTCTTCATCTTTTAAAATCTGAAGACGCTTTTGCATATTTTTCAATGCTTCTTTGTCCCTTTTTGCCTCCCCCATTCCATAAAAACGAAGTTTCTCAAGTTCTTCGTTTTTTAATTGATTTTGAAGATCATACTCCGGTTTAATTTGATGAGGCAAAACAACTCGAAGATATTTTTGCTGCAACATTTTCGTTATCGTAGATTGAATGGATATATATGTTTTGCTATTCTTGTTTTTTGATGGGCAAAATACATTATAAAGGTTGTGCACTTTTACTTTTCCATAATAATGAATATATTTAAGAATCTCACCAGCCTTTTTCTATTAGTTATAAACAATACATAAGAAAGACATTTTCTTGCTTCGTTTGATATTTTTTGAGAAACAATCAATATCTCCTTTCCATATCGTAATAAATTAAGAATTTCTTTCCATGTTGCTTCATAGTATGTTAATTCACAAAGACCATCATATGTTGTAGAAAAAAGCACAAAATGATGCTGTATTAAAACAACAAGAGCTTCTTTAACAGATTTAGGATGCAATTCCGATATTTTACAAATCTCTGAAAGTGACAGTCTGCCATGAAAAAGAAGTGTTTTAACTGTTGTCTAGGCAATTATATGTTAAAAAACATACTGATCTCCAAAGAGAACGTATCTTACTGCTACTACTGGTCCAAAAAAGTCATCTATTATCAAACAGCAAAGCTCTATAGCGTATTGAGACATTTCAGTTTATTTGTATTAATTTCTTCATTTTTAAGCCAATTTTTTAAAAAAGAAAATGAAAATATATCTTTTCTTCTGTAAAAAAAATCTTTCCCGTATTATTTTTCGTTTAATTCCCCTTCTTTTTATCCATTTAACAACTAATACAAAAATTATACTTTAAAGATCGTATGACAGTTAAACGTTCGTAACTTCGAAAAATCATTTGCAAAATAACGAGCTAAAAATATCTAAGAAATACTTGTTTATGGTTCTCTTAAAAGCAATTTATCATTCAAAAACCTTTCCTAAAGCTCGTTTTTATCTATTTTATAGGTCTTTTCAAAAAACTGCGTCAAAAATCAACGAATATACGAAATTTTCATTGTCACAAGCCAATGGAGTAAACGTTATTTCTAGAGACTTAGGAGGTTCTGGCACATCTTTATCTATTATTATACGTTCAGGAAGTAGATATGAGCCTATCCCAGGCCTTGCACATTTGTTACAGCGTTTTGCGTTCAAAGTAGTTTGTTTTTTATTATTTTAAGGAATTGTCTTTTAATAGTTCTGAATATATAGAATACGGAAAGAAGATCGTCATTACGGATTGTCCGGGAAACTGAATTGTTAGGTGGAAATGTTTTTTCTGATATTTCTCGTGAATATTTGACACTTTCTGCCCAATTTCTTCGTGAAGATTTGGCTTATTTTGTTGAGCTGTTGGCCGAAGTGCTAACAAAGACACGATATAATGGTTTTCATTGTTATTAGAACAATGTGCTTATGCTTATGGCTGCAGTATACGAGCTTGATGAGACAGTATTACCATATGCTTTAGCTGAAAACAGAAAACGTTATTTTACACCCACTATGTTTGGATTTGATGCACTGCACGAACTAGCATTTCGTCGAGGACTTGGACGGCCACTTTTAACAAACGAAAGAAATTATGCTACGGTCGAAATGGTTAAAAATTATGCTGAAAAATCATACGTTAAAAACAATATTGTCGTTTTGGCAACAAATGCAAATCAATCAGAGCTAGTGGATCTTGTAAAAGAATATTTTGATATTCTTTCACCCGGAAATGCAGCATTGTCTCCTAAAAGTGTTTATTATGGAGGCGAAAATAGAATACCCTTTAAATCTCCTATAGGTCATTTTTTGATTTCATTTCCCAGACCAGCTGGATTTGTACCTCTTTCTGATGAATATTTTTTATTAAGTTATTTACTTGGTATGGGGTCTCGAATTAAATGGTCATATGAAAATTCTCCTTTTGGTAATATTGAAAAAAGTTTTTCGAATGGTACTACATTACTGTCAAATAATTTTGAATATTCTGACATGGGATTATTTTGTATACATGTTTATGGACCAGTTAATACACTTGAGAAGGCTGTTAAATCTTTTGTTGGGACACTAAGATCTATAGTTAAAGTAATTAATGATGAAGATATAAGAAAAGCTATTTCTCAAGCAAAATATTCATTATTGGATTTAGATACTAAAAGAATTAAAGTACACCAAGATATGGGTTTCTATTATCTTTCTTCTGGATCTCTTCTTGATTATGAATCTATTATCTCTCGTATTGAAAAAATTACTGTGACTAAAATGAAATCTGTAAGCATTATTATGCTTTGAATATATGTAATTTATTACTAGGCTATATCTAAAATGATTGAAGCAAAACCGAGTGTAGTTACGATTGGGGATACGACTCTTTTACCATACTATGATGAACTGTAAATTTATAAGGGCAATTATATGTTATATTGTTAGATACACTTATGTACAATGTATTTAGTAATGATATAGTTTGAAACCAAATGAATTGTCTCTTACAACAATATTTCATGATTTTAATGCCATAGATATTACAGGAAACCATGAATGATATTTATAATTTATGCTAATAAATGCCTGTTTACATAAATCAATGTTTTCTGATACTTTTTGCAGCATTATTTTACAAATTAACTCATTCTCTGTACATGATTGTACAATATTTTTTATATCCTTTTATAATTATTAGATACATGATTATACAAAATGTGTTCTTACTTCCTGGAAAGCGTCATGACATAGAATGGTGTTAGAAATTCTAGGATCAGATTTTTTTATTATTTCAAATATAGTTCTTGCTTTTAAAAATTTTTCTAATATATCTTCAAGCAAATGTAAAATCTATAAAATATTAATATAAGTAAAAAAAGGCATGATAACAATACCGACATATTTGATATATCAGATTCTTTAGTAAAAATTTCATAATCTAAAAACTTTGGTGTTTTTAAAGGTAAAAATGATTTAAAGCGCTGTTTATACATAAAAGATTCAGGCACTTGTTGTTTATTTGGCGGGCGAATAAAAGAAAAATGTTTTAAAACCAAAAAAAGCTAGAATCAAATTAATAATTCAATGATATTTATATTCCTTACTTTATAAAAAGCATTACACATTAATTGTAAACCTTTGTTCCAATCTTGGTCAAATTTTATTTGTTGATTATTTGAAGCAGTAATATTTATTTTTTCAGAAAAACATATACTTGAGATTTTATTTTCAAAAAAAGTGTCAAAGGAAACAACAATTTTGTTTAAATGGGCTAAATATGTTCTTAGTAAGTAATCTAAATACCTATTAAAATATTTATTATAAAATTTATATTTTTCTATAAAAGTTACCAATATATTAATGATAATTCATGCGAAGAATGAAGTTCTAATTCAAATCCTAAAAAACAAATTAAAATCATTGTTTGCAATTTTTCATAAAAACACCAAGATGAAAATATGTATGGAAATGAAAAATCGTTAAATGCTATATTTGATTCTTTAAAGAAATACGATTGTAATTGTATATCAATGTTTTCTGCCTATTGAGTATTATTAAAAAATATTAATATATATATATATATTATATACTTCTTCTTGCAAAGATTCTAAATCTAAAACAAGTTTACAAAAATTCCGGCGTTGACGTGAAGGATTATGACACATTATACGAAAAATATTGACATAAATCTATAACAGTTAAATTTAGTTTTCAGTTGTTAAATAAACCAACTATACTAGCTGTTTTAATAAAATTATTTACTGAACCAAAAATAGAATGTTTTAAATCATTATAAATTTCATATAGTTGGTTTAGAACAGCAAATAGTTGTTTTGCTGGAGAATATATTTCGGATATGGAATCGATAATAAATTGATCAACAGGAAATTTATTTAAAATCATATTATTTGAAAAAAATATTGACTAGTTTCAAAGTTAATAAAAACTATAGAGTTATCGAAAACTTACTTGAAGCATTATTCGAATAAATGGACTTGAATTTGGTTTTTTAGTTCTAAAATATCTAAAAAAATTCTATAATTATAAATTATAATATATAATTATAAATAGTAGATATTACCAAGATATTTAAAGGAGTTAAAGAAGATACCTTTTCAGTGCTTAATAACAGTATTTTCCGAAAATCTCTGCATATATCTTCAAAGTTATTAAATGCAACATCTATTGGGAAAATCATTATGGGTCTAGGGGGCATTGTTGTTGAAAGTCTGGCTTGAATAGAAGTAGAAAAAAAAATATCCATCTCATTACCAAAATCAAGAACTGAAATATCTTTACTGATAATGTTTACAATATATTCTAAATTGTCAATAGCATCAATTTCTGAGGATGAATCCAAAGTACGTAAGAAAGCTAGTCTAATTTTTAGCCTTAGCAGGATAGCTTTGATATATTCTTGTTCTTTTTTTTGAAATTTGTCATTATGGTTATCTAGCCAAGATATAGAAAATTCCAGCAATTTTAAGGCATGAATTGTATCGATATGCTCAAGTAAAGATAAACCAAAATTATTGGAAGATATCTCTTCCTCCTATTTAATTTTATTTAAAATATATAATGCAAAAATAAATTTTACTTGCCTCATAAAGAAGGTTTTTATTAAACATTTCACTTAAAATTCCACACATTTTGATAGAAGTAATCATAAATGGCCACAAAACTACATCCATTAAATCTTTATAAATTGATTGACTTTCTCTGTTTTTTAAATAAAAATCATTTATATTAATAACTTCCTGATGCTCCAATAATTTTTGAATAAATATATTTGTAAATACAGTCTGTGATAAAAAATATCCTGATTGCCAAGACATCTTTCCAATTAGTCAATGTTGAAAAGTTATTTATTGTTACCTCTGCTGCAAACACTTTGTCCATCAAACCAAGTATCTTGTATGGGTCTAACTCTGTATTAACATCCCAAATAGGCTCATCACTTTTCAATCCACTGTCCATTTTTGGGTCCATCATCTAAATCCTTCTAAATTTTAATTTTTTTACTAGACCAGTTCTTACTTCAAGTGCACTAATCGAATCCTCCAAGGAAAAGGATGGATGATGCACCAATTCTCCCAGAGAAAGATCTATAAATATACACCTAATTATATAAATTGATATTTTTTTAATATACCTTTTATTGCTGAAAAAAAAACATCTGTCATATCTTGAAATACTGGTGTAACAGAATGCTGAAATACCGTCGACTTAGACTCAGACATATCTACAAAATTAAAATAAATAAATAATTTAAAGACACAATACCGTCATTAATAGCATTCGATGACAACATCTACTGATATATAGGAATAAATAGTCTATTTACAATTAAAATAAGATATACTGAAATCGATCGGTACTTTAAATATTAAAAAAGGTTTATTCGAAAATGAAATGTAAGAAATAAAAAACAGAAAAAAATAAGGAAAACTATTAAAATTCGTCATGTAGAATTAACTTAGGTATAATATTCATTCTAAAAAGAAATTAGAAAGAAATTAAATGAAAACTGATAAAGAGTGTTTTTACGATATGAGTTCTTGAAATAAAAGTTTAGCAGCATAAGGAATTGTAAGTTTGACAACATCTTTTGTGCTTTTACAGCGGTTACACCAGCCTTTGTAACCTATAAGACCACATGCTTCACAAATATCGACTTTAAATGCATCAGATGATAACATTAAACGCTCAAGAAGAAGTTGTGAAGCGCCATATGCAATTAGACAGTCTCTTTCCATCTCTCCTAACCGCAAACCACCATCTCTGGACCGCCCTTCTGTTGGCTGTCGTGTTAGAATTGCTCTTGGACCTCTATAAATAAACGATCAGTAAAAAATGCTATATTTTTAAAAAAACTACCTTGCGCGTGCATGCATTTTATCAAGGACCATATGTTTTAATTTTTGGTAATAAATAGGGCCAAAAAATATGTATGCTTGAAGTGATTCCCCTGTTATTCCTACAATATTTGTAAATAGTAATTTGTTAATTGACTATAATATAACCTGAAGTAAGCTCATCTTTTCCGGAATATGAATAGCCATTTTCAATTAAAATTTGACTCATATCATCTATTTTACTTCCTCCAAATGCTGTCCCATATTGTAATGTTCCACTTAAAACGCCAGCTTTTCCTGCTAGAAGCTCAATCATTTTTCCTACTGTCATACGAGATGGAAAACCGTGAGGGTTCATAATAATATCAGGTGTTATTCCATTTTGATCAAAAGGCATATCTTCTTGTTGTACAATAAGACCACAGACACCTTTTTGACCATGTCGTGAAGAGAACTTATCACCAAGCTCAGGTCTACGAGTTTGACGAACTAAACATTTTATAAGTGTCTGATCTGAATCAGTAGTAGTTAACATTATTTTATCAATGTATCCTGGCTCAAATGATTTGTATATCATAGGACTTGCTTTCCATGATAATTCATGCTGTTGAATCCTAGTAGCAATTGTATTATCATTTGCATTTGTAGGTATTTGTTTGTTAATATAAATTTGTCCTGACTCAATTTTCTCTCCAACTCCAGCAAGACCATCTTCCTCTAAAGCTTCGTATTTCCATGCTACATCTCCTTCTTCATTTCTACTAGGTCCTTCAAGGCGATCATATCTAAAAATTAATAATCACAAAAAACATAAAAATTAAACGTACGATCCATTAGCATAACGTTTAATAGTTGTAGCATATTTTCTTATAACTTGGCATCTACCAAACCCTCTATCTATACTTGCCTATAAAATATTAATAATAGGATATTTTAATATTAAAAGTATACTTTGTTTAATATTAAAGCATCTTCTATGTCATATCCCGAAAAACTCATGACAGCTATAATTGCATTTTGTCCTGCTGGAAGCTATATAATATTAAGCTTTAGATATTTTTCTCAAGAAAAAAACCTTGTCATATCCTATTAAATCAATTGTTTTTGTTTTCACAAGAGGTTGTTGAGGATAAATCATTAAATATAATAAAGAATCAATTCTTAGTAATTGGTTCCATGCAATAGCTCCAATAGCTTGTTTCCCCATAGCACATTGATAAGTATTTCTAGGAGATTGATTATGATGAGGATATGGTATTAAACCTGCTACTGCTCCTAATATAGTAAATGGTTCAATTTCCAAATGAGTAGTTGATTCTGAAATCTTATTTTCGTATATTGATATATAACTGTCATTTTCTTCATTAACATCTAAATATTCTACTAGACCTCTTTTTAAAAAATCATCAAATGTCATTTTTCCTGCTTTCAAAGCCTAATAATAATTAATTAATTAAAAGTGATTATATATAGATACTTCTAAATGTTGTGAAGTTACTTTAGACTTCCCGTTTTCTACAATAATTAATGGACGACATATTCGGCCTCCATCAGATGCTATATGTACTGAGGAATAATGATGATTAATATGTATACTAATGAATTCTGATATTTGTCCTTTTCTACGAAGTTTTCGAAAGTTTGATACAAAAATTGTTGGAAAACGTGTAATTCCAAGAATTATTCCATTTAAATAAATAACATATGTTCCAGGAGCATAAAGTTCATGTCCAGTTATTAAACTTATGTCTTTTTCTATTAAAAGATATAAAGAAAACTATTAATATATACCTTCTGTTCCAAGAACAAAAGCTAATTTTTCTATTGGCTCTTCATCATTATCAGTAGTTATATGTGTCATTAAAGCCAGATTTTTAATTAAACCACATGATTCTCCTTCTGGTGTATCAGAAGGACACACTAATTTACATTATTTATAACAAATAGTAAAAACATTGAATATTTACACATTCCAAATTGAGAGGGTTGTAAAGCTCTAGGCCCACTTATTTTTCTCGTTTTTTCAAATTGACTAGATATTCGTGTCATCATTCCAAGTGCACTAATGTAACTTAAACGACTTAAAACATGAGTAACGCCTGCTCTTTCCATTTTAAATCTTTTTAAAGACCAATTTCCAGTTGATATAGCTCTAATCATTCCAGATGTTATATGATCACCATGTATTGAAATTTGATTATACGCATCGAATTCTTGGGTTCTATTAGGTTTTTTAAGTACTTTGTCAATATTTAGTTTCAAATTTCGATTAAAGGTTTTAAAAAGATCCTCAAACAAAAGAGAAAGAAGTTGTCCTGCACTATAAAAAAAATTAATTATATAATAATTTATTGCTATATAATACAGTTCCAAACGTTTATTTCCAACATAGTCACGATCATCTACCATTTTTGGATTCTTTATAGCCATTAATACTCTTCTTGTCATAATTGCAAAGTATATTATTTTGGGTCTAAAATTTAAATTCTCTACTGGAATATGAGCAAGAACAATAGCAGCTAAGACTTCTAAAGCTTCTTCAGAAGGAGGCCTTCTTTGAGAAAGTTCAGAATTCTTTCTAGAAATTTTAACTCTAGCACCTAAATATTCTAATGCTTGCTGCTGAGTGTATATTTTAAGTTTAGCACACTCTTCAATATTAATAGCAAACATATCTTGATAATTAGGGTCTGAACCTGCAATAAGTTCGAGAATCTCTTGATCTGATTGAAATCCCATTGCTTTAAATATTAATACAATTGGAACATCTTCAGCAATAGAATTATGCTTAAGATATATCTTTGCATTTTTAGTTAATACATATGTTTTAGACTTACGTTCGTGTGTAGAACTAAAAAAAATTATATTTTTTTATTATATTTGTTTTAGAAGTTTACCTAATAACAGATGCTTGTACTAAACCTTTTTTTGGTTCTGCTTCAACAATAATACGATTTTTGCTCAGTTGTTCTTGTACAAGAATAACTTTTTCTGTTCCTTTAACAATAAAATATCCTCCTGGATCAAGTGGGCATTCATTCATTCTTATAATTTGTGTTTCTGTTTTGTTAAATAAAATACATTTATTACTTCTTAACATAATAGGTAAACGACCAATTTGAACGCCTTTTCGTCTTACCACTTGTTTTCCTCTTGTATATTCAATATCTACCATAATAGGTGCGGAATACGTAAGATCTCTTAGTCGACATTCATGAGGTGCGATTGAATTATTAATTGCATCTTGATCTTGGCGTGTAGGAAATCCAACTTGAATATCAATATATCTACAAAAATGAACTCTAATATGAAAATATTAAGAAATTGTAATAATTACTTTAAATAAAACCATGGCTCAACATCACTTATTACTTTTTCATTAGCTTTAACAATTTTCTTAAGATCTACATCAACAAAATAATTAAAAGAATCCGTGTGTTGCTTAATGAGTCCTTTAACTTTTAAAAAAGCAGGTAATAGATGCCATTTATCCTAAAACAGTTCACTATTATTTAAAAATACACCAAGGTTTTTGCACCTCTAAAGTATTAACTGGATCTATTAAAGATTTTTTGTTGAATTGAGGTTGCAATAACATATCAAATGCTTGGTTAATTCTTCCATGTTTTTGTGTTGATTTAAGTTCTTTTTTTGAATTTTTGTTTAAACTTTCTATTTTTTTTTTTATCATGATTTTTTCTTGAATTATGCTAATCTTATATATTTTAATTCAGAAAAAAAACTTATTATCCTTGAATATATAGAATAAAAGCAATTATCCTTTTTTTTAAACATATTATTTAATATTTTTTGATCATAAGATTTTATTTAAAACTAAAAAATAAAGAGAATCAATGATTATTTTAATTTTAAAAAAATGTTTGTATACAAAAACTATTTGTTTAATTTTAAAAATAAATTAATAAATTATATATTTTTATGTATTTCACGAAATTGTTTATTTTTCCAAAATTTCTATATTATTCAATATGCATTATAAGGGAAAGTATTCATATGATAATGTTTTTATTAATTGTATTTCTATATAGATAGATAGATAGATAAATTAGATAGATAGGTAGATAGGTAAATAAATAGATACTTTGTGTTGATTAATTTGTTATTTCATAGATTATTTTTATTTTATTTGTAAATGTATTTAAATGTTTTTTAATTTTTTATAAAATATAGAATATTTATATTCATTTAATGTTTTTTTTATTAATAAGACTATTTATATAAAAGTATCTATTATTTATTTTCTATTTAGAATATATTTTTATATAAAATTATTTCAAGATAATAATTTAAAATATAAAATGTAAATATTTTGAAACATACACTGCTTAAATTAAACATTACAATTTAATACTTTTTATATATTCATTTTAAATCATATTTATAAATCGATTATTAAATTTAGTTTTCTATGTAATTTTTTCAAAAAATTTAAAACGCTATATTTATAAAAATATTTTCTTTAGAATAATTATTTAATATAAAATTATCTGTATGTCTATATATATTAAAGTATTTATAAATTAGAACTTAAAATATAAAAAATTTTAATTAAACAAAAAAAAAAATTTTAAATACATTTGTTTTAAAATTATTATCAAATTTCAATTAAAAAAATAAAATATAAAAAAACAATATAAAATATTACTTTCTAACAATAAAAATGCATGAAAATATACTTATATATTTTACTCTATATAATTTTTAATAGATTTACACTAATATCGATCCTCCAGAAATAATCTATATATAAGCAATTCTATTTCAAACAAAAAACTGCTTTTGTATAAAAAAAAGAAATTTCCTTTCTTAAAAACACTTATTTATTAAATATAGACATTTTTATACAATATTGACACATTTATTTAGATATAATAACAATTGAGAAGGATGCCTTAAAATACTGCTCGATGAACTTTCGACAAACCTTAACTAACATATCAAAAGATAGATTAAATTTCAATTGTATTATTCAAATATTTAGAAAAAAGATACTATAAAGTTGAAGAAAAGAGTAGATTTCATTTTTTTTATTTTTATAAAAGTACCATAAAATAGGCGGCATTTTTTAAATTTTAAAAAAAGGTAAAAAATGAAGAATTAAAACACACATTAATGAATATTGCATATAACATAAATATTACCTTATATATGCTATTTAAAATTATTTTTTTTTCATTGTGTGTGTTCTTGTTAGTCATAAAACTAATATTTAATCAAAAACAGACAGAAAAATGTCTATTTCTTCAGAATCACCTAAACATGAATTCAATAAGAAAAATAGCATAGGAAACTGTAATGATGCAGGAAAAAACCAGGAACTATCTTTTCTAAATGAATATATTACAGGAGAGCATTTGTCAGTCTCATCTCCTTTTAAACATAGTTTTTCCCTATCATCTTTCAATACTTCCAGCCGTGAAAATGTGTATCAACATAATTCAGCATCTGATTTTCCTGTACATAGGCATGAAAAAAGTACAGGGAACAATTACAAACGTACAGACTATCCTTCAGAATTATCTCTTTCTGTAAAATCATATCTTTATAATCTTTTCTAATATTTTTTAGGCAATTAACAAGACACATGTGGTACAATATTTTTAAGCATTTAAATGATTTGTTTAAACTTTAATAGCTTGAAATGAAGCGTCAGCAATACGAGTTACAACGTATTGAACATCGTAGAAGATTTGAAAAAGAAATGAAATTACTAGAACTTCGTCAAAAACGAGATGAACAGGCTCTTTTAGGTTATGATGATGATACAGTTGGAAGTATGTCAGCAAATAGTGCCCCTAATACACCTCCGAATTTACAAATACCTTCTGATACACGTTTGTATTCTACTGCTGTACCTAAACTTACTTCACCTTTGCAATTTTATGAACAGTTTCACAATACAGGACAATTAGCTACACCACCATCAGATGATAACTCGCGGTCTTCACAGTTCTCAGAATCGCGTAGAGAATTAGAGGAACATGATCTTCTAAAAAACCTTACTATTAATCCTCATAATAGGTATTTGTGATTACTAATATTAAATAATTTAATTATTTAATTAGAAATGATAAAAATTCTTCAACAAAACAAAGAAATGATGAAAATCATAATATTTTCCATGACAATTTTTCAAATAATGATGAACAATTATACCCGTATCAAACAACCATTTTTGAAAATGATGCAAGAAACAAAACAGAAGGTATTTACGCCTTAAACAACTAAAATCATATATTAATTATCAAGAATCTTTTGTTAAAAAATATTTAGAAATGAATACTAACGATGATTTTCCAATTTTAATTAAAAGGAATAATTTTCCTGGAATGGTTATATTCTATACACAATACTAAATATTTTTAATTTGCTAATAGTTTTCTTCATCAAATACTACTTTTGACTTGACGCATCCAACACATGAAAATTCTCATGCGAATTTTATTGGAAACGAACCTCAAAGTATATCGAAAAATAGCAATTCAATATATTCTCAAGATGTGACTAATAATAATTGTTCTTTTTCTTTAAAAAATGAAAATCTTGTATCACCTAAATTTCGTTGTATGGAAGAAAAAGATTCATCTAATCATAATTTGCAAAAATCAATGGATATAAATTTTACATCCTTTGTACCAAAACATCAAAACTCTCTTTCAGCATCTCATATTTCTAATACTTTTCAATATTTAAAACCAAAATCAGACGAATGTTCTGAATCTAAACCATCTAACAATTCTAATCATGTAATTTTATATTGCATATAATATTTTTTCTAAGCTGTTTAGATATCTCGATCTCAAGGTTCAACTGGATTTTTGCCGTCAAATACCAAGTCCTCTTTAGATGTTCCTATTCTTCCATCAACAGTTGTCTCTCCTTTACATTCATCTAGTATATACGGACAATATGGTATTATGAATCTTCCTTCTTCATATCAGTCTACAACATATGGTACATATCCATTTTATGCAATAAATAATCAATCGTCAAATGAAACATCTCAAACATTTTTCACATATGGAAACAATAGAGGGTCTTATCATAAAAAAAATGCAAATTCTGATGGTATGCATTAAATAAGTTATAGATTCTTGATGATTATGTGTTCTAGGAAACCGATTTTCAGGAGCAGCATTAGAAACATTTGTAGGTGAAATTTACTCTCTTTGTAAAGATCAACATGGTTGTCGATATCTTCAAAAAAAACTCGAAGAACGTGATCCTCGAAGAATATCAATGATTTTTATAGAAACTTATCCTCATGCTATAGAGCTTATGACTGGTAATTTTTTTTATTTAGATTTATCATGTCTTTAAACATATAGATCCATTTGGTAATTATTTGTGTCAAAAACTTTTAGAACATTGTAATAACGAAGAACGTACTACAATTATACAATCAGTTGCTTCCAGTCTAGTTCCTATATCATTAAATATGCATGGAACTAGAGCTGTTCAAAAAATGATCGAATATCTTTCTACACCAGAACAAGTATTCCATTATTTCTAATTATACAGTATTTGATTAGTTTTAGATAAAAATTGTAATTAATGCATTAAATTCTAGTGTTGTTACTTTAATTAAAGATTTAAATGGAAATCATGTTATTCAAAAATGCCTTAATAAATTATCTAATGATGATATACAGGTTGTCTTAAATATAATTTTTTGTGCATTGATTTACAGTTTTAGTTTATATTTGATGCTATTTGTTCTAATTGTATCGAAGTTGCAACTCACCGTCATGGATGCTGCGTTCTTCAACGTTGTATCGACCATGCATCAGATTCTCAAAAAGTACAAATTGCTAAAGAAATTACAAATCATGCTCTTAATCTTGTTCAAGTATAAAACTAAAAATTTATACATATATTTTTTACTATTTTTAGGATCCTTTTGGAAACTATGTTGTTCAATACATTTTAGACCTCGGTGATGCTAGATTTAGTGAGCCTTTGATTCATCGATTCATAGGAAACATTTGTCTTTTGTCAGTGCAAAAATTTAGTTCCAATGTCATAGAAAAAGTAAAAATAATTTATATTAAATATAACAATTCTAATTAAAGTTAGTGTATAAGAATGGCAGAGCCACCAACACGCAGCTTATTGATAGAGGAACTTCCTAAAAAAATAGGGAGTTTGATACGGGACTCATATGCTAACTATGTTATTCAAACATCATTGGATTATGCAGATTCTACTCAACGCAAACAACTAGTTGATTGTATTCTTCCATTGCTTCCATCTATTAAGTCAACTGCTGTTGGCAGAAAAATATCTATGAGAATTGAAAAAAATAATAGTTGTAATGGAAACAATATCGTTTCTGAAACATCTAATAACTCTTCACAAGAAAACCTAAATCATCGTGCAAATGATTTATTATCAGTTAATGAAAATACACATACTTATTTTCCAACATTTCATCGTTTTTCGGAGTATCATAATCAAGAATATTCGTTAATGTGATTGCCTTTAAATATGGTTTGTTTTATTGTTATAGCTTGCATTCTTTTAATTTATATATTTGCATTGCATGATTCATTAACAGTTAAAAGGAAAATATGATTTATTAAGAGAATAGTAACTAGGACTACACCTATATATTGTATATAAGAAGGGTGATTTAATTAATATGATGTATAGCTTGGACTATCCTATATATTTTAATTATTGTTATTTTATGTTACAATTAAGTATGATTCTAGTATTAAAATAAATATATAACTTTTCCACTTATCTTTGTATTTCAGACTATTTCTTTTAATTTCAATATTACAACTTTCTAATTTAACCATAACCATGCGGTCCGTATTTCAAGTTAAAAAAATTAAAAACTCAAGATAAAGAACTACAATTGCTAGAAAAACAAATAAAAATTACAAGAAGCAACTATAAAAACTTATTTAACTAAAATCATTTCCTTTTATCTTAAAAATATAACTTTTTGCGTAAATTTATAATAATTATAGGCAAATGCTTTACTAGAATCTAAAAGATGAAAGATAAACAAGTAGAAGTGTGGGATGATGATGGAGATCTTTGGGGAGATGTGTATGATGACAAAGAAGATATTTTTGATACTCCAGTTATGCGAGATAACAAGGAAGATGGATCTTTTATTGATGAAATAATGGCAAAAGATATTCATGAAGTTATGGAAAAGGCAGAACGTTCAGGCATTCCTTTACCACGAAATATTACACCCTCAGCATTAATGGGTGGTACCATTCTTCGTTTAGGAACTCGGAAAACAGGAGTGACAGTAATGGATGATTGGGGAGACGATTTACAATTAACACAAGCTATGTTAAATGGGAAAATTACTCCACGGCCAGTAACAGTGGAAGATGATGATGTATTTAAGGAGATTGACGATTGGTCAATAAAACAACCAAAACCACAAACAGCAATTCAAAAGAGACTTCGAGAAGGATTGCTTCCTCGAAAAAGTACAGAACCATCATATACTACGCAAAATGATATCTCAGATGATGCGTTTGAAGGAGATTTTGATATTCCAAGTGATATAAATCATCTTCGGATTCATCATTCAGTCGGAAAAATACCACATATGTCGTCCATGTCTCAAACACTCACTTTGGAAAGTGATAACGATGATTGGGGCGACTCATCTTTAGGAATACGGAGTGCTGGTGGGGACTCCCGATCTGCACGTGCATCTGTAGCATCTAGTTTGAGTCCATCTATGAGTTCAATTACATTAAGTGAAGACGAAGGTATTTTGGATGGAATCGAACTTCCATCTACAGCATTAGATTTACAAAAAAGATTCGATACATTCAAACAAAAGAAAGTAAATGAAAATATACTTAAGGATAGTCAACCTTTAAAAGAAGACTTTTTTACAGATATTGAAATAGATGAAGATCATTTTCTTGATTTTTCAAGGAATTTAAATTCTAATATTAACATTGTAAGGCATATGACAGTAAATGATACATTAAATCTTCAAAAAAAACCTCAAGCAACAATCAAGTTTGCATCCAAAACATCTCGTATTCCGCAACCTATTTTTCCATCAATCAAAGCAAATAAAGAGAATGCATCTAAAACACCATATTCAGGAATTCGTACATTTGTAAATCAAGAAAAAATAATATCTAAAAAGCCTTCTTTAATGAATTTTCGAGATACAGAAGAGGATTTTCATATTATGTCTACTAAACGATCAATGCCTTCTTTACAGACCCAAAGCTCATCATCATCTCAACACGTTTCACCAGATAATTTACGACTCAAATCAAATTTATATAATGCATATCATAATCAATCTAAAATTGCTTTAGAGAATGGTTATTTAAAGACACATTCAAATACTTCTAACACATCTAGTTCACGGTACTCGAGAGGAAGTGATGATTTTTCCTCAATGATTAATAGAATTCCGCGTTATGTTTCGCCTACTAATGCTTCATTAGCAAGAGGTGGCACATTACTAAATAAATTTCAAAAGTATGCATTAAATAAAATTTCACAAAATTATTCACCAACTAGAATTATAACTCGTCCACGAAGGTTAACAAATTTTGGGGATGGGACAGAATTAGATGCATTTGATGATTTGCCAATATGTCCAGCTATAGAAAACAAATATTCAGCAAAAGCGCATAAAAAAGAACAAGCAAAATATAAAGATACATCAGATGCACAATTAGCTTCTACTTTTTCAAAAATCCTTGAAATAGGTATAACTTCTAAAAAAAATAAGTCAATTAATTGTCTCTTTAGATCAATATAGAGACAAAGAATTATGTAAAAATACAGCTCATCCTATGATTGCTAGACAAAGTAATCTTAAACATAGAACTTCTATACAAGCATTTCCTACTAAAATTAAAATAATGAAAAAGAACAAACAAATGCCTACTCTTATACGTAATTTAAATTCATCACATATTCCTAAAGGTTTTTTTTTTATTTAATCATTATTAATTAACATTTATTAGTTATTGGGCAGATGAAATATAACCCTCAAACACGAATTTGGGAAGGCAATGAAATAGAATTACAAAAGTTTGATCTAAATACTACATCCCCTCCACGTCCTGCACTTATTTCTCATGTTTCTGACAAAAAAGGTATTCAAGTTGTTGGAAATATGATGTTTGATCCTCAGAAAATGTGTTGGGTTAAAATTGATCTATCAGCAGAAGATGAAAATGACCCATTTGAGGGAATTAATGACTTAGTTAGTAATGACCCTCTTATTTTTTTTGATTCTGCAAAAAATTCTAAAAGCTCTTTATCGAATTCAAATTACCTAGACACTCAAGATTTTGTTGTTGGTGAAGAATTTGATGTAGGCCCTGGATTTATTCGAAAACAAAGAGAAGAAGAAGAACATTGGAAAAAAAATATGCAGGGTTGGATTAGATCAGGTTTGCCAAATCGTACTCATTTACGAGAAATTAGAGAAGTATCTTTGAAAATTATTTAAATTTTATTTTTTTAATATATCATATAGATAGTTATAAATGACCAATAGTGTTAAATATTAATTACTTTATACGATATCTTTTATTAAATTGAGTATAAACATTGTTTTTGACTAGTTATAAACTTTCCGATCTGAAAATAGTCCTAAAACTAGTAATTTTTAAACATTTATAAATAATATTTGTAATTTAGTTTTTTAACATATTTTTGCAATATAGAGATTCTAAAATGTAAATTGTTTATGTATATTTTTTATTCAATATAATTAGATTGATATACAAGGCTTATATTTTTGAATTAAAAACAACTAGGATATAGTTAAATAGATGCAGTTAAATAAATATTACAATTGAATTTTAGGAGCTAAATTGTATTCCGATGTAACAAAAAAACAATATTTTATATTACAAAAGTATTTTATTTATACAACTTGAAAACAAACATCATATGAAAACCCGTTTTAAAAGATTGTCTAAAAGATGATGATATAAACAATTGACTAGGTTCGATTTTGAAAAAATTAATGTAATCAAGCTGGTAATTCAAATTTCTTCCCATAAAGAACTTTGGTATAATAAAGCCAAAAAAAGTCTGCGTATAGTCCTGTCTAAAGCTATATTAAAACACCTAATAATAATATATTATTTGTTATACTTGAATAAGACCTGCGATAATGGCAACTACATCATAAAAACCTTCTACGATATATCTATAGATCCAATTCGGAATATAAAGTGCTCTGTATAGCCCTAAACAAAACAAATAATGTGTTGTTAAATTTTCAGCCTCTCCAGTCCGTTGTAACATTAATAATTGTGGAAGAATAGCAACAGATTCAAGCCAGATGCTAAAACACCATGAAATCTTTTAAAAACACATTAAAAACACTTGTCTAAGAAAAAAGGAGATCCCTTACTTCAATAGGTGTATATACGCCTGGAAACAATAAAGCTAAAATAGCAGCAGCACCGATTAAATATTGTATTTTAAATGTATCAATATTTGGGTCATTTGTTGGTTTAAAAGGACCTTTCATAAGATAAATAATATAGTTTTGACTTAAAATAAAGAATATCTTCATGCACGTATTATAAAAAGATATATAATTCAGGAACAAATCTCATAAAACTTAAAAACAAGAAACAATATCAATCATTATTTACCAATATAACGAGTAAAATAAACCATTGAAAACAAAACTTGTGATTTAAATGAAATACCAGAACATGAACGCGATTTACGAATTTTTTGAAGAAGAATAAAAACACTTGCAAGATGTGAAAAATCACCTAAAAATTACCATTTTTTGTTATTTCAAGAAGAAAAAGAAAATACCAAGTAATCTAAAGAAATTCATAGCTCAAAATATCTTTTTTAGAGCTTTTTGTGTTTTTTTTTGGAGTTTTTAACAGTTCAAAATGAAAGATTTTCTTTTGAAATGTCGACCGTAAAATGGCTAAGAAACATCTTTTTAATCTTAAGGAAAAAAAATATATATAAAAGAACTAAATGATTTCAAATGTCCCGTTTCTACTATTTACAGACTGAAAAGGATGTATCAGTGCATATTTCTGAAATTTAAAAAACTATTTAAAAGCCTATAATTAGGTGCAAGAAAAGTATGTTTTGATATATATAAACGCTATAACCGTGTTTCACGCAAAATAAATCCTATATAAAACAAAGGTATGGAAAAACTGGATACGACTTCAATTTCTAAATAAACAAATATTTTGTTATAAATTGCTGATTCACCGTATCACTCTTATAAACCACATTGAAAAGCATGTAAGTGTTGATCATTATCATCTGCATTGCCAAACAATTAAGGATATATTCGTATTATGTTTCATCCTTCTTAGATTACAATAATTCCAAATATGCATAATATTTCGAAAAAAATCACTAAATAAAAAGAGATATTCTATAGAACTATTTGAATATGTCCAAATCAACTTACTCTGAAATTTTTGCCATTACTTTTTCAACACTGTCCTTAGGCGATACACCAATTTTCATATCAGACAAAACCCCACCTTTATTAAATATCCAATGGCTTCGTGCAATCTTAAATCCAGATTTAGATGCACCCAAAGCCCCAATCAACTCTGCCTTGGGGTCTGATAAAAGATGATACGGGAAATTCTGCTTTGTTTTAAAAGCCAACTGTGCTTTCGGCATATCCATACTAAGCCCATAAATACGGTAATTTTTAGATTCAATTGTTGCATAATTATCTCGAAATCCACACCCTTGAGCAGTGCATCCAGGTGTTGATGCCTTTGGATATGCTACAATGTCTCAATTATTATAGAAATTGTAGAAAAATATACCAAAAATAATAACAGGATACTCATCTGCTATATTTTGAATATGTACATCCTCTTCCAATTCATTTTTTAATATAATATCCGGCAATGTATCACCCAGCTGAATAGGCTTTAATATCCGACGTCCAAGAATAACTGACGAGTCAGAGGTTGCACTAGACACTACCTCTGTAATTATTAGCAACAAAATATAAATAAAAAGACAAAACTTTTCTTTTCATGCTTTTCTGTTGCATAAGATGTTTTTGTTGCATGTGCAGTACGTTTAGTACGTGCAATAGAAGTACCACGTACTAATGACCGTCCTGCTACATCATGTGTTGATGAAGAAGCATTCTGAGTTTTTTCATATCGAGAACGCTTAAATGATTTAGAACGCTTAGTTTCTTGTGTCTCTGTGCTCTCATTATGCTTGATCCGCTGAGAACGTCGTGGAGTTTCTGGATGCTCGGCTGGTTTACGTTTCAAAGGCATTGTTATATCAAATTAGTGTCCTGTTCACTCCAAAAAATGATTCATACTAATTCTCTTATCATGTACCGTTGACACCCGTGTGTATTGCGGATTATTCATTATTATCTTTGCAAATATATATTAATTTTTCTACTCATAAATATAGATAGAAAAAAGCATGTTAAGATAGAGAAAAAACTCAAAATATTCAAGAATTAAATATCACCGTTATTTTCCTATATTTTATTTGTAATTTTTATCAAAAAAAGCTCTATTATCCTCTAAAATTCTTTTCTAAAGACGCTTCTGCACAGCCGCGTGTTCACCTAAACATTTATTGACGTTAAGTTGCCATGGAAACCATATCGTACAGGTGCAACAGATATACACTTAACAACATGGCTGTGTTGATCTTTCAGCCATCTATTTAAAGAGTACAATATTTGGATATTTGAAGTATTTATAAGGCGATAAGGTATGCATTTTTAGAGCAAATAAAAATAGAAATGTTTTTAAAGATTTTTTAGAATTTTTTAGTGTTTTTTCAGCATAATTTTAGAGTGAATTTGGATGAAAAAGCTTAAGTAGTAGAAAGAGTATATAATGAAAACGTTTGTAGAAGCAGATAATATGCGTGAAAAACAAGAAGATATGCTTACAGGAGGAATAATGAGTGGGCAAAGTGGTTGGCGGGCAAAAAAAGCAGAATTAATGGTGAAAAGATCATTTAGAAAGAATTTATGGTTGACCAAATATTTAGAATGAGGCAGAACCCAATACAAACACACCTCCTATGAAGGAGAAGACGTGTGGTGATGTATGCATGCATTTATATATATATTATGTGACTGAACTGAATGTTTTCAGTCTTTAAGCGACGAAGAACGAATAACACAACAATTGCGTGAAATAAAGCTAAAAATGGAGCATCCTTCACAAGAAGCTGATCAAACCAAAAAAAATGTTCTTTCCAAGGACAAGGACATAACATTAAAGCTTGTTCATATGGGAAATTCGAATCCAAGCATCCATGACCATACACGTTCTATTTCAACATCAACAGATACTTCTTCAATGATATCACCACTTACGCCTGTAGAATTTGCATCTTCGTATGTAGCATTTGCAGAATCAGCAGAAATAGCTCGATTAAAAGCAGAATTAAAAGCATCACAACGACAAGTTCAGCATCTTGAGGGAGAGGTAGCGCAATCTAGGATTGCAGCGCATACAATTAATCAAGCAATTAACCTCGCAAATTCTGATGATAATCAGCATAAATTAGATTCATCTCAATTTAATGATTTTAGCAGATATTCTCAAACAACAAGTCCACAAATGGGTTCATGTTGGTCAGCGTCTTATGGTGATGATTCTGTTGTGGATTTTGAATCAGAAGAAAACCTAGGGTCTGTATTTCCTAGACGAAATAATAGTAGTACATGGAATTTTATTCCTCGATCAAATAGTCCTCTCAAAAACACAACAACTATATCATCAAACGAAATACAAACAACAACTAGATCTTCTCCAATTTCAGTTCAGAATTCCTCTGAAATTGGACTAATAAGGCCTTGGAAGATGCATCGCGCTTCTACAAGCATTAGTGGGCCTCCAGTAAGCAGCGGGTTTAATCATTTTACTTTGGCGGGAAGAAGAGCATCTACTGATTCTGGCTATGCTTCATTTAGTAGTTTTGGTTCTCTTTCCAATCAGCCTCCATCTCCTGCTATGTCTGCTGTCTCTACTGGTTCATCTTCGGGAATACCTCGTTTACCTATGACTGTACCATCTACTTTTAATCCTTTACAAATTTCAAATGATCACCAAGGAAACATTTTACCAGGGAACGTTCCAATAAATCAACATATTTGGAATTCTAACGTAAATTTCGGAAGATAGTAATACAATTGATTTATTAATGTTTTTTAGGCATCCATTTCTCAATCTACACCAGGTTGTATTCAGTCTCAAGAACCCATTAACTATCGCCGCCTTTTAGATCGTAATGCTGCATATAATTGGCAGGTATTATTATTTATTTTAATTGCTTAAACTTTATACTAAAATGTTTTACAAGATTATTGTAGATAGGATTGTTTATTATAATGATCAGCAAGCTTCAATATTTCTTCAACAAAAACTTAAATTGGCACCAGCAGAACAAAAGTATGCTATAATTGATGCTATTGTTGCTCAAGCTTATCCTTTAATGTTAAATCGCTTTGGAAATTTTCTTGTACAACGATGTTTTGAACATGGTACTCAAGAACATATAGATGGAATTGCTTCTGCTATTCGAGGAAATGTGCTTACTCTTTCAATGGATGCTTTTGGATGCCACGTTGTACAAAAGGCATTTGATAATGTCGCCGAAGATGTAAAAGCAACTATGGTAAGCGAGTTGCTTCGTCGAATTCCTGAAACTGTTACTCACCGTTATGCTTGTCATGTTTGGCAAAAACTTTTTGAAATTCGCTGGGAGGGATCTCCCCCAGCTATTATGAAATATGTAAATGCAGCTCTTGAAGGCATGTGGCATGATGTCGCTCTCGGAGAAACAGGAAGTTTAGTAGTACAAAACATTTTTGAAAACTGTTTAGAAGAAGATAAAGTTGAAAATATTGTTTTTGAAAATTTTTTGTATTAATATTGATTATAGAGACCATGCATTGAAGAAGTTTTAAGTAAAATTGATATTATTTCAAGAGGTCAATGGGGTAATTGGGTGATTCAACATATGGTTGAGTATGGTTCTCCGGCAGATAAAGAAAGAGCATTATCACATATTCTTGAAAATGCAGTTGCATATAGTGTCGATCAATTTGCTTCTAAAGTTGTAGAAAAAGCAATCAAAGCAGGTGGCCCTGATATTTTAAATCAATATCTAGCTAGAGTTACTGAAGGTCGACCTGATAGGCCCCGTATTCCTTTAATTGATATAGCTTCTGATCAATATGGAAACTATCTTATTCAACATATATTACAGCATGCATCTCCTGCTCATCGTGATCAAGTATCAGCACAAATTCGAAAACATATGGTATCATTACGTGGAAGTAAATATGGACAAAAGGTCGCTTTTCAGGTAGAAAGGTGGAGAAGCCATCATCACCACTCATCTTATCACGGAACATATAATAGTTATTAAGTTTTTATGGTCTCAGATCTACATTAAATACGAATCAGGTTTAAATTTAACACATTTATAACACTTAAATGCATTCTAAACTAATCTTTAAGTATTATGTATTTATTTAAAATTTCTGTTTTAAAAAGCTGGATATTCTGGTTTTTACTTTGCTAAGGCTTGTAAGAAAATTTATTGACTTTGCATTGAATCATTGATTATATTTATGGTTTGTATTAGGGAAGATATAATTAACTTGGATAATTTTTTAAAACATAAATCGCTTGTTGATATTAGAATCTATAACTTATTTATAAAATAAATAATTTTCCTCTTTTTAATTCGTTTGAGTTACTATTTATACATTTTTATTTTCATTTTTATAATTTAAAGTAGATTGACAACCTTTTAAAATTATTTCAAATAAATAAAAATAATACTAACCATACCAATACATTCAAATAAAATTTCATGTGCAAAGACATCACAATCAATACAAAAATGTTTATGACATTCGGAACATGCATATCGAGAACTAATTGAAACAGAATGTGTGATTGAAGTAACTTCATGTTTTTCAGGAAAAGGTATTAAACATGCATAACAATGAGTTGAATATGCTCTAAATTAAATATAAATTAATTATAAAATAAATATTTTAAAAAATTACTCTTCCCATGGAACTTCAATCCAATTTTTAAGAGGGAACAAGTGATGATAAGAACGTGCTAAATGCGTAGAAAGAATTAGAGTAAGATCACAACAAGGACAATTAATAGGAAGTGAACAAACTTTAGAAAAACAACGTGGACAAAGATATCCTTCTTTAATTACATCAGAATGACTACAAAAGTAAATAAATTTAGAGTTTTTTTTTTTCAAAATTACCATGCACAAAGAGTTTCATCGTTTTCAATTAATTTAGAAGGAAAACCCATCATAATCAATGTTTCCAAAAACTTATGTGACTTCTTCAAAGCAGGAGGTATAACAAATTGCATTAAAAGATCATGAAAATGTTGTTCATTAAGAACAATACCATAGGATGCTGTTCTTTGTTAAAATTCTTTAAAAACAAATCATTTAAAATTACATTCATCACCAGCATTCGTTTCTTTACATATTTGTTGACATACTGACATAGAAGCAGAAAGGCCAATTACATATACACGGATTTTTTCTTCAATCAAAACATTAATCGTTTCATAAATATCACCAGGATCAAAAGATGTTAATGAACCAAAAATTAACAAAACTTCTCTTGTTCCGTGTTTTGGAACAGGACTATATAAAAATTAAAAACTATAAGCTCTTTTTCCTTTTTTTACTATAAAATTGTTCGAGCCATTTCCAAGGCATTTTGCAAAGATGCATCGCCCGATGGATCCATCTGTTTTAACCGACTCAAAGTCATCAAATGCTCATGAGGATTTCCTACAAGCATCTTAAAATCTAAATAGAATATTATCATATTCAAATGCACCTCCATAAGGACTAATGGATATAGCACGGCCATCACGCATACCAATAATTCCTAATTGAGCCAAAGGATTTTGCTCAAAATATTCAGAAACAAATGAAGATGCTTGATCAATAGAAACAACATATCTGCTTGGAATTAAATCTCGTTTCCCCATAGATATTGTTAGATCAAGTACAAGAACAAGATGTCTAATAATTCCACGCTGTAATGGGATTGCATCTCGAAGAATCCTATTCCAACACATAAAAGACTTAAAATACTACTGAAGAAAACTACCTCTTTCGCTTTCCTGCCTGTGTTATTTGCAAAAGAGTTGTTGCAAGGCTTCCTTGCTGATCTTCCTGAACAATATCCCATGAACGATGATATTCCTTCTCCCAAGTGTAATTTATTACTGAATTTGAGTGTGAGAGACGATGATTAGCATTTTTAGAGTGTTTTTTCTTCTTTTTAGTCTTTTCTTCGCCTTTTTTTCCTTCAAAAAGTGAAATATCTGATGATGTTTCACTTTCAATATAATCTGAGTCAGAATCCCTCATAATTACACGAAAAAAGAAATAATAATGATAAAAATACAAAGAATTCAGTCGTTTAATATTGATAAAAAGCCTTTAAACACATGTTTTTCATAAAAGATAACTTTAACACATTTTAATAACGTTGAAAAATGTTGCAGACGAGCAAATTGTCATGGAGACCGCTGCCATAGAGAATGTATCCAATAAACTACAGTACAAATAATCTTTATAAATTAAATTAGAAATATACAGCAAATTATAAATTGGCTAATTAAAAGAACAAATAAGAATATAACACAAATACTTTGATTGCAAGAAAACGAAAAATAAATATTTTTAAAGTCATTAAGGAAATAATATAAAAGCAATATTATTAAAATATACAAAAACAAAAGCTGATGATGTTTAAACGTCATCTAAAGGTGCATCAAAATCCTCGTCATCTTCATCATCATCAAGAATATCATCATTGTCAGCTTCTTTTAGATAATCTACTCTTTTCCCAAATGTCCGAGAAAATCCTATGATATTTGAAGGATCAATTTCAGCCATATCGTCATCAGTTACGTCTTCTATACAAAATAAGTGTTAGTATATCAAAATAAATAAGTAAACAGCCTTTTCTATTTAGAATACATTCTATTTTTAAAACCAAAAATTAGAAAACTCGACATATTTATTCGAATAAAAGAGACAATAGCCAAAGCTATATAATATTATTTCATACCTTCATCGAGATCCTATAATATATGAGATCTTTGGATATTTTTATTAGAAAAAGAAAATACTTCTAGATCATTTTCACCATCAAGATCTTCATCACTTGATTCTTCTTCAAGATCATCATCTTCTTCTTCTTCTTCTTTTCTTTCCTCTTGTAATTTAGATGGAATTGCAGTTTCCGTTACTTTTTCTTTCTTTTTTAATTCATCATATCTGAATATATATTAATAAAATTTAATCCAATTTTTAAGTAAAAAAAATTATTTACTTTTCACAATGGGATTTTACAGTTTCTTGCATATTTATTATATAGTTCAATATTTTAAAGACCCCTTTCTCCTTTGTATTTCTTTTGTATTAAAAGAATAGGGTATTTAAACGATTAAAAAGTAAAATATAAGTGAATATTTTTAATCATGTTGTTTTTTTCTTATTTATACTAAAAATGAATAGAAAAGATCTAAAGTTATATAAAAAACATCTTTAATAAAAAGAATCAATGTAAATATGCATAAACATTAAATATCTCGAAACAATCTAAATGCACGTATTGAATATAAAACTTCTTTTTAAATAAATTTAAATCACAAAATTATAAAGTCAAATAAATAAAAATTCATAAATATCGTTTCAGTATGGTCCAATAATTGAGTTGTAGTCGTCACCGTAAAGCAATTGCTTTATAAAATGGTCCAATAACACATTTATATCAACAAGAACGAAATGACATATTACATTTTCAAAAAAATCAGAAATGTTTTTTAGTGTTTCATGAATATGATCCTGTGCCTTTATAGGTAAATCGTGAAGATCTAATGAATTTGACAATTGATCTAATAATATTAAAATACATTGAATAAATATATTCAAATTTGTTACCAATAACTTGTGCAGATTCAAATAATCGATATATCGATGTTAAATACATTTTTCTAGGTCCATCAAATTGTACTAATCCATATTTAGATGTATTAAATTTTTCAGGAGGAAGATTTTTTATTAGAAATTTAGATTTACTGGTAAATTTAGCCTTTAAATTATTAGAAAGGAGAAAGAAAAAACCTAAACTTACAATTCCAAATCTCTTTTTAGGTTCTACGACATCTGTGCCGAACTTTTTTAAAAGCCAAAAACGAAATAAATCAACCATATTACCCAAATACGACAATTCTTTAATTAAGGACTGAAGATCATCTTGTTTAAAAGATTTTATTTTGTTTAAAGTAAATATTAAAGACTCACAGACTTTGATTTTTTCATCTTCCCCTTTTATTTTTATATCTTTAACATACCATATATCTTTAGATACAAAAAGTCGTGGTGTTAAATAAAAACCTTTGGATTTATTAATAAACGGCATTAAAGTTTTTTGAAGAATCTTCATAAGCCAATAGGTTCTTGCAATAGAGTCCTTGGGCTTTTGTACATGTACAGAATCAGCTCCTTCAAGCATAATCATTTCGGATGATATATTTTTATATATTGATGTTGAATATGTGTTTCCCTGTTTTGACATATTTAACAAAATAGGCGATGATGTTGGTGTAGCATAAGATACATGTTTAGGAAAGTTTACCATTTTAGTGTGTAATATATTCATTGCTAACTTGCCAGGAAAATTGAAAGATAAATCAGAATTATTATATGATGAATTGTAAGCCTTTTCTTTAACCTTTTTATAAGACTGAATATCATGATTCGCGAAAATTCCTATCTTTTCTTGTGAAGTATTGGCTTGAAATAAATTAATGTCCTCTAGAGTATTTTGATGTTCTTTTTTTTGAGACTCATCAGGATGCTCAGACAAACGAAGTTTCAAAAATGGGCCCATATGTGTTTCTTCACATACAGGTAAACTTTTTGATATATACTCATCATCATAAATATCTGATTTCGGATTCATTTCTTTAAGTAAACTACGAGCAGGCGACGGTGGAAAAAAGTCAGAAAGCAAAGGCCATTCCATCTCAGAAGTGATTGAAGCGGTTTTCTTTAAAAAATATTAGCTAGAATAACAAGCATTATTTTTACCTACAAAATCATTATCACAATCAATTAGTTGCTTTTCTTTTGCTTCGCAATTATTTAAGCTTATATTCTGCAAGTCAAGTTCTGTCTCAATATCATCAGAATCCTTTTTTAGCATTGTCGCATCAAGATCCGAAGATACCGTTGATACCGCTTGTATAGGTGATGCAGGTAGAGAGGCAATAGGTGAAATCATTTCTTTAATCGGTTTGAATAAATATTTAATTGGAGTGAGTAGGTTGATATCAGAAAATGAGAATTGTCGAATATACTCCATAGTTGAAGATCGTTTTGTTATATCAGAACAATGTCCATTAGCAGCATCTAAAGAAGAAATGTCGTCGAAACTAGACTGAACAGTATGTTCAGATAACGCAGCTAAAGTTTCATTCTCGGGTATCGTATCAAGTGAAACGTTATTTTGATGCATATCTATATCAGAAAAATCTTTTTTTTCAGACATAACATCCTGTTTGTCATCTGAAATTCCCTTGACCAGACTATTTAATACATTATCTACTTTATCGTCCACGATATTGTCCACCAATGATCTTTGTAGCTGATCAAGCAGGTGAATTCGCTCAAAATACGTTTCATACTGTGCTAGGTCACTATAAATTAAAAGTTCGGATACGAGTGTACCGTCACACGAAGCCGGTTACGACACTCGCCTGATGGAAGCTGTGTTATCACTTCATCAAGAAGAGAACACGCATGCGTGTACGCACGAATTGCTAGTCCGATTAGTCAAAATAACATTAAAACAGCACCAATATAGCCATCCAATGTATCACTGCTATTAAAAGCTACAACAATTTCATATCATTAATATAAACCGTAAACCAATTGCAACACTGCAGATGAATAGGATTTTTAAAATCATTAAAAATAGCACACTATAAAAAATGCCATTTAAGTCCTTTTCATTGCATTATATCACTACTATAATATTCAGACAGTCCAGCACCAATATACTACCAATACATTGACATCCCATTAACACTGTATGGCAGCCATCAAATGTAGCTGAACATTAACGAAGCACGCAAAATAGCCGAAGACTTCGGCACAGCTAAAAAGCACTCTCAGCACTGTCCTGGGACTATACCCATGCAGAGCTCTGCAAAACTAATACTGAAACTTCATTTACCCTGTATTAAGTAACCGTTAAACAAATATTTAACCAGTGCTTCAACAATATACTGGAGTATTGGGTTAATAGCATACTCCAATACTATTTCTAATGCAGTCCCAGCATATTTCTCTGTGCTCCATATAAAAAATAGTTCAGCATTGACTGCATTTCCATTAAACGGTGTAGTATACCGCAGTTTGTGCCAATATAAACGCTGCCACAAAAAGCAGCCATATAACACTATTCTGCTACAGCACTGCATATCCAAAACAGTCTGTGGCCGCATGCAGCAGCCTCCTGTAGCCTGCAAAGACACGTTTTCCCAACTACGCCGTCTGAACCCATTATTTGGCCGTAAAGCCCCATTCAAAAACACAATCTCTTTCTACTCTTCGTGCAGCTTGTTTTTCAGTGTAATGCTTCCTTCTAAAGCCCTTAAAGGCTTTCTTTACAGCTTTTTTGATGCTTTAGTGCTTTTTGTGTTCTTTCAAATACCTCCAGGAAAATCATTGGAAGCATCAAGAAGGACAGCTGTTTGCGCATTTTCAAGCGCTTCAAAAAGCCGTGTAGTCGACAATGAGGGCGATAAGGCTGCTGTCTGCGCAGCCGATGCAAAAGATGTCGTCTTCGTTGCGAGAAAGCGCAATACGTGCGTCAGAGCACCGATTCGACGATGAAGAGAGCACGACAGGAAACCGGAAAACAGGAAAATGAATTTAAAGAGCCGCTGCGGGACGCAAGTGGGCAGCCTTATTGGGAGGTATATGGGTGCCAAAAGGCCTGATTGCGGGGTATATGCGTCAACAGATGCGTTTTTACCGAGTATATGCGTGCTTCCCGTGCAGGCGTCACATGCACTGCACGTATACCGCATATCGAGCCCACATATGCGCTGCGTACGCATACAACGCGCATACACTGCGCATATACAGCGCATATAGTGCACACAGTGCATACACACCGCATACAACACGCATATACCACGCATACAGCCTACAACGTGCATGCACGTGCACACAGGGCGGCGTCCGTACATGCATGTACGCACTGTGCGCGGCGCGTCGACAGCTCTGCTTGCTGTGCTTGGGCTTACAAAACAGCTTGGCGGGAAGGGGCGGCGCATCACGCTGACCAGGTGGAGGGGCCGTACGCTGGTTGATCTACGCGAGTACTACGAGGACGCGGCGACACACGAGATGCGTCCCGGCAAAAAGGGCATCTCCCTCGCCCCCGAACAGTTTGCCGTGCTCTACACCCTTCTCCCCGCGATCAACGCACACCTACAGGCTGGCCCTGAGCGCCCCCGGGACACCCCCACGGTCGCCCCCTCGGACACACCGTACACACCGGACACACCGGGCACCGCAGGACACGCATAGCCGTTGCACCCACTATTGGCGTCCCACTGCAGCATACATGCGCACAGTGCACGGCACACAGTATAATGTACACAGTATATGTACACAATATATGTACACAATATATGTATGTAGTGTATAGAATGTAGTATATATGTGCATACACTGCTTGGTGCACACTGTACAGCATGTCTGCAAAGCGTTGCAGCTGCACGTGACCGCCACGGGCTCTACCTGCTGCACCTGCACTGCACCAGCATATATGCTTATGGTGTATGTTCTGCTGATGCAGTGCAGCAGCTCGAAGGCGTCCGGGCGGCACGGCATGCGCGGTGTTCCCGCTGCGCGCTACGTGCAGCCCGCTGCGAACGCACTCGGAGCACTCGGCTCCATCTGAGAAGCGCTGCACTGGCCGCCGGATGCTGTGTGCACGCGGGTGCGGCAGCATGGGTGATGCGCTGTATGGGTGCATTGCATGTATATGCACTGTGTATGCGCTGCTGCGCTGCGTGTATGCAGCAGAGCATACACTACGCATACAGCGCGGCCATGCAGACAGCGTGCATGCTGTGCATGCAATGCAAGGCTGCAGACAGCTACCCCACGCCCCGGAGAGTGCCCCATCACGGACGGACTGGCGGGTTCCCAAATGCTGTGCGCGCAGCGGCAATGCATTTAGCCTGCAGCAGCCCCGCGGGGTGTACGGTTTTTAGGGCAGCAGAGGCAGACACGGAGAGCGGAGCTCATGCAATGTGGCGGATGGACGGGACTCGTCCGACGGAGACGAGGGAGACGAGCTCGAAAGAGAGTGTGGGCGGCCGGAGATGATGAGGCAAGCGCCTCCAGCACAGGAGCCAAGGGACGGAGGGCAGCTGGAGGGGCGAGCAGGGCGAGTGGGGGGGAAGGAGGAGAAGGGGGCACGGGAGTTTGACCCGACGGGGCAGAGATGCCCGCCGGGCGGGCGGCCGCGGGTGACGACGACGCTGTGGGAGGACGAGGGGACGCTCTGCTTCCAGGTCGAGGCCAAGTCGGTGTGTGTGGCGCGGCGGGAAGGTATGTATGCGTGCAACGCAGTGTGCAGCATATGTGTAGCACATACATGCTGCATATGCCGTATGTGCTGACTGTGTTGTATACACTCAGCCGACTATATGCGTCGTATATGCGTTATATATGCGCTATGTATGCATTATGTATGCGTCGTATGCTGTATATACAGTGCGTACAGTGCGTACAGTGTGCGCATACAACACGTGTGCTGCATATAATGCGTATACAGCACAACAGCATATACAACGTGTAGTGCACACAGCGCAGAATATGTGTATATGCCATACGTGTTGTGTGTGTTGTATGCGCAGTGTATGCACTGTGCAGTGTACGGCAGTGTGTGCGCTGTGCAGATGGCTAGTGCGCTGTATACGGTATATATGCGCAGTATATGCGTGTTGTATGCGCGCTGCATGCGCAGTGTATGCGCACAGTTATGTCCCTTTTGCTTCAGATGCTGACTTCCACAGACAACGACATGATCAATGGCACAAAGCTGCTTAATGTCGCAGGGATGAGCCGCGGCAAACGGGATGGCATTCTTAAGGGCGAGAAAATACGCTCAGTAGTGAAAATCGGCGCAATGCATCTTAAAGGCGTCTGGTAAGCCTAATCGGTTGCGCAGCAGTGTGATTGCAGCGCCATTTCAGCGCCATTGCAGCGCCATGGTGGTCTATTTGCAGTTGCCGCAAAAGTGCTTTTTCTGCGTGTTTGCTGCGCTTCTGCAGCCTTTTTTTTGCTTATAGTATGTGCAGGATCCCGTTTGAACGTGCACTTGAGTTTGCAAACAAGGAGCGCATTACAGACCTGCTTTATCCTCTATTTGTGATGAATATTAAGCTATTTCTTTATCATCCAACCAATTATGCACGTACAACAGCAGTGATGGCTGCTGCACAGCATTTTCAGATGATGCAGTTCTCGCAAAACCGGCATAACCGTCTCACAGAGTTGTCTGGGGCTCTGTCAGGGACTCTATCAGGGACTCTGGCAGGAACAGTTGATGCAGCAGCAATCGGTATGACACTTGGAACAGTTGTTGGGTCATCCAGGGTTCTAGGAGCGCCAGGGGCAGTTGAGATGGCTAATGAGCCTGTTCTTGCAGACAAAGGACCATTGACGCCGCCACACAGTGCACCTATATTGACACATACAGACAGCCATTGGTCCTGTGGCACAGTGACGCCGACACGGCCCTATTCAGCAGCAGCGCTTCCAGTGACACCAGTGACACCGCCATATTATTTCCGTTCATGTTCACAAAATGCATGTCATGTATCCTATTCAGAACCTCATTGCCAGTTGTACCATACAAACTCGGCACACCGTAGACAAGTGTATGGCACACCAGTGGTGCAGCGGTCTAAACACGAGGAAGAGGTATGTTCGCAGCGACCGTTGCTTTATCAAGAAATGATGGCGCCACAATTGCATGAGCACTCAGTGCAAACCACTCCAACGATTTCACCAGTTTCGCCTGTATCGGCAATTCAAACAGTGCAGACAGTGCCGGGAAAACCATTTCCACAATCTCCAGTTGGCCCTGATTTTCTGCACAAAGAAGAATTCTATGAAGCTGCATTGGCGTCGGCTGTTCAGTCGACTGTTTCTGCAGTTCCGGCATTAGTACATCATACGGCAGATGATGCGTCTACGATTAATTCACAATCACCGTATAGTCATCAATCGACGGGTGACTCGCATGTTTATCATTTATCTAATGTTACACCGGTGCCTCATGTATTGAATAAGGTTGATTCGGTGTTAACTCCTTCAAATACGTGTTCTCTTGTGGCAGGAGTGAATCAGTGGACATTGCAGGACGCATCAAGTCCTTTATCATATTCGAGCCCTCAGGATGAGGACTCGCTAGTGCAAATAAATACATGGTTGCAGTCTAGACTATGGAAAGAAGCATTGCCGTCTAAGAATTTTTATCAGATTGCTGATACGAAGCAAAATATTAATCGAGTTTTTCGGTCAAATTCGGTTGACCATGCACTTATATCATCAAAATATGCAAGAGATATGGTGAATCTTTGTCAAAGCGATAGTAATTTTCATTTTGATACAGAAAAGACTATTATGGAAAGCACTCAGAAAAAAGAATTTACTAGTGCTAATCAGAGTTATATTAAACAGAATATGTTGACGTCTTCAGAGCTTAATCCAATTTTTTCAAATTTGTCGGATTTAAAAACACACCCTGTATATTTTTCCGAAACAGCTAAACCTCTTAAACGTCGAAAAACGATTCATGAGGAAGTGCCTTCAATCAGTGGACTAGGATCAATGACTCCAATGTGGGTTTAGGTCTATTATAATTACAAATGAAGGCGTATGTGTGTATTCTTAATATTTGGTTTAGGCATCCTTGTAATTTCTGATTTTGTGGTAAAATATTTTAAAGACGTATAAACAAAAATTCTATATTTTTTGGATAATATTAGATATTCAATCTGCGTTTAGTGCAAGTAACAAACTATGATAAACATTTTGAGTTAAATTGGCTATTTTATGATTTATATTTTTTTCACTCGTTTCTGGTACAATTCAAAGTTAAATTATCAGCATTATTTTAACTTATTCTTTGATGACTTAAATGTTGTTATGGCTCAGTGTTGTGAAATATTAATGATCTACGAGGAAAAGATTACATTTTAAACATCTTTACACTATATTATATTGTATACCAGCTTTTATACACTTCTAAATACTTCAGTCATGATTCTATATATTATATTCTGTATGCATATATAAAGATTTTATTTTTTGGCCTTTTTTTCTCATGTTCTCTTACTTTTGTGCCCCGCTTACCGAGCAGACTCATTTCTGTGTTCGTGTCGATCCGTCAAGGTTTACACAGTGTGAAAAACTGTATAAAAAAGAAATTAGAAAGTCTGTTAATAAGTATTTAAAAAGACAGTAAACACATACATCTTGTTGACAATGTTTAGTTTTTTTGTAAATTTTGGTGTCTTTTTTTTCGTAAGAAATATGGTATGAAATGATAAAATCTTTAATTATAAAGGATTATCAGTAAAGAAAAAGAAAAAGCTAAGGAAAATGGATGAATATGATTATCTCTTCAAAGGTTAGTGTTTTCGATATATAATGTTTCTTTTTTTTGAAAGACGTTTATTTTTTCGTTTACTAAAGGACTTTTTTTAAGTGGTCTTAATTGGTGATTCTGGCGTTGGAAAATCAAACTTGTTAAGCCGTTTTACGAGGAATGAGTTTAATGTATGTCATCCACTCTATATTATATATTTTTTTCCTTCTATATTAGAAGTATTCTTATTTTTATCCAGTTAGAATCAAAATCAACTATTGGCGTTGAATTTGCTACAAGAAGTATACAAGTAGACGGGAAAACAATCAAGGCACAAATATGGGATACTGGTAGTAGCCTTTTCTCTATTTTCCTATATTTTTGACGTTAGTAGCTGGTCAAGAGCGTTACAGGGCAATTACATCGGCGTATGTGTATATGTGAAAATACTTGGATTACTAATAAGTCCTTCTTGTAGATATTATAGAGGTGCTGTAGGTGCGTTGTTAGTTTATGATATTTCTAAACAAACTACGTTCGAAAATATTCAACGTTGGCTCAAAGAACTCCGGGATCACGCTGATTCAAATATTGTCATCATGTTGGTAGGAAACAAGAGCGATTTAAGGCATTTGCGTGCAGTATCTACTGAAGATGGTAAAAATTTTTCAAGTATTTTTCCATACACAAAGATAATCAGAAATCTTACAGTTTTTAGCTACTAATGGTCTTTCTTTTATTGAAACATCGGCACTTGATTCAACCAACGTAGATTGTGCTTTTCAGGATATTTTAAAAAGTTAGTTATTGTCTATTTAGAATATCTATTTTTTGTTTTTCTCCTTTTGACCTCTATAGGTGTATATCAATCAATATCAATGAGAACACTTGATTCATCTGAAACTGTGGCGCGACCTACTGATGGACAAACCATCGTTGTTACACAGTCACAACATGAACAAGGCAAAATGTCCTCAAAGTGCTGTACATAATTATAATTTTGCCTCCATCTTTTTCGATTCATTACTACCTCTGTTTCTTCTGCTTTATTTAATTAATAAAATACAGAAACATTTTGGTAGTATTTTTGTGATAATAAAATCTTATGAAAAATAAATCATATTCTAGATAATTTTTATCTTTAAATCATCTACTCTATCATTCAAACACTCCTATACTCTCCTACTCTCTTGTAGTACACATTTTTCATTCTGGATCTTCTTTTAAATTTATTTTCTCTGCCTTTTCTGTATTTTTTCCCATCTTTTCTATATTTTTTATCTATTGTTCTTCCTGCACTTAAGATTGACTTAGCTTTATTTTACGTAGTATAAGCCAGTTGACACATACGCGACAACCACTTTTTGCAGAAAAATGAGTGTTGAAAAATTACAGGTTTATAACAATTATAAAGCAGTTTTAAGCGAAATCTAAGATCTCAAAACTCATATTTAAGAACAATTTGTCGCTTGACTGCGTATTTTTTATACATCTTTTTAATTTCTTTTTTTTATAGATCAAATTTCCAAATCTCTCTTTAGAAGTTATTTTTGGGCTTATAAAGGACTTCAAGTGAGATTTTAATGAGTTTTAACTCCATTATGAATAATTATAGTAAATTGGATATTGATGGAAAAGGATATGTAGACAAACATACGATTACAAAGGCAGTAAAATATTACGATGAACAACGATCATACGATGAAGTTCGTGCGACACTAAGAGAGTGTCATATTGATAGCAGTGGACGGGTAGAGCTTGAAGACTATATTGAGGTGGTTTTGAAGAGGATCTATGCCTACAGAGGCGTAGATTGTGTTTTCAGAGCATTTTCTGAGCCTTTTATAGCTTGTGACAAAACTGCGTCAAGGACATAATCGTGGGGCATTTGGTGTTACTAAGAACAAGATTACAGTCCGAGGCTCGTCAGATAATGTTACACATACGATCAACGAAGATGAACGTTCTGAATTTACACATCATATTAATAATGTGCTTTCTATGGATGAAGAAATGCGTGATAGAGTCCCTTTTCCGTATGTATTTGTTTTTAAAGAGCTCAGAATAGAGTATCGTAGCTGATAATGGGTCTCAAAGAGAATTATGTGTACTTGTTTATAGGCAATAATGGGTAAATATCTAATTATTTAAGTTTTAAAAAATAAGTCTCATATTTTTTGTATTTTTAATACTTTGGATGGTGTTGTGAAGTTTAATATGTGTTTGGTGGGAATTTGACTGTTTGGTTATATAAGCAACCAAAATACATATGGGAAATAATCACTTTTAACTGGGTTTTAATAACTTTTTAAGACTTTAAGTGGTACTAGAAAATGATTCTCATGTTTTTGATATTTTTACTTTAGTATTTTTCAAACCATTACTCATTTTCTGAGCTGACATTTATCCTTAATATATTTATTACTCTCAAGGGTTTTATTTAATTTTTTAGATTTGATTCTCAGTTAGGGATCTTTTATAACTTATTTTTGATTGATATATCCTTTTCAGCTACAATTCGGGGCTTTTTATTTTTTAAAGTTTATTATTTCTGACAAAAATAGGACCGATACAATGCAGATTTTTGACGAATGCAGAGACGGGCTTGTACTTTCGAAACTCATTAATGACTCTGTCATGGACACAATTGGTATGATTTATTTCTTAGTCGATTTTAAATAGTATTAAATGATATAGACGAGCGCGTCTTAAATAAACCCTTACGCGGAAAGCCTATTAATAACTTTCAAATGACAGAAAATAATAATATTGTTATTAATTCTGCTAAAGCCATTGGATGTTCTGTAGTGAATATTGGTGCTCAAGACCTGATTGATGGAAAAGGTAATATATGAGTCTGTAAAGAGTTCTTGATATTCTTATTTGATGATAGAACATCTTATTCTTGGTCTTATTTGGCAAATTATTCGTAAAGGGCTTCTTAGTAAAATTGACATCAAGCTTCACCCTGAACTATATCGGCTATTGGAGGAAGATGAAACACTTGATCAGTTTTTAAGATTACCTCCTGAACAGATTCTTTTGCGTTGGTTCAATTTTCATTTAGAAGCTGCAAAATGGCATAGAAGGTAAATTTTCTCAAGCTACTTTTTGTTTCTTACAATCATAAAAGAGTGTCGAATTTCAGCGCAGATGTATCAGACGGTGAAAATTATACAATTCTTCTTAATCAGTTAAACCCAGGAGAGTGTTCAAGGGAACCTTTACAAATAATAGACCTTTTAGAAAGAGCGGAAAAAGTATTTTTCTACATGTTCTGTCGTTATACTTACTTGTAGATTTTATCTCTTGCTGAGAAAATTGACTGTCGAAAATATTTAACACCTAGTGCTCTTGTTTCTGGCAATCCAAAACTTAATCTTGCCTTTGTCGCTCATCTATTTAATACATATCCAGGCTTAGAGCCATTACAAGAAGAGTTTCCTAAAATTGAAGAATATGATCTAGAAGGCGAGCGTGAAGCAAGGGTTTTTACTTTATGGTTAAATAGTCTTAATGTCAATCCCGCTGTTGTTGATTTATTTGAAGATTTGAAAGTATATTAACATTTTTCTTTTAACTTACTGATTTTTTTGAAAAAAGGATGGATTGGTTTTATTACAAGCTTATGATAAAGTTGTAAAGGATTCTGGTAAGTATTTTTTGAGTACAGATTTGTTTTTTATTAAAAAATAGTTAATTGGAAACGTGTTTCTAGGCCTAGAGACGGTGTAGAACTTTCACGATTTAAATGTGTGGAAAATACAAATTATGCTGTTGAGTTAGGGAAGGGTCTCGGATATTCTCTTGTAGGAATTCAAGGAGCAGATATCGTTGATGGGTCAAGGACATTAACATTAGCTCTCGTTTGGCAATTAATGAGACAAAATATTATACAGACCCTTAAGTCTTTATCTAAAGATGGAAAAGATATAACTGATGCAGATATGGTTTCTTGGTGTAACGAAATGAGTCATAAAGGAGGAAAATCTAGTAGCATTAAAAGTTTTAAGGATTCTTCTTTGAGAAGTGGCATATTTTTGTTAGATATATTGAATGGCCTAAGATCTGGCTATGTTGATTATACCCTCGTAACTCCAGGTATTACAGATGAAGATGCTTTTTTAAATGGTAATTTTGTCATTATTAAGAATTGAACTAATATTTTTATAAATAGCCAAGTTAGCAATTTCTATTGCTAGAAAGTGTGGTGCCCTTATTTTTCTTGTGGTAAGAACTTTTTTTATTTAGAATTTCTTCTTAATTCTTTACAAGCCAGAAGATATTGTAGATGTTCGTTCACGTTTGGTAATTATGCTATTATATATATTTCTTTTTCCCCTAACTTTGTTTAAGATTTTAACATTTGTTGGAAGTCTTATGGCTATACACTGACAAAATAAATAGTATATGTTATATGTAATTCATTTAACACAATTTTTCATTTATTTTTTGAATATTTTGTTATATCTTATCTATTTTTTGAAATTTTGTTATATCATCTATTTTGTTATAATATCTTGTCTATTTTTATTAAATTACATCCCAGAATTTTTGTAAACTATTAAAGATAGTTTATTTAAATCTTTTTATACATACTTTTCTCTTGATTTTTTCTTTTTATATATTATATTTTATTAGTTTTCTCGGTATTCATTGATCGTTTAACCATCATTAAAACTAGAAAATATGAAACAAATCATTCTTCTGCTAGTTCTTTAATAAATAAAGAATAATGCTAATTTTTTTATAGAAAAATCTACTAATATTATTAAAATGTCTTTTGAAGCATCTCAACAACTTGTGGTTCAACTTACTTTGGGTTTAACACAAAGATACAGACGACGTCTTGATCAACAAAGAAAACATGCTAAATATCTTTCAAAACACAAAGAATATGTTAAAAAAGGTGTACTTCATAGCATTCTTAATGTTTTTTTGATTATCATATCATAAATACTTAAATTGTATATAGATGCATGGAACGATACTTTGCAGAATCGATTATTATCAGAGAAATTTATACATGAAAACGCAGAAGAAATGGATCTTTTAATTAACCGGTATTCGTTGAAATCATTTGTAGGAAAAGGTGCATTTTCCTGCTGTGCGTTAGCGGTGGATCTGTTACATCCGGATCAACCGATCCGTGTAATTAAGAAAATGGGTAAAGCATATGGTGCATTGGGGTTTCAAGTAGATGGATTTTCCTGGTTACAGCTGGAGTTTGACTTTACATGGCTAGGAATATCGTTTGTTGAATCGGATTCATCAGCTACCATATTTGCAGTCTTTTAATCTTCCGATCGTTAAGACATTTTCAATGTTTATAAAAGATGAGTGTTGTCATCTTGTACTCGAGGCATTAGATCCATCTCCTATCAAGCTTCAGAGCTGTGTTCATTTTTCCAGGTCGGGCGATAAGCTACATTCACCTTTAGCGTGTCATTTAAGACATAAAACACTTCGGAAAATTGCAAAACAAATCTTAATATCTCTTAATATTCTTCATAATAGAGTCAATGTGATTCACGCAGATTTAAAGCCAGAAAATATTCTACGCTGTTATTCAGGTAAGACTAGAAGAATAATCATATTTAACTGAAATATTTTTAGATAATCCTAAATCAGTAAAATTAAAAATCATTGATTTTGGAAATGCTATTCCATTAGATGCAAGAGAGATATATTATTTGGATTTCGATTTACAATCTGTTTATTATAGAGCACCTGAAGTATTTATACAAGTTTCTTTTTGTATCATTAATACAATATAGGTTTTATTAGGACTACCATTTGGACCTTCTATTGACATATTTTCCCTCGGATTAATCCTGGTTGAACTTTTATTTCATAATGATGAATCAGAGAAAAATTCCCAACCTTTGTTATCCAACGTAGAAACATCTAGGACTGCATTAGCAATTGAAATATCACGTTTATTAGGACGATATCCACCTCGTTTTCGTAATGCAAAATTTTGGAAAGATGATTACTATAATATAGATATTAATTCTTCATATTTGTTAAAAAATAGACTAAAAGAATGTAATGATCCTTTACTAGAAGATTTTATAATCGGATTATTAGCAATTGATGATACAAAAAGGCTTACTACAGAGGAAGCATTGAATCATTTATGGTTATTCTCTGATCAGTATGATTTAATGCATTGTTTACCTATAGTAAAAATAAATCATGATTTACAGCCTTTTTATAAAGAAATGTATTCAATAGACACTCAGGAAAAGACATATAATCATTATACAGAATCATCAAAAGATGATACGCCTAGTGATATATATTATCCAGAAAAACATAAAGAAATACAGAAAAATATAGATTCTTTTGACATCTATACAGACTCTTTTGTAAATGACAATTCGACTATTCAAACTGAAGATATTGTTTATTCTGACCATTTATGGACTATTAATCCAACGCTAGAGGAAGATCATGTATGTTTTTTCTAAGATTTATATTAATGAGCTAATATTTTGTCTTTAGGACGAGGTTTTACTTATTTAATACTGCATAGCAACATTTGATTCCATTTCAATTTGCTTTATTATAGATATTTTGGGGCATATTCTTATCGGTGCATTTGTTTCTTCATTTAATCAGAGCAATATTTTTTATATAGAATTATTTTTAGCTCAAATTTTTAAATTTATAGTTACATAATATATATTAAATATGAATTCATTTGTTTTTATTGAATTTCTTATAAATATACAAAAAATAAAACTTCATTGCAACATCATGAATTACCATTTACTTTTCATTTGGCTTTTCATCTAATGTTTTAAGCATTTCATTCCTTTTGTCTAGAAGACGCTGAACACGTCGCTCTCTTGTTGCTTTAGCTTTTATTCGCCTAGCCTCCAATTGCTGTTGAATCATATTTGATCGTGCTGCTTCTGCCTACATTGTGTATAAGTTTAAATAAAAATAAAAAATAAAAACATCCCTTTTCTCGATGAATATATTCAACTAAGGCGCGCTTGTGTTTGAATTGATTACCTTTTGCTTTAGCATATAATCTATGATACCTAGAAAGTTAAAAGAGTGTATCACGTGACTTTTGATGATACATATATTTGTCAATTTTTCCGTCATCTCTGTAACGACAAAGTAAGCGACGAAGGACACGTAAACGAAACTGCCATTGCACTTTTGTGCTAAGACGAGCTTCTGCTGTACCCTTGCGCTTTCCTAAGCCTGTATGGCGACCTTTACGTTTTGCAGCATGTAATTGGCGTACACGATAACGAGAATGCATAGTTGATGGTTTTCGGATAATTAAGCCATCTTTGATTAATCTCCGAATGTTTTGTCCTACTAATTAGAATATTAAATATACTATTAATAGTTCTTACGCGAATTTGCATTGCTAATTTCTGATATTTCATTTGGATCCAACCAAATTTTCCGTTTTCCACATTTAAGCACTGCTGCTGCAAGACGTTTCTGATATTTCAGATTAGCCATCTAAAATCATGTTAAATGAAATATTTTCTGACAGAAATAAATGTATATTTTACCTGTTCAAACTCTAATTTTTTTTGATGACGTTGAAATCGATTGTACCCGAGACTGTGACGGCTGAAGAAAATTAAGCCAGAGAAATAGTATTGAGAAGAAATACAGCAAGTAATGCTTAAAAGAGGCTAGTTGTTGTCAGAAGTGGATGATAAGCCGATTGAAGTGATTTCTATGTAATCTTCATCCGAATGTAAGACTACGTTATTTTGGAGTTCATGAGTAGTAGCAGTTTTGGCCATCATACGTTTATGATAAGCAGCCATAGCTTTAGCTTGAGTTGAATCGAGTGTTGCAATGTATTTGTTAAAGAGAATGCGATTGTGTGGAGTAATTTTAAATAAAGAAATGTATGCAGATTCAGCAGCGAGCTGAATAGGTGTTAAAACATGATGAACATTGTTAAAAACGGCAGGAATAATGATATTAAAGTGTGGTTGCATTATCTATAGAGATTAGAAAAAGATGACTGCAAGATAATGTTTACATGATGATATTTTTTGCTCGTTGCAGAAATAACAGTTAAAATTAATCTGTTTGCATCAGGTATGATTTTTGGATTTTTGATGCAATTGATAAGAGTTTCAATGATGAGTGTTGTATGATCTGAATTTGTGTTGAAATTACTATCTAATAAGAATTTCCCAGCAGCCAAAACCCCATTACTGATAATATATGGCTAAAAAGTTAGTATGTATTGTTGATAAATTATGAAAACAGACTCTATTACTCAGACATCCGCTGATTATAGAATGAACAATTTTGAGTGAACAATCTAGCTCTATTAAATACTCAGAACAATCTACCAAAATAGCATTAAGTGTAAGAATTGAATAGTTACTATGATCTGAAACGAAAATTTTCGAACTATTCATGTAAATTAAAAAGATAAATTATGTTAAAAACATTACCATAGAAAACTTAAAGCGTTATTTTTGTCAAAATATTTAAATAAAATTGTAGAAAATTTTCCAATATATGCAAGTATTTGAACTAAATCGATGAGTACAATGTAATAAATTGGAATGATAACTTACAATCATTTATATCTGTATTATCCTCAATTAATGTATATATTATACCCTTTGATGTTTCATTTATAGTGAAATTCGAACTCGATACAACATTAAAAAGTGATTTAATCATAACATATTTAACACCACTATTTATACTCTTTGATCCTATAGACAGTTCGTTAAGTAATGGTTCTAATCTAGGAAGGAGTACAATTAGTCCTTTTAATACAGAGACTGCTTTTAATCTTAATTGATGAGATGTTGGATCTAAAAGACATTTTAAAAAAGTTCTTTGCAATTGAGGAAAAAAGGGTTTTAAAAGTAGTGGTACTTTTTTCAATAGAAGATCAAGAGTATGTAAAACAGTTAATTTGACTTGAGTTGAATATCGTTCTCCTATAGTTCTAATAAGAGGTCCTGTTATTTGCATTACAAAAGGATCAAGTCTACTAGAACTTGTGCGTTCAATAATATCAGAAATTCCCATAGCAGCTAACTCTTTATTATTAGCATCTCCATATATAATTCCATGCATAAATATAGGCAATATTGCATTAATTCCTTTAGGTAATTCAAATGCTTTTAATTCATTTCCTAGCATTCCAATATTATGAAGTATTTTTTGTGCAGGACCAACAAGAGTCTCCATATCTTCTTTTTTTAATGCCATAATAAAAGCATTTTGTGCTTTCCATGCAGATTTTACGACCTCTTCATTTTTATCGTTAAAAAGTGAAAGAAAAGTATATATGCATTCTTCAAAATATTTAGAATAATCTTGTTTTGTAGATTCAAAAAAATAAACCATATGTTGACATGCTAAAACTTGTTTTTTCCAATTCTCATGCTATAAAAAAGTTAAAAATATTAAAAAAGAAGGGAAAAAACCTTCACTAATCCAAACATTATTGGAATTAATATATTTATACCTTCGTTATCATCAATTGAAAGAAGTACATTATTTATAGCATTTTTAATTTCTAATTCAGTACTTTCATCGATATCAAATATTAATGTATCAATAAGAGCATTAATTATTGTAGAAAGATAATATTTGAAATTAGGATCAGAAACCTCCGCAAATGAGCTTATAATTCTTGCATTTATAATTGAAAGTGGAACTTTTGTGATTTTTGGTATTAATATTGGTAAAATATTTTGAGAACGTACAAAAATAAGTTCTTTTAATGCCTCTAATGCATTTTCTGCATTCTTGTTTGAATGAAGTGATTCAAGAAGATTTGGTAAAATTTGATTGATAACAGTGTTTCCATAGAGTTCACACATAATATTAAACATTTGTGCAATTGCTTTTCTAACTTCTTCAACATCCATAAAACCATGTTGAATAGTTTTAATTAGACCATTTTTGTATGGCTCTAATGTTCCAATATCTGAGTTTCGAATAATTTCAGTTAACGCAACACATATTCGAACTTTTGCAGTAGATTCACTATAATTCATACCTTCTTGAAGAGGTAGTAACAAATGAGGCATCATATCTTCTCCTAATTTTTTCACTAGGTCTCCAAGAGTCTTTACAAACACAGAATCATGTACTTTGCTTGAAGCTATAGGAGAATATATAATCATATTGATTATAACAGGTAAAATTTCTTTTATAGTTTTAGAGGTGTTTGTAACTAAAGTTTTCCAAACATTAAAAGCAGAAAATTGAACTTGTTCAACAACGTCTTGTCTTATAACGTAAAGAGATGCTAAAATATAATCTCTTTTTTCTTGACCTAAAATATCTAAGAGAATATTTTTATAAGATTGGAGATTATTGGTATTTCCTTCTAGATGTGTTCTGCCAGATATCCCAGTGATATGAAAAAGAAGGTCACCCATCAATTGTATAGAACCCAGTCTAATTCTCCAATTTTCGTTAAATATTCCATTCTGTAACTCAGGTAATAAAAGATCTACTGCTTTTGCTGCATAATTATTGATAATAACTTTCCCTGAAGATAAAGAAACTTCGCGAACAGATTCTAAATCACTTGCTAATCCTAAAAGAATTGGTGATATAATTTTTCCTATATATGGTTGAAATCTCGGTCCAAATGCTTGAGGAAGGTAAATAAATAAAGCTATGTACCCTTCTTTAATATATGATACTGGACTTAAAGCATTTTCAAGAATTTCAGGAAGTATATTTTCTAAGTATTGAATATTAAGTCTTGAAAGTATTTCAGAAATCCCTTGAGCAGATCCGTGACGATCTATTGAGCTAATATCTTTTTTTAATGTTGATAATAGATCAGGTATTAAGTGGGGGAAATTTGTTTCTCCTAGATTCTTAACTAATATTCCTAAAGCTTTTGCTGATGTTTCTCTAGTTGTTGGGACTGGATCTATAAGAATCTTCCGTAAACTAAGAAGTATATTATCAAGATATGGAATAAGGTCATTTGCTTCTGCAAAACATGATATTTTTTCTACAATTTTAACAGATTTTTTTTTTAAAATCACTGAACGTTCTTTTAATCCTTGTTCTAAAACCGGCATAATCTATTTTATGTTAATAAATATATATCTACGTATATAGTATACTATAGCAAGTGAAGCAGCATCAATATGATATGTAAATGGGAATTTGAGTAATGAATCAAGAGCAGGTTCTGTATGCGTATTCGGATGACTTAATGCTTTTAGTAAAGCAGGAACTAGTTTTTGAATTTCTAAATTATTAATTGTCTTCCCAAATTTTAAAAGACTTTCATTCCCTGCTAAACGTACTTGTAAATGAGAATCATTAATCATTTCAGTTAAACGAGGTATAATTATAGGTAAAGATGAAAACAATTGATAAGGTGCACAGTATGCCATAGCACCAAGAAAATCAATAGAACCTTTTTTAGTACGCCAATTATTGTCATTTAGCCCTGATAATAATGATGGTAATATTAACTTTATTCCATTTTTGCTAATTTTGCCCATAACTGTTTTCGCTGCATCTGTAGTACTTTCTCTAACATCTAATATAGGATCTCCAAACGTAGTTAATAAATAAGGAATCATCTCAATAATATAAGGTTCAAAAGCTTCTTCAAGAATCTGTGAAAATGATTCAATAGCAAAAAGTGCCCCTTGTCTATATTTTTGGTCTTTCTTATTGGTAATTGCACTTTTAAGTGTTTCTATAATTTCATATTTTTCAAGCAATTCTATACCGCCACCTTTAATAATTCCTAGAAAAAAGTTTATTATTAATCCAAATTGAAAATAATTATACCTGCTAAACCATAAGCAGCACCTTTTCTTTCAGCATATTTTTCAAATGTAAAAAGCTCCTCTTTCAACCTTTCTATGTAATTGGGAATTTTCTTTAAAGAAAATTTAATTAATAAAGAAAAACATTTTGCTATAGCTATTTGAATATCTTCAGATGGACTTTTAAGTATATTCATAAGTTTCCCTATTGCTATATGAACTCTTTGATCATCTATATTTAAATGACTTGTTATTGTGCTATAAAGTATAATTACTCTCTCATTTATTTCGTTTTTCTGAAACTCATCTGAAGATGTTAAATAATTATCAAGAATTTTAAAAAGTTCTTCAACATGAGAATCGCCGTAGTGGGAAATAACACTTAAACCATTTTCCAACATTTTTTGACGTACTTCTGAAGAATCATCATTTAAAGGAATATATTCATTAGATGTTCCAATTAAAAATTTTAGAAAGAAAGGAATTAAAGATGGTGTGAAATAAGGTATTAAATAAGATAGTGATAGTGCTATAGAACATCTGATTTCCCACATATCTTTTTTATTTGATGATTTTGGAATTATGATATTAAAGTCATCATGTTCTAATGTCTGTAGCTTAGACTTGTATTATGTTAAATATAAATATTAGAAAATATGTTAATATGGTCACCTTTTTTTTATAAAGTTCAATTAATGTTAATACTATTTTCTCTACTTCATGTGGATACTTTTTGACATATGATAAAATTGCTTTAGCTGCGCACTCCCTAATATAGTACTGGTCATTGCCTATAACAATCAGTATTAAGAAAATACAATATTGATTTTTTACAAAGATAATTTATAAGAACATTTTTTTCAATACATGTTATTAGAAGATTATTTTTTTTCATAATTTCTAAAGACATCAAAGCATTTGTTTCATTCTTGTCGTAAATTGTAAGATATAATTCGTAAAAAAAATCATATTTAGATAAATCTAGTGGCTAAAATTAAATCTAAGATAATTTTATAAAACTTAAAAAAATAATAAACCTCTATGGCTTGAAGAACTACATTTCGAATTTGAAATTTTGGTGAAATAGATTCCTTTATAAGTTCTGATATTTCTTCTTTCGTCACATTATTTTTGATTATTTTACATAATAAAATAAGACAATCTTTAGCTTGGTCAAAATGATTTGGAAAATAATATAAAATATTCAATAATGCTTGAATAGTTTCTACTCTTGAAATAGATGATTTGCCTAGAAACATTAGTTCCATTTTTTAATGATTTTAATTTTATACAAAAATCTATATGTAAAGAAAATATATTAAGTGCTAGCATAACTTGTTTATCACATTCCTCAGGATCATCAGTTCCTACTCCTTTTTTTTTTATTACTTGAATTAAAAAAGGTAATATATAAATAAAAGATATCTCATCTAAAGAACGTTGTTTTACAGAAGAATTTAATTGAGATAATAATCTTATTACTAGTTCTATTATTGATCAGAACAATTATTAATATTATGTTTAAACTTTGCAAAGGTTCTTCGGTAAAGTTAAGTTGTATATATTTAACATTAAATATTCTTAATGTTGCGATTCCAATCATTATATTAATATTTTTCACTGATACACAATTGGCACAATCCTGATATTTGTTATTATATTAATATTTTTTTCAGTATTACCAGATATGTTTGAACTATAAGTTCATGAACAATTAAAGGGCCTTTTTCTAATAATTCTATTGATAATAAAGCGTGAATAGCATATGAATACCATAAACTTCGATTTTTTTGAGTTGCTAATGTAAGTCCTTGAATTATAATAAGACCAGATATAATTTGTGACTTTAAATTTAAAATTTTAGAACTGATTGCCTCTTCTAATTGTTCATTTAATAGTGTTTGACTTTCTTCCACCAGTTTGTTTTTATTTAATTTATTCTTCTGTTGTATATTTTTTCTAATAAAATTATTGCAATCAACTTTAAAACTAGCTAATCGTTTAATAAGAATTGGTTTAAAATAATTTCTTATATAAAATACTTTCTACTGCTTTTTCATTTGTTTTATCTTTCCAAATAGAAATATCTTTTTCAGAAATATTTTCGAATTGTAAATGAGAAAGATATTTTAAAAACATTTCGACAAATAAAGGAACGATTATTATTTGGTCTAATGACGTTAAAGTAGATATAGATAATTTAATAGCTAGCAATGTTAATTTGCTCTAAAATTAAAATTAAAATATATCCCATTAAACAAATAATATGTACTTCGTTTACGATATTATTCTGAAGTAAACTTTTAATAGTATTGGCTAGTTCCTGAGAATGACTGGTTACTAATATATATGGATCTATTTTAAATTTTTTACAAAGTTTAATCCAATTCAATTTATTTCCTTAAATTATTAGTAATTCTTAATGACATGAAAAAAAAAAAAACTTAATAATGGATGATGATATAGTATAACTGTTTTTATTAATTGTCTTTCTGTATCTTCTTTTTCATTTTTTGACAAAAACTCGTGATTGTTCGGAGAAATTGCATTAATTAGATAACATATACTATTAATCATCGCAACATCTTTTTCCGTCTGTGTATAAGATATTTCTAACTAAAATATTTATTAAAAAATAGAAACTTAAAAAAAAATATTACTTGTTTAATTCGTTTCCAAATTTCAGATAAAAAAATATCCAAAATATGTTCTCTAGATTTTAAATAGCAATGTTTTATCATTTCACATGTGGTAGAAACGATTGAATAATCATGCAACATATTTGACAGTACTAATGAGAATGATGCTTCAGCCCATAAAAATCCAATTTTTTCAAATTGATGTTCTGGAATATACTCTGCTATTATTTTAAGAGAACGTATAAACCATATTTTGTCATCTTTATGGAAATTTTTGCTATAAATTTTATCCCAAAAAACAAAATAAGGAGTACTTTCAAATGATAGTAAATGTTTTTCTAATAATGATTTTATAGACAATAAATCATCATTGTTAGCAATGTTTTCGTTTTTCCAATTGTATATAATATTAATAAAAATAACTGTACATAGGTAACCTTCGATAGTAGTTTTATTCTGAATGCATTGTAAAGGATTAACTAAAATATTTTTGTATATTTCCCACAACAAATTTAGTACTGTTTTCACTAGATATATTATTTGTTTGCTAAGATTATATCTATGATTCCAAATAATATTACCAAATTCATTAAACCATGTTCTTCTTACTGCGCTAACCATTTCTATAAGCCCATTTTTAATTAATTTTATATAATCATCAGAGATTTCATTTGTTATACTAATAATATATGTAAAATATGAAAAAAAGGATTCAACTAATGCAATAGAAATGTTTTCATTTGTTTCTCTATAAATATAAGGTATTAGAAATGATAAGATTAATTTAGACAATTTGAGTGATTTTGGAAGATATGTTAAAGATTTAATATGTAACAATTTATGATTAAGAGAAAAAAGAGCTCCTATAAATAGATATTAAAGTTAAAGAATAATTACATTTTTAAAACTCAACCTGAATCTAATACAAATACAATTTTCTCCATTATAAACTGTATATAATCATGATTAGTACATCTTTTAATAATCCATTCAAATGTTTCTAAAGAATTTTTGCAAACATCTGGATTAGAAGATTTTAATGCATTTAAAATTGGAATGAAAAGTTTTTCATATATAGGTTTACTTAAATCAATTGTAGGAGATAATGAGACTATTAGTTCCTTTAAAATTCCTAATTATATAATAAATAAAAAAGAATATTTAAAAAAGAGTGTAACCATTTAAAATAATTTCTGGTGCTCTTAATAAAGCTTTTTCAAGACTTAACATAATTTTAAACTCAAAATCTTCAAAAGTAACAAAATACGTAAAAAAATCGTTCAATCCTGCCTAGTTTTATTAGCAAAAAGATAATTTTAAAATTAATTATACAATTACTATTTTAGAAAGTGGTATTTTAGATTTAAGGATATTTTGTATATAATAGTCGATAATTTTATCCTTTTTTTTCATTATAATTTCATTTTCTTCATTAGACTGTGAATAAAATACCACTTTTGCAATCATACCAAGTAGAATTGTGTTTTGGGTACAATTTGCCTTTTTTTCCACTTTTATAAGCTCTTCTATATATATATTTAAGTTCAAAAATGCATTTTCATTAGATATTTTTACAAGAACGTTTTCAAGTGTTTTTTGAACAGAACGCAAAGATATAGATTTAGTATTTTCTTTAGCAGAAGAAGATAGATATAATTCAAGTAAAGTTGACTGATTTAATATAAGTCCTGGAAGATGCTTCTGTGCTAATGTAACATTAATTGAAATATTTAAAATGAAACAGTTAGTCCATTTAAGAAGTATAAAAACAGAATGCATTGAAATATTTTTTATACTTATATCAGCAACTACATCATTGAGTTCATTGGTAAAGAGAACTATGTATTTTTCTGGATCCTTTTTATATAAAGCTAAAAGAGAATTCTGGATACATGTTCGAACAGATTTGTTTAAACTAAATTTGTGAGTTTTAAATAGGCAATAAAGAATATATTCAAAATCTAATGCATCTGAAGCTTAAAAGTTATTATTTTTAGCGAAAAAATGTGTTCTTATATACCATCTTCAATCCATAATTTGAGTTTTTTTTCAATCCAAGGAATATTGTGCTCTATAGATAATCTAGAAACAAAATTTGCTATATCTGTATCATCATCGATAGCGATTGGCGAAATAGAGCATGCTTCTTCTTCCGGATCTGCCATCTAATGCAATTATTCTCGATTTTTGGCATAAATGCCTTTTTTTAAATCTTGGATGTCATAATTTTTACCGGTTGATAAATGACGATGGTATAAAAAAGATTTATTAGAATAGTTTATTACACTTGAAAATTGTTTAAATAGACATATAATTTAAACAAATCAGATGCTACACTTTATGTATATTTTAAATCTATATTGATTTTTTGGAATTTAAACGAGATATATTTTTTTATATTTATGTATATAAATAATCAGAAATTGAAAAAAGTCTAAAATGCTTTGAAACACATGAGACTGTACGTAAACATCGTGGCCAAAAACGAAATCATTGATTCGTCTATCCATAAGATGTAATATAAATTAAATTGATAAAGCTGAATGCAAGAAAAATAAGGGTATCAAAAAGACAATAACGACCGAAATATTTGTGAACACGTTGAATAGCTATCTTAAAAGATGGTCGATAGTGTCGGTTTAGGTAAGACTGAGTGGCGATATTTCGTCAAGCAAATTAATAGTACTAAACAAATGACTAAATCCAGAAAGATCCAGATTATGCATTGTTTTTTGCGATAAAGACGTGGTATTTAACGTTTTTATACCAGATTTTTCTTGATTTGTTACATCTGAGATGCTTGGAGGAAACGTTGACCCTTGAGATGGAACTGTATTTTTTAAAGGTAATGATACGCTAATTTTCTTGGGTTTTATTTGCTCTTTTGTATGTGAAAAGCAGCATCGCTGACCATATGGACATGACCCACTCTGTTTAAATGTTAAAAACAAGTTGCAAAAATTACTCATCGTACTCACCTCCATAAATGTTTTGCAAGGAGACGTTTTGTATTTTGGATGCCGAAGTAAAGTACGGAGCTCTGAGTGCCCATGAGCAAATTGGCATTTCAATCCGTATCTTTATGATATTAGAATGGCTGAATGGCTTAAATGCATTTATATACCGGCACTCTCCACTTTCTTCCCAATTTTTACATAATTCTGTCTTGTATAAACCTGTTTTGATAGAAGAATCTGAACTTTTTTTAGAATGTGCATTACACACATCTAAAACAGTATCAACTGCATCATTGTGCATATCTGAATTAATATATCCTATGTTTGAAGATGCATGTTTGTGGACTTGCGGGCCTGAATTAATTTGTAAGCCTGTACCGATTTGCTGGTCCATATACTGAGAAGAATGTTTACAAAATGAACAAAAATTCCGTGTTTTACAATACATATTTGGAAAAGATGACGAAGTAAATGACATACTTGTATTTTCCCCATGCACCGATGCTGCCTGCGCTCCCGGTGTGCATGTTGAAAACCATTGCAGCTCATCTGATCCATTTGTCCATTGTGAAAACACATTTTTTGAATGTAAAGGTGTCTCACATGCTCTTTTCCATATACATTCCATAGATAACTCATCATCTAATGCCCAAGGCCGACCCAGCGGCTCATCACCCCATGCTTCACTCGAACAACTCGAACTCGTATGTGATCGCCCACCACATGAATGTACACTATATAGACGCTGAGGCACATACATGCCTCCGTCTTTATCGGAAATACGTTCAGACAAACTATCCAACCTGGGATGTTCTAATTTCAATGTTCTTCCTTCAATATTATCCCATAATGTAGATCCTTCTATAAAGGCTTCCATATAGTTTCCCATAAAATTCTCACACAACCTTTCTCGACTCAAGTGATGCATATCAATGATGATTGTAAAGATGCAAATGTCACTATAAACGTTGATGCAAACCCCAATAATCCAATGTAAATGTTAATATTGATGTTGGTACAGCGCTAATATAAATCTAGACAATGAGCTGATATAAACGCTGATATAACGCTTGTTAATTACTAGTAATAATACTGATACAAATCCTGATAAAACTTATAAAGCCCTTATTATGACTTTTTCTATACAATTTTTCCTCCTACACACTTTTGTCTACTTTTATGCTCCTTTTTTTAATATTAAAAGCCTCTTATTCCAAGATGCTTATGATAAAACTATGATAAAAGATTTCCTTCAAAACTTAAAACAACTTATTTTCAAGTTTTTTTTTTTGTTCTGAATTTTCAAAAATATACCCCAAACTTCCCTAAAGACCTTTTCACTTATTTAATACTTATTTATTAATTATTTTTCTCCTGATTTCTACCTGCTTCTCCTATAATCAACCTGCACAGGCGTCTTACTACCTGGCACTTAAACAGCAGCCTGTGCTTTGTTTTATACTGCTTAATTGCGCCCGACCGCACACTTTATACGCGTCAAACCGTGCGCTACGCGCGTGAACCCAGCGATTACGCGCCAAGGGGTAACGCCCAACAAATAATCGAATAGACTCCACTAGTACGGAAAAGGTGCACCGAGCGATCTTCGACAGGTACAAAGAGTATAAATTATGAAATATAGATAAAGGCTCTAGCAAAGTAAAGATGGGTCTTCCTTGTTCTTAGGGCGAGAAAAGCGCTTGAACATGGGATTATAAGTCTAAAAGCACTCTATAATGCGGTGTTTTTGTGGATATATGCGGTGTCTCTATGCATATATACAGGACTTAGAGCGCTATTGGAAATTAGAGTAAATGCTACAAAGAGTGATGTATGTAGTAAAGTATGCATGTATGCATCTTGTGCTAGGGTGTATGCGCTGAAAAACTGTCTATATAAGCCTTAAAACAGGAGTATATGCGTCATAGGATGAAAGAAAGGCCCAAATTAAGTCATATGCATTTTGTATACGCTGTATATGCGCTTCATATGCGTTTCATATGCGTTTTAGAACCCGAATATATGCGTTCCGTTTTTAAGGTCATGTTTAAATTAAAAGAGGGTATGCCTTGAATAGGCAAAAGTGTATCGGAGGATGAGGGTGTTCAGACGGGTGTGCATTGAAGTGCGCATGTAATTTGGTTTTGAGGCGCATATATTCAGATAAATAGATATCTATTGATGCAATGTCCCCTTAGGCCGAGTTGTATATGTGTTATTATATGTAATGCTTGTTTTTAATGCATATTTTACTACTTGTAATGATTTACTGATTATCGGTGGTAACGTGTGTATCGATGTCTTTGTAAAGACGAATCTCCGATGGGCAAAAAGTTGATTGGGTTTATATTAGCACTTGCATCAGGTGAAAAGTGCTCTAAAAAGCAAGATTTTATGTTTAATATAGTGGCCTATAGGTTGTTTCATTGGTGCAAGTTTTGTGGTTAAAGTAAAGCACTGAAAACAGGCGTAGATAGTCTGACAGTGTATAGAAAAAAGGACTTTTGGATACAACGCGTAATAAAGGACTTGCAGCAGGACAAGGACATGCATATCTCAAGAATGGGATTTGGTGGACGGGGATGCTGATGTGTGCGTGTGAAGGAATGAGAAGACATTGGCTGATATGGATAGTGGCGATTGGAGAACTGTTTAATTTTGTGGCATATGCGTTTGCAAGTATGTACATGTGCTATATATGCGTTATATATGCGCGTTGTATGCGTTTTATTTTTTAAGGATTTTAGGTGCAATTCTTGTAACACCGTTGGGTGCAATGAGTATTGTTGTGAGGTTGTTTGGGCTTTTTTTTAGGTGGATATTAATATTTTTAGTGCAATTGGATCGAGTATTTTTCTTAAGGAGCGTCTTTCATTTGTAGGCAAAGTTGGATGTGCGTTTTGTATGGTTGGGGTTTGTATTATTGTGATTAATGCGCCAGAACAACAGTTGGCGCAGACGGTTCAAGAAATTATGAAATATATTATTTCACGTCTTTTTCTAATTTATACACTTGTTATTTTTTTTATATGTGCTGTTATCGCATTGTGGATTGGTCCTCGTTGGGGAGATAAGGTATATTCATGGGAAATGCTCTATTTTAGATCTATATTTTTCTGATTGCTAATTTTTAGAGTATTTTTGTATATATATCTATTCCTTCGCTTATTGGAGGTATTACAGTTGTTTGCACTCAGGTATACATATATATTTACTGTTTTATGGAATCTTATATATAGGGTTTCGGTATTTCGATTGTAAGTGCAATTTCTGGTGTACCAAATCAATGGAATCATTGGTTTTTGTATTTTCTTGGTCTTTGTGTTATTTTGATGATTTTTATTGAAATCAATTACTTAAATGTATGTATTTTTTATATAAATTATTTTATAACATTATCAGAAAGCATTAAATATATTTAATGTTGGTTAATTTTTCTATTGAAATATTTAACATGTTTATAGACTGCTATTGTTACTCCTGTATATTTTACTTATTTCACGACATGTACGATTGTTTCAACAGCTGTATTATATAGAGGTTTTAATGGAACATCTATTGCAGTTGCAACTGTGTTTCTTGGTTTTTTAACTATTGTTGGTGGTGTTTTGCTTCTTCAATTTTCTATTGGTGCTGATAATACGTCCGATACTGACATGTTGTCGGGGGATTTATCCAATGTTCAAAAAGCAGCGGATGCTGAGACAGACGCTGATGTTTTGGATCCTGGGCCAGCTGCCATTAGAGGGACTTTTACTTTTAAGCAAGTGGATCGGAAATTTAGTCAAAATAGTTCAAATAATTTTATGAAACGCATAAGTTATTCATCAGTTGATTTTCAAAAATTTTCTTCTACTTCTCGTACCTTTATGTCTGAAGGGTCTGTCGAATTAGGAAAAATGAAAAAAAGTAGTGTTGACAAAACAGCTAATTTATCTGAAAGTTCAAATAATGAAAAAGTAACATCTTTAAGGAGAAATGCTATTGTTTCCTTATAGTTAATTGATAAAGATAAGAAAATATCAAGGGGCATCTAGTGCATTTAAATTTATGTTTTGACTAATGTGTTTTGTTTAGCTTGCATCTATCTGTTAAACCGTTTAGCTTTTCCTTGTCATGATATATCATTTAGTAATTTACAGATTAATTTTTAGGCTTTGGAATTACAAATATTTTATAAACATTCAATCATGGTATAATTCGAATAATTGAAAATGCGATATGACTTATTTAATTTCATTTTGATTTTATACATTTTTTATATTCTTCGTTTTTTGTTTAAATAGTTTGTGTTTTCTGTAATTTTGGGAAAAGGGCAATAACATTTATATTAAATACGTTAATAAAATACTTTTAATCTGTATCTATCTATATTTTTATTTATTCCAATTTCTCATCATTTATACTTATCGTTTTCCCCATCGATGTGTTGATGACCTACGTATAGACAACGGAGCATGAGCTCCAAATCAGAGCAGCTTCAAGAGGAGCTTAATGAGCCTAATTCTTCAGAATACAATGTGAATGTGTCTGATGAAACTTTTTTGTCCGAAAAAATAGAAGAAAAAGTGGAAAATACTCTTATTTACACTCGGTTTGGTCTAGTTACATATCTGTATGATTTTTTTTCAAAAACACATCCATTTGTTTGGATTTTTTGCATATTTTTACTTTTTATTATTAGCAATGTTTTTTATATACAGGTTTCTTGGTTTATAATGGGACTTATTCTTGGCATAATTTATCAAACGAGAATACCACATGTGGAGTTACCTGAGATGTACAAATTGAGTACTCGACGGCTGGAAACTAATTCTTCATGTTCTTTTCACACGTAAACACTCTTTTACAATATTTCTATTAGTTTTCTAACCCTATGGTTGAAGACAGGAGCGTTTATTTAATCTTTCTCCGATGATTGCAACATCTCTTTCTTTATTGTTTGATAATCTTATGAAATCATATATAGAAGATTGGTATTTTCCAATATCTAAAGATGGGTCGTTTCCTACGGCATGTCGTATGCTTTTTGATCATTTTTCTCTTTCTTTTTATCAACATCTTGCTTCAAAAAGTTCATATGATATTATGATGTTATTTTTTATCCAATGTTCGAATACTATTATTGTTGCTCTACGTGAGCTTAGATCAGCATTGTCATTTTCAACGGATGATCATAATATTATTTCCGTTATCTCTGCGTATGTTGCTCAAAATCCGGGTTCTGCTTTATCGCGTTTGTTAGACCAACCACTTCAAAGAGAAAGATTTCGTTTTGAGTCGGAAAATTTAATGAAGTTTTTAGGGAAAAAGGAAGATTTGGATTGTTCTATATTAAGGACACTTATGCGCGAAATGTTTACGGTTCAGATTTTTGAAAATGTTGTCGACATTTGTTCATCTGCTGATTTTATTAATGAATGGATTATTTACCTTTATGATAATGAGAAATCGCATGAAACAAATGAAGAGCAGTCTCAGAAGAAAAGTGAAGTCCAGCTTGCGATGGAAAAAGCAATGGAAGAGGCTGCTGAAATGACAAAGTTATTGCAAGATAAAGCGGAAAATCAAGAGTCACCATTATCTGAGCATCCATCTCCTATTATGTTTAACGAAGTTATAACTCCCGAAAAAAGAGATTATTTTAGAAGATCGAGTGTAACATGTTTTGTTTCTCCAATTCGTTCACGTACATCAAGTCCTGATGGGCGCCATCATTTTAAACCGTTTTGTCATTCTAAAAGCGGATCTCCTGATCGTTCTCGACTGGGTTTATATGATTTAAAAGAATTAAAACCTTCAATAAATGCACCTCAGGACGTGTTTTTAGAAAAAGATACTTCAAGTCTTTCTAAAGAAAGTTTATTTCAAGCTGATATTTCTTTGTCATATGTTAATTCTGAATTATCTCCTAAAAAAATTATAAAATCAAAATGGTCTATTAATTTTTTGATAATAGTAGAGCCTGCTGGAGGTCAAATGCCTGGATGGGTTATTATTAAAAAGTATTCTGACTTTGAATCATTGCATGAAGTTCTTCGCCGCTTAGCTGCAGTTTCAGGTTTACATTCTTTTGCTAAAGAATTACCTCATTGGAAAAATATAAGTTATGAAGATTTGAGAATATCTTTAGAAAATTATTTGCGAAAGGCTTTGAAGTCTAGAGATCTTTCTGATAGTCATGCAATGAAAAGTTTTTTGGATAAACAATCTAAATCTGATGGCTTTTCTGGAAAACGAAAATCATGGCAACAGCTGCGTACTGTGAGTGATGGTGTACGCGATGTTATAAAAGCACCTGCAACAGGAGGAAGGGCTATTATAAATGCTCTTGGGGCTGTTGGGCGAAAAGCTTTTGTTGATATACCTGATAATATATATGAATCAGAAGCAGAAAATCCATCAACTGATGGGTTAGAAGATTCACCTATAGTTAATACTGATAATTTACTTTTTAACGCTTCTAAGGATGATGAGAAGCCTCTTCCACCTCGTTCTAGTTTTCAGTCACAAACAGAAGAAAAAAAAGAAACCAAGTTATCCACTGCATTTCCTAATATTCCAGATAATGGATCACTTGATCTAACTTTTAAAACAGAGACATGTTCTGAAGAATTGTTATTAGAGCATGACAAAAATAATATTGATTTAAATGACAAAAAAGAATCTTTTTCACATGAGAAGTCTAATTCTAATGTTACTAAAGGGTTTTCAAATTCTGATGTACAACTTTTTATTGATATTAATTTTTGTATTTTATCAGAGTTTTATTCATTATCATCAAAAACATGGTCTATTCGTCGTTCTCTTCTTGGAATACTTAGAAGTTTATTATTGCGAAATGGAACGTATGTCGATTTTGTAAAAGAAGCTATAGAAGAAAAGGTTACAAATTTTTTTTCTAATGAGAAATGGATTTCTGAGCAAATTAATAAAATTATAATGGAAATATGGTCACCTGATCCTGCTGAAAATGTTGAAAAAGACTCACAGAAATTAATGTTAAAAGCAAAACGCTTATTTTTACGCAAAACAATTCCAGATACTCTAAAGTCTCTTGTAGGAGGCACTGCTACTAAGGAATCACTTGAAATAGTTTTTAATGCTCTACAGGAAAAAGAATTTATGAGAGGAATACTTTCAAGTATTTTGTCTGATATATTACAAGTAATTTTCCAGTAATTCAAATATTTACATAAAAAAAGATTATATGTCGGCTTTATGTCACTTATTTTTTCGTATATTTAAAATACGAATATGGTCATCTGAATTTTTATCTATTAAAAACACACTTTAGAAATATTTTATTCTATACATTTTAATGTTTTTGATTAACACTATTTAGACAAGGTTAAGGTTTAATAGCTAAAAATTAAACATAATGGATTCCTTTCTTACTTATGAAATTCACAAGTATACGAAATAATATTTAACTGATATAGATTTTCATTTATTAGTATAAAAAATGGTATTAATATTATAAAATGTATAAAGGTTATTGTTTTCTTTAGTGTTTTTGAATATTTAAAAGTAGAATTTTTCATATTTATACAATTGCATTAAATTCTATTATGATGTATTTAATATAAATAATATTTTGGTTAATTTTACTAGTTAGGGTTCCAAAACGAGATTAATAAACCCTTGGACAGTATTTTTCCGAATTTCTTCGCTAATAATATGTTTGCCACATAAGTAACTATATAAAATTGATTTAACAATAGCATCGTTGCCTATGAATGTTGCAATTTTTTGGCTATTATAGATCATTTGAATTGTATGTGTGTTAGTGATAAATAATAGAAGTTCTTCCCCTTTTAATAATTTTTGCTGAGTTGGCCATATTGATTTAAAAGATACGAGATCATCCGATGAGTACTCTGTTGATTTAGTTTGTACTTGATTAGATATTCTATGAATAAATCCATCTCTAAGATGTGAAAATTTTGTATTTCTTGTCGGCACAATACGAATGATAAACTTTACTTTGGATTCGAGTAAAGATGATATCAAAGACATACTTTTGGTTGAATCCTGCATAAGTATAGACAAATTTTGAGCACTATTGTTTGGTTCTTCTGATATGTATTTTTGTAAAATACTTTGAACTTTAGGAAGACTTAAACTTGGAATATATATACCAGCAACATAGACCTTGATGCCAAGAAAAGTTACCGTTCTTGTTCCAAGACCAAGCAAAATGTACTGTTCTGAGGACGAATCCGGTGTTATAAATTTTGGAAAAAAAGGAACAGTACTTGAGGATGTTTTTACTAAAGTAGTATGCGTATTATCATGAATATCTTGTGATATTGTTGCATCACATTTTGCTGAATGAAAAATGTTTCTATACATAAAATAACCCGGAAAAAACGAAAATCCAAAAAGTGAACAGAAAACCCATGTTGACCGACAACGTAAAGGAAATAATACTGTCTTTGTAAAGATATGCCTTTGTTTTTGTAATAAATATCGAGATTGAGTTAATGGTCTTGTACAAAACATAAAAAGCACCATTTTGTTGTTTAAATAATGTTTATCAAGTATATAACTCAACACAATCTTTTGGTATAATAATTAATGTATAATTTTCGTTTTCTTTCTTAAAGTGCAATTTTTAACTGTTTGATTATATAACAGTGGTTAGCTTTGTTATCTTTAATTCTTTCTATATTGTAAATCTCTATTCTTTGGATTGCATATCTTCTCTGCTTATATGCATTGGTGTATGGAGAACATATCTTCTGTTATATTGTCTCACTTAAATTACTGCTGATTATCAATTAAGCTCTATTTATAAGGATATATCCCAAATATACTGAATCTATACTAGATTCAGCTTGTATGTGTATTGTATTCGCATTATATGCGTAGTGTATGCGTAGTATATGCGTGTTGTATGCATGTTGTATGCATGTTGTATGTTGTGTGTCCTATTCCTCCCCTATTTATATACTTCTAACTTTCATTATTTAATTGATATTATCTAATTAATATATCACTAAACACTTTTTAACGCCATAAAATAACATTGTTTGTTCATTATCTCTAAAAAAGGCATAGTATATACTAAATTCTCTGTTCATAGCCGTTTCCAGCCACTGCTATATGCACGATGTACAAGAATGTATAACGCTTAGTATCGATTACGCGTTGATGACACTTAGTATATTAATATACGCTTTAATGACGTGTAAAGACGCGTCAAACGGGGAAATAGACGTATTAAGAGAAGAATAAACGCGTGAATATATGTTTTATACGATTTTATACATTTTTACATACATCAATATGTCTTGCTAGCCTGAAGGGGGTAAGTACGGGGTGGCGGGTAGTTTGGCACGTCGCGACGCGTCAAAGAATGTTTTCAACGTGGCGTTGATAACGGACATATAAATACAGGAACGACTATTGTAATCATCATCTTTTATACTATCTTTTTGGCATTGACAACTATGAGAATTATTCGTGTCTTCTTCACACTTGTCTTGTTTTCTGTTGCCTGGGCTGCTCATGAACGGCGTGGTTTCTTTTCTGGATGGTTTGGTTCTCGAGATAAATCTAAATCAGACACTGCAGCTTTATCTACAACTCTTCCAACATCTGGATTGGATCAAGCACCTGATTCTGTTCCTGGTTTATCTGCACCTGGACTCGGTTCTGGTGGTCTTGGTGGTTCCGGTTCCTCAAATGCACCTGATACAAATCAAAAAGATTCAAAACCAGAAGGGCATTTATCAACAGTTGTTGTTGAATTGCCTGATGGGACTACTAAGACTACAACGGGTCATGTGCATGTTTCTGTTGCTGTTGTTTCATCATATGAAACAGTGATTCTAACACCGACTGTCCTTCGTGAAAATGGGGTGGATTATACAGTGACGGCACCAACAACTTTACAAATTACTAATTGTCCATGTACACGGACAGTATCATTATTATCATCTACAGCAACTAGATGTGTATGTACAACTGAGGTTGTGCTTCTTCAGGCGGTTCCGACAAATGAAATGCCGCTAGTAAATACAGCTAAACGTGCAAAAATAGGAGCATTGGGCATCTGCATTGGGTTTGTTTTGGTTGCATTTTTTGTCTAAGTATTCTGTATAAATGGTGTAGATCCGGTTTTTGGGAGTTAGGTGCATACGTTGTATTTTGTTTGACTCATTTAATGTTAATTCTAATATTTACACATATTTCTGTGTTGTCTCCATGTCAACCGTTGCCATGCTGATTATTACTGCTGCGTCGTCACGTGCCATGCTGTGTGCACTGTTTGCCGTTGGTTTTTTGATTCGTTCCAAATCGACATCTATTAGCGATAGAACGGGCAGAGTGTGCATACAAAACGCATATAGCACGCATATACCGCGCATATATCGTGCATATACCCTCAGTATTCATAGATGGATCACTACAGAACAAGTAAACAAGTCTTCAATGCTATCTTCCTGCATACATCAATTGCTCTATTGTTTACCGAAAGTCAGGGCACATTCTGTTCGAAATGTTTTATATCGGGTGAAAATTAATCAGTTGAATCAATTAGCGGTATTTTTACCGATGCATACATCTGTATCTTCACAATATGTAAATAGACAATAATAATGTATATATTTTGCTGACTATAAGTAGCTGAGTGCTCATCTTGCTGAATCCGATCCTGAAGTGGATGCTCTGATTAGATCTGAGGCAGCACGGCAACGTGCTTCAATTGTGCTAATTCCGTCAGAGGTGGGTGTTAACTGCACAATTCTATGAATATATGCGTAGAAATAGTGCATTAGAAGTGTATAAAATAGCTGAATAAGAAAGAATTTTACATCACGTGCAGTACTTGATGCTTTGGGGTCACCTATGCAGAATAAATGTATGATATGAGTTTTAGAGGTAATAATTTAAGATATATATAGATTCTGAGGGATATCCGGGAGAACGGTATTATGGGGGTAATAAATTTATTGATCAGATGGAGCAGTTATGTCAGAAAAGGGCTCTTAAATTATATGGTTTAGATGAAGAAAAATGGGGAGTTAATGTTCAGCGTGTGTGAGATGTATGCGCGGAGTATACGCGCTTTATATATGCATTGTCCTTATATGAACAGCATTGTCGGGGTCTCCGGCAAATTTGTACGTTTATAAGGCATTAATGAAACCGCATGAAAAACTGATGGGAATGGATTTACCGGGTATGTAGGTTGTTTGAAATGCATCTATATGTTTTATATATGCATTTTGTGGAATATATGCGTATTATATTCATGCTTTGCATATATACGATTATATATACTATATATATGGTTACATGCACAACTATATATATAGTGGTTTATGTTGTATAAAAACATATATTCCAATATAGAGATCTGGGTTGAATATAAGCGTATCTGTTAATATGTATATAAATATATGTATTTTGATGGATACGTTTATGATCATGCAAGTATATATATATATATATATATTTATCAGTGTTTATATGTGTGTGCAATATATGTTTAGATTTATAACATTATGGACACGCAGTTGTATATATTATAGATGTATATTTTTATGTCAGTTTCTAATGTATCTAGATGGTGGACATTTGTCTCATGGTTATTCGACTTTAACCAAGAGTATTTCTGCTGTGTCAGAGTATTTTACATCAGTTCCTTATAAAACGGATCCAAAAACAGGCATTATTGATTATGGTCAATTGGAGATGCTTGCTGCTGTTGTGAAACCAAAGATTATTGTTGCAGGTATTACTTCGTATCCAAGGCTTTTGGATTATTCTCGTTTTTCTCAAATAGCCAAGAGTGTTAGCGCATATTTGATGGCAGATATGTCTCATATTTCCGGTAAGCATTATATTGTATTACTTTTTTACTCATGAATATAGGCCTTGTTGCAGCAGGTGTTATTCCATCTCCGTTTGAGTATGCAGATGTTGTTACTTCAACTACCCATAAATCTTTACGGGGGCCCCGTGGTGCTATGATATTTTTTCGAAAAGGACTCAAGAGTATAGATAAAAATGGGAAAAGTAATTATCCTTTCTTTAGTAGTTTATTTCTTATTTCTGTTAAGAAACATTTTATGACATAGAAGAACGTATAAACTTTTCTGTTTTCCCAGGTCATCAAGGAGGGCCTCACAATCATACGATATCAGCACTTGCTGTTGCTCTTTCTCAAGCAAATACACCTCAGTTTAAGGAATATCAGTTTCAAGTACTTAAGAATTCAAAAGCTATGTCACATAGGTTTATAGAATTGGGTTATGAGCTTGTAACCGGTGGTACTGATATACATTTGATTGTTTTGGATTTGACTAAGAAGGTATTTTAAAACTTTATTTATAAATGAGCCAACATTTTAGGGAGTTGATGGAGCAAGGGTTGAAAGAATTCTTGAGCTAGTAAACATCGATACAAATAAGGTTGAGATAAAGTTTAGAAAAAAATAACTTTTCTTACTTTTAATAGAATACAGTTCCTCAGGATAAATCAGCATTGCATCCGTGTGGCTTAAGAGTAGGTTCTCCTGCAATGACTACTCGGGGACTTAAAGAGCCTGATTTTGTTACAATTGTCGACTTTATCCATCGTGCTATAAATATTACTATAGATCTTCAAAACAAGTCAGGAAGTAAACTGTTTAAGGAGTTTAAAGACTATGTTGGTACTGGTGAAGCGTATCCTGACTTGTGTTGTTTAAGAGATGAAGTCGTATCCTGGGTCTCTAAATTTTATATACCGCAATAGATATTTTATAAATATAATGTAGTTAATTTTTTTGAATATGGTTTTTTACTTGAGTTTTTATTTTTCGTTTTATAATTAGTTAAGATGAGCAAATACCTATTTTGAGTGCTGATTTCTGTATTTCTATGGTTAACTTTAGAAATGCTTTAAATCTTCTTTCGAGATATTTTCCTTAGCTTTTTTTAGAAGACTATTTATTTGAAATAAAATGAGATAAATAATTTTTATTAACTTTTATTGGATCATCTCTGTTAGTAACTTTTTTCTGTATTTTTGTGGGAAAATGGCGAGTAATATGGAACTTTATAAATTGGTTATTTTGGGTGATGGTGCAGTTGGAAAGGTTTTTTGTATTAAATATGAAAATTGGATGCTAATAAATATTTTAGACTGCTTTGGCAACTCAGGTTAGTTTGTTTTTTTTTTATAAATTTTTATCTTAAATATTACAAGTTTTGTTTAAGTCAATTTGTTGGTAAGTTTTTTTCTTAATAAAAGTTTATTAATTGCATGATTAAGAGGTAATTCTTTTTTTGGGAAAGATCCCTATAAATTTTTGTATTTTTAAAAAAATTTTCTTCTTAACTTTATATAGACATATGATCCTACAATTGAAGATTCATATAGAAAACAAGTGATGGTTGATGGTCATTCATGTATTCTTGAAATTTTAGATACAGCGGGTCAAGGTACTATGTTTTTAGTTTTTATTAAGTCTCATTTTTGCATAGAAGAATATGTTGCATTAAGAGATCAATGGATTAAGTATAATAAATTTAGTTATTTCTTTTGTTTTAATTATTTGGTAAAGGAACGGTGATGGTTTTTTATTGGTGTATTCAGTATCTTCTCGTTCAACATTTGATCGTATTAAACGTTTCAGAGATCAAATTGTACAAACTAAAAATACACAATTTATTCCTTTAATGTTAGTTGGAAATAAATCTGACAAAATTTATGATCGGGAAGTTTCATTTCAAGAAGGGCAATCTTTAGCACATTTATATGGATGTCAATTTGTTGAAACAAGTGCAAAATCATCTGTAAATGTTGAATTTGCGTTTTATAATCTTATAAAAGCGATTAGAAATTTGAAAATGAATAAAGATCGAGTTGTTTTAAAAAAAGAGAGAAAAAATATTATAAATTACATTTTTTGTGGCTTATGTGGTTTATATTGATTAATTTTTTCTTTAAAAGTATTTTTGAAAGATAAGTTTCAATTCTATAAGGTTATGATATTATAAAATTTGAATTTTCTTTAATTATTATGGGTTTGAGTTAATGTATTGAAAAATTTGTAATGTGTATGATAAATGAATTACTATTAGTTTTTCTGCATTTATTTGTTTTTTATTTAATATAAAATAATTTATGTTTTATTTTCTATATTTTGCTAAAAAAGTTTATTCATCTGTATCTTCGCATCATGCTGAATTGATTTATCGATAATAGGCAACGTAATTTTTTGAAATATTTATGATTGATCTATGAATAAAAAGTTGAAAAATTGGTATTATATTTCCTTGAAACGACACTTTTTTTGATAAAAGATTCTTATTTTTGGTAAATATTTTGTTATTATTAATAATTTTCATTTATTTTTTATTTATAGAGTTATTTTTTAAGAAAAAAAAGCTAGAAAAGAATTATTTTTGTTTATTTATATTCTTGTCTTTTTTTATCATTGTATTTTCCATTTTTTGGCTATTCTGCTGTATAATTTATTTTTTATTAGGATTTCTTATTTAATATTATAAGAAATGATAAGAGATGGTACAACAGTTTGTTTGGATCTTGAAACACATAGTTACGATGTTTGCAGTGGTTCATATACTATTGAATTATCTGATGGTGAATGTTCTTGTGCTCAAAATATTCAAGAAAATTTAACGGCATACGTGAATAAATTGAAATGGGAAATAGCAGGCAAAAATAAAGATAAAGAAAAACTCTTTGATGATTATGGTTAAATATATATAGTTAACGTTGTTTTAATACTAATATTTTAGAGAACTTGCAAGAAAAATATAATAATTTGTTATTATCTTATGAGTCACTCAAAATCTCTTCATCTAAACAATTAACGGATTTAAAAAGACAGCTATCCTCTATAAAATCAGAAATGGATAGGAATATGAATTGTGTTTATGAAGAGTTAGAAATTAAAGCATTGCAACTTAATAAAATGAAGCAAAAACTTGAGAAACTTAGAAATGCAAATCATATGGCCAATGAGCATATTAGGACTCTTCAGCTAAATTTTGATCTTGAAAGGAATCGTTGGAAAGAAGAAAAAATAAGGTTATGTTCAAATAAATATTCTATCAAAAAAATGAAAGAGTTAGAAGAATTGATGTTGTTGCATAGACAATATGAAAATATGAGATTTGATATCCCTGAAACAAGAGAGAATTCTGTTTATACTAGCGGTACATCAATCAATGCTATTCATGAAGATATAATGACAAATAATTCTTTCGATAATTTTTTTTCTAATAAAACTCTTGCTGCAGAATTGAGCTTATGTTCTGATATAGATCAGGGGTCAAATACGCAAATACCTCAATTACTAGATTTTTTCGATAAAAATAATTCTCGTCCATTATCCAATGTAATATTAAATTCTGAAAATCATGAAAATACAATTATGACGATTCCAAATGAGTGTATTACAAAATATGCATCTAAAAACGATATCAATTTGCAAACAGATATTGTTGCATTTTTAGGGGAATGTAAAGAAGTGCCTGGGGATGATGTTTCTTCATCGATTCCCCCTGCTCAAGAGATAACGGTCTCAGAAAAGAGTACACCGATAAATGCAGTTCAAAAGAATACTTTTGATTCTTTAAAATCCGAAAATTTAAATTCATTAAAATTTAAGAAATCTGTAAAAAACGTTTTGACGAATCAAAAACATTATGTCTCTCCAGCGACTAATTTTTTTAAGCGTCAATTTTTTAGTATTTATCCACCATTACCTATTCCTATTCGAAAAACGTCACTTGTTTTCAAAAAAGCATCAGCATTGTCTTGTAGAATGGCTAATATAACTTTGAAGATACCTGAAAATAAAGATTCATGTTCTAATTATTTTCACGCATTACATATCATATCAAATATACCGTATAAGAATAATTTAAATAGGTTGTTGAAAAGAAGAAGCTTAATGATAGATGATGTCTCTAATTCTGGTAGAAAATTGTTTGTAACAAGACAATCTTTTTTTGCTTCTTTATAATTTTTTAGAAATTTCATCTGTATTGTAGTTTACTGATTAAAGTTATTCTGGAATATAGAAATACTATAGTTAATAAGGATTATGAATATCTTAAGACCTAATAAAGTTTTTTTTACTAATAAATACATTTAATTCTTCAAATATACCATATGTATATACTATATGTAAAAAGACTATTTAAAGTTTTAATTGTACTCTAGTAACTGTATTACTTTTTTATTTTTTCTGTATTTTTATATATCTTAATATTTCATCGTTTTTTATATTGTCTTAATGATTTTGCTCTAACACTTCTCGATCGTACTCTCTCATTCAATGGAAGCAATTCTACAAAGTCTTTCTCGAGAAGAATCTGATGTAGTTGATACGTCTGATTTTCAGAATCCTTTGGATTCTCTTTATAATTCATCTTTTAAGGTCTTTTTTTTGATTTTAGATGGTGTTTAATACGTGTAGAATAGCAAAGTTACTGATACTATTTCATCAAAGATTACACATGGCACAACAACATTAGCATTTTGTTTCTCAGGAGGAATACTTGTTGCTGTTGATTCAAGGTTTGTTTTTGTGTGTTTTTGTGCGTTTTTGTGTGATTTAAATGTGTTTTGGCATTACTGAGCACTTTAAGATTCACAATAATATCAAATATTGATTCAATATTAGGGCAACTGCTGGAAGCTGGATTGCAAGTCAAACGGTCCAAAAAGTTATAGAAATTAATGTATATATACTTTTTGTGTATTTTTTATTTGTTTATTCGAGTACAGGATTATCTTTTGGGGACAATGGCAGGAGGAGCTGCTGATTGTCAGGTTGGTTTACAATTAAGCGCTGTGGAAGTGAAATACTTTCTTTTTTGCGCAGTTTTTATTAAGAATTTGTTTTAATATTTTGATAGTTTTGGGAAACAGTATTGCGTATGGAATGTCGTTTATATGAGCTTCGGCACAAAACGCGCATATCGGTCGCAGCAGCGTCTAAAATCTTAGCAAATATTGTTTATTCATATAAAGGCATGGGTCTTTCAATGGTAATGATGTTTATTATAAATCTATTCTCTGAAGTTTCAGGGAACTATGATTTGTGGTTGGGATGAGCGGCGAGGCCCTTCTTTATTTTATGTTGATAGTGAGGGCACCCGGCTTAAAGGAAACATGTTGTGTGTGGGATCTGGACAGACGTTTGCGTATAGTATAGTAGATGATAAATACAGTTGGGATATGTCTGTAGAAGATGCCATTGAACTTGGTAAACGTGCTATTCTTGCTGCTACTCACAGAGATGCCTTTTCAGGAGGAAACGTCAACAGTATGTTGACATTATGAATGCTTTAAATCTTAATTCTTTTTAGTTTATCACATCAGATCAGAAGGTTGGCGTTTTTGCGGTAGATTTGATGTGGCACAACTTTTCGATGAGGTTGTAGAGAAAGATCATTCTTTTCAACATGTTATACGGTAGGCTAGTTATATTTTGCTGCTCTATATGGGCTTTTTGGGAGTCTTGATATATCTAAATTGCTTCAAAGCTGTTTATAATAGCGGTTTTTATAACAGTTGTAATTATTTTCCATATTGCTGTTCTTGAGTAAATATCTCTATGGCAATATTCAATTGATCTTTGGAATAGATATGTATATACAAATTTATAGGTTTTTTCTTTTAGTTTTGTTTTTCATAATATTCTTACTTTCATATCCCATATTTTTATTTACACTAGCTGTTTATATTGGGTCTCATAATTTTCTTAGGGTTTAGTCCTAAGATCAATGAAATCGACAGTCCTACAGAATTACGCTGCTCACGACAGACGTCTTTTAGTTTTATTAATTGGTATAAGGTAAGAAAGGTGTGCAGAAGCGCTGTTTTTAAGGAAGAATTGGATTTTTTTACTTAATTGATGATGTTTTTTTGAAAAAAGCCATTTTTATAGTTATTATTAAGGATTTTATAAGTTTTTTTTAAAAACAGAAAAGAACCATAAATAACTTGTTTTTTGTCAAAAGAGTATTAAAAATATATTAAAACGGCACTTTAGATATTGGTGTGTTTTTCAGAAACCTATTCTTTCCTTTTTTTTTTGTTTTTTTTTGCTTAAATACTGATGATTTAGGGATCATGGGTATTTCTCGTGATTCTCGTCATAAGCGCTCTGCTACAGGCGCAAAACGTGCACATTATCGTAAGAAGCGGAAGGTATGGCTGTTTGTTTGAGAATCATTGTGTTTTTCTGATTATTTTAGTTTGAATTAGGGCGTCAGCCAGCAAATACACGGATTGGCCCCAAAAGGATCCGCCTTGTGCGTGTTCGTGGCGGGAATCGCAAATTTCGTGCTCTACGACTTGATTCTGGCAATTTTTCGTGGGGTTCTGAAGCTATTTCTAGGAAAACTCGTATTATTCAAGTTGTTTATCATCCATCTAATAATGAACTTGTTCGTACAAATACTCTTACTAAATCCGCTATTATTCAGATTGATGCAACACCTTTTAGACAATGGTATGAGTCGCACTATGGACAAGTTGTTGGAAAACGGGCTCGAAAATCTGATTTAAAAGATGTTGAACCTGTTAAAACTTCTGGTCATGTACAGGCAAAATTGCGTGCACGTGCAAAGTTTGCTAAAATTGAATCGGCACTTGAGACTCAGTTTAGCAATGGACGGCTTTATGCTTGTGTTAGCTCGCGGCCTGGGCAGTCTGGACGATGCGATGGTTATATTTTGGAAGGAGAAGAGTTGGCATTTTATTTAAAGCGGTTGTCAGTTAAAAAGCATTCTTAGATAAAGAATATCTATAATAATACATATTATCAATTAAAATATAGCAACTGGTGCCCTAGGAATGCTAAATACATCCGATTTGTTTTAGTGAAGTGTTTATTAATATTGAGCAATATTGACTTGCAGAGTTTGCCTTGAAAAGCATCTTCTCTCTTGCCAGTATGGCTCTGATAGTATATATACTTTATTTAAGTTTCTTTTTTGGTCGAAGCTGACTTGAATGTCCACATGATCGTTTCCTACAGTTTGTTGCTCGTGGTGGAAGACGTGCATAGCATTTCCGGCAGATCATCTTTTCGCAATTGTACTTTAAGACTTGTTAGAAGAATTGTATTATTTCCTGTATTTTACCTTTGATGCAAGTGTTTTGAGTGAGGGCTCAATGATGCCACCACGGAGCCGCAATACAAGGTGAAGAGTCGATTCTTTCTGGATATTGTAATCAGAAAGTGTTCTTCCATCCTCCAACTGCTTTCCAGCAAAGATTAGCCGTTGCTGATCCGGTGGAATCCCTTCTTTATCTTGAATCTTGCTTTTGACATTGTCAATTGTGTCTGACGACTCCACCTCCAAAGTAATCGTTTTTCCTGTAAGTGTTTTCACTGCATAAGAATATTAGTTTTGTTATTTATGTTTTCTTCTGTTTTTTTACCAAAAATTTGCATTTTGATGAAAAAATTGCGTTTTTTTAAAAACTTTAAAGGTCGTTGGGCGATCTGTTTTTTATATATTTGTGTAGGGTTAAACCCTAATTTTAGGGTTAGTTGTTTTAGGTTTTTGACTTGGATTTCTGATAATTGAGTTGATCGACGATTGTCCACTAAGCAGCGTTTTTAGGTGCTGAATATTTTATAAAGAGCAAGTATTTTGTGTGAGTCTTTTTGGAGGGTTTTACAGCTTCTGATTTATTTGTTCATCAGTTTTTTTATTTTTTTTTTATCAAAATCTTTCATCAAAAAACGTTTAAAAAAACCTATAAAAAAAATGGTGAATTCACAGCTTTTTAAGGTATATATTCTTAAAAGGTCTATGTATCATTGTATTTTAATGTATTTCAGCGTATGGTTCAGATTGGCCGCGTTGTTTTGCTTATAAATGGTGATTTTAAGAATCGGATTGCTGTCATTGTTGAAATTTTGGATTGCCGACGGGTATGCTTTTCCTGCTTCTTAACATACTTATATCTTCTTTTAGGTTGTTCTTGATGGCCCAAAAACCTGTGTTTCCCGGCATATTGCTTCTTGTAATGATTTTCTTCTTACATCTATCATGGTTCATTCTCTTGCTCACGGTGCGCGTACTGGCATTGTTGCTAAGCGCTGGGATGCACAAGATATAACTGCTCAGTGGAATAAAACAACAATGGCAAAAAAATTACTTTCTCGGCAACGTAGAGCACAATTAAATGATTTTGAGCGATTTCAGGTTGGTTTTCTTGTATTTTGTTTTTTTTTTCTTCTAACTGTATAAGGTGATGCTTTTGAAGAAACAACGGCGTATTGAGGTAGCAAAGACACTTTCAGTTGCAAGTTTGTAAATGGTTGTTTTGGCATCTTTAAATATATTATTCATATATTTTGTTTAATTTCATTTTAATTTTTTCTTTGCCGCTCAATGATTATTCATATTTATATTGTGCTAAATACTTTATATATACAACAGATTAATTAGTGTGTATATATTACGCATATATTTTATCGGATGTATTTTGAAAATTGAAATATGCTTTTTTTTTGATTGCTTATCTGTATAATATGTTTTTAATGCGTATATATATCGACTAATCTTGATTTTTTTTGCATATACCTCTATATCGACATTGGTATATGTTTGGTATATCGTCGTTGTAACGTCTATATTATTAGAGTTATTGACGCTTTTAAGCGTAAAATTGAAGGTGTAATCTTATTTAGGCGTATATAATATATTTTAAGCGTATATATTCGACAGATCTGTTATTTGTTCTGGATTGGACAATACAACACTTTTAGTGTACTTGTAGAGTACTTGTTGTAGACCAGAAGTATATATTTTTGCGCATATATGGCGCATATAGTCTGTATTTTAGTGTGTTTAGGCTAAAGTTTTTATGTAGTGGTATTTTGAACAGTAATGATTAAGGAAATTGGCTTTTTTTTTGTAAAATCTTCTCTGGATGTAGTTGTGTTGCAAAATGTGACTCTGCAGGCGGGCGTGAAAGCTATTCTTAATGCACCACGGAGACAGTTGTTATTTCATGGTAAATCCAGAGGATCTGCTTTGACAAATTTATTGATGGTATTTCTAGATGAAATAGCAAGAGTTTTTATTATTTTAATATGTCAAAATGAAAATTTAAATAAAGAACATGTAAAGTGGGCACCATATTTGTCATGCACTATTGATGGATGGATGGATGATTTTCAGCGATATACATCTCAGGTATTTCATGAAGAAGAAAGAAATAGGAAGGAACGAATGAATGATGGCTCTAACTTTTTTTTTCGGGTTATTAGCAGTAAAAAGATGATATCAGAGTTTATTGAGGAGAAAATGGCTGTAATATGGGAAGTGGAAATATTTATTCGTGAATATACATATTTATGTATGATTTTTTTTAAATTATTTTAGCATTTCCTCGTTTACGTGTAACGGCACCTAAAGTGCAACTGATTGCATCGATTACTGTAAAACCAGAGGTGTTGGTTATGTCTCAGGATGGGGGGTGTGAAGGAAATGACGATATATCTACAAATATTCTTGAAAGTCTTTCTTGTGGTATGAATATTTTGTTTACTTAATATTTTTTGAAGAATATAAGAAACAATGGTATACGGTGTTACACCTTTTTTGTCTTTGTCTCGGATTTCAAATGTTTCACTTATGTCAGATATTGAGCCTTCATCGTCAATCGAAACGTTACGGAAAGTTGTCAAAAAAGTTTTTGCATGTGGATCTGTTATAAGTTTAAGAACGAGATCTTCTATGGTAATGGTACCGAGTTTTCAAAGGATATTACTTTCTGTTGACATTGAGTCTTGTTCTGCAAATCAACTCCCTGTTTTAATTGAAAATATTGAAATTAAAGTTAAAGGGCGAGTTGCTCAAAGAATTGAGAATGGGGCAGAGTTTCCTATTATTCTTGCGTTTCAGGAACAGTTTTTGGTATTGTATTATATACCCTTTGATCCTTCTATTGATCAAGGGATAACGGATCTTTTGGCACTCCCTGTAACGATTTTTGTGAAGATGAAACCTCAAATATTTGATGGGGAATATAGTCTTTTGGTTATGTCGCAATGGTATACGACTATTCATGTATCAAAGGACCAAACTCGAGTTTCTCGTTATCAGTCTGTCATTCAAACAGAAGATAGCGTTCCTGATTCTAATTCGCTTTTACAAAAACATTTTGTTCATGGAAATAATTATAGTTTATTAAGGTCTAAAAGTCCTGAACCTTCTGATATAAAATCTCCATTTTGGAAAATTTCTCTTACTTTTACTGCTCCAAAATGTGTTAAAATATGGAAAGTATTTGAAATAGAAATTGTTTTAGTAAACCAATCAAATGTTTCTAAGGATATATCTTTGTCTGTACTTTCAAAAACTCAGGATGTTGATTATGGAGCTCTTCCTTCCGTTATGGAGAATGATTCTCTTTTTATATTGGAAGAAAAAGGTTGTATAATTTTAATAATATGTTTTCTAATATTTTGAAACAGCTGTTCATGCTTTACATAAACAGATTTCTGTCGAGCATGTTCATATATTACCTCTTACAAACGATATACGCATTCTGTAATGTAGCAACATATTCTTTTCTGATCTAATGTTTTAAAGCCCACTTAATTCTTATGGGTGTTATTTTTCTTCTATCTCTTTTATTGCTATTCGTGAGGGTCTTTTTTCACTTGAAGGAATCCGTGTAACAGATTTACATACTGGTTCTTATATTGACTGTTGTTCTCTTCCTAGGATTTTTGTTTATTCATAACTTTTTGAAATGTAAAAATAATCCAGATTATATATTTTTATATAAAAATTTTGTTGTGCTTGGGACCTGCATTTGTGTATACTCTGTTCTCATAATGTAGAATATTTTTGATAGATTTCTTATGATACGATTTGTTATTTATTTTTTGGATTAAGTTTTTATATTATACTTTCACGTTGTTTTAATTATTGTCTTTAAATGTCAAAAATATTACATGTAAAAAATATCTTTAAATTTCTCTTGTTAAAGTAAGAAGATTAAGAAGTAGTATTAAACTAATTTGTATGATTTAGTATTATTACTATTAGTCTTATTGTTTTAACACTAATAATAATACTTTTAAGATATAATTATTATTATCAAAGATCTCCAGTATTAACATTGTCTATTACAAATTCTTTACTTGGAGGTGTTTCCAATATGTCTGCACAAACTATTTCTGGCATACAATTTCGATTAAAAAGAATTGATCCATTTATTTCAAAAAAAAATGAGTATGGAGTAGAAAATATTGAACTTTCAAATAGTTACAATAAAGTAGTTTATATTTTAATATACTATTATTCAATTTCTTAATTTTTATAGAACTTTTATAGTAGATCATCTGCTTTTAGTTTTTCTCAATTGATTAGATTTATGAGTTATAGTAATATTATTAACACAACGTTTTTTTTTTATTAATTTTTTTTAGGTTTTTTTATGACGCCTATTCAGGTAGATGCTTCAATATATTTATGTATGTATTTCTTATTTTTGTAGCACTGGTGGTATTCTTTTCTTGGTCAATTGACTTTAAATTCTAGAACTTCGGATACAATAGAACTTGTTAAGAGAATTTTGATGGATCAATTTTTATTTGCACCCATAGGTCTTGTTTTTTTTCTTATTTTTATGTCTTTAACAGAAGAGTTAAATAAGAAGAAATTGAAAAATAGATTCAGACAAGTATATTATTTATAATATATATTATTAGTGCTTATTTTTATATAGGATTATATTTCTATATTAAAGGTATAGTTTAATCTTTTATAATATTATTTTGATCGGATTAGGTTAATTATTGTGTATGGCCTATTATACAGTTGATTAATTTTAAATATATACCTTTAAAATATCAAATACCTTTTCTTAACAGTGTATCAGTGTTTTGGTTTGTAGATTGAGTTATTGGAATTATTTTTAATTATTTTTAAAGGACAATATATTTAAGTATGAATGATTCTAAAATGTCTCTTTGAATATTTTTTAATTTCATTTTGTTTGTTTATAAAAATTATAATTTAAATATAGATTGGTTTTGATATTTTAATATTTGAATTTTTGAGTGTTTTTACAGATTGGTGTAATATTATAATTTTATAATTTTGGTATGTTGCATATATTTCTAATAAGTTTTTATATAAATTGGCTGGATTTTAGGTAATTAATATAGGCAGGCTTTACATCTAAGAAAAAATGAATTGTTTAAGATATAAACATTATTTTTTAAAAGATTACAATTATGAATTCTAAAAATTTGATAAATTCGTTTAAATTGTATTTTTAATTTATTTTAAAATATGTATTTGTATTATGCCTTGACATACATATGTTGTTAATTATTATATATATAATTGTTATTTATACAAGGTTTTTGTTTATTCAAGTATTATATTTTTATGTAGTCAAAACTTAAAAGAATTGATTTGTGTACGCCTTATTTGTATTGAACTGTTTTATTTCTCTGTAAATCATATTTGGATTTGATAAATTTAAACTATTTACTAGACAAATCTATTTGATTTTTAATAATTATGTTTTTCATTAAATAATTTCATTAACATAAATATATAAGTATTCATATTATGTTTTACCCAATAATTTTTATATATGTTAACAATACACTCTATTATTTAGTAATTTATATGGTATTAAAATTTTTAATCATGTTTAATTAAAGCTATTAAGATTACATGTTTGATCTACTTCCAAATTGGGTTAAGAATAAAACAATAATGAATATAATATTTTTTATTTTAAAAATAAGATTTAATTTATTTCAGATTTTATTTTTACCCAATAAAGTATATATTTTGCAAATATTTCGAATTCGTACATTTTTTTCGAAAGCGTAATTTATTAATATTCTATCATTAATATAGTAAATTTAACATTATATTTTTAAAATACAAAAATATTTATTAATAAATATATTTTCAATTATTCAAATATTCTTTCTATTACTATTGGCTCAAATATCCTAAAAAACCATATTGTATATTTCTTATCTATAATTCAATAAAGATACACCAAATGTTCTAACCATCCTCTAAATATGTCATCATGTATATTAATTTTATATTATATTTGCTTAAACCATCTTTCATCTATCATGTCAAATTTTTCAAAACAACAAACTACACATGTAATATATACATGAAGTGCGTATGTACCACATATACCAGATTATATAGATATTTTATATACGCCATATCACATCAAACATTTTATTTATGTCTTATCTAAAAATTATACAAAAAATATACTCTATATATTCATATTCAACAAATAAACATCCTTTTTCTTAAAATAAAATGCATTAAAGGATTATAAGAGTGATTTGCCCGCCTCCAAATCACGTGACTCTCTTGGAGAAATGAAAAAAAGAAACAACGATGATCGATTAGACAAAACGTTTTTTTGAATAGAAAGCAGTTTTGAAATACTGTTAAAATACCATTTATAAGATCTTTAAAGCATTTTCTAATCACTATCAATGAATAGTATCTGTTGAACAGGTTTTGGAGAAAATGAAGGGATCAGAAAAGATAACAGTACCTATTGCTGTATCAGAGATACCTCAGGGGATTAAAGAAGGGAAAGAAAAGAAAGAAATAGATAATTTTGGACGTAAAGAAAAAATAAAAGGAGAAGATGTCGCAAAGATTCAGGCATCACAAGTTATAAATGCTACGGCACATTCAAACCGTTCTCCATTGAAAAATGGGTATAATATGACGAAAGAACATACGTATACTCAACGAAAAACGATTGGAGATTGGCAACTAGGAAAAACAGTGGGATCAGGAAGTATGGGTAAAGTGAAACTTGTTACACACTGCGTTACGAATGAAATTGTACATGATTATTGAATCGTATACATATATATTGCTAATAAAGGCATTTAGGCAGCAGTTAAAATTATACCACGATCACTGTCACATGGGTCTCACTTAGCGTCTCATAGTGTGCAAGATAATGGAAAAGAGATACGTGCGATTCGTGAAATTGCGATTTCGAGTCTTCTTCAACATCCATATATATGTACTCTTCGAGACGTTAAAATACAACCTAATCATTATTATGTATTTTTTGAATATATTAATGGCGGCCAGATGCTTGATTATATTATTTCTCACGGAAAATTAAAGGAAAAACAAGCACGCAAATTTGCGAGACAGATCGGTTCTGCTCTCGACTATTGCCACCGTAATTCTATTGTCCATCGAGGTTGTTTGATGGTTATATTTTTTTCCCAAAATCTAACTTTTCTAGACCTTAAAATTGAAAATATTCTTATTTCTAAAGAAGGAGATATTAAAATTATTGATTTTGGTCTTTCTAATCTTTATTCCCCGCACTCTCAACTTTCTACTTTTTGTGGATCTCTTTATTTTGCAGCTCCCGAGCTTTTAAATGCTAAAGCATACGTTGGTCCGGAAATAGATGTATGGAGTTTTGGTGTTGTCCTTTACGTTCTCGTATGTGGAAAAGTTCCATTTGACGATCAGAATATGCCTGCTCTCCACGCAAAAATTAAGCGTGGACATGTTGAATACCCATCTTGGCTTACTACAGGTAATGATTACTTTGTATCCTTTTTTTAAAATTTAATTTTTTTGTACTAGAGTGTAAACAGCTTCTTTCTAGGATGCTCGTTACGGTGCCCAGTCAACGAGCTACTCTTTCTGAAATTCTTAATCACCCGTGGATGACTAGAGGATATGATTGTCCTCCCGAGAATTACTTTCCTTCGCGTTTCCCTATTACATTTCCTTTGGACATGGAGATTATCCGTAGAATGACAGGCTTCGAGTTTGGCAGTGAACAAACCATTCATTCAAAGTTAAATAATATTATTGAATCCGAAGGCTATCGAAAACTTGTTAAAACATATTATAATCAGTCACCCGATACACATGTTTTATCAGTGCTTATCGACAAAAAAAAAACATTTTTTGATTTTTACAAACGCAAATCAAACATATCATATAACTTGGTTTCTACCTCGACTTCTGAAAGTGTTGTTCAGAATCAACACAAAATTAAACCATTGTACGCTGATGCATATCATCCTTTGATCTCAATTTACTATCTTGTAAAAGAAAAGATAGAGCGCGAGAAAAAAAATGGATACAAAGACTCCTGTACTTATAAAGGAGACTTCTTCAATGCTTCTAGCATCTCTACTTCAATCGGTGCATTCACAACTCAGCTGGATCACAAGACCCGTCATGGCACCGTACCAATTCTTAGAAATCGATCTTTTACAATACGGACTCGGACAAAAACTTGCAATGAGAAAGATGTCAACTCTGTCATCAAAGATATACCCCCTGTGTCTCCAGATCTTGATCTTGTTACGGCTGATATTACTACTAATGCTGCTGCTAACGCTACTACTAATACTATTACTAACGCCGTTGCCAACAATAACACTAACACTAACAATGCTTCTAGCAATGCTCATAACCTGGATACTGGTCTCCATGGCAAGACTGATACTACGACTGATGCTACGGCTCCAACACCTATTAAGGAACACAAAGAGAGAAACTTCAAGCTGCTCCGGCGCTTCAGTTCTCGAAAAATTAGGCAGCGCATATTCCCCAGCCAGTCCCACCACGCCTCAGTCCCGCTGCGCCCGTCGACGCCGTGCAAGGCTTCAGGCATCCATCCACCCAACCCCGACTCTTTGCAGAGCAAACTGCCCGCTCTCAAGGGCTGCACTGCTCAAAACATTTGCACAGATGCGCTCCAGACCCACCTTAAGAGATCGGTTTCTGTCAACGACAACGCCTGCTTGTCCAAACCTGCCCTGTCGCCCTCCCGCGGCTCTGCTGCTCACTCAAAGGACCCAAAGGACCCAGGGGAACTAAAGGAACCAAAGGAACTAAAGGAACAAAGGGACCCCTCCGACAAGGCTCCCCCACCCGTCAGGCCCTCAGGCACCGGCTCCTTCGGCTTCCGGCGCAACCGCACAAAGTCTCTCGGAAACGCCAAGGGCGAGGTCCTGCGCAAGGAAAGAAGGTTCCGCCGCCAGTCTTCCGTCCTCGTCCCACACCACACTCCTCATTCCTGTCCACCTCCCCAGCCATGCTCTCCCACTCCCGGCCTGCCTTACAGCTCCTCCAGTGAGATTATCGTCAAATCCGGCTTCCTCAAGGGCATCTTCAGCGTCTCCACCACCTCCTCCAGGCCCCCTTACGAGATAAAGAACGGGCTCGTCCGCGTCCTTTCCCGCCTCAACATTTCCTACCGTGACATCAGAGCTGGCTTCTTCTGCGTCTACCGCCCAAGCATCGACCTCAAGACCTTTGCCACAAACTCCATCGCCCCCCGCGGCTCTCTCCCCCCTAATACCCTTCTCCGCCGCTCCATCTCTCTCCACAAGACCTTTGCTAGGAAGAAGCCTCTCGACGCTCCTCTCTCTCCCACTGACTCCGACGACTCTATCGATGATACCAAGGGCGCCCCCCCGAAGCACCTCGCCGGCTTCGCCATACAGTTTGAAATATACATAGTCAAAGTGCCCCTGTTTGCATTGCATGGTTTGCAGTTCAAGCGTATGAGCGGCAATGCTTGGCAGTACCGCTCACTCGCCAGTAGGATTATAGCGGAGATGAAGCTCTAACACCGCGTCTCCGGTTGGGTCTGTATGTATTTATTATCTATCTCTCCATTGCTATGCTGCGCTGTCCCTCAGCCTGTGCCGGCACCCGGCTGTGCGGCTGCGGCCGGCGCCACCCCCGCACGGCTCCACATGCATGCGCCGCACTGTCGCCCCAGCACGGTGCAGCACGGTGCTGCTGCACTATACACTGCACTACACACTACGCCATGCCTATGCTACGCTTATACACTGCTTATACACTGTGCTGTGTATACTGCGCTATGTATGCACTATCTATGTATCTATGTATATCTATGTACACTATGTACACTATGTATGCTGCACGCTATATAGCGTGCTATATATGCAGTACTGCGTCATGTATATATATGCAGCGGCACAGTGCAGTGCAACGGGGCTATAAGCTCCCTCGGCGGCGGACGCGCAGGAGGCATGATGTCCGAGTGGTTAAGGAGTATGACTTGAATGTGGAGCTATCATATGCGATTTCGCGCGCAGGTTCGAATCCTGCTCATGTCGCCAGCTTTTTGCGTGCGCGCTAGCCGCGCACGGCCGTCGCCAGCTGCACGAAACCCAAGGCGGTTAAGTAGTGGCGTGCAGCTAAACAAAGGCCATGCGCAGCCACGCATACAAGGCTGCGCAGCACCGCGCTGCGGACCACAGCAGAAGCTGCAGGAACAGCGAGCAATGCGGGCCGAGGCAGACGGGGAGCCGGTGTACAGTGAGGGCCTCATAGAGGGGCTTCTGGGGGGCCTTCTGGAGGGCGCAGCCAACGAAGGGTTGGAAGCCTTCCTGGGAGCAGAGGGCTCAGTGAGGAGCGGGCAAGCAATGGATGAGTTGGCGAGGGTGCTTGAGCAGAGATATGCAGGGTGCGGGGGGATAGAGGGGATGTGGGCGGGCGAAGGCGCACCGCCAAGTCAGGAGCAGACGAAGGGGGCGTCGCACGGGGGCTACAGCCCGGCGACGCCGCCGGGGATCCAGTCACCGGCGCGAGAAGTGGGGAAAAAGAAGTCGCCGTCTAGATCAGGCGTGGCAGGGTCAGGGATCAAGCGGCCATTGAACTCGTTTATGCTTTACCGGCGGGACAAGCAGGGGAGCATCCCGACAAACAATCACCAGTCGATATCGAGGATCATAGGGGAGATGTGGAAGCGGGAGACAATTGAGGAGAAGGAGAGGTATGCAGAGATGGCACAGAGAGAGAGGGAGCGGCATGCAAAGGAGTATCCAGACTACAAGTTTTTGCCGAGGAAGAAGAAGGACAAGAACGGAAAGTCACCGCGGCGGAGGAAGACCTATGACCCGGTGCTTGAGGAGGACGAGTCAAAGATCCTGCGGATGATGCTGAGCCAGATCACCCACAAAAAGTCGCAGTCGGAGGTGGGTCTGAGGGCAGAAGGGGGTTGCTACGACTGGCAGGAGGAGATATCTCTTAAGAAAACGATTTTCGAGGCCAACACGCAGCCGAGGCATATGGGGGGGTTTGCCGAGCAAGTGCAGCTGATACCGAGCACATATGAATATGTGAACACGGTGCCGGTGGGGTCATTTGCGGCTAAGGACCATATTGACCATATTGACCATATTGACGGGGCGGAGATGTATGGGGCATTGGGCACGTGCGCCAGCACGCTTGAGAACCTTAATAACAGCGATTTCCAGACATTGATGAATACATATGGCACGAATTCCGCAAACGAGTCTTTTTTGGGTAACATTTTTGATAAAAGTAGCACTGGATTCCCCCGAAATATCACAGTGAGTGATAATGTAAAAAGTGCAGATTTAGTTGAAAAGAACGAGGGGCAGAACATTGCGCTTCTGCCTAGTTTTGATTCCACAGTGTTGCAGGACGATATTGGCAGTGTACAGGATAATTTTTTTGGTTTATGGGATGGGGCGATGGATCTTTCATCATTCTCTACTTCTAACACAATGGGTGCTCAGGAGGTATTGAGTCGTCCTTTTGATCCAATGAATCTCGGGCTAGTTAGCATGATTAAGGAATCATTGTCGAGAAAAAATACATAAAACAGAATTCTAACGTGTACATATATTTATTTTTGTTTTGTTATTATACACTGTTTTTGTTATTATAGGGTTTTTATTATACATGAAAAATTGATGTTCAATGGGATTTCAAGGCTTTTCGTACTCGACCGAAAAACCTTTGGCCTCATGTTGTACAGATTTTATAACTATATTCCAAAGCGTTGCAATTCTGTTTCAGTCATGTATTGGCACTGCATTTATCTTTTTATTGTTATATTTATGTGTATTTTATCATTCTATATATATTCATTCTATATCCAAGAAAAATATATCCAAGAAAAACCTCTCTTTCATCCCTTCGCGTACACTAATCCAGCCTTATATCTATGTGTAGGGGCACATCCCCTGTATATCCTATAAATATGCGTGTATGCGCACATATAACGCATATACTTGACTGTATACATTATAAATGCAAAACATGCTGAAACCTATAAAGTCTATATTTTTAATGAATATATTTAGTTATAACTCTTTACTAGTACAATTTAACTTGTGTTGCAACGGTGGGTGATGATGATACGTTTGGCGCACCCAAAGTGACGACACATCTGTTTTTCATATTGAAGCATAAAAAAGCACTGCATAAGCTGCATACAGTACGCATACAAAGCATATTTTTAACACATATAAACAAATATTTTTCTATCTTTGCTAAACAGTGCAGACTTAATTGATTCTTCAGCTTAAACATATTAATACACGAAAACAAGAGAATTTCTGGTATCTAAAAACTTTTATTCATATTTTTGTGTATTTCTGGAGGCTTTAAGATTATATTCAGTGTTTTCGAGTAATATAAACCTGCAATTCTAATGGTAGTTGCAAGTTTGTTTTTCAAAACACCTGTGGATGTAGATATCCGTTTAGACGGTGAAGATAGTAGAAAAATGGTAGATATTAAAGTTGGCAAAGACAGGCGGCAAAAAGCACCGCTTTATTATGATGGAGAGTCTGTCAAAGGCTCGGTAATGCGAGATATATGCGAGATATATGCGGCTTATATGCGGTATAGGTAACCTTAAGGCCTAAAGATGGAAAACGTATGGAGCATTCTGGGATTAAAGTGCAATTTATAGGCAGTATTGAGATGTTTTTTGATCGTGGGACACATTATGAGTTTCTTTCTTTGGTTCAAGAGTTAGCAGCGCCGGGGGAGATGAGGCATCCCCAAACGTTTAATTTTGAGTTTAAAAATGTAGAAAAACAGCATGAGAGTTATCATGGGATTAATGTTAAATTAAGGTATTGAGGATTTTTTTTTTTAATTTTTTAGTGTATAATTAATATTTTTTGTAGATATTTTATCCGTGTAATTATCACTAGAAGAATGCCGGATATAGTGGGTGAAAAAGATATATGGGTTTATTCATACAAAATGCCGCCGGAAAATACTAGTTCCATCAAAATGGATGTTGGTATTGAAGATTGTTTACATATTGAATTTGAATATTCAAAATCCAGGTATTTTAAATAAAGATTTATTCTTTTTTTTTTAAAAAAAAAAAGATATCATTTAAAAGATGTGATTGTTGGTAAAATTCATTTTCTTTTGGTGCGGTTGAAGATAAAATATATGGAATTATCTATTATACGAAGAGAAACAACAGGATCATCTCCTAATCAGTATAATGAGAGTGAAACGGTATTGATTTAAGAGAAACAGTATAAGGTTTAATTTGTGAAAAGATTTCTCGATTTGAAATTATGGATGGTCAGCCAGCTCGTGGTGAAACGATACCTATACGTCTTTTTCTTGGAGGGTTTGATTTAACACCTACTTTTCGTGATGTTAACAAAAAGTTTTCTACGCGGTATTATCTTTCATTGGTATTAATAGATGAAGGTAATTTTTTGGGGTCCTTTATTATTTCCTAAATAATGCAGACGCACGTCGATATTTCAAACAATCTGAAATTACTCTGTATAGAATTGATTAAGAATTATCTATCTTTTTTTTTAACTAGAAATACAATTAATACTCTGGAAATACGATTATATTATATTTTCTATTTATTTTGGTTCTTGAATACATATAACTTAATAAAATAATTAAGGATAAATATTTACTAAAGAAATATCGATGATTAGTATTTATAAAAAAAATAAGTTTTTCATCATATTCTGATTTCATTGTATTTTGGAAGCTTTTTCTATTTTATTCTATATTGTTTGTGTAAACTTAATATTGCGTAATTATATATAATATTATAAAACATTCAAGTAATTTTATATTAAAATTAGCTCATGTGTATAATTTGTAGAAAATCAAGAAAACATGCGGATACTTCATCTAGGCCTTTTCAGGTATCAAATATACAAATGGAAATAGTTAATGCAGTTTCTGATAATAAAAATAATATAAAAAGTGAAAAACAAGGTTATTCTCTTACAAACGAGAAAGATATACAAAAAACAAAAAATTATATAAATCACGTAAATTTAAGGGATATAGCAGCACATGCAGCAGAAGAAAGACTTGAGAAGAGTAAAAATAGAGGAATATCTGCTCCTGGGAAACTTTCTGCTCAACTTGAAGCAGAAAAAAAAAAAACACGTACAATGCTATTAGATGATATTATTAAAGAAAAACAAATAGAAAGGAATTTAAAGCAAACGGATCTTCAGGTTTTATTTGTTCATATATTGTATTTATCAATTAATAGTTTTAGTGGAATTAAATACATTTTTCGTCATAAACATAAATATCACAAAAATGCAAAATTTTAATATTTCTACACATATATACTATTTATAAAACGGAATATCTTCCCGTTACACCTGAACGTATTTCATTCTCCAATGCCTAAAAGGATTAATACGTTAATTATAATAGTAATAGATATTACCGAAACAGTTCCTTCTGTTAATAAACGCTTAAGCTCATGTAATGCTCGATCTACTGATATTTGTGTTTCTCCTTCAACAAGAATATACAATTTTGTCTCTCCAGGAGGCACTGGCTTCCCAGGAGGATACCAGTTACCTTTATTTGTAATAGATGTTCCTGTTGATTCAATAATTCGAGCAATATTTGTGCGGTTTGTAACAGCCCATCGTGCTTTTTGAGGGAAATCATTGATTTCAATTGTAGCTGTATATTCTCTTGAATCTGGTGGACCTGATTCAATCGTAATACCGGAACGTGAATGCCCTTGTAATCGAGAAGTAACTGAACCAGCTGCTTTACGTACACGCTCCAATATATCATCCGTTATGTTCCCCTTCGCTTTATTTGTTTGTGAAGGAGTAATAGATGCTGCATTTGGATCATTATTAAGGCTAGATTTAAGAGACGTGCTAGTTTGTTCTGCTGTATCAATAGAATCCATTTTTGAATATTCATAATCGTCATCGAAAATATCTATTTCTTCGTCACTTTCTTCTCCATAGGCTCTTCTCTGTAATTTTCTAACAAAGTCTCTATCCTTATCAAGTCTATCAAGACCTTTACCACCAAATCCTGATCCGCTTGCTTTTTCTTGACCTAACTTAACTTTTTTTATGAATTCTAATATTTATTAGAATCAAACTAAAATCTAATAACCAACCATCTGCTAATTTTTGAACATCTTCTGGAATATGAGCTTTGCTAATTTTTAAAGCCCTAACAATATCAGCAGCATAGCGATCTTGTTCAGGTGTTATGAATGTAACAGCAGTTCCAGTCTCTCCTGCTCGACCTGTCCTTCCAACTCGATGAACATAATCCTCTAAATGATTTGGACAGTCATAATTGACGACCAACTTTAATTGTTTAATGTCTAAGCCTCGAGCTGCTACAGATGTAGCGATAAGAATAGGAAAAACTCCCGCTCTAAAATCCGCAATTGTCGAATCACGATCAAACTGGTCCTTTCCACCATGAATAGACATACATGGATATCCACGGCGCATTAAATCTCTCAATAGACTGTCTGCAGCTTCTTGACGATCTACAAAAACTAAAGTACGTACATCATCATCGTTGACATATAAATTCCCAAGAAGTTCAAGAAGTCGAATAAACTTATTATCTTCAGTACATACTTCTACAATTTGCTGAATTTCTGGAGCAACAACACTACGTGCACCCACTGTAATCTCAATAGGTTTTTGTAAAATTTTCCGAGAAAGAGCATCCATCTATGTTTAATATTAAATAATACATATAAAATAAAGAATTAATACTTGTTTTGGAAATGTAGCGGAAAACAAAACAGTTTGGCGGTCTGGTCTTACGTTGTTAACAACTTTCATAACTTGAGGTTCAAAGCCTAAATCAAACATACGATCTGCTTCATCAAGAACAATATATGATGTTCTTTTTAAATTCGTAACACGTCCTTGATTTGCTCCAAGTAAATCAATAATACGACCAGGTGTACATACTACAATTTCTGCGCCTCTTTTAAGCTCTGCAATTTGGTCCTTGATTGGTGAACCTCCATATGCACATACTGCCTAAAGAAACATAAGCTATTTAAAATTAAAAAAATAATAAAATATGCCCGAAGTCCCAAAACTTTCAAAAAATGTTTACACTCTTTATGGATTTGCACAGCTAATTCTCGTGTTGGTGTCATAATAAGTGCAATTGGACCCTCTAAAGAATCGATAGGACGTTGATCTTTAATATGTCGAAACATTGGAAGGAGAAATGCAATTGTTTTCCCACTTCCTGTCTTAGCAACCCCAATTACATCTCTCCCAGACATGATAGCAGGAATTGCTTGAGCTTGAATAGCAGTTGGTTTCTGATAATTAAGATGGTAAATAATATCTAAGCTTTTAAATAATAAGTTTTCTGTTATTTAAAGAAGTTAACATACACATGAGCAGGAAGTCCACATTGACTCCAATTCTGAACCGGCTTAGGACAGCCAAGCCCCTAAAATAATAAACACATTAAACAAAGTAATACACGAATAAATACCCTAATTTTAATCCCATCCAACTCTAAACGATAATCATTTACTTTCTCTTCACTCATTTCAGCTAATTCATGTGGCTCAACATAAAAATTTTTACGAATATGTTCATATTGAATTTTAGAATGGTCTATATTAGGCAATTCTCTTTTTTTCAACTTTTTCTGTGCAAGAGCCAATATGTCTCGTGGATCATTTATATTATCATCGTCTTCGTCATCATCATCATCACTATCATTATTTTTCAAAAAAGAATCTCGACTTATATCATTTTCCACTTTTCTTTCTTCTATATCACGTTTAATAACTTCATCCATTCCCTGCATGAATAGATCTAATGGATCAGCTTCATCTTCATCTTCTGCACGTATTGGTTTTGTATTTTCTTCTGCTGCATTTCCATCATCTCCAAGTGATTCCGCAAGTGTTTTGTGTTTTTTCTCTTCATCATCAAGTGTTATGGTTTGAGATGACATCTTAGTTGTTGCTCGAGAAAACTCAAATCCTGAAATAGAACCATGAGTGCTAAGCGTTGATGTCAGAGTTGATGATTTTTCTGTATCTACTGTTTTTGATGGTATCTTTACAGAAGGCGTTTCTGAAGTAACTGATGCTGTATTTATTTCTGTTGATGCACGTGCAGCACGTTGCCGTAGGAATTGCTGTATTTTCTCCTGTTTAATACGCATACGTTCCTGTTCATCATCTTTAACTTGTTCTTCTACTTGACGTGAAGGCTTAGATGCATAAGCTTTATGATCTTTATTTTTATCTTTCTCTCTTCCTTTATTTCTATCTTTATCCCTCTCTTTATCTCTTTCTTTATCCCTTTCTTTATCTCTTTCTTTATCTTTTTCTTTATCTCTTTCTTTATCTTTACTTAAACCACTTTCTCTGTCTCTTTCTCGTGAATATTTAGAATCTTTATCATGATCATAACTACTATGATATGACTTATGGCGTTTAGATGATGTATCTGAGGAACGGTGCCGGTGACGACTCATTTCTGGATGATATCTCGAATTATCTTTGTCAACGTTTTAGATAGTATTATTTAATGTTATGCAATATTTTTTAGATTAAAAGAAATAACTAGTTATCTTTAGAGTATAAAAGTTTCCCTAATGCATAAGAATAAGTTCCTTTTTAAACTGGAAATCTTTATTTTTTATTTTTAGTATTAAATTCAATATTCATTAAAAACATACTCAATAAATGCTAAGAAAGCCGGTAAAAAAGTATGGAAAAAGTTACAAAAAATTAATTTCCAATGATGCAAAACAAAAACTTAAAAATAAAATAATTCAGATACTTTTTTTTTCCTTTTTAAATCTATTTTTAAAGGTTATTCGCAAATTTCGAAATCTCGAGATGTGCGTGCACTTGAGATTTCAAAAAATAAACTTTTTATAAGAATTTTTAGAATAAAGAGAAATATTATGTTTATCACGCGTTATCTTGGAAAAAATCAATTAAGAAAACGAATTCTACCATCTTCCCAAAAAAAGTACGTTTTTAAACTATATTTAATAGAGATAAATTCAATGAATAGGTTTTCCATCATGCAATTTTCCATTGCATCGCCATATAACACATTCTTCTTAAAAAAACAATGTAAATGGAAGAATATGTCCATATTGAGTGATATCTGTCTCTCTCAGATTCGTATTTTCAGTAATTCTTTAGTAAACTCTGCTGTATCTTCAAATAAAACGTCTTTAAAAGCGCGTTCAGGTCCCTCACGTTTAGGATATTCTCCATGGATAGCATTTCTTAAGGAACGTTTTAAGAATGCATTAGGAACTCCTAAAGAAATTCTTAAAGAATCTTCAGATATTTGGAAATCTTTATCTCAAGAAGAACGCCAGGTTTGTTTTAAGATTTATATTACTTATTTATATCTGATATGGCTTAAATGGGGACTAATTGTTGGTATTTAGGTTTATCGAGACCTATCTCTCCAAAGTAAAGTTGATGCTACACGTGCTTATGAACTTTGGGTTACTTCTTTATCTCCAAAAGAAATTTCAGAAGAGAATCGGCTTAGAAATCAGTTACGCAAACAAGGTAAAAAAGGCATATCCCGAATTAAGGATCCTCGTAGACCGAAACGCCCTATGACTCCCTTTTTGTTCTATTGTGCACATGCAAGATCTTCTCCTGATTTTGTAGAAAAATATGCAGGAGGTGCAACAAAAGCTACAGAACAAGTGCAGGCGTTATCAAGAAAATGGGCTGCTATGAGGGACGAAGAAAAAATGGTATATCGTTTTAGATTTCTTTTGGGTATTAATATTATTAGAAATTTATCGATCAAGCAATAGATAGTAGGGAACGTTATCAAAAGGAAATGGAAATTTATCAGAAATTGTGAAATCATAAAATGACAGCATTTTTGTTTTATAGTAGACATCAGTAATACATATATACATATGTGTTTGAACGGTGATCTATGTCTTAAATCTTTAGTATTAATTAAATGCTTAATATTCTAAAACGTAAACATAAATCTATTTTTGCTACCTGTTAATGAATTTTATACTTTAAATGTCAATTTTAAACAAGTAACTTGAATTATAAAATAGCTGCAATTTTGGTTAAATTAGAGAAGATATGTTACATTTTTCAAATATATTTTGAAAGATATATCTTTAAAGATTGTTTTAATGATTTTTGTATAAATTATAGTTATATCAATATTTAGTGATTAAATTTTTAATAAAAAAAATCAATTTTCTAAGTATTTAAAATAAAATTATATATATTTAAAAAATAATGTTTCTAAAATTTGCATTTTAAAAATATAAAACTTCGAATTATATTAGATATATTATAATACTCATATTCTTAGCAAAACAAAAAAATGTTTTTCAACAAATAATATTTTTTTTGATAAATAATCCAAGTATAAACATTTTTATAAATTTGAAAAAAATTAAAACCATTTTGAATATTCAAAATCCTTAAAGAAAAAAGTGTAAAAATGCTTTTATCCATAATTTCCTAAAGCAAATAATATTTTATAAAGGATAAAAATATATGAATAAAAAATGAATATTTGCTGACTAAATACCAAAAAATATATTAAATTGTTAAAATACATAACTTTTTATATAAATTAATTCACAAAACATTCCCTATATCAATTTTTACAATAACCTGATTAAAATGCTAATTTTTTAGGTTTTTCCCAAAGTGAAGACTGATCTGTAAAATGTCCGTAACATCTAAGTTTATAATTAAAAAATAGATAAGTAAAAAAATACATACGATGTCTTAGAATAAATCGGCTTTTGTAGTTCAAGTTCTTTAACAATAACACCAGGTCGCAAATCAAAATTCTTTTTAATAATTTCGACAAGCTCATGTGAAGTTTTTGAACTTGTCCCATAATGCTCAATAAAAATACTTAAAGGATAAGAAATGCCAATAGCATATGACAACTGAACAAGACATCTTTTACATAAACCAGAAGCAACAAGAGATTTAGCAATCCATCGTGCAGCGTATGCTGCACTACGGTCAACTTTAGAGAAATCTTTACCTGAAAATGCCCCACCACCATGTGCGCCCCATCCGCCATATGTATCAACAATAATCTTTCTTCCAGTTAAACCTGCATCGCCTATTTTTTTTTAAAAAAATAAAAAAAAAACACTAATTATACCTTGGGGGCCTCCAATAACAAATCTTCCAGACGGCTGAATGTGAAATATTGTTTTATCATCCAGATAATTTGAAGGAATAACTTTCTTGATAATCTTCTCCAAAACTTCACGCCGAATTTCTTCTGTAGTGATACTTTCAGAATGTTGTGTTGAAACAACAATAGTATCCACACGTATTGGAGTGAGTTCGCCATCTTTTTGCTCATATTCAACTGTCACCTGTGTTTTTGAATCTGGACGTAACCAATCCATTTCCCCACTACGTCGAGCTTTTGCAAGAGCTATATTTAAACGATGAGCAAGCAAAACTGTCAAAGGAAGCAACTCTTCAGTCTCATTTGTTGCATATCCAAACATAATACCCTTGCATATTTTAACCAAGTAGACAAAAAAATAATACTGTTACCTGATCACCAGCACCTATATTTTCCAATGAGCTTTCCAAATGAAGTCCTTGCGCTATATCAGGCCTTCCACAATTAAGTAGATATATATATAAGAAAAAAATATATACGATTGTTCTTCAATAGCAACAAGTATATTACATGTTTTATAATCAAAGCCTTTCTCAGGGCTATCGTATCCGATCTTCTTAATTGTATTACGTACTATATCCTGATAATTCAAAACAGCTTTAGTTGTAATTTCACCGAAAACCATGATCCTATATAAAAACAGATCAATCAAATGATAAAAAAATAATAAATCAAGATTTTACTTGCATTCCTGTCTTCGTTGCTACCTCACAAGCAACCCTAGAATACGGATCATCTCTAAGACATGCATCTAAGATTGCATCTGATATCTGATCACATATCTTTCAAATTATTATTATAATCATTTTTTAATTGAAAAAAAACCTTATCAGGATGGCCTTCTCCAACAGATTCTATTATTTTATTAAAAAAATCTTTTAAAAGACTTAAAATACCTGATGTAAACAAAAATCTAGATGTCATCTCTGAATATTTTGGATAATTTTTTTCTAAAAAAAATTACGATTTTCGGTCAATTTGAGAGAATTTAACGGTGATGAAAAATTACTAGCGTATATAGTTATAAGAAAAAAGTCACGATATTGAACTTGATAAAGTATTTAAAAATGCTTTTTGCATGTGCAGATATACTTAAAGTTTTTTGAAGCATTAATTTTCTGTGTTATACATGTATTATTCTCATTTATAAAAAATCCAAATAAAAATATCACATATAGTCTCCATAACACTAAACAACATTTACAGAATATATGTTGAAAATGAATGAAGTGCAACTTTTTAAAGTTAGATTTTAGATTCTTTTCGTCCTGCTATTAGTTTATTATACATATTTAATAATTGAATATAAGGAATTCTTTTTGGCCAAAAATAGCTAGTAAATACCCTGAAAAGGAATTAATATAAAAACAGTAAATAATAACAAACTACCATAAGTGTTTCTTAAGACGATCTTTATCAGCTTCAGATCGAGATGCTACTGTCGTTTCAATAAAATCACCAACAGTAGTTAAACATTCTTTCAAAATCATTGCAAGTTTTGATCGATCAATATATTTATCTTTTTTCAACGTTTTCAACTGTTTCCGAACAGGATGTAATATTCTCTATGATTATATTAATTATTTTTCAATTAAAATGAAAAACAGTATACTTTGCAATCATCCTCATCCATACTAGAACATTCACTTTCCCCATCAAAATCTTCCTTTTCCACAGTATTTGTATTATCTTCTGTTTTTATTCTTTTTGATTTTCTTATTTTAGATACTTGTTTAGTAGATAAAGAGTCATGATTAATATTTTTAGGTTTTGAATGATGTGTTAGTGTTTGTAATTGAGAATTATGACTACTTTTTGCTTTTTTTGTATGCGAGTTATTCGATAATGTATTATGAGGTTTTTTTTCTGCTAATAATATATTATTTGAAGAATTTGATACTTTTACATCTAAAATTTCACGTGCAAGATTTAATAAATACTCACCACGTCTTACAAGATGTGAAGGACCAGGAATTAATTTTGAATCTTTTATTTCTTTTCCTTCTTTACGTTCTTTCTCTTCTTTTCCTTCTTTGTGGTCATCTTTTTCTGTTCTATCGTCATCTAAAAATATTTTATCATGCATATCCAAATCAGGATCGTCTTTTATAGAAGCCCAAGAACCAAATCCGTGTTTGTTAATCCCAATTAGCATCATAGCATCTTCTCGTTCTCCCCATTGACAAGACCATCCATGAACTGGTTTTACTTGTCCTGGAATACGAAATTTTTTTGGATCAGCTCCTTTAACCAGTTGATGTACAAAACGCAAATCTTTGGCTCTTTGCATTACTGTTTCTGCATTAATATTTTTAACACCCTTAAATTCTATAAGAAGTGCCTTTTTTTGTTTTAAATTCTGATTAGAAGATAAATTGTTATCAGCTTCTTTATTTTCCATTTCTTGATTAATTATAGCTTGCTTACAAGATTTAAATAGCTCTTGAACAACTGATCGTATTTTTTCAGGAGGCATTTGACTCGGTAAATCTGATTCTTTAATAACTTCTTCCCATCGGTCTAATGGAGAGCCAAATTTTAAAATAGCTCTATAAAGATTACGAATCTCTTTTTCACTTAATTGTCTCAATTTTGGATCAACTTTTTTCAACTTCTTATTTGGAATAGTATCTTTAACCATGTTATTTTCAGGATGTTTTACCATTCTTTTGCTATTCATAGATATCTGTTTTTGCAAAAACTCTTCATCCTGCCTTAGCTTTTCTTCGGCTTCGATTCTATTACGTTCTTCTTCAGGAATTATGTCTTCCCAAGTAATATCAGTCCTACAATCAGTAATTTCAAACTATTTCCTATATGTTACAACTAATAAATTTGAATAAACAGACAAACCTGTTTCAAGAACTCTTCTCCTCCCATACTTGCTCCACCTACATCTTGTCCAATATCATGATTTTCAGCATGCTCTAATACATCATCTAAATTCATATCTTCTAAGCGTTTTTGATTGTCATTATCTTTAAACATATTTGATGCACCAAACTAATTAAATCTTTAAAACTATATTATTACAAGTAAATAATTTACTTTGAGAATAGCACTTAGTTCTTGTGCAGTAAATTTATTTGATTTTCCTGAGCTTGATTTATCTGTAATACCTAAAGAAATAATTGCATACTATACTTTTATAAACAAAAAAAAATAAAAATATATTACAAACCTCTAAAATCATCTTTCTTCTAGCTCGTTCTAATATATCTTCTTCTACTGTATCTTTAGAAACAAATCTATAAACCATAACATGAGACTAAATATAAATTAATAATGATATACATATATATAATATTAGTTTCTAAAAACCTTTTGTCCAATTCTATGTGCTCTAGCCATTGCCTATGAATCTCAGTATATATATATATATATTAAATCAATAAAAATACTTGCAAATCTGCTTGAGGATTCCTAAAATGGTTAAACAAAACAAATGTACCCATTTAGCATACCAATCTGAATCAAAAATAATTACTGTATCTGCAGTCATAAGATTTATTCCAAGACCTCCTGCTCTAGTACTTAATAAAAATACAAAATCAGGGCTACCAGCGGCATTGAAATGCTCGATAGATGCCTTCCTAATAGGAGCAGATATTGTTCCATCCAAGCGTTGAAAAGGAAGACCACGTAAAACCAGGTAATCACCTATAATATCCAACATGCGAACCTACATATTAGTTTAAAACTTTATTTCTTTTTAAGTACCATTTGACTAAATATTAAAACTCGATGTCCATCTCTTTTTAGTCGAGTAAGAAGTTTATCAAGTAAAATCATTTTTCCGCTATTTATTACTATCCCTCTTAAAATATCCTCACGAGTCTTTTTTGACCCAATATTATTTAGCCAATTTTCTTCAGCATTAGGAAAAAGGTAAGGATGATTACTAGCTTTTTTTAATTCAATTACAATATTTAACAAATTTAGCTGACTATTCCCAGTAGACATACTCAAAGCCCTATAATTACGTGTTAAAATATTTTTATACCAATGAGTCTGTAATTCAGATAATTCAACTCTTAAGATTCTTTCTGATTTAGATGGAAGAGACTTTTCTACATCTTTTTTTAATCTGCGAAGAATATAAGGCTGTAATCTTTTGTGCAGATCTCTAATATAAGCCTCTTGCTCAGCATTAGGTGTTTCAAAATTTAATTCTCGATCAATTTCAAATCTCTTAGGCATTAAAAAATCAATTAAAGCAGCCAATTCCTTAATATTATTTTGTAAAGGTGTTCCAGTGATCAAAAGGCGATTTACGGTTTTGAAGTCTTTAAGAGATTCATATAACTGTGATTCACTATTTTTAAGCCTATGTGCTTCATCTACAGCCATATACTGCCATTTTATTTGATTCAATTCGTATCTATCTTTAAGTATATATTCATAAGTAGTAATTAAAATATTGAATTTTAATTTTTTAGAATTTCCATCGATATAAAATTCATATTCTTGGATTGTTTTTCTAGCCTTTGAGTTTCCTATATATATTATACTATTTAAATCTGTTGCCCATGTCTCTAAATTTTCTTGCCATGCAGGGATAGTTGATAACGGTACTACTATCAAAAATGGACCATGAATATGTAAAGTATGTACAAGATATGATAAGAATGAAACAGTTTGTGCTGTTTTCCCCAATCCCATCTTTTAAAATCAGAAAATTATATGATATAATAACAAATACCTCATCTGCTAAAATACCATTTTCATTTTTTGACCACAAATATGCCATCCAATTTACACCTGTTAGTTGAAAGTCTCTTAATTCACCATTTTTAATATAATCAGGCTGAACATCAAGCTTTTTAAATTTTGGTCGAGAAGAGCCATATGAAACACTTTTATGAGGAAGAATGGGGCTTAGTGATCTGTTTAAGTATTTATCGATTTGATCTTGTGCATTAGAAACAGTTGATGCACATTCCCATGTACATGAATCATAATAAAGTTGTTTCCATTTACAAAAATACTCAGTATGAGGATGCTTATCGAATTCACAACTTTTAACAATTTTTGAAGAAATAATTCTATCGACAGTTTGATACTCTATCAAAACATTTCTATGTCTTTCACTTTCAATATCCATAGCTTCAATATGTTCAGCCGTTGTTGTTGGATTTTCTCTTATTTGTTTATCTAAATCGATATACTGCTTGATATAATTATCTACTTTCTTCCATCCTCTAGACTTTTTTAATTCATCATATGTTTTCCATGTGTTATGAAGATGAGAACGATTCTGCCATTTAATCTAATTATATTAATAAGTTATAAATGTAATTAATACATATTACAAGATATTCTAGAATATATTCATCATTAGACTCATCAGCATCTACAAGATTAATCAAATATAAAACATTAAAAATATACCTTGTTTAGAAACTTGACGATGATCAAGTACCGCCTCAATACTATCTTGAGCTATACTGTTGTCAGAAAATATTAAAAAACTAATAATATACTTTCTAAGGATTTTGATTCAGAACTTCTTGAATAAACATAATCATTTTCATCGTCATTAGTAAAATCAAGATCATCATCCATGAAATCTTCATTATAATTACGAGTTTTTAAATTTCTACTAGAAAACCTTAATTCATCTTTCAAAAATAGTGCATTCTGCTTTTTTTTTCGGGGTTTATCATTAAAATCACTTTCATCATATGAATCAATAGAAGACTGAACAGAGTATGATTCTATAAGATATAAGAAAAAAGTTAATAAATATATGGAATAAAATACTTGAATTATTTTTTCTACGTTTCTTTCTAGAAGTTGAATCATAATCATCTGAAGAATGATCATCTGAAAAATCAATAGTTTGACGTACTGGTTCTGTACGTGTTCTTTCTGATCTTCTTAACTCATAAAAAGCAGGATCCAACATCTTAGTAGATTTTTTTGTTTTAGTTTGTTGGCGCTTTGTTGTATGCAATGTTTCTGTATCTCTATCAGTCTCACTTTCATCATCTGATAAATTAAAATCTCTATCATTTATGTTATCTTCTGTTTCTGTCATTGACTCTTCTGTAAAACTATTCATTTCTCCATTCCCTGTAGATGTTTCAGCATCAGACATAATATCCAGTGATTTCTTTTCCACAATTGAGTTTTTATCTTTAAAACTATTCACAGAAATGCCAGAATCTATGTCTAATGATTGAGACAATTCATTCACCATAATTTGCAAAGCTTATAAAACTAATGAAATGATTAGCATTTATTACTCTTTCTTAATTAAATTGCGTTTTTATAAATCTATAAGGCTAAAGAACATTAAATACAAAGCCATTTAATATTATTTTCTTTGTTATTTTTTCAGCAAAAAACATAAAATATCCTATATCTTTTATACCAAATTATTTATTCAACATTCTTGCTGACATTTATATATATTGCGTATATATAATTTTCTTTAAACCCTTTATTTATACTTTTTTTTGATTTTTTGTTCAATGATTATTTAATTTAATCTATTTTTGCATTTCAAACAAAAATTTCAACTATACTTACATAATATTTAGATTTATTTGTAAACATGTAACAAGTTTTTATTAAATTTTTATCATAAATGCTCTGTTAATAGTATCTTTTTTTAATTCTGCTTCTTTGAAACAGTCGTAAAGATTAGTTTTTCTACGCAACGGAGCGTTTTATAAAAAGACGAGGAAAAGACATATTTTAACTTTACAAAATTAAATAAAAAAGTTTTTTAAAGGATAAAAACAAGAAAAAGAAGTATAAAAAAGTATAAAAGTAATAAAACAAAAACGAACTGCATTGAAATGATTAAAGTATGTTTTTTGTTCGAGAAAGAATTAAAAATAAATAAAAATAGCAAGATTTAATAAGTTTTAAGAAAAAATAAGTAAAAGATGTCGAAAAAAGTACAAAATGAGAATTCGGAAAAACTTACACGGATTGCAATTGTATGTTAACCCTTCAATAAAGATAAAACATTAAAAGACAATCTATAGGTGAGCAGTGATAAATGTAAACCTCGAGTAAGTAAGTATGGGAATCATAAAGTAATCTAAAATGTGAAGAAATGTCATCAAGAGTGCAAGAAATCATGTAGATAGTTTTTTCCATTTCAAATTAGTATTAATTAAAATAGGTCCTGTGGTTCGTAGTGGAAAATTATGTATTGAGGTTACGCCAGAATCTAAAATTTCATGGATTTCAGAGTCTTTGTGGTATTGATTATTGTATTCTTTTCTTTTTTTAAAGAATCAATAGTATCGGATGTGGTATTTGTGTTAAGCGATGTCCTTTTGGTGCTATTCATATTATCAATCTACCTACAAATTTAGATTCAAAAGTTACACATAGATTTTCAGAGAACTCGTTTAAACTACACAGATTGCCAACTCCTAGATCCGGTCAAGTTCTTGGTTTGGTAGGAACAAATGGTATTGGAAAGTCTACAGCGCTTAAAATCTTGTCCGGGAAATTAAAACCTAATCTTGGACAACATAATAATCCTCCTGATTGGGAGGAAATTCTTAGATATTTTAGAGGAAGCGAACTTCAAAATTATTTTACCAAGGTTTTGGAAGATAGTTTAAAAGTATTTTAAAAATATTATTGTTTCAATCATTTAATATTTAAAAAGGCTATAGTTAAACCTCAGTATGTTGATCATATCCCTCGTACTATTCAAGGACCTGTCAAAGTTGTTAATGAACTTCTGAATTCTAAATTAGAAAGAAATAATAAAGATGAAATAATTGAAGTTTTAGGTAATATTTCTGTATTATATGGTAGTTCTTAATATCTTTAAGACTTAAAGAATGTACTTACACGTGAAGTAAACCAACTTTCTGGTGGAGAATTACAACGTTTTGCTATTGCAATTATTTGTATCCAGAAAGCTGATATGTGAATTATTCTATAAACTATGTTTTAAACTTATATTTTATAGATATATGTTTGATGAGCCGTCTTCTTATTTGGATGTAAAACAACGTTTGAATGCAGCAAGAACAATTAGACGGTTACTTAATCCTGATAATTATATTATTGCTGTTGAACATGATTTATCTATTCTTGATTATTTATCAGACTATATATGCGTTTTATATGGGATGCCTTCTGTTTATGGAGTAGTTACATTACCATTTTCTGTTAGAGAAGGGATAAATGTATTTTTAGATGGAAATATTCCTACAGAAAATTTGCGTTTTAGAAATGAATCTTTACAATTTAAAATATCGGACTCATCTGATATATATTCATTGGAAAGAAATAAAACTTATTCGTATCCTTCAATGATAAAAAAACTTGGAGATTTTACACTTGAGATTAGTGCAGGTGAATTTACTAATTCTGAAATTATTGTAATGCTAGGGGAGAATGGTACTGGAAAGACAACGTTTATTAAGGTTGGTAGTCTTTCCCACATTAGTTATATATTAATTATGAAATGTAGTTATTAGCAGGAATTTTAAAGCCAGATGGAGATGATATTCCTGCTTTAAGTGTATCTTTAAAGCCTCAGAAAATTGCGCCGAAATTTCAGGGAACAGTCCGTATGCTGGTAATAATAATTTTTATTAAATTATATAATTTTAAATAATTAAGTTTTTAAAAAAAATAAAATCGTCATGGCTAAATCCTAGTTTCCAGTCGGATGTATGCAAGCCTTTAAATATTGAAAACATTATAGATCAAGAAGTTCAAAATTTATCAGGGGGAGAATTGCAACGTGTTGCTATTGTTTTATGTTTAGGTCTTTCTGCTGATATTTATTTAATTGATGAGCCATCTGCATATTTGGATTCTGAACAACGTATTGTTGCTTCTAAAGTTATTAAAAGGTATATTTTAACTTAATGTTATTTTAAAATAATAGTATAGGTTTATTTTGCATTCTAAAAAGACTGCATTTGTCGTTGAGCATGATTTGTATAATTATTAATTATATATATAATTTTATTAACATGAGAATAGTATTATGGCTACATATTTAGCTGATCGAGTAATTGTATATGAAGGACAGCCTTCAGTTAAAGCATTTACTAATCCTCCTCAATCTTTAATAGATGGTATGAATTCTTTTTTATCAAATTTAGACGTTACGTATAATATTTCTTATGTTTTTGTTTTACTTTTTAATAAATAATAGATTGCGTCGAGATGCTAATACTTTTCGTCCAAGAATCAACAAATATGATAGCCAAATGGTAATATTGTTAATTTTGTTCAGATAAGTCTGACATTTTTATAGCATCAAGAACAAAAAAATACAGGGAAGTTTTTCAGTATATAAAGAAGTTAATAAATTTCTTATATTTATGTCGTATTTATAATATTTATTAAATGCAAAAGAATATTAAATATAAAAATGTTTTATATATTAAAAAATATGATGTATTAATATTTTGTATTATAAATTATTTATGTAATATACTTTTTTCTTAGGTTAATAATATATTTTTAATAAGTTTAAATTTATATAACATTTTAATTGGATATATGAGTTTTAGATTTTAAATGTTGCGATTTTCTACATAAAATTTATCATTTATATATATTTATATTATAGTTTTTTTATAAACTTTATATCGACTTTTTTTTTACCAATAGATTCTTTAATTACACTTATTTTAACTCTGCATTTATCAAAAACACCAATATTTAGTATACCATCAGAATTTTTATTATTTATATTTAAAATATCTGGCTTTAATTGACTTATCGAAAGAGTATACGATTCAGGATCAAATAAAACTGAAGATTCTGATTTACAAATATCACATGTATATACTAAACCTTCTATTCCAAGACTATTTTTTTAACATTTTACGTACTAAAAAGTTTTAATAAATACACATACCTTATAACAAAAACGATAAATCCATTTTTAAATACTTTCATCACAAAAGCATCTTCAATCATTTCATTTTTCAATGTCTGACAAATATAATATTCTACATTACTTCTACTAACCATTTGTACCATACGATGTTTATGATTAATATTTTTACAGATATCTTCTAACTTAGATTTATTTTTCAAGGTCGAATCAAAGGTTTCATAACCAATAGCGGCGGCTAACTGACGATGAGTCATTATATCTGCATAACGACGAATAGGACTCGTCCAATGTGTATATATATCAACAGCAAGACCATAGTGTTTAAATTCAGAATAATTGCAATTTCCAGCAAAAAAATATTCAGCAGACAACATACATCTTGTGACCATAATTCTTAACAATGTATTAAAATATGGTTCATTTTGATCAATGCATTTATTAAGAGAATCTGCCAAATCTTTCGAAGAATTAATATTTAATATCATATTGCGTCTTATTTTAAGAACATTTTGAAGAGTTTCAAAATTTTCTTTAGGAGGAGCAGCATGTCGTCTAAAAATATGTTAATACATGCTGTTTTATTACATTTTTAATACCTTAGTATTGCAAAATCCGGATAAACTTCATATATTTTACGTGCTACTGCTATATTAGCTAACAGCATAAATTCTTCGACTAAAGTATTTGTTTCATAAAGCTTCTTGGATTCCAAAGTGATTTTATCAGATGTTTCATTTCCGATTTCAAGTCTTACCTCTGGACTGCTAAGATTTAAAGCACCATTGTCATATCTTTTTTGACGAAGTTTCTTAGAAAGCATGAGAAGTATCCTCATAGAAGAAGTTAATTCATCATTTTGAAACCTAAAACCGTAAGAAAATATAAAAATGGTTGATTTTCAAACTTATTGTCTATTTGAAGTTGAGCATTTTCGTAAGTAAAAGCTGAACGTGATTTTATTATAGATTTCATAAATTCAGTTTTAATAATCTCTATTTCAGGAGTTATTTCCTAAAAACTTTAATAAATTAATATTTAAATATGAAAAATACAAAAATAATAGAGAATGCAAGTCTTTCAAATCCAGGTTTTAAAGAACATAGATTTGTTCCTAATAACCCTGGTAACATATCTATACGTTTATCTAAAAGATATACAGTGGTTCCTCTTTTAGAAGCCTCGGCATCTATAGAAGTATTGGGATTTACAAAATGTGAAACATCAGCAACATGAACTCCCACTTCAAAATTTTTGTTTGCTAAAACCCTTACATGAAGAGCATCATCAATGTCCACACAGCCTATAAATTAATATTATAGGAAATAGCTAAAGGATACGAACCAGGAGGATCAATACTACATATAGGAAGATGACGTAAATCTTTTCTTTTTTCCCAGTTGTTAGATGACATAGCTGAAGATATTTCCCATTTATCACCTTCAGGTGGCAAACAATCCAAAACACATTTTGGAAAAGGAGAATATTCTATGTCATACTGAATTAATAAAGCTTCTGTCTCTGTATCATCTACATCTATTTTTCCTAAAGCATGAACAAAATGACCACTAGGATACCTAGAATCCCTTTCCCATGTATCAATATTAACTAGAATTTTTTGATTTAATAAAATTGGGCCTTGTCTTGTTTTAATACGTATTTTTGGAATACGCTTATCTACTGAAATAAAAAATACAGTTTGTTGAACCCTAGTTTTATTTGATATAACGACTGATTCAGGATCAATTTGACCAACATAACTAATGATTATATAAATACAATTTTATATAAAAAGATAATAAAATACGTTTTCCAGTTTCTTTTTATAATACCAACGACTTTTGCCGTAGGAAAAATTTTATTTAAATCCATTCTTTCATTTTTTAATGCATAGTATTCATCAATAATTTCATATTGGTCTTTTTGTGTTATAACTTCTTCTGATTCATTTACTTCAGCATTCTCATCTTTCGTTAAAGCTTCTTGTTCAATTATTTTAGACATAGGAGCTCTCCATTCTTCTTTTGGTAAAACTTCTACTGCTACTATATCACCATGAATTGCTCTGTTCATATTTTCTTTTCCAAAAACAATAAGTGGTTTTTCAAAATTAGGTACTAGAACATTTGCCTAATATAATTAAAATATAAAAAGCGAAACTAAAAATCTATATATACTTCCAAAAAGTTATACGGATTGACATTAAATGTTCCTTGGTACAATTTACCCATTTTTATATTTTCCAATATAGAAGAATAAGGATAATACTATAGCTATGAAACAACTAAATAGTTTAATAATATAAAAATACCTCTGGATATAAAAATATTCTTTTTTTATTAGTAGAATCAGTTTCTGAAATAGAGGAAATCATATCAAGAAGTTCATCTGAATTGGGAAATTCAAAAAGATATTCTTCTGCAGAATATACATATATTCCCTCTTCTCTTGCCTTATTTTTGCTCTCTTTATTATTTGTCAAAAGCAAAACTGTAGGTGTAACTGTTTTTGTGCCCCGTGTTACTTCTTGTAAATGAGATATATACCATTTACAAGCAGTTCTAATAGCTGATATAGAATTAATATAAAAATAAAGTAATAATTTACTTCCCTCGGTCATTCCGATCATTAATAGATTCATAATCCATACGTTCTACATAAGTCTCTGAATGAAACTCATTATGAAAAACATAAAAACGTTTATCAGGAAGAGCTATAAGCCGTCGAAGTCGAGTATAGACAGGAAGGCTGATTTTTTGAAGTTCCTCAAGAACCGTTTGTAAGACAATAACATCATTAAAAACCATATTTTTTTCCATAAGACTTATCTAATTCCATTATTTAGTATTTCTAGATATTTTTTTAGACTAACACAGTAATAGAATATATATGCATCAGGAATAATATAAAAACCATTAATCCAATTACTAAATCCTCTAGGAGAAGAAGAAAGAACAGATGTTCCTTCTAAATTGTGTATTAGTTCTTAAAAATTATTCTTTTTTTGAAAAATATACCAGAAGGCACAGAAAGATGGGGAAAAAAGGTACATGGAATACATATCTGAGAACCACATGATATATCTGTTCTTAAATAACGTTCTCTAACAATTTTAGAAATCTTTTTTCGGCGACATTGGATAAATATATTTTGATGAAGCATAGTTCGAGATTCAGAAGACATCCTAAAAGCGTCCATTTTATTTATGCATAAAAAAAGAATTTGTATGCCCTTAAACTACATAAAAACATGATTTTATCTTATTTTTATGCAACAATGGTTTTGCTACAATTTTTTTGACGTCGTCGATCCCATTCTTTACTCTGTATCCATCTCTATCGGAATAATGACGATGACGTCAAAAAAATCTTTTGTAGACAAATTACTGAAGTATAAAAAATAAAACAAATAAGTTGTTCTTATACTTTCATTATGAAGAGAATTGTTTTCTAATAATATACATAGTTATTTGTTTGTTTGAGACATCTTTATTTTACAATATTAACTCGACATAATATTGATCAGACGTAAAAGTGCAAGAAATACGTAGTAGTAAGCAAACAAAGGCGAAAGGCACGCCAAGACACCCTTTGAAAATTGCTCTATAGTACTGAATATGAGCCGATGCCAGTTGAATCCCTTCATGCGGCAAATTATGGGCCGCCGCGGCGTCTTTTGAGTGATGATGATGTCTTTCTTCTTGACCACTTCGATGTTTCAGAGAGCAAGCACAAAACAGAAAAGTACTCATCACATGAAGATAAAGAGAGTATTGGATTTTCGAAAAATTTGTCTATTAGGCAGTGTAATGAAACTCGTCAACAGGAAGAATCACGTTTTCCAAATGTATCCTACTCACGTGCTGAATTGTTAGCAGGACAATTAACATGTGAAGGAGATGAATATATAGATATTGAGGTTGATGCTTTAGGAGAACAGAAAGTAGATCGTAATGGATTTTTGAAGGGTGGTCGTAAATATGCTGGTCGGACCTTTCAAGTGGTTGGACATGGACAACGACTATTTATGTTAGGTACAGAAGTAGCACGGATTACAAGTTATCGGGATTCATATTTACTTTTTCTGAAAAACAAGACACTTCGAAAGATCATAGCATCTCAAGAAGAAAAGGAAGATTTGATTGTCAAAGAAATTATTCCATATTCTTATCGATCAAGGCAAATTGCAATAGTAACAGCACGGAGTGTTTTTAGACGCTTTGGGAGTCGAGTTATTGTCTCAGGAAAACGTGGAAAAGATGATTATTTTGAGCAGATGGCAAAAGACGCTGGAATACCTGTTGAGAAGTACTTAGAAGACAGTGATCGGCACAGATATACAACATTACCATCAACATCAGTCTCGACAGTCAAATCTGATGATCGCATATCTGATTCTATTGCTTCTAAATCTCTTTTATCTACTACACATGATGTCAATGCACGCCCTTCTCCTATTCTAGACATTTTACAACATGCAAAATCAGCCGTTGAATTTAACCGACAAATAACAATACAAAGGAAAGAAAGAGAACTTTATTTTCACAAGCATTTTTACAAACGCTGATTTCAAAAAGATATTACATCATCTTTTGTTAGTAAAATTCATATCATTTAATATGCATATAATTAGAAATATCTTTGCATTTTGTTTATGAAAAAATGTTTTTTGTTATTTTTATAAAATATACATATGTAATTTTCTTATAAAAATTCATTTTAGATATCTTTTTAAACGTATAAAATCAATTTTTCTACTATAAAATAAAAAAATAATGGTTTCTATTAGTAAGTAAATATTAAGCCTTAGAAAAAATAAACTACTAGTAATATGTAGCTAATGTTTTCAGAGAAGAAAAGCCGTCGTCAGCCAATACATCTAAAACATCGTATTGAGAAGAAAGTTTCTGCACATAACAAAAAACAAAGAAGAGAAGCAAGAAAGAATCCTCAAAAGCACAAGAAAAAAGAAAAGGATCTTGGTATTCCTAATAGTTTTCCATATAAAAATAGGATTCTTGCAGAAATTGAAACAAAAGATCAGTTGAAAATAAAAAATAGGGAAAAAAATGATCATTTTGAAAACCAGTCTCTTTGTCAAATGGAGGCACTTGCAGAGCATGCAAGAATGCGTGAGAATGAGTTTAATGGAATCAAAAATCATGAATCTTTTGAAACCGATGAAGAAATAGAGTCATGGTACGGATTTTCTGAAAGTGATGATCAAAAAACAGGATGTATAAAAAAGCAAAAATCACTTAAAGCCTTTAATAAAGCATTTACGGACGTAATAGAAGCATCTGATGTAGTTCTATACATTTTAGATGCACGTGATCCTGAAAGCACACGATCACCACAGATTGAAAAACAAGTTTTACAGCATGAAAAAATATTGGTTTATATTCTTAACAAGATAGGTCAATTTTTGTTAATGTATTCTCGTATTTAGGTGTACTGATGATTGATCAGATCTTATTCCATATACAAATGTAATGTCATGGTTGACTTTTTTGCGTACATTATTTCCGTGTTTGCCTTTATGTGCTTCTACTTCATTTTCATCGCATTCTTTCAATCATCCTTCACTGACATCTCAATCAACTGCTTTAGACCTTATTAAATTTTTGAAATCATATGCACATAAATTAGATCTAAAAAGATCTATAACTGTAGGTGTTGTTGGTTACCCTAATGTTGGTAAATCCTCTGTCATTAATATTCTTGCATCTTCTTTAAGTGGAAATGCAAAAAAAAATCCATGTATTGCTGGATCAAAACCGGGAATTACTACTTCTATCAAACAAGTTAAACTAGATAACAAAATCAAACTCATTGATTCTCCAGGCGTTGTATTTCCTCCTAAAAACACAACACAAAAGAAAGCACATGAATTAAAAGCATATGAAGAAGCAAAACTTGTTCTTATTAATGTGATTCCTTCTTCGGATATTCTTGATCCTATCTACGTTGTATCACAAATTTTACATCGACTTCGCTTTGACCCAGTTTTATACAAAGAACTTGAAACGTTTTATAAAATACCTCCTATTTCAACCGCCCATGGTGATATTACAACCGAATTTCTTATTCATGTTGCTAGAAATAAAGGGCGACTAGGAAAAGGTGGAATCCCACATTTTGAATCAGCAGCTAGAGCTGTAATTAATGATTGGTGTTCCGGGAAGATTCATTGGTGGGAAAATGTACCCATTAAGGCTCAAACAAATAACACATCGGCAAATGGTATGTCATCTTCAAATACAGACGGGCCAATTATTGTTTCAGAATGGTCAAAACCGTTTGATTTAGATACACATGATATGCACGTTGAAACATCAACTGAAGTATTAATGGATGATGAATAAAACCATAAATGTTGCTTTTTCTACATAAAAAAATATAAAAGCAAGTTTAATAATGAAGTTTTCATAATTAACACATTAACGACGATTTTTCCGTGCATGTTTTTTATCTATCAATAAAAATGCTGTTTCTCTTACATATGCTTTTATATTATTGAATTTTGCTTGTGCAGCGCTCACTCCATTTAATAAGGTGTAAATTATACTTATTAAAATTGCTAAAAAAAACACGATACGAAGAAAAATTTTGAACTTCCTAAAAGCTCGTCCAAGTGTGTATAATGAAATATATAATATAATTAAGAGAAGGAATATTGACGTTAAGTCCGGATACGCTCGAAGTAGTGATTGTAGAGGACTCAAACTGAGAGTTTGCAAGCGATAAGACAACTGTTTTAAATATTGAAACAGCTTTAAAAATGCACTGAAAATACAATCAAATCCACAGGAAAAAGTCATTTGCAAAATGTGTGGAATTTCGACAACTCGATATTTGAAAATCGCGTTTCGTAAAGATATAAAAAAAATATATTAATTAGATTATAATGCAAATAGAACATTTTTATATTTTATTAATACTGCTCAGTTATATTCAAATATTGTATTCTAAGAAACTGTGCATATTTCTATAAAAAATTACATAAGAGTTAAAATAAATGACAAGTGTGCAAAATAAGGTACAAAAATCAAAAAAATACAAGGACTTGAGAAAATGAAGTATATGGCTGTCTAGAATGGGAAAAATAAGTAAAAATAGGAGTAACACTGTAAATATAAAGCAAAAAATAATTTACAATGTATTTACTCAGCTTTTTACATTTCTACTTCTTCTTCAAGTTCAGCATCATCATCATCAATACCTACTGTTTCGTATTGTTGATACTCGCTTACCTATAGAAAAAAAATTAGAACTACGATTGTACATAGCACCGGAGAACATGTGTAGTGATATGTCCATCGATGCAATAAATTTTAAAAACATACCAAGTCATTCATGTTAGATTCAGCCTCTGTAAACTCCATTTCATCCATTCCTTCACCAGTGTACCAATGTAAGAAAGCTTTGCGTCGAAACATTGCAGCAAATTGGTCGCCCACACGTTTAAATAGTTCCTGAATAGATGTTGAATTGCCAATAAACGTTGATGACATTTTGAGACCACGTGGTGGAATAGAACATAGCGCGGTTTGCACATTGTTTGGAATCCATTCAACAAAATATGAAGAGTTCTTCTGCTGAACATTATGCATTTGATCTTCAACCTCCTTCATGGAAACAGTACCGCGGAAAATCGCTGCAACAGTTAAATAGCGACCATGTCTCGGATCCGATGCTGCCATCATATTCTTTGCATCAAACATTTGCTGAGTCAATTCAGGAACTGTCAATGACCGAAATGAATGTGATCCCTCTAGACAGAATAACAATCAGCCACTTCAGAATACGTTTAAAGCATCTTACTGCTTGTTAATGGAGCAAACCCAACCATGAAAAAGTGCAAACGAGGAAACGGCACCATATTAACGGCCAATTTACGCAAATCCGAGTTGAGTTGTCCAGGAAATCGAAGACAAGTTGTAATACCACTCATTACTGCCGAGACAAGATGATTCAAATCACCATATCCTGGATCCGGCAATTTCAATGTACGCATACAAATATCATATAATGCTTCATTGTCGATACAGAATGTTTCATCGGAATTTTCAACTAATTGCTACCCCTCCTCATTAATATACATTCTAAAAATGGCTTAAAAACACACATGCACTGATAATGTTGCATTATATGGCTCTACAACTGTATCGGAAACTTTTGGTGAGGGAACCACTGAAAACGTTGCCATCATCCGATCCGGATATTCCTCTCGAATTTTCGAAATTAGCAAAGTTCCCATGCCTGCACCCGTTCCACCACCTAATGAATGTGTAATCTGGAATCCTTGCAAGCAATCACATGCTTCGGCTTCCCGACGAACTACATCTAACACAGTATCTACCAATTCCGCTCCCTCTGTATAATGCCCTTTTGCCCAGTTATTTCCTGCACCTGATTGACCAAAAATAAAATTATCTGGTCGAAACAGGTTCCCAAATGGCCCAGAACGTACTGCATCCATTGTACCGGGCTCTAAATCAACCAGTACTGCACGAGGCACGTATTTCCCACCAGATGCCTATTAAAATAAATGTCTGACATTCTATAAACATTTTTCCGTAGAAACCTCGTTGAAATAAACATTCATCCGTTCGAGTTGGAGATCAGAGGTTCCATGATAGCTGAAAAATATAAGTTTTGGAAAAAAAGTACTGCAAACATGCAGTATTACTGCATGTTTTTAGATTGTTTGCAGAGCATCTTTATACTTCTTTGGAGTCTTTTCAATGCCTTTTTGCTGCCTTATAGGCATTTCTAATCACCTCTGCAAACACACTGCAGTATTACAATATTGCTTACAGGCCAGTGCTATCAAGACCGTGTTCACCGCTAATGGTGCTCCAAAAAGAGGCGCCCTGTAAAATGTAAGAAATGAGGAAAATAGCGTGTATATGCGTGTTTTTCAACGCATATAGCCCATTGAAACGTCATTTAGACGCATTTCAGGCTGTTCAATTGAACACATACAATTTGGTTTCCACATTGCCCTGTGTATTGAAAAGTTAAATATGCACAGAAAAAACGGGAAAAAACGCACCTGTTTGAAGATGGACCTGCATACAATGTTAGCATTGTAGAAATAAGTAGTTTTGCCCCAAAAGGCTCGTAATATCTTACAATTTCTCTCATCACGAACAAATGTCTTTTGTCGAAAAGTTTACGAAATTCTTCGCTTCGTTTGCTTTTGATGGATGGTCACGTGACCTTATGCATTTGAAATGAATGAAACCTGTTGAAAACGAGACCTTTTCACTGAAAATGACTGAGAAACGTGTAAAAACTGTTTTCATGCAAACACACTTAAATATCTATACCATATAATTTATCTATATCGACTCTAAGTCTTATATTTTGTTAGGGTTATATTTGCTGTATAATTAGGGTTATGTTTGCTATATAATTATATGATTAGGGTTATTACTATAAGTTGCATGGATATGCCTGCTTCTAAGTAGCGGTAGAGATAGTGATGATGTTAGTAAGACATGCAGTATACATAGGAAGTACTGTATGTGCGCTTCAAACAGTTATATGCGTAATATATGCGCTGTATATGCGCAATGTATGTACAATATATGCATATTATATGTGTTTGACATAAAGTATGTATTCTATGAGATCCATACCGTTGATAAACTAATATGAATGGTTTTCGTTATCACTATGCACTGTGCACGCGGGTGTCCCTTTAGACGTGTTTTACGTGTTAAATCGCGCTAATTAATGTGTTATCTGGGGAACAAACATACCGAGCAAAAGTCAATAAATGATGCGCATACAAACAGAAAATGAGCATGTTTATGCCTCTATTTCGCCTGTAAATAGCGAATCTTCATCAATACTTAACCGTAGACACGATTATTCTAATGCCACACATACTCTTTATAATACTATTTTTTCTAATACTACAGAAATAAATCACGATGCTACTCAAGTTTGGTCAGTCACTACAGCAAAATCTGAATTAAGCACTACAATTGAGCCTAAAATAAATGTGCCATCTGCTTCTACTGATTCTATGGAATATTCGACACGTGCTGTAATGCCATCTTTCATTATCAGTGCAATTTCTGTACTTTTTGACTGGCGTGTTATGACTATTATAATTGCCAGCCTGTGGATTGCACTTTGTTTTAGTGTATATATTCTTTTTCGACTAAGAAAACAGGTTCAACAAGAAATATATATGGTGGAAAAAAATGACTCTGAAGATACACTTAATATTTATAAAACTTTTTGGAGAAATCATCGAGAATCACGGCTTTCTAATCAACATGCTGGAAACCAACATTTTTTCAATCCATGATTGAGCAGTGAAGCCTATCATAGCTAATTTGAATCTTAAGCAGCAAAAGCTGATATTTGTTGCCATGGCAACGTATAAATATTTAAAAATGTTAGAGTATGTTAGTATTATTAATAAACTGTAAATAAAGAAGCGATAAAGTGTTTTGATGTTTCATGATTCATTCTCTTTTTTAGCTGCCTCAACACACCATTCATATACTTTTTTGATTAAGCGTTTGGCACGAATAATATCATTTCGTACTTGCATTAAACATCTGATGTATTCATTACTCCGATCAAGTGCAGATTGGAGCAATTTGCGCAAATCACTAATATCATTTTCTGTCAAGTCCATGTATTGATTCAGTTTTTCAAGGAAAGATTTATTTACAGATGGCAAAGTGTCAGCAAGTGGCTGTTTCTGACATGTTGATTGAGAATCATCATTTGTTGCAAACAAAGTGGGAAATGCTAACGCAGTTTTGCCTTCTTCTAAAGACAAACTTTGTTCTGGTTCCATTTCTGGATCAGAATGCATTTCTGATACATTTTTTTCCATGTCGAACTTTTCATTAGTGCGAAATGCTGTATGAATTGACCAGTCATCACCGAGAAAAATAAATAATAATTTTGAAATATTTATATTGTATTCACGTTCTTCTGAAATCACGTCAAGTATCTGTATTGCAAGATTTGTTAAGCAAGATTGTGTTAATGACATGCGATATGAGCGATGTCGTGGAAGATCTGCTGGATGAACAATTGGTGCTAATAATTCTGAAATGGTTCATAATTTGTAAAGATACATCACTATATGACTCACCATCAATATGAATGTCACGATACGGATCGTCTGAATGTGTTGATGCTTCACCATCTGTATCATCTAGTGATGTTCGTCGTTTTTTACGCTGAATTACTGTACGATGCTTTGACCCATAATACACAGTCTACAAAAGCATCGTTGTGTAAAATGGTGTTCATAGAATGTTTTTACGTTTACCTTGCTATCGGTTAAAATATCCGATGGTATTCCTAATTTTCCGCGATATGCATAACGTGCTTTCCGTTTCAATTTACGCCCTCTATTCCCTACGTACATTCCCACTGATGAGCTTGAATCTGATGCTAAAAAATAAAATTAATATCATCGAATAATATCTGTGTTATTCTTACCATTTTCTGATCGAGCAAGTGCCTCTTTAAATCGACTAAAACCTTTAGAATCTTATCAAGTGGAAAAAAATCTTACATTAACTCTTCTAGTGTCTCTTTATCTTTCATCTCGCAAATAAAGTTTTGAATTAATTTCTATAAAAACTTAATATCCATCATCGCTTAAATCGATGTTCATGTACGTTAATATATCCTAACCCTAAATCACAAACCTAACCCTGAAATAAATAAAAAGTATTATACTAATTTTAAAGAATCCCTTTAAAATCTGCATCATTTTGCATGGCCATTTTTACATCTTGCTGCGTAATTTTTAACTGAACACGCCCATATCTTTTTCCTGTTTTTATATTTAAAAGAAGGACCCCAGATTCTGCAAGTGCTAAAGCTGCGTTTTCGAAACTGAGATTGTTATTAATATAAGGATGTTGACATAAAACTTGAAGTGTCGGTTTTTCACTTGCTTTACACATCTTAATGCTAATATCAATGATTTCACTGAGAGTATGCTCCGCAATGCCGGATCGTTTCATTTTTAACATAAGCGATATTAAAAACACTTTATATGCTAAGGGCATCGTTCGCAAGTATACTTGAATGGGAGAAGAAGACATTTCTGAGATTGCTATATTAATCATTTTTATTGTTACCTTTACAGGCTGAGTTGATTCATCGAATTTATCTGATATTGATTTTTCAGCAGTAGCAGCAGAGGTTTGGGCTATTTCAACAGCTCGTCTTGAACTATGAATAACGTTTATAATTAAGAAAGACATACCTGCAAATGTCAAGTGCTCTGCGTGCATCACCGCTCACTGCACTCACTTTACGACTTGCCAATTCGATTGCATCTTGATCCATCAATGAACCTGAAATTTCTTGCAATCTGGTATGAATAATAGTTTTAAGCTGATCAAATGTGTATCCAGAAAAGCTAACTCGAGTTAATCCTTAATAATTTAAAGTGATTAGGAAGAAATCTTTAAAAATCTAAGAAAAAGTTACCTAGTCGACTAGATATTTTATTGCTTAACATTCGTTCCGGGAGATCCATCGTATTTGCAACAGCAATTACAATAAGTCGAGAATGCTGAAGCATTGGCCAGTTAAACATATTATACATTACTTTTTGATCTTTTGTTACTAGTTGATCAAGTTCATCGATAAGTACCACGCTATCGCCTTATCGTTATCTAATCAAGAGATATAATAAAAACTTACCATGGTACTCTATGAGGATTGGGTTCTGAAAAGCGTTGTTCAAGAAGCATTAATGCATGCCTTGGTGTTACCCTTTCATTTTCCAGGGCTTCCCAGAGTAATGAATATGCTTGATTTGCGTCAACAACCCTCATACCATTGATTTCAAGATATTTAAAATCACTAATCTCCTAAACCGTAAATTAACATACCTAGATTACATCTTATCCAAAACATACTCCTTCTTCAACTTTTTGGAACAAATATCGTACAACTTCCTTAATTGTCACAGTCTTACCTGTCCCTGGAGTACCGCTTACGTAAATACATTCTCCATGACCTGCTTCTAATGCACTAAGTACCTGTGAACATATAAGAGAGAATTCCTTCTCTCTACATGGTAGTGATGCTGGAACCATTGATACATGTAAATGTGATCGTGCATTTTGATATAGTGAAAATTCTGATTTATCACATGAAATGTATCTTAAAGGCAAAGGTGTGGTTTCCAAAGGTTTTTTATAAATCCTTCTGTTTCCTGATGACGGTGTTATTGCATTCTCTATTATTTTTCTTCGTTTTCGTGGAGTTTTCGTTACAAAAGAGTCATTACTAGATTCACTTGTTTCAATGCTCTCATTATTAATACTTTCACTATCCGATTGCATCGGTAGATACATATCATCACTTTCGCTTTGTTCTGTATCTGTTTCTTGTTCTGTATAGATATTTTGCTTCTCTTGATCTACTATTACTAGTTCATCCTCCTAAAACTAACATAAACAATTATTTTCACTCTATTCAAAACAATTACACATTCACTAAGAGCCACTTTGCATCTATTTTCTCTTTTAATAGGCATTTTTGCCCCTTCTGTTTCCACCCAGTCTATTAGCGCATTGAAATCTGTATCTTGATGACGATAAAGTCGATCCCAGTCAATAAATTCAAGGTATACCTCCTTCAGAGGATGAAAACCCCTTCTACAGTAAAATACCCTTTCATAATCATCCATTCCTTTTGTCAATCCTTCTGGGTACCGCTTTAAAAATGATTCATATGAAATTACTTCAATTTTTTCCTGAAAAACCGAAACTTCATTTGGATCCACCGTTCCACACATCAACAACTCATTCTACATACATTAACCTCTTCCTATTCTTCCTTTTATCCTTATATCCCTACGTGAATGCCTGGAAACTCTCGTTTTTCCCTCCGTACATGATCTCCTCTTTCAAACCACAGTAAATCTGCTATTTTTTCCCCTAAAAATCCCTCATAAAAACTCACAATCATTGCTGCCCATGAACCCTTCCCTGTGTCATTCCTTACAAGCACACAGTCTCCCTTTATAAACTTTTTTTTCCCGCAGTAAACTTCTTCATAAAAAACTCGTTCGTCTGTAGAAACTATGCTCTTTTTCCCCCATTCAAAAACCTCTGCCTCTTCTTCTTCACTGTTTCTTTCATTTTCCTCTTTTTTTCTACGCATATATCCCATTAATTCCCCTGTAATCCTCTTATATGCACTCTTTTCTCTCGACCTAACCTCTACCAACGCCAACGCGTATCGCGATATGCATATACCATTTTCATTATTTTCATGTTTGGAGATTTTGCTGCAAAACTTATAGCTGATACTTCTCGTGCAATACGCCTTGATACGTGGCCGCCTTATGAGACAGAACGAGTTCAAGCAGTATTAAGAGAAATCTGTGCATTAGATGAAGCATCACGAGAGCTTCTTGAAGCCCATGGCGGAACTACGTTCTCTCAAACAGAATATCCAGGTATAGCAGCGCATTTACTTGTGCAATATTTGTGTAAACTTCGTAATAAACGATGTTTGCTTGCATACCACCGTGCACGCGCCATACGGCTTGCATCTACGTGCTGGAGTGATCCATTGCAAGCAGTAGTTGATTCAGGGCTGCTTTCAGCGGCTGAACGCACGTATTTACGCGCATATACTTCACTTTGTTCATATTATATGCAGCAATGGCCAGGAATTGATTTTGGCGGGGCTCTTGAGCCGCCAAATGATCTTTATGTTAATGTCCGTGTATTGCAGGATGTTGGAGAAATCCAGACAGAATATGGGTAAGAAAAGAATACAGTGGTAGAGGATAATTGGAATTAAATTAATAATTAACAGGGCAATTACTTTAAATAAAAATAGCCAGTTTTTTTTACGGCTTTCTGATGTAGAAGGGCTTCTTCGACAGGGTTATTTGCAGAGAGTATCTTAGAGGTGATGAGGAATATGCAGGAATGTGTAAAAGAAAGATATATAAAGGAAAGATAGAAAGTATAGAAAAGACAATATATCTATATAATGGGAAGATATAGGTGTGTATATTTATAGGGCGAGATATAACGTAGTAATATGTATAAAAAATAGTGTTTAAGTGTAGACAGGGATGTAGATGTATGTGTGTAGCTGTCTATGTATATATATCTATGTATATATATATATGTATATATGTATGCATATATGTGTATGTATTTGTATATATGTATATATATACGAGATGATGCAGAATAGCGTTTAAATACACTGCTGTACTATAATGTACTGTTTGATGTATATTCAAAAGCGTTTGCGTATATTTTGGAATTTTGGTACATATTTGACGTGATTAGTGTATTTTACACCAGTCCCACATAAGATAATCTCCGATACAACAACCAGAATATACATATAGAAAGTATATACGATGCAATAAAATATATGTATATGAGTGCAATATTCTTAAGCCATTAAGTGTATATTGTTATATTTATTAAAAATAAATTAGTTGTATAATTTATCTAAAAAAAAAGGAAACTACAGCACGTCGTATTCCCATATGGTCACCCACTATAGTACTGACGACGCCCTTCAGAGCTTGACTTCGCAGATCGGACGGGATACGGTATATTCTCTGAGGTATGGCCGTAGCTGGTAGATAATATTAGAAATAGTTTATATATTAATATATATTGTGAAATGATTAAATAATTAAATAAGAAAAATATATAGAATATATAGCTAAACAAACAATAAACAAAAATAGATGAACTTAAATCTTATGGCTAGCTATTTTAGATATTAGATCATCATATGGATATGATTCTTTGGAGTAAAGTTTTTTAGCAGACATTAATCGTTCTTCAAGGTCTTCAGTAAAGTTTTCATTATATTGAGAAAAAAAGGCCTGAGATTTTGGTTCTGATAAAGAATAAAACGAGATATCACTTAAATGTGTATTATAATGATTTTGATATGGAATATTTTTGATTTTTCCCGTTTTTGAATTATTTAATGATTTTTTTTTTCTTTCCTTTAAAGATGACTTTAAATTTTGTTCTAGATGCGAGCGCTGTGCGTATAATGCATTTAAAGCATTTCTTCTTCGTTTACGCAAGTAAAGTGTATATGGAGAATCTACTTTTAATAGACTTCGATGAATTTTTTTTCTAAAAAAAGCTATATTAGTGGTATCACTATTAGGTGAAGACTCCTGAGAGATATTTTCTTTGAAATAAAGAGGTTTATTTTTATATGATGTATGCAAGATATGTGGATACATTTTCTTATTGTTATCCAAAGTGCTTGGTTCTGTTCCAAAATTTTCTTTTAATGTCTTATCATGATAATTTTCATTTTTTTTTTTAAAAAAATTGTTATCAAAATCAAAATAGAAATCATCTTTAGTTAATTTTTTATCAATAGATATTTTGTCTGTATTTCCTTCACTAGACAAACCCGATTCCGATAACTCATTTTCTGAACTTTCTGAATCCCATGTATTTAATGAAACCTTCTGCATCATTTTCTTTATAGAGCACGGACCTATATCATAAGAGTTTTTATATGAAGTATTTATTGATGATGGTAAGGGTGAAGTTTGATAATCAGTGAATATTTCAGAAAAATATGACAAAGATGTCTGTGTTCCAATAGATCGATATGAAAGCTTACTTGTTTTATTATTGTTTTTGTTTTTTTGGCAATTATGTATATTTTTGATCGTTTTAGAGTTTTTTGAATACTTGGCATTTTTGTTTTTTATTAAAGATTCCTTTTTGAGAGGTTGATTGTGGCATGCAGAATGCGTTAGAGTTGGATTTAAAGAATGAATTCTATTAAATACTTTATTTGCACGATTATTGATATAAGACACAATAGAAAGTGACTCCGACGATGCTAAAGAATTCGGTGTACAAATAGTATTATGTGAATCTTTTAAAGAACTACAAACAGATACATCATTATTTTGTGAATTATCTGTTTCTTCATCAAAGCTATCTCTTTGACATGAAATGGATGAATCATCATCCTTTTCATTTCCTTCATCGTTTTCTTCTTGCTTCATGGCTATCTTTTCTTTTAATAGTTGCAAGTTGCCTATAATTACAAGTACTTCAACAATATTGATAATTGATTCCATATCATGTTCAACTACCAAAACAGGATCAATATGACTAAGGTCTATCCTTAATGATTCATGTGAAATCGTTCCAAGGAGTAACTTTAAGTATTTAATTTGTGTTTTTTTAGAACTATTTTTACGGTTTGTAAATGGAAATTGTGTATTATAAAAAGCCTCATATAACTGAATCATATGATCAACAGAAAGGTCTTCAAGTGAAATTGGATCAGAAATAGAATATTTGTGAAAGAACTTGTTTAATTCTTTTGTTAATTCTACTTTTAATTAATATGTTTCTAAAAATATAAAATTCCAATTTTGGTATTATTGATGCAAAAAAATAACACTTACTTTTGTATTTTCTTTCATTTATATGTAATTTTGTATCATTTCTCTTCATTTCTTTAAAAAGTCTTATTTTAATTTTTTTTAAATAAATTGATAAATGAAGGTTAACACGTTTCTACGCGATATCATTATTTATATTATATTTTAAGTTTACAAGCAAAAAGTAAAATACTTTAAAAAGTTTGAAATTAAAAAAGAAAAATGATATATAAATATTATTAGAATATGTGTCTTATAATGTTTTCTTTTTATTCAAAAAAAGCGATTAAAAAGACGAAATATTAAGAATATAGTTTATAAAGAAATATAAAAGTTAGAATTATGGATAAAGAGAAAGAATCTGCTTTTGGTGATTTTAAACTGAATGAAAGCAACAAACTAAGGCATCGTATGAGGTATTCAACTTTGTATGACTTTCCATTGTCTACTTTACAAAGAAATTTATCAGGAAATAATATTTATGATTTATCTATTTCAGGTAAAAAAATGTAATATAATATTGTTTTTAACTTCTTTTCAGTAAGGAAAATGATGATGAAGTCTTTTTATAGTCGTCCACAAGATCAGTTTTTAATTGAAAATGATGGTGTTTTGAATATTCCATTTGCTGTTTCGTTTTCAAATAGTATGTAAATTATATAAATATAAAAGTAATAATCTATTCAGATTATTCTTTTTTTTGTGTAGCAGATGAACTAGGATATGTTTATTTGATTGATAGTACGAAGAAAGATATACCAATTAGTTATATTGTCATTGTTGTTATCTTGTTTAATATTTACTAGATAATTCTTTAAAGTTAAAATGTCATGATAATGCTATATTTGATATTTCTTGGTCTTATGATGATAAACTTCTGGTAATCTTTTTAAAAAATTATATATGGTTATAAATGAATTAGGCGTCATCATCTGGTGATCAAACAGCACGTGTACTTGATGTATCTACTCAAAAGTTTGTTGCAATTCTTTCAGGATGTGCTTCCAGTACTTTGAAGCAAGTGTCCTTTCAAAAAAATGATCCTAGTAAAGTATTTTTTTGATTAAGCATTAAATCTTATATTTTTCGAGATATCTTGGCAACATGTTCTCGTAATGGGAAGATATTGATTTGGGATCTTCGATCTTGTAGTTTTAAACCTTCTTCAGGTGATTGTTTTAGTTTTTTTTGAAATTATATATTAATTTTTAGAATCAATACAAACCCCAGTAGTTTCTATTTCAAATGCGCATGGGAAAATAAAACATCATTCTAGAAGATCCAAGTTATCTCCTATAAGTAATTCTGTAACATCTATACAATGGCTTCATAGAAAGAATCTTTTAGCCAGTGCATGCGATGCTAATAGGTTTTTTAACTTGGAAAATATTATTAATACTGATATTGTTTAGTTTGATTAGTATTTGGGATATCCGATTCTGCTCTCAGAAATTTATAAAACTTTATGAATCAAAACCTGCAATTAGCATAAGAAGTAAGAGAGATTATGGAATTACGTCACTTGCTATGCCATCGTCTGGATCGACATTTTACGGACTTAGTAAGGATAATTATATATATGCATATTCTTCAATACTTCCCGAGGAACCTATTGGTAGTTTTACGCATCCACAACTTGTAGTAAAGTCTTTTTTTGTTAAGATTTCATGTTCAAGAGATGGTGAATTTGTAGGATGTGGAAGTACCAATAGTAAGGTTATAATAGCAGACACAGCTAGTATGACACAGAATAAAAATGTTGGTATTGCATTAGTAGCTGGTTGTGAGAAAGAAATTACTGGTATATCATGGAGTTATGATGATTGTCTTGCAAGTATTAGTGATGATGCAAGTTGTAGAATTTGGAGACAAAGTCAAAATAATGAAGCAAAAACTATTAAAAATTGGAATGAAGGGAAACGTTGGAGATGGGGATGGTCTGAATAGTGTTTGGGATTATTATGTTAATAGTTTATTATTTTTTTGTATATGCTATAATCTTCTATCTTTGTATTTTTACAATAATGTTATTTTAATAATTGATGATATAAAATATTTAAAGGATATGGTTACTGATTATTTTAAAATATCAGTTGATTTTGTGTTATTTTATTATAATTTAAATTATATAAATTCTTTAGTTTTTTTTAAAAGTCATACAGTTTTAGTATTGTAAAATTGTCTGATAGTTTATTATCAAGATTTGAAATGTTTATAAAATAATTAAATATATCAGTGGAAAAACATAAATATAAAAATAGGTGTTAAAAATGTTTTTTGATTATTAACGTTCAAAAATTTAAAAAATGTAAATTATGAATCTGTTATAAAGCAATATAAGATATTTAGATTACACTACAATTGCTTTAATTCTAATACATTTATGCATATTAAGATAACTTAAATACTAATCCGTATGATTTATTTATAAAATGAAATATTTTGTTATAAACAAATATTAACAATAGAAATAAACCCGTATAATTATTCTTGTGGTCTAGCACGTGCTGTACCATTAGTTAATTTTACACCCAGTTTCATTGCTTTTTCTGCAATAAGTATTCTTTTTCTTGAAGAAACTGTTGACGCAATTTCACCGATATAAGTTTGGTTATGCATCAATAAAACATCTACATCAGAGATATTCCGAATGAGAAATGTATAGCGTCCGCCAGGACTAAAGTATTAAAAAACTATGTTCTTGTAGATTATTGTTATTTACCGCATATGACGAGTTCTTTTGTCTGATCCATATCCAATCCTAGGCATGGCTATTTGCCCTTTGAATCTACGTCGAACTACACAAATTATTAACAAATAAACAAATATAGACATTGAATGGGCTAATATTACCTCTATTATCAATACCCTTGGGTTTTCTCCATGATGGTGCAATACATTTGTATCGATCTATGTAATGTAAATTTAACCAAACTCCTTTAAAAAAGGAACTATGTTCCATAATACAAGCATACCTGATTGATGACGTACAAAGCGTTTTGTTCGTTTCTTTATAATCTTTGGGTGCAAACTTGATCCTGACATTATTAGAATTAAAGGTTGGTCGTAGAAAATTTTATTTTTATAAATAAGTAGGGCTAACCCTACAAAAATAAATTATGAATTAAACTAAAAAAAGAATATAGAAATATTTTCCATGATTTCTTCCTAACATACGAAAGTACTAAAATATTTCACCGTTTTTTAGATAGCTTATTAACAGTGGACCAGCCATCTACATCAGCTTCTGCTTCAGTTATGGATATAGAATCGGTAGATTTTGAAGAATCTCCTGAATGTATTTTAGAGGAATTCTGTTTTGTATTGACTACATTGACTTGTTTTTTTTCTACTTTTTGATTTTTACGATCTAAAGATGCATTTCTTCTGTTTTTTTCTTTTCTGCTTAATTTATCAAATCTGTACATTTCCCTCTGTGCTTTTTCTCGTCCAAAAGCTTTTTGGTTTTCAGCCGCTTGCTTTTTTTCTTTTTTCTTTTGCTCTTTTTCTTCAATTTCTCGTATACGAGCATTAGAGTCTACAGGACGTGCATCACCAAATGGATTGGGCTTTGTCGATGTTTTAGGAATTTGAGAAGGTTCTTCTGGGGTTTCGCCTCTAGGCTTAAGAACTAATTTTGGGCGTTCGCCAATACTAGATGTTCTTAAAGTATTATAATTATTGTCTAAAAGAAGTAAAACGTGTTGACAAATTAATTAACAACACTTACTATTTCCATAATTACGGTCACCAAATCCACTATTTCTATATCTTTCTCCGCTTCTCCAATCAGTATTTCTATAATCATGTTTTTCTGTAGATAAATCTGATCCTGGTAAATCTTGTAATGGCCCCTTACGTTCCCAATTCGAAAAATCTCTGTTATTATCACTTGAAGAATATGTTCTATCGTTATTTCCAGAACAATTTCTTCGTTCATATGTAGATCGCTTTTCGTGTACAGTCTCAATAGGAGGAAGAGGAGATGAACGTCTCCATTCTCCAGCTGTTCTATCTTCAACCGGATCACGGTCCACATGTCCTTTCCGTGCTAGTCTATGTAAGAACCTAACAAAAAACGAATATATAATATACGAGGTTCTGCAACACTTATTTTTATAGCTCTTCCACTTAGAGTTTTTCCATTTAAAGATATGGCGTTTATAAGTGCTTGTAAATCTGTAAATTCTACATATCCAAAACCTTTAGGTCTATCGTCTATTTGATCACGCATAAGTCTTATATTAGTAACAAATGGTTCACCAAAAAAATCTGTAATTTCGGATTCTGTGATATTAAAAGAAAGATTTCCTAGATGAGCAGTATAAGGAGGCTCTTTGGGAAGAGGTATCTGCTCTCGACTTACAGAACGGTCTAGATTATATTAATATAAAGCAAAATTCTCAAAAAAAATACCAAGTTTATATAATTGATCACGGTCTTTTCCATAATTCTTATCACTAAAATTACGGTCATAATAGTTTGTCTTTGTCTCTTTCCTATCAAATAAAGCTACAGAGGTCTTAAATTATCTTTTATATATACAAATTCAAATTAAACATACGAGCAATAGGCATGTCTTCCATTTCATCTGCCCAATTTGAGCCGCTTAAAAAATCGCTTAAACTCAATTTTTCGCCTTTATTCTGAAGAGAGTGAGTATTATAAAAACAAAATTGCCTAAAAGCTTTGGAATATTTTTATACCCTTTTTGGACCTGTATATAATTGTTTGTTAGAAATGTATATATTAAAAAATAAACTGTGCAATAAAGATATTTTCATGTATAAAAAACGTACCCATTTCTTTTAATAACAGGTATTCTAATATCTGCTCTCTATTCACTAATTATTACTATTTCAGCACTTTTTTCAAACTTTAAAAGTTTTGATCTATAGTTTGTAATTAAAATTTTAAACAATCGTTATTATTTTAAAAAAAAATTAATCATTTATTTAACTGGAAATATATTTTTTGCAACTAAATTTCTATATAAATCTATATAAATCTATACAAAGTAGCATTTATTTTTCAAAATTATAAATTTATTTTCTTTAATATATTTTCTGTGTATCATATTTTACAAAAGTTTAAATTTATATATCCAGATTCATTATGTTTCTATTATAGTATAGATAATTTAATCGTAACTTGGTTTCAGCATGTAAATAACAATTGTGTTAGACAGAAATAATAATATTTATATTAGTTTTTTTGGAGAAAAACATTGGATTTAACAGATTAAATTTTTAAAATTTTTATTAAAAACATTGAATAAAAATATCTAATTATTGTCAATTAATATAATAATAAATATTGTGCCTGTATGATATCTATAAAAGAAATCATGCTGCAAAAATTTTTATTAAGATGTTTAAAATTTATTATTTTTATAAACACAAAATATATTCATAATTTTATTTTTTTTAGAATATTAATAAATTATACAATAATATAAAAAATTCTATTATAATGTTTAATAGAAAATTATGTATGAATTGAGTATATATTTTTTATATTTAAATTATTTTTATGTGTTTCAAAAGATTATGTAAAAACTTGAACTAATATTTATATAAAATATAGTTTACTTAAAATATTATTTGTCAAGAATATATTATATAATTAATATATATTTTTACAAATTTTAAAATTTAAATTATTTTTAACGTATCAAATATCTAAATAATATAATTTGTTCTATAAATTTTAATAGAACTATTAATTTTTTTGTTTAATATCTAAAAAACATATAGTTATATTCTTTTATGATTATATGCTAGCAATTTTATAATTTCTTACTATTTTTACGAACAAATTGATACAAAATCATATTTCAAAAAATTGATTTAGAGTATGAAAATTTCATATAAAAAAATAATCTCTGAAATATAAATGCATACAAATAGGTTAAAACAGTAATTCAGATGAACAAAACTTATTTTAAAATTAAAGAATCTGATGGAAATATTAATAGAAAATATAATTTTATGGATTACTATTATTATTATAAGTTACATTTTTTTGACGCATGCATTTTTGAAAATAGTCAAAAAAATAACAGGAATACATATACGTCGTTTCGGTTATTTTTCCATTCATGGTATCCGATTTCATCATAAAGAACAATTTGATATATATTTCGAATCATTAAAGATACAATTTCATAGACCGAGTTTAAATAAAAAGACATGGATTAGTTTTTCCATTAATAAGGTTTCTATAAAAATTAATAAATTTAGCAAAAAGAATTTAGAAGAAAGTAAAAATAAAACATGCATAGTTTTTTTAAAAAAATATAAACAAAAATGTATTTGTTTCTTTTTAAAAATACTAACTTCTCACTTTTTTTTAAAAATTAACAGTTGGATTGACATTATACTTACTGATATTAAAGTTAATATTGAAGATTTCGGAATATTCTTTATAAGCATGTTTACTACGCGTTTTAACAACATTTATAATTATGAATTGTATTCTGAGATAAATAGTAATGATAAATTAAATCTTCTATTAAAAAAAAAAACATTTAGGATTATAAACATAGTAGATTCTATATTTTTCATGCCGAAAAATAAAACATCATCAGAACTAATAGATAGAATTTTTATTACTTTTCAAGGTTCATTAGGTTATCCTATAAAAGATATAAAATGTATTTTAGAATGCGGAAGAATTTTATTGAATCTCGATGAATTTAAATTTATGCATAGTCATGAATTAAACTATTTTATTAATCATTTTAATTTATTTAAGTTTATATTTAATAATCTTTTTAAAACAAAAAAAAATACTTTAGGGAAACCACTATTAGGATTAAATAAGCAATATATAATCAAAAAAAAACATAGGTTTAATATAATTGATGAAATACGGTTTCATGTTGCTAATCTAGAAATGAAAAAATCAATTTTGCCTTTTAGTCTCGAAAATTCTACTTTCTTTTTATTAAAATTAAAGGACATTGGGATAAACATAAAATATGCTGATCAAAACTCTGGTCTTTATACATATTTTTTTGAGAAAAAATCAATTTCTTATGAAATACTTGCATCATGCATTTCATTAACAGTAAGTATATATCATCAAAAAGTAATACCAAAAGAAGCAAATTTTATTTTAATACCTATGATTACTTTTACATGTAAAACTGCTATTAATCATTTAGTCGACAATAACATAATCACAAAAATACCCTATAGTATTGATATTATTGCAAATTCTGTTATTACTTCACCGTCAGTAAACTTTTATCATGAAAAATTGCTCTCAGTTATTTCATTGTTTGGATCTATGTATTCTACTCGTACATTAAAATTATCAAAACTTCAGTTATTTCAGAATTCTATTCTTAAATTAAACATGAATTTCTCTATTCATGATCCAATAATTCGGATATTAATTTCTTCTAAAAACTTTTACAAAAAATTAAAACATCAAGAAAATATAATGTTTATACTTATATTGTCTAATATATTTTTAAATATTCAAACTACAATATCTAACAAGGCATCTAATTTATCTTCTATTAATTTAGCTATTCTTTTTATTTCTCAGAAATTATACTATCAGTCTTTTAAAGAAAAATATAGTATTTTTACTATAGAAAATTTTACTTTTCGCCTCAAATTCGACTTATTTCCATTTAATAATGTTTCTATTGGAGCTTTTAATGAAAACATGTTTATTAATTTAAATAATATTGAAGCAATCCGATGTTTGAATAATGTGTTTTCAAATACTTTATTAAATATTAAATGCAATAATTTAAACAAAAAAAATACAAAAATAGAAAATACATCCTTTTTATGCAACTTTAATAAATTAAAAAAAATAGAATGTCGTGGATCAGAATTAAGTATTATTATTTCAGGAAACGACCCTGAAGTGAATTCTGATCATAAAGGAATTTTATTGAAAATAAACTCATGGGAAATAAGTTATTATTTCTCGGATATAAGTTTTAAAGAGTCACTTTTTTCCGAATACAAAGAAAAAAATCTATTAAGTTATAAACGAGAACATATTTTAAAAAACTCTATTTTTAATATAATTTCAAATTCAAATGGCATGTTATTGTTCAATGATTTCAAAATATTTGCAATACATTCAGAAAATATTTCAGATATAGAAGAACCAATCATAAAAATTAGAAAACTTAAACTAATATTCAATACTAAAATTAATAATGAAGATTTTTTATTATGCATTTCAACTGAGGCAGACCAAGTATATATGACTTATTCTTTACTTAAATATTATACAATTCTTCTTGCTATAAACATTTTAAAAAGAACATTTTTTCAGAATATTCAAAAAACTCTACAAAATCATAATTCTGAGAATAGTGCACAAATCAATAATTTTCCATGGGAATTTGTGTCAATACAAATCTATGTGTCATCACTAAAAATTAAAATCGAATTACCAGCTGAACAGTTTTTAATGCTTGATATATATGAAATAAAATTTTCATATGATAGAAACAAAACATTATTATGTGAAATCGAAAATACAATTTTTTATGTTCATAGTCCAGTTATTCAGAATTTCTGGGATAGATTTATCAATATTAATCAACTTATAATCTATTATGAATTGATCAAAACATGTTATGAGAATACACCTAAAATAACATTATCTATAGAAGCAATACGAATTCGTATTCCTCATAAATTTATTTTACATATGATGGTAGAAAATATACAGAATAATATAAAAAGTGCAAAGCACTTATATTATCATTTTTTCGCAAATACATCTAGTTATATTTCAATAGATCGGCCTGTTAAAGAAAAATTATTATGTAAAATTCAGTTAAAATCCAATATTATATCTTTCGAAATAGAAGATGATCCATTTGAAGCAAGACTTGGACTTATTTGGCGAATAGGATTAATTGAACAAAAGGCTCGAATTATGCGTGAGAAAACTTTTAATATTAAAACAGAAAAAATCAGAGATGACTCTGATTTATTAGATAACAATGATCAGAGCAAATTCGAAAGTGAGAATGAGTATTTTTTTGAAAGTTCATTTGATAAGCAAGAATTAAAACAATCATATTATAAAAAATATCCTATAAAAAATTTCGAAAATCTCCAAGAATTTTCTGAAAATAAGTTTTCAAACCTACCTTTTACAGCAGAACAAGCATATGAAAAACTTCAAAAATATAATTCACAATCATGGATTAGAAAATTTCAGAAAATAAATGATTTACAATCTTCTAAATCATATTCAATACGCCACAAACATTGGATATTAGATAGTACAAAATATTCTACAGCATCTCAAGAAAACATTTTACCTCTTCCTACTAGACCTCCTCTTTTAAGTGTACTATTTTTAAAAGTTGATCTTGTTTTTGATAAACCGTCATTTCCTATCGAAAATCTTCATCAATTTTTGCAAGATACAGGTAAAGGTTTACCTTTAGAAACCAAATTTCTTATTTTAATACCTTTTAATTTAAACTGGAAAATGACTGAAGCAAAAGTATATATTCGAGATTATCCCTTACCATTGGTTTATATTCCTAACTCAAATTCTCAGTCAGTAAACATTCCTACCTGGACACTTACGTCAAATTTAATAATTGCAGAACAATATCCTGAAAAAGAAGCAATTCGTGATGTAAATATTTGTATTATTCCTAGTAATACAGAAAAAAAGAGTTCTTCGTTTAATATAAAGGTTTCCAGGACAGTAACTCCTATCAAAATTTATGGTATTGTTGATGTTATTATAAATACTATACATCCTACTCAAATTACATGGGGCATGTCCTTGCAGCCTGCTATACAAGATATTATGCGTATATTTGCAACATTTTCAAGACGTCAGGAAGATCTTTATAAATTAAGTTTTTGGGATAAAATCAGATTGAATGTACATACATCTTTTAAATTCAAATGGAGAGGTGATGGTAATGTTTATTTAACATTAAAAGGTAAGTTTAAAGCTTATATTTCTATTTAATTAATCACTAGGTTTATTTAGGTTCTAGAGATCCATATCATATTACAGGTGATGGTGCTGGTTTTATAAAATGCTGGAAAGGAAATGTTCAATGGAATATTGGTTGTGATCCTGATTCTAGAAATTTTATGATAATAAACAGCGACGAATTTATATTAGCTATTCCTGATTTTACACAGCAAGCACGAGATCTTATGAATTGGTCTAATGCAATAATTTCTACATATGAAAATATATCTAATACATATCAAAATAATAATATACATTTTCAGAAAATTGTAATGAAATTAAAAGGGGGAGTGAAATGGACTGCGGGCTTAATGTTTGAGCAACACTGTAGCGATATGTGTCAAAAATGTAATGGAAAATATCAATGTAGAACATTTGATTTTAAACCTCACTATAAAGTTGTGTTAAAAGTTCCTGAACACTCGTCTTCAGAAATTACCAAGGTATATAAATATTTTGATTTTTTTAATCTGATTTTTTTAGAAATATGATGCTTTTGAAGGATTCCGAAGTCATTATATTCATGGCTCTTTATCTATTATTTGTCCTATAGATATATCTTCAGTAGCTTCTAAATCCGTTGATAGTTTTAAGAGTTATAATGCTATTCATTTAACACCGAAAGTATTCAAACATTTCTTTAATTGGTGGTCTCTTTTTAACGGAATAATGTCTTTTCCTCTTAAAATTGGAAAATTGTTTCCTCTTCCATATATATCAAAAAAGAAAATTGGCCATTGTTTAATGACATTTAAGTATAAATTAGAACTTTTACCGCTTTTTTTGAGTCATATATATAATTATAGGACAGATTTAGATTGGGTAGATAAAACATTTACTTCTATAGGCATAAAGAGTAGAATTAAACATTTTACTCTTGATATCCATCAGAAAAATGAAGAAAAAAATATATATCTCAAACAGCTGGATAAAATTAAGAAAAATAGAAATATAATTATAGATAAAGCTGCAATAAATTCAATTTCTACGGATTTAAGAGTAATTTTATCACGTTTTAATGAAATAAATACAGAAGATTTAAATGGATCTGGATTTAATTCTCAAAAAAGTTATGATTTTAAAATAGATTTTCAAAAAAATAATAAAAATCATTTTATTATAGATGATGATTTAAAATGGATAGATATAGACGATTTTATTGACTTAAATTTAGATATTCCAATAAAAGGTGGACCAGTTTTTCAAATTTTACCTCTTGCATATATTCCACAATTTAGTTATTTTCGTGAAACTAATAATTATTATAATAATTTGAATCCTAGAAATATTTACTTTTTACCAAAACATCAATCCGAAAGTCAAAACACACATTTTTGTTTAAACAAGAAAAAAGGTATCTTATTTAATTAAATATTATTTTATTAAATTTACAAGATCCATATAATATTCAATTTGAGCTTATTCAAAAACGGCAAACTGAAATCATGGAACAAGTGGATAAAAATAAAATTAAATTAAATTATATAGAGAATTTTGTTACAAAAAATTCCAAAGGTGCAATTTTAAAATCACAGGTATTTATATTTAATGAATTTATATTTAATGAATTACAACTAATTAATTAATCTAGTATGAAAAAATTGTTAAAGAGAATGCTACCTTGATTAATAAATATGATTTTATTAATAATATTTTACTACAAATAAAAACAGACCAAGATGGTAATTTAGAGACAAATGAAATGAATTTACCTATTAATAATTCTTTTATTTCATGTTGTGGTCACGAAAAATTTCAAATTATATCTGAAAAAACCATTCCTGAACAATTTGCTGATTTCGATAATCGTTTTTTTGTTCATAATATTCAATTAAAATGGTATAATTCTGTAAGGAATATTCTACTTGCCTATATACATCAAGTTACCCAAAGGAAAGGTTTTGTTTACTATATGTCCCAAAGGGCTGTAAAATTTATTACTAACCTTATTAAAGAACAAATAAAAATAGACTATAATTTATCTGTTATTGCAGATGAAGAAATTATTAATCAAGAGTTTGATGATCAAAAATTTGATGATCAAGAAATAGATCAATTGATTTATGATTTGATAAATAACGTTGATAATAATTTTACTATTAAAGATGAAAGAACTAATAAAAAATCATTAAGTTTAGACAATAATTCTGTTTTTTATGACGATTTTGATTATATTTTATCAAAAAATTATGAATGTCAACATAGCTATGTTTTTAAACTATTTGCTCCTCAAATACAACTACAAAGTGAGAAAAATACTCAAGCGATAGCAATTATGACAGCACAAAATATGCAATTAAAAGTGTTTTCCATAATGGACAAAAGTATGACTGACGATATAATAAATGGTCTTATACAACAAAAATATATTGTTAAAATGGATAATGCTCAAGTTTTTGTTTCTAAAAAAGAAAATTTTCTTGATAATTCAATTAATTTCTTTCATACAAATAGTTATGGTTCCGTTGAATCAAATTGGTCTCCATGGATACCTCTTGAATCCATTTATGATTTCACTAATACACCTATAGCATTTACACGTGTAGTAGATCAAACTTCTGCATCTTTTAAATTTATTAAGTATAATCGTCTTCGATTAAAAAAAAATAATAGCTTAAATTATAATGAAAAATATTTGTCTGAAAATTTTGTGATAGAATCACCTGAACAATATTTTAATAGCATATTTGTCGATTTTCCAAAAATTATTTTTACTGCAAACTCTGATCAATATTATATAATTTTTTTAATAGTTACAGATCTTTTAATATATACTGAGCCAACACAAAAAGAAAAATCTGAAAGATTGGAAAGATTAATGTTAGCTGCAGATTTTAGTGATTTAACTGGAACAGCTGAGATGGTTATTAATTTACAAGAAACAATAAGAAATTTAGAAGAAATGAGAATACAACATAGACTTTATTATGAAAATTATAATACAGAACATAGATTAGTTAAAGCTAAAATAGAGGCTGAATTACGTGATTGTGAAGATGAATTATTTTATTTAATGAAATCAATTGTTGCATCACAGAAACGTGAAGATAAGATTAATAAAAACGTCGCATATATGTCATGGTTTTTATCAGCATCTGAAATCGTTTGGCATAGTTTGTTAGAAAATAATAAACCATTCGTTGATTTTGGTCTTTCTAATGCTACATATCAACGCACTGACAATTTTGATGGCTCTAATTTTAATATTATAGAAATAGGGACGATTTTAGGTGTAAATTTGTTACCAAAAACAATTTTTCCAGATTTACTATCTCCTTATTTTACTGGACCAAAAAATATTTTACATGGAAGGAAAAAAAAAATGATAAGAATATATTGGCATATGCTAGATTCTATTGGTGGAATACCTGTAATGGATCACTTTGAAGTTAATCTTTTTCCTCTTAGTATAAAATTAGAACATGATACGGGAAAAAAAATATTTGAATATATTTTTCCTGATAGGAATACTATGAATTTTAATACAATGCAAGAAAAAACTCTTTCGAAAATGGATACTAATACAGATCGTTCAAGTGATGAAAATTGCTCAAAAACTCATACCTGGCATCCATTTTATAGTAATAGAAATAGTTCAGTTTCATTACTTATGAGTTCAATTAAATCACCTATAGAATCATTTTCATGTTTGTCAAAATTATCTCCTCAATCAATTAAATCTAATTCTAGTTTCCAATTATTTTATGATTCTGAAGATTTTCATAGAACAGAAGCTCTAAAGTCATTAAAAAATGATCTTCAAATAACTGATTTAAATACTTTTGAAAAAGTTGATAAAATTAATAATAAATCTTTTCCAAAAGCTGGTGAAGATTTAAATCAAATGGTTTTAAGAGCCAATAATAATATGACTCTTCTTTATGTAAAAGTTCCAAGTGTAGTACTTTGTTTAAGTTATAAAGTAATTTTACATTTATTTTTTAAAAAATACTAATAATACCAGGGGCCAAAAAAAAAAAATATAGAAGATCTTAATAATTTTGTTTTCTGTATACCTACAATTGAATATAGAAATAAAACATGGTCATATTTTGATCTAGCATTACATCTTAAAAAAGGTTTTTTTTCCTTTCTTTAATTTTTACTAATGTTTAATAGAAGTAGTTAGAGCTATTATAGGTCATACTGGGTCTTTAGTAAAAGACAAATTTATGCAGCATCGTTCTAGTCAAAAAATTTCTCAAATAGGATGTCAACATATACTATTTAAAAATATGCCTTTAAATTATAAAAATAAAAATGTTAAATTTGAAGAAACATTATCAGATACTGTAAAAAATAATAATTCACTTAAAAGAAATTATTTACATTTCGGTAATGTAAGTTCTAAAATATTCATTGATAGATATATTAATATATTATCTAAAGAAAAATTCATCTTGTTTTTTAAAGCAATCAATTCCTTCTGTAGCATATTTATCTAAATATAAAGATGAAACTGAAGAATTAGAAGAAAATAAACTTAAAAAAGCAAAAATGCTTTTGGGCAAATTTATTCGTTAATTTATAAAGTAGGGAACATACAGATGCTTTCCAAATACTTTGTTATTATTATTATTTATTACATAATATTAAAAGCATTAAATTCTATTTAAAATTCTTTTTATATTTATAACAAAAAATACCATATTCAAACATTTATTAATTTTGAATTAATTTTTATGATAAAATTGCACATAATTAAAAAATAATCATTATAATAATATAAATATTTAATTCTAGATGTAAAACTTTAAATAAATTTTAATGGTTCATACATTATTATTTTAAATTAAAAATTAATAAAACTACAACCAAAATAAATATTTTATTAGTATGAATGACGGCTTCAATTAACCTTAATTAAAGTGTCATGCTTTTAAAATTGTATTTTTTATAAAATACTTAATATTCATTTATATTATAATTTTTTAAAATGTGTTTAAAAATGAGTTTTTTAAAAAAAATTATTTTTTTTTTAAAAGAAAAATACTCATATTTGCAAGATAATTCGCTTGTTCATTTCCATGAATACCTTTATGGCCTACTACATGTTTTAATTTTGTGTATCCATTACGTTCTTTGATTAGCTTAAGAGCTTTTTTTAATAAATCTATATTTTTTACTGATTTTCCATCTATTCTTTTCCAATTATTATTCTCCCATTTTTTATACCACACAGTTAGTGCATTCACTGTATATTTTGAATCAGTATTTATTAAAATATTCTCATAATTAGATACAGATTCTATTGCACGTATAACAGCCATAATTTCTGCACGTTGATTTGTTTGTTTAAGACCAATAACACATTCTGATATATTTCTGATTTATTAATTAAAATAGTTTATACTCTCACGTTTAATACTTTCCTTTTATCTTCCATTCCAAAATAAACTCCAATTCCTACCATTGTTTTTTCAGTTCCATTATAATGAATAGAACCATCAGCATATATTTCTGTACAAGTATTTTCATTTTTTTTCAAGAATTCTTCTGATTTATTATTGGAAAGGTTTATTCCAATATCAGAATTATAATTCTTTTTAAATTTTAAAGTTGAATTTCCTATATTTTTATTTTTTTTAATAGAAATAAAATGTTTTTTGTAATTATTCAATAAAAAACTATAACACGAATATCCTGAAAACCAAAGATTACTTAATTTATACCAATTATCTCTTCCTTTTTTATTCGTTATAAGTATTTTACTTAATTGCATTTAAAAATTACTAAATTCAAAATTATGTTTAAATTTTACACTTTTTCATTTAAAACAAAAATCAATAAAAAATAAAATATTACCAAAATATGCATATTTTTTTTTTTCAAAAAATATTGTATAATATTTTTATTTGTAAAATTATTCTTAAATCTCTGTATTTTAAGAAATATAAAATATCTTGAATTTCTTAAAATTTAATTTAAATATTAAGTATTTAATGTTTTATAAATTTTAAATAAGATATTATTAATAAAGTTTATTTATTACATTTGATATTTTTTCGAAAGACAATCAAGGTAAATTTATGCTTATTTTTAAAAAAGGACCAAAGATATTTATAAAGTTTTTATTCAGTTAAAATTTTGATTTCATTATCTTCAAGAGAATGAACTCTTCTAAAAAAAGCTTTTTAAATGATTAAAACAATTAAATTTATTTTTTGAAAATAAATTTTTAATACATCTTATTATGGATGATCTTTTAGTTTATTCACTAGAACAAATAGCTTTCGAAGGAAATGAAGGTATATTTCTTTTTTATTTTCAAAAAAAAATTAATTTTAATATTCTAAAAATATTTAATTATCTTATAAATATATTTATTTCTATTATATAAAATTTAAGATTTCTTTTAAAAAACTCTAACATTTTAATACAGTATTTAATTTTGGTAGGCTGTAACCTCTCTAGACTTTGGGAAATTGTAGAGAATTTTTATTCTATTTATTATAATTCTTCTTATTCTATTGATGATGACTTTAAATGTTATTTTTGGAATTTTTTTGTTTTTCTGCCAGACTTGATACTTAATGAAGTTGATAATGAATCTACTGTTTCAAATTTGGTAAAGAGATATTATAGCTTTATAAGTTTTTTGAATTATTTAGATATTAAACCCTATCAAAACAAAGGAAGCTGATTTAGAATTAATAAAAAAGCGTTATGGTGACCGCATAAGATTAACTGTAGTACCAGAAAAGCAGTTTTCAGCTATTACAGGTAAAGAACTTGATGAGGAGAATAAGGTTATTTTTTCCAAAAAAAATTATGCTATTTTTTTAAAATTTAATAGCATATTATGAGACATTTTGATATACTTTCTATGATATTCAAACATAAAGAAAAAGGAATTAATCAAGTTGATCTTGTTAAACAGTTAAATATTGATCCTCGTAGTTTACCTTCTCGTATAAATCCGTTAATTGAAAAAGGACTTGTGTTTGTTTATTTTTTCTATTAGAATATCTTTTTAATATTTTTAGTGTAAAATCTCCCATTATTATTTCTAAAGCTCAAACATTTTTGTTGATTCATACACGGTTTGCTGTTGATCCTTTAAAAAAATATCAAAATGATTTTCAAGATTCACAAAATGCAGATGATATCGTAGATATAAATCATTTAAGAACATGTGTTACAGATATACTTTCTAAATCTGAAAATAATGTTATGCGGTTTGTCGATCTTAAGCGTTTTTGTAAAATTAATAATCAATTATTTCATCGTGGATTTTCTAAACAAATAAGATCTATGGAACAGTTGGGGTTTGTAGAAAGGTGCAGAGTTGTAAATAATAAAGGATACTCTAAATGCGTAAAATTAATCAAGCCTTATAATACTGATTTTGTAAAACGGGAAAATCAAACGGATATATTTAATCAAGAGGATGATAATAGTTCAGACAAAGATGATATTTGTGATAAAAAAGAAAATGAAAGTTTTCCAGAATTAATAAAATTTACGCCTGTTACAATTTCACGTGATTTAACATTAGAATTTATTCTTTTTCAAGAAATAAAGAATAGTGGTAAGGAAGGGATTCTTGGACCTGTAATTACTTTTCTTATTATGAGCCATCTAATTTAGTAAATAGAATCTTAAGAAACAGATCATAGGTGATCAATGGTCAAAGCCACTTCAATTGATTTTGGACAAATTGTCGGTAGTTCCAGAAAAATCATTAAATCAGAATAGTGTACAGCCAGAGCATCTATCTTATTTTTCAATTTATAAAGAACAAGAATTTGTTGGTCGAGTAAATCAATATCGTTATTTATCATCTTTGAATTATCAGACTTTTTGTTTTGAAAACAAGATAGTCAATACAATAAAGCTCTCTGATTCAGTTGTAATATTTCCTAAATATAATGAATCTAAATTTTATTCGTATGATCAAAATCCTAACATTCCTGATAAAAATATTAAAACTAAATCTATAAAAATAGGGCGACCTAAAAAACAATCTAATGGTTAGTTGTGTTTTTAAAATTTATTAAAAGCATTTATTTTAATACAATTATAGTTAAGAGCTGTGAAGAAAAAAGTCAATTTTTTCAAAATTCTACTAAAGATAATGTATCCTGTGATACCGGAGAATTTGATTCTATAAAAAAAGAAACGGAAAAACCAGTTGATTTTAATTCTATGGATTTAGAATTAAATCATAAAAGAACAAGTTTTGAAGAAATCTGCGAAGAAATGTCACCTTGTAAAAAATTAAAAAAAGCCTCTAAACTTTCAACTAGGACTATTTTTACAAGGTCTTTTGCTAATCTAAATATTTCTACTCCATTAAATAACTTTGACACTTCATGTTTTAGGCCGGAAATAGATAATCAATTATCGGACTTTCCAGTTCCTAAAATGCCAGAAAAGCTTTCTTTTCAAAAATATACAAGTAAAATAGTTATTTTTCTTGGGTTTTTAATTATTTAATATAGATGAAAATTCCTCTAAAGAAAATTCGAATAATAAAATTTTTGAAAAAAAAGATTCTACTTCTAAAGGTGATATTTTTCATATTATTGATAATATATTATTAATCTATAAAAGATATAAATCCGTTCTTAGATTTATTTAATAATTCTGTTCCAGAAAAAAAATCTAATATCAATGAAGGAAAAACAGAAGCATTAGCGTTAAAACATGAACCACGAACAAGTCTTGCTTATGTTCGTAGACAAAATTTAATATTAGAAATACTTGATGAAAATGGCGGGATTTTGCAAGGCGGAAAACACTTAAATGAACAGTATAATATTGCATCTAGAAATAAGGCATATTCATCTTCAGAACATGAAATTGATCGTAAAACAATGGAAAGAACTCTTGAATCTTTGAAGAGAATGGGAAAAATTCATCATATTTGTGTAGCTCATACAAGTGCTAAAGGTACTAAAAATGTATTTTGGATTGTTGCAGATGCGAAATATGATATTGATGGGGTCGAAATTAATAATTTTAAAAATAAGATTTTGGAAGAACGTTCAATGAAAATTCAGACATATAAACCTTTGCCGTTAAAAATTGAAAATGTACATGTTAATCATCCTATAAAGTTGAGAAAGAAACAAGTTTTATTAACAGATAATGAACTTCCTAAATATCCGGAATTAAATAATATTGAACGTAAACGTGTTTCAGCAAAACTTGCGCAGCGAGAACAAGAATTAATATTTCAAAATATATCTACAGTTGTTAATCAAACAGTTCCTTCTATTGTTTTTGAAGCAAAAACACCTTTTATTCATACTTTTATCAATAATGGTAAAATGGTTTTAGAGAAAAAGGCATTGGATCTAAAAACAAAACCAAAACTCAAGCTTAACAATAAGCCATTATCTCTTCGTAGGAAATTTTTGAATCGTAATACCGCTGATGCTTTTCCACTTGTTGGGAGACAATGTTTGTTAAATAAAACTGATTCATCTGATAAAATTGATGAAACAGATGGCCATGAAAAAGTTTATAGGAACATCCCAATACGTAGAAAAAACAATTTTACATCTAATGATGATGATATTTTAATTAGAGCGATTTTTCTTAGTAAGTGGGCATATGGTGGAAACGCTGGACTTATTGATTGGGAACTTATTAAAAAAGTTTTACCTCATCATTCTGAAATAGCAATTAAATCACGTTTTAGTACACTTCGTTCAAAAAATTATATTAAAGAGATTGCTAACTTTTTTGCAACTTCATGGCTGTCACATTATCAAAATGCATTAGAGAATGAAATCTTACCTCCTATTTCCTCTATATCAAATGGTTTAGATATATTAAAATTTATAGAGTATTCCAGGACTCTTGATATTTTAGAGTATGTATATGAATTATTCTTTATTAAAGCTAAATTGAAAAGAAGTTATGATAATATCGATCTTCCTAATAGTGTTGAAGAAATAAATGCGAATTATACTATTGAAATTGTAAATAGAAGAGAGGATTTACGAAATAGTTTTTTCGATACATCTCTTTCTTTAAATGCTAGAGAAATTATATTATATGGAACTGCGTTTTCTTGTTGTAGTGCTAATGAAGGCTTTCAATGTGAAAGCGAAGTTAAATCTTTAATAAAGGTATATAATAGCGTGATTTTGAAAAAAATTGCTAAATATATATTAATCTAGTCAATACTTATAACTCCGGAAGAAAATTATGATGCTAAAGTGGCCAAAAAATTATTAGAACCATACGAAGAAAATCATGTAGAATCGGTATTACAGGAATTAATCCAAGATAAAATTATTGTGCGATCAAAATCCGAATTAAATAGAATCTTGCCGGGAAGGAATTACAGATTTTCTGATAAGTAATAAATATACTCTGTTACATGATTACAATCTAAAATATTAAGATTTTTACTTACCTTTAAATCATGTTTTCCCGAATCTTTGTTTTTTCAAGCTTTTGAATTTTATACACTAATTACGCAAGAATTTCAAAAAAACAATACATTCGCATTGTCTGAATTTATTAACAGTGGATCTATGGCATGTATATTGGATCTTGCTGCTCACCATTACGTTAGTAAAGAAATAACAGTTTCTCAAAGACTGATTGTTTATTGTAGATTCAACTTTCTATAGAAAATGCAGTAGACGTTTTTTCCGATAGTATTCATCAATATAGTACTCAAAATTGGGGTTTGTTTTTCCATGATATATTATGTTATTATTAATAATGTAAAAGAGGATTATAGTATAAATTTTTCTGTTGCTGTACAACTAAAAGATATTTCATATGTATCGCTTGACAAGTCTATAAAATATGAGAACTCTTTAAAACGTTGTATTTGGGTAGACATTTCAGGAAACATGCTAAAAAACGTTTATGATCAATATCTTCAAACTATATTAACTCTAATTATACAACGGCCTGGGATAGACCTAGTGAAAACATACTTAAATGTTTAAAAGTAAATGGCTTACTCTTACTAGGATGAAATAGTATCCATTCTTTACCCTGCTGTGAGTGTCGAAGAAATAAAATTCATTCTTTCCTGTTTAACGCCAAACATTGTAAATATCTGTCATGGGGCTTTACATGCAAGGGAATTGTACTATAAAAGCATAGTATAAATAATAAATTCTTATTGAGACTATACAATTGTTAATGAAATATCTATTTTGACCCCACGATAGCCTTGCCTATCTGGGCTTAGACTCTTTTATATAAATCCTGTTATAATAATAGTGTTTGTTGATAATACTTATTTTTATTGTTTTGTTTATGTTTATAAAACACAATCTCACAATGCATGTTTCTTAAGAAAAAAATGCTATTGTTCTTTAGTACGATAACGCTAAAAAACAACGCTAAAAATAACGCTAAAATTCTGATTGCGACAATCGATACTCGAATCTAACAAACCTGCTTTTTAATATTCTAATTAACTCTCCTAAAAATACAACAATGGGCGGCTTTGTCGGCAGATCTTATTCAAAAATTGCCTGCATTATCCGCAGACTCAAATATAAGTATGCCCCCTCGTCCCTCTGTAAGGTCAATTAAATTGCAAATTATTCTACTTCAATAATTTGAAATATTTAAGCACTACTCAGTATCAACCTCTGAAAACTATGACTTCTCAAGCAGTTCAAGCAATTAATTCAAATGGGTTCTTCTTACCCACTATTGAAGACAAGATTATTGATGGCCGTCCTCTTAACGACACCGAGAGAAGAGGTGCTGAGTTTAACGTGACATACCCATGCCATTCAGAGTCTCTGCTGACCCGCTACAGTGCGTTATCACTTAAGCGTCTGAGGACGCTGCAGTCTGGGACCAACCTTGGTCTGTCTCTACTGACAACTGCCATTACATACTGACAGCTGTCACTGTATTTTTATGTATTTTTAGACATGTATATAGCTCGTTGTATATTGCTTGTGTATGTGTATATTAGATGTATATTATTCGCTGTACAGTGCTCGCCGTGCGCCTCTTGTGTCCGCCGTGGCCGCCCACCTGCACGTGGCCGCACGTGATACCGTCTCCCCGCACACCCCTCCCCGCGTCCACACCTAACCCTGACATCTGCTGACATTCGAAGATCCTAACCCTAACCATCACGACCTAACCTTACCCCCAACCCTAATCATCACTCGTGCAGCCCTCGCTTGCATGACTCAACCCGTCTGATACCCCCACCCTAACCCTAACCCTGTCCATTCCCCGTCACTGCCCTAACCCTAACTTAACCCTGATGACCCTGCTACCAACCCTGCTAATGCCAGTCCAACCCTAACCCTCCGGCCCACACCTTTGCATTGCGCCTTTCCTTTGGCTTTCCCCTTCCGGTTACTTCCGTGTTTGCACTCTCCAACCCGGCACACCCTGCACGTGATCTTCTGCACGTGTGCACGTGCACACGTGCCTTGCACCGCTAGGCGCCCCCGTCTCCCACTGACACGCTCTCCGCCCTCTCAAGCGTGTACATGAGTAGCCGCAGCCTCCTCGTGATCTCACCCACCAATGCCCCTGCCTCCCACTGCTCCAGCCGCCCCATCCATAGCTGCGCTGCGCCCCTCAGTGGGGCAATCCACCTCTTCTTCGCCCTCTCGATGCTCTCCCTTCTCTCCCTCGGCCGCATCCCCATCTGCCCCGTTACCCTCTTCTCCGATGACCACCCTGCCTATGCCTACCTTGTTCCCCCTCTGCAGAAATATATACAGGTTCAGCGCCTGCATTGCAAACTCTGTTTCCTCCATAAACGCCTCGATTTCTACCAATGCCTCTGCCGCTCCTGCCCGGAAGACCTTTTCCGCTACGAATGCCTGTGCCCACCTCATAAACTCTTCGTCCTCTCCACGCCGCTCAATCTCCCCCTTGAGCACCCGTAGAGCTACCACTCTCCTCCCCGCCCTTCCATATGCGGAACACTCTAATTCGCCTGCTTCGCTTGTTCCGCCCGCATTGCGCGCGTCTATCGCCCTCTCGATGTACTCTGTCAGCGTATCTTCTTTGTGCAGCCTCAGTGCGCCGCAGAGCACTCTGAACGACGCCTCCCGCACTGGTCGCTCGCCCCAGACGGCGATCTCTGAGAACGCCTCTATGTATGTGAGGAACTGCTCCTTCTTCACGGCACGTGCATCTGCCACCTCGCCAACCATCCGTTGCCCTAGAAACACGCACGCGTCAACGACCGACGCGTCCAGCGCGCCTCTGCGCGCACTGAGCGCCGCGCGTGCCGCCGCCGCAACTGCGCCCATGTGCGCCTCTAACGCCTCAAAAAGCCCCGCGTCCTGTTGTGCGCTCAGCAACACCACTGCGCCCACCCGCATCTTTGCCTGCGCTCCTGCCGCCTCCTCCCAGAGGCTTTCCCAGTGCGCAGGTACGCAGTGCTCCGCCACCCACGCTCTGCCGAACTCCGCGAGGCGAGGGCCGACCGCGTCGACCGCGTCCGCGAGCAGACGCGCTGTCTGCCGCGCCCACGCGTCTGCGCTGCCACGCGACGCGTCGCGACGCGCTGACCACGTGCTCCTACGCGCTCCAAAGAGCGCCTCAGCTGCTCTGCACGCGAACCCGCGGACCAACGCCCTCACGATCTCTGCGTCTCCGCCGCCCAGCTCGCCTGTGCGAGAACGCAGAAACGCCTCAAGCACCGTGTATATGCTGCTGGCGGTGTGCTCTGTCTCGGGCGTGCTCCACCTGCTCTCTGCGCCATACACGCTGTGCATCAACGCAGTGGCGGCTGCGCCGAGTGCGCCCGCATACTCTGCCACGAGACGCATGCGGTGCCCAGCGCGTGCAAGCGCAGCCTCGCTGCACTCGCTCAACACGCAGAGCCGCGCGCTCCACGCAGCCCAGCAGGTCTCTGTCTCTGTGTGTATGGTGCAGCGAAGCAGCGCCAGTGCCTCGTGCAGACGCAGCAGCACCTCCTTTGGGCGGCCGACGCGTGCACAGACGCGCAGCACGCGTGCCGCGGCGTCCGCAACACAGTGCAGATGCGTCTGCACGCGCGGGAGGATCTCCCATGCGGCGTCGGAAGCGTCGTGCAGAGAGTCTGTGTATGCGCGATCGAGTGCAGTAGCAAGCGCGTCGAGCAGGGCGCTCTGTGTAGCAGCACTTTGGAGGGCAAGCGTGTCAAACCATACAGTGAGTGCCGCAGCACTGCCCAGCACCGCCGGCAGCACGTCTGGGCCGCACTGCATGCTGTGCATACTGCTGTCGCGGGTGTGCGCAGTGTGGCGTATACGTACATGTGTACAATGTGTACAGTGTATAATGCACGCATAGCATATGCAGCGCACAGCATATATGCTGTGCATACGCGTGCGCTGTGCGTTTGCACTATGCATATCTATGCTATATTATGCATGCAGTGCGCTGTGCATTATGTATGCTGTATAATACTATACTATAGACTGTGTATACCGTGATGTTATATACATTGTGTTACATTGTGTATATGTGATGCTACGCAGAGTGTATGCTAGTATGTGTACAGTGCAGTGTATGCACAGCATGCAACGCATTAACGCATACATAGCGCATATAGCATATATGGTCAAAGTATCAGCAGAGTGTATACAATGTGGGTACACTGCGCATACACTGTGCATATACGATGCGTATACTATGTATGTGTATACAGTGTATAATATAATGTATAGACAGTATGTGCGACGTATATGCATAGCATGTGCATAGTATATGTGTGCGGCGTATGTGCAGTGCGCATACCTGCACGCACTGCGTATACAACGCGGTGTATGTGCACACTGCATACACAGCGCATGCAGCATATACAATACATATAGCATATGGTCGGCAGTGTGCATATAATGCGTCTACACTGTGTATATATAATGCGTGTATGTGTACGCTGTGCATATACTATGTATACGCTGTGTATAAGGTGCGCATACACTGACGTACGCTGCACCGCATGTATCTACACATACGCCGCACATTAGATTCTACATATACAGTATGCGTTGTATGCTATACACAGTATGTATGTATGTTGTATGTTCAGTGTATGCACAGCGCCTGTTGTGCAATGTATGCATGCAACACAGTGCACACAACGCATAGCATACAACGCACTGCATGCAATGTATAGCGCACACATTGCATAGTATGCGGTATTACTTTAGACTATACATATATGCTGCATACAAACGCATGTATAGCGCTGTATGTGCGTTGTGTCGCACAGTATACACGTTGCGTCGCATTCTATACACACTCTATGCGTAGTGTATACACAGTGTGTATTGCGTGTATGCATTGTACGCAGCTATGTATGCAGCTGTGCCTGACGCGCATACAGTGTGCATATACTCTGCATATAGTGCATACAGTGCGCATATAACATGTGTACAGTGCTATACATACGTTTCTATGCAGTGTATATGCAAAGCATATGCACAATGTATGCACGTTATGTCACACTATATGTGCAGTGCATATGACATAGTGCGGTGTATACAAAGTATATGCAGTATATATGCGTTATGTATGCGTCGTATATACGTGTATATGCACTGTATATGCACTGTACACGCGTTATATGCATACTCTGCTGATTGTATATGTATATATGCTATTTATGCTGTATGCGTATATATTATCTATGCTATCTATGCGTACGGCGTATACAGTGTGCCCGTGTACAACATAATGTATACAGCATATCAGCATAGTATGGATATACAGTGGTGCATAATATAGTATGCACTGCTAAAGTTCATTGTATGCTAGCATAATGTAGTGTGTGTCTAAAGTGTATACAGACAAGGCATAGTAGAATGTGTAGTGCAAGGCACGGAATAGTACTAGTTAGAGTGCAGTGTCTGTACAGCTGTGCTGTGGTGTGCAGTGGCAAAAGGGTGCATACAGTATTACATGCAGTGTTAGGGTGCCTCTGCGAATGCATTATGTGTACATAGGCGTGCATATAGACACGCATAAACATGCATAGAGCTAATACAGGTCGGGTTAGCGTATATGTGTGCCAAGAGTGTGCTTAAGCGGGTGTATGCATGCAGTGGGTATGCATTCATGTTGAGCGTATGTTGGGGTTAGGGTTAAGTGGAGGATATACAGAGATAGATATATAGATATATAGAGATAGATGGAGACAGATAAGTATAGATAGATAGACATAGAGTAGATGTATATAAAACAAAAAACCATGTCAAGGTTAGGCTGAGGTAAAGAGCAAAACGTAGCGACAACGGCAGGATTCGAACCTACGCACGGAAACCGTAAGAGATAATTAGACATTCTAATCTCTCCCCTTAACCACTCGGGCACGTTGCCTAATTTATCAGAGCACCACAGATATGGTATAAGTAAGGCAGAGGATAGTCTATACAATATAATGTATACATATATCGATAGCATACATAGCATAGACAGTATGTGTAGTGCATAGAGTATATACAGTGTATATACAGCATAGTGATGTATAGTGGCTATATAATAGAAGTGAGTCTGTAATAAATGGCACTAAGTGGGAATAGGTGTATGCAGTGTACCATACATATGGCTGTACCGCATAGTGTGTACGTTGTCTTGTATGCGCTGTATGTATGTGTAGACTGTATACAGCGCACACAGTGTATGTATAATGTATATATAGTATATACCAGCTGCATGCTTATTAGATGCGTCGTATACACGTAGTGTATGTAGAGTACATAGGGCATACAAGCAGTCACACACCATACAGTGTGCACATTATATGCACAGTGTATGTGCAGTGTATGCGTTGTATATACACAATATATGCTCAATATATACATAACATATAACGTGTATCTATAACATGTCTGTAGTATGTCTATAGTGTACGTATAACGTATGTATAGCATATATGTATAGCATATATGTATAGTATCTATCTACAGTTTATGTACGGTCTAACTATAGTATACATATAGTCTATGTATAATATACGTAGAATATCTCTATAGTGTATGTGTACTGTGTATTATATAGACACTATATATACATATGTATAGGCATTGCACATTGTGCACACTATGCATACTTTATGCATTCTATGCACATTATACACACTATATATTCTGCATTGTATGCACTGTATGCACTGTATGTATATTATATACATTACATTATACACTACATTATACACTGCATTATACACTAGACTGTATACTATAAACCACATGTACTATGTATACACTCTGTGCAACATATGTGCGTTGTACGGACCATGTATACAGTATATACGCGGAATATAGACTATATGCACTGTATATGCATGTGTATATAGTGTATATATGTTACATACATAGTATATGCTGTATATGCTGTATATGTTATGTATGTGCAGTCTGTATGGCCTATACATGTTTTATGTATATACCTGTGTATCCTGAACAATATATACACTATATGTAGGCTCATACACATCTTATATACCTTAGATATGCTTTACACTGCCTTATATATTTTATACATATTGCATGTACTTTATGTGGAGTGTATGTACTGTATATGTGTGTATTATACACTTTGTATGCCCTCATACTATGGTACACATTCTATTCATATCTTACGCTACTGTATACATTATATGTCGCTATATTCATTATATATACGCATTATATATACTATATGTATTATATATCTATCATATGTATTATGTATGTACTTTTATGTACAACATACATTTTATATACGGAGTATATCTGGAATATATCCGTTAAACCTATGCATAACAACTGTATATATATTATACTATATATGTTTTATGTATATTATGCACGGCATATACAGTATATATAGTATATATTATATATACTTTATGTATTGGATGTGTTGTATATATTGTTATATGTATTATATACACCGTATTTACAGTACATATAGTTTCAATATAACAGTATACGCTTAATGATAGGGTTATGATTAGGTTTAGGTATGAAAGAGTTAGGGTTAGGCGAAGCAGAGTTCAGAATTGACAGTTAAGACAGAGTTAAGAAAGTTAAGGAGGGAACTGAAACAAAGTTAAGATAGAATTTAAAATTAAGGATAAGACAGAGCTTAAAGCTGAAATAAAAGTTAAAATAAAGCTAAAGCTGAAGTAAAGTTAGGGTTAAAATAAGACTAAGACAGAGATAAAGTTAAACTAAGCTTAGTGTAAGCAAAAGTTAAATAAAAATTAAGAAAAACTTGGAAAAAGTTAAAAAAGATTAAGAAAAAGTTAAACACTGGCTAAACACAGATTAAGCAAGCATCGATTGAGTTAACCTGGTTAATTGAATTAACAGGTAGTTGTTGCCAGTTATTAACAGTTGTTAGTAATTATTAGCAGCTGGTTGTTAAGTAAAGTTAACTGTTATTTTTTGTCAAATATACGTGGAATTGGTATTAGCTTTAACTTTGTTAAACCGGAGCTGAACAGGTGTTTTTTCTTATTGACAAGTTGGATTAAATCCAAATTGGCGTTAAATTGGTACTTAAAAGGTGTTGGAGAAGTGCTAGTAGCCGTTAAACGGAGGTTAAACAAGTGTTAATTATTATCAAGTAGAGGTCAATTAGAACTAAAATCAAATTAAACAAGTGTTAAATAGGAATTAGTCCTTTTGTTAAATTAAGGTTAAACTGTTATTAAATTAAAGATAATATATTAAATTAAGGCTAAGGTGGTATTAAATTGAAGCTAAACTGAAACCAAGGCGAAATCCTGCTTATAGAAGCAATGGAGATAATGGAAAGAGAGAATGGCATACGGCGGTCGCAGCGTGTGCCACAACAACGCAAAATGTTTTCTGGACTGCGTAGGCATACCTGCAGAGGTGCATTACTGACGACATAGAGACTGGAGAAGAGCTTGACATGGCTGCAAGCACAGGAACTGAAACAGAATCCAATAGAGACTCTACAGATGAAGCAGCCGGAACAGGTGATGAATATATCGATGATACCGTACATACAGGCATAATACGTGCACGTGCAAACCATGCAAGCCGTGTAGGTCGTACAAATCGTTCTGAACATGCAGCACGTTCAGGACATGGAAAGATAGCACATAAGCAGTCTGCACCACACAGAGATCAAACAGATAAAGGTCATGGAGATACTGGAGACTCACTATTTGGTAGGTTAAAGGCCAATGGATATTTCTAAAATATCAGAAGCATTGACAGATCGTGAAACGTCTGTAGAAGTACACGTACAGGATTGGATTTCGAGATATGAAAAGAATGAAGGCACCGCCATGCTGGAACTTATTAATGGAATCTTGCGGGTAGGTATAGCATAAAGACGAGGTAGCGTGACCATGTCAGTGCAGTGGGAGTGAGCAAAAGATTGAGGCAGACCAAATAGCAGACGAGGATGGAGCAGCAGATACTCTCTGGGAGATTCAAGAGGCGTCGAAAAAAGTATGTATTTTGGAGGTGGATACAGAGGTTTTGACAAGTATGAAAAGGAAATAAAACGAGACTACCCGATTATTTCAAAGACGAGTAGATATAAGGGGTTTAAGAAAGAGATAAATGAGTTTTGGGAGTGTTTAGTTAAAGAGATGGCACAACGGGAACATCTTTTTAATCGACCAGAATTTATCGGACAATTGCAGATATGGGTAGTAGCAATGTCAAGCAGTACGTTGCGATCGTTCAGGCATACGAGCACAGTGATCAGTCTAGCAATGGTGACAGGGTTTTGTGAGGTGATTAACTGTCTTGAGAGAGAAGAAGTGGCAGCAAACAAGCAGTACGAGGGGGAAAAAAAGAAAAAATACATAAATGAGGAACGTATGACAGTAATTGAAGGAAAAATTTCGGCATTGGAGCAGAAGATAGGGTTTGTTAAGGCTGCGATGAATGATTTCTTTGATAGGTAAGAAAAAAATAAGGAAAAAAAAGGCTAATAGATGGAGTGTTTTTGTCCATCGATATCGGGATGTGGATCCCAGGATTCGGAGTGATTGTATTCATGCACTTGGACTTTGGATGGTAAAATTGCCCAGTATATTTTTCGACGGTACATATCTTCGATATATGGGATGGGTTCTTTCGGATATTGTATTTTTGTTGTTAAGCATACTTGAAATTAATAAAGCTTAGAGTCCATTAACTCGGTTGGAGGTTGTCAAGGCGTTGACAAAGTTTTATTCGAACAGCGAGTTTATCGCAGGATTACGGCATTTTACGGAAAGATTTAAACCCAGGCTGATTGAAATGGGACTTTGTGAAGCGGATCCCGGCATTCGATGCTCGTCTGTCGCTTTATTAAATGCAGTACGACTTTGTGGGTTTTTGGAAGATGATGAAATTGATTTGATATGTACTCTTCTTTTTGACGTTGATTCCAAAATAAGAAAAAAGGCGTGTCCTTTTTTCCTTTCTAAGGTGGATGAGGTGTTTGAAACTAAAGTGCAGGAAATAAACAGTTCAGTGGCAAAACAGGGAAAAAATATCCAAAATGGTATTATGGAACTTGATAAAATAATGTGGGTAAAGTATAAAACAATTGCAGAGCTTTTGGTTCGGTTAGATGAAACGGCAGATCATATTAATTCCGTTAATAAGGAAAATCTAGTCCATAAGAAGCATGGTAGTGGTGAATACCTTGACATTATTTTAGAATCGAAATTTGAAAATAGAATGCATTTGCTTTTAATGACAATATGTCCGGAAGTAGAGGAATTAAAGGTATTAATGATTGCGTTTGATTTTGGAATTTTAAATCATTCTAGAATTGGGAATTATTGTCAGAATATTTATTATATGATCATATGGTAGTTTCTTCAGAGTCCGGTTCACCTAAAGGACCTAAATATAAATTTTATCAAGTATGTGCACCAACTGGAAAAGAAGAAGTAGTACTTTTAGAAATTCTTTATGTTTGTGTTTATATGGATATTATTTCGCCGAATTATGATATAAAATCTAAAAAAAGGGTAAGTATACCTTTACTTATTGTTATTAATAGTGGTTTTAATTGATTCTGTAGTTATCATTGTATGTTGAAGAACATGAAGAAAGTATTTCGCGAGCTCTTCTTGAAATGGTTCCATCGTTGTTAAAAAAGTATAACTCTTTGACAGATGGCATAGTGTCTATTTTGCGTTTGGAGCAATTAATGAAATTAAATGTTTATCAACAGTTTCGCCAAAATAAGACATATGAAAATCTACTTAATTTAATTGGGAAACAATTTACGAAGCATCCTAATAATTCAATAATGAAAGAAGCAGCTTCATCTTTGCTTAAAGCTCAAGAATATGATGAACTCGCTTCAATTACTCAGGGAAAAATTTTAGAAATTCAAGAAGAAGTAGTTAATGAATTGAAAAATATTAGACTAAATAGAGTACACGTTATATGAAAAAGTGAAAATTTTTGTTGATTTTTCTAGAATTTAAAGACAGCTCATTTATCAAATAAAATAATCGAAAATCTTACCATTACACTTAAACGATTGGATTATATATCCTCGATCTCTGATTGCATACAAATTTTTGAGACTGAATCGTTTAGTGTTTTTTCTGTTTTATTCGAAATTATTGAAAGAGAGGTTTCGTCTAGTAATGAATTAGAAGTATATTGTTTTATCATTTTTTTATTAGATTTATGGTTATATAGATGGTTATTAGTTCTTTAAGAACATTGAAATGGTTATATATCTGGAGAGTAAAGCATTTTATAGATTGTCAAAACGATATACCTTACAAAGAGTTCAATACGATAATCGCAGATCGTGAAGAACTTTTTGATAAACTTTATTTAATTATACAAGATAGAAAACACTATAAAATTAGATACCATGTAAGTTTTTTCCAAATTTTTTTAAAATAATTAATAATAAAAAGGCTGTATTTTTATTAATAGATCTCTACATAGTTTTCTCAAATTTTAGAAAAATAAATACAACACAAATATTTGATGAAAGTATTTTTATTATACCCGAAAAGGCTCAAGATATTATAATATTAACACTTAATTGTTATATAAAGCAGTATACTAAATTTAATGAATGTAAAGATGTAAAACTTTTAATTGATGAGGAATCTGATCAAGAATTCATGGATGATAGTAAATAAAAATATATACGATGTCTTGTCTTTTAACTACATTAGATGATGAAAAAACGGCTTTGATTCTAGAAAGATATATGTGCGAGATTGCAGGAAAAGTAGTATTAGCAATTTTAAGTGGTGCAATGGACAAAAAACATATTTCATATCTTATGGAAAATAAGGGTAAATTGGGATTAAGTTATAATCATGTAATAGCTGAACTTGATTCATTAAAGAAAAGTAGAGAAATTGCTGATGATCAAAATTTATAGTCATTGTTTGCATAGATTATATTGTTAAAGTAGAATTAACCGTTAATGATACGTTGAATATGTGGCTGTGTATTTGCAAGAGTTGTTTCATGATATAAAATTTTTTTATCGAGGGTATCAATTTCATTATTTATCTCTTTAATTTGTGTTGCTAGTTTTTCCTGTATTTGATTTATATCTTCCTTTATAAAGCTTTGATTGATTATTATTTATACTATAAATAAAAAAAGTATTATACGCTTTTCCAATAGCACTATACACATTTGTACCACTTTTAAGACTTGATACTTCTTTTGATATCAATTCTGCTATTTTTTTTTCTTTTTCTTTATTTTGACGTTCTGCTCGACTAAGTGTAATTTGTTTTTGAGAAGTAATAGCTTGTGCTTCTATTTCACTAACAAACTGATTTTCAGTTATATAAGAACTATTTTATATATTTAAAAATTATTCACCTTTTTTAATACATTATCAGGAATTTTAGACATTTTTATGCTTAAATTTTTAATTACTGATAAAAAAACGTCAAAAAAATACAATTTTTAAAAAGCTTAAAAATGGAAAAACCTGTATATAAAAAGAATTATAATGAAAAAAGTGCAAGTATACGCCGTATTCTTCAAGAAATACGTGAACTTGAGGGCAGCAAAGAAGTTGTAGCAACACCATTAGAAGATAATATTTTCGAATGGTATTTTGAAAAAAAGCTTTTAAGAGTCTAATTTTGGTTTTAAGGCATTTTACAATACCGGGGGTTCCTGGAACAGAGTTTAGTGGTGGGAGATACCATGGAAAGATTTTTCTTCCGGTTGAATATCCGTTTCGTCCTCCTAGTTTTCGCTTTTGCCATGAAAATGGGCGTTTTGCTGTAAATAATTAGGTTTTAAAGAAACTATTTAAATATTCTAGGTGAATAAAGAGATATGTCTTAATATTTCTTCTTTTCATGAGGAACTTTGGCAACCAGTATGGGGAAGTAGGATTTCTGTTTTTATCTATTTTATATTTATTTTTTAGTTCATACAGCACTAATAAGCCTTTCTAATTTCATGCTTACTAAATGTAAGAAATAGTTTTTTATTATATTTAAATACGTTAATGAATGGTTAATAGCCGAAGGACATATTGGAGGTTTAGATTTTACTGAAAAAGAAAGAAAGAGAATAGCTTTGCAGTAACTTGCAATTTGTCTTGAAAAGCTTTTTCATATATTATAGGTCTCGTGATTGGGTATGTCCTGAATGTAATCGGAAAAACATTGATATACTTCCTGATATGGAGAATGAATTTGGAAGTTTTTCACGTCCTGAGATTCCAAAATTATGTTTTGCCTATAAAGATGAAGATTATAGTCGAAAGAATAAGATTATTTCCTTTTTTATAACAGCAAAAACATTTATTAGACGATTATTTTTATTTTTAAAGGAAGAGTTGTCAGGATCACTTCCTTTTATGGAAAAATATGAAATTATACCCTTTTGGATAGATATTTTTATTGCTTTTTTTACTATTGTTTTACTTTCTATTATCATTAAACGCTTTTTTTTGTGAATTTTTTTAATTTAGATTATGTCTATAATCTTTTTATAGCGTATTAATGTTGTTTTCTTAAAACTGTTTGTTGTATTTATTATATATGTTTCTATAGTTTTATTATATATATCTTGTTTTTAAAATTTCTTTAATTATTTTAGTTTAAAAATCATTCGATAAAGTTAAAAACTAAACATCAAGAAGAATGAGCAATTATGATCCAGATGCTCCCTTTGAAGGACGTCTTGGTTCTATTATGCCAAGAAGACGGAGTAATATGGTCAATAAAAATGCAAAAATGAAATTTATACCAAAACTTAGTTTTAGAAAGAAAGAGTAATAATATACTTGCTCTGTTTCTGATGAATAATCCATACTAATTATATTATAGAGAAAAGGAAATTTTAAATAATCCATTAAAAAAGGTATTTAGTATAATATTATTGTTAAAAATTTGGATTTTTTTATATTTTTAAAGGAAAAATTTCAATCAATATTTGAAAAGGAAGAGATATTATTAGATTTAAAAAAGACGAATGATGAAAAAGTTAAAGTAGAAAGTAATATACTTTTTTTTTTGTATAATTGTTTTATTAATTAACTTAGATGAATCGAAAGATTATTTAAATATACATGGACATTCATCAATGGATTCCTCTGAATTGGCTATTATACCTCAAAGGAATATTATGGAAAAAGAAATAAATTTTGATGAGGAAACTGAATTATTTGAAAGTGATGAGGATGGTGTTTCCAAAATTAATATGGAAAAATTAAATATAATTGCTAGTAATAATCTTTATAGTGGAATGTTACCAGTATCTAGTTTCTTTGTTAATTCTGGAAATAATTTTATACAAATGAAGAAAGATGATTTATATAATTCAACATTGAAAGGAAGAAATGAATTAGAAATGCAAATATCGATTCCGAAGGATGAGTCTAAGAACGTTTACAGTATCCTTCTTATATTATTTATTTTCACTAACTCATAAGTAAAAGAAATTAAGTCAGATTCTACTCATCATACTTTATTGACTTCTGAAATTCAAGAAAATACTTTTAAATCTGTAGTTCGTTCTTTAAATGATACAAATATTTGTAACAATGTTTTACCTGAAAATCAAGAGAAAAAGCAGATATTGGACGATTTTAACTTATTAAAACATCAGTTTCTTGACGAATTAACTAATGATACTAAAAATGTTAACTTTTTTTTTAATTTTTTTTTTCTAATTTATATTAGTCAAATGAATTACTCTTTTTTCAATTTCCGCCGATATTACCAATATTATTCAAATCAGATGATATGAAAATAGAAGAAACGGATGTTAAAATTGAAGAGCCAGAAATTAAAATTGAAGAAACTGAAGTTAAAATTGAGGACTTTGAAATTAAAGATATAAATATGGTTTCAAAACAAAATAATATTTATCAAACTTCTTTGAATCATAATATTAAATCTAAGAATGAATCTACGGAATTACTTTCATTGCCATGTTCTGATCAACCTAATACATTAACACAATGGTCTCTGCCTAATGGATGTATTGGGCAATTAAAAATTCATCAGTCAGGAAAAACAACAATAGTATGGGGAGGGATTGAAATGAATGTTAGCATAGGAAGTGAATGTAAGTTTCTACAAGATATTGTTGCTATAGACTATAAAATAAATCAAAAAGCATGGTTAATGGGCAAAATAAAACACAAATATATAGTAACTCCCGATATAGATCAGCTAATTAAATAAACTAGAGGATTTAGGGTTAATAGATTATCTATTTTATTTTTTTAATATTTTTTTATATAAATTTTTATATAAAATTCCCTTAAAAAATATATTTGCTTAATCAGTTTAATTATAAAAAAAGATTAAGGTAGATTATGTTGATTAAAAAAGCTTGTGATATTTTTTTGTAGAAATCTGTTTAAATAAAATTATTCTCTAAAAATATTTTAATTTTATTTCTATAATTACAGTATTTAATTATTCTTAAAATTGTAAAATATTAAAGATATAATTTTACATATTATGTTTATTAAAAATTAATAATTTTTTTACTAAAAACATTAAAATAATAAAAAATAATTTTAATTAACTTATATGAATTATAATTGATATTTTTGTATTAATATTACTTAACATTTTTGTTAAAAGTTCGTATTTTATAAATAATTTAAAATATAAAACTTTATTTTGTATTAAGAACATACTTTTTAATATATTTTATTTTTTTAAAGATATTACAAACTATATTTTTAATAATTATAATTAATTATTTAGACTATTTAGATATACTAGATTAGTCTACAGATTATTTTATAATATTAAAAATTTGTAAAATTGTATTTTATTTATGATATTATATACCTTTTTTCAATTATAATAAAATATAATTTTAAATCTATCGTTTTTTAAAAAAAAATCATTTAAAAGAACCACTTTGAGCACAATGTAATTTTATAAGCACTGTGTCAAATAGTGTTCTAAGATAAATATTCCATATTAATCGCGCTTTTATCTTAAGATAAAGGCGTTTCATGCAATGGGTACATTATTTGAGCAAACGGAAAAATTGTAAAAATAAATAAAACATAGTTGATATATAGAAAAAGTTATAGAAGATTCTATATTCAACATATGAAAATGTTAAAATATGTACATTTTGTTTTCTGAAATATTTTATTTGATTTATTTGATATTAAAGATTGATCAGTTAACGTTTTTATTTTAAAAGTATAATCTTGTTGAGTTATACCGATATCGAATGCCACTTTTTAATGTAAATTTAAAAAAATATTTTTATAAAGTAGCAATATATATTCCGCGTATTATTGTTTATAGTTTGTTATCATGGTCTCTCTGGGTTTATGTATGGATTGTTTGTATTCAAACAGTTTCAAATTTCCTTAGTTTTTTTAATATGTCTTCTACAATTTTTTAAACTTATAATAATAGGTATTATTTTAATTTTTTTCGTTACTATTGGTTTTGGTTTTTGTTGTTGGTGTTATACCGCTACTTCTTTTACGTTTCCTGGTTCTCCTCAAAATGTAATGTTATTATAATTTTATAAAAAATTTGTACTAAATTGACAGAATAATGGATATATTCATATTGCGCCATATAACTATTTTGCTTTTATTTCGGTAAAACAAAATGGATCTCCTCGTTTTTGTAATAAATGTGAAGCATTAAAGGTAGTTTTTATTATTAATTTATATTACTAACTGTTTTTATAGCCCGATCGTACACATCATTGTTCTATTTGTAATCGCTGTGTTCTTAGTAGGTTTTTATTTTATATTTTTATTATTAATATGCTATTAGAAATGGATCATCATTGTATTTAGTGTATTTTTGATATATATAGTTTTTAATATACTGTGCAGGTCCATGGTTTTCTAATTGTATAGGATTTGCTAACTATAAACAATTTTTTTTGTTTCTTATTTATATTTCAATATATTCATTTTATCTTTTTATATCATCTTTAATTATTCTTTATAAATTTGTGATAAATTTTGACGGAACTTCGAAAAAGATATCAGTTAATTGGATCCTTTTACTTGTTATTTCAGGTGTTTTTACTATTACTTTAGGAGGGTTTACAATTTGGCATTTTTTTCTAGTTTTCCGTAACCTTACTACCATTGAAGCTCTTAAGCAAACTCATTACATTACTAATCTTTTGAATTATAATCATACTTCTGAATCAAAAACAGATATTCGAAATGCCTTTGATCTTGGGTGGAAGAAAAATTGGAACCAAGTTATGGGTTCTAATAAAATATTGTGGTTTCTTCCAATTGCTAATCAGTATGATTACAACTTGTTTATTTTTTATTGATATTTTAGTCTTGGAACGGGCGAATCTTATCCAATTAATCATGATGTAGCAAGAAAATTATATGAGTACCAACAGAAAACAGATAGAGATATTTGAAATGAAATTTATATTATATTATTCTCTATTATTTTGCAATTATTATTTAAATAATTATTTTATTAAAAATATTATTTCTTATATTTCATGGTTTTAAAAGTATATACTATTTATACAATATAGATTTTGTAATTTCGTTCTTTTTTGTATTGTCATTATAATTCCTAATTTATCATATAAAATTATTGTTAATAAATACTTTATTTTTTAATTATATTTTATCTTTTATAACTATCTTCGATTAGAAATCGTAAATCTAACGTTTAGATTTTATAAGGAATTGAAGAAATGTAATCAAACAATAAACATTTTTTAAAAAAATATTCAATTTTTAGCAAATATTTTAAAATACTTGTTTCACTACAAACTTTTTGATGTCAAAATTACCAACAATTAAACGTAAAGATATTGAAGTTTTGCAAGATATTAAAAATGATCTTTCTATGAATGATGAGTTAGATTTCAAAAAACGTCGTATTTTTGGAAAAAATTTACATAATAAAGAAGACAAAGACTATAAAAAAGCATTGAAATGTTCTAAGATTCCAAAGTTTTTTGAAAAAGATTTGGAATGTATTACACATAGACTTTTAGAAAATGAGCAGGGTTAAATTTATATATCTTTATTTTTTATAATCTTTAATATTTTTTAGGAAAACATAATGAAAATCAAAAATGGGAACGACCCGTGCTACCTCCAATTGATCCAATTAATGATGATATATGTATTTTTTTTTTTTATTTACTTTTTTGTATTTATATTTATAGATTTTCAACAAATTGAAATTGATGACACTATGAGTGTCTCTGGGCCTACTATTCGTCTTTATGGTGTCACTGAGGTTAGTGTTTCTTTATTTAATTTTTATATAATTTATTTTTTTCAAAGCAAGAAAATAGTGTTTTATGCATTGTAACTGGTTTCTTTCCATATTTTTATGTTCCGTCTCCACATAGTTTTTCTGAAGAGCATATAAGTTCTTTTAAAATAGCATTAGAGGTTTGCAATATCTTAGACATCTTTTTCATTATTAATACAACTAGAATACTATTAATTCTGGAAATAGAGTTGTAAATAATATTGAATTAGTTACAAGACAGTCCATATACGGATTTCAAGGGGACGAAAAGTCATTATTTATAAAAATTATTGTTAATGATCCAAAGTATATTGCTAGAATTCGTAGCTCGTTTGAACGAGGTGATATTAATTTTGATAATATGTTTCCGCCTCAATATATAACATTTGAAAGCAATATTCCCTATGTTCTGCGTTTTATGATTGATGCATCTGTAAATTAAGTTTTTATTTTAAAATAGACATAACTTTGATTAGATAACTGGAATGTGTTGGATTAGACTTCCAAAAACTAAATATTCAATTATAAATGAAAAAACTTCTAATTGCCAATTAGAAGTATCTATTAGCTGGGAAAATCTAGATAGTCTCCAACCTGAAGGAAATTGGCAAAAAATAGCACCTTTACGTATTTTAAGTTTTGATATCGAATGTGCAGGAAGAAAAGGCATTTTTCCTGAACCAGAAATAGATCCTGTTATTCAGATAGCTAATACCGTCACATTGTATGGGGAAAAAATTCCTTTTATAAGAAATGTTTTTACTATAGATACATGTGCTCAAATTTCTGGAACTCAGATATTGAGTTATGTAGATCAAAAAGAATTATTGTTATCGTGGAGTAAGTTTGTCCAAAAGGCTGATCCAGATGTTATTATTGGATATAATATTGCAAATTTTGATATACCTTATCTTATTGATAGAGCAAAACATCTTAAAATAAATAATTTTCCATACTTTGGAAGGATTATTAGACAAAAGTGTGAAGTTAGCAATGCGTCGTTTTCTTCTAAAGCATATGGGACTAGGGAAAGTAAATCAACAGATATAAGTGGAAGACTACAACTAGATATGCTTCAAATTATGCAAAGGGATTATAGATTAAGATCATATACTCTTAATGCAGTCTCTGCACAATTCTTAAATGAGCAGAAAGAGGATGTGCATCATTCTATTATTACAGATTTACAAAATGGAACATCAGAATCAAGACGGCGACTTGCTGTTTATTGTTTGAAAGATGCACATCTTCCACAACGTTTAATGGATAAATTAATGTCTTTAGTTAATTATATAGAAATGTCCAGGGTTACTGGTGTTCCATTTAGCTATCTACTTTCTAGAGGTCAACAAATTAAAATTATTAGCCAGCTTTCCCGCAAAGCTCGTGAAGAAGGCTTTATTATTCCTAATATTAGATCAGATGGTAATTAAGTAAGAAAAAAATAATGACATTTATATTCTCTTAGGAAGTGATGAACAATACGAGGGTGCTACTGTTATTGAACCAAAAAAGGGATATTATAATGTTCCTATTGTTACTTTGGATTTCAGTTCTTTATATCCATCAATTATGCAGGCACATAATTTATGTTATACTACACTTCTTAATTATAAACAAATTGAAACTTTAGGCTTTGAAAAAGACAAAGATTATTGTGTTACTCCAGAGAATTGTAAAAAAATTTTTTGTTACTAGCATTTTTTAATGTTTCAAGATTGTTTTGTTAAATCACATATTCGTAAAGGCCTTCTTCCGCAAATTTTTGAAAATCTTTTAGCAGCTAGACAAAAAGTTAAAATAGATTTAAAGAATGAAACTGATCCATTCAAAAAAGCTGTTCTTGATGGGAGACAATTAGCTTTAAAGGTAATATTTTTTTTAAAATAGTAGTTTTAATATTTATATATATAGATATCAGCAAACTCTGTTTATGGATTTACTGGTGCAACTAATGGAAAGTTACCTTGTTTACCTATTTCATCTAGTGTAACATCTTATGGGCGTCAAATGATTGAAAGAGCAAAAGAAGTATTAATAAATTGTGTTTAAAATTTTTAATATAAAAATTTAGGAAATAGAATTAAAATATACTATAGAAAATGGATATAGTCATAAAGCTTATGTTATATATGGTGATACTGATTCTGTTATGATAAATTTTGGTGTAAAAGATATTTCAGAATCTATGAAGCTTGGATATGAAGCAGCAGACTATGTAACGAATAAGCTTATTAAACCTATTAAATTAGAATTTGAGAAAGTTTATTTTCCTTATTTACTTATTTCTAAAAAAAGATATGCTGGATTATTTTGGACAAAGCCTGAAACATTTGATAAAATTGATTCAAAAGGAATAGAGGTATGTTTATTTTTTATTATATTTATTTTTTAATTATTAGACTATACGAAGAGATAATTGTCGTTTAGTTTCCACTGTAATAGAAACAATTCTTCGAAAATTATTAATAGATCAAGATGTTGATGGAGCTCAAAAGTTAGTATACTATATTCTTATACATTTTATTAAGAAAGTAGCTACGTAAAAAGAGTTATTTCTGACTTACTTCAAAATAAAATTGATATGTCGAATTTGGTTATAACAAAAACTTTAACAAAATCAGGTATTTGAATACTTTTTTTTTGATTGATTTATATTATTTAGATTACATAAGTAAACAAGCTCACGTGGAATTGGCTGAAAGAATAAGAAAACGTGATTCTGGTCTGGCACCAACACTTGGAGATCGTGTAGCGTATATAATTGTCAAAGGAGCTAAAGGTATTTTTATTTTATTAGTTTATAAAAGGATTTAGTTTTTACAGGTGATCAAACTTTTTTACGCTCAGAAGACCCTATTTATGTTTTGGAAAATAATATTCCTATTGATACTAAGTACTATCTCGATAACCAATTATCAAAACCGCTTTTAAGAATCTTTGAACCTATTTTGGGTGAAAAAGCAAATTCTCTTCGTATGTTTCAGTTTCTGTTTTTTTTTTTTTTGAAAAATAATTTTGTTTTAATCACATTTAGTTTCTGGAGATCATACTAGAACAATTTCTATGACATCGCCTGCAATTGGTGGGCTAATGAAATTTACGGTTAAAACTGCAACATGTATAGGATGCAAAATTCCACTAAAGAATGGTTATTTTATGAAATTATGACTATCTATGCTGATTATTAAAAGGTTATAATGGAGCAGTGTGTAATCATTGTATAGGAAGAACAGCTGAATTATACCAAAAACAGGTTAACATAATAATTGTTTTAGATATAATTATAATATTTTTAGCTTAATATAGTTAGCGATTTGGAAATTCATTTTGCTAAACTTTGGACACAGTGTCAACGATGCCAAAGTAGTTTACATCAAGATGTACTTTGTACATCAAAAGATTGTCCTATATTTTATATGCGTAAAAAAGGTATATATTTTGCTATATTTCGAAATGTTATTTAAAATTAAAATAGTTCAAAAAGATATGAAAGAAAATATAGAAACTTTAGAGAGATTTAATGAATCTTGGTAAAATAAAAAAACACAAAACATTTTTAAAATACCATAATATTTAAAAAAATTTTGTAGATTGGTAAATTTTTATTGTTATGAAATTATTTAGTATAACAGTAAACACTGCATAATCTAAAATATAATTTATTATCTAGAATAGTTATTCAATGGATATTTTAAAGCTATTGCAGTGTGCTTCAGTTACTAAAAAATAATATATCATTCTTTGAATAATAAAAATAGAAAGGTTAAGTCTTGAATTTTAAAAAATAAAGTATTCTTAAGAATCTGTGAATTTTAAAAACCCGAACTAAAATATGATTTATAATAATCCTGATTCTTGAAGTAATCGTGTTAACTAATTAAATTTAATAAATATAGTGTTGTTATGAAATATTAACCTTCTCATCATCTCTTTCTCGTGGTTCAATTCCTAAACTAAGATCATACATGTCCCCTAAAGTATCCATTCCTTTAAGGCAATGAAAAATATATGTTTGTATTTCTGGAACAATTTGAAATGAATATGATACTGATTGATATTGTTGAATTTCCCTAATAACTTCTGCTGTTTTTATTCGTTTTGAAAAATTTATTAAATCTTTAGAATTTTTAATCATATCTGGATTGCCATCTTCAATAAATGTTAAATCAGTTAAATAAACACCTAATCAGTCTCAATAAATACGTTTTAAATCTATATGTTTACCTAAAAACGGAACACATGGTGGGTTAATTACATGTAATAATTCTCTATATTCAGAAAAATTTTTTGCTGAATCCATAATTTTGTTTAACGAATCAAAAATATTTATAGTTTTTTTATTAATTAGTTCCCATGTTCTCTTAAGACGATGTATTGGTGCTGAGTTTATTCCAGAGATAATTGATGTAAGTGTAGAAAAATTATTTAAACTTCGACATCTCTAAAAATTGATTAAAATACTAAAAATAAAAGGAATTTTTTAACATCGGCAATATTAATAAAATGTTTTATAATATCAACTCTTTTCTTCACTTCTGATTGACTTAAAATACTATGTGTAACCCATCCTGTAATCTAATGAAATTATTAAAATGAAAAATATTCCCAAAGCATACTTGATTTGATTTTAAAATCATTGATTTGATATTTTCAGCAATATCATTAGCAAAATTTTTACTCCATGCTTTATTTAAGCATTCTATTGGTTTAATTTTATTGTAAATTTTACTTTCTATTATTGTAAGTTGTCTTGCAATTTCTAGAGGATCTAGATCTAATAATTTAAATTTCTTTAAATTTTTTGGTAACAATGGAGGAGGCGTATTAAGGCCAATATTTAATATTAGTCTACGAAAATGGTTTTCATCCTCGTTCTTTATTCTCTTATCTATAATACGTATAAGGTTTTCTACAGGAATTGACTCTGATAGTATATTAACAGTGAATTCTTTGATCCGATTAAGTAATTTTTTTGAATTTTCATCTATAGACTCCATAAAATGATTTTCTAGCCAAATTTTTAAAATATTAAATACTCTAAGTCGAATAGGCTTTTGTTTTTTTTCCACCCATATTTCTAATTCATGAGATTTTAAATTTCCTGGAGGAGCTACCATAAATCTTTTTACCAAAAGATCAAAAAAATCTTCTGCTGATATCAAAGTTCTATAAGTTAGTAAAAACGTATTGTTAAATAGTGAGTCGAATAAATCATGTCTTGTTAAGTGTTCAATTAGTCCCATTAATGTCCCTGCTTTTAAATATCCTTGGTCATCATAAACAATTCTTCCTTCATGGTTATGTTCTAAAAACCATGGTGTTGTTTCATTTTGTATTTGAAATACTGAAGATGCCTTTCGATGAGGGCTTTTTCCAAAAGGTGATTCATCTCCAAAAATTTTCTTTAACTTTGTTTTAGTTCTAGGTGTAGCAGGAGATGTTTTTAAAAGAGTTTTATAATCATTAGATTCCACAGATATATTACTTGATATTGAGGATTTCTGAGATGAATTAAGATGAGCTGAGTGAGCTAAATCTTCAGAACGCCTTTTAGTTCGTATTTCCTTTTCACCTACAAGAAATTCAATTGTCATCATTAAACTCTGTAAAGAACAGTTGAGATTTCTTGAAGAATTAACTATAGACATAATAGGATCATTGTTATACATGTTTATAAATTTTGGAAAACTTTGAACTATAAGCACGAGGGTATTTATTGAGTCATATAGAGCTTGTTTAGCATTTAAAAAATCAAATAATGTTGGAGAATATGTATCTCCATAAATTTCTCCTAACGGTGTAACGTCTACTAATTCAATCATTTCCATAAATATACTAAGTGATTTTAAAATTGCTTGTGTTTCATGAATAATGAAAAATTCAGAAACTATAATTGATGACTTTTTCTCACTTTCTGTAAAATTAGGCTTTAGTAATTTTCTTTGAAACTTGTTAAGTAAGTATTTGATTTCGTTCAAAAATGCATCTAATTTCGAAAGAAGTTCTTGCGATAATGGTTTTAGAAGTAAATTATCAGAAGATTGACATTTTGATTCCAATAACATATTATTATGAACTGTAGGTTTAGTATACATAATCAAGCCATTTCCTTTCCATCCACCACCAACTTGACGATCTTTAATGAATCCTGGTCTGATTTTACAAGGTGTTTTATATATAGAATCCCTTGATATAATAAACTCAATATATTCTTCAACTATAGTAATTACGTCTTCTGCATCATTAAGAACACTGGAGGTTATATTTTCTGGTAACCATTCGCTTGATGCAAGTTTTGTTGAAAGGATAAGTCTACTTAGTGTTGCCAAAATTTTTCGATAATACCATTTAATAGTTTTAAAATCATTTTCTGATATAGATATTATAGTTGGAAAAGGATTATCAATCATTGAAACAATTCTTAGCATATTCGATGCATGTACAAGATAAATTACTGTAATTTTAATTGAGTCACATAATTTTTGAAATAAAACTTTCATGTTTAGTAGAATAAACTTATGTAAATCATTAATTGATTGGCGCATATTTTGAAATATTTTTCTATAAGAAGGTATCAATTCTTCAGGTAAAAGCTTCAACGCTTTACAGCTTAAATATGTAGTTTCGAGATCTTTAAAATTAGTTGGGGTTTGTGGGCGATAATAAATTGGCATTAAAACACTCGATCCATCATCCGAATCAGACATTTTAGAGCTATTTTCGTTACTTATAGAATTTTCTGACAATGACTGAATATCTAATTGATTTTCATAACTTGAAATAATAAAATTTTCAAGAGGAGATATAGTTTCTACTGAAGGCGATTGTGATAAAAAAGCAAAGGATTTAAGTTGTTCTTTTGAGCTTTTTTTATTATTTTGTACTTTTTCTGAGTCTTTGTATTCCATAAAATTTTTTTTTTGATTATTGAAATCTTTAATTAAATCACCTTTAACATATGGATTTTTCGGAGATTTAGATAGATGTGGAATGATTTTCAAGTCTTTATATTTTTTATTTTTAATAGGTAATAGTGATATTTTTTCTTTTGGTATTTTTAAATTGTCATTAGAATAATCATTATATGTCAAAAAAGGAGAAAAATTTGTTTCCGGTATTTCTATTTCAGTATTAAGATAAGATGTTTGCTTATCTAAAGCAATATCTGGTACCCATGTAGGATCGTTTAAAGTATTATTAATATTTTTTGATTTTTGATAAAAACATTCAACAGAATCTTTTGGAATTAAACTTTGTTCCAGACCAATTTGTATACTGTAAGTGTCATCATCCTCATTGTCATCATTACTAGATTTTTGGTTTGAAACTATATCTTGATTAAATTCATTTATTTCATTTTCTTCTAGGTGTTCAACATAGTTACTTGGGAACCAACCTCTTTGATCTCCCAATATACCATCCCACCAGCCATTTTCTAGTTTATTAAGTACTTCTATTACGTCACCAGCAGAAAACTTTAAAGACGATAATTCAGGTGAATTGAAATCATATAAAGCACGAACAAGAGATAGTTGTTTTCTATGCTTAGAATCCTGAGACAACCATTTGGATTTATCCTCTATATAACAAGAATCTTCAACTTTATTTGTTTCTGATATTGGATCTGTTGTTATGGGAGAGTTAGGCCGTTTGGGAATGAAATCGGAAACTATTTCTATAATTTGTTTTGAATTAGATGATACTTTTTTATTTGCGCAAAAATCGGTATCTGAGGCATCTGAATCGAACATATGTTCTTAAATCTTTAATATTTTTGAATAAAAGAAGCTTGTAATGAGACGTTATTATAATTTTGCTAAATATATTTTATAATTTAGAATTTATTTGGCACCAATTCGAATTTTTATACTTACGCAATATAATATATAAGGCTCTGGAAATAGTATATATAAATTTTAACTTTTGTTGGACAATTCAGATAAAATTAGATCGTGTAATTTTCTGGATATGTTGAAATTGAAAATACTATGCTGAAATTAATCTTGAAAAGAAATATATGTTTTAGAATAAAAAAATTATTATGCTCTATTCAAAATAATTCCTCGTTATCATCTTCTGAAACTATTTTTGCAAAAGTTTTTTTAAAAAATGTTTTTTTTTAGGAAAACATGAGTTTCGTTGATAAAAATAATTCTTTTTATTTTTAGAAAAAACTATGTTAAATTTTTAATAATATTTTATAATAAAAAATATTTTTTAATTCTGAAATTTATTTATAAACAATTCTATACCTATGAATGTTTGTGATTTTTATAATTGAGAATATTAGAATTAAATTAGATTTATTAAATTTTTATTAATTATTGTTTCTGGAAAAATAATTCAAATAAATATTTGGTTTTTAGTTTTTGCTAAAATATATTGCTAAAAATTGATAAGAATTAATATAATATTAATTTATTTATATTTAATTTGAAATTTAAAATAAATGTTTAAAACATTAAAAATTATAATATTTGTAAAATTACGCAAAATATTTTAGTTTTTTAGATTTTTAATTATATTATTTCCAAAAATTATTTCTAAAAATAGATTTGATTGAATAAAGTACAAAAAGTTTATTCTGATTTAGATTTTATTTAATTCTATGATGATTTTAAACAATAATATTAATTATATTACTAATATTATCATAATTTACAAATAACATATTTTTATATATATTTATAGTATTCAATTAAATAATAGTTATATTTATTTAATTTTAAGTATTCAGTTAATATATATCTATAATGATAAGTTAACGAAAATAATAGTTTAATATTTTGAAAAGGAAATTAATAAAATTAATTTAAATAACTTTGGAAATAATGTTTTTTTAATTTTTTAAAGACGTTTTTGCAAAGAAGTTTTAAAAAAATAGTTTAAAAACATTTTAAAATTGTTTTAGATAAATTATAATTAAAAAAATGTAAACTTATTATATGAAAATAAATTTTAATTTTTAAAATTTTGACATATTAGAATGATAAATTTAAATTAACTTTTCAACTAATTTCAAATATACTTTTTATAATATTTAGATAATTAATTATTTAAATATTTTAATATTTAAATATTTTAATTAAAATTATAAATAATATGCAGATAAAAAAAATTAATTAAAAATTATTCACTTATTTAATATTTTAAAAATAATATATACTTTACAATTTCTCGTTTCCGACAAGATTTTTTAAACCTAATGAAAATATATATTAATATTTTTTAAATTTAAAAATAAAATTAACTTTATTGATTGATTCATGAAATTTTTCAAATCTTTAATTACGGTCTATTCTATTTCAAGAGCAATTGCGTCTAATCTAAAAAATAATCAATATATAAAAAATATAACTACTCGAAATTTACCACAAATTTCTATTAATACAAATATTACAGATGATCCTATTGGTTTTGAATTATCTAGAATTATTTTCAATGGAAAGCGAACAAATGTAACTGTTGGAATTAAAAATTTGAAAAACGAAACACTTCTTCTCGAATCTTTTTCTATTGATGTTTATGATGTTAATTTTTCATTGCCGATAATTAAGGTATAAAAACCTCTAAATTCAATATTCTATTTACTGTTATTTTAGCTAGGAGATATAAGGAAACGTGTTACTATAGCAGGAACTAATACTACAAAAGTTTCATTCTATTTTTCAACTGAATTAGCAGAGCGTGACTATGGTCTTACTATTCTTGCAAAAATTAGAAATGCTGTATGCTCTTTGGATTGTTATAAGTTTATTGCTTATTTTTTTAGGCTGATTTTTTTACATATGTTGCTTATAATTCAACGATTATAGTGAAAGAACCAGAGCATTCTTTTTTCAATCTTCAAACAATATTTCTTTATGTTCTTCTTATCAGCATTATGCTGGGCCCTTATTTAATTTTTCGAAAATGGTTATCTAATAATTTTCAGAAAAAAAGGAAGAACCGTAAAAAAATTAATGAGAAAAAAGAGTTAGAAAAAACGTCTAATTTGCATTATGATGAAAACTGGATTCCAGAACATCATCTAAAAAATAGGGCAGGAATATCGAGAAAAGCATAGTTTTATCCTAAACTTAGATCTATTTTTGCAAATATAAATAATACGAGTTGCATTTATTTTTTCCAAATATGTATAATTACACTTTAAATTACTAAAAATACTAACAGAAACTATGGTTTTTACATGTTTTACATATCTAATATCATAATAATTTTATTCCAAATGCTCTCCATCGTCTTTGTCCCTTATCAGTTTTAGTCTTCCGTACAATATATTCCATAATGCAGAGTTCAAACCAAGGTGTTTGTATACGATTATGTTGTTCAGAAGAAAATGCTTCTTCCAAATTTCCATATATTATAGAAAGTCTTTGCTTTAATAAATTAAAAGTCTTCTTATCTTTTCTTAAGCTTTTATTATTAATAATAAGTCAATATTAAATATTTTTAATTTACTTAGTAGGCATAATGGAATCATCATTCAAAAGTATTTGTGCATCATCTCCAAAAAATATAACAGGTATACACGCACAATCTTGGCCTTCAAGTAAAAAGGCAAATTGCCATATGAATGCTTCATCAGGAGGATAACTAGTATAACAACAACATTTTGCAATATATCTAAATTAAGTTAAAAATAATAATTTATAACTTTGCATACGTTTCCTGACAAGATTTACAAAAGGGACGGGCAAAGTCTTTTAAATCTACTGGAAGAAAATCAATAACACGTGCTCTTATACGAAATTTTTGTGGGACAAATAATGGTTTAGGACTTAAAAAAGATAATATGTCACCTATTAAGGTAATTGGTATATGCTGATAAGCACATGTAACTATATTTCATTAACATAATTATAAATGTTTTAGAAACATACTATTTAAATTCATGTTAACAGATGATGTAAGTATTGCATTTTTTTTTTCATGTTCATAACCTTTTGAATTTTTCTCCTGAATTTCTTTATTTATTAAAAAATTACTTTTATATAAAGATTTGCGAATTATAAGCTCTTTAACATAGATTTCATCTCTTGAAATTTTTGTTATAAAAACCTTATCCGGATAGTGTTTATCACCATGAACAACACCCTCTAGTATACCATCACGGTTTAATCGTCCAAGTAAATTAGATATTTGAACAATTTCACCTTCATGAAGCTTATTTCTTGCAAACGCTGCTGTGCTATCCCATAAAGAACATTGAAGTGTCATTTTTCCGTATGGACCATTCCATTTTGAAACTTTTCCCCATTGGTAATGATGTAGTAGAGAGTTAGACGTATAATCAGTTAAATAAATCGTATACCCATTTGAATTAATAGGAAAAGTTTTTATAATCTATAATTTTTTTAATAAAAAAAAAAATTATAAAATAGACTACCTCACCAATAATTTCATAAAAAGAGTTTGGAACTATATCACAAATAAGAGTAAGCTTTTTCTTAGAAATAATATCAGGAGCTGATCCATCTTTGTTTTTCCACCAAATACATAAATCTCTTACAAATAATTCCTCTTCATGTAATAAAGAAACATTACTATTGGATTTACTTTGTATATTGCCCTTTTTATTAAAAAGTATCCATTCCGTATCAATCCTACTAACACCTTGTACATTAAGATTGTATGGATTTACTCTAAGGTTTCGTAGTAAAATAACTGCTGTATTATCATTAAATAATGGAAGAGAATTCTCTAAAGGTTTAAAAAAGTTGATTAGTAGTCCTGATCCTGGGGCAGTACAAGATTTATCAAATATAATACAACTGTTTGTAAAATCTTAAAAAAAATAAAATTCTAAACAATTAAAAAATAAATTATACCAGTGCCTCTAGATTTCCTAGCATCTTTAAATGATGCAATTATTCCAATTATATTAACTATTGATCCAGCCTTAAGATTACTAATATGCTGATATTCGTTATACTATTTAAAATATTTAATAAATTCAAAAAAAAATATAAAAAACCTGAGTACGAAAACCATAAGTATCATTAGATGATAGAGGTTGATAGTTAAACATTCACATTAAAAAATAATTTAATAATTTTATATCTTTATAACTATATTTTTTTATAAATTTTGTATAATTTAAGATAAAAAAAATTATATGCTTTTAATTTATTATAATTTAACATAAATTTATAAAAACATAATTTTTATTGATAAAAAAATATTCAATTTTTAGATAAATTATAATTAAAATTCAATAACATTCTTTTATAGAAATGCTATTTTATTAACTTAAATGTTTCGTAAAAATATTAACATTACAATAAAAAATCAACATATATTGTATTTTAATGCATCCGTTATTTTAATTTTATAATAATATTACAAATAGAAACTTCATTGAAACATTGTATTTCAAAGTATAATTCTCATTATACTTGTATATTTTGTATGATGGAACAAATAAATCAATTTAAAAATCACATTTTTATATTTACATATCAACTTGAAAATAAACATAATCTATACAAAATCTATTTAAGATCATAGTAAATTCAAATAATGTATTTTCTTTAATAACTATATTTAAGCTTTTTAATATAATTTGAATAGTACAATTACCTGAAAATTAATGACTTAAATTTTTATACCTTGCAAAGTTAAAGACTAATAAGCGTTTGTGGTTTAGTGGTAAAATCCATCGTTGCCATCGATGGGCCCCGGGTTCGATTCCCGGCAGACGCATTTTATGATTCTTAAAATTTAATTGAAATACCGAAGTTAAATTAAGGTGCAGTTTTTCAGCGTTTACTTCAAACTTGAAAAGTTTTTTTTTTCTGTTTTCATTTACTTAATTTACGTAAACGTGTTTTTCATTATTTATATAAATAAACATAAAAATCTATTTGTTTTTAATATCTTTTTTCTAAAATTTAATTAAGTTACTCTTAAATAACACGACTTGTGTTTTTACCCTTCTATATATGCATGAATTGTTTTTTCGTCGAGAAACTTTAATTTATCAATTTTTATCTTGAATCGTGCACCAAACCAAATAATTTTACTCTAATATTCACGAAAAAAACTTATAAAAAAAAGAAATTAGAAACAAAACTTAAGTGGGCATTAAACAGGAAAAGAGGCACAAAAATTTAATATAAAAGTAGTATGTCAGACCTTGATACAAATAAATTTGTGCCAGAACATCGCCGGAGCAATTTTAAGTCCAAAAATATATTTGGGGCAGATGAATTAAGAAGAAGACGTGAAGAACAGCAAATGGAAATAAGAAGACAGAAGCGAGAAGAATCATTGGCGAAAAAGCGGAATTTAAATATTATACAAGGACCTGAAGCTACTGAAAGTGATGACGAAGATTCTGCTCTTCATCTTGAGGATCAGGTGTGTATTTTTTGCTTTTTATTTTAAATCCAAAATGCTTTTAACTTTTATGATTCATTTTACCTCTTATATTATCTTTTTTATCTTAAAATCATTAAATGAAAATTTCAATTAAACTGTTTATTTATTGAAATTAAGATTTTATCTTTGGTTTTTTAAAATAAGAAAAAGACAGGTATTAGAATTACATACAAGAGCATTTTCAGCCTTGCTTTAATTATATATATATTAGATATATTTTATTTACCCCTTTTAGTTCATATTCTAACATTTATAGCTTAATAATGAATTGCCTCAAATGATTGCTGGTGTTTTTTCAGATAACATTGAAGAACAAATACCAGCAACAACTAAATTTAGAAAGCTTTTATCCAAGGAAAGAAATCCTCCTATTGAAAAAGTTATAGAATGTGGCGTTGTTAAACGTTTTGTGGAATTTTTAAGAAGCCCACATACTTTGGTTCAGGTGAACATTTTTATCTTATTATATTAATGTATACTAAATCAATGGTGTAGTTTGAAGCTGCATGGGCTCTTACTAATATTGCTAGCGGTAGTTCTAGTCAAACTCAAGTTGTTATTGAAGCAGGCGCTGTTCCTATTTTTGTAGAACTTTTATCAAGTCCAGAAGCTGATGTCAGAGAACAGGTTTAATTATTGTTTTTTTCTATTTTTTATTTATGGAAATTAGGCTGTTTGGGCGTTGGGTAATATTGCAGGTGATTCACCTGAATGTAGGGATTTTGTGCTCCGTGAAGGTGCTTTAAGACCTTTGCTTACTCTTTTAACTGAATCCCGGAAACTTTCAATGCTCCGTAATGCTACATGGACGCTTTCTAATTTTTGTCGAGGAAAAAATCCACAACCTGACTGGAATACTATTTCTTTAGCACTTCCCGTTCTAGCGAAATTGATATTTTCCCTTGACGATGAAATTTTGATTGATTCTAGTTGGGCTATAAGTTATTTAAGTGACGGATCCAATGACAAAATTCAGGCAATCATTGATGTTGGAATTCCTAGACGTTTAGTAGAATTGCTTATGTAAATATTATTTATTTTAGAGTGTTAAAATTAACTTTTTCAAGGCATCCTTCGACTTCTGTTCAAACTCCTGCTTTAAGATCAGTAGGAAATATCGTTACAGGGGATGATATTCAGACTCAAGTTATAATTAATTGTGGTGCACTTCAAGCGTTATTATCTTTACTTTCATCACCAAAAGATGGAATTAAAAAAGAAGCATGTTGGACAATATCAAACATAACAGCTGGCAATTGTACTCAAATTCAAGCAGTAATTGATGCTAATATTATCCCACCTCTCATTAATTTATTGGCTAATGCTGATTTTAAAACTAAAAAAGAGGCATGTTGGGCTTTAAGTAATGCAACTTCTGGCGGATTATCTAAACCTGATCAAATAAGATATTTAGTTTCTCAAGGATGCATAAAACCTTTGTGTGACTTATTAACATGTTTGGATAATAAAATTATTCAAGTTGCTTTAGATGGTCTTGAGAATATTTTAAAAATTGGCGAACTAGATAAAGAAAATAATGGAGGATTAAATCGTTTTGCATTATATATTGAAGAAGCTGGAGGAATGGAAAAAATTCACAATCTTCAACAGAGCTCTAATCAAGAAATTTATTTGAAATCATATAACATAATTGAAAAATATTTCAATGATGACGATGATGAGGTCAAAATTTTATTATAATAAAAATTTTTTTAATTTTGTTTAGATTGATACTGGATTAGCTCCTCAAGTAGAAGGTCATACGTTCAGCTTTGGAAACATCAATAGTACTCCAGGATTTTCCACTGCACAACAATTCAATTTTTCTAATATAAATACTAATGGTGACACAACAATGAATTAGATATTTTTATTTGTATTATTTTGGTGTCACTGACATCAATATTTTATTCTGATGACTTCAAAGTATATAGCTTAGTTTTGACTATAGTACACTCATATTCATATTATAGGCCAAGGAAGTTGTAGTTTCTATGTTTATATATTTTCCTTTATACCTTTTATATATTTTTGGACTACTATTTTAGCATAAACATATAACACTTTTATACCACTACTTTTTTAGTTATAAGTACTACATTTTCAATTAAGTTCTTAAATTTTTATTATTAAAAATATATATATTTAAAATAACAATTTATTAAAATAATTATCCAAGAAAACAAAAAAATGAAAAAATGCAGTATACCAATCCATTTAAACTATCCATGTAGAAATTACAAATTCAAAAAATAAGAACCCGAATTTTAAATTAAATTTATAAGTATAAAAATTGCGACTATTGTTATTTTGAAAAACGCAAAATAAATATTAATCATGTATGCTCAGCCATCCAATTCTCTACAAATTTACTAGCCTTTTTGAACTTTTTATCAGCATATTTTTCATAAATTGCATTATGATGCTCCTTTGGAGATTCCAAACATTGCAATATAATATTGACAAGAGGTAACAGTTGACGTTCAGTATAAGATGAGTAATAAACATGTGCATCAGTCTAATTTTATTATTAATAATATTTATAATATAAAAGCTTACCCAACTTCCTTTTTCTAACATACAACGTGAAAGATAATGAGCTGCTGCAACAATAAAACTTGGTAAAATCCCTATAAACCGAGAATCCATAACAGTTAATTCTAAAAGATATTTTGTAAGAGTACGTGTGTCTAAATCATATTCATCTGCTTTTGATACACGCCGCAAAAAACTCATTGGGCCAGGCCATCCAAGATCAAAATTGAGCATGTTAATCATATATCTTTCAGCTTTCAAAATTTCTTCTGAAGAATACCCATGATCTACCATATATACTATTTCATGAACTGATGGACATATAATTTCTTCATATTTACTAGCCAAAAAAAGTGCAGTAGCACCAACGAGTTGCAATTTAGGAAGAGATATAACTTTTACAGAAAGAAAACGATCAATTAAATTAATTGTAAGGTAAAGTGTTTCAGGAAGAAGGTGAAATCGTGAATGTACTTGAATAAGCCAATCAATTAATACAGAACGCATTGACCATTGCATATCAGGCTGATGATCAATATATGTTGGACTTGGTTTGTACTTAATCTAAAGAATTTAGTAATAAAAATAAGCTTAAAAAATCAACTAACTTCAAGTTCACGCATATAAGCAAATATTTCATCTGAATATTCATGTGCCATAGTAATATCCCATTCATCTACTTTTTCAATAAATTCTTTTCTAATCCTTTTCAGTTCCATAATATCAAATTTAGTATATTTTAAAAGATGATTACAAACATCGTCTGTCCTATGTCGAATACTTTCATCTTTTAAAATATCTGAAGAAACAAAATTATACGATATCTTCTTATCTTCAGAATCATCATTTAATTCATTTCGAAACCGATGATATAAACAATGATTAGCTAAATCTTTTTTATTTATATTATCATGTTCTAAAGAGTTTTCTTTTACATGTAAATGACGCAAGGCTTCTGAAAAACCAGCTGCTTCAAAATTCCCTAATCTATGATTGCATAATTTTGATTGAATAAAAGAAGGTTTAATATGATTGTTACTAACATCAGAAAGCACCGTTCTTTTAGTTCCTATTTTAGATGTATTACCAGATGTTTGAAAATTTTCATTATGTTCTGAAAGATCTAAATGACACTTATATTGTTTTTGAGCAATTAGATCAATATTTTCATCTTGTTTTATACGATGCGAAAGAGATTTTTGAACCTATAAGTAGTTTAATCTTTAAAAATAAAAACTCCAAAAAATTTAAAACGATTTTTTTAGTTGCAATACAAACAAATAAATTGATAAAAAGGATGTTTTCAAAAAAATATCTATTGGTTTTAAAAGCCATTATTTGATTTTGTTGAATTTTTTGGAGGATATTTAAAACATACCTCATAAGAGCCCATATCAAAACCAAATACTCTAGAACACTTTTCAAGTACAGACACAGAATAAAAAGTGCTGTAATCTTTTATAAATGCTTCCCTTATATTTTTAAAAACTCAATATTTTTTTAATCTCTTCTAATTTAATGCATTGTTGATAGTTTTGATCTAAATGTTGTCTAGACAACGTTTAAAACGCGTAAAATTAAAATTTAAAAAAAAAAACTAAAAATATTATAAATATATCTTTTTTTTCTACCTAAAATTATAGACCTATTATCTTCCTATTTATAAAGCATTTTTAGTAGTAATCAATATTAATATATATATATTGCTTTTATGCATAAATTGTTTTCATATAATAATCCTGTCATTAAATTTTTAGTATTTAATTAGATTTAAGATTTAAAATAAAATAATCACAAAATACTTGAAATTCGAATATGGAAATCAAATAGTTCGTAATTATACTTCTATTATTAAGATCTATAAAGCATTACTATTTTTTAGCAATTATATAAATAGCAGAAATATTTTTCAAATTTGTAAACAAAAAACTTTCATAAAAAATATAACGAAACTATAAAAGAATAAGAGATAAAACACGTGAAATTATCATGTATATAAACAAAATAATTAATTAATTGACTAATTTATAAATAAAACATTTTAATAAAAATTTTAAAAGGTAAATTATTTTGAGATTTTATGTTATTACATTTTATACAGAAAAATGTAATATATATATATATATATAACCATAGATTTAGTAAAATCATTAAAGAAATAAAAGAACTAAATATAATCTCTATTTACTATTTATCTATTATCTATTATATATTAATTATTTGCTGTCAAACCAAATCGGAACAGCTCCTGAATTTTTTACATCGGAAACACCCTTTTACAAAAATAACATTATTCTCTTATTCTATCGCTTAATGAATGAAGCTCCCAATATTCTCTATATTTCTGAGTATTACTTGTGTTCTTTCAAGGGCTGATGGTATTTTTGATTGTTTCTAGTTTTTTTGCTTTTTTTTAACTTTTTTTAGAATCCAAAAATAATCATATTTCAAATGGAAAGTTTTTGGATGATGACGAAGCTTTTGCACATTTTTCACGAGGGGATTCTCCAGACTTTAATAAGAAGATTAAAAAAGACCTTTTAGAAATGAAGTCTAAATTTGATGAAATCATTTCTACTTTACAAAACCAACAACAAAATAATTTAGATGATTCTTTAAAACCACTAGCTGAGTATCTAAGTGGTCGAAGTTTGGAAGATGATCTTGTTTCATCTATGCTAAGTTACTTTAAAGGACATGATACTATACAAGAATGCAAAATTTTTCAAAAAATATATTCATCTGCTCTTAATAATTTTGATAAGAATAATAAAGATGATGCTATGGATAAACTGCATTCACTTCTTTCAAACGATGATTTGTGTGAAAAGTTATTAAAGCATTTACAAAGTATATGTCTTAGCATTAAAAATGAACATGATTCAATCAAAGATTATACCCAGGAAACTTGTAGTCTTCATCTTGCAAAATGTCATGATTTGAAAGATTCATGCGGTGAAACTTTGAAAGAATCATGTAAAAAGTTAGAAGAAGAATGTAGAAAAATACAACATACTACTGAGGACAAAACTCACGTTCATCCAAAAGATTTATTTGTTAAAGTTCATACTGTACTAACTACGCATACTATAGTAGCAATGGAGACTATAATTGCTCCAGATATTTATGTAGAGACGTTAATAGTAACAAAAACATGTTGTTTGGGTAGACCAGCTCCAACGCATACAGAACCGGAACCTGAGCCTGAACCTGAACCTGAACCTGAAGATCCAGAGGAAGGGGAACCAGATGAACAACCGGGTGAAGAGGAGCCAGATGAAGAACCAGGAAAAGAGGAATCAGATAAAAAGCCAGAAGAGGAACCAGAGGAAGAGCCAGAGGAAGAGCCAGAGGAAAAGCCAGAGGAAGAGGTGCCAGAGGAAGAAGAGCCAGGGAAAGAGGAACCAGGGGAAGAAGAAAAGCCAGAAGAGGAGCCAGAGGAAGAAAAGCCAGAAGATCAGGAGCCTGAACCTGAGCCGGAGCCTGTGCCAGAAGAACCGGATCAAGAAGAATCTGGTGATTCAGATGATAAAGATTGTACAATTACAAAGACAACAACAGTAACGCCTGAAGGTACAGAGAAACCTGGAATAGATGATAAAGGTTATGGTGTTCGAGTACAAGGGTTTGAAAGGGCAGGAATAATTTGTTTAATTATAGGAATAACTTCTGGAGTATGGATATTTGTTTAGGATGTAGAGATATACTTCATCTAAAGATAGTTATATAAATTCATGTAAGAATAAAAGCCTGTTCATTTGTATTTTTTATAATATAATGATATACCTACAAAAAAATATTAAAGTATTCAAAAATCCTTAAAAAAAATATGTTGGAAATATAGTATTTAAAAGGGAATTTTAGCTTTTAGTTATTAAATTATTGTTTAACAATTATAATTTACTAGAATTTTAATTTTTTGCATTTATTTTTCTAAGCCCAAAAATACTAATTAAATATAGTGAATATATGAATTTATTTAATTATTTTTAGAATACGTTTTTGTTTCTACAAAAATCAATTACTTTTATACATATATTTTTCTTAAAAAGGGTTTTAAATTTAAGAAATATTGTTTAAAAACAAGTTATATAATATTTTAAAATTTATATAAAAATTACAAAAACAAAAAATGAATATGTTTAAAATAAATTTAAATCAAAAAATAATAAAAACAAAAATTTAATTTAATTTTTAAGTATTATAAAAAAGATATAACGAAGATTAAAAAATAATTAAAAGATTAAAAAAAGGAAAATTTAGAAAAAAAGAATGCAACAATTATGTTTTATATATATAAATATAATAAAAAACATTAAAAAATGAAATTTTTAAATTTAGATATAATGAACAAAAAATTAGTAAAGATTATTATCATTACAATTATATAATATTATTAAAAGTTGAACAAGAATTTTAAAAATATTTACAGATAAATATATACATTGTATAATAATAAAAAATAATGTATTTATCTAGATTTTTTCAAAATATTTATATGAAATAATTATAAAAAAATATTAGATAAATACGTATTTTTAAAAAATAACAATAGAATATTGTTAACTTTAATCAAAAATAAAATATAGCTTTATCTAAAAAATATTTTACTTTTATGGATTAAATTATAATAATGATACTTAAAATAAGTATAAAGAATAAAAGTATTAAATAAAATATAAATATAAGGTTCATTTTAATTGAATAAAAAAAAATATCTTACTAAAAGAAAAAAAGCTAAATTAGAAATAATTAAAAAGCTATTAATAAAGAATATAATTAGTATAAAAGCATTAATACAGTAATATAACTTAAATAAACGTAAAGATAATTTTAAAATTTTTATAGATTCTAATATTTAGTGTACTAGTTGAAATATTTATAAAGCTAAAAAAGTTAAATAAAAGATAAAGGAAATATAGATTTGGCTTAAAGAACAAAGTAAAAATCTAAATTTAACTCCTTTTAAAATTCTTTGAAATATTGTTAGAGATAAATGAAAATAATATCATATTTCCAAGGTTGTTTGAGTAATTCCAAAAGATCAATGAAAAATTTTAAGTAACCTGAAATCAAAATGCATTTGTTTTAAAGAATTATTTTAGACAATAAATGCTAAATTTATTAATACATTTATGACAGTAAAATTAATATATTTAAAACAATTTCTTAAAAAAGTATATTATATATTTTAAAATAACTTAACGAGGAATTATATGATTTAATAATAATATATGTAGAATGAGCGTAAATGAAATATTAATCTTATTTAAAAAAATATTAAAAAAATAATGTTAATAAATTTGTGAGTGTAACCAAAAAATATGCATTGGATACTTAGAAATAATATCAAAAAACACAATCAAAAATTCAAGATTTTAAATATAAAATTATTTTTTTTTAATAATTATAAAGAATTAAAAAATATAAAACATTAAAATATGATTTAAAATAAATTGAATAATATTTAATATTAAAAAAATAGATTGATAACTTAAGAAATGTAAAAGTTACAAAAACATTTATTGAAAAATAAGAAATTTAATTAAACACATATAAAAAATACGAAAATATAACTTTGAAAAAAAATAACCTTTTTTTATATTGTATAGAAAATTAATTATTAAATAATTATTAAAAATATTAATTTTAAATACAATTTAATAAAAAAATATAGATTATAAAAATTGTAATTATAAAAATTGCAGAAAAAAAACGGAAATAAAAAATATAAAAATATAAATATAAAAAAACATTATGGTATTTTATACGAATCATTTTTAAAAATTTATACAAAATAAATTAATACAAAAAAAACACCGAAAAGTTTTTAAAGAATTAAAAAAATTTTAATTTAAATACGAAATATAAAATTATTACTATAAATACAATTTTACTAATAGAAATAAATGCAAATTATTTTATTGTAAATATTTCTTAAAGGAAAAAATAAAAACTAGCAATAACATAATGTAATTTTAGTTTCAATAAATTTAGATAACTATATGGAAAGAACAAATTCATAGATAAACATCAATCCAGAGAGACTTATATGTTTACGATAAGATAGCCATTGAAAAAAATTAAAAATTTTCAATATAACGATAAAAACATTAAAAAACATACTTTTATAAAAATAAAATCTTAAATTTTATATGTTTTACGTAAATTTAAAGAAAACTTTCTCGTGTATGAAAACTTCTGTAAATGGATTGAAAAGATATAATGTGAATTAAAATAATTATTATTTTACATATAGCAAAAACATCAATATAAAGTATAATAATAAAAGAATAATTACGAAAAATTTTAAAAAGTAATAAAAAAATGTTAATAAGAAAGACTGTATTTAGCCCTTAAAAAAATACATAAACGATACATATATAAACACATAAATATATCTACTCATGCATCAACAGTAATATTAGCTATTTGCTAGCGTTTATAAGAAAATATAAATCTAAAAATTTATTAACAAAGAGAAAAATAAACCCTAAATCTGAAAATAAACAAAAAAATAAAGCCTAAAAAAGATATGTATACTTAAAAACTAAATAACATAAAAAATAATAAACGAAAAACTGTAGAATTGAAAAAAGAGTAAGAGTAAGAAAAAGAACAATTTTTATTTTATACGTATTCTATAATTTTTTTTATTTTTTTACAATTTATTTATTTTAAATATATTTTTGTTTTATATTTCTCCAGATTTTATTTATACTATCCTTTCCTTAAATATTTGAGGAATGCATTAAAGAAAATAATAATATACCACTATGTATTTTAAAATATTTTTATTAGAATTATTTAAAGATAATTAAAAAGAATAATAGTTAACAAAAAATCTAAAAAATATTTTATAAAACAAAAAATATGCTTGGATATAGAAATGCTATTATCTATTTGATTTTAAGAATACATAGCTTTTAAAAGCTGTTTTTAAAAGCAAAATATTTATTTTTTCTAAAAATAATTTTCAAATATTTTTAAAAAATAAAAAATATTTATATTTTTTATAAAAATGTTTTAAAATAAAATTGAATAAACATTTAATGATTATGTTTAGTATAAAAATGACTTTTTGCCATATATATATATATATATAAACTTTATATAAACAATTATTAGAAAATTAGAAGAAATTATATTTTTATAAATGGCTAAAGATAAAACTTATTTTTTTTTATTTTAAATGCTTAATATTATTATTAATACAAAATTTTAAATAATTTTTGATTTCAATTTTTGAAAGATCTAAAAATGAAAAATATAAAAATACAGTAAAAAATAATAAATATAAATCTATATTTAAATAAAATAAAACTAAAATTATATATATATGATATGACAGTTAAACATAAAAATTAAAAAATCAGGGTTTAGAAGAATTTTACTAACTTTAAAAGTATTAACATATTAACAAAATCATTAATAATAAATGATGAATCTGCTGAAAACAAGCAATAATGTATAATGATTATAAAAAGGTATATTAAAATTATAAAAGTTTTTTAAATATACATAGAAAAACTCTAAAAAGTCAAAATAACTGGCAATTAAAGTAAATTATTTTTCTAAAACCAAATAAATGAAAGTTATTTAAAAAAAAATATATAAAGAATTCTTTGGAATAACTAAAAAGATTATATAATTGTTGAAATAAAAATTAATAATTCATTCTAAAATATTATCAATTAAGTGTATTTTTTGCTTAAGAAATGTTATTTTTAAAACTCATACTACACCAATGGTTTTAGATATAAGAAATTCAGCACTAGGTTTAAAAAAAAAAACTATATATACATTATAAAGATTATTTTTTACTGAATAGAATCATTTTTAAGAATTACATAGAAGTTTCATAGCTCTTCAAAAAATACATTAAAATATGTTTTATTTAAGAAAAAGTTAAAAATACAGCTAAAATATTGAAATTATAAATTCAAATTGTTTTTACCCAACAATATTAATAACTTAAAAATTATATAATAAAAATGTAAATATCTTAAAAATTAAAAAATTACTAGTGTTGACAGAGTAATGAAAGAAAAAGAATATCTAATGATTAAAAGATTTAATTATATTAAGACTTAGTTCTTAAAAATATTTCTATAATAACTCATTAAAAAAAATTAAAAAGTTATAAAACAAATTGTCAAAAAAGTAAATAGTAAAAATAATAAAATTGGAGTAAGATTAATTTTATTAAAAAAAATTATACATAGTTCAGAAAAAGTATTGAAACTCTAATGTATTACATCAAAAACTTAACAAATTAATAAATGGGTCATTAAAAAGTAGTAAATATAATTTTTTTTACAATTCGATTTAATTAAATTCAAATAGCAAAAGCTGATTAACAAATACTAAAAATTAAAGAACAGATACAATCAATCATTTATTTTATTTATTTATCAAAAAAATGTACATTATATACTAAGGAATAATATTTAAACAGATAGCATTTATATTAAGCTTAGACGATCTATGTTACCCTAAAAAACTTAGAATTAAAAACGAAATATAAAAAACATAAAATTCTTGTAACTTAAATTTTCAATTCTAATAAATTCAAAAGGAATTTTTCTAGCTTTAGGGTAGGCATATTTTCATAAAATATAAAAATATTTTAAAAACTCAAACTCATTTTTAAGAATACTATAAAATACTACAAATTATTTAAAAAGTGTTGTATTCTTTTTTAAAATTATATTACTACATATTTATAGAGAATTTAAGTATTTTTACAAAGAGTAATAAAAACATATATCTTAATAAACTTAAAAAATCTAATTTATTCTTCAAAATAAGATTCTCAAATATTGAATTAATTTAAAAACTAAAAAAAAGCTCAAATAATTAAATAACCGAAGATTCAGGAACAATTGTATAAATTTCAATATTATATTTATTGTACATAAATAATTATTAAAACTGACATATCTTAAAATCAAGTTTTATAAACTTTTTAATAAATTATAAAACAATTTAAGTCACTATAAGTCACTATCAACTAAATTTATGGAATTATCAGAGACTAAAAGAATAAATTTCTCGAAAAGTTAAAAACTTAAAAAGAATAACAAATATAAAAATATATCAATATAATTTTGATTTTTAAAATAGTAAACAGAAAAAGATTATGATTAATATTAAATACTAATTTAAATACTAATTTAAATACTAATAATAATATTATCATTGTTTATTTTAACTACGATAATTACAAAACTACATATATTAACAATAATGATTGTAAAATTTTATATTTTATCAATGAAAATAGATAAACTCAATGCTAATAATAACTATATTGAATAAGAAGTATATAAGAATTTCATAAACTTATGCCCAAGTATAATTAATAAACACTATAATTAATAGTTATTTTAGTATTAAAATAAAGAAAATTAGATAAATCGAAAGCAAATTAAAAGAATAAAAAATAATTTCAATATCTTAGATGAAAAGTATTATCTAAATTATTATAGTCTTTGAATATAAACAAATAGCGAGTATATATATTTCCCTATTTAACAAAGACAATAAATCTAATAAAAAAATTTAAAAAATAGAATTAAGAAGAAAAATATAAAAGATAAGTCTGATTTTAAAAAAATTGAAAAATCTAATGAAAAATAAAAAATATATTTAAAAAGTATAAAAAAATCTTACCATATTTTGTATATACTTCTTATATATCTCCTACGCATCTCATAAAAGCAAAAATTCTAAGAAAACAAATATATAACAAAACATTTATATTTCTATGAAAAGTATTATATTTAGATACATGAATTTAAATATTAAAAAACTAAGATTTCATGAAAAAAGTTTAATAAGATTAAAAATTAAAATTAAATTTAAAACTATAAAAAATACAAAAACTAAATACATTTAAAATAAATTGAATTAGAAAAGGGTTATAAAAATATGACTTAGAACAAAAAATGTATAGAGCTACAAAAATATCTAAATAGTGTCAAAAATAATAAAAAATATTTTAAAAAAACTAAAAAAGAAAACAGGGAGATAAAAGAGTTTTAGAAAAATATAATTAAAAATTATGAATATTAAAAAAGTTTAAGAAAAGTCACTTGAACGAGTACTAAAACGTCTCAAAATTTATAAAAATAAAACAATATTATCTGCTTTAAGATATTCGGTAAGCGTTTATAAAACAATCAAAATTATACATTGTTTTAAAAGACAATAATTGAGTTATATTATATTTATATTTAGAAAATTTAAATAAAATAATAAAAACACAATGAGTATAATCTATACTAAACATATTAGTGTTGTATAATAATATAAAAATGTGGATTGTGTAAGTATAGCTATATAATATATATTTCAATTCAGACATTTGACTTCGAGTTCAATATCTTATTAAAACCTGATCAAGTCTTAAATAAATTTTAATTTTACTACTAGTTTTACTTCAGATTTTTTCGAATTCTTTAATTAAATACAGGATTAAAATGTATAAAAAAGTAGAACTATTAATATTTAGATTAATATAAATATTTACCAAAGAATATGAGCTATAAAATATATTATCAAAAAAGATGGCAATTTAGAATTAAATAATTTTTTTCAAAAGATATCATTCTGTATAGAAATTCAAATTAATTTACAAATAAAAGAAAGCGGATTTATTAAAAATAATAAAATGAATGATAGCATTTAAAAATAATTACTGCTTACTTATTTTTTATTTATTATTTTTTTTGAAGGCCATTGCGCATTTTTATATCAAAAATTCATTTTATTTATTAAGTTTTTTTTTTTTTTTCTTTTAGTTTGATTTAATCTATAAGAAACCTCATATTTTGCATTTTCAGTATAATATATATTCTTTCAAAAAAAATAAATATTAAAAATATTTTTTTCTTTTAATTATTTTAATTTTTATTTTTAGAGTTAGACAATAAAAAAAATTCAGATTATTAAAAGAATAAAGTATAAAAAAATTTGATTAACATTGAACACATAATATTGATAAAAATTACATTATAGTAAGACAGAAATTTATCATACGTATGGTAATTTAAATAACTTGAATTCTACATTAACTCATTTATAATAAAAAAAGCAAAATTGATTGTTAACTTCTAGAAAAAAATAAAGTAAAATAAATATCCAAAATTTAACATTAGTGTCTACGCATATAAAAGGAATACATTGGAAACTACATTACTTAGTAAAAACTATCTTTTAACTTTAATTCAAAAAAATGTTGAAAATGAAGAAAAATGCAAAGAACCCAAAACATATTACAAAAATTTAAAAAAGATAAATCCAAGTTTGAATAATATGAATCCAAAATTAAAAGAAATATGTAATAACAGCATTCAAGATGAAAAATGCAAAGGGTTAGAAAAGAAACTTGAAACAGAATCCAAAAAACTAAAAACAGTTCTTAATAGCAATTTAAAGCAACGATTAACATATGATAAATGTAATAAGTACCATCTACAATGCCTTTTTTAGAAGAAGCATATCTACAAATAATTGATATTTTATTTAGCAATTTAAGAAATAAATGCTATTAAGAGAAATGAGATGATTTAGCAAAAAAAGTTCTTTTAAAAGTACTCAAGAATGACTTCAAAAATAATAACAAATCTAAAGAAAAACTTAAAAAATTATGTTCAATTTTAACTGAAAAGAATGATGAATTGATGTATTTGTAACTCAATCAAAAGGAAACCCCTAAACTACTCATAGAAATAGCTAAAAATATCTATGAAAATCTTAAAACGGTAAATAAAGCACTATTAAAAAATCTCAACAGTATAACGTGTTATTTATTATAGTCAATGTTATTTTTACCAAAGTTGTACTGAAGATGTAAAAAAGAATGTAAAGATCAAAAAATTGAACACAAACTTCCAAATTCTTTTTTTAATCCAATTAAACTGAAGACTATATTGCAAGAAATCATTGGTGTGGATAAATTTTATGAACTAACAGAATATAATGGTATTCTTATTGGAAGACCAAAAAATTGTTTTATTTATTCTCATTGTTGATTTTAGACGAAAACTTGAAAGATGCGGATAAGGATTATAAGTGTAAGATGCATTAACTTTAAAATGTGGCTTTTTAGTTAAAATGAAAAAAAAAAACTTAAGAAGTATCTATACAGATAAAAATTATAAAAAAAAACATATTTTTGATAAAAATCTTTCTAGTAGTAACGATCTGGAGCCATCAAAGTTATTTACTTAAAGACAATTGTCAATTTCACCTCCAAAGAAGAAATTTCTATATGTTATCAGAGTGCTATTATTTGGCTAAACATTGTCCAATAAATCTTAATACAGCATGTAAAAATGTGAAAAATACGTCTACAAAAGAGGGCTTGATGCAAAAACAAACAATTTGTTAGAGAAAGAAATGCGTGGTATGCTTCATAATTTGATTCAAAATAATGGTAATAATCTTAAAAAATGTCAAAAAGTATTATTGCAAACATGTAAAAAATATAAGAATAAAAATGAAGGACTTTTTATTCTTTACATGAATCCAAAAGAAACTTGTTTAATGCTTAAGAATGATATAAAAGTAAAGGTAAATGATTTGCATTAAGTTTTAAATAAAATAAGGGATACACCGAGTAAACGTGATTGTACTAAATTTTAAGTATTATGCAAAAAACTAAGAAATGATTCGAATTCAATACATAAACCATGTTCTACATTAGAAGAACGTTGTACTTTTCTAGAAAATGTAGAACAACTAAAACATTATTTTTTGGAAAAAAGAAAAAGATTTTTTCTCAAGCAAGGAACAATGTATAAAGAGTTTAAAAGAAGAATGTCTTAAATTATTTAGAAAGGAAAAGAATCCATTTAACTATTCATGTGTTTTTCTTGAGAAATCATGTGATATATTGGTTTCTAATATGATAGATCATTATACTTCACTTAAAGAAAATATGGAAACTTGGAATGTAATTGATAAAGTAAATAATGATACAAAGAAAGAGAATATTTGTCTATTATGGATGCCATATTGTGATAAGCTTACACCAAATTGTCAGAATTTAATAAAAAATAATAATAATAAAAATGGGGTTTGTTTACAATTAAAAGATAAATGCAAGTTATTCTTTGAAAAAAGAAGAATGGAAGAGGCAATAACATATCAGTTGAGGGGTAGTTTGTCTACACGTGACGAATGTAAGAAGGCTCTTGATGAATATTGTCAACGTTCAAAAAATACAAATAATGCTACAACTGCAGGTTTATGCAAAAATATCACCACTAATGCGAATAGTCATCAGATTAAAGAAGATTTTTGCGCAAGAATTATTGCTCGTGTACTTGAGCAGTGCTCGGAATTATTAAAGGAAATTACAAAAGCAGATAACTTAGAAAAAAAACGTGAGAAATTTGAAAAAATCAAAAAAGATGCAGAAAAAGCAACGAAAAATGCTAAAGTTATTTTATCAAAAATTAAATCAGTAAACAATGAATTAATGGAAAAAATTATACTTAAATTATCTAATAAAAAAACAAACACAGTAATGAAATCTAAGTAATATAAAATAATTTATAAGAACTGTAAAAAAATTTAATTTAAAAATTTAATGATTAAAATATTTAAATTTCCAAAACAAAATAGATCAAAAATATACTAATTTTAGAAATAAAGCAATAAAGAATATTAAACTTTTAACTAAAAATTATAGAAATAAAAGAAAATTAATTTTTAAAAAAGTGTATTTAATATATTATAAAAAATTAAAAAAAAGCTAAAAAATTTAAGTAAAAATTTTAAAATTAAAAATTAACACTTCAAAATATTAAATTTCAAAAGAAATAATTATCATTGTTTAAAAAATATGTTTATTATTTAAATTATACTAGAATGAAAAAAGTAAAAATTTAAAAAGAAATATAAAATATATCATTTATATAATTCTAAAATTATATATTAATCCAATAAAACTAAATGCAAAAGTTAGATAAAAATTGAATAAATGCATAAAATAAATTTAAATAAAACATAATTTGTTAAAATTTTTAAATCATACTTATGAAAAAAACTGTCTAAAAAGAGAAATTAAATGAAAATAGATTTAAAAAATGAAATCAAAACAGAAAATCAGAATAATCCTATTTTTATCTGTAAAAATATAATAAAAAATAAGAGGATACAGCAAAAAAGTATTATTAATAAAATTAGAATATCTAACTATAATAGAAAACAAAACTTATTTGTCTATTTGTTATATATGCATTAACTATCATTATTTTGATATTTTATTATTTCAGAATAACCTCGTATTTTTTATTTAAATATAAAATATTTTTTATAGTTCTTTATTTATTCTTGTTATAATATATATAAATGAATAAATGAAAGCATTTATATTAGCTTATTTTCTTGATATAAAATACAATTTCTCAAAAAACATTAGTATTTTATGTTTTACTTTTTAATTTTTTTAGAGTACATTCATAAAGGATTTACTTTATTAAATCCGATGAATTTAATAATGAATTAAGTATAAAATCGTTGAATAGTACAAAAACTTTCAAAATTAATATATTTTTTGTATACTAAAGAAAATATTTTAGCTATAATTCTAAAAGAAAATATAAAAATAAAAACAGAAAATGTAAAACGAGACTGAAAATATTGCGAAAATTTATAAGAAATTGAACCAGATCTTAATAAAATACATTCAAAGATAAAAAAATACGCAAAAATAACACAAATAGAAGAAAAATGTAAAGATCAGAAAAAAAAGTTAAACAAAACCATGTTAGTTTTAAATCAAAGCTAAAAGTGTTATACAACCCATCTAATGAAAATTGCAAAAAAAGAGCAATAATGTCTATTTCTGGAAGGAACATGTTCTATTCTTTTAATAGAGTGCAATATACTAAAAAACGAATGTTATCAAAAAAAGCGTGATAAGACAGCAAAGAAATTCTTTTTGAGAGCACTTGAAGATACTCTTGAAAATACATGTATAGAAAACTTCAAAAAATATGTATAAAGTCAAATCAAGAAAGTAACGAACTAATGTATAAATGTTTTTATCCAATCTATACATGCACAATATTGGAAAAAAGAACAAAGAAGATATGCAACTCCCTGAAAACTGGAATAAAAATTGCATTCTAAAAAATACTACTGAAACAAGCGCTTCATTACTTAAGCGATACCATTTTTACTGGAAGAACTGTGAAACTCAAGAAAAACTTAATTACAATGAATTAAAAACTAAATGTGAAAAAAAGGAATCATTTATAGACCTCCGGTTTCGAATTTTAACCCTATGAACTTGGAAATTACATTGATGGAGAAAATAGATTTGAAAAGCTTTATAAAAAACTAATAACAAATGGTATTTATATTAAGAAGCCTTCCATAAGAGATATAATTATTCTTTTAATATCATTTATTTATAAATTACTCTAATAGCAATATCAAAGATAGATACGATTATGTTCTAAAATAGAAATATAAGGATTTTAATAACCATCTAAATTTAAAGGACCAGTGTAATGGAAATAATGCAAATAATAAAAGAAATGAAATTTGTAAAAAATTAGAAGATAAATTAGTTGATAAACTAAAGGAAATTTTATTAAACAATAATAATTGTATAATGATGCTTAATAAACATTGTGTACAATTAATTCATGAAATCAATGAATTTGGGAATCTATACATCAATATTATTAATGGTAAGAATAATATTAAAATCAAAAAAGAATTTTTCAGAAAACTATTTAACCGAGCCCAAGAAAAATGCTTAGAATTGAAAAACGAACTCACAAAAACCATCAAGGAACTAAAGAAAAAAGAAAGAGTATGAGATATTAAAAAAAAAGCGATGAAAGCAATAAATGAAATATATCTTATTCTATTAAGAACAAAAATATCAAGAAATAAATCACTAAATGAAATCGCACCTGGTACACTTAACAAAGCAAAAAAAGTATTACAATTTAAACTTATAAAAAAAACTCTAGAAATAAATATGATAGAAAAAGAACTAGCAATATTTAAATTAATAGCAAAAACATTTAATCTTTAGAGTTAAAGAAAATATGCTAACATCTAATAAAAGAATGTGAGTTTGAAAAAGAATGTAAATTTAAGGATCTATACAGAAAGATAAAAAGAGTATGCTCAAAACTGGTGTCACTAAAACCAGAAAAAGTAATAACAATAATTCAGAACATAACGATTATAACGACAAAAACAGAAAAAGTAGAAAAAATAGAAAAATAGTAATAAAGAAAGAAGAATATGCATTAATTTGCACAATGAATACATGGATTACGCATACATTAACAAATATAACTATATCCATACAAACATCTATAATCACATCAACAGTAATATTTACATCAACATGACAATGCAATCTTGTAAAATGCACAATGAGAGATGAAGATGCAGGATAGATATGGCCAAGCGAAGAATTGAAAAAAAATAGATGGACTATGATCAAAAGAATATTGATAATCATCATTATTTCAACTATAGTTTAAAATAAGCAAAGCTTAATAAATGCTATATATATGAAATAACTAGTTTCTAAAAAAGGTCGTACATATTTAAAATAAATAAATAGAATTATAAAAGCTAAACAGAGTAATGACATTATTTATATTAATATACAGTGCACTTTTACACAATAAATATATATTTTTTATTTAATTAACTCATATTCGTCGTCTGGGATATCTTTTATATCTTTTTATTGATCAATTTATTATCAACTCACTTTTATGTTTACTTCATATTAACTCAAAGAAAAAAAATAATAATACATTTTTAATAAAAATCGGAATAATGAGGTATCCTAAAACTTGAATGTTAAATAATTATTATTACAAATTTTACTTCTAATTTTGCTTATACTAAAACTTATTTTAATTTTAAAAAACATTAAAAAATATTTATCAAGATCTACAATTATAGTTACTTTTAAAAAAATGATTAAGAAGTATATTTAAAAACTTGTAAAGTAAAATAATCCATATTATAACAATATTCTGAATTTTGGTTTGTAAAAAACAAAAATATAAAATAATTTATAAAAAAATACAAAAATATTTAAACTAAAATAATTAATCATTAGAATAGTTATTATTTAAAAAATTATTTAAAAAATATTTCTAAATCTACAAAATCTATAATTTTATTTTTAAATGAAATTAAAAAAAAGAATATAAATTATGAATGAATAGAAAAAAAAATATACAAAAACTAAAAACTTAAGTGAAAAAATTAAAAGTTATTTTCAAGATAACATAAATATATACTGATTTAAAAACAAAGAAAAAATATTATACCTTTTAAATAAAAATATAGAGAATGAACAAAAATATATATTTTTAAAAAAATATTTGATGTCATAAAAAAAAATTTTTTCTTGAAACCATTCAAAACAATAATTTAAAGTTTAAAGTAAAAAAAAAAACTTATAAAAGATAATCAAATATAAGAGTTTTAAAATAAAAAATTTATAAAAAATTTAAAAATCGAAAATAAATAGATCCAAAAAAAAAAAAAAAACAATTTTTATTATTTAAGAAGTCTTTTTATAATTTAAATTATAAAAGTAAAAAATTTTATAAAAAAGTTAAAAAAATATAAAATATAAAATGTAAATTTATGTTTTAATTCAAAAAAATTAATACAAAAAATCCCTAAAGAATTAATAGATATATATAATACTTTTAAATAAAATATAAATACTAGAAATTTAAATTAAGCTTTTAAAAAACTTCAAAAAAAACTTAACGAGACTAGATTAAAAAATGAAAATAAAAAAATTTAAATATAATAACATATATATATAATGATATAAAAAATGAGGAATAAAAAAAAATTAGAAAGTAAGAATCGTAAAATACAATACTTATGATAAAATATTATTTATTTATTATGTATTGATTATTAATTTGTTATCATTTTATCAATATTTTTGATAAGAATGTTTTTCTCGATATTTTTTAGTCATAAAATAAAAACGTTTGTATTACCTATTTTTCTTAAAATAGTACATTCTTTATTAAAAAACATTGACATTTTATTTTATTCTTTATTTCATTTAGCTTTTTTTAGAATTTATTTATAAAAGGTTGCGTTAAATTTGTTATAAAATACATCATTCGTTTTAATAGCGTATAAAGCCTTTAAAATAACACCAAAAGACTTAAAATTAACAAATTTTTTATCTAGTGAAGAAAGAATTTCTGCTTTAATTTTTAAAAAAAACGCAACAAATGATCAATGTAAAATAAAACTAAAAAAATACTACAAAAATTTTGAAAATACAAATAAAATCTAAGTGACGTTTTTCCAGAATTAGATGAACTATGTGAAGATACTGAATTAGACAAAAAATATATTTATTTGAAAGAACAGCTTATAAGACGATCTGAAGGACTTAAACAAAATTTAAAAGATATAAAAACTAAATAATCACTAAACAATCAAGAATGTATTATGTAATCTGAATGTATGCTCTTGGAGGAAATTTATCCAAATGAACTTAAAGAAAAATGTAATTATTTAAGAATATTATGTAACGAAAAGAAACAAGATAGTTTAACAACAAAATTCCTTCTAAGAGTTTTCACTAACAATTTAAAAACTAAAGAAGACTATGGAAAAATAATTGATAAAAATGTCTTATATTTATGGAAAAAAACAATAAACTTGCAATAAATATGCAATTACATTAACTGTAATATTAACAAGGCTCTAAATCTACGCAAGATATACAAGAGAATAACCGAATGATATGAAGCAAAATAGAAAATCGAAAATGAATGAATGAAATCCAAGAAGTAGTAATAGTAGCAGTTATTTCGGTTATGATCTAAAAAGATCAATGGATGAAAAAGATTAAAAAAGGGCACGTATAATTTAAAAGAAACGAACAAGCAAAATAGCGGAAAAGGTTAGAAAATAAAATAAAGAATAGTATCTTTTCATTAATTTACAACAGATTTCTCTATACATGTTTTCTTATCAGTCTGTTTATCGCTACTTTTATAATCCACTAATAAATTCGCTTCTCTATTTACTCCACAATTAACCCCAAATTTTATGTGGGATTTACTCAGACGCAATTAAAAAGTATATCGGACACCTCATACTCGTAAGAGATTACAATTTTTTCATTTTTAGTAATTTTTTTAATATTATATTTAAGATAAAATGAAATAATACAATATAAAACAACAAATCTAAAAAATAAATAAAAATAAAAGAGTAATTCTCCATAAACATAGCCATTTATAAGAGTTTAAAGATAAATTAAATTAATAAATTTGTCAAAACGATAAACGAAAAAATAAAATAATTGAAATTAAACAATATATAAAATACATAAAAATGATATTATTATTTGAAACAAAATACAGTTTAAATTATATTTAATGCCATATTTTTCATACTGTAAGTTTTGTAAAAAATCAAATTTTTTTATATTTTTATAAAAATATTGTAACTAATTAGGAAACTAAATTAAAGATAATAATTTAACATTCAATAATTTGTATTTTTATTCTAAAATCTGAAACCAAATTTAATAATATTAATACTAAATTCATAATGGAGACAACTAAAGTATATCATCTTTCTAAATGAAGGCTTTTGTCTTTGTGATCTTTGTGATTTTAAGCACAATATCATATGCTTTTTCGAAAGGTATTAATACTTATGGTATTTTTATTTTTTTTCGTTTTTTTTTTAATTTTTATCTTTTAGAATCAAAAGAAAACTTAAATTTATTTACTTCAAAAAAATTAGGAGTTATGGCCCATCAGTACATTCTGAATCAACTGATTCCTTATCAAAACACTTACTATCTTCATCTGCATGGTTTATGGTTTTAGGTGATGATGTTTCTATGTATAGTCTTATCTTAGATGATTCTATCACAACTGAAGAAAAATGTAAAACATATTTAGAATATTTATGTGAAAAACTCGTAGAAAAGCTACCGGGAGGAAATTTTACCAATATACTGAAGAAATTATGCAATTTAACTAAAAGAAATAATTATTGCAAAGGTCTCTTTACTCAGGGTCGTATTAAAAAAGACTTAGATAAAAAATGTAATGGTATAAAGGATAAACTCAAATATTATTATTATAGTTTAAGTAAAACTTTATTTACAGGAGAATGGAATGCAAGAATAGAAGCAGAAGATTGCGAAAATTATGAAACGTTGTGTATAGTTTTTCAAAGAATTTGTTATGGTTTGATTAGCGATTTATGTGGCAAATTTAATAGTCTCTTATAAAAAATATACTAAAGATACTGAAGATAGCGTATTATTGGAATTTATAGGAAAAGAAGCACTATCTAATGAACCGAAAGATGATGAACTGGAACATAAATATCTATATACCGAATGTATTCGCACTCTTCTTGAAAAATATCATTGTGTAACCCCTTTTGGGCCTACTATGGCAGAATCATGTTCTCAACCAACGGATACATGTAATCACTTTAATCGAAGTACTACCATAACTTGTCGATATTTGGACTCTTATATTAAAAAAGTTCTCTCAGAAAAACAAGAGCATATCACAGGTTATGAGAAAAAGATAACAAGAAATAACTGTTCGTTACTCGGTGCTTGTGAGTATCATTTATTACTCTGTTATAACAAAACAACAGAGGATCTTTGCAAGCTAATAATAAAAAAATGCTCCATAAAAGTTGACCTAGATATGAATTTCATAAAGAACTTTTCTTTAGGCAAATGCAATTCAACGTTTAAAAACGTAAATTTAATTAAATTTTTTTATGAAAAAGAAAAAAGTGGAGTTTTATTACCGCATAAAGCTCCATATCTTACTCCTCTTTTAATGTTTTTCTCTTCCCTAGGAAGATCTACTCTTACTTTAAAGGAAAGATGCTTGAATTTTATTAAAAAAAATTGTTTGGCTCTTCTGGGTATGTTTCCTAATCTTCATGAATATTGTAAAAGTGGACATACTGATGAATGCGAACAATTGGATGAAAAGATGAATACAACATGTTTCAATTTAAATAAAACATTTGAAGAATTAGGTCTTACTTCTATTAATGGCGTTTGGACTATACTATGGAACAGCACAGCAAACAATATCACTACACCCCAATGTCAAATGTTAATAGAAGAATGCACTTATTTTAGACGTGGTTGTCTTGGTATTGAAGGTCCATGTGAAAATGTAAGATCTCTATGTTATACACTGAGTAAAAAAAGATCTCACTTAAATTATTTTTGGGAAAAACTCGAAGAAAAACTATCACCTAGTGATTTTAGCATTTTTAATCAATCTAATCTATCTCAGTCCTCAGCTGCTTCTAATTTATACCAGCATATATACAAGCATATTCTAGATATATGTGCTAAGTTTGGAGGGACTAACGAGGTTTTATTTAGATGGTGTTTACACCCTACCCCTAATCACCCCCGGTAACTTCCCTAGGTGACTTGTTTCTTAGATTACTTTATGATTTTTCAGCAAGGCACGATGATTTAAAAAGAGGCTTACTATATGTAGGAGAACCTCCTAGTTTACCAGAATGTGCATCTTATATTTATGAATGTCACAACTTATCAAACATTTTTAAGGATCTTACTACTAATTGCACAATACTGGAAAAAGCATGTTATAATCAGTCACAAAACTATGATAAACTTGAAGATTCTAAGCTTATTAAGTCGACTTGATGTTAATTAAAGTAGCTTTATCTAACTCATAAATTGTATCTTTTAAACAGAATGTAATTTGGGTTATTATTTTTTAACTTATATGATTTTGATAATAATGTTATTATAAAAGTTATTATTTTTCACGAATATATTAATAGGACATAAACAATATTAAAAGCTAAATAACTATGGAAAATAAAACAGTAAAACTAAAATTTAATTATTAGGAACCGGATCAAATCATAAGGTATCATTATTGAATCATCTAGAGTATTGGTTTTTGTCATAAATATAATCTAGAAAATAGATAATGAAAATAATTTTATAGGTTAGTTTTTTCATAAAATTTCTTTATAAACAAAAATACATTAAAATTAAAAATTATATTTTTTTTAAAAATAATAAATAGAAAATAAAATCCTATTTTTAATATTTTTGCATTAAACCAGTTATTCAATATTAGTTTTTAAGTCTTTAAAAACAAATTATATATCTAGAGATTTATATACTTGCTCTCATTATTTACATAAAATGTATTAAAGTATGTTGTATTAGAAAATATGTTTTAAACATTTTTTATTTTTTCTGAATTTTTATTTTCTAAAAATATTAACTCAAAATTAATAAAATTTTAGATCATTTCAAATAAAAAGTTTTTAAATTAAAACTTATTTTTAATTTTAATTAAAAAAATTATATTTACGCTAATAAAAAATACTTCTTAATCAACGTTTAAGAAATGTCTAAGTAAAATTTTAGAAGAAAGCATATATGTTTAATAAATAAGCAAGTAAAATGACAAGAACTGCAAAATAAATTAAAAATAGTCTCTTCTGTGTCAACTGTGTTAATTTAAATTGAATTTTTTTAAAAAACTATTTTCTTTATATAATTAACCTATATTTTTCACTAAGCCATTTTTTTACTAGTCATGCTTTTTATATTATATTTTTTACTCGTTTTTGCGTTATCTATATTTACTCCTGATTTACCCCATACTACTTTAGAAACATTTGAACATAAATAAAACTATAAAGCATGTTCTAAAATTAACTATTATTATATACTTTATTTCTAATTTTATTTATTTTAAAATGTATACTTTTAATTTCAAAAAAAATTTAAGTGAATACATAAATATCTAATCGTTATCATTTCTAAAAGAATATTTATAAAAGAATATTTAGAATAATAACTTGTAGAATAGAATAATCTATATTATAGCAATATCTAAAAAATTAATTGTATAAAAAGTCAGAAATATAAAATTAAAAATGATTTATGAAAAATATAAAAAATATAAATTAAAAATTGATTATCACAAAAGTAAATGTTTAAGATATTTATAAATTCAAAAAATTATAAATATTTTTTAAACAAACATCTCTTATACATCAAAAACTAAAAAGAATTAAGTTTTTTAAAGTTGATTAATGTAAAATTCTTTTTAAATTCCAAAAAAGTTAAAGAACAAGAAAATTTAAAACAAAAATTAAAAAACTTAAAATCAATAAAATAATATATTAAAATTTATTAATATTAAAAGTGTACAGAAAACTTATACG